GGAATATTGGCAAGCCCATGCGCAAGGGCAGCAAATCTGCGTAAGCGCCTTTTTTTTGCCCTAGTCCGGTGCGGTTCAGAGATACTGCCGCCATCGCAGATTCGGCACACGGGCGTGCGCACACGAGCCGACGCCTGTACAGCCGTCAGCCGGTCGAAATGTCTCTGTTACCCGTCCGCTCAGCATCACCGCCGATGGCAACTCCACCGATTGCATCCTACACGGCCTGTGTATGAACGAATCCACAACAACGCACACATGTAAGAGGTGTACTGTACACTACAATTTTGTCTGAGTAAAATGTAATACCGAAGTTACCTACGTATCGCGCCGTCGCTCCAGCCGTTGCGCTAGTGTAGGGCACAACGCATATCCTGTCCAAAAAGTTGCCGTCACCCAACGCCCTCGAGTACAAAACACTTTCTTCAGTTGCATGCGTATAGTACATACACCAGCCGCTGCGCCGTTCAATGCGACGACCATGCGGGCGAGTGAGAGGGATGCGCGTAGAACGCCTCGGGCCCTGTTCGTCGGCCGGCGCTTACTCGCCCTGCTCATCCATCAAATGAGTATGATCTGCTGCAGTGAGGTGGCACACCCCTCCTTCACCGGAACAGTAGTTCGTTACAGGTTATCACCACATTAGCCTGCGTGTGCCGCGATTCGGCCGGTGAGGTTGCAGTCACCAAATCCCTGCACAGTCTGATCACAGTCTACGACTCTGCATAAGTGCCGTTGACACACGTACTGTACTTGTGCGCACATGTAGGGACAGCCGTGGCCTGTGGGGGTGGCGGAATTCACCGCACAACCCAAACGAATATACATGGTAATAATATGGTGTCTAGTATTAATTTTCGGGGTATGTTGATGCACTTGCGGCACGTCTTGTGAGCCGCCCATGTGCGCAAACCCGCTATTAGTCAGAACAAAAAGGAGATAACGGCGATGGAGTCCGGTCGGATAGTCGGTGGCTCCCTGACGGATGGATGGATCACTGCTGGCCAGCGAGACAGCCGCAATTGATGATTCGCAAAAAAAATTATAATAAATAATACACCGCACATTGTGCCTGATGAATCGTCCAGATACCCACAGGGACGAACGCTCCGAGTCAGGCAGATCGAGCCCGTCGGATGATGGAAGCCTCTTTAGGAATGACACCAGCGGAAGTGGTTCCGACCTCGTCTGGTTATGCATAATGCCAGTACCAGGCGCACGTGTACGCCCGCGGTGAGGCAGATCGTGATGATGCTCAACAGTGCCAGCCCGCCAAGTCCTTGACACGAACATGGCTTGCTCCCGTCCGCTTTTGACACATGGGCCGTCCAGCCGTCGAGGTGCATAGTATTTAATACAGGTTTGGGAACTCAATTGGTCCTTTGTACGGTAGGAAGCGCCTGTGGGCAGCTGCGAGCAGCGGCCATGTGGTGGTCATCGCCCCATGCTGTCTTGGCAAATGCATCCTATTAAACTCTATTCTGCACTGCGTCAGGATTGTGGAGCTCGCGCGCTGTCGGGCATCGAGTATCCGTAGGGTAGGCTAGGGACAGACACCGAATAGCAGAGCGTGGTGAAGTCACGCAAAGCGATCCCTTGGGGTTGGAAATTGGGTTGAGAATTGGGTTGTGTGCTTGAACAAGTACTTTAGTACTACTGCAAGTATATCAGCGTACGTTGTCACCGGCGGTGATGAGTACCGTCCTTGTGTCCGGGTAGGACCTTTTACAGGTGTTGCGCAACGAGCACAGAGCACGGCACGGCACCACCAAAAGCGCATGGAAATGACATAGCGCGGTCACACCCGGTTGGGTACATTTAGCGAGAATCGCCGACCATCCGTATTGTCTGCTACTTTCCCCATTGGACGTGTAGACCGTCCAGCAAACATGAAGAGTGATAATCATAGCCGAATGCACGAGACAAACTTTGCGTAGCTCCGCAATGCCAACCCAGAAAAAGAAATAGCTCCCGAAAGCGCTATTGAGACCACGGGCACACGGTCTCATGATTTGACCTTTTGCTGATCAGTGATGAACACTTGTACCCAAGCTCCAGCCGTGGTCTGGTAGGTGGCTCACGACGAGAATAACAAATACTCCGTGCTGCATTGAAGTTGCCAAGAGGCGCTTGTGGGACGTCATGACTGGGGCAGGGATCGCAGTCGGTGGGGAGGGTGTGGTACCAGGCATGATATCGATCGTGTTCCGGGGCTGGACTAAAGCCCGACGACCATGTCGACAGGCGATGCAACCATTAAAGCTTAATTTCCGGAGAGTATGAACAGCCAGAAGGCCGACTTCTTTTCACCTCACCCTCAATAACCTCACCGCCTTTTCACTGTCTACTTCAGCTGCATGTGCGGAATTTACAGTCGTTCGTCCCGTAGTGCTACTCATTAGCACGCTTGCATGCTACAAGCCCATGTCTATAGACTGTGTCCAGTTCGCAACCCCCCTGGTTGAATTTCAGCCTCAACGCTCCAAAGGGGTACAACAGGTACAATGCAAGCGGTATTGCTCCGCTGACCTTTTAGGCTAAACTTTTGGCAGTCCATACTCATAGCGACTCTCCCTCGTTGTCCTGTGCTTGTGCGATCTCCGACGGCGAGCTGCTGGAAGCCTGGGACCCTTAAAGCCAAGGAAGAGTGACGACAGTAGAACCACGTGTCTGGAAGTGACTGGGGGCCGGCATTGTATGCACGGTTCCAACTGGAATGCTGACCAGACGAATTATAAGTCGGACTATTCAAACGCTGGTTGAGGTCCATGGCATCGCTGGTGTGGACCCCGAAGTTTGTTCAATCCCAAGCCGAGACCTTTGGCTTGACTACCTGACTATCATGGGCCAATATCTGCAGCGTCTCGTGTCCCTTCTTGGCCAGTTTGAGCTTGATGCCAGTCAAATGTTTGGCTACATATCAGAACCGTGCGTCAATCCCATTGACAATGTGCGTGCACGCCAGGCTGAAGGCCAGAGGACGAGTAGCTACGCTGAACTAGTGCTTCCAGAACATTTATCGAATTGTTCTTGATGTTTCCGAGTGAGCGGTCCAAGCCACCTCGGTCATTCACCCACATCATGGACCCGCACATTCTACCAGAGCGTCGGACTGTCGGCAGGTACGGACTTAGGAATGCGCCTCCTTGTATTATACTTGAGTAGAAATGGGCCTTCTTGCGACGCCTTCAGCGCCACACTGCCGCCCCAACCAGGGTCTCTGAGTTTCAGTAGGCGAAGATCGATGGATGGTACCTGGTGCGTAGCTGCGATTGAAGTGTGCAGGGTAAGTTGATTTGGGGTCGGAAGCCTCTTTCCAACTCGGTCGTATCCCATCCGACGATCTCGCCAGCGTCCCACCAGACCACTCCAAGGGCCCAAATAGGATCCCTGCATCGGGGATCAAAGTGATTTTACGCCTCCAAACTTTGTTCCTAGGTAGTAGTACTTGGTATGATACTGAATACTCCGTACTGAGCGATAAATGTGTCAGTCGAAGCGGACCTTCGCTGCCGACGTGGCACGATGTATGACTCGTTGAGGAGATGTCTTCAACTCGAAGAGCCCATTGTGGGGACGTCACCGACACTGGATCGTTTGGGTTGAGCCAGGAGCCGAGTCAGGCAAAGTAGGGACGTACGTAGTTAGTCTCACTGGAATAATTCCGTGCCAGCATGTTTGCCGCCGGACCCTGAACTTCTGATTTCGAAATGCGAGAACGCGACGCTGTCGTGGGGCCCATTGCCTCCGAAAGGCTAAATAGGTGAATCGTAGATCACAATAAAACTCAAAATAGCTTTGACGTTTGGTGATTGGAAGTCTGGCTCTTTCTACCACGTCATTTGCACGCTACCGGGAAACGGCAATGGCAAGGTATATTTAATTCACTACACCCTCTCGGTGCGTGAAACTAGAGCCCCGATTTAGAACAACCAACGGTGGAGCGAGCGCTTTGGGCCATCATCCCGCTCCATGCCCGAGGGCATTGGGAACGCATTCCACAGCCTCCCCCAGAAATGTTCGCGTGGCCCTTTCAAGGCCATCGAACGGAACAGTAAATTATACTTGGTAACCCGGTCCTTGGGTCCAGACCCCAATGGGACGAGTGTCTCTCCACAGCGGGATGCTCAGGCTAATTAATTAATTAGCATCAGGACGATCGGTAGCTATACCTAAAATGCCCGCTCGTGTGCGCGCTCAAGTGCATAATCGTGCTCGTCGGCCACGCTCCGGCTCCGATCAAGGCTGGAGGCACTGGTCCACCCTTAGACCCCGACATGAAACATGGCGGCGTTTGCCTGTGCTTCTGGCCGCCATGCTATGGATCGATACGTACACCTCTCGGGACTAATGACAATCTGGCATGACTAGCTGCACTACAGGCGACGCAGGTCATATGCGTGAGTAGACCAGCGCTACGCCTATACTAGACGAAACTCTGTTTCCGAATCCCGCCAAGCGTCCAGGGGACCAGTTCCTTTGCTAGCCACCTTGTATTTTTGTCAACTGCCGGGTAAAGTTTGTTTGTGCAACGCTTTTCTACCCAAACCTTCTCCCGAACTCAAAGGTAGGTATATAATCGACGTTTCTTCCTCTTCGGCCCGCTGCGTCACCAAGTCATCAAGTTGCTCCTCCTCGCCTCAGCCCTCCCACGGTAGTATTATCATTAACATCATCAATCTACTGCAGTTGCCAGTATTCGCTACATACGTCGTCCCCCACACATACCCTGCAAGCCATCATCCGCCAAGTCCTGAAATCCCAGCCCACCGGCATACAATCCCTGTCCTTGCCGTCTCGCTTGCAAGACAAAGTCAGTCAGTCAGATTGACAGGCGCCCGGCCCGTTTGCACACACACCTTTGTCGACTGATTCACTCACGTCGTCTGTCCCGTCCGTGTACTTGCGCATATAGCTGCACAAGTATATACATGACCAGGGCACCTACCTCCTACCTACCACCGCCATCGTCTACCCTTAATTTCTTCTCTCCTCCGACAATGCTCGCCTTGCATCCTCACCACCCACACTACAACATCGGCAACGAGCAGCAACCGCACTTCTATCAAGCTGGTCTCCCACACCGCAGCCATAGCCAGAGCCACTACGCCCAGGCCCAACACCAACATCAACATCAACACCAACATCACAGCCATCAGCACAAAGCCCAGCGCGCTCGCTCCATGCCTCATCGCGTGTACGCTGAACCAGCCCTGACGAGGGCTACCTCGGTCGCCTCGACCGCGTCAAGCGCCACATCCAACACGTCCGTCTCCTACGCCAGCGACCCATCGGTGGTCCAGGCCCTCGAAATTGCCCGCGAGAGCCCAGATGGCGCCTCGGACCCGACCATTGGCAAGATCCTGGACAGCGCCCTCGGCCAAATATGGTCCAGGGTGCAGGCGGCACCCAACACATACGTTATGACCCGCGAGGAGTTCTCTATATTCAACTACTTCCAGCACCGCTTCGTCGGCAACGAGACAGCGGCGCGTGCGCGTGGGCGGTACTGGGACCATGCTCGGGGCTGAATCGACTGAACGGATTGGTGGATGACACGATTCAAACAACAGAAAACAAAAAATTTGGTGACGACGATGCTGGTGGGGATATCACAGTAGCCCGCCTATGGGTACCGTACGAGCCCTCGTCCGTGCATCGGGGTTCTAGCCGCTAGACGGGAATGCTCGGGAATTTGGAGGGGGGCGTGCGCGTTGGGTTCTGATGATACCTTAGACTTGCTGGGGTCACGATGATACCCTGATGGAACAGGAAGTTTCCGCAACATACTAACTTACAACAGACAGTGGGCAAGGGAGTCCCGGTACTTACGATAATGACTGGCATTGAGAGGCGTTCTCAATTACATAAAATACTATTGCCCTTTTTTTTCCATATCGAAATCCTCATATGACGCATGATCGATTTTATGTATCATTTCGAAACTCGGTCCCAACTTGCAAGGACCCAAACTCGCTCCTGCACTGACGTGCCCGTCACGTGCAGGTGGTACCGAGTCCTGACTCTCTGTCAACAACAACGTAGGTTCAATCACTACACGTTATGTTAACATCTACGATATACCTTCATCTGCGCTCCAGTGTCGCATCGATTATATTATCTGTGCATTCTTTCTCCATGTCGCTCGGGCGCGCTGTTGTTTTGACGCTCAATTGAGAGAACACGCCCCTTCCTCTCGTTGCTGACTTCTCGTAGCCTCTAGTTCACTCTGCACGTATACATTTGCTCAGGTAAGCACATATTTCGGGCATTGCGAGTTTGTTCTACTGGCATGCATTTTCTGACTTGGCTAGTCCTTACCCTTGCGAGGGGGTCTATGAGCTCTCCTTCGCTGACAATCCCAATACACGCCGACGTGCTCACACAGCGACATGAAGAGCCGGCTTTGCTTCAGCTTGCTCTGGTTTGCTCACGGTGTGCGCAGTAGCACAATATCGCCTGAAGACGCGCAGAAAAGTGTCGGTGCTACTCTCACGCACGCAGCACGAAATCCGCATTGGCCAGTACAGCACAACGAGACGCTTGAATGTTTTCAGGTTACCCATCCTGTTGAAACGCATCTGGGCCTCGCCATAGGAGACCAGGTTGTGCGAGGGCCAGGTCAGGGCGGTGTTCGCCCTTTCTGCACTCAACAATTGGTCAAGCACACGTTTGGCAACAGCTATGGCCATCCCTTCGTCAGGAAGTTCATGCCGCCCGCATGTGACTTCAACAAGGCTTTTATTAATGTCACAATCAAATCTCAAGGCCACCAATTTGATCGCCTCGCGACCCTGTGGCTTGGAGACATTGAGATCTGGAGGACCTCGACCGCAGAGCCAACATCGCAGCCTGGCATAGCCTGGCATTTTCTCAAAGACATGACGCCATTTGACTCCCTCTGGAGGGAACCTCAGACCGTCATCTTTGACCTAGGAAATCTGGTCAACGATCTTTACACGGGTCTTTACGACGTGACTATCGACGTGACATTTTTCGAGGCAGTTGTCGACCACATGCGGCGCGAACATCGTCCAGCTGACCATATCTTACCCCTGTCAGCCAAAAGAAGTAAGCAAGGCCAGGCCAGTACCTTCGTATTCCCTGAGACAAGTGCTGCGGCGGTGGTCAAGCTTCCCCCAAAGATTGGCCGGGCGATTCTCACCGTGGCCGCCACTGGCCAAGCTGAGGAAGAATTTTGGTGGTCAAACGTGCCCGAGCGCGCCGCGGATTCCTTTCCATCCTCCAAGGCCGCCAGATTGCCCGCGATGGGAAGCATGAGAGAGGTTCGCATATACATTGACGGCCAAGTGGCCGGCCTAGCGTGGCCATTCCCCGTGGTCTTCACTGGAGGCATAGCACCCCCTTTGCATCGGCCGATGGTGGGGCTCCAAGTTTTTGATATGAGGGAGTATGAAGTGGACGTCACGCCATGGTTGGGTTACCTATCTGATGGCGACGAACACACCATCTCGCTTGAGGTGTTTGGAGTCAACAATAGCCACAAAGCGAATCCGGTTTTCGCCCATGTGGGATCCAACTGGGTCCTATCCGGCAAGATCTTTGCGTGGCTAGGCAACGCCGAACTCAAGCCAACGCAAGCGCCCAAGGTGGAAATATCAGAGATAGACTGGATCTCCGAGATAGATGTACTGGATTCCACTGCGATAGACTACAGACAGTCGGCTGGACGACACATCAATGTTCAGGGTGTGGTTGCATCAGTCCACGATGAGCCTCGTACCGCCAACTGGACGCAGACGTTCAGCATGGTCAACGACGGCAAAATGCGCAACACTGCCTACTGGCATCACGTCAACTCCAACTACACTGGCACTAGTGTAGCATACCACGGCTCGACCCCAAGACTAGCATCCCGCTTCGCCTATCCTATAAGTACCACATACGAATACAAAGCGCCTCAGGGGCCGAACACGCTAGAATTGGAAGCCTCTCTGGAGCAGGGTATGGACCTTCGCGTTACAATGGACTCACCCTTTGCCACTGGAATGGAGGCCTTCCTGGACAAGCGACGCTCCTCGTCTGGTGCGGCGCTTAAAGCTACACGAATCGGTCACGCCTTATTCACACAAGGCCCAGATGGTAGCCATGGATCAGGAACCACGAACCAGAGGTACGAGCTATCTGCAATGGATCAGCCCACCGGTGACGACATCACCGGCAGGCCAGCAGCTGCCTTGTACCGACGCACCGTGTCCGTTGTGAATGAGACCATTACCCATGACCAGCAGCGGGTCGCGGATTCAAAACGCAAAGTGCCGACACCAGCGAGAGGACATCTGCACAGCACCACCGTAACCCAACTTTCGGCGGAGTTTGCGCCGTTCCCGCTCATGCGTTTCGGAGGGACAAATGTCTTCCACAGAGGCAACGGCGAAGGACCGGCGAGCCGTATTGCGGAAGGATTCATTGACCAATCGTCGGATTCCAGGTGGAAAAGCCTCCTCCATCATGCGAACAGGCTGCTGTGGGACTAGTAAAGGTAGCCGTAGGGGACTTCTGCGAGTCCAATGATCCGCATAAAGTTGCCGCTTTTGGAGGCTCAACATCGCGCAATTCTAATTCCCAGTGGTCGCGTTCCTGGATTCAAATAGCGGCAGTTTGCACTCCGCAATTAACCCACAGACCGGGGAGCCTCACACCATCCGTGAAGACCGATACACGACTGTGCTGAGCGAGAGAAACCTAGTTACATTACACCATCACAAACGCCCGAGTCATCGTGGCAACATTGTTCTCGTACGGAGGCACTATACGCACGCGGTGTCCCGGGGTTTCATGGTCGGAAGTGACTCTAAGTTCAGCCAACGTTCCAGACCCATGGCACAGCAGAGTACGACGAGTCGCACTGTCTTTTTTAGTTAAGCACTAGCTCCGAACCTTGAAAGTAGCATTACCTAACACGCGTATGAAACACGTTCCTCGGGATCTCCAGAAGCATTGGGGAGGGACCCCCAATCGTGTGGTAGTGGATCGAGCTTTAGCCTTTCGCGAATCGTGACCACGGAGGTTGTCCCTTTTGAAACAAAGTTTGACCCATCCGAAGGCAAGTGGAAGCACCTCCAGCTTCCATCTCCGATCGGCTACATCTTTCTATTAGTGACGCGGCGAGTGTTGCGGAATGCTGAAACGAACAGAGTGGTAATTCTTCGTCGTGCTACTGAAGCTAACATTGTACCCTTTTTGCCCAAACTCCAAGGTGACGAATAGCAATGACAACACCGAGCGAAGTGTCCCTTGGGCCATGATGCGCGATGACAGCCCAAACGTCTCAACATATCCGACACAAATTCTGTCTCTAGATAGGTCTCGTCCCCCTATTACAAAGGACGTTCATGCAGGAGCTCTCATACCTAGTCACTCGACAGCTCGAATCGAACGGAGAGTCGCGCTTTATTCAATGTATCTGACGCTAGGGGCTCTCATTGCTAGCCTTGACCTCATGGCGGGAAACCGCCAACAGAGCCTGACAGGCGGAACAGGCAAGCGCTATCTGACCAGGAGAGAACTATTATACCCTATGGATCTTGGCACCGTCACTGATGACCGTCATCAGGTAGACGCAGGCAAATGATCGGGTCTCGGCCTCGGTTTCGGGATGCAAGGCCTGGTGCCATAACTCAGACCGTCTCCAAATCGGAACACAGGATCCTTCGTGTCGAACTGCAAGTCCTCGAATGATTCCTCCACAGCCTGGTCGGAACGCGGCATATCGAATGGCAACCTCCCCTCGGGCGGCACAATACCAAACACAACGTCAAGGAATGCTTCTGGACTGCTGCCGTAGCTCACAAACAGAGCAGCTGCTTGCTCAGCGACTTCAGGTATGGCAGGGACGCGAACTGCCTTGATGTCAACAATGGTCGGCACGCGAGAGTAGATGGCCGCTTGTCGGGCTCGTTCTGTGGAGTTGAATTCAAGAGTCCCATTGTTGAAGTAGTTGGGATTCGTGGGATGAGGAGTCTCCTTGGGCGAACCCATGCGGAGAAAGGCATAATCTGCCTCGTCAACATGCTCGACGACCGTCAGGCCCCAGGATTCAAGCACGCTGACCGGGATTCCCTCTGCATATATCTTTGCTTTTCGCGCTCTTCGTCCAAGTGGTAGGATGTTGTCGTGATTCGTGAGTAGGGTAAAGGATCTTCGCTGCGTGTCGTTACCAAGAAGACGAAAGTCCTCATTGCCCACAAGCTTTTGTGCCGCTTTCTTATCGACGAGAGGCTGGTCGAAGAGTCCCAGTTCGAATTTCTGTTTCAGAAGCTTCGCCACAGAATGGTCGATACGCGATTCCGCAGTCAGACCGTCCTCCACAAGCTGAACGAGAAGCTCCGTACTCGTCTCGCCGCCAAAAATGTCGCATCCCGCCTCAATCGCGAGTCTGGTCCTGTCCAAGAGTGTCTCATCCTCGACACCCCAAGGCGTCATGGTGAGGATGCCAAAATCGGTCAAGACTATGCCTTCGAACCCCAACTGGTCTTGGAGAAGATCACGAATGACTCCCTTGTTGAAAGCAAATCCAACTTCCTCCCAGTCATTTCCCTTGGGCTGAGAGTAGTATGGCATGATCTGCGGAACACCTGCGGCGATGGCCGCTTCGAAGGGTCGGAGGTGATAGGCCTCGTTGTTGCTTGGGTAGATCTGGTTTCGGCCCCACGAATAGTGAGGATCTGCTCCGTCCTACGAGCGCAAGTCAGCAAATTGGCATTCTAATATGAAGCGGGTGAGCTTGAGCTTGATCTTACCTCTTGTGGACCGCCGCCAGGGAAGTGCTTGACGGTGGCAACAAGTGAACTGTTCGTGACTTGGGAGCCACCCTGTAGGCCTTCGAGCATAGATAGCATCATGCCAGTCGTCAAGTCCGCGTCCTCCCCCATCGTGAGACCCATCCGGCCCCATCTAGGCTCAGTCGCAAGGTCCACCTGTGGATACAAAACCTGTCGCATCCCCACCGCGGCAAGTTCTTGTCTGACAATATCGCCATACTCAAACATCCTCTGCGGAGATCGCATGGCGACAATGCCCATGGGCTCCGGCCACCGTGAGAAGCTCATGCCGGTGTTGGATGCCACGCTATCCTGGGTCCATCCATGCTGCGGATCGGTTGAGATTGTGATGGGAATGCCAAGGGTTGTGTTGTCAATGGCAATCTGCTGTAGCTCATTGTACCAGTCGATGAAAGCGTCCACATCATCCACGCCACCGGTGTACACGAAATGTGTCAAATGCTTTTCAGTGACCTGGGGCCAAATGTCCTTGGGTCTGTTGGGCAGATATCTTGCATGATACATCTGTCCCACCTTCTCGGCCAGTGACATGCGCGAAAGCAGATCGTTGACGCGGTCATTGGAGGATAGCGAGGCGTCCTTATACGGATAGGTGGCCGGCTTTGGCGTGTCTGTCTTGAGCCCGCAGGCTGCGGTGGCGAGCGTTCCAGCTATAATGATTGGCTTCATGTTTCAAACAACAACAGAGGGTGGGCAATGAGAAAGCATGGGCAGTGCATGGTATCAAAGGAAACACGGCGGGTTATGTACAGGCCTATAAATGATGGCGGGGATGAGATCTCGTTTGTTAGAGTTGATAATATGCTTGTTTTTGGCGATATCATCAAAGAGCCACCGACATAACACCGCGCCAAGGTCGAGGTTTGCAGGGCTTTGAAGCCTGGAGTCCGTGGTCTCCCCGGCTCCCTTTTGCGCAGCTTTGACACGCTTTTCCCAACAGGCCTGGTTCTCTATGCTTGGCAAGAATTGGCTCGACCAGGACATTGCTAGAGTGCATGGAAGCGAGGCTATCGTCAACGTGAAAGTGGCTTGCCCCGTGGGGTCTAGGATGGGACTTTTACGGAGTGACTCGCTGAGGACCCCTGCAAGACAACAAATAGCGTCTGCAATGTCTAGCATAATGGAGTCTATTCAGTCGGGCCTTTTAGTGTCCGTACAATGCAGCCAGCTGACATGGGCATGGCGGCGAGGAAACCAAGTATCGTCAACCCCACAACCCACCGTCATCTCCGGACCCCACGTCAAACACTCTAGATCTATCTACCTACGTAATCTGAGCCTGGCGGTCGTCTCCCACATATACTAACGAAGGGACCGAATAGTTATTACAGTAAACCTTCGTTATAACGAATGGTCATGTACACACGGCATTGAACGAACTGAACGCGATTTCGTACTAGCGAAGGTCACGTGTTTGCTTACTTCAGGCCAAAAGCGGTATTTATTTAGTAGGTCCTTGCCGAGGAGTTGGTCGGTCCTTGCTGAAGGAGCCGGCCACGCACGTGGTACTTTGACGAGTTTTGTCTGCATTTATAAGCAAGATTTAACAGATCTCCCCAAGATCGGGGGTTTTCGTTATTTTTATGGGGAAGACCACTGTGTGCAAGCAAAATAGCGAAATAAACCCGAATTCGCTGTGTACCATAATCGTTCTAATAGTGCTCGCCGAGCCACGTTGAGCGGAAACAACATGGAGTTTGGCAACTGTGCAACTTGGACACTGACCCTTCAATGTCTTGGCCCGTGGTATTTTCCAGCTCACTTCACCAACATACTCCGCACTCTACGCTGTGTTCCTCTGGACCAAGCCGTGTTCGATCCGTCAACACGCACACGGAGTTTCCAAAGACCCCCGGAATACCCCGGGGGGGGGGGGGGGGGACATGCTGGCCACTCGGCAGTATTGGGGTACCCGTCTCGCCGTGGATTAGATGAAGGGCGAGATATCGAGCTTCGAGCTTCTGATAGGCTACGAGAAATAGCTCATGTATACCAAGCACTAGCGTCTGTCTTAGCATGGGGCTGATGTGGTGGGGAATCCCTGTCTTCGTCTGAGCCAGCCATGTGCGCAGCAATGGAGCAGGGGTCGCTCGCTGTGCCAGGGCATGATCAGTTCGCAATTTTGATGGCATTGATTCCAATGTGCACGGCGTGAATAAGGAGACACCCATTCCCACTACCTCAATAGGCCACTGGATCCCAAACAGGATGCGCCCCGTCCAAGGACGACTAGACCCTCTCTGAAATCCAAGAAAAGCGGAGGTCTGCCAGGGTTACGAGATATGCGAGGGCCCAAGGCAGGGAGGGGCCCAGTAGCGCTGCTGGAGTGACACTAGCGCGACGGTCGTTCGCTTGTTAAGGGGTGCAAGGTCGACTGATATTGACCGTTTGATAAATTCCAAGCCGTCGAGCAGTACATTCACCAGCCTGGAGCCAAGGAAAGAAGAGTGAGTGAGATCCGACATCGAATCAGTGGCGTACAAGCGCTGTTTTCCGCCATCATGTAGCTTGAGAATGTCCACCTATTCGTCCGGCAAGAGCGCTTTGGCTGATTGAGTTGATGGCATGGTGACTTTGGAATCTGTTGCTGCCTTGTCGAGATCGCGGAGCGTAGTAACACTCGAGAGTCTCTGCCCAATATCTGCACCCTGTCGTAATGTGGCAAGAGAGTTATTCTTCCAGATCGTTTGCTCTCGTGCGTCAGCTGTCGTGCTCAGCATGGTCATGACGCAAAACAGCACTCCGAACGAGACTATCACTCCATGCAACGAGATCCAGTACCACTCTGCTCTGTATATCACACTCGAGACATGGGACACGCCAATCTCAACGTCTTGGTGTTGATCAGGCCCCCCCGTGCCGGTGCTGTAAAGATGGCCATCTCCCGCGTCATTGCGCATCTCAACAGTCATGCCAAGTGCCAGATTGCTGATCCTGTTTCTCATCGATGGCAACTCTTTGGTGTATAACCCTTCCAGCGATGTCGGCTCATAAAAGTTACGGGATCTGGTACGCCCAGTAGGCAACACCAATGCATCAGGGATCAGATCTCTCACAAGACCGAAAGCTTCGGACTCATTCTTCCACGGGAACCGAAATGTATCCTGGAAGTAGGCACTGATCGACATGATAGCAGCGTGGGATAGATTGAACTCGGTCCGTTCTGCTGATTTGTTGCTATAGTCAAGCACGAGGTCGGTCATTTCCATCGCAGCGTACCTGTTGTCAAATTCGAGACTCTTGGGGTTTGGCGGGATGTTTTCTGGTGAAAGGTCCCCCTTGGCTCGAGGTTGCCAAGAGTCGGTCTTTCGCGTAAAGTTTGCGAATTCAACGATGCGCTCAAAAAGCATGTTCATCTCGAATGTCTCTTCGATAGTCTGAACGCAGTAAAACAATGCGCATTCTTCCGCTTGGACGGGGGAATAAGGCCATCTGCTCAGGTCTGTTTGAGAATCTTTCCTGATAGGATCGGTCGAGTCCCGATAGTAGTCATCAAATTCTCCGCCTGGTCCATCCCAGTCGGGCGGAAGATGCCCCCCTCTCCGTTGATCCTCATCCAGGTATAGCGCAGTCATAGACCAGATCATGGTGTCGAGATCTTGCATAGTCAATGTGTGGTTTGGGTTACTCGTTCCATAAAACGATGCCACGTTACTAGGAGCCTCGATTGTGTCGTTTGCTGTCCCTGGCAGTTTGCATCCATCTTCCAGAGCAGACTCTTCCGTGAGACAACCATTGAGATTGGCAAGAAAGTGGCCGTTGGGGAGAGCCACTGCTGTGGCATTCTCCGCTTGAATTTCGATATCTCCGTCGCCAAGATCTTCCATGTATCTGAACATGTCCCCGAAATCTTCGACTCGCCTCAGCTGAGATGCCACATTTTGGCAGCGAGAACACACAGCGAGAGTCTGGAACGGCGACCAAGTACACTTTGAATCTGAGCAATCATGATCAAGCCCTTGCACGATAAGCCTGTCCCATGACGTTAAACTCCTCAATATGGTCCCTGCCATGGACAAGGCTGGTCGCGCCTCCATTTGGACCACCTTGGAATCCGATGTTTCGTTTGCGGGAGAAGTTTCATTGGTCTTGAATAAGTGTCCGCGTCTGTAGCTCATTGCACGAGGAGAGTAGGCAGGTATCCCAGGGTCGCCTTTCTCCCATTGCTCTAGGACCTTCACAACCTTAGTCTCGACTTGAACGAGCTGTTGGGAGAACGGATCCACAGCAAGGGCAAGGACGGTCACGACGGCACCGAGACGGAGCATCCATCTTCGTGCGGTCAGCTCTGAGAATCTTCAAACTCCGAACTTGAACTTACGGCACATTTCTCTGCCAGGAGAGGCATAGACAACCCAGTGGTCCTCGACTCGCTGAATCGATACGCTCAAAGTCTTTGAGGGATCGTTTGCTGCGGCTGAACAAGATCCACTTCCACTGCCCAATGCATTCGGCAATCGGATAGAGCAGAAATGCGCGTAAGATCAAGGAGAGTGTCGAAACAACAGTGTTCAGAGTGATACTCTTCCAGTCGAAGAAAGGTCGGCCGTCAAACACGGCTAATAACGCCACGAGCCCTGCGAATGTGGCGATGACACCGGCGAGAGAAAAAATCTCCCATACCCACGGCGAGGCAAACATTGTCGAGAGGGCAGCAGGTTAACAAAGCACACTTTTTCATATTGTGACAATCGGGGCATCTCTCCTTTATGGTTATCTCACATGTTCCTGCGGGCGCCAGGCATGACGTAGTGTTGGGGGCCATTTACGGCCGTTGGCACGGTTGCATTGCAGTTGGGCTTTTCCCCCCAGAAAGCAAGTTCTTGGCCGGGCAGTGCCTTGCTTTCTAATTATATGTTTTCCTGGCACCGAGCACAGAGGCTGGCCATTTGATGCCAAGTCGACTTGATGGGCTTGAAAGAGTACGGCAAGCGAGGACGAGTCAATACCACGGGTGAAGCGGTTGGGCGCAATTGCCGGGTCCTGTCAGCTTGAACCATCAACTTGACAGCAAAGTATACAGGTACCATGTTCAGGTACATGGTGGATTTTGAAGAGCGATGTGGAGCCTGCAATGGTTGTCAGATGTGTGTTGATATGTATCAAAAGTGTTTGTGGCAGGCCAGTCACAGCCTTGATTGGTCAGGCTGCACATTCGGCCCACAGCTGCCCTCAAAAGGCAACATCTTCGCGGTATCGTGTTCTTCCTCTTTTTCATAGCATCAGCATCTTCTTCAGACAGAGAATTCATCTTCTTCCTTCTCTTCTGATCTATTGATCATCATAAAAAGCATCGAAGGTAGGTCGGGGCGGTTGGTGGCGGTCGGGCCCGTTGAGACTAGAGTTATCGAAGGTTGAGGGGCTTTCGGGGGCCAATTGCTGTCTTCTAGGCTCGCTCAGCTGGCAAAATGCACATTTGTCGGCTCGTCAAATCCATGGTGCCAAGTCTGTGACTGATGGTCGAGTGTAAGTGTGTATGTGTGCCTGAGCCCCGCATAGCAGTGTAGCAGTCGAGAGCTGCATTTCGCGGAGGAGGCGGGGCCCCAATTGAGAAGGACGCAACGTCACCTTGCGGCATCTTTCATTGCACGGCCTGCGGCGTAGAGAAAATACCAGCCCTTCCTTACATGTGTGCGCGTGTTGTGGCAGTTGTTCTTGTCGAGCATGCCTTGGACGGTACCTTAAGATTCCGCGGATCACAACCGCAGGCTTTCGAGGGGCCAACATAGAAGCAGGATGGATGAATGGCCCACAACAGCACGCAACAGCCAAAAAGAAGCCGGATGCATTTCCTATTTCGACATTGATTTGTCGGGGTTCGTGTTGCTGTAAAGTGACCACCACATTGGCTCACTGGAACGAGATCCCTTGCCAGCCTTCCCTCTTGCCATTGGCATTGGCAAGCAGATTTCAGTGTTCACCACCATCGGCGAGGTGGGTAGTCAGTAGTCACGGCGGAAATGGTCCGGTCTCACATCTATTCCCATCATGATGTGTGCGCAGCGGGCCGAGTGTCCCTGTCTGTGAGTCTGCTCAACAAGCTGAGGCTGATGGTGGCTTTTCCAATATGAAGGGTGCTGACAGCCGGGATCCACCGAGGGTCCGAGGCCCCTTCACCGTCCAGGCGGAGAACGCCATTGTCACAGCCGACATGATGCCGGCGATGTCAAGTGGGGGGGTGGCTGGCCCTCAAGTTTGCGCCTACCTCCTGTCGGGCAATCATGTGGTGTGCGGTTGATTTAAGTGGTAATTATGTATCAAAGAGTAAAGGCTTTTTGGTTGATTGCACGAATGCTAGTTTAGCTCCGCGTCTGGACGACGGACTTCTCGACAGTAATGTTCCACGGCTGGTCGACCCGCCTCTTCTGCTCCATGCTGGTGAGATCCTGGTCACTGCCACTCCAATCGTGGGGATCCGAGTCCAGATCGTCCATGCCGGGATTCTTCTGGCTCTCCATGTCGACGTCGCCAAACTGGTCGCCATGCCGGATGACGGTGGTGACCCCGTAGTCCTTGCGCTGGGGATCGTTGTCCCGCAGCTCGTATCCCTCCTGGCCCTTTCTGCTGCTGAGGCCGCGGCCGTAGGCGTCCTTGGGGTGTCCGCTCCCCGTGCGGTGCCAGGGGCCGGCCGAGGGGTCGCCGGGGGTGTCGTGCGCGGAGGAGCCGCCAAAGAAGCGTCGGAGCAGCGGTCGGAGTGTGGCGAAGCCGGCGGCGGTGATGCCCAGGCCCGTCTCGACCGTGGACCAGATGGCCACGTCGGACGTCGAATAGAGAAAGTCGTCGATATCCGTCAAGGAGTGGAGGTACGGGAAACGTACAATCGTGGCCGTCGAGGCGCTGCAAGAGTGTTAACAGGAGGTCAATGACGACAGTCGAGCAAGGAGACGCACATGGTACCGGCGGCCAGAATGAGCACGACGGACAGCTTGACCTTTCTGTTCATCTGGAGGTTCCAGACGACAAACATGGGAAGGATGCTGTAGGTCCAGTCGGTCAGGCAGCTAATGGCCGAGTAGCCGTAAAAGGCGTCGGAAACGACCTTGGCGTCGAGGCAGCTGCCCGAGGGCGGGTTCGCGGTGACGCGGAGCCAGAAGAGCGACGTGGGCCGGCACTGCAGGATGAAGAGGAGGAAGAAGAACAAGCTGTAGATCTCGGTGATGCCCGTCACGGTCCAGATGATGATCTTGTGCACCCTATCCACGCAGATGCGGAGCAGGAAGAGGGCAATGCTCGCCTTGATGAACATGTTGGTCAGGACGTAGAGGGGCTCGCACGTCCACCACATCTGGCCAAAGGTCAGCATGGAGCCTCATTTGAGGACGGTCCCTGTTCCGAGTCACTCACCTGCATCGCCTTGGGAAGGTTCTCTGGCTCAATATCCACGACATGACGGCCTGTCCCGTAGCTGACGCCCGCAAGCTCGTAAGCCGTGAAAACAATAAACAGAATCTGGAGAGTCCAGTCAGTTAAGGACCTCGCTTGACCCATTCCAGGGACTGGACATACCTGAGCAGCCACGGCAAGCCAGTCGTCGAGCGAAAAGGCCTTGATGACCCAAGCTCGGCAGTAGATTCGCAGCAACGTCGCGATAGTCGACAAGACGAGGAACGTGTACGCCACGCCGGCGATTTGGTCGGCACGGCTGCGGATAGCCATTGTCGAGTGTCTGCGCAGCAAGCACAGCGCAATCAAGTGTCTGGCGTGAGAGCTGAGGATTGTACCCCGAAACCTTGGTAGTAGCCGGTCCAAAACGGGCCAGGCAGGGTTATATACGCCGTGACGCCGCAGGCCTCGCGAGAGTCGACGACGATTGTCGGGGACATGGAGACTCTGGTGGCGTTCTCAGTCTCCATGCTCCTAATTAATCTCGGCCGTCACTGTCGAATCCAGAACAGTCCCAAGCCCCGAGACGAGCCTGACGGGTGGTACCAAGTGAATTAGCGTCAGGAGATGAGCAAACTCAGCACTACTAACGCTGCTGCTACGCCCCCTAGCGGCGAAGCAGGCGCTGGCGCCGTGGCAGGCTGTTACTGAATATGGATACTGTCCGGCACTTGCGCTTCTCACGTGCCTGCAGTGTACTCTAATTATCTTTTTCCGGTGACCATGACCCACTACTGACCAACAAGTGGCAGCCACTAGCCACTGACGCACGGTAGCGCCACGAATAGCTTCACGACCTCGGCCGATAAAACCTCCGTGACGCCCCTCCCATACCTTGACTAGTAAGCTCACTAGAAACAGACATACTGCAGCCAACTGAGGCTGAATTGATTCACTTGAATCAAGTCCACGACCCTTCTTGACTCGTGAAACTCGTAGCCGCGCCCCCTTTTTCTTCTTCTTCTTCTTCTTCTTCTTCTTCTCGGCAGCCTGGTACCTGTACGCAGCCCGTGGCAACGACTTGGTCGACGTGGCAGAAGAACTGTTGTTTACTGACTGCAAAGTCCTCAAGACTACTCATTCCACGACTGGACAATTTGCCGCGCGAGCAAGATTCGTTCATGTCATAAAGTACGAGCCTGGTCAATAATATCCGTCATATGTATCGGCAGGTGCTTGCAAGAAACAGGGATCACAGCGACGGGCAAGAAGAATCCCTGTCTAATTCGGGCCAATTGGCAATGGCTTGTCAATCTCATGATAACCCCCACCAGCCAAGGTAACTTTTCTTGAAAGACAATCATTGATCGTACCAGGCAATTGCATCAGATCAGCATAGCCATGTACCTGGATTCTTCATCGAGAGACGCAGGCAACGAACGCCTCTTTCAGGCGCAAAGAAACTTCAACATGTACTATCCATCAAATTTCTTCTCCCCCATCATGCACCCACGCTCTTGCAAAGCCCCGGGTAAACGGTTCCTGCTGATCACCCGAGCTAAGCTAGTGATCCATGTCGTTGAGATATGCCGAGTCAGGCACGTACCTCGTCACATCCCTGGATTTTTCCCGGCATATCAGTCGGCATCCGGTCCTTGGGCTCCAGATCCAAAAAGGAGTCGTGATCACTGATATTTGCCAGGCTTTCTCCGTGTCTCTTACTCGCGGCGATGCTGCCAAGGTCAGCTACGTATTAATAGCAAATTCCCTGCTCGAGCCTCGACCAGGCGCACACCGTTCCCGCCGCTGCCCCAGTCGCCCCATCTGTTGAAGATGGTTTTGAGGGTGGCCTCTGCAGGTTCGCCTATCTTGAACTCGACGAAGCAGTAGTCGTGAGATGGTCTTGGAGCTGGGTCGACATTGTTCGACATGGAACCGGAGCCTGGAGACGGACAGGATGAGAACCTGGTGGTCTGCCCCAGCCGCTGCACCGGTCCGGTCACGCCCCAAAGTGTATCTGTCCTGGTCCATGGCTGTTTCTGATCCAGCGACGCGGATAACATTCTGATGGAGGCGAACAGAGTCCAGTTGTGTGTTTTTCTCGCGTACATGTCTACATGTACTCTGAGCGCCGGGGACGACGGCCTTGCATTACCTTACCCCAAAGTATATGCACGTACTATATTTCACTGTAACCGCCAAATGCATCGCAGCCGGTGCCTCTGCGGAGCGGTTCGTGTAGGTATGAGCCGTCTCTTGGAGCCGCTGGTTGCACACTACATTCAGCTTTCAGGATTTCGCCTGCTGTAGAGCTTCTTGATAACGCCATCCTGATTTTAAGACAAACATATTGCACTTTTCACGAATGATACATTGCGGTATCTCGAAAGGTGCATCCGAGCTCGACAGACTCAAGTAGTAACATGACTCGTCTGAAATTCTGATTCCCTCCAGCCCAAAACTAGGGCACACCATACCAGAGCCAAGCGATGGGATTTGTCTGCCTGTAAATTGAAGTGTGCCTGACACCGATTCTCACGTCGCTCTACTACTCTCCCTCTCGGGCCCGAGGAAGGTGCTTTGCGCTGCCAATATCACCGGTGGAATTCTGCTATAATTCTTCAAGTTGTCTGTCACCTGCTTCCAAGCCTCCCTCTTTGTCGCCAACTTGAACGCCTCCTCGCTGGACCATTCCAAAACTGATACCGCACAGAATGGACCATTTTGCCCAAATCGATACACCCGTCAAGCTACGAGGGAACTATATGATTCACAAGCCATCGGCATGTGGACGTTGACGTAGTACTCCAGATTGAAGTCAGAGTCTCAAGGAGACAGGAGCTGTGTCACACTTTAGGTTAGCTTTCTTCACCCCGAGTCCCTTGGACTAAGAGACAGCTGACCGTTTATGTAGCAGACATTTTACGGCAACGTCGATGTGGTAAAGACCTGTTACGTGGTTATGGGTGACTCTTTGGAATTCGAACAAGATGAAGTATTGTACTGGAAGATGCGATGACTGTTATATTGGCAACAAACATACTCATCACTCTCACCGAAGAACTGGCTCCTGTGGACATTGAAGTAACACATTTCCCCTCAGTCAAGTGCATCTGGGCAAGCCATCCTCCACCTCATGTATGTGGCTTACGCTACTTGGCTAGACCATATGCGGAGGGTAGCGATTACAAAGGGCCATGTGCATAGTTACTGCTGCCGATGACAATATCCACAGAGTTTAAAACTTAGATAACATAGCGCGGACTACAAAAACGAACCCCTGGAAGAATTCGGATCTTTGCATATAGCTGGCTTATGCGCTACCATTAGCCTGTCCCATTGGTCAGGATGTTGCCAAACTCAATTGCGTGACTTGACTCCTGAGCTGCTTCCAGTCTGCGTTGCAGATGAACAATAAATTGCATTTACCGGAGATTAGAGCAATCGTGACAACGTACCCCTTCGCGTGACCTCTTCATTGGGAATTTGGGATCACCAAGATTCAAATATATGAGCGGCCACCCAAAGTTATGCAATCTCAGTATTCTCATCTTACAGCTGCTTCATTCCTCCAGTCAGCATTCTCAAACCTCAAACCATTGAATCATCTCATTACTACTACAATGGAAACCCAGTACGCCGTAATTCATGAGAATCCCCAAGGTCCTGGGGATCTCCGTCCAAAGGCAAAGCAAATCATCGGAAATGAAGGCTTTCAAGGAGAGCTATCTGGAAAGGTTGCCTTCATCACTGGTTGCTCGGCCGGCGTTGGGGTAGAGACCGCCAAAGCTCTCGCTTTAACGGACATGACGCTGTATCTTAAAGCTCGCCTTTTGAAGAAGGCGAGGACTGCGTTCGGAGATCTTGTCAACAGTGACCGGGTGAACTCCTCCGTCTCGACTTGGAATCTTTGGACAGCGTACAATCCTGCGCAGCCGAGTTCCTTCCGGAGAACGAGAGTCTGAACATTTTGATTCGCAATGCTGGTGTGATGCAGCGTCCTCAGGGTCGGGCCAAGGACGGATTCGAAACCGAACTCGGCACCAACCACTTGTCTTATTTCCTTTTTGTTCAACCTTCTTCGACCAGCTCTCGGAGCTACGCCAGATTTCTCGTGCCGGTTTGCGATCCTATTGTCCGTGGGTCATCGGTTTGGGGAGGTCAACTTCGACGATATCAATCTCGACAAAGGGGACGATGATTTGGCTGCGTACAGACCTAGCAAAACAGCCAAACCTGTACACCGCCACCGAGATTGAGCGACGCTACTGCCAGAAGAATCTCCACGCATGGAGTGTTCAGCCAGGTGCTGTCCTCGCTGAACTGATGCGGCACCTGTCGGATGACGCTACCCACGGGAGGGCTTAGTGAGAACCCCTATCTGGCAAGAATCTTCGAAACTCCAGATCAAGGGGCCGCAACCAGTGTCTGGGCTGCTACAGCTGGGGTCCTGGACAAACAAGGCGGGAAATACTTCGAGGATTGCCGATTTGCGAAAGAACGGGATCTTGAGTCGGGCTTTTTCGGGCCGGGTTATGGTCACCACGCATATGATACTGCTAAGGCCGGTGAACTTTGGGAGAAATTCCTGAAATAGGTCGGATTGTAGGAATCCCGCAATCCATACAATATACTAGTCGCATGGAGAAAGTCACTTTTTCTGGCTTTCGCCGTGTGTCTCGACCTATGGGCCGTCATGAAAGCCTGGGTATGATTATGTTGGGAACAGGCCGATTGTCGATGTCGCTGTCGAAGGAGGCGGTATTTGATGCATATATTTGATGCATATGGCAATGAGACTTTACAAGCACATCATCTGCGCACGATTCAACGACCGCCTGGAATTATTCGGGCTACGTATATTACGTGAGCTTCGGGGGACTATCTTCAACACCAGTCCAATAGTATCGTCGGAAGCAGACCCCATTTTCCAGTCCCTCGTGGCGTGTTCCTGGGCCTTGAGCCTCCTTAGGCAACACAAATTGAATAGGTCAGGGGTAGGGAACGCAGCGACGGGCCATTCTCTCCGCATACAGAAAGATGAGGAAGTCTACGAGAGACTCGAGAGGGAGCGGCAGTGGTGCTAGTATCAAGCCACCGGCTCCACACCACCATTATCCGAGACACCAGTGACCAGACACTTGAAGATTTTCCTCAATGGGGCCAATATGCACGTCGCCAAATAGGGGCATTTACAGTCACATACTATAAGGCGGCAGGGGAGGGTGGGGCTCTCCGGGCTTGTGGGCGTTCTATCAGCTGAGGATGCCCAGATTCTTATTCATTTCCACAGAGTGGTTCCACAGAGTGGCAGAGTGGACTCAGTGGACTATGTAACATGTCCGAGACCAGCCACCAAGCCACCACGCAGAAGCAATGTCGGGGACGATGAGCGTTTAGGGGTGCGCCAAACCGGCGTGGCTGCCCACCGAACAAGCTTGGTAGATGGCTTTTATTAGTTCGGACATGATCCAAGAGCGGGACGACCAGCCAGAAAATCTAGTTTCCAACTTTTCAGGCCAGAGCCCAGACCTGCTCTTGGTGCGCCGAGGGACATTGTCACAATGCGTCATGTCAATTGCGTGACGTCCAGGACGTATCCGCGTTCAAACTCCCCACGGCAGCTGCTCGTGGCATCTGTAATTTGGTTCTGGCATGCATGCGCTATGCCAATCAAAATAGTCGTTGCGTACACCGTACACTCAGTACAGTAACTACGTTTCTTGGGACATCTACCAGAAGGGGCTGGATCGCCGGCGCCTCAAACCACCTCGGTATTTTTCGTCTTGAACGGTGCGGCACTGCGGTCTCGTGGCGGACACTAGTTTATTGGAGCTCTTGGCCAAGGTGGAAGGAGACGCGGAACACCACCTCAACGGGTTGACACTTGACAGTTGCGGTGGCCGCTAAAGATTCCAGCCCTGGACGCCACCATGAATAGGAGCCTCCTGCGTTAAAAGTGTTGATATCGCCGTCCCTCCCAAGAATCCGGGACGCCGTCTGTAATCATCTCTGACCGCCATGGCATCCCAAACAGACATCAAAGTTGCCTCTCTGGCGGCCGGCTTCACGCTTGGCTTTGGGTTCCTCACGGTCTGGGAGGCTATCAAGCAGACGCGCAGGAACCGCAACCCCCTGCGCAGCACGTACATCTACATGATGTGGGGCGAGATTCTCGCCAACTTAGCCATTGGCATCATAGGCTGGCTGTTCTTGGATGGAACCTTGGGGCCAACGTATGTGAGGAAGTTGTCGGGAGCAAGGCGAAGGCTGACTACTTTTTAATAGGGTTCCCGTGCTCTTCTTCATTCTCTTCCTCTGGGTCTTTGAGATCCAGCTCCTGATGCAGATCATCATCAACAGAATTGCAGTCATCGCCGAGAACCAGAAAACAATCCAGTGGATGAAATGGGGCACCGCTGTGACCATTACGATTATCAACATTGCCGTCTTTTGTATCTGGATTCCAGCACACACCGTCCCGCCTGTGAGCCAAACGTGAGTCTCTGTGGCTATCGGTGGTCGTGAGTCGACCAGATCTCCTTGTTGCTGACTTTGGGTATTGCAGTTATGTGGAAATCAACAAGTACTGGGATCGCATGTCCAAAGTACTCATCTTGATTGTCGACGCAGGCCTCAATTGGTTCTTTATCCGAACCGTCAAGACCCGACTGTTGCAACAGCACGGGTTGGCCAAGTACAAGCCTTTGGTTGGCTTCAACTCCATGCTGATGATCCTCTCCATCGTCATGGACGTGAGTGACGCCGCGCTGCCAACCTCTCGAGTAGGACAATCGCTAAAAGTTGCACACAGGTCATGCTCATTGGTCTCATGTCACTCCCGAACCAGGTCGTCTATGTCCAGTTCCACCCAGTCGCCTACATGGTCAAGCTGAACATCGAAATGTCCATGGCCTCTCTGATCACGCGGCTGGCAAAGAACCAAGATCCAGAGTTCAGGCTCAACTCCCTCACGTACTCTCAAGATCAACACACGCACACGGGTCACAATCGTGGCCATAAGGACCAGGGCATAGATGCAAAGAGCCACCACCACAAGGCCAGCGTGCAAACGATGCGGTTGGGCAAGGAATCCGAGGCGATGAAAGATGGTACCCCCGGAATTCATAAGAGGTTCGATGTGAACGTTACAGTAGAACGTCCTGGATCTTCCTCAACAAATGAGGGGCAGGGTGACGAGGGGCAAAACACGAGCACCTTTCAAAGAGTCGGCGATGAGGTGCCCCTGACAACGAATGCCTGGTCCCCCACCACCAAGAAGCGCTGAGTTGGAATGTCGCCCGTCCTATCTAGACAACAGGATCATCCTAAGGATAGATGAGATTGAACGATTTGACTCGTCACCTATAAGTGCTGTGGCTAGCCATGATTACCCGTGCCCTTTCCAAACATCAGCCTGTACTAGGTTGTCGCGATTGGGGCGCCGACAAAACACGCCCCTTTTAGATGATGGCGAGTTGATTTACGGGCATCATCCGCGCATACAACTCCACGACCACGCTCGACAGCTAGAAAGCAGATGAGCAGACGCCAGATCTCCGTGTGGCTCCCGAATCCCTGCCGAGGCGTGGACATACTACACAGTTTACGACAACGCAGATATCCGCCCGCTGGCCTTTTTACTTTGAACGGGAGGAAAACGAGCACTTGGCACGGCGCGACTCTCTTTCTGCGCCAGCAACATCGCCAGCTCGGCCTCCAGTTCGGGCCATATATTCTCTGCTGACTTGGAGCGGCGGTGCCGCCAGAAGCTGGGTTCATCAGCTACTCTGCCCTCAGCGGCTCAGCCCCTCGCCCGGGCACGGCCAAGTGAGTGCTGAGATGATGAGTGTTGCATAACGTCGATGCTGCATGGTGTGGACCCGAGGCGGTGTTGGCCGTGATTGATGAATCCTGTCAGGGGAAGAAAGGGAAACGAGCACATCACTGAGCGGTGATGAGAGCCTGAGCAGAGCAGAATGGCGGCGCTGCTGACTAACTAGGCCGGGATCCTGCGGGTTCCCCAGTTTTCGTGGAAGGCACCTGCGGAGGTTTTCCGGTCGACGTGCAGGTCTATCACTTCACGCGCGCTCGAACAATTGAGGGTCCACTTGGAATGAAGCAATCATGTAAGTTCGGATCCAAGGGCTGCTAGCATCATCGAAAGCTGTCAACTAAAGGTGGACTAACGTAGTGAGCATGCTTGCATCCTCTAAATGTGCACAAAGCATTTCCGAAAACTGCGTCATCCGCCTTCCGATTTAGGGATGATAGGCTAGTGAGGTCATCCCGTAGACCTGGCAAGCACTTGCCGAACTGTCCGGTAGAGCAGCTGGTATTTTCGAGGGTACAGTGAGCATCATTGACTCCAGTCCTCTCACTCGTCATCATACTTACTTAAGTATGTAGTTGCTAAAGTTCCCCTCCTTCCGCCCAGACGTGCTTTCCCTTCCCCAAACTCCAAAGTCACCATTTCGAGCACCTCGTCTTGAACTGTGCGCACTCTACAAGCAATATCTAAACTCCCGTGACAGAAAACACACCGTCATCTTCACTATGAACACCGGCTGGCTACATGGCGGACTCAGGGTCCTGGCTCTGCTATGGACCCTGCTCATCACTGCTCTCATTGGGAACGTAATGGCCAACAACATCAACGCGGCCTCCTCTGCCACCCAGGCCATCAACTTCACCATGTTCGTTGCGGCCTGGTCCTGGGTTGCCTGCCTGGCCGGCCTCGCCGCCATCATCGTCACAGCCCTAGCCATCCCCTGGCTTCTCCTCCCCCTCGACATTCTCGCAGTGCTTTTCACTTTGATCAGCGCCATCGTCCTCAGTGCCAAGTTGACAGCCGTGGACTGCGGCGACTATGGCAACAAGTCGAGATCCTGGATTGCGTTTGGCAGCAACGACACCGAGAAGAGGTGTCGTGAGATCCAGGCCAGCACGGTCTTCATGTGGTTCCTCTGGGCTACCTTTATTGGCTGTCTGTTCTTCACGTACAAGCAGGCCAGCGGCCTCATCGGTGGGCGGTCGTTCGGGCGCTCCAAGCCGGGCATGAGCCAGGTCCGCGGCGTCTGAGGGCTGCCTATCGCAGAGGTGGAGAATGGAGGCCGAGGCTGACATGAAATATACCCGTTTGTGAAGGTTGGCAAATCTCGGCGAAGCGTGTGCACGTCATCTTGTATGACGGACGTATGATATGGGGCTATGGGCGGGAGGGGGTGCGATCAGTATAGGAGGGAGGCGTCGACCGAATTTGAATATTGCTCCGCATCGGGCACTTACATTTTGGGCAGTATACACCTAATAATATTATGCTTTGCACAAACTCTCTTGGCAGCAATGAAGTTGGACGCCATGTGTCGGATTCTGGCTGGTCGGATTCTTCACATGGAAAGTTGATTGATGAACAGTTTTGTTCGTATTCCGAAAGCAAAAAGACTCCTGCATATGCCTTCGCGCCGTTATGAGACCCTTCTTTGGTGATGTCTTTACAAGCTCGATGCAGCTTCAATAGCACCAGCCGCTTTGAACGCCTTCTTGTTCGTGAACTTGATGTCAACCCCGTGTAGCCAGTACATGTACTTCCCCCAACCTGCGATCGTGTCAGCATGCTCTCCGAATATCACGACATGGCGAGGGGGCCCACGCACTCCAGTAGGCAAACTTGCGGCCAAAGTATTTCCCCACAAACGGTATGATCATCATGGTCAGCATCAGCTGCAGCTGCTCCAGACTGCGATCCCATTCTTCCTGCGCGTCCGAGTCTGACAGTGACGCGTCGGAGTAGATGTCGCTTGTGGCAATGGAGGGCAAGGAGTCGACCTCATCCTTCTCGTCATCGGCTGGGGAGAGATCGCGCAGGTCGTCGAGAGACGCTGACATGACGGGCCGTTGATTAGGCTGCTGAGGAGCTAACTGGGGTGCTCAACGACGCGATTCGAGAAAACGATGAGAGGCGATGATTGAAAGGGAGGGCGCTTCACATTTCCTCCTCCGAATCCCGGTCGTCACGAACCGAGCTTGAGAATGCCGGGAGTTGTCTCTCGGATCACGATGATGCAGCGACGCGAGCTGGGGTGGGCCCAGTCGATTTGGCCGGCCAGGTCACGTGTCTTTCAAGTGTTGGCCCCGCTGAAGTCTACCAAGGTAAGGTAAGGTACCTCACCAACGCTGTCAGTTGCACCGCGCACTCAACACTGACCAAGCGTGCGTTTATTGTGCCTTAAAGGTCCTCGTCGATTCGGTTCTCTGGGAATCATCTTATTCTCTCCTCGAAATTCCGTCATAGGTTCGTAAGCCAACAGACCCTTGACACGCCGCACTTCAGTCCCCAACGTCGACCTTCATACCAAACGGGCCAGACCGACGATCAGCAGCTGTTAAGCTTAGCAGCCATACTGCACGCAAATACTATCACAAAGACGTCACACACACTGCGCGCGCCACAATAGTGCGAAAGCACACCAAGGAAACCCTGCAGACAACAGACCCAGGAGAAGCCCATAACCGCCATCATGGCTGAAGAAGTAGTAAGTAGTATTTATTCATTATAACATGCACATGATGCAGTGCAACCACCTCAGTCTGGTGCTCCGGTCACTCACCCAACTCACTCACTGTCTGTGGTCAATTGCCCCTCCTCCAGCCCTCTACTCTGCGCTTTAGGTGCACCATATTCTACCTACCTGCGCTTCAATTTTTACCCCACCATCAGTTCTCTCGTACCCGAGCCAGATTCTGAGTCACCACCACGGACCGCCTCTCTACCCCGTCCAACAGTTTCTCGCCTTCGACGTCTACATTGCTTTTCGTCGACCCACACTCCTGACGACGCCTTACAAATCTATACCTCTTTTCCATACACACTAACATTGTCCTCTCATCGTTTGCAGGACACCTCTGAACGCCGATCCCGCAAGTCAGTCGCTTTCACAGACGAACAACTCGTAGTCGACGCCGACGGCTCAGTCTCCGTGATGAGCGCCCCCGAAGAACCCAAGGACTCGGCGCAGTCCCACACGCCTCGTACGCCGCCGCTGTCTGCAGCCCTCGAGTCCTTTACTGATTCCATTTCTCAAGCCGCCGACGCTGATGCCGCCACCACCCCCAACGACGATGGTCTCGATCTCTCCCTCATGAAGAAGAAGAAGAAGAAGGTCAAGAAGACTGAGGACGAGGGTGCCGATGCCGGCGAGGGCGCCGGGCCCGCGGAGGACGGTGGCCTTGACCTCACCATGAAAAAGAAGAAGAAGAAGAAGGTCAAGGCCGAGGCGGGCGCCGATGACGACGAGTTCACCGCCAAGCTCAAGCAGCTCGAGGTCCAGGACGCCGAGGAGCCCGCCGAGGAGCCCGAGGTCGAGGGCGACATGGACGCCGGCACAGGCATCTGGTCCCACGACGAGATCAAGACCCCCGGCTTCAACATGCTCCTCCAGCGCTTCTTCTCCCAGCTCGCCCAGAAGAACCCCGACCACGCCCTGTCGGGGACAAGGAGCTACAAGATCCCCCCGCCCCAGTGCATGCGTGAAGGCAACAGGAAGACCGTCTTTGCCAACATTGCCGACATTTGCAAGCGCATGAAGCGTACCGACGAGCACGTGACGGCGTATCTCTTTGCCGAGTTGGGTACAAACGGTTCCGTCGACGGCAGCAAGCGTCTCGTCATCAAGGGCCGTTTCCAACAGAAGCAGATTGAGAACGTTGTGCGAAAATACATCAGTATGTTCCCCTTCCTCTGCCCTCACTCCCGCCCAGGACTTAGATACTAACTCGAACACCAGTTGAATATGTCACCTGCAAAACCTGCAAATCGCCCGACACAGAGCTCAGCAAGGGCGAGAACCGTCTGTACTTTATCACCTGCAACAACTGCGGTTCGCGTCGCAGTGTGACGGCCATCAAGACTGGTTTCTCGGCCCAGGTCGGCAAGCGCAGGAAGATGAAGGTCTAAGCGGATCTCTCCTTTCTCTGGCGAATTATTGCATGGTTTATTTGTGTGTATTCCGGGCGCTGTGATCATATCTACGTCGCAAATCCCACACGACGGATCTAGAATTCGAGAAAGCATTGGAGCGGAGAAACTTAGGATGCCCCGAGTGTCGCTACAAGGGAAAATGGACATAGGACACTCGTGGTTGGCGTACCGGTTATGTACATGACTAAATGATGAACATCATGTTTAAGCAAATCTTCGTCTCACTGTAATGTGAGTGCATCTTCGCAGTGGCAAGTCTGACTGTCTGAGCGAACATTTTGCTGCTGTGGCACGCGCCGCATGTAATAATTCCTGGCCTCGGTGTATGCACAGATGGATAAGCTATTTCTTCGGTGGGAGTCCAGCGAGAGATCCCGCTCCCCTTCGTCGATCCTTTTGATAAAGTAAGAAAGAGACCTACGCCATGTACAACCGTCTTCATCGCTTCCCGACCAAGAGTCTCTTGCGAGCCATGTACAAGAGCCTATCATACAGGAAATCCCTCCCAAAAGCCACGTTACGTACACCTAACTCCTGTGACCGCCATTCCCTCTGAAGCCATGGATATCAGCTCCTAGGTAACTAAGCGGCGCCGTCCTGTATCAATGCGCCAGCTGCCGTCTGGTCGTCGATATAATTCTGAACCTGCGTTGTGGCCCCGTCAAAGACTGTGCGGAACCACTCCGGCAGGCGATGTTTCTCAATGGCCGTTGTGAGAAGCTTGTCTTCCTGCTTCATAGCCTCGCGGAGTTTGGCCTGGTCGTCGGCGCCGAACTTGGCGAAACGACTGTCAAGCTGCTCCGTGAAGACACCCAGCACATCCTGAGGTCTCGGGGGGTGGAAGGGCTCACGTGCGTCGTCTGCAATATTGTCAGTCGCGTTCCAGCGATCAGATAGTATGGACTTACGTTTGGCGATGCACTGGTACAGACAAGAGTATAGAGCGGTACCCATGAAGCTTGCGGTGACTTCCTCGTCGTTCTTGAGATTCGTGTTATTTAGTTTCGCCCAATCGTCCCGAACCAACAGGCGCCTCCAGATCAGTCGCTTGGCGTCATTCGCAACGTCGCCCGGGCAAGACGACTCTGCAACCTGGAGAGCCATCCAGAAAGGGTCTGCGTATTCTTCGTCGTCCAGATCGGGGTTTGGTGTAAACAATGTTAGGAGATCGATCAGTGTCATGGGATCGACAACATCGTGTTGCAGCAGGCTCTCCAACCCGTGTTCAAAGACCTTCCGCAGCACTTTCTGCTTGCGAGGTATGTTGCTGCCATGCACCTCCATGGCAAAATTTAGTGCAGCAGCGTCGTCGATAGCATTCGCCGTGCTCGGGAGGATTTGCTCATAGAGCATTTCCTGCATCTGCACGGCGACACGCTCTTCCTTGATCATCTGGATATCCTCGGCGCGGCGCTTGGCATCGGTCTGTACGATGAGACTGTCGGGTTTGGCCGCCTCCGCCTCGGCGTCGGCTAGAAGGGCCAAACGTGCCAGGCTAAGCTCGACCTTCTTGTTCCATACTTGCTGCTCCGCAGCGAGGGCGACTCTGAAGAGCGTCTGATATGCGTGCGCCGCATCTTTGTCCTGCTGCACGTCATTGATCCAGGTGATTTTGGAAAGCTCATTCTTCGATCTCAGGTATTGGGATCTCAAGCCTGCGGTATCCAGCTCAAAATCGAGAACCGCTCCGGCCCCATGCTCCTCAATAAGGTAGTCATACAGCGGGAAAGCAAATTTGTGGCCGAATCGAGCCATGTTTGCTCCGATCTCCGTCTTTTTCTTCTCAATGACAGCCTGAACGCGTTGCTTCTCTGCGTCCCCGGCGCCATCTTCCGACAGAACAGCCTCGAGATGGACAATATGGTCGAGAAAAATCGAGGCCAACCCCTTCATTGATCTGTGTTTCTTGGTCAGGTCCGCCGCTGCCTCCCACAGGTCGAATACGTGAGCAAGTAACCTCGGCCGTTCGTACTTGTCCTTGTCGTAGGTGCTTGCGAATTCCTGACCTTGAAGTCTGTGATCGGCACGACCTGAGCTCTCCGCGAAGTGAGCAAACTCGTGGACTGCCGTGAGCATGCTGTCGGTCACGTCCGGCAGGGCACCGACGATTTTGCGCAGCAGCTTCTGGTCGATGGGTTTGGCTATCGAATCAGCATCAGAACGTCCCTTCCTGAGCTGCGACTCGGACCAAGAGGCCGCTAACTCAGCCAGACGCCGTGCACTGTTGGCGGCGAATGACGTGCCAGTCCAGGGCTCACGCAGCCCTTCATAACCGCGGACTAGGATGCCATTGTCAAGTTCCTCACCGGACAGTCCGTAGAAGGCCAGATTGTGTTGTCGAAAACTTGTGGCCATGGAGTGGGAGCAGGTCAAGACTTGCATTGCCTCGAAAAGCATGACAGCGAATTGTTGGTCGGACAGCATACTGCCTTGATACAACACCTTGATCACTTCATATGTCCAGGCAACGAAGAGATCCATGCGGTCAATGTCGTTGATGAACCAGTGCCTGACTGGGTCAACTTCACCGAGTGCGGGCCGCGGCTGGTGCTTGTGTTTCTCGTTGATGAACTCGACAGTATAACCGATGACACTCTTCTTGTCATCGGCAGACCGTTCGGCGGTGAAGGCCTCCTGGCGTTTCCAAAGGAGGGCGGCCACGTGCATCTTCTCCGCATTAAACAAAAGTTGCCATCGTGTTGCCCTGTTCAATTTGGCTTTGGTAGTACGCAGGTAGTCCATAAGACGTTCCAAGGCGTTGGCTCGCGCTCGCAAATTCTCTTCCAGGTGGGCTGGTAAAGTTGCAATGAAAGTTGTGGTGGAGCCCAGAACCTCACGGCTCACTTCAAGGGCAGCTTCGCAGAGCTCCTGGTTGGAAAATGAGACCTCTTGGCGCGCATCAAAGATCAAGGGGTTTTCCTGCTTCACGCCAAAGAACACTGCCTGCTCCATTTTGCTCTTTGCTGTGACAGTCGGCGGCTTTTCGCTCCCAAACTTGTCGATATCCGTGGTTACCAGCCGAATCACACCAGCCCCACGCACAAGCAGCATTGCCGCCGGATTCTTCGTCTTATGGCGCTGGTTTCGGTTCTCTTCGGTAGCGTATGCTGGGGGCAGCTCTTCGAAGCCGGACCCCAGGACCTCGTGGGCGTTATCTTCCCTGAAATCGACAACATCTTCAAATGATGATGGAAGTATATGGCTATCCGACTGCAGTTGCGCCTCCGGGGATTCGGGTTGCATCGCGACGGAAGCGATGACAGCAGCGCGATCAAAGACGACAAAAGCCACAATCGCTGGTCGCGGAAGGTAGAGCCTCGGTTTGGTCGGTCGAGCGACATCCGCATGAGAAATCGGTGTGGAGTAGGACGTGAGCGGGCGGACCATACCAGTATGGCCCTCAGTCGCAGTGAGAATGACCTCCACCAATGCATATCTTGCCGAATGGTTGTTGCTCAAACTAACAAGCAGAAGCAAATGTTGTACATCAGAGTCGTCTAAAGCCATCGCGTCGCTCAGCTTACTGAGTTGCAGGTACTTTGGCTCAAGACCCTTGGGTACGAATACGAGATCCAGAGCTTCAAACGAGTCGGCTGAATAGTCCTCACTTTTCGGATCAGATTCGTACAGAGCCGAGACGATCTGGTCACGCATGTCGATGTCTCCCAAAGGCTCATTGTGACCCCCACGGTGAATTTTCCACGCTTGGATCTTGCCTTTGCTGCCCAATGCGACAATGTTCCTTTCTCCAACTCTGTTCGACCGATCGGCGCGAACGGCCGCAACATCGCCGCGGATGGACAAGTTCGAGAAGGCGTGACGGATACTCCCGAAGAAGCCACTGCCGGACGGTGCAAGGGCGGATCGTAGAAATTGCACAGAAATGGATGGTCGGCCGTGTGCATCACGCACATTCAGGTAGGCGAGGCGGCCGGTGTTGAAAGTCAACACAAAACCAGCGGATTCCGCATTGGTAATCGCATCGACCTTTTCACCGTGTGGCATACCTGAGATGACTGATTCAACGCCGGTGCGCTCCTTCTTGATAAACGCAAATGTTGCCGCGCTCGAGATCGATTCCCAATAGACGATCTTCCCACTGCCAGCCATCACTACAAGCAGGCCCGGCTCTGATGCGGCGGCAGATGGGGAGACAAGGCACCCGACGGGAAGAGGTTCGCCATGTCTCGAGCTCGAAGGGAGGTTGAAGGCAAAGGTCTCTGGCGATTGCGATGTCGATGTGTAAGGCCAGACGATGGCATGGGTGTGGGTGAGGGCGAGGGCGTAGCCAAAACCACAGGCGATTTCACCTTGAAGCTCAACTATGAACAATTAGCCATCGGAAGCCCAGAGCACTCAACCCATTGCACGCACGATTCGAGTCCGAACGTATCCTGTCCGGCAAAGCGGGCAGCTTGCTGACCGTGTAGGCATTGGTGCTTGTCTGTGTTTGTTAGCAAAACGTATGGTATAGCTACAACAAGTGCGTCAGTTATACCAGAACCAAGCTTCCATCGCCTTTATTCGCAGCTCTATCACCATGTTTGGGTTTCTTCGCACGCACGCCAGACTCTCGACGTGGAGTGAGGCGGTGGTTCTCGATCTCCTGATGAGGCAAGGTCTCGGAAACCTGCTTCGACTCAACGGCAGCACTGCTTTCTCGCGATCGCAATTGGCGGTGATGCTTTTGCGGCAGTGGTCGGACCTCTGGGTTCGTATAGGTCTGCTCCGTCAAGGGCAGCCTTTGTCGTTTGGCCTTGGGCTGCGCGACAACATGTTCCGAGCTCACAGGGCGTTGTCGACGGCGTGAACGAGTCGCGGTGGCTGGGCCGCCATCTTTGTTGGTTGGGGAGAACATGACGAACAATAATGTGAGGCTAGAAGACGCCAACGACCTGCTGGAAGATGGCGGAAATGACGCGATAGTGGGTTCGGGTATGTTTGGGTTGCAGATGCAATCGAGAGTATTTGATTTATTCGATGCGCAGCGGCATCTCGATTTGACGAAGAGTTCGCGAAGAAGGATCTGGCGATGAATTTGATGACAAAAGAAGAGATGGTGCAAAGGCGAAGAAATGATGGCCCTGATGACAGCAGTCAAACGGAATGCAGGCTTCGTTGAGCAGCGCTGCGCGGCTTGAAAGAGATCGAAGGTGTGTCGAGCAGGTATTGGCTGAGATGGTGATGGCTAGCTTGGTGATCCATCTGGCAGTCATTCATTCACCTGCCACGGCGTACCTTAATCAGGCCAACCAGCCAGCCAGTAGTAGCAAGCGCTGCGGCCGACCAGACAAAAAAAACAAAAGCATCCGCGGCGGCAGAAAACGTGACCGTTGCTGCACAGCAACAGACCGCCCGACCGAATGGCGTTTGATTGGCTCTCGCCATCTTGCACACTCTCCACACTGAGCGTCCAAGTTCCCTCCGCGGGTACGTACCGAAGCTACTTGTAAAGCGCATCATCGACATGGAACCCAGCGATGCTGTCAGCTCTAGCCTGCGATAACTTCACTGCGCAGCTGACGGCAGGCAGCCATTCGCATATTAGTGCCATGATCTGAACTCTCCAATCCCTTGTTCTCTAACATCGGGTCAAGAAGCCAGGGTATACATGCAGAGCACCATTGGATTCATGCAAGTCTTTATAAGGGTATTATGCTCGACTTCAGGCCAGACTCTGCGTGAGGCAACGCCCAGGTCACTTCTTTAAGTGGATGACGCAACAGGTTCACAATGGCTAGACGCCTCTATTCGACGGCCGTGACCATCACGGATCCTCTCGTCAAATACCAGACCGCTGTAGCTGCGGGAGTCTATGCGCCTGACCCAGCTCAGCATCGCCTCGCGCTTCACCTCCGCAAGATATACCTACGAATCAAAGACTACTCACCGCAGACGGAATATCGAGAGCGGCTACGTCAGGTTGCCAAACTCACGCAAATTGGTTTCACCGAGCCTGAGGATGGTACTGGGGTCCTGGCTAGGAGAAACCACTCCATCTGGAGGAACCCTCTTTTCACGCACCTCCTTACTTCGCCTGAGGGCAGGACCAGCACAGCGTTGACGAGGGTACTCTCCAGCCACGAGACAGCCATAGAGATCAACTCGCCGAAAGGGCTCTTTCTCTCGGGCGAAGTAGGGACCGGTAAATCAATGCTCCTGGACCTGCTAGCAGAAGGTCTACCCACCGAGAAAAAGCGACGATGGCATTTCAACACCTTCATGCTGTATACCTTTTCGCAACTCGATAGTCACCGGAAAATGACACCAGTGGACGAAGACGGAGTGGAATACTCGTTACTGTGGATGGCGAAGAAGCTCGTCGACGAATCTCCGATCCTATTCCTGGACGAGTTCCAGTTGCCAGACCGAGCAGCAAGCAAGATACTCAGTCACCTTTTCATCGCTTTTTTCCAGCTTGGTGGTGTTCTGATCGCATCCTCGAACCGTATGCCCGAGGAACTACAAAAGGCCACTGGGGCGGACTACACGCCAGCCCCCAGTCGAGGCCTCATCCGCAGAATCTTTGGGGACTCAGCTCGGCCAAAGGGCGAGCTGTTTGGTTCCAGTAGCGATTTCGGCAACTTCTTGGAAGTTCTCAAGGCGCGTTGCGACTTCTGGCAAATGGAGGGGGCACGGGACTGGCGGAGGAGGGAGGAAGACGAAATTCTGGCCAAACCTGATGGCGAAGATGCTGCACAGCCACCAAGCGTAAACGAGATCGGTACACCCAGTGAATCCCAAGCCCCCGAAGAAGATATCGCAAGCAGAAAGAAGCCTCGACACTTCTTCCTGGCAAGCGGAGAAGAGGCCGAGAGCTGGGATCGGTGTATCAAAGGGGCTGTCGGCGTGCAGCCAGGGGAAGAAATCCCGTGGGAACCTTCCTCAGTCGTGGTGTACGGACGCAGAGTCAACACACCCATGCACTTCAATGGGTGCGTCTTCTGGAGCTTCAGTGACCTGGTCGAGTCCTTTGGGCCGGCGGACTACATCACCATGGCGTCTACATACCACACCTTCATCATCGACCGTGTCCCTGTTCTTACAATTCTCCAAAAGAACGAGGCCCGGCGCTTCATTACGCTGTTGGACGCGCTATATGAGGCACGTTGTAAACTAGTTGTTCGAGCGGAACAGCCGCCGGACAACTTGTTTTTCCCCGAGAGGAGGCGGCTAGCAAAGAAGGATGCTGACGGCAAAATATCGGACGAGGATGCTACCTATTCTGAGACAATCGCCGAAGTCTATCAGGACACAACCTCACCCTTCAGGCCCAACGTCTCCTACTACGACACACCATCGACGACTTCTCAGTACGATCCAGACCAGGACTCTGACTCTAGTTCGCAGAAGACGCCGGTGGACTTTGGTAACACGAGTGCTTTCACGGGCGAGGATGAACGATTCGCCTACAAGCGAGCCACCTCGCGCCTTTGGGAGCTGTGCGGTGCGCAATGGCATGCACGCACCGGCGACTGGTGGCAGCCCTTGCCCGTCGAGGCGCGCCACTGGGAAGGTGGGCAGCTCTCGTCGCCCAAAAGGGGGATCGAGAGCATGACCAAGCCCAGTGTGGGCGAGGGCATGGGACGAAGCGTCGACATTGAGGAGCCAGCAGGTCTCTCGCGGTGGCGAGTAGAAGATCTGAAACGACAGCAGGAACAGAGCGAGAAGGCATAAATCTTTGTGCAAATAGACCGTGTCAAAAAATCGATGGATATACCCTCTTGGAACGCCAGACACCTTGCCACCCCCCACAATGCTCATAGATTCGTGACTCCTGGCGTCCAGCCTTCGCCTATCCTCTTCATATCTTCTCCAAACTTTCGACTCGTGATGCGCCGTCCGCCATGGCCACCCACAGGGCCCAGATGCTCATCCGGTGCAAAGAAGGGGTTCTGCAGCAACCGCACGTAAGCGCTCTGCATCGCCCGGAACACGGGCTTCATCTCCGCATCTCGTAGACCCGAGCGCACACTGCTCGACCCAACCGCCGCTCGTCGCCCGCGCATGTCCACTACACAGACCATGCGGACACCCGTGTTCGTCTCAAAGCCATACGCCGCGAGGCGGTCGTCGATGGCGTGGAGAAGGCCATAGTCGCCTGTGGCGAGCGGCGTGTTGTTGATGGCGTTGTGCTTGGTGCGGAGATCGAAAATGTCAATAGACGAGGATAGCAGAAGGGAAAATTCGAGAGGTGTTCGTAACGGTGCGAAGGTGTTGGACTGAGGATCGTAGGAAGGGAAGATGCTGATGTGGAGGGGGTTGTTCTGTCCAATATGTTAGCTGGATGTCGCGTACGGTGGGCGGCTGCATTCACATTGCGCCCTATGATGCCTAGGCAGGCGATAGAAGGTATTGCCGTGGTCATGGCAAGATGATGTCGGGGAATTGTTGCTGAGGATGGGCGACGTTGGAACTTCGGAGAGCTGGGAGACTGGCGATCCCGAGCTCAGGGATGCCCCGCCACTCATTTGCGGGAGTGACCAGGAAATTCGTATTCACTCGAGGATGTCGATTTTTGAATACAAATCCTCGTCAGCTTCCAACTATTGACACGAAAGAAACGGATGACCTAGTGGATTTTATTGGTACAGGTAGCATGGTATCATAGGTATTGTGAGTGCTCTCTGCCGCTCGCAATTGTGAAAGCCGCCCAGGGTCAGCCCCTGAACTGTCTACCAGTCATAATACAACCATCAATCACTGAAGAGAACCTCATCCTCCTCATCCATAACGTTGTTCGTGTCTTCGAGCCCGCGGAGCACATCCTCAATCTCGGCAGGGTCGGTAATCGCCCACACACCGCCTCCTTTCACCATGTCTTTGCCACGCATGCCAACCTCTTTTCCAACAAGGTTCCTCCCTACCTTGCCAGGCCCGATGCCGACCCAGCGCCTGACCCTCTCTTCTTGGTCAAGGTATTTGATGCTGTCCCACCAACGCACGGTTTCGAGACAACTCCTTGACACGAGGTCCTTCAGATTGTCCTTGTCGCGGAACGGCCTCCCGGTCACGTTGCTCACGCAGGGTATGCGACCTGGGAAGGTGACCATGTCATCCGATTCCCGGCCTGGCACTCGACTCGTCTGGTTCAACAGGTTCCGCACAACGGCTACCGCAGGCTTCATGATGGGGCTGTGGAACGGCGAATCACTGTGCAGACGCACCGCTCGTGGGTCATGACCCAGGAACTGCCTCACGTGGGCCACCAGAGTCTTAATCCTCTCGATACACCCGCTCAGAACGATCTGGTTCTTGCTGTTGATGTTCGCAATGAGGACCTGCTCGATGGGTGGAACGCTTTCACTGCTCTCGCCCTTGTTCCCCGCGCTGGAGTGCCCGACGAACCCGTAGATGACCTTGATGAGAGGCTCCAGGTACTCTGGCTCCGTGACAATGGCGACCATGCCATATTCGCCTCCGTGGTCCTTAATGACCCGCCGTGTAGCTTCGCTCATGGCCTCGGCACGCTGTTTGACGAGGTAGATGCTGTCCTCAAAGGCAATGTATCCTCCTGCTACCAAAGCCGCGAACTCTCCAAGGGAGTGGCCCAGGGTGTAGTCAAAGTTGTCCGCCACCGTAAAGTTGAACTCCCTTTCGAGGACGCGTAGAATGAGGATCGACGTGGCCATGATAGCCGGCTGCGCATGGTTGGTGAGTGTGAGCTGGCGCGAGGATCCATTCTGAATGATGGATGCGAGATCATAGCCGACATGATGATTGATCTCTTCAATGGTCTCGTTTGCGGTTCGTGGAAAGGCTTCGAGCCACGGCGTAAGCATGCCAACGCGCTGGACTCCTTGGCCTTTGAAATTGTCAGTAACCGCCCCGATTGTCGCAAGTGAGCTGTCCTACCGGGGAAAAAGATGGCCGTCTTGGGCCTCCTCGCCTGGCTGGAGTTGTGTCTGCTCTGGCTGGCTGGGCAGCTTCGTAGAGAGCAGGGCGATGAAAGCCGAGGTTGGACGCACCGACCGCGCCGCGCCGCGCGAGGCGCGATGTGCTTCATGGCCGTTAAAGCCTGTATTGTAAACAAGGCTAAGGCAACGATTCCGACGCAGGCTCCTTCATGCTGCCCAGTCCGTCCTCCAGGTCGATTGTGCAAGTAGCTGTGTGATTGTAGGGGGTGGTTGAGGACCTGAGTCCCGGTCCGGGGAAAGCTGCACGATGACTGACGTCTGCGGGGGTCCGTGCAGGAGATCCCTGTGCCCGAACGCGCTTTCCCCACGCTGTGAATGAAGTCTTTATCCGCGGCCTACGGTTTACAAAGTCACAGACTGTCTTTCAATAGATTATTCAAATATTTTGCAGATATGAGTGAAAATGCTAGCATCGTATCTCGACGCCACCTTTGCTCACTGTCAAGTATTTGACACCTTTATATGGTTTGATCCCCTCACCTAACCCCTTACTCTTCCTCGTGTCGAGCATGATACTCTCCACCTTTAAGCCACTCGCCAGCCATCCCTTCACTGAGAAGGACACAGATGCCGAGCTTGGCATGAGGATTTTGTTCTGGGCGACCTTTTTCGCGTCCTTGTCATCGTTCACAGCGGGTTTCTCAGTGTTCCCGCCACTGACGGCTGGCTCACTTTGGTACGGCTCATTGTAGGAGAAGTCCTTGTGGAAGGCCATGGTGCTAGCATCATCATCAATCGCATCATCATTCTCAGCCGCGAGAGTTCCAACAACAGTGCAGCGCAATCCAAAATATGACGTTGGTTCCGAGATCGCCTTGGACGGGATGTGCCACTCCAGCACCTTGTCGCCCGGGTTGAAGCTGGCATCGCCTTTGCTCGGCCGAATGTCCGAGAGATTCCTGACTTCTGCCGGGAGCGGTACTGTCACTGCCAAGTCCTCGATAGAAGGCGAAGCCTGTGTGCCAGGATGTGATCCCCCAAGTCGCCCTGTGCCACCGCCGGTAGTCCCAGGAATCATGTTGGCCTGTAACCGAACTTCGAATTCGGCACCAGTGGGACCCATTCCTGTCTTGACCTCCAGAGACACAGGCAGTTTCAAGTTGTTCGCACTGATGTTGCCGGTCTTGCCGCTGGTAAAGGGCAGCAAGTCCACCTCGTAGCCCGCAAGTATGAATCGGCCGTCCGGTGGAATGAAGCTGAGCTCCCCTGGTCTCTCTCTCCATCTGTTCAATCGCACGCACGGATGGAAGACTGGTAGCTCCATGATCCCCCCAATGTTATGTTTCCCGGAAGGACTATTGAGCGAAAGGGTGATGTCGGGCACGCCTGACACTTTGGATGTGAACGCAATGCTTCCATTCGCGAAAGCGGCCAGAGGTCTCCCTGAAGGCGCCAGTGTCACCGATAGAGTCTCGATAATGTCTGCATACATCTCGTTTGACGTGTGCCGCACGTTGGACCTGCGCCACGGTAATGCTGGCGCCTGCGCTGAACTCAGCGAGGACATTGCGGTCGCTGGAAGGTTTGGGTTCGATGAGCTGCTTCTATCGTACGTCAGCTGTTGGCTTAAGGAGATCTGATTGTGACTCTGTCTTACCCTGGCAGGTTGATGCTGCCCAGTAGCTTGCCCATCCACCCTTCCACCACTACAACTTCTCTCAAGGCATTCGGCTCTGTGGTGCTGATCATCCCCGCATCGCACATTTCTGTGAGGAGCTGGGCCACGATATCATAGTTTTGTTCAATCTTGATTGCCAGGAGCGGCGCGCCAACAAAGTCCTCGAGGGCATCTATTACTCGGTGCAGGAATTCAAGGACCAGCAATGGTTCGATTTCGGCAGATGACGTGGCCAGATAAAGTTGATTCGCATGAGTCAGACTAAACACCAGTGTCGGCGGATTCGTATTGGGGAGGTAGATCAGGTTCGGTCTCGGGGCTTGGTGCTCGAGGTAGAGTGGGAGAAGCTGTGTCGCGGAGAGGGGCCTGCCAGCGTAGGTGTGGGAAAGGATTGGGTTGCTACCGCGTGTGAGTTCTTTTTCGGATTTTTTTTTTTTTTTTTTTGTTCAGTACGCACCGGTTATCGTCGTAGATATGCACCGCTTCAATGACGCCGTTCATGATGTTGCGCGCCGCCTGTCGAGGCGTTTGTCGTTGTCGATGCGTGCCCATCCCACATGCACCTGGAAGTAGAAACGCGACACCACCTAAATCGAGCTGCATGGCTGTTGATGGGGCTCATGACGGAATCAAATGTTAGTGCAGATGACTAATCTGCTCGCGCATCTTGGAGCTCAGGCTCTCGTCCCGGTGGACTCTGAATCCCGACGATCGCAAATCCGTCCGCAGGCCTCAACCCATTGAACGCCTCGAGAAAGCTGCTGCGCAACATGGCTGGGGACAAGATACCAACGCTGCACTCGCTAGAGCAGCCTGAGAAATTCAATGATGTTCTTAAGCGAGATCGGGGCGACGACTGTCTTGGATGCAAGATTGTTGGCAAGTCGACTTCCGTGACCCTCCCTGAACGCGAGTGATCTAACAATAACTAGGGAGTGGTGTCTTCATGGGTCTCGGTGCCTACAGCTACTTCTCGGGCATGTCGCAGCTTCAACAGCAAGAGGCCAAGGTCCTACAGAGCAAGTCCATGTTTGGTATGAGGAGCCGCAAAGCGGGTATAGTCGGCATATCCGCTACCTTTTTCTTCATGGGCCTTTGGCGAGCGACAAAATGAGCGACCACGGAATTAACACGAGCGATCGACGATATGTGGACTCTGTCGAAATGAATAAGGCCGAATGCCGCAATCTGTCGTCTGGCCAAGAGCTTCGAGCTTGCCTCAATCGATTGTGAATAAGGCTTTGGAAATCTCCGACGTGTGTATAAAGAAGGGAAAGTCGAGCTTTCCGGCTGTACAAGATTCAATTCCGGCGTTTGAAGGACAAGCATTTGCGAGGGCGTGTTGATCTTGCTTCTTCAAGAGGCGCTGTACAAACAATACTATCAACGGGGGCATATATCTCGAAAGTGGCCCTGCAAATTACCTGGTAGTGGAGAGCTGGTGACGATACTCGAGCGCTGTGCGTGTAATACTGCGGCTCGTACCTCAATCATATCATCTCGCCTACGTGTGTTCCACTGTCGAAACGCCATGCTGTACTCAACTGGTAGCTGATATTGAGCGGTTGCGTCTACGCACTGGCGAAACAATAAAGAATGAATCTTTTGCTTCGTTTTTCTTGTGAAATATTCGTGCGAGCTATTTTTGTAGCACGCATTGGGATAATTGTGTAAAGGTGTTGTCGAGGTCGCTCATGATTAGTGACAGGAATTCATTCATTGTACATTGCGCCGGCCCAGTTTATCAACCTCAAACCTCAAAATTCATACATTTTTGCTCAATCAGCCAGCACCAGATCTTCAGAAATAGGGGCGCCTTCAAGTCGACCAGAGTTGCACGCACTTGTTCATCCTGCTGGAACGTTCGCCAAAGTCCTCTCTCGCGCAACCGCAGGGTGTGCAAACTCTTCACATACAAACCGACAACACCATGCCAATCACAATCCACAAGCCACAACCCGCGGCGCCGCCAAGGCTGCCTACAGCTGCGCAAGACTCAGATTCGGAGTCTGATGGCGGCGCCGATGTTCAGGGCGACATTCGCATGCGTGCGTCGAAGCGTGGCCAGCCAGACCATGCCGACCTCATCGATGAGATTCTCACCCCCGGCACGGTCATCACCGACAATGCGCAATGGATGCGGTACGTTTCCTCAGACGCACTCTTTCGTCTCTATAGAGCATTCACTAACCGAATGCAGTGGTCACGGAACATATATCCCTGCAGAGACGACGAACATCACATCCTCCTTGGCTGGCACACTAACCAAAACCAACAAACTGCTCTCAGTCCGCCCTCTCAGAGCTCGATATACCCCCGAGATTGGTGACCTTGTCGTCGGTCGCATCGTCGAGGTGCAGGCTAAGCGCTGGCGTGTCGATGTTGCCGCCTCTCAACTCGCCATCCTTCAGATCTCGGCCATCAACCTGCCAGGCGGCATCCTGCGCAAGAGGACAGAGACGGACGAGCTGCAGATCCGGAGTTTCTTCTCAGAAGGCGACTTGGTGGTCGCAGAGGTGCAGCAGCTCCACCAGGACGGCGCAGCCAGCCTGCACACGCGCAGCTTGAAGTACGGCAAGCTGAGGAACGGTGTGTTTGTCGCCGTCAGCGGCACGGGTGGCGGGGGCGGTGTGGTCCGATCCAAGAGGCAGCTGTGGACGTTGGAGACGGCCAACGCCGGTGGCATGGTTGACGTGCTCCTCGGCGTGAATGGCTACATCTGGATCAGCAAGCACATTGAGGTGGACTTTGCGGCTGACGCGGCGGGGATCAACAAGATGGAGGAGAGCGTCAGCAGCAAGGTGTACTCGAGCCAGAACGATAGCATCGACGTGGCCACGATGAGGGAGATTGCGCGCATCAGGAGCGTGATTCTGGCGCTGGTGGACAGTGGGCTACGGGTGGACGAAGACATGGTGACAAGGGGCTACCAGGAGGCTGTCGATATGGGGAGGGAGTCTGCCGAGGATGACTTATATCTAGGTGGCGAGGCTGGGCAACGGCTGGCCGCCCTGCTCACGAGCAGCTAACATGTCTCCAACAAAATTAATCGAGTTTTGATTGCGACCTTGCCACTAACTATAAGCGAGTGTTGGCTTAGGGAAACATGAAGTAAAGTAACCAAGATCAACTCCAAAAGCAAACTTACCCACCATCGATCAAAAGAGAGGAGATATAACTTGTCCTTACAGTACATGCTGCGCATCATCGCAAGCATCGCGCCTATACCTACAACTCGACAACCTTCGAAGGCGCGTGGTCGTTCAAAGGCCTAGCGTCTTCCTCCTTAGCCCAAGGGACACAGCAACCGTGAGCAGGATCCCCCACCTCACCGCTGCGCCCTTTGCGCTCGACCCGCCCAGGCCGAGGACGAGAGCGATCCAGTAGCCGAGACCACGCGTGACGTTGCCCTGGCGGTCAAAGTTGACCGAGCCAGCCTGCATCTTGCGGAATCGCTCCAGATCCGAGCGCTGGTACGGCATGTAGCGCACGCGCAGCAGCTTGTCGACCCAGGCGGGGACCTTTGCGATGGTCCGCTCGTGGCTGAACGCCTTGAAGGAGTATTTGCCGTGATAGTTGCCCTGGCCGGAGGCGCCGACGCCGCCCAAGGGGGCGACTGTCAGGGAGGCGTGGGTGTAGGAGTCGTTGATGGTCGCTCCGCCCGAGGAGACACAATCCATGACTGCTTCATGTTAGTCTTTGTAATCCCACCGCTGCATCCTGGCAAGCACATACTCTTCTTCGTCTCGGCATCGCTGCCAAACGCAAACATGGACAGCGGTGTAGCGTCGACTTCATTGACAAACTCAATCGCCTTGTCGAGATCATCGTACGGCACGATGGACCAAATGGGCCCAAAGCTCTCATGAATAATCATGCTGTCGTTAATATCATCGACCAACACCACAGTGGGCTCAATGTAGAGGTCATCCGCATCCGTGCGGCCACCCATCACAATCTTGCCGCCGGTGGAATCAAGCATGCCCTTGATGCGGTCGAAGCTGGGCCTGTTGATGATGCGGCAGAAGTCGGGGCTCTTCTGGGCGCCACTGGGGTAGAAGATGCGGTACTGTGCGTTCAGCTCCGCGATGAACTGGTTGAGGACGGAGCGCTCGACCATGGCGTAGTTCTGCGAGAGACAGACCTGGCCTGCGTTGCTGCACTTTCCCCAAAGCAGACGGCGGGCTGCCAGCTTGACGTCTGCATTCTTGGTGACGAAGCCGGGGTTCTGGCCTCCAAGCTCCAGCAGAACAGGCGTCAAGGTCTCGGCCGCCTTCTTGGCGACAATGGTGCCCACAGCACGGGAGCCGGTGAAGGCGATCTTGTCGAACTTGAGGTCCAGAACAGCCTGGGAAACGGGGAGCGCGCCGTTGAGGACGGCATAGCAGTCCGGGTCGACACACTCCAAGAGCTTCTTGATGGCCATGGCAGTGTGAGGCGCGTGCTCGGAGGGCTTCACGATCACAGTGTTGCCAGCGGCAATGGCGCCCAGCATGGGGAGGACGGATAGCATGAACGGGTAGTTGAAGGCTCCTATGACAAGTACGGTTCCGTAAGGCTCCGAGCGGATGCGGTGCTTCATGGCCCAGAAGGTGGCCGGGACATTGTCAATGGGCTGATCCTTGGCAAACTTCTCCAGGTTCTTGATGAAGAAGAGGATCTCATTTTTGCACCAGTCCACCTCGGTCAGGACAGCCTCGTGATGGCACTTGTGGAGATCCTTCCAGAGACTCTGAAATATGACGGATTCGACATCCGTGAGGCCCCAGTAGAGCTTGCGCAACTGCTGGAGACGGAACTGAATGTTCTTCGTCTTTCCTGAACGGTACGATGCCCGAAGTCTGTCATACGTAGGCTGTATGTCCTCGATGGCAGCCTCCTGAAAAGGGATGAGAAGATCTGTGCCGGTTGGCGATGCCATGGTGTCTGATGCTTTGAGGTGGTGTGCCAAGCTATCCCAGTGGTGAATGTCGTCACGAGAGCTTCCTGTCGTCAGATGTAGCTGTGCCAAAGGCTGCGTCGTGTTGCCCCGCCGGTCGCAGGATTGCTAGTTAAGAACAGAAAAGGAGGAGATAATACAGTGCTCAAACCAATTGGAAAGGGAGATTAGGAATGTCGCAGGTGTACAGTCTCTCAGACGTGAAAAGAAGATGATGAATGAATAGGTGAAGCTCGTCATGGAGGCCCGGAGTGCTGTCCCCGCAATTTTAGGACGGCGCCTCGGCCCAGCTTCGTTCTCCAAGCAGCGTGACAGTGCGGAGGCGAAAGTCAAAAAGACTAATTAAACAATTATGGCACCTCATGCTGGGGTCCAGAGCCAAGATGGCCGAGGCCTGCAACGAGCAAGGGTCTCATGTCTCGTTTAGTCCAGGTATGCGAGCTACGTACCCTTTGCGAACTTACTCACTCAGACGTGGCGCGGGATCGACATTTCATCCGGCCGGCGGACATGGACGAATTCTTGAAGCTGAGCCTCCGAAGCCCGACAAGTCGGTACTATTCACAAGAGACGGAATGTATACTTTTCGGTACCTTGGGCTATAGTAATTACAACAGAAGGCCCCAAGCACATCTTGGAGCACACGTTCTCCACCCATGCTTACTCGAACAATAGTGTACACTTTGCGTGGCGCGAAAGGGGAGCTCTCCACGGGCTCCGCGCGCATCTATGTCCTGTTCGCCCTGTCCTTGGGTCCAAGAGATCTCCGCAGCGGTGCCGCCGCACGCACCGGGGCGAAAGACTGCTCCCTGGCCTGGTCCTGCCTTAGCTTCCCCATGAGATGGTTCTCAATCGCAATCTTGCCGTCCACGACCTGATGTGTCTCCTCCCTTTGCGCCTCGATCTGGAAGAACCTCTTCCTCTCCTCCTCGAGTGTCTTCTGCCTTTGCTCGGTCATGAGCCACTCCTTGGGGAAGCGCGCCTTGGTGCTGGTCGATTTGTGGTGCCTCGTGTCGAGAGGAATGTCTTCAAACGTGTCCTTGCCGTTCTTGGCCTCTGCGATGATCTTGTCAATCTGCTCGGCGAGGAAGTGCTTGTTCTGCGCTTGGTTCTGGTAGCTCTCGCAGCTCATCCTGACAACCTCGGTCTCGGGGTTGTAGCGAACGCCGCACAGCTTCTTAACCTTGTCGGTTTGGACCTTTGTGAGGCCGAGGTCGTCGGGCGCGAATTGCACAACGACCTTTTTCTCGGCTGGGTGGTTGTCGCCCATGTAGGTGGTGTATCGCCAGCGTAGGGGTTGCTTGCTCGTCGGAGGCTCAAAGGGCTTTGCGAGTTCTAGAAGCAATCAGTACATGGCCCAATTACACATAGTGGTGCATGTATCTTACTCGAGAGCAGGGGCAGCTCCCAGATCGCAAGGCGCTGGTAGTGCCTCATCTCCTGAACCTCCTGCAACTTTGCATGTGCCATGACCGTCATGTCGTCCTCGTCAAACTCGTCAAACTCCCTCGTATCAGGTTCAGGGTCATCCTGCTCGAACCAGAACGATTTTCGGTCCGGCCTGGGCTCCACAATGGCCATAAAGTCCTTATCGAACTCTCTCTGGCGTGCAGGCAGCTCAGGGCCCTTCTCCGACTCTCCCTCCACGAATGCGTCCCAAGTGGCATATCCGTGCTCCTTGGCCGTGGCGTCCATGACCTGCTCTCCGAAGAGCTCAATGTTGCCAGATTCGGGGGCTGCGGTTGCGAAGGGGGTCGAGGTAGCAGGGTCAGAGCTGGCATCTGCCGACTGCACGGCTTCGGCAGCCTCCTGAACCTTCTGCTCCGTTGCCTCGTTGACTTTCTGCGCCGATCCCTCGCCCTCTGGCTTTGGGGGCTGTTTCGCATCGTCCCATTTCGAAGTTGTGACCGTAAACGCTCGTCTCGCGGCTGGCACGGAGCCTCGCTGCAATTGCTGCAGTCGCGGGTGTGGAAGAGTCGACTGCAGTCTCGGGGCCTGCCGGCAGGCGAGCACGCATAGGCGCGTAGCATGCGATGCCGACGCCGAAGCCATGATGGACGTGGGATTGACTGTACTGGGTGGACAGACGCGCGCAAGAGAAGCGTGAATCTCGAAAATTTGGCGACGCAGTTGGGAGAGTGGAGATTAGCCGGATATCCACCGCCTCACCGAGATCCTCCAGTGCTCTCTCACCGGGAATCGGTGCATACGTCGAGTCGGAGCTTCATCATTCTATCGATCTCCCCAATTTCGTTCCATGCCTACAAAGTAAAAGCAAAGATGCGAACCTGATCTATACAATGGAGAAGAATTGTCTCGTCACGGTCGGCGCCACCGTGGGCTTCCCCGATCTGACTCGTGCGGCTCTCGAGCCTGCATTCTGGGGTCATCTCGCCTCGCGTGGCTTCACGTCTTTGAGGATACAATGTGGTCCAGATATTGACTGGGCAACATCTGATTTGGCCTCAAAAAGGTCTCAAAGTCCTCAAGAATTTAATGTTGACGTGTTCAGGCTCAGTAAAAACCTCATGAGAGAGGAGATGACGCTCTGCATACCAGTCGAAGGAAAGAGAGGCATTGGCCTCATCGTTTCCCACGCAGGTATGTACTTGGTCAGCTACATCCGAAAAGTTTGATGGTTTTGATGATAAACAAAGGTACCGGAACTATCCTCGATGCATGGAAATTAGCTGTGCCCATCATCGTTGTTCCCAACACATCGCTCTTGGATGACCACCAGACCGAATTGGCCAGACATCTCTCGAAGGAAGGCTACGCCATTCACAGCTCCACGAAGCTCGATCATCTCAAAGAAGCAGTCGATAAGATTGACTTGCTGCGGGAGGAGAACCAAACTCGATGGCCACCACACTCGCCCGAGCGCGGAGCTACTGAGCAACCAGTCAGCATATGGAACATCGAGGTCGTGGAGGCGCACAAGGAAGAGGCTTCACAGTTGGCTCAAGGCTAGCTGCTGGGATCAAGAGAGATGCATGAACATGCATATTGGAAGCGCGAATGATGGTGATGAACGGGTGAGTGGATGCCCCGAAAGCAAACTCTCTATGGATTGCTTGCTTCATATGTTCTCATAAAGATTCACTTAGCGTTGGGGAAACAGGAACGGGAACCGGCAGTCTAGCTACTCTATTCACGCAGACTATTGGTCTGCGAACCTCAGGGGAGGTTTTGCACATTCCATACCTTTACCGTGCAATCGCCTCCTGCACTGGCCACCTTGCCGCTATCGACCCAGCGGATGCCATATACGCCATCTTTGTGGGTATTGGGCGCCTTGATGCGCTTGCCGTGGTTCTTCTTTTCCAAGCACCACACGAACACATTGGTGTCCAGGCTGCCGCTCGCTGCGTAGGCGCCAGAAGTGTCCCAGTCGATACAGGTCACTCGCGAAGTGTGTGCCGACCAGCGGTCTACGACCAGATCCCAGCTGTCTGACTTGTAGACATAGATCTTGCCAACGCTGTTACCAGCCGCAAGGTGGGAGCCGGCCCGGGAGAAGGCCAGTGCTGTGATGGTGCCAGTGGGGTTGGTGACTGTCTTCGTCTCCTGGAGGCTGCCGCTTGAGTCTGTCTGGTAGATCTTGACCGAGTTGTTGTCAGCACCAACAGCCACATTTGATCCTGATGTTGCAATGGCGCCAGGTGTGTAATTCAGGCTGTGCTCTTTGACGAGCTTGCCGTCCGCGTATATGGCCACCCCGGTGGCTGTTGCCACGTACAAATTTCCATTTGAAGAGCTAGAGTCCTTCGGTTGACCGGTCAACGGCGTCGACTCGCCCAAGAACGTCTTGGCTGCTTCGTCGACAGTGCGCAGAGTGTCGTCCCAGCCCACGCTGTATGTCTTGCCGTCGCCACTGGCGAATTGAGTGACTTGATTGCTATGCTGTTGCCCATAGACTGTTGTAGATGATCCAGTTTTGACGTCCCAGTGGCAGACGCGACCGTCAAAGCTGCCAGACCACAAAGAGCCGTCTGATCCTCCACCCAGCGCTGTAACGCCTTTGTTGTGGCCCTGTACGACCTTGATCGGTGCGTCTTTGCCTTCGGTTAGATATGACAGTTCGCCATCGAGATTCAAGCTGATAATAAGACCATCAGTGCGACCATGCGGGATGACTACGCCGACTTGTTGGTCTCTGACTGCATCGCCAAACGTCCAAGTCTGGATGACCGTTCCCGCATCAGCGTCCCAAAGTTTGACAGTCCGATCTGCGCTCGCAGTCGTGAATTTCTTCCCATCCTGCGACCAGGCCACAGAAAAAATGCTGCCTGTGTGTTCCCCCTCGCCGATCTGTTTGGTCGGCTCCCCTGTCTTGCCATCGTAAAGCTGTATCCGCTTGTCCGCCCCAACCGACACCAGGATCGAGCCGTCGGGCGAGTATGCTGCACTCAAGGCAAAGCTCTTGTGCGACTCAGTCTTCGAGTGGAATTTGTAGGGTGCACCGTGGTAGAAGACCATGTTTCCATCATCGCCCACTGTTGCTGCCCTGAAGGGACGCTGCGCCTTCATGGCCACCGCGTTGACCGACTTGGAGTGTCCTATGATCTCACCCACAGAGTTTCCGCTGTCGGCCGTAATGCAGCGACCGAATTGTTCCTTGCCGTCACCGACAGCAATAATGCGCTGCGAGTCGCCATCCCATGCAATGTCGTTCAGCCGGCCAGCGATAATGCCATATTCACCACGGGTGCTCTCGATTGTCTCGGGTTCCCAGACATGCAGCATACCAGAGGCATCGCCAGATGCGACCTTGAAGCCATTAGGTGCGAAGCGGGCGACGGTGGTGGCTGCTGTGTGGCCTGTGTACTCTTTGCAATCGACAGGGTTGTCGATCGAGCGAACGAAGATGGATTTGCCGGCCTAAGGAGTCCTGGTGAGTGGGCTGACAGCAATATAATCAAATGTCTTACAGCGTAAGCCAGGCGCTGACCTTTGGAATCAGCTGATATTTGCGTGGGCTGGCCCCTGGTGGTGGCGGGGACAGCTCCAAAGATGCGGTCTATCGTGATAGTGGGCGCAGCCATGGTGAGTGATGCCGTGGATGGTTGCGTTTTCAAGCGAGGAGTACAGGAGGTGGAAAAGGAAGAGCCAGGCAAAAGGTCAAGCTTGCTCACCAAAAAGGGCGCGGGTGATTGCTTGAAGCGAATTATTGCATGAAGCAGCCTGGAATATGTTGGAGGTTTGGAGGGGCAACGGCCAGGCAGGCGGGCGTCAGACTGTGGGGAAGCCTGCCATGACGACGGTGTTGCTATTTTGGTTGCCCCTCGAAAATCAGCGACATTCCCCTTCACATCTCACCCACCTGGTACGAATTATGAGAGTATTCGACTTTGAACTTATCCGCAAGACCGGACTGGACTGGTGATAGTTGACATTGCGAGCGTGCGGCTTGAGCGCCAACGGAGTAATCGCGATGGCAGCCTGCATGTCCGCCGCCACATGTTCACAGACTCGTGCTGGTGTATCTCTCCAGTGCAGTCGCAATGAAGACAAAACCAATTGCCGGGCTTTCTCTTCCACTGATCCTACGGCTATTTGGATGTTTGAGGTAACGTGATAACCTAATTACACGCAAGGGCAATGGGTTGCCCATGCCCCGTGTGCTTGTCTCACCCTCCCTCCCTCCTTCCCCTTACCCAAACTCCCAAACGACCATATGATAATCTCGGTAAAAGCTCAAACCACACCACGTCTTTCACTTGTGCTCAATTTCATTGGAGACCTGGGATCCGCGACTTGCATGGCTCATCCGGCAATCGCGCGTTCGTACCAGCCAGACGCTGTCTACGACTCATGACCATACTCACACTCACAATAAACCCCGACTGCACTGCAGCTGTATGTGAACTGAAAGTTGTTCCAGATCCCCGGGCTTTAATAAGACATCGTGCCGTGTGTCAGCAACCTCGTGCCTTTGGGGATGAACATAGCCATGGCAACTGTACTAGCCCCTTTTTCCCATATAAGAATGCTGGGGAAAGGCCGCCATTATCGCCAGACTACCATGATCAACAATTTTCATCGCACGTACATCTGCTTAAGAACAGCCCAAAAGTCCCTCGTTCATCAACCAAAACCCAAGCTCATCCTTTTTCCTCACCATGCAGTTCTTCCTTGCCCTCGCTGTTCTCACGCTTGGAGTGGCAGCCCAGTCCACGTCAAAAGCTGTCAGCACGGATGGGTGCCTGGCTGACTACATTCTCGAAAGATGCCTCGAGACCGAGGCCCCCAAAGTCAGTGCCTGGAGTTCATACTGAACAAACCCCATGATGCTAACTTGAATGTATAGGCCGAGAACTGCGCCAGCACCGACCTGGAGTGCCTCTGCTACGCCTACCAGGCCATTGCGACGTGAGTGACTGGAAGTGGTCGAGTGATGGAGATCCTCTCTAACAGCTAGTAGCTGCTACAACAACTGTCCCGATGACACTCGTGCTGCCCCTGCGATGAATCAGGTGACGGCATACTGCGCGCAGGTCACCTTGACCACCGCCACCCCTGCCAGCACCGTGGCCCGCCAGACCACTACCGAGGAAGCGATCATGACCCAGACTGAGAGCCGCTACACAAACACTGCGACCTTTGACATGGATATCCCTGGGGAGACTGGCAACGCGGCGGCTGATGTCGCTATTTGGAAGGCAGGAAGCGTTCTTGTTGCACTGGCTGGTGCTGCTGCCGTGGCCATCTAAACCGATGGACTGCCACGCTTGATCAGAATACCATCTCGTAGATATACCATTTAATGTAATTTATCCGAGCCAGACGGTTCAGTCTGTGTGCGGTAGTCGTGAGGTTGCCTCGTAGCATTCGTCTCTTTGCGCAATATTGTATGTACATAACAGAGGCAGGCATCGTACAGATAATCCCCTGGTGCTCATAATCCCTTTCGTCTGTGTTCAGCTCTGGCTCTCTTGCATGCCCCTCCCCGAAGATTGCCTGGAGGGCTGCGACTAACCTGCGCTGCAATAAACAGTCTATCTTCCCTCGCTCCCCATTGCGCCATACAGGTTCCAGGAGTGATGAAATAAAATGCAAACTACACTCCTCCCAAACGCCGGTGTCTCCAAAATTCTTGACACGAAAACACTGCTAGCCTAGCTGTGGCAAGTTCCCCTGCTTGGATTGCCCTTGGTAGGGCATGTCCACATGGACTAGGTTGGAAGAATAAATGTATGAATAAAGCGAGTAGTAGGTAAGGTGTGCTGTCGAAGTGGAGTGATTGTCGATTATATGTGGTATGTTTGTACAGTTTTTGCCAAATTGGTTGCGTGCGCGCTTGATCCGGTCAAGCGTTTCTCTTGCGTTTGGTATCGCGCGTGTTCGCCATTGGACCAACAAAAGCAACATGCTTAGGCTCCTGCCTGCGGAGGCGTACCGCGCTTGAGATACCAGTCGAGGACCGGCGCAACGATCGGTGGCCATGATCCTCATCCATGCTAATGTCGGCAACGTCCGACACTGACTCGGTATCAACAGCCTCGCTGTGACCGCACATGGACGAAGCGTCTTCAGAGTCGTCGTATTCTCCATCGTCGCTAACAAGAGATGGGGCGTTGTTGGACATGTGAGCATTCGGGCTGGGCGAGGGTCCCTCCAGGTCATCATCCACGTCGGCGTGTTGCAAACCTGATTCATTCAGGCCATTGGGATGTACGCCCTTGGTGTACAGCTCGTGCGCATGCGCTTTGTGACTTGAAGTTGCAACTGGGGGATCAGTCGCCCGAACAGGAACGCGCTTAACGACTGGCATGCGAGCATGTGTAAGAGCCTGGTTATCAACAGGTGTCGCCAGGGTTTCGTCTTCAGACTCGAAGTCCAGGGCCATATCTTGGTCAGACAGCTTGGTCTTTGCATCGGCTATCAGGTCATGCAGATTACCAGAAAATTTCCGTTTCTGTAAGAGACGCGACAGATAGGGAGCGTCGCTAGCGGTGTCGGTTGGCTCAGTCATAGTCTCTAGTTTCACCTTGGACGAGGGCTTCGGCAGGTTCTGGCCAGGCTTGTCCATGTTCCACTGCTTCAAAGTCGTCGCTATCCGCATACTCAGAGAAGCGCAAGCTTCCTGATTCGTCATTTCACCACCAGCCAATGCGTTGACTGCGCCTGTTTGGCGGGACACTTCCGCAGCTATTTTGTATGACGGTCGTCGCACCGCTGTCCGATCCACTTGGCTCGACTCGTGGGCATGTGCTGGTGGCGCATTCAGAGACTTTCCTTCTGGTGCCGGATCGTAAGGCTGGCCACAAGCTGCCGCTGCCTCTTCGTGGCTCTTGAAATCCAAGCGATGTGCGATTCTGCAGTGATTTATGAAGCCCTGGGTGCTGTTGAAGTTATCGCGCCCACACTTGATGCACTCAAGTCTGACGGTCTCGCCGTTCGCTTTTGTTATGATGCATGGGCCAGCGCGAGCCTTGACCTGAGGCTTGCCCAGGGAAAGAGCTGGCCTTTTCTGAACAGCATCTACCTGGCGCCCACGAACCAGAGATGATGAGGGCTCTGCGCGACTGTTCCTCGTTGAACGCCCCTCCATCATGTTGGAGTACGAAGCATCCTGCGACGACAGTGGCTCGACTTGAATCCCATCGAAATTTGTATGCGGAATTAGCCACTGCGCGTAGTGACGCGCGTATGGCCCTTCCACAACACCAAACGGAGGAGCATGGCGGGGGACTGGCTGACCAGGTGCCTGCAAAGCATATCCAGACCCGTTGCTAATTTCCACCATCTGCTCAGGCGTGGGACAGTTCATTGGGTACGGGATGAGGTGACATCTTCGGAGTTGCTCGAGCGCGACTTGACACTTCGCCAAATTCTCGTTGATCATCTCCAGTTCCTTGTGCTTGAGTTGAATCTGTGACTGGAACGCAAGCTCAATAAGATCTGCCGCCTCCCCTGTTCTCTCGATGTTGCTTGTCGCCTCGTGGACCTGCTGCCGCATCCCGTCGTTCAGCTTCGGTCGTTTGGTCGTTGGTTCCATAATCGGTGAGTCATCGCAGCTATCCCGTCGCCGCCTCTTGGGCGCCGGCGGGTCGCTCGGAGGGATCTCGACCACAGGAGGTTCTGACTTGAGTGTGATGATTGAATCAGTCGCCTGTGCGCTGGCTTTGCTCCTCGGATCAAGTGAGAAGAATCGCAGCATTTGAAAGTGCTGGTCGGCAGCTTGTGTGCAGGCGATCGAGCGACGGCCGGGGATGATTTGAGCGTCGCGTCGAGTAAGGTTATTTTGTCCGCCGCGATAAATAATGGAGCGACCGACTGTTGTAAGTGGGCAGATGCGACGACGAACAAGCGATGCGACCAGTTAACAAGGTATCCGTATTAAATCTTGGCAGAGCTAGCGGAAGGTTGCTGACGTAACCTTGCTTTTGCCTGCAGGGGGGCGGAGCACTGGGCGTTCAAGTCGGAAAGATGGGTCTTCGGGCTGTGGTCGGTCTGGGCGCTGCAGGCAGGTGCACACGAAGCCAACAGGCTACTGCCAGGGTGGCCTCCTAGGGGTGTATGGCCAGCTAAGTGCAGGCGGAAGGACGAGTGAGGTGGGCAGGAACAGCGAGTGGTATCTGAGTGAGCTTTCAAATTCGTGAGGTCCGGACAAATACGGATCGTGCCACGATAACTTGGACGGGAAAGCGCGAAAATGCCAACGACGAGTGAACGTGTTGGTGTGTGGTTGGGCTTGATCTGAAGCTGCAATCATGTGTCAGCGCACAGCCGGTCGCGGTGGTTGCGAAGGTCAGGAGGGAGGTGTTTGGATGTGGGAGCGTTGAGGGAAAGGCAAAATCCGGGCGATGCGGCACGATCGTTTGAGAAATTCGCAACGTACCTGGAGCAGATGCCACACAAAGGGAAAGTAAAATGGTAAGGTGCGAAGGTGGAAGAAAATACTCGTTGCTCTGTTCTAAACAGAGTAAGCGGGGGGTGAAGTATAATGGTGATGCAAGAGCAAAATCCCAAGCGGGTTGAGTGCAAGTTGCGAGAGGGGAGGAACCCAGAAGAAAGGAGGAAAACACACAATTCCAGTGGTGATTCTGGCGGCCGTCAGCACCTGTCACGAATGCGATGATGTGGTCCGCAAGAACAGAAGCAAGGCCACCGTTATTCTCCCCATGGCCCCCTATAGGCTCAGCACGCTGCACGCCCCTTATTCGAGCCTTTCAGCATGAATGTTGCCATCAAGGGAGGGTTGGTCCGAGCCGGGATTGGTCTGATGGTTGAAGCTTCAACAGGGGCGTGCTGAGTCGCTGCGCCAGTTGGACCTTGTGTTCCTCCCACTGGTTGGTTGGCCCGCGTTCCAGTCCCTATTGAACAACACGGCCGATGCCTGCCTTGGTCGCCACATGCTGAGACAAGTATCGGAACCTAGATCAGCAACTTTTGCCAATACGTAGTACGTTAGTACGTCTCTTGAGCTGGCTCTGATGATGGTGATTTTGGCCATGATTTGGTGTTTCTGGTTTAAACACGACACGCCTCTAGCTCCCACGGTGGCTCCTGGAGCTTACGCTTGAGCTCCACTTGGCTGACCGCGCTGGCGGCGGCCTCCTTGCATCTGTTGGTGCTTCGATCGATTCGCGCAGAATACTCACGAACAGAGTTCAGGGCGCGGGTCACCACCGATAGTCTGCCACCAGCGGCCTGAGCCTATTAGCAAAACTTACCTTGGAACGAGCGGGATACCTAGTTTGCTTATGAAGATGCTTTTTGCTGTTACGCAGATAAGCTGCTACAAATTGTCAAGATGTCTGCGCTTTGTGTCCGTCTACCTATACCTACAGATTGATCCTCACACTGCCTTAGTCCGATCCCTAGCTCCGTTTCACAGGCCCAGACCCGAAATCCCCGACCTCGTGGGCTTGCTGCAGCCGGGATCCAGAGCGGGGAGTGTCCGGAAGTCGAGTTGAATACAGACAGAGGTGCAGCTGTTGTCAAGCTCTCAAAGTCCCAAAGACAAGGCACCGGAGAATCAGAAGGACAATATTCGTAAACGCTTTGGATACCGTAATATGATCTTTGAAGGATTTTCGTGATTTTATTATCATGTACTTGTGTCCATCGCCCCGCGTCTTGTGCATTTTGCTTCGTGCAGTTCCTGCCTACCCTTAACCCCGAGTGCCATCACGGCAGCCTAGTGACCATCAGGCTGCTGCGCGCTTTGGGGTGGAAAAAAGTTCATAGATGATTCTGGTGATCTAGGAAAGTTGATGTACCTCCGAGTTGTTTGTAGGCTTGCACCCGGCTTCCAGTCTCGCAATGCACTAATATCCGGAACAAGACCTGCAAGCATTTGCTGCTTGCACAACGGTTATCCGAGTGTCTGGCACTAGCGTTTCTATGTCAACAAACTAACTAGCGAGATAATCTCTGGGTGCCGTATAACCGTAATGGATCCTTTTCTGGCATCATCTTTGTCATCTTCCCATTGTAGCTACGGTCAGATCGCAGTTGGGCGAGCACTAGCGCGTGATGCTGTTGTACCAGTGGCGATAAGATAAGAACAGGCGCTATCAGCGACCTTCGTGATTTACGATATGCACTTTTACGTCCTACAGATGCACATGTCGCAGTCAACGACCTCAGTATGCCAGACGCTGCCATGGCGCCTGTTGCAAACCTCAATGCCGCAAGGAAGCGCAAACAGCCAGAAGAACAGTCATCTCAAGCGTCAGCCGTGCCGAAACGTCATTGTGCAGAGAAGCCCCCGTCCGAACCAGCAGACCTCTCCCGAGTCCACGAGGGCGTAGTCCTGGAGCTTAGACCGAAATACAATGTCCTCACAATCTCAATCATTTCCTCAGCGAAGATAAGAAAAAGAATCATGTCGACCAACAAGCATCTACTTGACCGGGATAATGGTGTCGTCTTGCTACACGCTCGGCAGCCGGAGGTCGGCAAGCTCATCACTGTGGCGGAGCAGTGCAAGCGGATATTGAAAGAGCAGGGAAGATCGGTGTACCAGTACAATCAGCCTTTTGAGGTGCCGGAAGCTCTGCAGAAGGTGAAGAAGCCCGACATTGTGGAAAAGACCATGCTGGAAGACGAGGTGGACGGAGATGGGGACACAGAGGATGATTACTTCGAGACAATGCAGAGCCGCTTTGAGAAAGCGATTCTTCCGCCAGCGCCAAAGAGACTACCCCGTTCCATGAGGGTCTTTCTCTCGCTGTCTCCGGTTCCCGAGCTAAAAGGGAAAACCAACGTAACGCTACAGCTTACTGAAGCATGATGGCCTGGAAGCTGGGATTCTGATGGGCACTTCTGCATGGACTGGCAGTATGGGCACCGCGGCGCTCGGATTCAGTTACGATATGATGAAAGATACCCCAATGTTGAGCTATACACTATTCTCTGGGAATGCTCGTCGTTAGACTTAGATGTGACGCTAACTTGCCCAAATGCAACCATCGGAAACGCCAGAGAAAACCGAGCCTCGTCACCCAAAGGAATCCTCCAAGATTCGGACGCTATTTGTACGACCCTATGTCCTGCAGCTTTGCCGGCCCTGTCCGCTACATAACCGTGGCGCAGGTACTTACAGCTCGCCGTTGCTCTCCCTCTTGGATCGATCGATGATCCTCAGCACAAAGTTGACAACAACAGCCAACAGCAAAATGATGGCCAGCACCGTTGGGCCAAAGCGGTCATCGAAGCCCGCCTGGCCCCTCATCCTTATAGACTTTGCTCGCCAGTGGTAGGTGACAAGCGCATATATCATGGTCAACATGGCGACGCCGGTGAAGAGAAATGCGGATATGAAGGCCGGACGGTCGCCAAAGTTAAGCATGCCGATGGCGAGGGCGCCGAGAACGACGGTGAAGTTAAGCCACGATAGGAAAGTTCGCTCGTTGGCGAAGAAGACTTTTGGCTCGACGCGAGTCGGGAGCGCAATGCGCTTGCCTAGGGGGTCCATTATCAGCAATTGACTTTGGCGAGACGTATAGATTCCTAAGACATACCTTGGGAGGTCTGGAGAAGAGGCTGGGAAGACATTGTAGCGGTCGTGCGGTCCTAAACCCCTCGTTGCGGCTTGGTTCGGCAGCTACGCTTCGTGCGATTGCACTTGTGAGGTTGGCGGTGGTCGCTTTCGGGGTAGTTGAAACGGGCCTGGGTGACACAATCGAGCGTGCAGAGTGTTTTGGTGAGTGATAAAGACCCAAATTGATGAGAGTTGTACAGAGCGAGGTCCAACGCGAGAAGAATAGTTGGTAAAAACTGAAGAGGCCTGTGACGATAGTATGGCTGCGCGCGACCGGGGCCCCCACTCACTCTCAGCCTCCCGGATTTGGGAGAGCTTTTGACACACGTGGGAGCTGTCTATCACTCCCAGTGGCTGCTTTCACGTGTTAGCAAGTACTGTCAAAATGCCCCGCGAAACCACCTACACAATCACCTTGAGCTGAGAGACATTTGATATATTGAAAGAGGCTGTTCGATTGGGATTGAGTAGCGAGGAATTTGGGGGCCAAATCGTTGACCTATGCGTGTTGTTGTGGGTGTCTTCGTGCTGCAGATGTTAACCGCTGAGATGCCTTGACGTGTAGCGTAGGCGCCTGGTTCCCCTCCGCATCCTCCAGTTTGTTCACCGGTTGTCAACCCGACACGCGCCTGGTTGTTTACTCGACTGTACTACCTCCTCCCACCTCAAACCACCAACAACGATCCGATCACCGTTGCACAACATGGCTGATTTCGCAATCCCGGTATGCGATTCACATGAGAATACGCGACATCAAACTGACAGATGGGTAGCCCATTGCCGAAACGCGTGTCAAGCAGATCGTTGACGATGTACGTCCCGAACCCTACAAACGTTGACACCGGCTCGTAACGTCGCTGCAAGGGAGAGAAGCATGGAAAAACTGACAGCATACTATAGGTGTGCGGCACGGTCTTGGAGTCCGCCGAGTACTACGACCACTCGAAAGTCGCCGACTGGAACTCGACCATAGTTGTCAGTCCGCAGAAACGTTGCACACCAATCTTCCACTAACCCCTCTGACTAGAACTCCACGCTGAAAGCTTTGATCGCCGAGGCGACACCTCAAGATGCACCTGGCCCTGGCTGCAAGTTTGCCTGCAACAGTGTCATTGTGCAACACCTAGTCCCCACGTCTGCCCTCAACAAGCCCCGAGGCGGTACCGATGCTAAAGCCGCGGAGTCAAATTTCACTACCAGCGGCCGCAGGGGTATGCATAGCGCCGTTGGAGCGTACTGGAACGACACGAAAGACGGCATGTGGGTGCATAGGTACACAGGCGGAGAGCGCAAAGGCCTAGATGTCATCGTCACAATGCTTTGGATAGCGCTCTAAAGTCATGTGCTGGCCATACACAAAGGAGGACCTCGAATAATATTATGAGAGATTTGAAATCAGTTGTGGAAATATTTCAAGCAAATCGGCCAGCGGGCATTCTGTGCGTGGATGTACATCTTCATTGATTTTTGAAGTGTGCTCTGTCAAGACCAGCTTCACTATTCGACCAAGGCTGCATCTCTTGAAGATTTGACGGCCTTCCGTTGCAATTCTGCGCCCACACCGCAACAAATGGAGTACCGCCACCGACCGAAAGAGAACTTCAACTAGGCGCGTGATCTTGCAGTGAACACTGAGAAGCGGACATGAGAGCTCTGTTCTCTCGATCGTTGCACGTCTATATTGGGCTCGATGTTCTCGTACTTGACGCGCTGCTTGGTCACTTGAAACCGAGGTGCGCAAGGACCGCGGAATCATCATGTTAGAACCCTAGACGCTGGCATTTGCAGCAATAATAATACACGTAGAAAGAGGGTGCTTCGCCGTGACGCTAATCGCCCGCCCCTAAAGAAGGCGTATCACTGGACTCATTCAAGCCCACGCTATTGTAACCACTGTGGTAAGAAAACGACAACTTTGGAGGTTCTTTTCGAGGCCGGTTTTCCCAGTCGACATTCTTCCCAAAGCTGATGTATAGAGTACCGTCCTCAAAGTGACGTTTTGAGCTCTGACCACCGAGCGGATCCAGCTGTCCATGAGGATGAGAGTACTCTTCAGATGCTTGTCGAAGAATTGCGCTGTTTTCCTGAGTCGACTTATCCTGTTGTTGGCTCATATCTCTCAAGTTCTGATCCGTCTCTTCTATGAAAACCCTGTCAGATGGGGGAAGAGCCTGCTCAACTGCGCTGTCTGACTGTGAAGGTTCTTTCCCCTTCTCAAGGAAACTTCCGTCATCCGGATCGAGGTAGGTTGCTTGCCCCCCCTGATCTCCTTGGCTGTGCTCGTCATCGTTACTGCTGAGGGTCGAGGTTTCGCCAGAAGAGCTGGTCTCATCCTCCTCCTCCTCCTCTTCTTCTTCAACAATCTCAAGTCCCTCAATAGCCATTGGTATGGCTTCTCGTGCAACTTCTCGCAGATGGCCACCCAAATGCGAACGGAATCGCTTGCGGCTGGCAGAATATGTGTCGCCCGAATGATTCCAATTCTCGCAAAAGGGACAGGAATTGTCGGCAAAGTGCTGGATTGATATCTCGCAGAGATCAACTAGATCATTTCTCTGACTATCCAAAATATCGCGTTGATGGTCAGCATCAAACATGAAGTGAGCCCTCATGTTGTCCGCAGTTGCGCAGCGTACGTCACAAAGATGACACTGCCACTGCTTTCGATGTTGGCTCAGCTCATGATGAAACCAGTCATGAGATGTGGCAAAAGCAGGCTCCGAGCATTCTGGAAATGTGCAGATGTATAATGATAAGTCGCTATAAACATGCTCCCTGCGTTGAGGTGACCTTGGTTAACAACGAGGCCTTGGAGTTTACAACGGGGATATACTACTTACTTCCATATTTGCTTGTTTCGAAAGATCTGAGGAGTCCGGCAATATGGGCATTCTACCTGCATATTATACTCCAGCCTTTTTCCATCCAAACGCAGGCTTGTCAGGCTTGGAATGCGGCCAGCAGTGCCACCCGAAGACTTGGCAGTGCTGGCGAAGGACGTGGCATCCGAGTCGAAAGTTCGGATTGAAGATGCCCTCTGCGAGCCGTAGCCTGAGTCTGTTGGCATCCCTTCGCTGTGTGCAATGGATTCTGCGTCTGAGTGGATAACTGAAACTGGAACCTCAAAATCTACGCTATCTTGGCCCCGATAGTTCTGCCGGTAACGTATATGGGCTCGACGTTGAGCAACAAGATTCCCCAGCTTTTCAGCTAGCCAGGGCCGCTGTTTTAGCAGGGGAAATTTGTCGGTCATGTGGGTGATATCAGGACGATCATCGACTTCATAAGGTCCGCGAGACATCCCTGGATCTGTCGCATACTCACTGAGACTTGGACGAGCAAGAGAGGATACCGTTAGAAGGTGGGTGATTGCTGAATGTGCACCGAGTAGCACCTCTGCGAGTTCGGTTGTGTTAGATCTTATACTGAGCACACCCTTTTCATGGTTCGAGTTGTGCAGCTCCGATTTGACAATCTCAGCTGTAAGCTCCGCCAGAGCCGCCGGTGACGCATCTTGTAGAGTGCTGTTGCACCTGTTAGGTCGCTTGTGTTCCACGATCTCGGATGCTGAAATTAGATCAGTATGACAGTCTCGACAGCCTATATTCGTCCAGGAAACATACCTCGCTGCAAAGACACAGACAAGCGCTGCAAACCGAACGACGAGTCTTGTTGGAGGTCGCTTTGCCCGTGCTCATTCGCACTGATGTCTTTCTTGGAACGCTCTTGCGGCAGAGCGGCGGATTTGCCAGCCCATATATGAAATCGAGACCTTTCGTCCAGCAATATGCTGGTAAGCGAGGCGAAGAGAGTGCCGGGAAGCACCCGGCAAAGGTGGTCCAAAGCATCCAAAGAAACTTGGGCTAAAGCTTCGAAAGCACTGGGTTCTTGCGACTTTGTTGAGCTCGTCGCACGGAGTGTTTGCGCGCGGTGACCCCCAGTCTTGTCAGAGCGACCCATGGCCCAAGATATCCCCCTTTTACGGCTCCCACGACAGTTCGTCCGTGTGTATCTTGATCGAGAAGAGCCTCCGAATTACTGCACCGAGATAACACGATCTGTGCCACCCCTCACCATGTCTGATCCACCGTAACGATTGGATGCAACGCTGCATCAGCTCCCAACGGCGGCTGCAGCTCAGCGGCTAATGTTGCACAACATGCAGCAAAACACTTGCCCCCCTCAATTCTGGCTCGAAATGACCTCCATACCTACAAATATGTGCGATGTGAGATCTTGGGCAAGCGCATTGCTGGTCAAGTGTGACAATGTCCGGACTCGAGGTGGCTGGTCTCGTCCTGGGGGCTATCCCGTTGCTGCTGATGACTGCGCGAGGCATCAACGAGGAGCTGGGTAGAGTTCATGACTGGTGGGATTTTGAAGCGACATTCGACAATCTTCTTTTCGCTATTGAGGCGCAGAAGTCACTCTATCGCCAGAATTTGCAGCTTCTCGTCGAACCGTTGAGTCTACCAGAAGCGGACATTGAAGCCCTGCTCGAGGGAACAAAACTCGAAGTATGGAACCAGGCAAATGTTCAGAGTAGTCTGCGGGCAAGGTTTGATGAAGAGGACTACATATTTATGACGCGGAGATTGAGAGCGATGCATCGGACGGTCGTCGCGTTACAGAATCTGTTGCCCCTGGACGAGGTTGGTTGAGTTCCATCTCCAGTACAGCGGATGGCCATATTAACAATCTCAAAAGCTATACGATACAAATCCCATCAAGGCCGAATTCAAACGTGCAGCTGTCAGCTTCACTTCGGATGCAAACAAGAGTATTGCTCGCATCGAATCTATCAATCACGAGCTCAACACCTTCCTCAAAAACGAACGACAGATCGCAAAGTTGAGGCAACGCAAGAAGCTATACTTCCCTCTGGATCAAGTTCAATCTCATGCTGTACTATATCATCAACGACTGCGTGAGTGCTGGAGTTGCTCCTGTCAGCCTGCGCACAGCGTGGGCATAACACTACACCACGAGAAGAACGAGCGTTTCCCGAATCGCAGCAGGAATCATGTCCATACTATTTTCGAACATGATACTGATAAGACGTACTTTGTGGTGAAGACAGATTCTTCTAGACAGGTTTCGACGCAAACTGTGGAAAAAAGAGGTACCCTCGGCGCCTGGGATCTCGCGCTGAGGGAAAAGGCGGAGTACGGCACAAAGCATCCAGACGACCAAGAGCATCCATCTGCACAAAATGGGCAAGCCAAAGACCATGGAGCTGCGGCTGTAGCTACAGGTACAAATCACCCGGACAAGAGCCACCATTCGCTCAAAGTCAAGTTCATCGAGGCCACCAAGACCATGTGGCAGAGCACAACAAGCAGATCAAGATCATCTCGTCGGACGAAACATGGTCATAGTCTGCAAGGCTCACTTCTCGAGCATAAGAGCCATGAAGGTGCGGTCGAATCAGGATCAACTGCGTAAGTGGATTTATTGTTCCGCTCGTCCTTTGCGCAAGATTTCCAGACCCAGAACCGCCACTGACTTCGCAAGACCTACAATCAACAGCAGCCATCCGTCTGTCCAAAACAAAGTTCGCTTTGCAGATACTGAGAGACAAAAGAATGGCTTTGATGAGCACATTGTGCATGCTCGTAGTGAAGTTGTGGTCGCGGATGTCTGCAGCATCAATGGAGCCCTCGGACGATGCGAGCCTGACCAAGTTATTATACACCTCGGCCAGCCATCTGACAACAAGGTGAATCTAATGCCAAAACTTCTACCTAAAACCTATCAAGACCGGACGCAGTCCATTCATGAGTATCTCCGACAGATGGACGCTCGATGTTTTCGCATGGAGCTCGGCCTGCGTCTTACGCTCACACTGCTGAGCTTCATCACGACCCCTTGGCTAATGGGGCGTCTCTGTCAACGCGATCTCTTCGTACTGATGCAACGGAACCCCTATGATCTAGACGAGTGGTCAGGTCCGTATATATCATTCCAGCCAGGACATTCGCCGACCGACGCCCACACAACTGCGCAACCCTGGCGCGTGAGGCAGACAGTATTGCTTTTGGGGGTCATGCTTCTCGAACTTTTTCACGGCCAGCCCATCGAAGAAACGCCCGTCTGGGCTATCAATACTATTCATGGCAAGCCGGTGGGCAGTACCTTGTTCTGCAGTGCTAATCAGTGGCTGGCCAGCTCGGCGGTTGATTTTACGACGTACTTTGGGCCAGACATTGGGAAGGGCATTATGGATGCCATATCCAAGTGCATTCGATACCGGTTCGACAGCGAGAGTGCCGCTGACGAGGCCACCTTGGCTCAAGTGCTCTACCACGAGATCTTCACACCGATGGAGGAGGGAGTGCCACGTAATCGCCAGGATGATGGAATGCTATGATTGTTCTATGGGAAGGCTCTCGTCTAGAAGGAAGATACAATCAATGTCGAGGCTATGTATTGATAGCACCGTGCTCTTCAGCGAGTCAAAGAAACGTGTTCAAGGAACTCGTCGTTCTTTTGGAGAAATGTCGCCCGCAGATGATGGTATAGAAGGAAGGTGGGCAGGTTTGGAGGCATGCAGGCGTTGTAGAATCCTACCTTGCTCACCATGGCCTTGTCTGAAAATGTTGTTGGTAAAAGCGGCCATACCGCCCCTCGTCCTTTATAATTTGGCCATGTCGAACCTTTGGGTGCTGCAGTTATTACAGGTAGATACGAGGTTCCTTCCGCATCGCCTCTAGTTACTCCAGCTGCGTTGCGCAGCCCAGACTACCACAAACGACCTGCCACGATGAAGCCCATCTGAGGCCCCATTTGCACCTCCCTGCCTTCAGGATTGCTCCTCGGTCACAATGCATGAGCTGGGCGTGGGGGGTTCAATGCAGTCTCGCTGTGGCGTTCTGGAACATGCAGCAACTTCAACTTCAGCAAGTCAGCAGCGTCGGACATGCTGCACGAGATCACCGCGCAGCAACCTCCTTCAACGACACGTCCAGACGTCTAGCGTCGCCAGCAGCTGCGAAATGGATAATGCTCCTTCTCAACTAGACGTTGGCAGTCGACTTGGTCAACGCAACCAGCATCGCCATTCGTGATTCACCAACTCGAGTTCAGAGTCCAGGGGTCCTGGGTCCTGACGCCTGGGCTGCGGTCATGTCGTAATGGTGGGGTGACCAGAGACGCATGCGAATATCTGTATCCGCTTATGACGGGCTTTGTGGGTACAACTGGGAATCCTATGCCGCGCTGAGCGACGCTCGAGTCCAATGCACAATGAAGAAAATGAAGGCCAACATCTCCGCTTCAGTTCTGATGCTATCCGGGTGGCCAAGACAAGGTAACTAAGACTGGTGCCGAAGGCGGTCGTTCTCGGCCCTCCGATGATCGCCGAGGGGCAACGAGCTGTTGACCATTCGTCCGACCTCTAAACAAGATTTCTGCTGGCTCTGCAAAACTCCATACCTATCGAGAAGGACTGGACATCATTTTTTCTTTTTGCTCGGCTTGCCCGACGCGCTGGTGGTAAAAGAGTCTTAACACAAGACAAAAGACTTCAACGGGTCCGAGCCATATCCGACGGAAGAATGGCGCCCAAGACCCCGAATTACAAGTACAGGCTACCAGGTGCAAAAAGACTGGGTCATCTCCATCTTCAACGATTCAGCAACGGAGGCCAAGCCAACTAGCCAAGCTACCACAGGATCCCTTGCCACCAGGTTTCGACGTGGCCTCCTCTCGCTCAGTAGGCCAAGGTGAAAGACACGCGAGTCATAACAAGAAAACATCTACCTCAGCCAACCGACACCGGCGCGCAGAAAATAAGGCACCACCCACTGCTCACGAGCCCAAACTGACTATGTTGGCTGAGAGCGCACGGACCTGAATAATGATTTTGACAACGTGCTGCTTCTTCGGGTCTAGGCGTGGTCGCGCAGGAAGAGTGGGCAGGCTTTTCACGATACTATGGGTCCAAAGGCTCCGTTTTCCCCATGGCCGCAGCCGGCATCGTCATTTGGCAAGATTGCGTGGGCCCTAGAATAAAGGCCTGCCTCACCGGCGCGTCTTGGCTTCGGCTGCTTTTCTTCCTGTTCACTATGTAGATCGACCGCCCTCTCATGAAGTCGCTAGTGAGGAATCTCCAATTGCGCCCTCTTTACGACACATCACTCAAAGCAAGATCGTGAGCCTCTATCTGAGCCTTCGCTGCTCACTGCCACTGTGCCCGATCGCTTGGCCCCTTGTCCAGCGCAGACTTCCATAGGCTCGAGCTCGCCCTCGACGATCTTCGCCGTCAACCAAATTTGACGTGGTAGCACCGTAACAATGGTACAGGTTCTGGTTGATCCCGCCTCGCCCATGTCCCACGGACATGTCACGCGATTCGAGAATGCGGAATACTACAAGACTTCCCATGGAGGGCACGAGTCCATGTCTCGGGAGGAGCACGCTCGGCGTATGAAGGAGTTGCTGGCCAAGAGGTCGAAGAGGGCACCACGCCGTGGCTGGACCATGCTGGACTACCCAAGCACACAGGCCGATCAAGCGCCTACACCCCACGCGACATACTTCCACTCCCAAGTCTCCATCCCAGAGAACAGCGTCGTTGTCTCGAGACCAGCCACGCCAGCGGCCACACCAATCATCGAGGACGACTCGGTCCAGCTGGTACAGCGACCAAAGCTTCCGCCGCCTCGCCGGTCGTACTCAGTCACGGACAGGGAGCCTCTGCCGGCGAATCTCCCCAAGCCTTCACACCGCCTACACCTTCTCGATCTTCCCTCGGAACTCCACTACAACATTGTCGACTTCCTCGACCCTATTGACAGCGCCTGCTTTGGCCTTGCCCACCCAGCCCTTTACGACATTCACCGTCGGAAGCACGGCAAGATCCGCCTGTCCGCTCGCTATCAAGGACCCAATGACATGGAGTGGGCATGGCGCGGTGCTGGCTCCCTCAAGCGCGCCGAGACGACCAATCTCACAAGCGAGAGCGAGCTGGCGCACATGCGCGTCCAGGGCCAGGTGTATTGTCGCAAGTGTGGCGTCTCGCGGTGCGAGCTACACCGGCACCTCAAGTCATGGATGGGCGTGGACAAGGAGTACTGCAGCATCAGGGAGACGTTTGGCAAGCCTGCCGGTGAAGATGCGAAGCCGTACTGCTACCTGAGCTCGCCCAAGAACCCGCACCGCTGCGGCCGCCACGGCGGGAAGAAGTTTGCTTGATTACAGCGTAGCGTATTTTGATTTGAAGGACATTGACGGCGGTTGCTTTTTCCATCTCCCCCTCTCCATTCAGACCTGATCTTTGGAGAGGAGTAAATGAAATGACGATAGATGTTAGATGTTAGATGACCAGATATGGAGTTATGGACTTTTTGGACACTCATCCGTTTTGGGCGCTTTACATTGCTGCAGTGAGCCTACACACCAGTCGTCCGGCGCCGACACCGGATAGATGCGAGACAAGGAGCTTCGCCAACATATTGAATGTAGGTTCGTAAAGTTGCTTCATTATGTCACTGGTATAATGATTCGTAATATGCTAATTAGACCTGTATCGAGGCTACCCAGACCAAAACTGTTACGTAAATATGTACGCTGATTAGCAACATCCAGAGCACAGTGGATTTCCTTTTGGCCTGTTTAATAAGAACAATGCTTAAACGATTGTTAACTCAAACGAGCCATCCCAGCTTGCTAGACTCCCAGATGCTGTCCCAAACGCCGTTATGTACTGATGATTTGCCATATTGACTCCGCTCATGTATACAGCAGACGCACTCAGAATGGCTTTCTCCAGTTAGGACCGGAGCATTCTCCTGTCGCGTCTATCCACTGACGGATTCCCTTGACGAAGGCTCCGCTGGTCCATCTGTCCTCTTCAATGGCGCCCCGTCGAGGCTTGCCGAGCTTGAAGCTCTGGCTTGTGCAGCAAGCACCCTGGTGATACCGCCACTGGAAACACGTCCGCCCCCTTTGGAACGCACCGTCGACGTCCTCCTCGATTCGCTGGTCGTACTTCTTGCGGAGATAGTGGCCCTTGTCGACGTCGTTGGGGAGCGCCGCGTACTCGTCCTCGGGTATCACGAGCTTGTCGGCTTCGCACACCTTTGCGCACGCCGCGGGTGATTTGTGTGCTTCCTTCTCCACGGGGTTTTTGTCACGCTCGAGCCTTTGTCGGCTTCTCTCCATATCACCAGCGTACTCCTGGTCTGCTTCATCCGGGCCGATGAAGCACGTGTCTTCTGACAAATTGTCCCAATCGCGGCGAAATTGCGTCAGATGAGGCGCCATGAACGCTTCATACAGGTCCTTGATGAGGAGGGTGTCCTGCGATCCGGTCAGTCCATCTTGCTGACGCATTGTCCGCATGGGATACTCTCACCTTATTTTTCCTCGTCTGCTCAAACTGCCAAATCATGCTCACTTCCTCTGGATTCACGTGGTGCATCGAGATGATGGGTTCGCACCATTGCCCGTGGCCGTAGGGCATGCTCAGCGGTCGTTCGCCGTTGAACATGGGATGCACTTGTTGCACCTTGGTCCCGGCTTCGCCGACCGCCTCGGCAAACAACAGATCACCGCAGCATGATTCTCCTGCGCGCGTGTCGTACTTGGAGGCGAGATCGGTGATGTTGTTGACCATATTCCTCATGAGCTCGCCCGAGACGACGTAGCCGCTGCCACCGTGCGCAAAGGGAAACTCATTGAGCAGCGCCACGCTGCCGAAGTACTGGGGGCCCTTGGGCGCCCTCTCGCGCAGCCACTCCACCATATTGGACCACACAATGTAGGTGTCTGCTTCGGCAAACACGTACCAGTCCATGCCTGGGCGCCTTTCCCACGCGCGATCGACCATGTTGAGGAACTTGTACTTGTCGAGGTTCCAGCCCCCGTCTATCTCCGATGTGCAATCCTGCTGGGATATGGGGCATCGTTTCTGCGCCCTGTACAGTTCGAATTCGGGGTGCTGTTTCATGAGGGCCGGGCTCACGCGGTCGAGGGCATCGTGTAGGTGGTATTTGCCAATCTGCTGTTCCTGCGCATGTTTTAGCCTCGCGGGGCCCTGTTGCGACAAAGGAAGCCTTTGGGCGCACCTACAAGATCGGAGAAAATGAGAAAGTCAGGCAGGCAGGACATTGTCGTGAGCAGATGGACGGGGAGCTTCTGGAAGGCTTCCGAGGCGCCCGTCTTCATGATGAACATAATGTTCGAGGTGTCGGGGAAGCCCTCGCAGGGGGTGCTGAAGTTGTACTGCGCGTGGACGCTGTTCTCGACGCCATTCTGGTAGAGCGTGTTGTTGTAGACCTCTTGTACGTGGGTGAAGTACGAGGTGACGTTGTCGTAGAGGTCTTGGGCCTGCTTGCGATAATAGCCGGTGGACGAATGGCTACTGAGTTGCCAGAGGGGCACCGTCAGCAGCGTGGTCAGCGCCAGTACCAGTGCGACCCTGGAGCTGCGGGTAGGTTTTATCATCGCATGGGCTGCCAAGGACCAAGGTGTCGTCCGTCCTACAACAGGAGAACAGAGGTGAATTTACCGGGCAAAGGTGGAAACCGAGAGTGTGGAAACGAGGAATTGGCTAGGGCGATTTCACCACAAACATTAATGGCATAATTATTAGCACAACGCTGGAGAGAAAGCTTCGATCTGATGCGGCGCCTGCTCGATGCACGCAAAGCAGGATAAGTGCCCGTAGAGCCCGTAGGGGAACCGGGGGATTGACAGGACGCGCAAGCCAGACCACGGAGATCCGCATGAGGACTGGATTATTCTGTCGTTCCCCAGCCCAAGTTCATTGTGAATTTGTGCCAGAACGACAATGCCGTATTATCCTGGGATCTACAATAGGCTCTAGCATCATAATTAAATTGGGCCCTCGAGGGGCGCTTCCGTGATGATGTCGGGAAGTTGAGGGGGCTGCTGTGTGCGCTGATCGCGTTCTCATCATCAGCGATACGCCGTACTATATAACATGCGCTTCCCGTTGATTATGTCGCTGCCAAGTCTACATCTCGGGGTGGAACGCAAGCCAGTACGGCAAGCCCCGGATCCCGTCTGAATCATGCACTTCTGCTTCTCGAGCGAACTCAGATTCTGATCTGAAGCCATATTTCCAGTCCAGGCTAACAAGTACGTAGCGACTATCGAGTGGATGCCGTTGCGGAGTCCGTGCGCCTGTGACGCGAGCCGCGACATGTGTCAGGCATTGATGATAACATGGATAAGGCGAGGTTGCTTGGTCCCTACGAACACTGAAGAACACCTTAATGATAATGTCTGGACTGTGCAACTGGGACTTGACGGCCATCATGTAACATCAGATGGGTGGATGTATCAGTAAGAAATATGAATGGACGTGTGAGTCGGCTTGGCCCGTCACAATGTCTAGGTAGCTTCATTATCAGCCTTTGCGGCGATCAAAAGCAAGTGCTTCCAGACAGAGATTTTGTTAATGACAAACCGCTTCCTCGTCGGCGCGCCTCTGCCATCAGTCAAAGACGCCTGGTTCATTGAATCAAACATCTCAGCTCTCGAACAGCAAGAATGGTGCCCTTCCACCCAGGCAATTGTGCCATAAAAGTCTCGAGCTACAGCGATAGCAGTGCGCAAGCCTGTTGACAGTCGGGCATCCAATCACAGCAGGAGTATTCTTGTATGATAATTCGACTATGAGCAGGGGAACGCAGCTCACCCCTCATGATTTGGCGTACTACTACTACGAACATCCATCCGTTCCGTTCGGGCTTTTGTGTCGGTCTCTAGACCACGAGTAGGTCCTGGGCACTCTATATCTTTTTAGGGTTCAAAGCCAACATTGACTTTTGGCTTCTTCACTCGTCGCATCATCACTTGGCCGGCATGCAGGCAATTGACTCGGATTTTGCACGATTACCTATCCGTACCGTAGTCTAGGCTTGGGTAGCATCAACAGTGTGCCCACTTTTTGAAGCGGATATCTCGCTCGACGGATGCAAGAACGGGCGCGCTATACGGGTCTGAACGAAGCCATGGCAGGATATGCCTCCTCCCCAGGGGTTGATCGATGACGAGTAGATGGGATTTATGGCCGCGATAGATGCAGCTCCTCCTAGGGCTCTGTGTCAGCCCCTGATCGAGCATGGTCATAGACCAGGCATTCCGAAATCATTAAGTAAGTACTTAAACCCTGTGCGCGACATGATGGCCGCCGTTTTGCGCTGCGGATCCAACCGGCTCAAGGCGCTTCGTTAGTTTGTCAGTTGCCGATTCGACGTGTGAGTGACTTCTGCTGGCCACACTTGCTAGAAGCTGCTCGGTTTCATATCCACACGCATCGCTTCGGACAAACCCTGGTGGTTTCTGTTGGCTTATCAATCTGCGCATTGTAGAGCGACAGAATTATACACGCGCACACAACATGACCGACGTCTGCGCCAAGCAACGCGTGCCTGTACAGACCAGTGCAGTCGTCGTTCTCACAGACAATACGCGCCCAGCCATCCCCCCACCGTCACCACCCTCAGACTCGCCCACACGGACCGAGCAGCCTTGCACGCCCATCGAGGATTTCAGCCTCGACGACGGCGATGGCGTGGCCGCGCAGCGCAAGGTACGATTTGCAAATGGGTGGCGCGTGCTAGACGCGGAAGCCGTGGCCCTGCGCAACCTAGCTACTCTGTACGACACAGACGAGTCGGCGCAGGAGCACTTTAGCAATGCTGTCGAGTCCGTCGTCACATCACGACGCAGCGGGGCCAAGCTTGTGGTGACAGGTGTCGGCAAATCTGGCCACATTGGGCGGAAGCTGGTGGCTACATTCCAGAGCCTCGGCATTCCGACAGTCTTTCTGCATCCGACAGAGGCACTCCACGGGGACCTGGGCTTGTTGGAACCGAACGACACAGTCCTTCTCATCAGCTTCTCCGGCAAGAGCCCAGAGCTGCTGCAGCTCATGCCCCATCTCGGCCCCTCGTTGCGTCTGGTCGCGCTGACGTCGCATCGGCGGTCTGAGGACTGCGAGCTCTTACAAGCCCGCCCTGACGGCTTGCTTCTGCCCGCACCCATCCCGGAGCCGGAGAAGGTCGCGCTGGGTGTCTCGGCGCCGACGACATCGACCACGGTCACACTGTCGCTTGGCGATGCCCTTGCCATGGCAGTGGCCAAGGAGTTGCATGCAGACATCTCGACGGTCTTTGCGGCGAACCATCCCGGAGGTGCGATTGGCGCCGCAACGAAGCAATGAGTGTTCGGAGCCCGTTGCTCTCACACAAGTATTTCTTGAGCCACTTGGCACAAGTTATACGACAGCGCGCTGCCAGGTGGACGCCCACTCTTCGCGGCTCTGCCTAAAATGATCTCAAGAAATCGTACCTGTTGATCCACTTTCGCCCAAAACTCCAGCGACGAGTGATTCAGATCCGACATGTGCCATACGGGATCCTGACTCACAACAGCGGGTGCGAAGACGTGGGTCTCACGCAAAGCCCATTCTGGACTGCAAGCGAGCATGCAAGTTGGATGCAGGCGCCAGGAAATGGGACCGAACGACGTGCGGATGGTGGCCCCGGCTGGTTCGGCGTCTTATGCGTGGACAGGCGTCAAGGAATCTGCGATGCTGTAACAACAGCGATATCAGTTGCTCATCACACGAGGTCGACGACTTGGGTTTGTAGACAGCACGACCATTGCGACACAGGCTCCGTCAACGGTGGAAGATAGAGGAAGAGTTTGGGACAGTCTGCCTGGCAATTCAGTACAGTCGGGCGATTGTAAGAGACCCAGATGATGCCGACTGCGCTCCCCGAGACAAGAGGAGCTATGTCCCTGTATGTGGTTATTCAATGTTTAGCCGGCAAACATATGCTGCGTCCTGGCTGCGCTGGCAGCTAACAAGTTTGCCACTTATAATTTTGGGAACCTCACATTGCTGTCATAGCCTGCAGTGTGAACGAGGAGTTGAGAGAACGACTGGACCCTCGGAGAGCAAGTCGGCATGCGAGTGGCTCGGATAATATTAAACACTTGTGAACGCGTGGCCTACCCGCTAATTAAACAATACTGCACAAGTGAGAAATCACAGGCCCCCGTTCGAAGAGGAATCCATCGTTGTCATGGCGGACTCGAAGGAAACTCCACCCAGCGAGCCCAAGCAGCGATTTCAACGCCAGAGGCACTAGTTCAATTAAGCATACTAGGCTGAAGAGGGTGTGATGCATAGCGCTCAAGTCAATTCCAGTCTAGGTATGTCTGCGAAGCGTCTTATCATCATTCATTATTGCAAGTTCACAACCTTCCATTCTGAGCCTGTCGGAGACCTCGATGCAAGTTCAATACGAGGTCCAGTCGGCTTAGTACTCGGTCTCTGACTGCTTCGGTCCAACCACACCAAGCACGCACGTCCAGTCTGTTCGCTTATCATCGACGGCTGGAGGCCAACGGCTACTAGCGCCAACTGTGCCGCCAAAAAAGGGTCTGCGCTATTAATTGCTTCAACACCACGCTGGGGCCGGGACCGGGGCTTTGCCCACCCTCCTGTCACTGTCAGTGTCTATGGACCATATCAGTGTCACTGATCAATGAACAGCCCCGACTGGGGCTTGGCTTTCAGTTCCAGGGTCCAGAAGGCTGGCAGCTGGTCGGCTCAGTTCCGCCTCAACTACTCCACTTGGACGCATCCGCCTTCGTGCAGGCTTGCTGCACGCTGGCGGCTGCACGCCAGAGTTACTGTCCAGCGTCCGTCGCTGATTCTGCAGGCTTTTCTCCGTCGCGCAAGCCATCAGCAGTGTTTGTCGCTCGCAATGCATGTCACTGGCGCACACGTGCGTTCTCTATTGTAGCCTAACAATATCAAAATCATTTTCTGGTGCCTCTTCCTGTCATACTGGCCACCTACATACTTCCAACGACTTCTCATTTCTTCTCGGTCGGTTCTCGATTCCAAGTGCCTGCTTGTTTCCCCAGTGATAACGCCGGCCAAGCGGGGATCCTACATACGCCCCCAGCCCTCTGCGACCCGAAGAGTCAACAGCTGCTGGTCAAGGTGGTAGCTGTGCGAGCAACAAGTCATAAGTAGTACATATTGTCAATCACCTGCGCCCTGTGTGTTACTTATCTTCTCAATTGTTGTGCGTCTCCCGCTCGGCTCCGGCTCCAGGCTCCTCTCAGGCTCTCACTGCAGGTACGGGACGAAGCACAAGACGTCATTCGCACTGCGACGGATGGGCGATTCATCCGTTTCCAACATTGGCCGTCGCCGAACCTTGCTCCTCAAACAACAAGTCAATTCCGAGATTGGACATTCCTCTCCGCCCGGTACATTGTTCAAGTGAGACTCTGATAACCCACGCCACGCCACGCCACGCCCAGCTCTTTGCCAGGGCAGCGTGTCGCTCGTCTGCCCCGCCACCAGCCTGACTGATACCAGTCAACCTCCAGCTTCGTCCATCGCGAGTCGCTACTTTGCTGTGCTCGCTCTGCGGAGCTGCGAAAGCAATAGGTCGGCGGCAACCTTGCCTACGCCAGCACACGTCGGCCATTGGCTCGTACTCACGCGGACGAGCATTGGGACATTTCATTCGCTGTCATCCTTGCAGCTGACTGCCCAGCCGCAACCATGAAGTTTGGGGAACAGTTGGAGAAAGAGTCGGTTCCTAAATGGAACATGTGTAAGGCAAAACCATCATCTCTCGAGATGACTGTATACGTAATTTTGTTGACATGTTCTAGACAACCTCGACTACAACTCTCTGAAGCGCGCAATCAAAGTTCACACGACGCGAGACCAAGCCACAGCCATCGCGATACCCGGCCAGCCCGATAAGTCCCTGCGCGCTTTTGAAGACGGGCTGTTTCTCGAACTATGCAAACAGCATGAGCGTGTGGATCTATTCGTCAAGAGCAAGGCGGGTGAAGTGACTCGAAGACTGGGTATGCTGTCAGGCCACCTCCGGCAGCCGAGTTGAGCTAACCGCCGAGGCAGATATGCTATCTCGCAAGATTGACAAGTGGATTGGCAAATGCCCCGAGAACCCCACGGACAGTACCATCTCGAAGCAGCAAAGAACGGTCATCAAGTACGAGCGACGGCTATTCGAATTGGGCGACGAGATCTCGGCCCTGTCACGGTTCGCCAACGCCCAGATCATCGCCTTCCGTAAGATCATTAAAAAGTACAAGGTTAGCTACGCGCGTATCCGAAACGCAGGGCAGCCCGAACTGACAATGGTGGTAGAAATGGACTCGGTCGACAACACTCTCGGCCCGGTTCAACGAGTACATTGCGGGCAAGCCGTCCAGCTTCACACGCCGAAACTTTGAGCCTCTACAGACGCGACTCGACGACATCCTCGCCACGCTCCGCAATTCGACACCCGCCCTAAGCGAACCAAGCTCCCCGTCGACGACTTCCGAGAACAACGCCAGCCGACCGTCGACAAGCGCGGAGCCACACAGTTTCGAGCCCCTCCCAGAGGCTGCCAAGGAGGAGGCGCAGGCGCCACGCTCCAGGCCACAGGTCACGTATTGGAACGAGTACGATGACGGGAGCGAGTGCGAAGGACCGGAAAACGACTATGCCATCTACATCAACCCAGACGAGGACACATCTTTCGCAGGATTGGGATACGTGCAGGCTGTCCTCGCCATGCCATTCTCCAAAGTGCAACACTGGTTCAAGCTCAAACGGGAAGGCGAAAGGCAACCACTGCTGGGCGAGTCATCCTCCAGGTCCCAGACGTCTAGGCCTGGTACAGCTACGCACGGATACTTCTCGGCCGCATCTGCCGATTCGGATGAGGAGGGCTACGCAAGCTCGGGCGAATTCCCCCACCAGGGCTACGCGGCACACTATTCATTCCCCAGCATCGGCGACCAGAAGATTGTCCATTATAGAGAAAACGTTCTCTTCTGGGTCACTGTTGGCTGCTTCGTCGGGTCCTTTGTACTATTGGCGATATCCGGCCTCTTGATCCTCACCGGCCGGCACAGGCTCCGTGTCGAGGTCGATGCGGGCGTCACCGTCGGCGTGGCCTGCAGTCTGCTGAGTGCCTGCTCTGGCTTGGCCGCCACCATCTACCGACGAGGTCCTCTCACCGTGTCGCATCGCATCATGATATGGAGCACGTTTATAGCCGCCTGTCTGCTCAACGGCATGCTTCTTGTGCTGGTCGTCGGCAATACGCCTTGATGACCCCCTTTTGTTTTTGGAACGTCGCAAAGTGGATCGTGTATAGCACTTTGTGTATTCTTTTGCGTAAATGGACTCTTTTGGCGGTTGGTGCGCTTGGTCCCCGGCCGGCTTGTTGGGGTTGATGTTTCCACTTCACTGGGCCAGCAGTCTCGATAAGATTGCCATGAGCGTTAGGTACCTATAGAAGAGACCTCACAGTCCACATCGGAGTGTATGGCATGGCAACCTTGAGCGTTGATCATTAATCAGAACCATCAGTCAAATTAAGCATGGGTACGATGCACTGAGAGAAATTTGGGATTGCTGTTCAATTCAGCTGCCCTGGGAGATGAGTAGCTTTCTCAGCAGCCTAAAACATACGAAGTCCAACTTGTTGGCAGCCCGCAGGTCGTCAAGGATCACGTCCTAGATAAGAACGAAAAGTCAAGCAAAGGGGCCCCTTCCTCGTCCTTTGTCCCCAGAAACTCCTCAATGCGCTTCACGAGTTGTCCTATCAGCTGTCAGCAGGGTTCTCCGGTGAGGTAGGCATATGCGACTGGCACCCACCTGCTACACCCCACCTCTTTGCGAAGAAGTGAAGGGTGCTGTAGATATCATGGAACCTCGTGTCCGCCTCCCAAATGACGTGCTCAAAGTTGCTCAGCGCGGCAAGACTATGATAGGCCGAATAGGGCGTGACGGGGGAGCAGGTGGCCAGCATCTCCGGCTGGCGCGCAAGATGCTGGTTGAGATCGCGGGTGGTATCGGCGATGATGCGGATGGTGAAGTTGATGCCGGCAATGGCTTTGAGAACCTCCAGGTTGTTGGTGTTTGTGTATACCTCAGAGGGACGGATGGTGCACAGATAGGAGCAGTACAGTAGTAATAGGAGGCTGCGCAGGTGTCAGCTCGCTTGCTTGGGTAGAAAAGGGGATTTCTTTGGCTGCATACCATGTACACGTAGCAAAGCACTCGTAGTATTCGCCCCAGGTAGAAGCTTGTAGGACCATGGCCTCCACGAGCGATCTGGTGGCGACGTCCAGTTCAGCAAAAGATGCGACACTAGGCGGTCTCCCCGAGTGATACGTCTCTGTCTGCCAAACCAGAGCGCGGGTCGACAGTATGGCACACTGACAGTTGCGTTGAAAAGCACCTAATGGGACTGACGGGGATATGCCAGCCGGATGTCGCTGCACGACCCGGACTGGACCTCTTGTTTGTTCATCCCATACATAGTTAGTGGTCGGTAACAGGTCATCCTCGACGGGGGATGGGACATGGAACTCCTTCCACATCAAGCGCCTTTCGAATCGTATGAGGCTGTTGGTGGTCAGTCGGTTTTTGACTTCTGTGCACGTCAAAGGGCTCCGCAGACTCACCGATCGACAATGAGCATTGCCCAGTACAAGTCCCATTTCTCTTCGTCTTCCGGCGGTACGGCCCAGTCCCTCTCTGCCTCTCGATATTTGCCTGGTCGAATCCCCATGGAAGCCGCCGTCGTATAGGCATCTCCCACGGTAACGTAGGCTCTCGGGAAGTCACCGTGACCAAACTCGTAGAGACACAGCAAGGTTGCCGACTGCACAATCTCAATGCTGGGAGCGCCCAGGCCACGGAGTATACTGAAGACCCGCTTTGCCACCACATAGGCCGGTAGGCTCAGCATCTCCTTCCCATCGGGCATGACTGGGCGGCCCGAGTCCGCGTGCTGCGTGACGAGATGCATGCACACGACGAGCAACGCCATCTCAGGCTCCCGGGGCAAGCCATTTCTATCCAGCCTTTCCAGCTTCTGGCGGAAGCGCTGTTCATGGACAGCGGACAACCACATGTTTGTCGTCCGGAAATAAAGCGACACAGCCTCGTGCCACGAGAAGCCCTTGGCATTGAACAGGTTCATGATCATGGCCGACGGCAGCTCTAGATCGGTGTCAAAGATGTTGAAGCGCGCCATGCCCGTCATGTAGTCATGGGGGCTCCCTGCCGAGCCCTGAGTTCCTGGGTCGACAATGGCCGTGGTAGGGGCGGTGAAGATGTAGTCGTAGCTGCATTCCGAGGCAAGCCGTTGACAGCGACTGCATTCGGGCAGCGCCTTGTCGCATTTCTTCTTGGTACGGGTGCATTTTTCGCAAGCTCGGTGAGCGCGCTCCGACGGCCTCTCCATGGGCGATTTGGACGAACCTCCGGGGCTCGACTGAAACGCAGTCACCATGTCGGCTTTGCGCGCGTCCGCCCTACGTCAAGACGTGTGTTCGGGCAGTGGCCCCCATTTATGAGGAGAGCCTCGCCCAGAAATAGCCAGGTTAGAGCGCGGCACCTGATGCAGCTGCGAGCACTTCTGCAATGCCTCAATGGCGATGGAGGGGTCAATGCTAGCCGTCGCTGCTGTTGCTGCTGGCTCTACCTACCCCCTGAAACGGCCCTTTGCGCGACTGAAGCGGGCGGGCCCAATTCTGATGGACGTTTCTTTCTAATGGGTGTCCCCGTGTCGGCGACCTTGTCGATGGAAAGTCTTGGTCTTGCTGAGGCACACGCACACAAGATCAGCATGTTTTCAGGCTGCAGCAGCGAGCGCACGAGGTGATCACGACTCCACCCTGGTCGCCATGCCGGGAGTGGTGTTGGAGAATGGACTTGAGAGCCGACTTGTGGGTCAGCTTCGCGTGAGCGATACGTGTAGGTGAAGCACAAGCCACCGATAAACGTACATGCAGATGCAGGGCCTTGGGGACGCGGTCTTGGCAGACTGGCGTTGTTCAAGTGTATCTTACCTTGCTTGCTTGATGTTGTAACTCGGAGGCACCCACCACAAGAGTGCACCTGACGTGTCGCTGTACTCGTTGAAGGGTGCCGAGATGGCCAGCTTGTGGCTCTGGGTTGGAATAGGCAAGGTTACTGCTTGCTGTGTGAGGTTGGATAGAGGGGGCAGCGATTTGTTGGGGTGGCTTTTGTCCGCGCGGTCCGAAGTAGATCGCGTGCAGTGGTTGGTATCCGTACCTGATAATACTTTAGCCAGACATATAATTATCTCGCAGCACCAAAGTACTACCTACTTGCTTTCTGCAACTCGCCACCAGGCGCAGAAGCCTGCCCAGCGGCCGAATCGTTCAGCAGTGACAGGGAGGCACCAGTCTGTCACAGTATTGGTCGCGTACGGCCACACCCTCGATTGCATGAACATGCCTCTTCCACACGGCATCCAGCAGGCGAGCTCGAGACAACATGCCTCGAGAGCAACTGCGCGCTGCATCTGGTGGAAAGCCAATTCAAGTACCAAGGTCAACACCACCATCGATAAAAACGCTGGAAGCTCTGCTGTCAAAAATGACACAGGTCCATGAGTCCATGTCCATGACCCACCTAAAGCCCCAACTGCACAAGGCGCGCCCTTGCCGGGGAAGAGTCACAAGCCGGATCGGAGCCTCCATTTGCAGATTGAATATAGTTCAGAACCACCTCCTCTATCACTAACCACTAAAGTCGGGTCAGATCGGCCGCAAAAGAACATCTCATCCCCACCAGTCGGGGGCAAGCGACACACTTCAAAGCCAGCCATGGCCACGATGCAAACATATAGCATACGTCCAGGTCGACGCGCCGACTTGCCTCACGCAGTCGATGTCTTCCTTTCGGCTTTTCGCAAGGACAATCTTTTCGACATTCTCTTCCCGAACCGCCACACGCACCCCCACGTCATTCGGGCCCAGGTGTCTCGGCTCTATGCGTCTCGTTACTGGTCGCTCAACTATGATCTGCGCGTGATCGCAGGCAACGACGATGGCCAGATTGTGGGGCTCACCTGGTGGAAGAGGCCAAAGGCGGCCATGTCATTTTGGGAGCGTTGGGTGTCACCTTGTAAGACTGGAGTTGGACGTTGACGGTTTTCTACTGACCCCTCTTGCCCAGATGCGTGGATTGCCCCTTTGATCTCGACTTGGTTCTCTATCAGAGACTGGTTGTTTCCCATCAAGGACCTGGATAAGTATGCGGCTGAAACCTTTGTTCGCGCCTTTGCAACGGTTGAGCCTGCTCTAATCAACACCCCACGGCGCGAGAAAGCGTGGTATCTCTCAACGCTGGCCGTTGACCCGACTGTGCAAAGCAAGGGATTGGGCACCATGCTACTAAGAGACGGGCTCGAGAGGGTAGATCAGGAGGGAACAGCAGCGTGGTTGGTTGCTCTGGAGACTGTAGAGGAGTACTACAAGAAGCATGGCTTCCGAGAGGTCGGCAGGGCGAATGTCGGCGAGTTGCAGGACTGGACCGGTGGCGCCATCATGTTCAGGAACGATGAATGAGCACAGCACAGCACGTTGCGATGGCGACAAAGCTTCTCTCGAATCATCACGTTCTCTTCTTCAACGACCATTGGTATAAAGCGTACCTAGGGCCGCTTGATCGTCTATCAAGGGGACCTAAGTCCACTGTCCATGTTCCATTCACGTGGGGATCGTCGCCCAAGCTGCCTTCCCTATGCGACGCCAATTTTAATGTTGCCACCCCTCGCCACCAAAGTGCAAAGTATTTGCGAGATATGCCCAGCGAGACCTCTGTCGCCTTCTCCAAGAATCTGCCCGCCCAGGCTAACCCAAAACCCCTCCCGGATCAAGAGACTTCTCAAAGGTCCATGCGTCCTGGCCGAGAACCGTATTCCGAAAACAAGAAGAAAAAAGGAGGTTTTCCCTCGTTATCAGAGGGATACATACTGTTGACCGCAAAACGCCTATACGGTCCCTCCTTGGACTGTTTTACAAAACCCCCCGTTCGCGTTGGTATCACGCCTTTTGGTACGTGATTGATTGCCTCCTGTCTCGGCATGTGGGTATCGTCGAAAGCTTCATCGACCTCGATAGTGCAATGAAGACAAAGGAGAGAAAAAAAGGAAACCTGCGTGTGAAATAATGTTATCAACATTGGCAGAGTCCTGATAAGAACAGCCCCAAATAGCAGGAAACCCCTTGGTGAACCCAGAAGAAGAAGAGATCAATGTTGGAAAAGATTCTCGTGTATTGGCGCCGAAGGAATGGCACTTCGGGTAATTTCAGCTTGCAGCGAGAGCTGTGGTGTGAATCATTCTGGCGCTTTATTAGAAGTATCCTCGAAGGAGGGAGCTACTTTTGATGAAAGGGTCCGGTTTCGTACTGCTGGCAGCACTGGTCGTCGTCCCCGTCCGAGTTTGGCTCCTCCTTGACCTCCCCTCGGCGGTGGACAATGTCAGCCAACGTGGGTAGGTGAGCGTTGTTACTGCGCTGCTGACTAGGGGCCATGACGAAAGGATCACGACCAAGCCAGTCAAGACGATTTGAGTGCTCATGGCGAGCCAAGTGTCGCTGGTTGTAGTCCGCCTCCCATGAGTCAAGCTGAGCATGGCTGATGTCAACCAAGTTCTGCGCAGCAACATTGGACTCCGAGACGTCGGTACTGGGGTATGAACCAAACCCACGATAGTCTCGAATCTGACTTGGGTTATGAGGGTCTATGCATCCTCCGTACGAAATTATTGGTGGCTGGCCGTAGGACCGCTGCCTGTACCCGGCAACCTGATCGACGCTGTCGCTGTGCGAAGAGATGGAGCTCGTGCCAGCGTGGTACTGGGAACTCTGAGCGGAATGGTGAGTTGACCTACTCGACGCGGCAGAGGTGTAGTCAGGCGCGCAGTGACCGGCTCCCTCTTCGCTCGGTCCGTCATTTAGCATATCTTGAAATGTCACATAAGACTCAGGCTGGCGATCGGGGGGAAGGAAAATGCCGGACCACAGCTCCTGGGGACCCTGGGACGACATGGCGTACTCAGGAGCCTCTTCATGGGTACTGAGGGGACGAGAAACATAGGCATCGTTCTCTGTGCAGCGCTGATCGTGGTCCTAGGACGAGACAACGTAGCCAGAAGACATGCCATGTCGCGCCAGACCAGGGGCTGTTGGCGCCATGTGAGGCGCTTGTTGGTGGCGAAGCTCGACATCGCGGGTGGACGCGTACATGCTCGTTGGTGTATGCTGCAAGTAGCGAATGTCGGTGTTGGAAGACCCTTGGAAGCTTAGGCTGCGGAAAGCTTGTGGACGAGTATCTAGGGGAAAAGCTGAGTACTCGTGGTACTCATGCTGTTCGCGCAACGGCGCGAGATGAAGTCCATTGGCGTTTGATCCGTACTGCTCATCGTAGAAAGGCCCGCGGGATTCTCGGCGATGCAAGTAGGCGTGGCCGTAGCGGTCATCTTGGGTGGCATAAGAAGGGTTTACTGCAGATTCGATGGGTCGCTGCTCGTAGAACTGACCAGGAGGGCGAGCTGGAACAGCTTGCTGGTAGGGACTGAACCCCTGCGCGTTAGCGAGGTTGGCATAAGCAGCGTGGCTAGTCGTCTGCTGCTGGGCGCCATACGGCAGTGGATTGAGATCCAGCTGATCTTGCATTTCCCCCTTTGGAGAATGGCTCGCGCCGACTCTTGCATCGTAGGCACGCTTCAAACCTTGACGCTTCTTCTGGTTGCGCTTGGGTGCGACGCGCTTCTTGTCGCGGGTGTTGGGCGGAATTTCGCCAGGCTGCGCTCTACTCTCGTCATACTGGGGTAAGAACTCGATTAGAGGAATGTGTTCGTAGTGACGTTCGCGAAGCTCATGCGTGACTCGTTCAATGATCTCAAACAGGTCGTTTGTGGTGAGGCCGCGCCCGCGTCGCGCTGCGAGCCATTGTGGTACCATCGATGCAGAAGAGTGTCTGTCAACCATGTCCTGTTCTTTCTTCTGCAATGCCAGCGTCCAGCCGGTAATGACTAGGCCATGACCCGAGTTGCGGTTGGCTTCAGACCAGGCGTGGAAACGGCCGACCTGCTGTCGCAGAATATCAGCCTGCATCAAGGGGTACGTTGACGCCTGGCGGTAGCGCGTGCGCTGGTAGTGACGGCGACACGCATACAGCCACTCGCGATGAGGCAACATGCGTGTGCACCGCTTGTTACGTCCGAAGTAGTGCGAGACGCATTTGCGCATCTGGACGTCTTCCTGGCAGTCAGCCACGAAATAGCAAGGACCATCGCGCAGGCGTTGAGTATTGCGCGCCCTAGCTGGCTTGACCGGTGCGGTGAGATCAGGATTGTCGGACTCGCCATCGGCGTCCTGCTCCTCCTGTTCCTCCTCCTCTGCATTGTTTTGCTCATCTTCTTCCCATTCCGAGTCGTCACCAGTCGGGGTGGGAGAAGTTGATGGGGGGCTTGACAGCGTTGCCGGCGACTTGATGCGAAGCACATCGGGTGAAGTGGGTGACAGGGATGAACGGCTTCTTCCTGACTGTACTGCACCGTGAGCGTTAGCAGTCCATTTCTCGTTGACATTGTGGCGATTGGTTCACTCACAGCGCGTGCGAGCACGACCAGCCATCATGGGTGATTTATGCTGCGGTTCGTACGGACTGTAACGGCTCGTGACCAACGGGCTACGCGTTGAAATTGGCAGATACGATGCTGAGAGAGCCCTTTGATGCACTGGATGCGTTGAAGCCGAGTCGCGTGGGCTATGCCGGTGTTAGCAAGCTTGGCACTTGATTAGGCTGATGAATCGGATGGCCCAAATCGTGACGGTTGATGGTGGGTTGAGAAACAAAGGGAGAAGCTGCGAGAAGAAGAAAAGAGAATCCAAGTGTGAGATCAGATAGATCTGTATTCTTGGTTGAGGCAATGTAACGTATTTGATGGTGAAAGAAGAGCGGCAGAAGGTGAGGAAAACCTGAGGTTGCACGAGGAGCAACAACAGATCTTGGAAGACCTGGAGCTGCACTTCAACTCTGAGCTGATGCAGGCACAGTGGCCGGAGCAATGATCCGGGTCCGGGTCTTTTCACCTCGAGGTCACTCTCGCTGTTTGTCCGCCTTAGGCAGCAGACGGGGCCTGAGCCATCTGATTTCAGTCCAGGGCTTTTGTCGACAGCGTCGACTGGTTCACACTTGTGATTCAGAGATGATGCTCATAAAGGCCCCCTTGAGTGTCATGCTTTACAGTCAAGCGGTGAATGAGAAGAAAGTAGCAATGCAAACCGAACTCACTCGAGAGATCCTAGCAATGAGACGCTGGTCTTCACAGGAGTGTAGCAAAGCAGCAAAGCAGGGCAGAGGAGAGCCAGGAGTATGGAGCGATATTAACCTGTTGTGATCTTTGCAGGGAGTTTGGGGGAAAAGAAAGTCAAGTTGCGATCGCAAGGCAGAAGAAGCTCGGGGATGCAAAAGGAGTAAACAATAGCAAAGGGGAGGAGAAGTGAGGAAGCCAAAAGACCAGCAGAAGACCCACACTGTTGTCAAAAAAATACACGTACCTTTCGTTGCTCTCGAGTCTTTGCTGCCTTGGTGCTCCCATTGGCATAGCCATATTGACTGTGTTGGCCTCTGAAAGTTGCCTTCGGTGCGCAATCCCTCCTTTTGGACCCTCAATCGGCCCACATCCACCTGTGTATCGCGCATCAACCCATCTCGGGAATTGCGATGCTGTCACCAAGGCTATTCGATGTGCGAACCCTTCTTCGTCGACCGTGGCGAGCTTCGAGTCGATCGAAGCCTCTGAGGATGTTGACACGTAATGCTCGTCACCAAGCGTCGTCACGGACGAGTTGCGCGAATGCGTGCCCGTCTGGGATGATTCGTAGGAGGCCAAGCTGCTCAGGCTGTCCGAAACTCGATGTTGACCGCGATATAGGCTGGCAGCGCAGTGCCCATCCTCTTCGCTAAGCAGACTCGCGCGTCGATTCAGGTCAAGCTCCTTCAACTGCATCATGGGCAATGAGGCACTGCCACTCGATTTCGACAACGACCTGCGCCATCGGTCCTCGTGATGTTGCCCCCAGGGGCTGGAGTCATGTTCGGGGCTGTTGTGTGTCGCAGAGCATGGTGGTGCGTTCCCATGTCTCTCCGCGTCTGGTTCTGTTGCGTTGAGCAACAACGACAAATCCATATTTGTCTCTTCGAAAGGTTTTGTCTGAACTGTTGACAGCCTTCGACTTCCTCCTCGATCAAAGGAGTTGGTTGGGCTGGCAAGACCAGACGTGATATGGGTATACCAGGAGTATCAAAAGATTGACTGATGCGTAGCCTTGATGATGAAGGAGCAGAAAAATCCGGCTCTTGGGTCCGGCCAGCAGAGAGTGGTGCAGTCGGCTGATGTTGGTGATGGATGGTCTTGGAGGCGGGCAGTGCTGCTTCAAACGCAACTATTTGCTTCAGAACTGTTTGCGCTCGAACCGCCTTGAACAGGAGGTAAGCGAATGAATAATTAACCAGAACAAATAGGGATACAGAATAGGTTTACAGCCGAGTTCGTCGAACACCAGTGTTCACAGTTGGTCCACTTGAGCTGCGTCGCTAACACAAGCGTTTGGGACTTCCGAATGAGGGCGATGTGCTATAATTGTATATCGGCCTTTAGTACCCTGAGCAGGGATACAGGGATGCACGGATAGGAGGAAGATCGACGACTGATAGAACGATGCGGAAAGAAACAACGAGCGGAGGAGCTCGACCAGGGATGGCTGTGATTTGCGCGAACTACGCAATGTCGTGAGAGAGGACCAGGGAGACTAGAGGCAATTCAGAAACGACATCAAACTCCCGAGTCTAGCTTGTCCAGGCGTCCGAGGGGATTGTGGGCTGACGGGGCGACTGATGCAGACGCCCGCGAGGGTGTGCTGTATGGACGCTGCACAAACCCCATCCATCATCCACCGCAGTCGAGCTTCGGATGAAACGAGCCAGGACGTGACCGGCTACGAGTCGGCAGCTTTCACTTCCAGCCTGTTTCTCTCCATCCTTCAAGCCTGCCATCTGCCATGGCCCATGATATCGCAGTGACCGCCATAGAGACGTGCTGCTGCCGGGCAAAGTACGCACGTACTGCCATAGCCGGAAGGGTCGATGTTGTGTATCACCACCTGCCGGCCAGCAACTGCCCAAACTTCCGACTGGCTAACGTTTCGGAGGTGGAATAGCGGCCAACTGTCGCAAGTGTACCTAGTCGAGGGCATTACTCGCGGTAGAAATGGAGCATTCCCCATGGCGAGGCACCGGCGCCGACGATGTGACAAGGATACCCTGGCAACCTGGGTGCTGCTGGAGACCAGTGTCCACTCGACAAACACGCCTACTGACATGACGACCACTTTGCATCCTGATGCAGTCATGCCAGAAATTCGCATCATTGTCTTTGAGGATTCTCCTCTGGCAGACGCATGGCTGTTTCGCATCAGAAACGCGACTCGGCCAAAGCAAGGTGAAATTCGACCGACACTACTCAGCTCAACCATGCAAGACGCTTCCAATCCAAAACGCCAACAAGCTTTCTGATGTTAAGTATTTTGATATAAGCGGAATCGGTCGGACTGCAACCCCAGACGTCGACTCGAGTCCTCGACCGTGGGATTACTCGGAAGGATCCACATACCAGTGATGATCTGCTGAACCCTGACTGCCGCAGGTTGGCCGCCGCCTGAGCTAGTCCCTCGCGCGCCTCAAGTATCAAAACGCCTCGACTCGCGGTCTGATCTGACGTACTGCCCAGTGTTAATGCAGAATGCTCCGATCCTCGTCAATCTAAAGTTCTAAACAAGGAATGCGAGAACATTGGCTTGAACGTGGTGTCCCGTCGATAAGTGCTGATAGAGTGAAGCAACACAACATGGTCAAGGTGCATGGCCAGGCTCGAGAACTCATGCTCCGTGGCCCTGGAGTGCCTTGCTGGCAGCACATTTGCTGCACACATGTGTGCATGTCAGGCAGTTCCGCAGACTGCGAAAGAGTGCATCAATGCGCCCCCCATCGGCCAGACATTAGCACAGTGGTCGGCCACATGTGTGTCCGGGGCAGGGCGTACGGTGTTTGTCCAAGAGGCCAAGCCCCAAGATCGCTTGGAATGGCTCCTGTGGCAGTGATGTTCGGTGTCAGGCAGGGTTGCACAGCATGAACAGCACAGCCCTTGCCAGCGGCACGGCAAAGGATAATGATGGTCACTTTTGACATTGTCAACGGGATCCCGATCATTCGCCTAACGTTAGCCATCCGTCCGATGCTGGACTTGGGCAATAGGAGGTCTGGCCGCTCCAATACCAGGTGTCCACTATGTAATGGGCGCGCATAGCAGAGCTCCCCCCAATGCTGGAAAGAGGAGATTCGAGAGAAAGTTAAATTTGTTGGTCCAGACCTGAGCCTGTTGCGACATGCAGCTAAGGACGGTAGCCGTCTCAGTGATTTCATGCAGAACACATCTCTGAGGCAGGGTGATCGGACTCGGTAGCAATTTTAGTGCCTGCGGCACGAGTCGGGTGTTTATGGGGACGCAGCGCGATTGAAGAGCCCTCAGCCCTCTGTGTGAATAAAAAAAATGACTCGGCGAAGCCACCGACGGCGGTGAGCCTTGACTTTGACTCCTTGAGGAACAGTTGTGGACATTGCATATTCCGTAGAGCTGAGAGGACCACTGACTTCTGAGAACGCGAAAGGCTGGCGTTGAGAGTGAGTGCATGATGCTCCATCGACTGTTACCGGGGCTGACGTTTCAGCCAAACCATCGTCGACGGGACCCAGGCTCCCGAGTGCGTGAATGGCGGTTTAGGTTTGTCGTAAACACATGCCTTGCGGGATGGGCACTTCAATCAGAGAAGCAGCTCAGTGTGGGGGCTTCAGCGCCGCAACTGACGTTGATAACTTGGGAGCAAGAAGCAGAACAAGTTGTGGACGATGAGCCGTGTCTGCTAGTCTTCGAGTAGGGGCTGCGTTGCAACGTTGGCGAAGCATTATTGATCCTCAGGCTATAGGCTTCGGGCCAATCGCCTGCCTAAAATCAATGTAGCGACAATTAGGTGGCAGTGACAGTCTGGGCTTAGAGCTGTACGCACATATCAGGGTAAGCTGGGATGTTGTTCGTTGGCAGCTTGAGAAATTGAGGGACTTCTTGATTCATCCAAAAAGTCGCAAGAAAGCATGTGCGGAATTGGTAGGCGCGATGCTCCACATACCGACCCAACCTACCTACCCTAAGCTCGATGAGCACACTGTTTGGTTTGGGTTATTGGTCTGACCACTTCAGATTGTACGTAGTAGAACTTATTTTAATCAATATGTACAATACCTGCTCAGCTCGCTTCAAATGTCTAAGCACATTCTCAGGTGACGAGTTCGACGTTGGCTTGGTTACCCTTTTGGAATGCCTCCTCGCAACCCTGGAAAAGGCTCAACGCCACAACACACCACAGCACTCATGAACAGAACATGAGAGCATCGCTGCTCACGGCTCAATGCAGGTACCACTTCTATAGACTTCGCCCCGATGCGCGCGCCGGAAAGATTATGCATCCTCAACGTCCAGCATTAGAAGCCTTGGCGATCTGTGTCTCCTGAGCTAGATTCCTTGAATCCCACAAAGGGGCAGTGGGCACTGTGCTGAAGCTAGATACGCAAAAAAGCTCCAAAAAGGCGCACTGGGGTCCATTGCGCTACTGTAGCTTCCGTTGTCTAATCTCCTGCGCGGCTTCAGGTGGTATGTGGTATGAGTCTCCCGCATGACGATTGGCCTGCTATTAAAAAGCGTCTCGCGTAGGGCTTGGCCAACCTTTACTACGGAAAAAAGGGGCGAAGGATCAGCCTGGCAGCTCGGGAGTGTTGGCCGAGCGAGTCTAGACTACGGAAGACTCAACTGCTGTCGATCTTAGCATGCCGCCGATAAGTACCCTAGAGCATGTCTTTGGTGTAGCGCGCTGAGACATTTGCTACGCCTGATACAAACGTCTAGCCGCATTGCTTTCGGTTGTTCTTCCGGTCAGTCACTTTGGGGCGCAGATCATGACTCGAAATGCCAAGGCCTGATAGGTGATGCCAGGCGTCACACGAGCCATTGCCCCTGCGGCTTTGGAAAAAAATCCTTCAATAATGCCTGGCACGAGTAAGCTAGCATCAGCCAAGACTCGGGTGCATATAGACGTGGCTCAGGTCTGGTTCTTGACCTCCATTCCTGGAAGAAGTGTCTCGATGCTGCAAGTGCGAAGGTGGCTGGTCCTATATCGGCAAGTTATATGTTGCTTTGCCTACGAAGTCTGCCTTTCAGTGAGCTTGAAATGATAAGCGGAATCGTGAGATATTGGCAGTTGTCTTCGATGTGAAGACTACATTCTATTAGTCTAGGCCGTTACCTGACAGTGACCCTCACCAGACTGGGAAGACACAGCCTTTGGCAGCATACGCATTATAAATGTGTAATTTGTTGATCTATAACCAGTAGTGTGATTCAATTCTGGCATCCGTATCTGAAGGATTTGTTGCAAGGCTTCAGAGTTCCGCGTGGGTGATGAACTGACACTCACCGTTGTGACGCGAGAAATAACTTTATTATTCACCAAAAATTGGTGTTCATTGGAAGTGATGCCTCTATTTTTCGGCGTGTCACTTTCGTGTGAGAAGATTTGTAGCTGGCTCGGTGACCTTCCAGCGAGGTTGTATGCATGCCCTTTGCTGACGATAGGGCATACGAGTAACTGGTACGCCTTCCTCCGAGGTTATAGGATGCGAATGGAATACAAAACACAGTATAATTCTGAGGCTCGTGGTATTTAGGCCTTTTGAGAAATTTCAATCTCAATGCATTATCGAACTATTCGATATGTTGGCTTGTTTGCTACAAGTAGCTGGCGCGCACTGAGGAGTACCGACAAGTGTGACACCTGGCGGAGGGAAGACTAGTGCAGTTGCCTTCGTAGACATAACCTGATTTGTGGACGAACTTTGGAGCACGTAATGGACTCTAAGTTTGGTCATGAACGCTGCATTGTAGTCATCATCATCAGCCCAGAGCAGGTCCATGTACTACACATGCGAGTCAACGCAGTCCTTTCGGATGCACTACTCCATGTCCCTTCCTTTGCCCGTCTTACGAAAGCATCTGAATAGCGGCACCGATCAACTCGGAAACGCACGGTCGGGGGTTTAAGCTGCAATGAGGTAAACTTCTACTCGGGGTCCGGCACAAAATGACGGCTGCTAGACTACGTACCGCACCTCATGAGCGTCATTATGCCTGAGAAAATTGCCAAAATGCTAATCCTATCAAGGCGGAGTTCTCTATTGACGGGAGCTAGATCAAAGGCATCTGGAGACGTGACGCAAGCAGGTTGCCTTCCAACAATATTGGGATACGCTATGATAGTATGCTCATTAGGACCTGTTTCTGACTCTGAGAGGATGCGCCTCTGTGTTGAACACGAACGTGTTGGCCCCCTCCGCCTGGATCTGCACCTCCGACTCGGAACCAAAGATCAGATAGAGATATTTGAGTGTCTCCGCCATCCAGAAGCTTTCCTCGAAATCCGTGAAGCCCCCGCCGGTAGCGGCGTTCACGTCTCTGATGCTAGAGTAGCCGACGCCGGCACGGCAAGCTTTCTTGATATGACCAAAAGCTTCCCAGGCAAGGTCTTGATACTTGGTGTCGCCCGTGACACGATATGCTTGATAGATGCTCTCCATGGTTTCTGGTCGAAGGACGTAGCTTGATGATGTGGGCCAAAAGCCATTCTCATTGTAGAACTTGACCTTGTCTTTCGGAACATCTCCGGTTGGGTGATCGCTGTCAATCCAACGAAAACCCTCCGGACCGATCCTTGTGGCGGTACCACGGTATGTCTCGTAGTGAGAATCAGTAAGTGCGAGGCCAAAGTCAACGTATTTGCGCTCGCCAAGAACGATGCCTCCAAGTATGAAGTTACCTCCAGCAAAGCTGGCCACTAATGATGTAGTTAGCAACCTGTTCATCTGTACGGGGCCGTCAATGTGGCACATACAGTGTCCTGAGCGAGGGAACGTCTCGTTGCCTTCAAAATCAGAGAGAAAAGTCAGCTCTCTCCGTGACGAGGGGTGTGACGCCAGGTGCTCCATGGTTGAGTCGGCTGCCAGCACCCATCGGTCTCGGTACAGTGAATACGCGGCCGGATCATACAGGTACATCTTGATGAGATACTCGTAGAAGCTGTCCCGGCTCGCGCCCCAACTGCCGCTGCTGTCCAAGAACTCCCCAGTCTTGGTGCTGACCTGTTTCCCCAGCAGCCCAGGGAAACCTCCAAGTACGCCCATAGGATCGAGGAGGTATGCTTGAGCGTGCTGCGTCATATTGGCGTATTTTTCGTCCCCGGTGAGATCGCTTAGGTGGGTCCATTCAAGGACGAGTGTACCAAAACCTGCAATCGTATTCTGGCCTTTGGGGAGTTGCACAGGCTTGGGGTTGAGAACAATGTCCCCCTCTGGAATGCCCGTCGGTGTGTCGAAGGCGATGCTCAAGCTATCTGCAAGTGTCTGAGCCTGTTGTAGAAGACACTCAACCGACTCTGGGTCCTTTATCACGTCTTTCATGGGGCCAGTCAGAAGATCATACGCTACTGCTTGTCAGAGAAGATGGCGCGTCCAGGGCGTGGTACTGTCACCTGAAAGCAACCCGCCTATGTAGCGGATGTTTGTCTCAAAAACGGACACCATTTCCTTCAACTTTTTGGTAGTGGTGAATTTAATGGTGGGAACAAGCTCTAGGATCTGCTCGACGGTTTCTGTCTCGCCCATGATGATGGCTGTCGAGAGTGCATCAATCGCTGTCACTCCCCATCCGTTCCTGTTGTCAACGTGTGACATTGAAATTGGCCGCAGACTGTCGTGAGGGAAAGCATGTTGGTAGTACCCTTGCCATGATTCTCTGAAGACTTCCTTGACCGCTGCGGCTCTGTCGAGATCTGGCTTAGGCTGTTCTCGCGATGCCGTGGGCACGCCTCCAAGTACATGCTGCAAAGATAGCAGTCCACTTGTCAGTGAATGAAGCTGTTGATTCCACATGGTATAGATATTGCTCTTAGCTGCTGGGTACTCTCAATGTAATAGGTTAGTGACGGATCACGATGGACCACATTGGATTGAAGTGGTTGGGAACGGCGTGCATCGACTTGGTCGCAGGGATCGCGCGTTGATTGCCTAGATCGGCAGAAACGTCTCAGATGGATGAAGCTGCTCTCACTCAACAAAGTTCACAATTTTTTTTTTTTAGATTCACAGAGTAATCTAATGTAGGGTACGGCAGCTGATCATCGTTCTCGCAAACTCAGTGTAGGTTGCAATTGATGAGGTTGGGAACGACTGATAGTTCTGGTAGGAAATTGAGAATGTTCACAATGCTGAATGCTGATGTCGCTGTGTTGGTGCCTCGACATGGAGGGATGTGGCTGAATGGCGGCTAGCACTAATTCGGCGTGGCGCGCCGCCTTATCTTATCGCCGACCCGGGGAAAAAATGTTCTCAAATCCAACAGGCGAGGCCACCAACACCACCGCAGCCTATTGTCACGTCGCAAATCGCTGCTACCTCAATATAGACAATGGCAGCACAGGTCGGGCCTCTGGCCCAAGTCAAGCTAGCCTCTGGGCCAACGCCCATGACCGCGGAGCAGCGCTACTGGAAGACATTCAAGAACCAGCTGCTCGTGCCATCGCCAACAAGCTATCCGGTCACGCACATCTCTTACAACAGCGATTGTTTCGCCGTCACGACGGGCACCCGTGTCCAACTCTTCTCGAACAAGACGCGCAAGCTCTTGAAGACCATCACGAGATTCAGCGATGTCGCACACAGCGGAGAGCTCAGGAAGGACGGCCGAGTGATGGTGGCGGGTGACGACACAGGCAAGATCCAGGTGTTTGACATCAACTCGCGTGCCATCCTGAGGACCTGGGCACAGCACAAACAACCGACATGGTCGACCAAGTTCTCGCCCACGAACCCCACAACCCTGTTGAGCGCAAGTGATGACCGGACCGTTCGACTCTGGGACCTACCCAGCAGCGATCCTACGACGACCTTTGTGGGCCATAACGACTACGTTCGATGCGCCAATTTCATGCCTGGCACAATGTCCAACATGATCGTCTCTGGAAGTTACGACTCGACAGTCAAATTATGGGATCCTAGGGCAGGGAACAACACGGCTGTCATGACGTTTAAGCATGCCGCACCCGTTGAGGATGTCATTTCCATGCCATCCGGCACGACTGTGCTTGCCGCAGCTGAGAACACCGTCAGTGTGCTGGATATCGTCGCAGCCCGCCCTCTTCACCAGATCACGAATCACCAAAAGACCATCACTTCCTTGAGCCTCGCATCAGGCGGGCGCAGGCTCGTGACTGGCGGTTTGGAAGGCCACGTCAAGGTGTTCGAGACAACTGGCTGGAACGTGGTCTACAGCACAAAGTACCAATCCCCTGTTCTATCCGTCAATGTGATACCCACCACAGACTCCTCCGATTCCGATGATCGCCATCTCGCGGTGGGTATGCAGTCCGGCGTTCTCAGTGTCCGTACTCGCAAGACAGGCGCCGAGGCGGCCAAGGACCGAGAGCGCGAGAAGGAGATGGCTGCTCTTATTGCTGGTTCCATCGATGTCCATGATGCGAAGAACACGAAGCGCAAGAGGCGGGCTGCTGCGGCGAACCGGCTCGACCTCGTTGGCGAGGGGGCCGATGTTGTCATTGCGAACGAACCACGCACACACAAGAAGAAGGAGCGTCCTTGGCAAAACGACCTCCGACACGGCCGATATGCTATTGCCTTGGACCAGGTCCTTGATCGGCAAGCTCCGGATTATGCACCACTCAACGTCTTGACTCTCCTTCTGGCGTTGCGTCACCGAAGTGCCGTCAAGAACGCGCTGGAGAACCGAGATGAGCAGAGCGTGGAGCCTGTTCTGAAATGGGTATGTGGCCACATCTGTGATCCTCGCTATGTCAGCGTATGCGTGGAGGTCGGTTTGCATCTGCTCGATCTGTATGCCGAGTTTGTCGGGGGGTCGGCAGAACTGCACGAGGCGTTCCGGACACTGCATCGCCGGGTGAAGAAAGAAGTGGAGACTGCGCAAATCGCCTGTCAGACAAACGGCATGTTAGAGAGCCTTGCTGCTGGTGTGCTGTGAACAGCGAGCTCAGCTTTAGCGAGAGTGGGTTGGGTCTTCTGCATTGCGTTGGCGTTCCGGTTGCCTTGGATTTGTTGATACCGAAGGAGGGGCGGGATGTGGTTTGTGACTGATGGTCGGGCAGTTAGGTCCTCGCAGGTTTCCACTCAGGATGGTAAGCTTGGTCATGATTAGATAGTCCGTCGTTGAACTGATCTCAATGACCAAAAAAATCCTGTTCACTCACTTGTGTCTCTGAAGTTGGAAACGCGTCCGCCAGCCCAAGAAACTAATTGCGCGATGTGCTCCACGTTATTTTGGCCAGGTCAGGTACCCATTGCCCCTCCCCCTCCTCAGCTACCCCACTATGCCTTGTTCATCCGATGTCAAGCAATTTCGCAACTGTCCAAGCTCACGGCCACGAGTCTAACTGGGAACTGAGGCTATGCGATGTACTATATGTTTGAGGGCGGCTTCTGAATAAGCTCCCAATATCTTGGGAGCGCGCTGACGGTTGAAGGCGACCGCGGTTGTCCACGGGGACTGGAGCTGGGACAGCTTGCCCCTCCAGCGTCACATGCATCCATGCGTCACCTCCCCCAATACCAAACACTGCCCCTACAAGTACCACGCTAAGAGTGACGCACAGCGCTCGCCTTCACCTGTAGACGTCAACTTTAACCCACTGAGTCACTGACCTTTGTTGGCTCTGGCCAATAAGCCGCGGGGGTTAGCAATCCCGGCCCGCCTTTCGCAGCACTGAGCGGTCGGGCGCACTCGCGAAAACTCCAGGCTACTTTTTTCTGCATTGATGATATTTGCCTCCCTCATCTCTCTCTGACTTGCTCTTCAGAGACACGCAAGCCACCTACGCCAGAAGTTCGCTGGACCGACCTGCTCATCGAATCTTGGAGGATCTCTGCGGAAACACACGCCCTGATCTAGCCTAGATCTTGCACAGCCGTTTAGAAACGTAAACACCCTTTCCCGCCAAATACAGCCCAGCCGTGGATTCCCCCAAACGCGAGCAAACCGAACCCAGACTGCGCTGCGTACGACAGACTCTCGCTTCAGCTTCGAGTCCTATTTGCCTCTTGTCTTGCAGCTCAAGAGGTTACACTCTGTACCACCTTTCTCTCCTTTTCAATATTGGAAAACTCCGACGGGTCACGCCAAAGTCGCAAGAACCAGATCAACAATTACCCCTCGGTGCCTAATGTCGCTGAATGATACGTCGATCTTCCCACACATTTAGGTCAACCACTCTCTTCTACGCACAATAGCACCTGGCGCCAAGACAGACGCCAGTGCTATCCCATATCAACACCGCCATCATGGCTTCCTCAGATGTTCAGGAGCGCCAGCAGCTCCTGAACTGGTACGCTAACCTGCGACCTGACACACTCGACATTGTTGGAGAGTTTGCCGGACGTGAGCTTTTTCTCGTCCACGGAGAGTCTCTCATCAGGCACTGCTTGACAGATTCCAAAGTTGACTACAACAGTAAGTTATCCCTCGCATCGCCGCCATGCATCCCTAGTCGTCTAACATTCATAGATGGATTCCAGCTACTCCATGCCATCTTCGCCGTGGAGCAGTTCCTCGACAACCTCGCAAAGCGTGGTTGCAATTTCGACATTCTTTTTTTCAGCGAGTACAACCATCTCTGCCTGCCCGATGGTTGCTCTCCGGCGAACGCCTGGAAATATCAGCTTACTCGAAGCATCCTCATTCGCCACTTGTCGAGGTCTGTACCAGAGGCACCAGATAGCGTCCGGCCTTCGGTTCTAGAATTTGAGGATTTCGAAGACAGTGACTTCCTCGAGTACATGCGCAGCCGCGCCATTCACTTTGCGCTGTGCCATGACGGCGAGGATGCTTCGGAAGAAAACGCGTCGCTTCTGCGGCATTTCATTCATGAGTTCATCTCGCGGAACAAGAACGTTGCCGTGATGAATGCCGTAGAGTGGAAAAGCTCAAAGATATTCGCCCCTCTCATCAGTGGTACCGAGGGTGGTATGAAAGACTTTGAGTATGACCCGAGCGTGCCCGATTTGTTCCAAGTCTCAGAGGCCGGCCAGGTATCCTTTGACAACCTAGAGGAAGAGTTCGACTCTTCGCCTCTGGAGGAGGCTACATCATCACTCCGTGCTAGTGTCTCCGTTGCCATTTGCCAGGCAATTCGAGAGTCGACCGAGGACGAGGACCAAGCCGAAGTAGACGAACGCATCAAGGCCATTCTGCTTCACACAGCTATGCTGGAGACAAGCAGCCTACAAGATCGCCTCTGTCCCGAGCCCAAGGCACCCAATACCGCCCAGGAGAAGGAGGATAGAGGCTTTTTGAGAGAATTTGGCGAGGCTGCTCACTTGATGATCGAAGAAGAACACAACCTGATCCCTGAAGCAGACGATGACGATGAAGACCTGGAATGGGACATGTTCGACTTGATTGACGGTCGCATCTTCTATGACTTTGTCCAGCGTCTCCGCAAGTCCGAGTCCTTTCCTCCCAAGGTCGTTGAGCTAGGCATGGTTTTGATCAAGGCTGCTCTGGGTGACAATGCAGGTGCTGCTCCTGCTACATCTGAACCTTTGGACCTCTCAACCCTTCAGATCGCTGCGCCTGCCGCAACTGCATTCAGTAACCCCGTTTTCGACCCCTTTCTCAAGGGTATCAGCCTTGAAGCCGCGCTCGAGCAACGCGACGACACAGCGAAGGTCGTTTTCGAAGATCTTGCTTCTTGGCACAACTCTAAGCGCATCCCAGTAGTGGTGAAAAGGGAGCCTGCCAAGGTTGACCCCAAGGCGATGAGGCGAAACCAGAGAATGGAACGTGACATGGTGGCGTATTCAGCAAGTTTGACGAATTCACGCGGCAAGCTTATCGACCCGGAGACAATCGTCGCGAATCCCAAAAAGACCACGGCTGCGGGCAAGCAGGAGAAGCCCAAGGCCAACGGTGCCCAGAACGGCCCCAAGGGAGGCGGCAAGAAAGGTGGCAAGAAGGGCGGACCCCCTCAGAAAGGTGGCAGGGCTGCGGCACTTGCTGCTGTCCAAGACGTCCAGAAGCGAAAGGCCGAGGCGAGGACAACTACTGTCGTTCATCATTGGTCCGAGATGTGCGCCGAGTTTGAGAACGACCCGGATCTCATCAGCAGATACCTCAAGGCGGATAAGTTCGCATACGACAAGTCTTCCAAGGATGATGCAGCTGCTCTTGGTTCGGAAATCGAGCTCTACATGTGCCACATTCTGGGCAAGATATGGCGCGATATCCGTGTACGCATAAGCGATGGGCCAAAGGGCTTCTACTTGATGGCCATGATCTTCAACTGGCTGCAGCAATGCACCAAACGCCCCTCGACACCAGCCGTAAATGCCAACATCACCAAGCTCATCGATGTCACCGGCATGCCCCAGCTGCCATTGAACATGGGCTCGCAGCCGCAGGACCTCTCCTTCAAGTTCGACTTCAAGGCTTTCAAACCCGTCAAGGAAATCGTCAAAGACTACCAAGATCTTCAGCTCGAATTTGGCGGACCTTACATGGACCGTCGCTTCGACCCTCAGCCTGACGATCGTGTGCGCTTCGATCCCGATGCCTGGCAACGCGAGGTTCTGGATTCCATTGATGCTAAGCGCTCCCTTCTTGTGATCGCGCCCACGTCTGCTGGTAAAACTTTCATATCTTTCTACGCTATGAAGCAGGTGCTCGAGGAAAGCGATGATGGCGTCATCGTCTACGTCGCGCCCACCAAAGCACTGGTCAACCAAATCGCCGCTGAGATCAATGCACAATTCTCAAAGAAGTACGACGCAAAGGGCGCCAAATCCGTATGGGCCATCTACACCAAGGATGCCCGCGTCCACAACCCAACTGGATGTCAAATTCTCGTAACGGTTCCGGAAATTCTTCAAATCATGCTGCTGAACCCTAACAACGCTGTTGGCACCAATCCATGGTCGAAGAGGGTCAAGCGTATCATTTTCGATGAAGTCCACAGTATCGGACAGGCTGAGGACGGTGTGATCTGGGAGCAGCTCCTTCTCCAGGCCCCTTGCCCCATCATCGCCTTGTCTGCTACCGTGGGAAACCCCGAGGAGTTCAAGGACTGGCTCGCACTATCCCAGTCCAAGAAAGGATACAAGATGGACTTGGTTGTTCACAAGGTCCGATACTCCGAGTTGCGAAAGTTCATCTACGAGCCTACGAACGATGAGGTCGAGTTCAAGGGACTCAAGAAATCTCAGAGATTGCCTGTACCGGGTCTCGATGAGGGTAATACCAAGTCTGAGAATCTGCGCTTTTTGCACCCTCTTGTTGCTATGAATGACCGCAATCGTGGCGCTTTAGGCGACATGAGCTTCGAGTCTCGTGATTGCTTCACGCTCTATAACCAGTTGAAGGATATCCTACCTTCCAAAACACTCAAGGCTTTGGGCATCAAGAGCCCCAAGGAGACCTTCCCCGACGTGATTGCCAAGTCGGATGTGATCAAGTGGGAAGACCAGCTGAAGGCAGCACTTCGCAAGGGCATGGAAGAGGGCGTCCTCGATTTCGAAAAATTGCGGAGTAAGTTTGACACTGGCAACTCAGATGCCCGAAAGATCACCTCCCACATCGACAGCCTCTTCTCCCTGGCCTACGATCTGCACCAGCAGAACGCTTTGCCCGCATTGGCCTTCAACTACGACCGTGGCACCTGTGAGAGAGCTGGTGAGCAGGTCCTCAAGGAGTTGCTGGCCAAGGAGAACGCCTACAAGGAGACGAGCAGTGAGTGGAAGAGCACCATGAGGAAATACGACGAATGGGTCAAGAACAAGGAAAGGTCGACCAAGGACCCTGCTAAGGGCAAGGATGAAGTCCCCTCAAAGCGTGTCAAGGGAGAAGACGGTGATGCCAACCGCATGGATAAGCTTGCGATCATCAAGAACGAGGCCAACGCCGAGGTCAGCAAGTGGGAGAGTTTCGACCCCAATGCTCCCCTGGAGCAGTACAGTTTCGCAGATCACTCTAGGTTGCAGCGCTCTGAGTTTGATGAGATGCTCCGAAAGCTGGAGTGGGAGAAGCTGAGTCCCTGGTTGACCGACGCCCTGCACCGCGGTATCGGTATCCACCACGACGGTCTCAACAGGAGATACCGTCAAACGTAAGTACCTGTAGCCTGCGTATGTTCGCGTTCTCGAGCTGACCCTGTTAACAGTGTCGAAATTTTGTTCCGCAAGGGCTTCCTGCGCCTGGCTGTCGCCACAGGCACCCTCGCTCTTGGTATTAACATGCCCTGTAAGACCGTCATCTTCACAGGTGACTCGACCGCCCTCACTGCGCAAAACTACCGCCAGGCTTCCGGTCGTGCTGGTCGACGTGGCTTCGATCTGTTGGGTAACGTCGTCTTCAACGGCATCCCCAGGGAACGCGTGTACGAAATCATGTCTTCTCGCTTGCCTGATCTCAAGGGACAGTTGCCAGTCACGACTTCCCTGATCCTGCGTCTCTGCACACTTCTCGACGGAACTAAGAATTCTGAGTATGCCGTGGATGCCGTCAAGTCGCTGCTGTCTCAGACCCATCTCTATCTTGGCGGTCCCGAGGCCGAGGAGTCTCTAAAGCACCACCTGCGCTTCTCCATCGAGTACCTCCGTAGACAGAAGCTGTTGTCCGAGACTGGCGCACCTCTCAACTTTGCCAACATGATTGGCCACCTACACTTCACCGAGCACGCTGCGTTCGCTTTCCACGCACTGCTCAAGGGTGGATACTTCCATCGACTGTGCGCAGACATTGACAAGAACCCGGACAAGGTGATGCTTGAGATGATGTTGGTTCTCAGTCACGTGTTCAATCGCCTCCAAGTCAGAAAGACGGAGGACTTTTCTGCCGCTCACGGCAAATCGTCGTCCCTCATCTTCCTCCCTCGTTTGCCCGAGCAGGCGGAGAAGCTGCTCATGGACCACAATGCGGACACACTTGCCACTTACAAAGACTACGTCCGATCTTTCATCAGCCACCAGCTACAAGACAAGCCTGATCGTGTTCTCCCCTTCACCAAGACGGCGGTTGGTGAGGAGAAACCCTCGGTCGGTAACGTCTTTGGCGGCTCGAAGCCCTCGATCAGATCGCCATTCATCGCCCTTTCGGGTCACGATGATGGGATCGACTCCATTCCCGAGCTCTGTGCTACGGCCCGGGGTGACGTCTTCCTCGAGAAGTCTGTTATTCCATATCTACCCATCTGGCCGCACGATACCCCCCTCAAGCTGAACGCCTATCTGTACGACTTCTTCAAACATGGCAGCATGGAGCTCCTGATTGAGGAGAACCACATCAAGCGCAGTGAGGTGTGGTACCACCTCAAGGACTTCACCTTCACTCTGGCCGCCATCATCAAGAGCTTGGAGGGCATCATTCGCGGCGAGGACACGGGCGAAGACATGATCGATCTCCAGCAGGTAGGAGAGAACATCGACGAGACGAAGCAGCTGCAGATGGAGGACGACCGGGAGAAGAGCCAGAAGAACGCCCAGGTGAAGAAGGTCAAGGCCAAGCTCCAGGATGACTGGGACGATGATCTAGAGGAGGAGGAGGACGACAACACGGACGCTGCTACGGACGCCACCGGCCTCGATGCGGAGCGCAAGAACCAGGATCGCCCAGCCTGGCAGCAGGAGGGCGGCGGCCTGCTCAAGGTCTTGCAGGCGTTCGGCAAGCTGAGGGAGGAGTTTGATACCAAGTTCAAGAAGACCTGGGCCTAGTCCACAAAAGCGTCTACTCTTGTTGTTTTGTGTTTTGTGTTGTGTTGTGTTTCTGGTTCTTGGTTTCTGGCATAGGGCATTGCGGTATTATTAGACCGGCGAGATATGTTGACGTAGAGGCTATAGAGAAATGCAATGCATGGGACTTTTCGTATAATATGATCGAGGTCTACACTGAAAGGTGATCAGAACCGTGCTTCAAACAGTTGGATTACGTTCGTTCACTTGAGACTTGGAAGAGAGGGTATTATTGCTGATTATTGCCGCGTGCCAACACACGCGTTGCCCAACCACCTTCGTCGCAGTCTGATGTCTACAACATGCTCTATATAAGAAGAGAGCCGTGACCTGTATCCAAGAGAGAAAGCCTCGCTAATGCAAAATGTTACCCAGAAAATAAGGGGGCCCAGGGTAGATATCAGCATCATGCCTGCGCGCCACCCCGTCGCCGCCGAATGTGGCATAGTGGTATCTCCTCCGCGTTTTCAACGTCCGGCACATGTGTGTACAGATATCCCAGTGAAATTCAGTAGACCACCCAATGATGAGAAATGACCCAATGATAAGAAAACAGCATGTAAATATCCGAGGATAAAAAAAAAAAAAAAGAGAGAAATGACGTGGAGAAAAGCATCGAAGTCATAACGCCGTATATGTGAGTGTGTGGGTGGGTTTGTGTAGATTGCGGAACTTGCCGCTGGCGCAAAACGCTCAATGTCCATCCAAATGTCCCGGTCGAACTGGCTGTGTGGTGTAGTTGACTGCGTATGGTATGTTGCCCATTGTGGGCGTGTGCATGCTCGCATGGCTGGAGGAAAAGCTCGAGCTCGTCTGGGGTTCAGGGATGTAAAAGAGTTCTCGACGCAGCCCTTCCAGAATGTGTAGGTCGGTGCGCAGGGAACTCGAATTGGTGGCAGACTGTCTCAAGAAGCCTATCGTCCGCTCGAACAGAATCTTGAGGAGGTCTTCGTTGATGAACTGCTGCAGCACTGGCTCCCTGAATGCTGCGGAGAGGACCAGGAGGTTGCCCCACTGCGCGTGTGCAGTGCCGAACACGTTGGTGATGATGGGCCGGCCGCCATCAAGGTTGTGGAAGGCCCGCGTGCTCTCCACCAAGGCCTTTATGCCCTTGCTGGCCAGATCGATCAAGGCAGGGTCGATATCGCTCACTGACTTGGCCTCGGGGTCGATCGCCGGGACAGTGGTCCCCTGTAAAACTTCAGGGAACATCAACGGATTAGGACTCGAGGGATGTTGCCGAAGTGCATGCGTGAAATGAAGGATCTGGCGGATGAAGGGTCGGTACGTGATCATTCGCGCTCCCCAGTACTTGGCCCGGAGACGCGCCGCAAGGATATCCGTCGCTGGTGGATCTTCTTCGCTAAATGCGAAATTTGGCGAGACCCAGTGCATGCTAGACACTGCTTCTGCTACCATGGCCACCTTTTTGAACTTATCCTGTGTAGGTTTCTGGGGGTCCTCAGGTGCGTAGAACATGCGATGGATGCTGTTCAGATGCGTCCGGAGATACAGCTGACCCAGATAGCTGTCAAGAATGTACTGGTCGTACCCCCTGACAAGGCTCATGTTAGGATGGGGCATGTCTTCTTCGTACGAAAGCAATCCCGAGGGTGGCATAGGAAGCTCGGCGATAAGGTCGGCCTCTAGTTGCAAACATGTCCAGAAAGCCAGGGCGAGACGGTTGTATCGGGACTGGGTGATCAGCTCGCTACGTTGCTTGAAGCCGCGCAGCTTGTCGAAGCTCCTAAAGCGACGTTAATATTACCTCCATCTTGCGCGGTGAGGGTGTAATGTTACTTACGGGCGCATGATCACTTGCAGTTTGTGCCCAGCACGGTGAATGAAGGAAAAGCTTTCCAGTGGCCGATTCAACTGCCCATAGTAGAGACCGGCGAAAATGTTGGCGTAGACCTCATCCATGCTATTATAGGCACCGTTGAAATTCCCCAAAATGTCAGAGGCATAAGCGAAATATTCCAAGCCTGGGATCATGTCGTAGTTCTTCTTTAGGCTGTATCCAGCCGACCGAGGAATCGAAGTACCATGGAATGAACCGCGCCTGCTGTGAGTGGTCCGGTCGATATGGTCTCTCGGCGAAGGCCTGGTGGAGGAATGCGGTTGCGAGGAGTAGCCTGGAGGCGATGAGAAGGTCGGAGACTGCGGGATGCCATTTCGAACCATGGGGCTGGCGGATGTTCCTGGCTCCGCTTGCGAGGAAAGCACGGCATCAGGAATGGAGTCCCGGTGCTGGCAAATCTTCCCTAGGGCTAAGATGGTTAGGACCAGGGCGTTCTGGATAGACCTCTTGGGCTTTCCAGATCGCCCCGGTGCCGGCGTCGGCGGATCGTCTGGGCCGTCCGGTTCTGGTGTCCTCTTTCTCTTGGATCCCGTGGATTCAGCAGGAGTCTGAGGGTGGGTGGAAATCGCAAAGGATGGTTTCGCAGCATGGGGCTTTGTCGACCGCGGCTGTGCAGGCGGTAGCGATGCCAGGAAGTGAAGGACTTTGTGGTCCACCATGTCCAGGTCCAGAATAGGATGCATGTTGAGTATGTTCGCTTTGAAGCTCGTGATATATGACCAGACCTTACTTTCTGAAAAGTCAGGATTGCCATCAGACCGGAGTACGCCTCCCCTGTACTCGATTGGCTCCGGGGATTGTAAGCCACCCAGATAGCCAAAGTCAGCCGAGTCGGAGGGAGACGCCGCGTCCGACGCATCGTCGGGGACGTCAGCAGCACCACTCTCGGTGGGCTCGCGGCTGTACCGCTGGGCATGGGAGTCTTCGCCGCGACCATAGACAATCAGCGGACCTCGCTGTTGCTCGAGGCCGATGGGGTATTCGCTGACGTACTTGATGCCTTCTCGCTCAACGTGAACCTTGGTCAGGTCTCGAATGGATGGCCACTCGAGTAGAAGCCCAGCCAGCGTAGTGTGGTTGATGGGAATGGCGGGCTCGCCAGGTGGGACAGGAGGGCCTGGCTCAGTCTCGCCCACATCTTCTGCCATCATTCTCATAGCCGCGGCCTGCTCGGGCCCCATGGTCCCATTGCTAGGGTAGTCCTGGGGATAGTACCCAGAAGCTCCATTCGGCAGGCTCGGCGATTGAGGTCGGGTCTTGATGCCTTCGTCATTCGTGGACGAGGCTTTGAACAATGGTGGCGCAGCGCCTTGTGTGAAATTTGTGTCTACCTTGGTCTCTACCTTGACCAAGCGGTTTTCGAAGCTGCTGAACTGCTCGGCAAGCGCCGTCAAGGTGTTGTGGATCGCGTTCACCCCGTCTAATAGATCGGCTTGTGCCTTGTCCGTGCTGTTTCCGGTCAACGCCATCATCACTAAACTTGGTTCAAATCGAAAGTACTGTACTTACGCCTTCGGCATCGGATCTCGGTATTTGCACTCCAGTCCCTTGTCCCTGCATGTCTTACATGGCTTTGTTTCATCACACTTTGCCTTGAGCGTGCGACATTGGTCGCATGCTTGTGAGGCGCGCGTATTCTTCTTCTTGGACGGAACCGAGTACGCTACGTTGTAGACGGCGGGTTCGTATGGATACTGGTTCTGGGATTCGTAGCTACCCTGGGTCGGGATGGGCGTCGTGGTCGGAGGCCCATAGGAGGCCGGCGGCGGCGGCGGCGGCGGCGGTTGTGGTGGTCGATAGCCGCCAGGTGTTGGAGGCATCGACGAGCCGTTGTCATAGCTCAGATGCCGCGGCTGGCCATCGGGATAGTTCGCAGGCGGTGGCAGCGAATGATGGTGATTGGAGGCAGGATGCGATGGGTGCGATATTCCTTCAGGCGCATGGCCCGTCGAGTTTGGTCGATGAGGATCCTCGGCGGGATGCTCGCGCTTTACGCTTGCTGGCTCGCGAGGCGGGTAGGGATGGTAGGCATTGCGCGCCGGCGAGGCAGGAGGATGGTGCGACTGGTGCTGGTGTGCGTGATGCTGATGTTGGTAGTGTTCGTTCATTGGAGCATAAGGCTCTTGGTCATGTTTGCGCCGCTCTGTTGACTCGGGGTGCAAGGGCGGCGCGCCGGCAGAAGGGTGATGAAGAGGTGTGGGCGGCGCAGAAGAGTGAGGCTGTAGCGGTGGCGGTGCTTGCGCCTGTTGCCGTTGTTGCTGATGTTGGTGGTGCTGCTGCTGTGGTGGTGGTGGTGGCGGCGGTGGTTGGTGATGATGATCGACGGGACGATGAGGTGAGTATGGCGGGTAGGCCGTGCTCGGGTGGTGATGGCTCGCGGTGGTTCGGACGGGAGGGAGAGGGTTGGTGGTACTATGAGGTCGCGGTAGAACGTTGCCTTGATGCGAGGCAGTTGACCATGGGCTGATGCGCTGTCGCTTGGAGTCGGGAGGTCCAGGGTCCATGATGTGCGACACGCCGGCACGGTACTTGGTACTATATATGTACAAGCACTGAGCACGGAGTCATAATACCGGGAGGAGAGCGAGAAGAAGGTTGACTTGGTGGAAAACGAGGCAGGGTCCACTGAGAGGCGGTGGCCATGGAGGTTCCGCGATGGCGGGTGTGAGGCTCGGGAGCTATACGTAGTGTATAGTACAAGACGGCACAGTGAGGGAAGCGTCGGCCAGTTGTAGCAGAGTTGACGGGCAAAATTCGGGGAGGGTGAGCAAGTGTGATAGATGGACCCTCCGAGCAAGGATCAGACGCGACTCGGGCGACCTGGTGTCGGAGCAAGATGAGGCTATGATGACATTGGGCCCGGGGGGGTGACAGATGCTGAGGTACCTGGGTGACAGGCAGTATCCGTAGAATGCCACGAAATAACAAGTCCTCGAGCGCCAAGAAACGTGCGAGCACGATCTGTGCCTGGGACTGAGATGAAATGGCCTGGCTGGTCGACGCCGCTGGTAAGGACTGGACCCCGGCGAATGGAGCGCTTGTCTGACAGGCAGATGGCGCGGTCGCGGGTGCCGAGCGTCGGTCAACTTTGATGTTTTGCGATTATACAATTGTCCCCGAGCTCAGCTTCTTGCGGCCGCTGGAGGGTTGTTGACTAGCAGCTGGTACTGCAGGATCACACTGTCTTGTTGGTCTCTTGCGACGTGAGCCGCGATTGCGAAGGCTTTGCACTTTGCGACAATGAGGAGACTCCGTGGCTGAGATGAGCAGAACAGCGTCAGCAGTGAGCGAGCAGCGAGCAGTCAACAGCCTCAGGTCAGGTCAGGTCCCAGGTCCCAGGTCCCAGCACCCGTCCGAGAAAGCTGCCCACAGTGGAGCTCCCGACGTTGCTGTCCGTGCGCACGCATGTGCACACACACACACACGCATGTACGTACGTACCGGTACGCACGCAGGGAGCTGAGCTTTTCGGGGTGATGCAAACTTGGAGCCCGCCTGAATACCTGTGGCGCCCGTTTATCCGCGACGTCTGACTGACTACCGTACTTTGCTTTCCGTGGACGAGTCTCTGTTGCCTTTGTCCTACTGAGCACGAAACGTCACCTTGACTCTGAGTGCAAGGTGGTGGAAAAGTCGGCGCCGGGCTAAAAAAGACGGTAAGGACAACAAAGACAGTGCCAATGCCACGCACGGCTGAATGGTGCGGTCAACAGACGAGCGCAGTGGGGAGAAGCACGCCTCGTGTGGGGATGTTCGTTATTTGGTGGTGGTGTACGCACAGGGATTCCTGTTGTCCGACGACCCAGACCAGACCGGTGTCCCAGACCAAACCCAAGCCAAGCCAGAGCAAGCCGAACCAAGCCTGAATGAGCGTGCTGGACCGCTCACCGTGGCCGCTGACCCCTGCGCGAGTCGTGAATCCGTCGTGATTGCGCGTGGACGGATCGGTGCGGGGGGTGGGAGCGCCAGGGCGGCCTCACCCATAGTCCCAAGCCAGCCAACGGTCAGGCTTCAGCAGCAAAACTCTGACGAGACCACTGAGCAATCACCAGAATCCATGGACATCGCATTTTCGCCAGCTTGATAAAGAATCTGATTGGAGATGGTGGTGAGAACGTCTGCGCCCGCCTGTTCTTGTCGACGATGCCTGGCAAGGCACTGAGTACCCAGGGTAGGCACCTTACCAGGTACAGAAGGACCAGGATGACATCACGTGAGCGCATGTCCCTGTGTCTCATGGGCGTTCTTGCTGTTTCCCTCCCCCAAACGTGCGTCGTTTGCAATGCACGCACCTGCCTCTAGCTGCCACCAGTACCAGTGGCAACGACTACTTTTACCTAGGTACGTGCCTGTAGTAATGAGCAGAGTTTGCCTTCACCTGGTGCTGTTGATCAGGCAGAGAAGGGCGGGGCATTGGGCACCACGATTGATGGCATTGACGGGTTGCGCCACGGCCGTCAAAGCCAACGTTCGTAGCATCAGACCGGACACCAGCAACAAAGCAGCGGTCAACTCTTCGCCGTAAGCTACGTACAATGGTGCATTGACGGATCTTCTTGTCTACGGGTCTGATGACCTACTCCAGTGCTCATGGTTGCAGATCTGGCGCGAAAGGCATGACTGCTACGTAGTGATACAAGCAACAAGCCTCCCCTTGTTAGCTCTTCGATTCAGCGCATTGCATGGACATCATCGCTCACCGCCGTGGCATTGGTTTTGAACACCGCCATCTCATCACAAAAGGCTTATGTAGATACAGATACGATGCTTGTCAATCGAAGCTCACCCAAGAACCAAAAGCTGTGTGATCTAATAGTGGGACATCCATTGCGCGGTCGAATTGCTCCGCGTCCAAGCGGTAGGGTAGGCAATTTCAAGGCCAAGCGAAGTGTCGTTTCACATTGATGCCAGCAGTTGTCCAATCGGTCATTGATGAGGCTGCCACTATTAATTTTGTTACCCACCAACCACGCGGCCTCCCGCACCTTCACCAACAGCTGAGTCGGACGGACCTTTATTTACCGTCACCTTTTGCATCTGCGACTACATACGTAATAATAATAACAGCCTCATTATTGACGTGAAGCGGTCAAAGCATGTCTTGTGACATGGCCACGACACGCGAATAGTCTCTATGCGGCCGCAATGCTGCACCTCGCAGGAAATGTGATTCCGATACGGAGTACAGACGTGAATCATGGTTGCTTCGACGTCAGACTGGCTGCCGGCCCGCATTCCTGAAGGCAACGCTCCGGTCCGCGGACACCGTTTGAACTCTATTCAAGATCCAACCGCGGCATGCCGCAGCTAACAACCGTTTGGCTCGACAGTCACTGTACCGTAGGTACGTATTGCTGATTTGATCCTAGGGGCCCATGGGCTGGCAAGAGGTTAGTTCGAAGGATCTCTGTCAATTCACCACCAAGCCAAACTGCGTTCTTGTTGATGCGAGTTTGCTTCCACGAGAGACAATGGCCTTTCCGAAACGCCCGTCAATGCACCGCGATGGCCCGATGGGCACGGCGTGCCCGCCTGGTGCGGAGATAATTACCCCAGGCCCGTTGTGTCTGGGTATCGGCTCGAGTCATGTTCTTGCTGTACATAGTACATACGTCCGGGTTCTTGGATGTTGATTGTTCACAGTTGACCTTGACCTTGACGTAGAGTTTGGATCTAAGCCATGCAGTGGGTACGTTGCACCGTGCCATTGCAGGTGTCAATTTCATCGTTTGCAGACGATCGTGTCTCAGGCCTGGCATGTTCATATCATAATAGGCTGTAGCTTGCTCTTATTGCCCGTTTCGTGCCTGCACATGCATACGCAACAGGGTCCTGACAATTGAGACGCTACGTATTTTCCCCGTGCGGCCACCAGCACACGTTCTACGTAGAAACAAAGGTTGACAAGGGCGATCTCGCTACAGGGGCGTGAGGCGTGGCATGCCCGTCGGTGTTGGGAGCGAGCGGGCTTATTAACTGCGAAGATGATAATCAACAAGGGCACTCGTATTGTCGAGATGAACGGTGGGAACAGTTCGGTGCCGGGCAAGGGATGGAGAGGCGCACTGTTCGGTGGGTGGCTGTTGCTGCGCCTACGTCAGAGCCACAGGCTAATAATTCTCATCACGTGTTTGATCTGATACAATCGTACAGCCATTGTTCATCAATAGTGTCTTCCACGATTCAGCTGATGAGTGACGGTTGATTATCGTGATTTCTTGTTTGTTCGCCTGCTCATCACCAGGCAGCAGCGCGATTTAAAACAGAAGGAATCGACCAACGACCAATGATCAAGTACAATTGTCTTGTCAACGGGCGTCGCAAGGCCCTACCTGGTCAGCCAAGGCAGGTACTTCAATAAAATAACAAAGATCCGACGCCTTGGTCCCGGGTCACGTCGGCTGGACCTCACAAGCGGCTAAAATCAAGCCGTACCAATTAAGAACGGAGGTAACTGTACGAACGGACTGTACTAGGTAATTACTTGATACAATGTAATCCCTGTCCTACTCTCAGTGGATGGTTCGGTGGGTTCAGCACGCGAGTCACCTGTCATGCCGACATGCCCTTTGCCTCTGTACAGTACTTGTAATTGTTCTGTCCATTTTCCGCGTAGTTGTCGTGATTCTTCTGTCGATGAATCGGCTCTCGCCTTTTATTACCGAGCAATAATGTGAAACAGTCGAGCAGCATCTTTCTTGCAAGATTTGGAATTCGCGTCCCATGGCATCCGCCCAGCGGCTCAGTCGCCTCACTCGTCACCACCTGAGGACATTGGCGACCCGTTGTGGCTGGCAGGGCTGGCAGCTACGTATTGCAGGTATCCGTACTACCTACGGATACCACCAGTCTACTAGTCAGTCAGTCAATCAGTGATTCAGTCACCGCTGGGCAGCGCAGTTTTCAGTCTGCGCGACACAATGATTATCAACAATGACATAATTGTGCCATGGCCAGGCCTCCGACATTTGATGGTGCAACTACATAGTGTACGTGTCGTGACAGTATCCAAAAGTCGGTGGTGTATACTAGGGACGACGGCACGCGCACGACCCTTTCTGCGTCTCGTCTGCGTGGCAGAAATGTGCAAAATAATTTCCGGAGTTACGAACTTACGTATCCAGTGGTCCCAAACACAGGGCAGACGAAATTTGCTGTGGAGTTGAGCGCTAATAACGGACATGGGAAGCGGGACGGACCACGAAGCAGATTGACACGGATCCCCCGAATTCATCCAGGGAACTTAGTCAGTCTGCTGATGCTCATGCTACTTGTAACAATAAGAAGGCTGAAGGGGAAAAGCATTTGCCGGCTGGTAAGCACAGGTGACATGTTGTAGCAATCGACAACTGGAAGATCGACAAGCCGCCGGATTAAATACATCAAGGGACGTACAGCGAGCCGCCGCTTGTCTCAACACGCGAGTCATGTTGCTTGTCAATTTGAGGGTATCGGCGCTTACCACAATAGCAATTCGTCTATCCGTACGGCCCATATGCTTTGCAGACGGACATGTCCGTGGATTGGAGCCAGTCTCAACATGACTCTGTATCCTCTAGCGATGACATGATGCCGCCGCCCGAGCGCTGATGAACCACACTGCGCGAGTCGATGAGTGTTGTTGATCATTGAGTTACATTTCGGCCAGCGGCTCTCGCTGAGAGATTCAGAGTAGTCGGGGTTTCTTTTTCTTTTTTCTTTTTTTTTTCAATGACAGGGACAGGGACGGGACAGCGTAACAGGATAAAACATCAACAGCCTCACTGTCGTTCTCTCCAACTAACAATGGCTTGACTGGGTAGGGGCGCTTGGCTTTGTTCTGTGTTGCGCGTCCGTAGCATTGAGCGAACTGGCGTGCGAGAAGCTAATGTACGGAGGTAGGTGATTGCTACTATACATGCACACATTGCTCGCAAAGTGCTCCTCGTTTAGATGCGAACTGTTGGCTGAATGTCTCAGCTGGGCTGGATGGACGATCATATCTACAGGGTAGTCAATAATTAAGCATGTCAAGAGCCCTCGCAACGGCCATTCGGTGTCTCAGCTGACAGACTGGCCACTGCGCGTGTCCAACGAGGCTCAAGCCTCACGCAGATTCCTGTCACAAAACGCAAAAGCATTACTCGTTCCGAGCCAACCCCAAACGGCTGCAACAGTCCCGAGCCGTACTCATGCACCACTGGCAGTTGCCCAGACATGGATCCAGCAGCGGCATCTGCGAATTGCTGAACCCTGCAGCAGCGGCGTTAAAGATCATACGTACACAACCGATCGAACACTCTCCAGTCCAGTCGACCGTCGACCGTACGCACAACACCTCGAGCACTGTGACCACAAGTACTCCGCGAGGTCATACAAGGTCGGCATGAGTCGGCCATTGACATCGCAACGGCGGCGATCATGGGTAACCTTGGCTTCTCGAACAAAACAAAGTAAAGGACCTAGGGGTTCGACGGACGTTCGAGAACCCACTGATCCAAAGTCCCTGAATAAGTAGGCACTGTGATCTGCGACGCACAGATCCCACCAAGAACCCAAGTTTGCACGCTGCGTCTGCATGCGAGTGGCTGGTGCCACGCCTGGGGAACTTGTCAGTGATGCCCAACGAAAGCCGCACGCTGTTCGGTTGGGCTCAATTACCCATCCTCATCGGATGAGCCGAGCCTCTTTTTCTTCATTGGGCAACGACTAGCAAACACTTGTCGATTGCGGCTCAACATGTGGACAACCTCTGTACCTTTTGAGGGGAAAGGGCTGAATGAAGGAGGCCACGCCCAAAAGTCAAAGCACGAGTGACATTCCACGGCGATAGCGACACGCTCTCCAGAGCCAGCTGACCTCCCGAGTTCGACCACAGATGGAGCCGCTCTATGGAACTCGCCACAATACCACGTTTCACCTTTATCATTTCAGCCGAGCGATATGCGTGGATCAGTAAACAGTTGGAAGTATTTTGCGAGGCGGGAAGATGGCGTGGACTATCGCCGACGTCTGCCCCCTCGGCAGTCGTCCAACGCAACCGGTCAAGAAACAATTCTAGACTAGTGCCTGCTTGCGAGCATGAGTGAGAGGAGAACCCCCCAGACCAACAAGTACCGGAATGTTCATTTTCATGGCAACGTCAAGTTTACACAAGAGCGTCAGAAGCAGTTGAGTTCAACAAGCGCAAAGTTATGTGTGAGTCGTGCACATGTCCAGCAACGTCGCTCCCGACATGCATGCATGCATGTATGTATGTATACACGCGCAGACATGGACGAGCACGTCTCTCAGTAAGCTGCCGGCTGCATAGCGTCTGCAAAGACTCCAAAGCTCGTGACTACATGCCTACGGACACGTCCACGCTCGCTCAGGTATGTGCACGAAGATGTACGTGCCAGACATTTGTCGTCTCCCGTTCTCCGCCCCCGCCCCCCCCAATTCACGCGGCTACCCACGCCAGAGACTGTCGCCAGACCTCGCACTCTTTCCTGCAGGACAGACAGAGGTTGCTGTCTGTCTGTATGTTTGTATTACTACATACACACAAGTCACTGCCCCTCCTCCTGGGGAGACTGACTGTTCACGTCGCACAGCCCCCCATCCAACGGACGCTGCAGCACGAATGGGGGGATACAGCCGCAAACACACACGCACACATCACACAGACACATCACACGATGTTCCGTACTTTTTTTTTTCTCACATTTAGCATACGACTACCAGTCCGGCGCGCTGCCGCAACCACCACCACCACCACCAGCCATGAGTGCCACCGGACGCTGCATACCGGTGGCTGCGTGCGGCATGGCAGACGGCTTCTTGCCTCTGATCCCTTTGAACTGAATCCTGCGATCCAGCTGTGCGTACGGCGACTCGCCCGCCTCGCCCTTTTTGACCATCCACTTCTTGGTGCCCAGTTCCGCGTCCAGCTCCTCCACAGGGGGCAGGTCGAGGTACACCAACCCGTCGTCGCGCACCTGCACGGCAAAGGTCGCAATGGAGAGGCTCTCGTCTGTCTTGCAGGCGCCACTCGACAGGTCAAAGTTGCGCTTGTGGTGAGGGCACGATACCCAGGGCGACTTGGTAGGTCCCGCCTGCGCAGCAGGCTGTGGCGCGCCGCTGCCGCTGTCGTCGTCGCCGCGTGGCTCCTGGCCGAGGAGGCCGTCGGAGAGGATGAAGGCGCGCTTGTGGGGGCACATTTGCTGCGTGGCATAGTACCGGCCCCGGAAGCGCCACAGGGCCAGCTGCGTGTCGCCGCGCTTGATGGTGGCTGAGATGCCATTGGGGCTCTCGTCCGCGCCGTCAAAGTACGACGCCTCAATGACGGGCTGCCACGTCGTGCTCGACCAGCGCTCGCGCAACCCCTTAAAGTCTTCGGCGGCGGCGTCCTTGGCCCAGAACACGGGACGGTCCTGCCCGCGGTCCTGCTCCACCTCCATGTTGTCCACGGTCTCTGGTGTGTTTTGAAACTGCTTAAATTTGGCCGCAATGGCCGGTGTCTTGATGGCCTCGGCCCACTCGTCAAAGAAGCTGTCTACGAGTTCCTGCATTTGCGCCTCGAGTGACGCGCAGATGCCCAGCTTGTCCTCGAGGACGACCTCTTTGAGATACTGGAGCCCCCCCGGCAGGTTCTCCAGCCATCGCGCCGTGCGCTGGAGCTTGTCGGCCGTCCGGATGTAGAACATGAGGTACCTGTCCAGGATGGGCACCACCTCGGACGGCGGCACGTCCTTGGCGAGGAGCTCGGAGTGTCGAGGCTTTGCGCCACCGTTGCCGGCGACAAAGATGTTGAACCCCTTTTCCGTGGCAATGAGGCCAAAGTCCTTGTTCTGCGCTTCGGCGCACTCGCGCACGCAGCCACTGACACCACCCTTGATCTTGTGCGGCGCGCGGATGCTCTTGTAGCGCTCCTCGAGGCGGACGGCCATGCCCACGCTGTCACCGATGCCGAAGCGGCACCACGTCGTCCCGACGCAGCTCTTGACGGTGCGCAGCGACTTTGCGTAGGCGTGGCCGGACTCCATGCCGGCGGCGACGAGCTGGCCCCAAATGTCCAGGAGGTCCTGCTTCTTGGCGCCAAACATGTCGATGCGCTGGCCTCCCGTGATCTTGGTGTAGAGGTTGTACTTTTTGGCCACGGCGCCAATGGCGACGAGCTTGTCCGGCGTAATCTCGCCGCCCGACACGCGCGGGACGACCGAGTAGGTGCCGTTGCGCTGAATGTTGCCCAGGAAGCGATCGTTGGTGTCCTGCAGGCCATGCGTGGGCTTGTCCATGACGTGACGGTTCCAGAGCGAGGCGAACATGCTGCCCACTGTCGGCTTGCACAGCTCGCACCCGAGGCTGTCCCGGTCGTGGCCGGCCTCGCGCATCACCTCCTGGAACTTGGTCAGGCGCTTGACCATGATGATGTTGTAGAGATCGGCGCGGGAGTAGGGAAAGTGCGGGCAGAGGTAGTTCTTGACCTCGTTGCCCATGGACAGCATGGTCTTGTTGAAGATGGTCGTGACGAGAGGCATGCACCCTCCGCAGCCCGTGCCGGCCTTGGTGCATGTCTTGATGCCGGTCAAGTCGGTGCATGTCCCGTCTTTGACAGCGTGCACGACGTCGCCCTTTGTGACGTTGTGGCAGGAGCAGATTTGTGTGTCGTCGTCGAGGTCCTCGTCACCATCGCCGTCCTTTCTGGCCCCAAGGATGAGTTCGCTCGGGGCCACTTCGAGCTCCTTCTGGTTCTTCACCATGGGTACGAGTTTGACGTAGTCAGAGGTATCGCCAATCATCATCCCACCGAGTAGATGTTTGCCGTCTGTGGTGAAGATGTACTTTTTGTACACATTCTGAAAGGGATCCTTGTAGGTCAGAGACTTGACCATGGCGTCCGGGGGCTGCTTGCTGATGTTGCCATTGCCGTTGGCTGTGGCCTTGAGAGCGCGAGTGTACTTGGCTGGGAGATACCGGGGCCCGTCACGGTCCGCAAAGTACTCGCCAAAGCTGGCCACGTCGACGCCCAGGAGCTTCAGCTTGGTGCTCAGATCCGGACGCTTGAATATCCTTGGCGCGTGTAGCCTGGCCTGCGTCAAGTTGAACGCCAAGACGTCCGCCATCTCCACGCCCGGGGCGATGAGTCCAAACGTCTGGTTCTGCCAGCTGGCACATTCGCCAATGGCGTACACATCCGGCACGCTCGTGCTGAGGTCATCGTTGACGAGGATGCCACCGCCCCGTTCGGCGCAGGCGATGCCAGCCTGGACGGCGAGCTCGTCTCTTGCCCGCACACCAATGGCGAAGCAAATGGTCGAGCAGTCCATCTCGTCGCCATCTTCAAAGACGACACCGGTCACGCTGTTCGATTCGTCCGTCTTGATGCTCGCGACTCTTTTGCTGAGGAGGACGTCGAGTCCCAGATTTCGAATCTGCTGCACGACCATGGTCCCCGCGTCACTATCCAGCTGACGACTGAGAACCCATCTGTTCCGCTCGACGAGCTTCACCTGACTGTAGCACTCGAGATCTATCATCGCCTTGGCCGCCTCGAGACCCAGCAGGCCGCCGCCCACCACCGCGCCCACCGAGTCCTTTTTCACGCCGGCAAACTCGATGAGACGTTGTAGGTCCTCGATTGTGCGATAGACAAAAACGCCCGTGGCGTCGTGGCCGGGTGTGTGTCTCGGTAGAATGGCGTCGGAGCCCGTGGCCAGGACCAGGACATTGTACGCCACGACGTTGCCATTCTCACACGTGACTGTCCTCGAGGCCGAGTCAATGGAGACGACTTTGGAGTTGATGTGATAGCCGAGTGCGCCCTCGGGCGCTTGTGTGTACCATTCGGCCGGATTGAGGTACAAGTTTTCCACCTTGCGGTGGCCGAAGAAACTTGTGAGGCCCACGCGGTTGTAGGCCAGATGTGATTCCTCGCCGAGCACTGTGATGTCGTACTCGCGCGTCCGCGCGTCGTATTTGAGCACCTTTTCTCTTGATATGGCATCAGCATCGCTCGATATTTGTCTCCGCGCTACGGCGCTCGAGCGAGTGATGGAGAACTTACATGAAGGCAATGCCAACCATGCCAAGTCCGACGACGACCAGCTTCTTCCGTTGGACGGTCATGTTGCTCTCTTGTCAGTGGAAGCACGTTCAACAACTCTCAGCAATGGTAGAGAGAATGTGCTCTGATCAAGTTCTTGCAAAGAGGGAAAAAAGAGGACAGACATCCCCTTGGACCCTGAGATATTCCACATGTCCAGGACTACAATTCCCTCCACGCGGCACACGCACCGCAAGTGCAATAGTCAGAGACACCTACACCAGATCCAAACATGCATCTCCTATCTTCCCACGGACGGTTGCGCTGTTAGAGCACTTCCGTGGGTTGAGCGCGAGGCGACCTCGATAAGAGCGAATGGTCTTACACGCCAGCCAATCAGGGCGCTTGATCAAGCCGCGGAGAAAGCAACCTCGACACGTGTGGGGCCAAGTAGAGGCTGTCACCCGTTCATCAGGGCAGCGATTATCGCGATAGATAAGGCGGGCGTGGAGCAAGACGAATCAAAGGAGATGGGTTCGAAATGGGAGTTATGTCGACGCATGTTGCAGATGACTACTCAAGCTTTACGCCTCTGGTGGTCATTGGTCATGCGCTTCTCATGAGCAGAAGACCACAAAATTATCTCAGTTATGCGCCTGTAACTATCTCCACAAGCTCCGACGTGTGCAAAGCATGGGGATTCCATTCAAGAGGAGGACGTTCTAACAGCAGTGCTTTGTCACGATCTCCTGGAGTGATTTTCGCAATACTGGCTTGTTCCAGTCACTGCTTTATACAGTGAGGTAGATAGGGTAACCTAATTGAAAATGAACACCCACCCCCCCCCACCACGCGACGTCCGTCCACGCTGTCCCGACTTCTATCTAGACCAACCCCACGTCATGCTTCAATTCCCTCCTCCCCTCCATCCCCATCACCAACTCCTCACCACTCGCACCTCACAATGTCCGCCGCCATCCAGACAGAAGCAGGGGACACATTCCCCTTCCCCAAGGACTACTCCTTCCCCGCCTTCTTCACCCGCCAGCCCAACCTCCAAACCCACCACGCCCAGCTCGAAAAGTGGTCCGCCCTCGTCCTCGCCTACGCCCACCACCACCGCCTCTTCCGCTTCTCGCCCACCCACCCCGTCTTCCACAACAAGAAGCTCGATAGGCGCTTCGCCGAGGCCGACGTCCGCGAGCTGCTCGAGCACATGCGCAAGGACGGCCGCGCCGAGTGGGTTGGCAACGAGGTCTTTGTCTACTGGCGCAGGCCCGAGGACTGGGCCCGCAAGCTCGAGAAGTGGGTGGAGGACACGGCTCAAAAAGGTCATGTCCTGACCCTCTACGAGATTACAGAGGGCGAGGCCACGCTCGGCACCGACTTTCACGGCATGGACGGCGAGGTGCTTCTCAAAGCGCTAAACCACCTCGTCAAACGCGGACGCGCGCAGATATTCGGTCAGGACGATTCGCTGGGTGTCAAATTCTTCTGAGCGCGTTCGATGCTTCATGTGGGATTGCTACTGGACACATGTATACATGCGGCTACCAAGTACCGCCAAGGCGCTGGCCCTGGCTGGACAAGATTCAATTCAGGTCGTCGGCGTAGTACTTCTCCACCAGGAACTTGCTGTCAAACCGGAGCTCCTGCGCCATGGCCACGTCGAGCAACCACTGGGGCGCCACGATCCTCGGCTCCATGTTGCCCTTCTTGGCCATCTCCCGGAACCGAGGCCACAGCTGTCTCTCGGCCGGGTTGGCCGTGCTGAGCAGATACACTGGCTCCGGCGGCGCGCCGCCATCCTCCTCGGCCGTTGTGGGCTTGATGGTTGTCCCACTGCGTGCTCGGTAGACCAGCCATATCGCCCCGTTGGCTTGCGCAATCCTCTGGTACGTCTCGGGACCGTGGCTTATGCTGTCGGTGCAGTACACGGGCAGGCCCCTGAGGAGCCGGCCTTTGTTCGCCTTGGCGCGGATGACAGACTGATCAAGCCTGACCTTGTGCTCCTTCTCGTACTTGGCGTCCTTGAGAATAAAGTCCTTGGGATCAGGCAAGTTTCCTGTTTCGAGGGCCTCCTCAACGAACGCGCTGTTGATGACAATCGGGCCACGGGCGAGAGCTGTGAGGAATTTGACCGTCCGTAACACGTGGGGCGCGGCGAGGTAGTCGCAAGCCTGGTTCTCCTGGACAATCTGGATACCCATGTCTCGGAGTTTGCGCTGCAACTTGTCAGTATGAAGCAACAGCCTCAAACGGCACGTACTCACCCTATCCTGGTCCTCTTTGATCTGTGACCCAACCCATCGCTGAAAGCCCGTGAGCACAACGCGCATCTCCACTTCTGGCAGCGACGGCCGAGCCTTCTTTGCTGGGCGCTTGCGCTCCTCCTCGTCGTCTGCTCCAGGCTCATGTGATGAACGCTGCTGTTTCTCTTGCTCCTTTGACTTTTCGTACTGATCGGTGGCGCGTTTCCCACCAAACGGCGTGCCCTGCTTCCCTGCGCGCTTCCTCTCCTTTTCATAGAGCGCGATATCAGGGGCAATCGTTTGTAGCTTGTCTCTCGCTTTGGCTTTGGCGCTCCGCCCGCCTGTCGAACCAATTTCTGGCGTCTCGTTCTCCTTCTCCGAGGTGGAAGTAGCCCGTTTCCTACGCACGGGCGTAGCAACATCCTTGGGAGTTTTTGAGGGTCTGATGGTCTTTTCAAGGTCTTCGTTACTAGCACTGCCAGCGGACGGCCCTTCGGCCATGCCCAGTGCGTTGTCTGCGGCATCATCGAGGATCTTGCGCTTTCTCTTTGTGCCAGGGGACATCATGTCCTCTCCCCCCGGGTAGTACAGTTCCCGCAGACAACGCTCATTGATGGGAGTCTGTCCAATAACCTCGCCCAGGTTGGTCCGCGGTGGGAAATGGGTATATTTCGGCACGGTAATGGGTGTCTTCTCGCACTTGGCGTAGCTCTCCTCGATCCAAAGATGGTTCACCACATCGACGCCCCATTCTGGTGCTGCCTTGCATTTGACGCTTGTATTCCGGGCTGTAATAAGATGCGTATTGTCCTGCTTCATCGTCTTGGTAAACTCGGCTCCGCATGCTTTGATGAGGTTCTCGAGATAGAGGCGGGCCTCACCCCCATAGTTGGAGACCGTGATCTTGAGATTTCTGAACCCTTCAACTCCGTCCCTTGGGATCGGATAGTGCATCAGGCGCCGCATAGGCGACGAGTAGTCGTTCCGCACGATCAAGGAATAGAGCCATGACAGATTGCCGACCTCTTTGCATCGTTGCGCCGCCTCAACATAGTTTTTGCCGTCTCTGTACTGTCCGATGTACCAGTCGCAGTCCTTGACGGTCTCCACTACCCGACCGCCTCCGAGGCTGATAATGTCACAAACCGCCTTGAGCAGCCGGGTGGTGATGTTGAGGTCGTCCGAGAGCATGATCTTGCGATCCTGAAACACGGTCAATTGGCGGACAACGTCGGAGTCGGGGGGCAGTGGGAGGTAAGTAGGGTGTGCCTCGACCGCGTTGTCAAGGTTATCCGTCTGAGGAAAGTCAATGTGATCATCCTTGGACTTCTTGAGGATCTCGGGATCAGGCAGGGTATATGGCCCCTCGTCTATTCGTTTCCCCAACTTGAAGCAGTCGTCAAAGTAGTGTGGAAGCACAATCTTGCCCTTCCACCCCCTTCTCAGTGCCGCCTCAATCTTGTGGTGATTCATGGAGAGGGAGCAGATGTGCGTCGTCAGCCGAGAAGCCTCCTTGCTCTCCTGGCCGCCCAACGCCATGGCCGCCCCACAGATGCTTTCCTTGTCCATCGTGGGGAGATCGGCGCATGTGATCATGAAATCGCGGAAGATCATGCGTGGGTCTGGCGAGTAAGGCCGTGGACTGGCTTGCTTTCGGCGCGCCAACGAAGCCGCGATCCATTGTGTGGTGACGACCGGGATCATCATCGCCTGCGACTCCGCGAACTGTGGGAAGTCGACGGTGTTGGAGACAATGTGGGTGCATTGCTCGAGCGGTAGAGAACCATCGGATGTTGAATCGAGAACTGTAGCGCCATTCTCGCGCAGTGGTATGGAAAGCTGGACATGGTAAGCTTGGTTCACGCAGGGGTTTGGGTGCTGCTCTGCCTACCTCGGCCGCCTGTTTAGGTGCTAGCAAAGAACATGTATAGAAGCCGATGGCGCACTCGCTGAACAGGCCCTCGGGTGCGTCGCCCATCGTGACAGCCGTTGTATGCGCTTGTCTTGGTCTGACGACAGTGAGGTCCTATCTCATGAAGAGACTGTCAAGATGGTGTTTGGTGGCGGCAGAATGCGACGAGTCGCGCATGCCACTCGTGTTGACTGACGCGGGTCGGGACGTGGCGCGCGGACGCGCAGGCACGTGACTGTTAGGTACAGCTACGCGCTTAGCAGTCGCCGGACGCCGGACGACGAGGTAGCAGAACTTTGGGCCGTGTACCCCACCGGCACGCGACAAAGCACTTTGAGGCAGCAGCGCCACCACTCTCCACTCCACGTCTCTCAGGCCGTACCAGCACAATTGACACGCACGGAATTCTCTGAGTTGAATTGTTTGGCATATACCAAGACCCGGAAGTCATGTGTGCTCAGCTTGATTACTATATGGAGGCTGAGGATGCAGCTATATTCACGATGCCCCCTTTCACCAATCTCTGAAGGCGAAAGTAGCGTCAATCCCTTCCCCTACTTTCAGGGTGCTGCTGGCGGGGGCTCTGGAGATGCACTCGGCAGATCTATGGGTGACCAGGGCAAAGGCGGCATGCACTGACAGTCCTCGACACAGGCACAGCTCGTGCCATCACCTGCACACGGATCACCAAACGGGTAGCTCACGAAGAAGAAGTCATCTGCGGAGAGCGTTTGCTCCTCGGCGCTCAGAGCGGAGGCGGCGTCGGACGGTGTGTGGGGACCGGTGCCGTTGGTGTCGTTCTGATTTGCTTCGTTCTGGGGTGCGTGGTCGTTGGACTGCACTTCTTGTTGCGGCGGCTGCTGCTGCTGCTGCTGCTGCTCGTTGAGCATGGTGGACCAAGCAGAGCGGACGTATTCCTGGGTGGCCTCGTTGTATGGATGGGCTGCGCATCCGATACAGCTGCAGTCCGAACCGCACGAGCAGTGATGTGATGTTCCCGGGACGCTGGGTGTCGCGTCTTGCTGGTGTGTCTGAGCGACGTTTGAGGTTTGAGGGTATGGGGCTGGCGCGGTACTGGGCTGTGCCGGCATGGTGAAACCGTTCACTGCCATGGGCTGGCCGACGAAGCCATGCGCCATCATCTGCCGCCACTGATCAGGCTGTAGTGGATGCCCGAACGTACCATACTGAGGTGGGTAGGTGAATATCCCCGGGTGCGCAAAGAAGGGATACATGCCATTTGGCATGCCCATGGCCGGCGGGAAAGCAGGCATCATGATGCCCGGGTGACCCATGGGCGTCTGTGGCATTGGTATTGCAGCGGGCGTTTGCGCCGCAGGCGTCGCTTTAGAGGAACAGCAGCCCTTGGTTGATCCTGCTCTGTCTCCGTTGCTCTTGATCCGGGGCGATGAACTCGATGTCGTGGAGGGCGTCGGCGCGGGACTGTCGCTCTCCACTGCCTCCTCCTTCGACCCTCCGCAGCAACTTCCCTTGGCTGCTGGGGCCTTGGACATGGCCGAGCCGTTTGTTGTGGACGGCGTGCCATTCGCAGGTACAGGCATCATCCGTTGAGGATGCACGGTGTAGGCTGCCGAATAGCCATTCGTCTCCAGTCCTGGCATGTCGAAGTATTGCTGCATGGGCAACGCACCCAGAGGTGTCCCAGGCGCACTGGTCATTGGTGTCATCTGTTGTGAACCTCCTGCCGACACAAGGTTGAGCTGACCCGCCGCGTCCATCTTTTCCATACCGCTTGGGTTGAAGTTCCTCACTGCGGCACTCGCCCGTCTCGATTTGGATACTCGATAGCCTCCACCGTTGCCGCTGCTGGTGGGTGATGTGCTCTCCTCCTCGAGCCTGGCCTCTGTCGCTGGCGCGGTTGTTGTCGTCGGCGGCGGCGTCGTGGTGCTCCCCTCCCCACAGCTGCATTTCTGCTTTCTCGGTATCGCGGCTGTGACCTGACTGCACGCACATGGCTTTGAGCTTGGATGCGGGCAAGATGACAGTGGACGACCGGGTTTCCGCACAGGTACCATGAGCCGCTCATTGGCGTGCGTACACTTTGTCGAACGATGGCCGCGGATGCATGGCTCGCTGTGGAGTGTTGGGTCAGTACAGGATAAGCAAATGCGACTAAAGAGCGCAAGGTAGAGGTGAGATTACCAGGCCATCTTTTGCCCGTTGATGAGAGGCATGATCAGATACCGAGGTGAGACAGCGGCGCAGAGTCAAGGTAAGATAGAGTAGAGTAAGCGCCTTTAACTGGAGGTTGGCCACGCAGCGACGCCTGCACCCTGCGAACCCTCTCTCCTCTTCTCACTCTGATTGCAGGAGTTGTTATCACGCTGAGGCTCCCATGTGACTGTCGCTCGCACTCGAGCAGCGGACACAAGTTGACTGGCGCAAGGAACAGATATCACCGCAAGTGGAGATTTCACCAGACTTCCAAAGTCCCCAAGTCGCGGGCTGAAACGGCGGGCGCGGATCGCCTAGCGTTGTCGCAACGGACGGGCGGCGTGAGGAGATGCCGACGATAGGAAAGCCGCGGCGTTGGCTCGGTCAAGGAACAGGATATGACTGATTTTTTTTTCACGGATGATGATGATAATAAAGGGTGAACCAGGCCGGCGCAGATGTGAATGAGAGTGCATCCAACGCCTTGGCGAGTCCGTTAATAAAGTGCCCCACGTTGGCGCAGGTGAGGTCGGATGCAGTCGGCAGTACTTGCATGTGGGATGGGCCCGCCTCATTGCTAACACTCGTGGGGTGCCCCAGGGTGTATTCATGTTAGCGTGCTAGCAGATCACGCGGGAGACTTGGTTTCGCCTCAGGGCTGGATCGCTTCAGACTCAGGCGACGACGGACGACCAATTAATGATCTTTGGTGTTCAGGATAGCATGACCATAACCACAGCTACACCTACGAAAACCCTTCTCAATATATAGTCTACGTGTAGCTGGTGTATACAATGCCGTCACTTTCGCCTCCATGAGTGCTGTCATCGCCTGTGGCGGGACCAAGTGAGCATGGCCATGAGGAGATCTGATTTGCAATCAACAAGCCACATCACAGCGGCAAGGACCACCAGAAACAACAAACCAGCCCTTTTGGCGTCGATCAGACCGCTCGCAAGGATAGGATTCATCAATTTGTTTTGTGGGTGGCTTCCAGAGGAGAGGAGCACCCTGGACACCGTGACCAGGCTGAAGTGGTATTGAGCAAGTTTCTATTGGCCCAAAGCGAGCGCCCTCCCTGACAGGGCCTCTGAGCTGTCTACCACTTGACAACAACATCCGCTAACGTCCGCCGTGTGAGGGGAAGCCTATCCATAGATATTTCCATCTCGTCGTACGGGATCGTGGTGCTTATTTTTTGCTGGCGGTCAATGGGTCTTGGTTCCGTGTAGTTCATGGAGTGAGCCATGTGTGCCCCGGATGCCTTGTGAGCGAACCCCTGAACCTCAGCAGTCGCAACAAATTTGACCATATCCGAAGCACCGCCATGCTGGAGACCGACCGACCGACCGACCACCTCGTGATGGCTCACAGAGTTTTCTATCGCCCCACCAGTACGATAGAGGGGCGGCGTGCGTGTTGCATGATGCTGGATAGGCGCGCTGCACATGTGTGCTCTCGAGCTGACGTTTAGTATGCTCGTGAACCCTGCCGATATGCATCATTGCACTCAGCCAAGCGTGGGATGTTTGCCTCTCAAGCATGATATCTCAGGGCTTTTCGCCTCCAGACCCGTCCGAGTCGGCAAACATGTCCACTGCCCGCATCCTGGGCTTCTTGCGGACACCCTTCTCACCCGTGGGCTGCTCCTGCGGCGGCTGATGGCCACCCACCACCTCGTCCTCCCCTGTTGGCTCGCCCTCGACATCTTCGTCTAGAATCGGCTCACCTTCCACATCGTCTTCATCGATAGGTTCGCCCGCAATGTCATCTTCGTCCATGGGCTCGCCCGCGACATCATCGTCTTCGATAGGCTCGCCAGCGATGTCGTCGTCTGCCGGCATCGATCTTCTGGCGCCATGATCGTCTGTGACTCGCGCGTTCTCTGACGATATCTGGACGGTCTTCCACTTGCCCTTCTTCTCCATCTCGTCGTCTTCCATCTTTTCCTCCACCACTTGTAGACTCGGCGGCTTCGCAAAGGTCTTGACAAACATCTCCTGGCTTTCCACAGGGAACATGCAAGCACCTTCCCAGAGATTCAACACCAGGTTCACACTGCGCTGCCACTTGTCCGCGCGCATACGGCCCCAGCCGTACTTTTCTGCCATGCACCCCAGCCGCTCAAAGACGTTCCTATCCCGTAGGGCAGCCTCGAAGAGCTGTCGGAAGCGCCAGGCGTGGCGCACGCCGCTCGTAGAAGAGGCCGATAGAATGTCGCTCACAACGTAGAGGCCAATGAGGTTGGCAGCACTGTTGTCTGTGACCTCGCCGGGCCCGGTTTCGTCGGCTTTCTCTCTGTTGTCGGCCGGACGGTGTGGATTCGCGGCGGTCAGAGCGAATGGCTTTTCAATGTTGCTGACGATCATGTCCACCACTTCGTCGCAACCACGACTGGCGTGCATGAGCGCGAACGCTGCGACCCGGGCAATGTCGCCTTTCCGAAGCCTTGTGAGACTGGTGGGTAGCCGCGCCAGGAGGTGCGTGAGCTTAGCCTTCTCCAGCGGGTTCAGGAATGTCTGCTCTGCTTCCTTCCCTTCGCCGTCCGTGTCTTCCTCATCATCAGAGCTGTAATCCGAGTCTGATACAAACTCATCCAGCCGAGTCGTGTACTCGAATGGCAGTCGCCTCTCGGGTGTCTTCCATGCATGCCCTCCTTCAAAAAGGGGGACAAAGCGACCTTGAGAGCGCCCGTTCTTGGCATCCGTGATCACCTCCCATAAGCGCCATCGATACCATACCCCACCGGCACTTCTCGCATCCCAAAGCCATGCCCATCGCTCCTCTCTCTGAACCTCGGGACGTGACATGAGTAGTGCCTCGTATTCCGGCCCATGTTCGAGCACTCGCTCTATCACCAGGTTGATGAGCTGCAACGTCCGGACGTCGTTTGGGGGCTTGACAGGGACATGCAGTAGCCCTGCTCGACTGACGCCACCCATTGGCTGGTTGTAGCTTGTGGGTGGTGCAAAGCCCCTTTGGAAGCCAGCTTGTGGTCTCGTGTCGTGCGCGCTCGCGGGTTGCTCGACGTGCTTCGCACCAAACGGTCGGCTATCAGCATTGGAGGTAGCCGTCGCACCACTGCCAGCAACCCCGGCCACTGCCGATGACAGATGCCGATGCAAGGACAGATAATGGCCATATCCCAAGTAGCGATTCTGCAGTGCGCTGACGGTGGCCTCAATCTGTACTCCAGGTGTATCTTGCGACAACGTCACGATGGCGGCCGCGCTCTTCCGTTCAAGGCTTCCGTGTCCGCTCGATGACTGGATCTTCACATCCTCGACCGTGAGGTGGCCCTGTACGAGCGCCTTTATCACGGAAGGCGACGTTCCCGGTGGTAGGTTGGTCAGGCGCAGCGTCGGTCGCGCAATAGCCTTCTCCTCTGCCCTCTCGTCCTCGTCATCCTCGTCGCTACCAGCGAACGCCTTCCTCGTGCCTCGCGCAAAGTCCTGAAATGAGAGCTTCTTGCCAAATCCTCCTGGAGGAGGACCCAGGCTGCCCGGCCCGCTCTTCAAGCCCGAGGCTCCGAAATGTCGCTTGGGCGCGCCACCGCCACCGCGTCCTGGAAGCGCCCCAAACGAGCGCGCGTCCCTGTCCCTGCCTCCAGATACGTTATGATCGTCTCCCTCATCGCGATTGAATGACTTGATAAAGTCTTTGTACACCGCTTCGGTCTCGGCAGCTTCGCGTTGTCGTTTGGCTTCGGCGTCAGCTTTCTGCTTGTCAAAGGCGGATTGCTTGCTCGGTTTCTGGAGCTTGGCGGCGACGTCGGGAAACTCTTTGAGGTCCTTTTCGGATGACATGTTGGACAAATATCACGAGGGTATCATAGTGGTTGATGCGGAAGCTCTATTTCGTTGGAGGGAGCCTCAATGGCATGACAGAGCTTCCCAACAATCGGTGCTGCGCTCCAGGCAGATTTGCATAAGCACATATCCCTCGCTATATGCATAGAGATCATCGAAAGGCATGTGAAATGGCTACCTTCATGTTGTACGAATAGAGCTGCATCAATTGTCCCGGGTGTCTATACTGGATGATGTATCTACTCTAAATATCTAAAGCTTTGCTCTGCCGCCCTTCTTAAACTCCTCTGCCAGGATCATTCCTGGCTCGCCACCACGACTCCCGTCCCACGTCAACAGCCCCTTGTATACACCATTCTCATCGACTCGCCCACACGCATCATTGACCACATCCTTCCAGCGCCACTTGTTGGCAAAGTTCCCGCCTTTGCCCTCCAGCACGTCGACAAGCTTGTCGCCAATGACGGGCAGGAACTTGAAACCATGCCCGCTGTCGCCCGTTACGACGAACAGGTTCTCCCAATTGGGGTGCCAGTCCACCAGCCAGTCCGCGTCGCGCGTGTCCGAGTACCAGCAGATCTTCTGCTTTGCCCAGGGCCGCGTCTCTAGTCCCTTGAGGGGACACATGTTTGTCAACGCCTTGCGGAGGTCGGCGTCTGCTTCGGCGGGGAACCCCTCGCCGCCATGGTCCCGTGCTGTCCTGGGGATCGAGGCTACGATCGGCTTCCTATCGTCCTCTGGCGAAAGGGGCAGAGCATTGGGGCAGACCACAGGGTTGAGGTACCCAAAGCCGTGCCGGGCCACCTTGAGGAGTCTGTGCTTTGCGGGAATCACAAAGTGGCCCGTGGCAAAGTTGATCATGATCGGCTTCGTGTCCATAATCTCCTGCTCCTCTTGCGTGATGTCAATGTACCCGAGGACGTGGCCAGTGGCTTCACAGCGTCCCCTGAGATCGATCAGCGCGCCGGTCCACGCGCCGGCAGCGAGGTAGACAATGTCGCCCCGGAGCACGCGGCCGTCCTGCACCCGTGCGCCGACAACCTTCTTCCCCTCGGTCACCAGCTCCTTCACCTCTGCGTCGACAAACTTGACACGATTCGTCCGGCGAACCTGCTCGTACAGCCAACGCATCCCCGCGGCGTTATCAGCCCAGCCGCTCATCTGATTGACATAGCCCCAGGTGCCGGGGTTTCCATCTGTCCCCACAATCTTCTTCAGGTTCTCTCTGCCTTCGATCGTGCGCACCTTGTTGCTGTGACCTTGTCGCTTTGCGATAGACGCCACATTCTCCCACGAGGCCTTGACATACTCCATGCCCGTCTTCTTGTCCTTTTCGCGCCCGTCAATGTCTTCGGCCATGACCACCATGCCGCTCTCGCTGTATCGGCCCTGCCCACCGACTTTGTCGTCGCCTGGCTGGCGCCATTGCGCTTGCGCCTCGGCGGCAAAAGCTGCGTAGTCCGGGTCCGCATAGTCGGCGCGAATGATCCTGGACGTATCGACGCTCGCTGCGTCCTCGGGCGGAAAAGATGTCCCTCGCGAGTGGTCTACGATTGTAATCGTGGTGTTGGCGAACCGAGGACGTTTGGTCAAAGTCCAGGCCGTCGTCAGGCCCATGAGGCCTGAGCCTACGATAAGAATAGAGTCGGGGGTCTGCTGCATCTTCAATTTCGCACAGCAACAAGGCAACGCATGCAAAAAGACTGTATTTCCTACGTGGAGGTTGTTGAACAAACTTCTTTTGGCCCGATGATCGGACATGCAAGAAATGGTCTGCAGCTTGGCGCCTCAGAAAATGACCATCCCCTCTCCGGCTATGTTCCGAAGTCAGCAAACGTGAAGAGCAGTGCATTCGTACATAGTCAAAGGGTCTAATCACGTTCGGATGCGCCAATATTAAGCATAATATGCAGCTTGATGTATGTGAAGCTGTCGTACTGCCATGCGGATGTGGTACTTTGCATGATTACCATCCATCTGGTGACTGACGACACCAACAGCATCTTCACCAAGCAAGATGCCATCCTCTCCATCGCTCCTTTTTTATGCCTTTGGAGTGAAGCAGCTATAGCAGCTCCGTCCGTGGTCATGTCTCATTCTCAGCTTCCGCACGCCCAACCTTTTCTTTCGAAAAGTGTCAAAATGGGATTTTCAGTGCTGATGAGCTGTATTCGCCATTACCGAAAGCCCAGCAATCTATCATGTGTGTCGTGGGAGTAGTAGTCTTGTTGTTGGCCCAGGCCGATTCGTCGCAAAAAAGAAAAAAGCAGAATCCTTCCCCTCCCCTCCAAACGCCGATGCAATGCCAAGAGAAGAAAAAAGGGTCAAAGTGTACAATCGAAAAGAGAACCTCCGTGCTACTATGGCAACGGAGATTTCAAGGTCGAGAAAGCCATGGTGTTGTGAGAATAAACTCTTGCCACAAGAAGTCGCGAAGGGCGACCCGGTGCGTCTTGCTTAGACTTTGCGGAAATCTAATAGAAAGTTAGCCGCCGTTCCGGCGCCACCCAGTAGAACCAACGTACCTTGCAACACAGGGTAGATCATTTCGAACGCCTGGTATATCTCCTCGCGAACTTTGGCACCCGTGAGCACGATTTTGCCGCTGACGAAGATGAGAAGCACAATCTTCGGCTTGATCATGCGGTAAATAAGACCAGGGAACAACTCAGGTTCGTAAGAACTGAAGTTATGATGGCGGGATGCCAGTCCCTCCAAGCGAATGGGGAACTTGATGTCACACGAGCCGACAATGTTCTGGATCTTGAAGTCTGTGAACTTGGCGTTGAAGCCCAGCTTCTGAATGATACGCGCGTACTTGCGCGACGCCAACTTGGAGTCGTCCTCAGACTTTGCACCAGTGACAACCATCTTGCCGGAAGCGAAGATCAGGGCCGTTGTCTTGGGTTCGCGAATGCGCATGATTACAGCGGCGAAACGCTTGACAACATGTTAGCAATTGTTGCATTGTAAACATGAGCAGCACACAGTACCTTGGGATTGTACTCTGCGTTCCTCGCGTGCAGTGCAATCGTCTTGAGGTCCAAACGGCAATCAAGATTGACAGTGGCCACGATATTTCTTAAAGCGTCGTAAGCCTCACTGAGCAAATCAAGAGTACTCAGTGGTATACATACTGCAAGGTAGGTGTAATGCCACTGGGGCCTTGGTTGGCAGCAGGCGTGGCGGCAGGAGTGGCGGGAGTCACCCCATTTCCGTTCGCAACCTGCTGGCCTTGAGGAACTGGCTTTTGCCCGTTCTCGCCGTTCGGCGCCGTCTCGTTCTGGGCTCCGGGGAAGGAGAGTGAGCCAGGCGCCGTGAACGCCTTAGCCTGCGCGGCGTTCGAGGGGTGCGTCTGTATGCCTTCCATGATGGTGATTGGCAGATCCAGGATATGCTACAGAAGTATCCGTGGAGGCGTTGAGCAGATCTAAATGAGATGCACGGTCAGCCTGTTTTCGCGCTACTAGTGGCAGCGTCGTGCAGACAGACTGCCATCAGCCAGAGCGACTGCACGGCTAATAAGTGCGACGCGAGCAGGATGATTGAAGTGCTGTCCAGGGTGGGGAGGCCACCTACCAGTTTGCGGGAGATAAACAAGTGAATGTCTCCCCTACAACGTGATGCTCGAAGGAAATGGATAGTGATGTGAGTCCGACGGAACCCAGCGCACACAAGTGAGTGGTGAGGTTACCGGGTCGGTAAATCAAGAGGGGTGATGGCGATCGTAGTAGAGGTCGCGTGTGAGATTCGTTTGACGACCTGGATGGATCTCTTGCCAATACCGCTCTCTTCACTTCACAGATTTTCTCACGGGGCTTCGACTACGCAGCGCAACGATTTGATTGTTACGATCGGACTTGTGTAACGTCGAAAATCGGTTGCGATTCAAGTGTTGCGAATTCGGAAAGGGAACGTTTTCAGTTCGCTCGACCCGGTGGTTCGCGATGGGATAAATGCGTCGACACTTTTTTTCTCAAATGAGCGATCGCACACGTATGCCACACGTGGATTGTGAGGCACGGGTGTTTAGTTGGAAGAAAGCCGGTTGACAGAGTCAGGGTGGAAGAGAGCGATCCAATGTGGTGGGGTTGGATGACGTTTCGTGAGTGTGAGTGAGGTAAATGTGGTGGAGAAGGAATAAAGTTGTGCCGAAAGGATACCTGGTTGGGGGGCAGGTACGTGACGGCTAATCGGGACAACAAGGCAGAGCGACCAGACGAAACTGGTGGTCCGGAGGGGGAAGGCCGACTCTTTATAATCGCAGCCTGCACAGGGGCAAACAAAGACACCCTAGGCAACCGCACAGGTTGGGGCGCCGCCTGTGGTGGACGGCGCTGCAGGCTAAGGTCCGCGCTAAAAATTTTACAGCCAATCACACCACGTCTACACAGCAGTTTCGTCGATTTGTTCCCCACCGCAGCCCCTGAAGTAGCGCAGGTGGTTGCAGGATGTTCCCTTGCAACACGTTGCAATTCGCACAAAGTGCGGCACAGAAGGGACTGCCAAAGCCCTCATCGAGCCCTCAACCCACTGCTCCTGCTGCTTGTTCGTCATTGACGGGCCAACCTGGCTGTCAGTGCGACGATCATGACATTGTACGCTTGCGAGGCGATTATTTTCACCCGTGTGCTTATGGTTCTGTCCCAAAATAACACACAAGGACACTGGGCGTTCGACCGGGCCTGAGCCAAGAGGTGCTTGACAGACAATGGAGGTAGAGAGGACAAACTCGAAGAGAAGAAGAGGTAAGTTGGAAGAGAGAATGCGGTGGAGGGGGGAAGAAAGAGTCGAGATTGCAACAAAAGAGCTCCGATGCGGGTTGACAGGGAGGGCGATGACGGGTCTCGGTCCTGACGGGCCTTGTTGGCCTTTTTTGTCGGACGCGCTCACACTGCCACAATCCTGACACGCGGACACCCTCACAACCCCCGACCAACACGAAAAAGTCGCGCCCTGAAACACATAATTTTTGCGCGCTTCAGCAATTGCCTCGTTTCCTTGCATTATGCTGTCGCGTCTTCCTTGCTTAGGTATCATGGTCTACCCATCCCGTCAAGTCCTCTTCATGTGCGCCCGATAAGGTCGTTCAGGAGGTATGCGAAGCGGTCTGTGGTCTTCCCTGCCAACTCATTTCCTACCTGCGCGTCACATTACATTAATGACAAGGTCTAGTCGCCTTGCCGTCCCGCCTGGATAGACTGGCAACACCGACTCCCCAAGACATGTTCTTCACGCGCCACGAGTCCGAACGACAAGTGTCACGGTTCATGGTCCTCTTCACTGACAAATGTCGAACATGCCAGACCAGCTGTGTAATTAGGATCGCACCGGACAAAAGCTTGACACCCTCATCGCTGTGTGAGTCATGAACTTTTTGGCCAACTGGCACGCGTAATTTCATAGCGGCCCCAAGCCTGACCGGTTCCGGCTGCTAGTGGCTGAGATGCATTACGTACCGACACTGGACCCACCACTAGGACATGGAGCCCAGCCGTCACTACGTAAACGGCTGGAGCCAGAGGCTACATGTAGAGCACGGATCCGAGCCGCGGCTCTGAGTTTACCATCATCACAAGCAAGCATGATTCCGGACATTCAGAGGCATAAAAAAAAAGGCGAAAGCACAATAATTAGCCACACTATGTGCGCAGACGATGCGCGTGAATACTTGCCCTCAAGGCCAGACGCTCTGCTCAAGAGTCCTGGGAGAAAATAATGAAGTCGCCGTCCGCATACATCACCGTGTACAAGTACCCGCTGCTTCTTATCAATGTACTGCACTAACAATATCTTCTCGCTCACGCTAGCTTGCGATCCGACTTACACCAATGGGGCAAGCCGAGGCGTGCCTCGAGGATTCAGAATGAGACTCCCCGGAGCCGCAAATGGTCTGTTGGTCTTAAACTCGATGTTGTACAAGTGTTAGACGAGTGTCCTCCACCATGGGAAGGGATAAATCTCACAACACCCTTCCTACAAGATCCTCGTGGTACGGACGAACCTTAGGCCAACTGTGAGACATTGCGCGCTACTGTGACTCGCGAACATGAATGCTATTCATCGCCCTTCGCTGGGCTGTGTTGTCTCTGTTTGATGTTGTGCGTACTCCGTAGACAAACATGCATTCATGCAGCCGTTGATACGAGATGAGAATTCTGGAGTAGCCACCTTGTCATTCCTCTACATGCGATGCCAACCGGATTCTTTACAGATTTCGGGAATACAAACAAAGAACTGGTATGACATGTAGTCCTATGTCATGTAGTACTTGGGTCCCTCCCCGCCCTGTGGCACCTGCCAGTTGATATCCTGGTGCGGCGCCTTGATATCGCACGTCTTGCAGTGAATGCAGCTGTTGGTTGCGTCAGTTTCATGGTCAATCAACCCCAGCAAGGTTGCGGACTTACTTCTGGGCGTTGATCTGGAATCGAACGCCATGCTTCTTGGAGGGATCCTCGACGTATTCGTAGACGCCAGCCGGGCAGAAACGGTTCTCCAACCCTTGATAGGGAGGATATGTCTCGTCCTTGTGCTGGTCCCAGTCCCTGACCTGCAGATGCACGGGTTGGTCCTCCTCATGGTTGGTGCCTGTCCGCGACACGCTGGTCAAGATGTCAAATGTAATCTTGCCGTCGGGCTTTTCGTATTCAATCTTGGGGAACTTATCGGCTGGCTTGGTGGAAGCGTGGTCCGGCGTCTTGTGCTTCAAAGTCCATGGCGTTCTGCCCTTTAGGAGATACGCCTCAAGACCAGAGTACAGGATTCCACCGTAGAGGCCGAGGGGGTTGTGGAATGACGGACGCATGTTGCGGACCTCTTTGAGTTCAGACCAGATGGGCGATTTGCGCAGCTTGTCTTCGTAATCGTACAGGAAGACGGTGCCGTCCTCGCTCTTGCCGATGGCGGTCCAGGCTGCCTCGGCGGCCAACATGCCGGATTTCATGGCATTGTGGGTGCCTTTGACCTTAGGCACGTTGACGAAGCCCGCCGAGTCGCCGATCAAGGCGCCACCGGGGAAGGCCACTTTTGGGATCGATTGGAAGCCGCCCTCAATCAGAGCGCGAGCGCCATATGAGATGCACTTCCCTCCTTCCAGGACATTGCGGAACAGGGGATGCATCTTGAGCTTTTGGAACTCTTGGTACGGTGACATCCACGGATTCTGGTAGTCCAGCGACACGACCAGACCCAGCGACACCAGGTTGTCGCCAAAGTGATACATCCACGAGCCGCCGTACACGTCCTTGGATAGAGGATAGCCCATGGAGTGGACAATCGAGCCCTTTTCAAATTTGGCGGGGTCAACCTCCCATACCTCCTTGATTCCTAAGCCGTATGTCTGATGTTGGCTGTCGCTCCGCAAGTCGAACTTCTTGATAACCTGCTTGCTCAGACTGCCGTGGCAGCCCTCGCCAAACATGGTGACCTTGGCGTGGAACTCCATGCCACGCTCAAAGGTATCCTTGGCTTTGCCGTTCCGTGCAATGCCCAGGTCGTTCGTCGCCACGCCCTTGACGGAGCCATCTGTATCGTAGAGGACCTCAGCCGCCGCAAACCCAGGGTATACTTCGACGCCAATCTCCTCTGCCCTCTCGCCTAGCCATTTGACAAACTGGTTCAAGCTCACAATGTAGTTTCCATGGTTGCTCATCTGGGGGGGTGAAGGGATAGGGATCGCCGACGTCTTGGTCAGGAATCGCATCCTGTCCGTCCCTGCTGGTGTCGCATACTCGAATCGGTTCGGGTTGTCTTCGTCCAGCCAGTCTGGGATCAGTTCGTTGATGCTCGAGGGCTGAATCACAGCGCCTGAGACAATGTGTGCGCCCATGTCGCCCGCCTTCTCCAGCACGAGAACCCTAAAGTCCTCGTTGCCGGCCTCGTTCGCGAGCTGCTTCAGCCGAATGGCCGCACTGAGCCCGGCAGGCCCGCCCCCGACAATGCAGACATCCACCTCATCAGATTCGCGCTCGACCGTGGCGGGGTCAATGCTGTCGTCTTCGACGCTCCGCAGTGTCCTTGTCGTGCAGAAATCTCGGCGGCCGAAATGTCGTGGAATGCCAGCGACGGGTCGAGCGGCCTGTATGTTCCGCCTTGAAGTCGAGATGGTGGCGGATCTGGTGACGGCATTACCAGCACACTTTGTCGCGAAACGCGCAGGTAACGCGCGACTGGTGCGCTGAACACACCTTGAGGGAGCCGACATGATCAATGCCTTCAGAGACTCGGCGAGCGTTCCGTATGAGTGGCAGTCACCAGGTGCACAAGAGGTCAAAGACCAGGCCGGGCTGAATATCAAAGACCGGAGTGCATCATGAAGGCCGGGTGGATGCGGCTTGACAATATCAGGATTTTGATTGGCTCACCACGTTATACTGGGAGTTCACAGCCGAATGTGCATGTGCCCCGGGATTGTATAGCCGACTCCAACCGCTCGCTGCGATCTACCTACCTTAATATCGAAGGCATCATTTCATCGGCAAGTCCAATGGCTGAACGGGCCGTGGGGGATGGTTAGGCAAGCGTCGGCCCAAGGACATCCATCCAGATCTGGCATCGGATATGGCTACAATCGAGGAGTCAATCGCTCAAACGACTTACCCGAGGCTACACATGCAGCACTATCAGCGGAATGCCGGTCGAGATCTACCTACCCTACGCTATGTCCATCAATGAGGGGACCAGGACCACAAGGACTGCACAGGAGAGAGTGACTGACAAACATTGTACACAGATTTTATACGTTATCTTTGCATTTGATCTGTACCATCAGGGGTCACTCGCTCATGGTAACAATGCTTAGCTCAAGTCAAACCCTGCCCCTGAGGAAACCGCATACAGCAGTTTCTCTCGCAACGCCTTCCTCGTCTTGTATCTGGGAAGTTTCAACAAATTCACACAGGTACTCGCACTGGGGAGTCTTGTCTCATCCGTGCCAGCGTCTCTGATGCTGAATCTGGGCACCAATTGCGAGAATCCCAACAGTGGAGCTCTCGGCGTCGAGGTAACGTACTTTAGTACGTCTCGTCGTTGTGCATCCGTAAAGTCTTCCTTGAGTACCTTCCAGAAGAGCGCCACTGTAGGGTGCTCGAGCCCATCGTCGCCGATCTCGTATACGCCACTACAGTACGTGTTCCGGCGCAGATCCTCGACATCAATTTCCGTGGAATCGCCGCCAACAAGACGCTGCAGCTCGACTTGGTTGAACATAGACAACCAATGCGGCTTGATGATCTGGCGAAGTCCGCGTAGGAAAGCAGCGGTCTGCGCTGCACCCTGGGCAACGAGGCGATGGCGTGCCACGTACGAGATGTACAACAAGCGGTTGTCCATGGTAACACTGGTTTGATCTCCGTTGGGGATGAGGTTCCTTGTAACTGTCTGAGTCGCCTCTCCTTTGGGTGTGATTTGGTCTTCGATGGTGAAGTTAGTGTCCAGCTCCGAGAAGTCCCCCGAATAATTTTTGAGACGCATGAGTCCCCTGTAAAGGTCCTCGTCCATGTCTTTCAAGTCATTTACACTCCCCTTGTAAGTGTTCTTTTCCCCTGAGGAAGGCCACTGGAGAAGGAAGAATCCCGCAAAAATGAGGTCGACCAGGATGCCCTCATACAGGCATTTGCCGATAATCCGACCCAGAAACTCATATCGTTGTAGCATCTTCTTGAGCACTTGGGCCTGTGAGTCTGCCGGCAGATCATGCTGCTTCATGCTATGACGCAGAACATCAACAGCCGTGGGGTCTGGATACAATAACCCTTTCTCGTTTGAAACAAACATGTTTCCCCGCTCGAATGCTTCCATAGTCACGCTCGTCAAGAACTCCTTTGTGACGCCACCGCCGTCGATTCCTGGCTCAGGCTCCCCGAACTGGTCGACAAACGTGATTCGAATCAAGTCCTTGAGGCCGTCGGCTATGGGATAAAAGCTTTCAAAAGCGTCCTCAAACAGGCTCCCTCGTCTGATCGAAGCATCGTGCTTAGCCTGGAAGCCTCCGACGTCAAAACCACGAGCGTCTACTTGATGTCTTGAAGCTATGTCATTGCGAATGAATTCGCGGAAGATCTCGACACGGGTGTCGAAAGGAACGACAAAGGGTATGTGTCGTAGGACCTCCAGCTTGGGGCCCGATTCCGCAAGACGATGGTCCCTGGCTTTCCGGCGTCTTTCGAGCCGCATGCGTTCAGCGCGTGCATAAGGGTTTGTGAGCACGCGACTAAGATCTGCCTCCCACGCGGAGTCTTCGTCCTCATCGGAGCTTGCATCTTCGGCAGCTCGACGTTGGTCCTCCATGATCACGGCCGCCCTGAGTTCGCCCGGTGGGAGTTGTGTTGGCATGAGCCAGTGCCCTTGGGGTAAGAATTGCTTCCGAGAATCCCTCTCGTAGAGCATCTTGACCGCTGTTGTCACGAGCGTCCTGAGTTCATCGAGATTTACCACTCCTGCTACCGGCGTGGGAAGGCTTTGACTTGGCCGTGATGACTGCAACCTATGGGCGTGGTAGTGTAGAACGTAGCTGGCGTTTTTTAGGAAGGTGGTCAGCGACAGCAAGTCGTCCAAGCCCAAGCTGCTTTTCCTGACCTGGGATAGTGGCTGCGCGTCTTGAAAAGGTGAGGCTTGGATCTGGCTGAAGAAGTCGTCATCATCGCTAATCCGGAGCACGAATATGTAGAGACCCAGGAACATGAGCAAGGATGTCCAGCTATGTTGATCGTCTTTTGACATGTCCTGGTGAGACAACTGGTGCATGACTGTGAGAGTCTCTGCGCCGTGCTGGACCTCAGTGAAGAGCCGTGTTCCGCTCACCTCTCGCCAAAAATACTTTACAATAGAGGACGAAGGGTCGTTTCGGTTGTGGTCGGGCGTTGACAGTAGCAGACGCATGCGAATGTCATCCGCCTGAGATGGGAAGCTCGAGAGCAAGGTTAGCGTGTAGGCCGCAAATGGTGCGGCAGAGTCCTGCGCGCCCATTGATGACGATGCCTCGGACGATATGTCTTTGACAAGCTGATCAATCCCCTTTTGGTCAACTAATGAACATATTCGAGTGTGAATATATGGATCGGGAAATGACCCTTCCTTCACCACCTCGGAGAGCGCTGATAGTTGGAGCTGCAGAGCCCCTAGGATTACCACTTTCTTATCTTCATGAGTACAGTCCAGCAATCCGATTAGGTGAGCCAAGAGCCACAGTCGTCCGTTTTCGGGAAGCGTGGCAGACCCGTAAGTACCGTAGACGGTCGAGCAAAGTCCTGAGACGTTTAAAGTTTGTGCGATTTGCGGTAATTGTGACTGAAATGTATGCGAACTAGGCTGGCTCAAGAGTCGGTATGCCAGGCTTGAGTAAATACATGTTTGATCGGCTGCAAGGTTGTTAGAATCTCCAAGTGTAGCCGCGCACATGGGCATCACTTACCAACTGTCAATGAGTCTGTTACTTGCAGCGGAAGGACAACCATGTCACGCAGCAGCACGTCTGAGTCCGGGTGGATGCCCAGGAGCATGTGAAGGGCTGGGACAAGCGTGTCATAGTAGTCGTCCGTCAAAGTGGTTGGGGCTTGAGGAAGCGAGCCGAACAAGCGGGCCACCAGTCGCAAAAGCCCGGCAAGGCGTTCGAAATCTGAGCCTGATTGAGTCTCAGAACCCTCGCAGCTTTTCTTTATGCCTCCCAGTAGAATCCGTAAGAATCGGAGCAGTCGGTGGGCATCTTGCGGAGCTTGCTTGCTCTGACCAGTTTTGAGGCTGGAAAGTGCGCTGGCCAGCCTGAAGAGCCTGTCGAGATCGTCTGGCCTTCGTATGCTGAAGAATGATAGAAGAAGGATCATCGAGCGGGTAAGACGGTCACTGTCGGTCTGGTCGCTATACGCAGGGAGGTTATCGAACACCGTTCTTCGACTGTCAGCGAGCCGACATCTTGCAACATGGCCCCTCCACACTCTTTGCACGTCTTTCGCAGCTTTGAGTTTTCGGCGCTCTATCTGTCGCCTCTCTCGGTCGGCTTGGGCGTTCGTAACGGTCTTGGTAGCATTCGATGCCGCGGCAGGAGTCCATGATGTATTAGTAAATGGGTTGCCGGCGGCACCGCTCAGATTGACGTTGCGCGGTCGACGCGAATTTCCCGTGAATGTCGAAAACATGGTAATGACACCTTGCTATTCTGTGGCGAGGCGATGGAGGGGAGAGTGCCTTGTAACATAATGTGTGTTGTACGCAGCGCATACAACAGCTCGGGTTATTAGTAGGACTAAAGATGCCTAATAAGTACCAGGTAGCACTGCTCAGGGCCGAAATGTCTGGTGGGGCTATGAGGTCAGGCGTCTGGTGCGGTACAAGAATCCAGGTACCAGAGGACCAGGTCTTTCATGATCATCTACCGCCTCACGTGTCTGCTCTTATCGCGACACTGCTAGTACAAACTATAAGCAGGCGGTAACTTGATAACGACTACTTGTACTGTTCTGGACTTCAAACAGACTTTGAAGACTGTTTCATAGTCTTGAATATACTCATACTGGGCAACGTGTTCACGAAAGTTCAACAAGGGCAATTCAAAACGGGATGTGAAAGGCGTTGGTCACCATGAGATTGACGAAAACGACCAAGGAGAACAATCCATACCATATCGGCTTTCTTTTTTTAATTTTTTTTTTTAAATAAACCCAGCTGTAACAGCTGGCGAGCTCCAGTCGCCTCAAGCGAAAAAGGAATGACAAGCGCAACAGTGGTATCCAGTACCGGGTAGGTTCATGACTTACCCGAGTTTCGACTTGCTTCTACATGCTACAATATTGCAAGTACCAGTATCAGCTCTCGAAGAGCGGATACATCCCCTTGATGATTCCAAAGCATCTTTGCCACGGTCAATCTATAGGATCTAGATGGTTCGTACTCGCTACCTTATGTTTGTTCCTCGTGGGGCGGTGAACCCAAATTGCAATCGCGAGTCGAGTGCAACGCAGTTGCACCTGTAGTGCCTGCTATGCGACGCCCGGACCACTAGAGATAAGCTATTTGAGGAGACCTTCCCAAGTCCGTATGCTGGTATAAGCAGTAACTGTATGTAATTAAATACCCTTGAATTCAGGCCGATCGAGGGCGCTTGATTGGATGCAAACGCACGCTTCTAACGTGCTGTTAAATCTATACGTACAGTCCTCAGCGGTGAAAAAATAACCAATGGCGTTTTCTTTCTAACCGATCGAGGGGTCCTGCCTGTTGGTGAATGCACTTTCCCCAGACACTGCCGGCGAAGAGCCAATCACATGTACTAGCACCCCTCTGAGGTGAACCTTCCGGCTCAAGGTGAGCCAGGTCCCACCTGCATGTGCGCGGCGGGACCGCAAAGGGGGGGCTGCCAATGGCAGCTTCCACCGCTGAGGAAAAAAATGTGCCCATATCACACGAAATTTCTCCTCCACCCAGGCTCTCTCCTCCCTCACCACCCACTCTTATCAACACCGCACGTCAAAACACAAAAAAAAGTCGAGTTGATTTCGAGGGACAGTTCTTGCACTTGTCTCTCCTGGTTGCTCACTTGATTGTTCCAAAAAAAAAACCTCAAAAAAACTTGAAAAATCACAAAAAATTCAAGGCATTGTCTGCCTTAACCCCAGTCCTCGACTGACCAACCAACGACACATCCACGTCGACAAAGAACAACCCTTCGAGCCACCCTTACGTCGGTTCTCGAAGTCATTACCTCTGTCCCTGCCCTCGATATACATCGCGTCGTTGCCAGTCCGTCCACAGGAAACCTCTTCATCGTCCTTCACGATATTGTTGACTCTGGTATGTCTTGCAAACCACCCCGCCAACCGGCGGCGGCTCGCACCCTCAACACATCTGGGCGCCTGTCTGCTGCCCTTTCAAGCGATCGATGAGGCTGACCCTATATATATAGTCACTCCCCAAGTCTTTCCAACAAGTCCAAAATGGCCGCAACCTCTACCTCCGGCGCTGTTGACCAGCTCACCGAGAACATGAATAACACCTCGCTCACCAGCAGCGGCGATGGCAAGGCTGCTCCTGCCATCGATACCAGCGTCTCTGCCACTGACGATGCGTCCGCTCCTACCCCCGGTTCGGCTGCTCCCCACCCCCAGAACTCCGCCTCTCTGTACGTTGGCGAGCTCGACCCCTCCGTCACCGAGGCCATGCTGTTCGAGCTCTTCTCCCAGATTGGCGCCGTTGCCTCGATCCGTGTGTGCCGCGATGCTGTCACCCGTCGCTCGCTCGGCTACGCCTACGTGAACTACAACTCGACCCCCGACGGCGAGAAGGCTCTCGAGGAGCTCAACTACACTCTGATCAAGGGACGCCCCTGCCGCATCATGTGGTCTCAGCGTGACCCCGCCCTGCGCAAGACAGGCCAGGGCAACGTCTTCATCAAGAACCTCGATGTCGCTATTGACAACAAGGCTCTGCACGACACGTTCGCCGCCTTCGGCAACATTCTGAGCTGCAAGGTCGCCCAGGACGAGCACGGCAACTCCAAGGGCTACGGCTTCGTTCACTACGAGACCGATGAGGCTGCTCAGCAAGCTATCAAGCACGTTAACGGCATGCTGCTCAATGAGAAGAAGGTCTTCGTCGGCCCTCACATTCCCAAGAAGGACCGCCAGTCCAAGTTCGAGGAGATGAAGGCCAACTTCACCAACATCTATGTCAAGAACATCAACACTGAGGCTACTGATGACCAGTTCCGTGAGCTGTTCGAGAAGTACGGCGATGTCACCTCGTCATCCCTGGCTCGTGACCCAGAGGGCAAGAGCCGTGGCTTTGGCTTTGTCAACTTCACCACCCACGAGGCTGCCAACAAGGCCGTTGATGAGCTCAACGGCAAGGATTTTCAGGGCCAAGAACTCTATGTCGGCCGCGCACAGAAGAAGCACGAGCGCGAGGAAGAGCTTCGCAAGTCGTACGAGGCCGCTCGCCTTGAGAAGGCTAGTAAGTACCAGGGCGTCAACCTATACATCAAGAATCTCGACGATGATGTCGACGACGAGAAGCTGCGCTCCATGTTCTCCGAGTTCGGCCCGATCACCTCCGCCAAGGTGATGAGGGAGACATTTGCTGAAGGCGAGGGTCCCGACGACGAGAACAAGGACGAGGAGCAGGACGACGAGAAGAAGGATGAAGCCGAGAAGGAAGAGGAGAAGAAGGACACTGAAGAGACCGACGACAGTGCCAAGGAGGACAAGAAGGCTGAGAAGAAGGGAGACAAGAAGCTCGGCAAGAGCAAGGGCTTCGGCTTCGTTTGCTTCAGCAACCCCGACGACGCCACCAAAGCTGTGGCCGAGATGAACCAGCGCATGTTCAACGGCAAGCCTCTATACGTCGCTTTGGCGCAGCGCAAGGATGTTCGCAAGAACCAGCTTGAGGCTAGTATCCAGGCTCGCAATCAGCTCCGCATGCAACACGCTGCCGCCGCCGCCGGCATGCCCAACCAGTACATGCAGCCCCCTGTCTTCTACGCTCCTGGCCAGCAGCCCGGTTTCATGCCTCAGCAGGGTGGCCGTGGTATGCCATTCCCTCAGCCAGGCATGATGCCCCAACAGGGTGGTCGCCCAGGACAATTCCCTGGCTATCCTCAGGGCGGTCGCGGCGGCGTTCCTCAGCAGATGCCCCCTAACATGTACCCCATGCCTGGCCAGTTCCCTCCTCAGTACGGACAGCCCGGCACTCCTCAGTTCATGGCTGCCATGCAGGCTCAACAGGCCGCCATGGCGGGTGGTCGCGGTGGACCTCAGGGTGGCCGTGGAGGCATGCCCGGTGGTCCTCCTGGCGCAGCTGGTATGGGTGGTCCGGGCATGTCTGGCTTCCCTCCCAACAACCGCCCGCAGGGCGGTGCTGGCCGCGGTGCTAACGCCAATGTCGGCCGCAACGGGAACTTCCCCAATCAGACTGGTCAGCAGGGCGCTGCCCGTGGCTCAGACATGAGCCCTACCGCTGCTCTGCAGGCTCAGCTTGCTGCCGCCCAGCCCGCCCAGCAGAAGCAAATCCTCGGTGAGATGCTGTTCCCCAAGATATCGGCCATCAACGCCGAGCTTGCTGGCAAGATCACGGGCATGCTTCTCGAGATGGACAACAACGAGCTGATCAACCTGTGAGTACCAGTTCATACCGCATGTAATGCATCTTGCTAATAATTTCTAGGGCTGAGGATGAGGCTGCTCTCAAGGCTAAGGTCGACGAGGCTCTTGCCGTGTACGACGAGTACATCAAGTCGCAGAGCACTGATGAGCCCAAGAAGGAGGAGGACACCAAGGCTTAAACATGTCTTGTGATGTGATTTCCTCAGCATTTATATGAATTTCCTTTGTTATGATTATGAGGCAGAGCATCTACCGCTCTTACTTACAGTGGCCTCTGGCTGGTGTCTTCTGCTTTACCGGCCAAACTCCGGTCTTTTGCGCGGGTAGACTCTTGCGACTTCTCTTTCACAGGAAGGATGGTGGAAAAGTTGAAATGATTCATTGGTGGACGCGACGATGACGAAGCACGCGCGAATCAAACCACCCGGATGGCGTTGTGGGCAGATGGATTTTGTGAACGTTGCCTGTACTAGGTCGATACCCCCCTCCCCAGAATGACCTTGCATTTTACAGACTACTTGGTGCAGACGTATTTTTATGAGCTACGCGCAATACGAGAGGCATTTATTCCAAGCATTCGGTTGTGTGAAGTGTGATTGTCATGTTATTCAGAATGTATAGTATCATAGCTAAGCCCCCAGATCATCCCAAGGTCATGCCAGCCCAAAGACCGATGATGGCTGCAAATACTCCAATAAATTGCTCGGGGACCTGAGATCTAGTCTAGTTGGTTAGTTCGTCCCTCCTCTCATGGACATCCCATCCCATGTGAGTCGCCTGGCTCGGCATCCGCGCATACAAGTTCTCCATGACCCTCGACTTCTGCTTCAGCCTGATGTCCGTGAGATACCTGTTCACATCGTCTATGCCTTGTATCTGGTCTTGCAAGGTGAGGACCGTCTGGTTGGCCCCCCTCATCCTTGGCGACACCAGGTGGCCCCGTAGTCGATTCAGCGACTGCTGGAGGCTCAGGAGCTGGGTCTTGTGGTGTTCCAGCAGGGCGCGGTTCTGGTTCGTGCTGGCGCGCACATTGGTCAGGAGGCGGTGGTTTTTCTCGTACTTTGAAATGTCGGCCGCGTTGGGACCGAGGATGCGCGCCCACAGGCCGGAGAGGGCGTCGTTGTGGAGGTGGTCCTGGGCGCTGGACTCCTGGGCGACGGTGCGGCCGACGTTGGCCATGTTCTTGTCGACGGCGTCGTAGAGCTGGAACAGGCTGAGGGACTGCTCCAGCTCGCTCGTGATTGACTCGTCGAGCACGGTGATGAACTCGTCAAACATATGCTGGATAAGCCGCTGCTCGCGCTTTGCCTCGGGGAATCCAAAGATGTATGTTGTGACGGCGCCCGCCGAGGTCTGGTGGCCTGCGTCGTCTTCGAGGATGTGCGCGGACGACAGAGCGTCGTAGACGTTGTCGTAGGCGGACGATAGCAGGCCCTGGTGCTTGTTGCTCTGGAACCGGCTGAGGTGCATCTTGGACCAGTCCATGACACTGAGGATGCTGGACGACGAGTCAGCTCGCGGTGGTCTCGGGACGCCGCACTATGCAGAGGGGGAAACAAAATGAGCAAAACTCACCCGTCCATGTCGCTGTCGACCGTGGTCAAGAACCTGGTCACCTCAACCGCGAGCATCCTGAGATCTTCACTCAAACTGTCCAGAGTGACGACCAGCCTGGGCGCATAATCCATGGTGCTCCTGCGCAGCGACTCGCTCAGATCCACGACAGCCATGCTCGTGGACAGCAGGCCCTGTGCCTGGACGTTGGCGTGCTCCGAGTAGTAGATGAGGGGCTCAAAAGAGCGAGCGATCCCCGCGATTTTGACGAGGTCGCCGGCCGGTCGGGACTTGACGGGGGAGAGGACGATTTTGAGGAAGGTAATGCTGAGAATGGCCACGAGGATCGAGGTCATCGTCGATACCCTCGTCCGCGTAGCGGCGCGGTATGGCGTTCGGACCATGTTGACGAGTGTGTCGATGGGTCCGGTGCGTTGTGTCACCTCTGCCCGCCAGGCGAAACGCATGTCTTTACACAGAGGTTAGTCCCAACTCTATTCAAACTCACGTGAAAAGCAGTCCACGGGGCGGCCAACGTACAGGTCTCATTGTCCGTTTCTGCCAATGGCGGCACCTCCCTCGGATCCGATCTAGAGATCTCTGGCGATGATTGTCTGGTCATCGCAGGACTGTGACTCGCTCTGGGCAGTCTCACGGCCGCGGCGTGGGCCAGCACCCGGTCGCTATGCTCAGCGTGATCCTGCACCTCGAACCCATTGGACAAATCAAGCATCATGGGCGGGCGGTGCTCATCTGGCCCTGTCCGATTCTCGTTGTTGCTGCGAGCGGCGCTGTCGTGGTTCCGGCGCCATGCCGGTGGTGAGAATCCACCTGTTGATTCGATCTCGGAAACGGACAGGTGGTGGTGTGGTGCTGGACGGAGACACCTCTCGTCGTCGAAGTGGCCGTCGCTCGAGAGGTCGCTGAGGGAGCGGGAGGGGCTTGGGGACCGACGGTTGAAGTCCCGCAGGGAGTCTGTGTCGTCGGGAGGACTGTTCATGATGGAGAAGTGGTGCGGGTGGTGCTGCTGATGACGAGTGTGATGATGCGAGACTGTGTTTCTTCTTGGACTTTGTATGCTTGTTGAGCGTGTAGTGGACTAAGTCTGGGCGTGCAAGGACCAGTGATTGATCTTGCAAGATGAGTCGACTATCACAGTAGGGGTCCTGGTCGCAATAGTAGGCGTCGTCGCATCCATATGGCGGCGCTGGCAACGCCTTGTCCCGCAATGTCGCTGCTGCTGCTGCTGCTGCTGGCGAGGTGTCGCTCGTCGTCGCCAGCGCGCAAAGTCTTTGGGGGAAGGACAGGAGCCAATTTGGGATCCCTGGCAGTGATCGAGGGATGTAAAGGGCTGCCACGAGGACGATGACGACGACGAGACTAGCAAGAAACGTGCTCGGTGTGACGGTGACGCTGATGAGTGAGAGCGAGACGTTGTTGTTGACAGTGAAGAGGGAATACATCCCTTCTACGCACGTGAGTACGTACCTACTCAAGGACAAGTGGGCGAGGATGGGGAGTCAAAAAGGGCTAAGCACGGTCACAGGAGCCTTTGTTTGGATAAGGACACCAGTGAGAGCGAATCAACGTGAACGTCAAGGTGGTCTGGGCAACGGGCCGCTTTGGGGGTGGGAGGAAATGGAGAGGCTGGAAAAGATCACACTTGTTGAATCGAGACAGATCCACTGCGACACCCTGACAACGCAGCCTCGCAGAGACTAATTGAGTTGGTGGACCATGAAACAGAGAAATGCAGCAATTTGAGCCTTGTTCATGGCATGATGAACTGGCATCCATCCGCGTGAACTGAACGTCTCCAATCATCGCGTCGAGACTGGAGTCGGTCGGTGAGCGACATGGATGATGGAGCAATGCGCGCCCCGCCAGTCCTCCGTCAGTCATGTGCCTCGACTTGAGGGACGACAATCCAGGTACATGGACTTCTCGTTGGTACCCCGCCCAACAGCAAGGTAATAACAGCCACTGATCATGGACAAATGAAATGCCGTCGCGCTGGCTCAAGATCTCGACGACCATGCACGCGACACGCGAGCGACCTGTCCCGCTCTGGACAAGGGTTTAAAGCGAGTATGACGAATAAATACACCAATTCACATGTACGAGAAAGCGGGACGATGATTACTCTAACAAAGTGGACCATTATATGCGCCCTCTCTGTTGATGTATGTATAGCAATGTCGCTTTCCAAGTAACATCTAACCACAAAACGCCCGTCGAACCTCCTCGAGCACACACGCCTGGCCGCATCAGTCAATCTTGGCATTCGCCAGACTGCGAGCCGCCGGGTTGTGCAGATTGTTGACCTGCCGCACGGCTGTCCGCTTATACTTGCTCTGCTTGCGGAGCCTCTTCCTCGCCACCATGACCGGCACGGAGCTCTTGGTCACCAGGTAGTTGGAGAACGACCCCAGAATGACACTGCCGACAGATTAGCAAACACACCGTAGAGCAGAGAAGAGCGGACTTACCCCTTGAGTGCGCTACGTCCTCGGCTTCCTATCACGACGAGCGTAGGGTCGACCAGGTCAATGACCTCTGTGATGAGGTGCTTGGGGTTCTTGCAGTGCATCACCTCCACCACCACCCGCACCTGCAGCTGCGTCTTGCGCAACAGCCGCAAAACTCGGTCCGTAATGTCCTTGACTGCTCGGTGACGGTCCTCCTCGGCCTTGTTCTCGCCCCTGGTCGAGGGCGCAGGAGAGGCGCCCGGTGTGTTCGCCGTCGACTCCCCCCTGAACAGCAGACCGCCGGGAGCCGACTTGGAGCTTGTGATCGTGTTCACAGCAGCAGCTTGCTCACGTGTCGTCTTCGAGTCGTCCGAAGCCCCATCGCCTCCTGGAATGCCGGTCTCTTCATCCACACAGTAGATGGCGATCAGCGTGTCTCCGTCGCGGAGCACCGTGCCAATGGCCCATTCGAGAGCATGCGTCGACTCGTCACTCAGGTCAGTCGCCACCATGTACTTTCGCAGCCGGCGAGACTCCTCGTCAGCCGTTTGCGCGATCCGATTGTACTCGCCACGGTAGATGATTCGAACCGAACGGTGGGCCTCGACGTTGGAAATGATGTTCGTCATTGTGAATGACAATTTCTGTGCCCTCCTGATCTCGTCAAAATCGGCTTCTTCGTCCGAATCCATGACAGACGCCGTCGTTGACCCTGGCGTGTGATCAAAACTCGTGTGCGGGTGGACGGCGTGCTTCCCAGGCTTGACCGTGTCGCCAGATGCGTCGGTCACTTTGATCTCGGGATCGGGGATCAGTGAGCGATACTGATACTTTCCAGCTACGTGTGTGCCTAGAGTTCCACGTTAGTTAGCCGGTCACACAGCCGCCGCGGCACGTTTCACACATACGCTCTTCCTCAGCCGCTGCCAGCAGACTGAGCGTCTTGCGCCCGCCAGACCGTGAGCGCGACCCGCTCAGATGCTTCTCCCCCTTGGCGTCCGGATTCAGCGCCCTAGGCTCCTTCTTTCGCCCACGGGACTCGTCATCGGTCGAGGATGGCTCATCTTCCTCACTAGAGCCTAGATGCTCGCCATCGGGACCGAGGTAGTCCTTCACCAGCCTACCCTCGCCTGGGTCCACAGACTGTTTCCGCATGGGCAGCTGCGCCAAGCTTCCAGAAGAGTACACAAGGTTGGCATCGGACAGGCGCCTGTAAGCATTGTTCATGTCGAACACTTGCCCATCGTTGAGGTATCCTTTGCCTGGAGTCAGCGCCGGGGCGAACGGAGCTGGCGATCGGGAGCGACTGCTGAGGCGGTTGCTGGGCGATTTCGACTTGTTGTTCTGACGACCTCCCCCTCCTCCTAAACGGCTCGGGATTCCACCGCGAGAAGAGCCGTGCCCCAATTCGCCAGGCAGCTGGAGGCTGCTCAAGTCGCTGCCGCGCAGGGCTTCTGCCAGCGACCCGGACCTTGACTGCCCAAACCCGCTGCCTTGACCAGCACGCAGGGGCATCTGTTGCTGATGTGCGCCTCCCAGTGTATTGTAAATGCCCGAGAACTGATGTCCAGAGGCGGGGTCGTTATGGTTTGCACTGGCTGAGCGTCGTGAGTCTAGCCCTACTGCCTTGTAGGGTCCATCAGACTTACCTCTGTTGTAGGATGACTGACTCGGGCTTCTGACCTTTGCGCTCGCATCGGTCGTTAGCACGGGCGAGCTGGACGTCGGGTTGCTGCCGGTCTTGTGCAAAGGTGTCCCGGTATCGAGCATGCTTCGTACGGGGCCTTGGCGGTGCGGGCTCGTGGGTCGGCTCGACGTGCTCGGTTCCTCGTCAATGTCCAACATGCTTCGCACGGGTGACCTCGGCGTCTGGTAGGGGGATGCAGAACGACGCTCGAGCTCGGGCGAAGAATTGGTCGGCGAGCTGTTCTCGAGGAGAGCTAGGACCTCGCGACGCTCCATGTCGAGCATGGCGTCGATGCTCATCGGGCGAGCATCGCTCGACATGGAGGATGGTCTTGACGAGCTCTTGCCTCGGTTCATGTTAGGTGACGCTGAATGTGCTTCACAATTGCCAAGGAAAAGTTCCAGGAAAGGTGGTGTCAGGTTGTCTGTCTGCCTGTGCAAGGTGCTGGATGGGTTTGCCCGTCCCTTCGTTTTTTGTTTGCGACAGAGAGGGTCGGCTTTCAGTGTGATCGAAAGTTTGCCAGTTTGGCAGACAATGGCGAGAGACAAGAGGCGAGGTACGCTTCGATGGTAAGGGCCAGCTGTTTGAATTCCTTGGATTGTCTCCAGGCTAGTCGAAATGTGCGTGGTCTGACGTAGAAGAGGGTGGGATGATTCGAGCTCGACGGGATCTGGCGTAATGATGCGGATTCGGTCGGGAGATTGGCACTGGGCTGATGTGCAGTTCTACTGCAGATCTCTCACACTCTCACCAAGTCTCTCTTCTTGCAAGATAGTGAAGGAGATGACCCGGGTCAGACTCGTAGAATGTGGGGAGGAGATACATGGTCGGAGGCCTGGCTTGGCTTGGAGGTGGGAGGATGGTGGGCGGGATGAAGGACGGACTGGTCACTGGAGAGGGAGGGAGAGGCTCAGACAGAAAAGGTGGGGCGGCAATGCTGAAAACGGCCCCAACGCGCAGCCAGAAGCCCAGCCAATTACCCCAGGCCACAGCTGATCCTGGACCATAATCCAGACCTTAATCGTGACCTTAATTCCGCGCCATCGCTCGCTCCATTGATATACGTAGGGAGGCTGAAGCTGTGGGCGGCCCTTGGGCTTGGGCTTGGGCTTGGCCCGACTGCAGCCTCAAAAGATGAAAGCAAACGCACCATCGACGTCGTGCCGTCGCTCGCGAGCATGGCTGATGGACCCTGATGATGAGAGGTTTCCATAACGTTCATCTTTATCTTACCCTCATTGGTCTCTCGGTGGGTAGCCCAACATCTGCAGCGTGCGTAACGAGATGCCTTGGCAATTTCTTGGTGTCTGCCCAAGTAGCCTTTCACATGTGCGTATCCACCGAAACACAGACGGACGGATATATTCTTTTTCCATGCAGCAACAACCAAGTGCCGTAAATGTTTACAATCAGATAATACAAATCAATACAAAGGGCTTGCTCGTACACTGGCAGCCCGCCCGGGACTCGACTCGAGAAACCGAACGCACGGCTCTTCCCTGTGTACACCAAAAGACGCCCTCACCTGCGCTTTGTATTCTTCTTGGCCGTACCGCCAACATTGACACGGGCCATTGTGCCTTGCTTGTGTACGGCTTTCCTCTTGTCCCACACACCCGAGCGCCCCTCCACCACCGCGACAATCTCCTCAGCCAACCGGTGGCCAAACTGCTTGCGCCCAGACCCCTTGGACGGCCTCTTCTCGACAGCGCTGAGGATCCATTGGAACGCTAACCGTCTGCGCAGTCGGATGGAGGTCGGATGGGGAACCTCGAGGGCGCGGCCACCACCGGCGCCACCGGCAATCTGCTTGATGACCAAGAGCGGCGCGACCGAGTCGACTGCCACTGTGAGGTACAGGACAGGGTTCAGCGGTAGATGCGACGCTGGGGGCGTGCCTGGCAGGAGGGGGAACTTGGGGCTATAGATGGGCGCCGGCGACGTTCGTAGTACGTTCATGGCTGTGGCCAGGTGCTAGCACAGTTAGTCCAGGTCACTCTCCCTGCGGGTACGGCAGTCCCTAGCATACCCTCTGTGCAACGCTGAGCTTTCCGTCCTTCATGATCATGCGGACCAGCAGGTCGATGACGGGATGGTAGCGTTTCTTGTGGTGGTGGTCGGGCGGGTACGGCCTCGCGGGCAGCGCAAACTTGTGGGTGAGCTGCTGCTGTGCCTCCGGAAGAGCCTGCGCCTCCAGCTCGGCAGAGGCAGCGATGGCCTCGGCTTCCTCAGGCACCGGTATCCTACCCGTGTTGTATAGACTCTCCTCTTGAGCCTCTGTCAACCCTGGCTCTCCGTCCTTGGGCGCTATGCGTCCGCCATAGAGTATTTCGTACAGCTTCTCGTCGCCCAACGCATCAATTGGGGATGCAGCTTCATCGGGGAGGGGGCCCGACGCGGAGATCTCTCCTCGCTTTGCCTGCTGGGAGGATTCGGGTACTTTGCTAGCTCTCTCGTCTGCATAGCATCGTCTTGACGGTATTGACGAGAGGAACGTCGTGCTCTGGGATGGTACAGGTCTCGATCGAACGGCTAGCGCCCTGCCTGCGCTCCAAGCTCGTCTTGTCGCAAACATTTCGAAAAGCCTCCGTCAAGGCTCTGGGGTGTAGTGGCCAAAGATTGGGCGTGCGTTTCCCCTTCCTGTGAGCTGCACGCGAGCGTCGCGGTTCCGAGAGCACGCCGCAACGAAATTTCGAGCTTCCCCCCGGCGATCGGCTAAACCTATCGCCGCACTGGGCCAATCTGACTTACATAACCCAAACCAGGTCTTGATGTCTTACTGCGTTAAAAGACGTCTCACTCTCACACCATTTTCACCAACGGTGGTCACTTGAGTTGCGCAACATGCTCGCGAGCATGCGTCATCGCAACATGTCCGTATCAATTGGGCACCAAACGCCATGATGGGCGTTTCCTCACGTGCATTGACACAGTATCGACGCCTCAAAGACACCTCATTCTGGAAAGGAGCTCGCACAGCTCGCCGCTGCAACCTTGCCTCACTTTTGCTGACAATTCCCACGTGCGGCGGCCAACAAGACCGGCGTGATTGAACCTTGCATACTGATTGACCTGTATTATTCAAAGATACGTGTAACTCCCAGCCGATCGTGCCTTTTCGTCATACCGATCTCTGCACATCCAAACGAGCGACGAGGTACCGACAGCGTGCGCGCGATCGTGCAGCCATGAAACGTCTCAATGCCGTCCGACTGGCAAGGGGTATCCTTGCCAATAAGAACGAAACCACCATGATCCAGAGATATGCAGGAGAGATAGCTAGCCTCGCTCACATCCGAGCCTCGGCTCCGACCTTGTCTCTGTACCTGCATCCAGTCCGAAAGAATAGCAAACTACGCTGAAGCCAAAGAAAATCTGACGGGAGAAAGGAGGCTCATTTTGCCATTGTGAAGAGCGGCCAGCTTCACGCCCAAGCAGCTTTGGCCCTCTCACCCATCCTGAGGGGTCGCGATCCCATGATATCATCAGGTTTTCATAAGCCAGTTATAGGCTACTTCGGCAACATCTTCCTTAGCGTTGTTCAAGTATTTGCCATCATACCAATATCGGGCTTCCATACAATGCCCGTCAATTGTCACCTTGCTCGACCACGCGGTCCGGCCTCCTATATCACACGTTAGTGTCAGGTTCATCCTCATTTCTGTGGTGGAAAAGGGCGGGCTCACCACGACGGTCTGAGAACATCTCAAAGTGCGGTTTGCTCATCTGAGCCAGACGACAGCATTCTGCGGGAACCATGGTCAGCGATCAGGACGTCAAGTACACCATGGTTGCAGACGCACCTTCGAGGCGCTCTTGCCAGGTCAGAGAAGAAGCATTGTATGCGGCGGGCATATTGGCGACAGAGGCTGTTTGGGGGGAACAGTGACAGGCAGCAGAAGCAGCTCAATTTCGAGAAGAAAACACCGGGGCGTCCTGCGAAAGATCTGGCAGTGGTGGCAGTTTGAGTATGAGAAGAAGAACCTGGGATCGTGGCCAGATGGCTTCTTCTTATATGTTGGAAGTGAACCAAGATCGACCTGGCGTGCAACAACAAGAGCGGGAGAGAGCAGACACTTTGGATCCCGACTGTCCAATGTGTGAGACGTGGGGAAAATTCCAATCGCCCAGAGAAAGAGGCAGACTTCCGAAGGCGAATTGCGGACTGCGAAACGGACCCAGCTAGTTGGGTTGGTGTTCCGTTGGAGTGTGGTTTTGCGGTGTCCCGAAGCGCAGAACGTAAAGGACTTGCCCACGGTTACAATTGCGGGATGCCTACTGATCAACGGCTATCGTAGTGGTCTCGTCAAAGTCGGTGGACGCTCGTGTCAGTTGTGACAGCTCGTGTGTAGTACAGACTAGCAGTGTATGGAACAAGGAGGTTGAGAGAGTGGGATGTCGCATAAACCAGCTAGTTGGAGAGGATCGAGACAGGACGGAGGTGCATAGGCCAGCATGTGGACAGGACAGAGAGATTGACGGATGTCCATCACAAATGTATGTCGACACAGCGAGGTGAAGCATGGAGGTCAAACCGCCCTTTCTTCTGGACTGGACCAGACTAATTTGGGTTTGCTCATGGGACCATTGGGTTCCCTCTCACTTGGAACGCAGCCTCTCTGGGAAAAAGAAAAGACTCCAGGTGGGATTGACAAGTGAAATGACGATGAAATGGACCAGTGGGATGGATTCCCGTTGCTTCTGCTGGTAGAGGAGGTGTGGGAGGGGCCAGTCAGAGCTAAACTAGTCGGCCGGTCAGTTAAGCCACCCCCGTCTGTCCATCCAGCTGCCAACCGCACCTCTGGTCCGTACATACCATGGTCAGTTAGCTAAATTAGCAGATGTACAACAAAGGGTCCGTGTGTGGATCGTATCGGGACTCTTTGGAGGCGAGCTGTGATGGCAGGTGGTCATGGGCGTGTATTACCCCGGATTCAAGGCGCAAAGCTGGTCCAGAGTTATTCTTGACGGGTAGCAGTCCGGTTGGCCAGGCACGTGCCTCGATTAGCCTTCTTCGACGGCAACGGACAGGCGCACAGATGAGCCCGGGAAATCTAGCGTTGCTCCAGGTCTTCAGAAGGGAATGACTGGTCACTGAAGTGCCTGGGGTCAAGATCCAGAAGACTGGCAGAACTCTATTTGATGTTCAGCCTGTTCAGGACGCCTAACCGGGGTGTGTGCTCACCGGCGCGCGATCAGAGCATGCTGCATATACCCTTGCTGGCTTGGGAGAGCCGGGGCCCACACAGAGGCAGGTCACCAGGTTCGACACCAGCGTCACTCATCATTGACGTTGTGGGTGGGCTCAGTACGAGTTTCCGCGGCTTCCTACCTTACCTGGTACGCAAAATTGAATGGTCAGCACGTGATAAGATGTCCTAGTTAGGCGACTTGGTAGGAGGTTCTACCGTCTACCTATGTTCAACTAACTTGGGTAAAACAAAAGCACACACGTAGAGAGCAACAGACATGCAAGGCTCAGCTAGCTTGTGGCAGCGCAGGGAGACGCACAAGGCATGGAGCTTCCCCTCCCAATGAGGGCACAAACAAGGTGACGCAGATATCAGTGCAAACGAGCGTGAATCTCGTAACCAAGGCGCATTTCGTGGGGGTTGATAACGTCAATACTAGTAGGCCACCATGCGTGAGTAAACCAAAGTCTAGCCGCTGTAGTCGCTGTACAGGCTCTTACCAGTTCTTGACAATGATCTGTCTGACAATTTAGGCGTGTATAATAATCATTTTCGAGGCAATAGGTCCCAGGGGATCTTTCAATATGATACAGAACGCTCGCTGGTGATAATTGGGAGTCAAATATTCGTGCCAGAAGAAGGTACTATGAGTATGCCCTTCACAAGTGGTGGCTTAATTAGTAGCTGTCCGCCCCACTCTCTATCTGGGACACAGCACAACAAATCTCACGCCATCCTCCACCCAACTCCACGTCAACAGGTGCCTTGCGTACATGTACCAGAACCACAGCCTCGCTCACGTCGTATCATTACTGCTCTCACGCCGCGGGCTAAGCTGTCAGGCATCGGTCCCGTGCCGAAGTCGCGTCCTGCAACCATGGTCCGACCCGAGCCCGCCTCTTTGGACCCCAAAGGCTCAAGCTCTGTCTCGATAACTGTCACCGCCCTCAGTGCTCCATTTGATGTTATGCGCTGCTGAGTGCGACGCTCCGCGCCTGGACTCTGGTCGGAGCAAGATGCCGCACGGTACGTACGTAGGTCAGGATCGCTCGTCTCTGTCCGGAGACGACCTCCCGAGCCACTCACGCCCCATCTCGCAGAAGCAAGAGGACAATTGACAGCCTGGTCCACCATATCAACCGCATGTCAAGCTCGCGCCAGCTGGTGAACACAGCTACAGTACTTATCCAGCTGCAGTGTCATCCGTCAGTGCGCACCCTGGTGAACGCACACGTATCGCATTTTATGACACCCTATGACCGCCTGTTAGCTGTGCGAACACTCCCGTGGTGTGGGGTGCACGACTGAGATGCAATAACGATTCCAAACGGCTCTGGCATCAGTGACAAGCTCCAGCAGTAACCAATCAACCTTGGGCTTACCCAATCTGTTTGCTCCCATACCTGGTCTCAGTGAGGCCCTTGTTTTGGCCTTTCTCCGCGACGGGTGCGGCTCGTCCCGTGGCAAATACGACAGTCATGACGAGCCAAAGCCATCGACGTTGCATCGCCGAGACCACAAGGCTACCTCTCACTCCTGCAGCATGCAATAGGGCGCATGACGCGAGTCTCGTGGCTGCTTGGTCCACCAATAGTCCGCTCAGGAGGCACAAGGGCACAAGTGAAGCGCCCGCATGCAGGAATCCTTCCGTTTCTCTCTGCCTTTCTGACATCTGTACTTCGAAGCAATGGCAGCATTAACAGTGCAACCAGCAGCATGGGCTTAGCCGCACGTCAAAAGTTATGAGCACAAAGGACGAGAGCGTGTCACACCGCAGACATCATCGTCGTTCTTGTTGCACCATGCCGCATTCCCGAGCGGAACGCCCGTCTACGAAATACAAGCCATCAGCTTTCGTGTGGTGGTTTGAACGCGGATCAAGCAGGCTGTCAGAATCTACTAGGTACATTGGCGACCGTCGTTCTCTGTGCGTCAAAGACGATTCACAAAAAAGGGACTGCCGCATGAACCGGGCGGCCAAGTGCATGACTTGTCATTGCAGGACCTGTGGTGTCGTGCGCATGTTACATGCAGACAAATCCTGCCATGCGGTATGCGCGGTGCATTCCTCATCAAACTCGCATATTATCGATTTATTCCTTAACCATGCCCTTGTAAATTGACTGACTATCTTATAGAGCTCCTCGCGTCGAAGCATTCAGGCGCTTCCCTAGCTCAACTCAAAACTCCCGCTCGTGCCCTGAAAAGCCGTCATTCTCCCTAGAAGGTTCTTTGCATCGCCATAGTACTTGAACCTGTATGTGCCTGGCTCTGCATTACCACTCGTTTCCCACGTCACGTCCACTTCGCTGTACCCTAGGACAAAGTTCGTCCTCCGCCACGTATACACCAGGAACCAATCGGCGTCATCGCGCACTTGCGTCCAAGTGTTCCCATTTAGGCGCTCAACGGCCACGAAAGTGCCCTCGAGCCGAAGATTGTTGCGCGGGTTGGCACCTTGGAAGGTAGCCTTGACAACGTCGCCCAGATCATAGGAAGATGCCGGCTGTGAACGAACACTGCCAAATTTCTGGCCAATCGGCGCGCCGTCCTTGACTACGCCAGTGATGAACGACAGAGCCTTCTCACGGTTGTCCGGGGGTGGAGGGCCTGGCGCAGGACGCTCTGTCGCGTCCGGGGTCAGATACTGGAGGTTGCTCACAGTCAGGTTGATGTAGGCATCCAGAGAATGGCGACCGTAGAGTGTCGACGCGCCCTCGTACCTCTGGATGTCGTATTCCTCCGGCGTGGTCACGTAATGCGCATACGTGTTCGCAGGGCTTGTCAGCACAACAATTGGTTCCTCGTCCAGGAACTGTTCAGCTTCAGCAGCCACAGCCTCGCGCCATCGGCGGCCTGCCATTGTCCCAACCTCACTGGGACTCGTCACGATGACGAATTGGCCGACTCGGAAGGCTTGAATGTCGACAATGTTGGGACCCCACGCGTAGGGAATGAACATCTCCCCGATATCAAGTAGCACTGGCTTCTCGCCCTGGCATGCCTCTTGCTCGGGACTGGGCGTTCGCAGAATGTTCTTGACAACAGCCCACAGCGGATTGGCATCGGGATCTCCCGAGTCACCTTGCGAAAAGTCGAACATGCCAGGCCAGTCAGAGGTGCCTGCAGCAAAGGAATAGCCCAGTGCCGCAGGGCAGGTCTGCGCTGCTTTTCCATCGGGCAGCGCAAAGTCCCAGAAGCTCATGTTGTGGAAGAAGTGGAAGGACTTGACACTGGAACCAACTATGGGGGTCGACGTCGAGCCAAATGAGTCCTGCTGGTGATTAACAGGCGACCGCTGCGATGCAATAGTTGCCGATACTCACATAGGCCTCTTTGGCTGCAGACGCCAGACGAGTTGCTATCTCGTGGCAGCTAGAAACTCCCAGGTCAAGCGCCTCGAACTTTGGTCCACGCCCGTGACAAGCGTCAACTGCTCCATCGGCACATGTGCTTCGCTCAAAGTCGCACTCCATTCCAGATCCATCGTCGCAAAATGCTCCCAGCACGTTCGGTGAAGTATCTGCATGGTTCGCCTGGCTGAACGCCGCTACAAAGTCGTCTGCCGCATTGTCGTTTTCACCCAGGTCCCGTTCCAGCATCCACGACGCGAGGCCCTTGTTGTCGCCAGCGGCATGGGTACTGTTACCAAGCATCGATGTAGCATGGACGGCGTGCCAGGTCAGCACGCCCATGTCCTTGTTGTCGGACGCTCGCTGGAATCTCAGAACAGTCATCTTGGTGTCGACGCTGTCCGCGTACCGGTTGCGTTCCTCTTCGGGGTTGTTCTGGTACGCGAAGAGAGACCTGTTGATGGCGCCATTGACGACATCAGCTGTCGCTACATCGAGGTAGCCCTGGTCAAACTCATTAACCACCTGCTTTCAGGGTGTCGGCGCTGACATCTTTACCTCTTGCAGACTCTCTTGCGCCCGTTGAATGGACAATATCGCGCCGTCGACGATTGCTTGGTAGCTCTGTTTGTCGAAACCAAACGTTGTGATCTGCGGCAACAAGTAGTTGAACCACGCACCCGGTCCAGCATGGCTATGCGTCCCAGTCACGGCAACGTTGTGCTGGCCATACATGGCATAGTCATCCCCAAGTTCCTCGAGCGCCTCCAGAATGCCGTAGCGCATCGCCGTATCACCAGACTGCACATCCAGGACGAGATACACGAACCTGTCATCAGGGTTGTTGATGTCTCCAACGATGAAGGCGCGGCTGTACAGGCGCTGTCGCAGCCCGCTTCCCGTCTGAGCAAGGTCGGCGTAGCCCGCAAATCCAATCTCAACAACCGGTCCCGTTATGTCTGCTTTGCCCACACCAATGAGGTATTTGTCACCACCAGCCCGTGTCTTGATGCGCGGTCCTGCGGCAGCAGCAACGGCAGCCGCAAGGACGAGGAAGAGTAGCGAGGCGAGCATCGTGGGACAAGATCAGGCACAAGCCACTTGAATAAGCTATGATTGCGACACTTTCAGTGAGCAGAAGCACATCAGCATCAGGAAAGGAAGAGAGGGGATACACGAGTCTCATATGCTGTTTATCACATGCTCGCAGAGGGCGCACCGGTTGCCGTTCACCCATTCCACATCTCCGTCACATTGCTCCCTCCCAGATCCGTTATCAGCAGCACCCAAAGCAGGTTACGATCCGATTCTGCAACCCTCAGATAGACATTGATGCAACCCCGGCTGGGACCTCGTGATGGGACGACCCACGTCGGTCCATAGATGCCCGAGCTGATAGAAAGGAGGGGTTTCCGCCAGGTCAAGCCAATTTATCGTCCATTGCGCACGGGAGGTTATAGATTCCCTTCGATATGTCGCGTGGAAACACTTGCAAGAAATGCGCTGCAACGTCATGGCTTGGCAGTGTAGGTGATGCTTGGGCGGATTGGCTGCTTCCGAGCGGGACGGGGAGGGTGGCAGCGGGCTGAATCGCCATTTGGGCAAGTCCCCGGGCAACTTTGGTCAGCTGTTTGATTTCCAAAGGATCGCGAAAGAAGAGGAGGGTCGGCAGCGGAATGAGAAGCCGCACACATGGGGAATCGCTGCAAATCAGGAATATGGCTGTGATCCATTCGTACGCCGATACGTTCTCTCCGCCTCAGACCTTTCTATGAGTACAAATGTATCGACCAAGACTTTCGTCTACACCCGTACATACAACCCCATTCTGTGTTCTTCGAAGTGCGAACCGTATTTTGAGTGTCCCTCTCGTTCATACCACCGAACCACTTTGGTCCGTACTCGTACAAGAGTACGCTGTCGACGACCACCGTGGTCGCAACTCCAGCGAGGACAAGTCGTCGCCTCTGAGGTGTCAGTACACGCCACCATGTGAATGCTGAGCCAGGTGTGCTTGCTCTCGTGGCGTAGAAGACGTTGCGCCCCATTGCACGCGGCGCGAGAGTTGGGAGGCGTCTGCCACAGGCGTTCATGGCTGTGATAACTGCGGTGATAACTGCGAAGTGGAGCGACTGTAGATGATCGTCGTACTGATGGCTAGAGATGATCACAGCCATGCCTTCACGTCCCACGTATTGCCTGATAACTTTATAGTCGACCAGGTGAAGTTTTCGTTGGCAATCTTTTGACCATGAGGCGTTATGCTTAACAGTCATATATTCCATGACCATAACGCGTGACCCGTTGCCATCCATAACTTCGCCCCATCTCCTGAAATGGTGGCAACACACATCGCTCTATTTTATGGCCTCTCGGGCCCTGAAGGTCTATTAATCGTGAGGGGCTTGAAAGGCTTCCGAAGACGATCCATGCTCGGTGCCGGACCCATGCCCACCGGCCGTCGTACACCCCGCGGTAGCGAACGCACAGCCGTAAAGGTCGTAGCATGGAAGCTTGTCGCTGGCCGGGCGAGCGGCTTCGGATCGTCCCGCGACACTTCTTGCTCGGCCTTTTCCGGAGATGCTGGCTTCGTGGGCGAGCTCGAGAAACAAGCATAACGCTTCCGGTTCTCGTTATCCGGCTGCCGGCCAGACGGTCTCGCAAGTTGATTGCCTACGGGAAGCTTGTGCTGCGGAAGCGTCGAGTTCGTGTTGAGTGGCTCTGAAGCAGTCCAAGCTGCGAATTTGGATGCTGCAGCTTGATAGCGGCTGTAGGATGAGAACGCAGATCGATCTGCTGCACTCGGGGCAGCTTGCTGTGGTCTCGAACCTTGATTCACATAGTTGAGGAGACTTTTTTGATCAGCCGGACGGCGGTTTGTGCCCTTTGTAATGGTGGCCTTGCGGGCAGTCGCCTGCTCCTTTGCCTTGTTCGCAGCCGCTATCGTATGTTGGTGCTGGCTAACCGACACAAAGCCGGGGAGTGAAGACATTGTGAAGGCTGAGGATTGCTCCATCGTGGTTGCGTACTCTCGGTCCCACTGATGTTCATCAACGTATGCTTTACTATTCTCTGAAAGGTCCGTGCGCTGTCGCTTTACTCCGCGCGGCAAGCGTGCGTCCCCTATCTCGTCCGAATTCTTGGGGTCGAAAGGATTTTCGGGAAACCTGTCGTCCTCGACCGAGGTCATGGGCGGGAGCTTCTCGAAAATGACCTTGGACTGGGGAGGATCCCGATCCAAGATCTTGCCAATCGTTTGTATTACAGGTTCGTCGACTGACGGGCCCTTTGACGCAAATGCCACCTCGGCAAAGGGCGCGACAAAGTCAGAGAGCTCAACTTTGTTGCTGAAGCCTTGTGGGCCGTACAAAGGACAGCTGAGGTAGAGCAACGCTTGTGCGCGTGTCATTGCCACATATAGCAACCGTCGCTCCTCGTCAATATCTTCAGCGCGGGAATGAGGCATTGAACCTGTGTACACAGATGGCACAAAAACAATGGGCCACTCGAGGCCTTTGGCGGCATGGATAGTCGAGATGGTGATCATGGAAGACTGGTCCTGCTTGCCGCTGCCTCTTTGTGCGTCGGAAGCCAGCGAAACATTAGCGAGGAACTTGCCTAGCATGCTATCTTGTTCGGACTGCTCGACCTCGTCCACCTCAGGTAGCTCATCATCTTCAGTATTCGTAGAATCTCGCAAATAGTCGGACACAAGGTTGACAAACTCCCGTACGTTTGCCCAGCGGGTTTCGTGATCGTTGGCGTACTCGTCTTCAAGGTACTTTTTGTAATTCAGCTGCGAGATGAGCTGTTCAATCAGATCCACGAGACTGAATGAGCTGCTGGCGGTGATGTCCGCAGCTTTCTGCTGTAGGCCATTAATGATACGCATCAGTTCGCTGCTGAGCCTCTGCTCCATCTTGGCTCGGATGTTGGTAGTCGCTTTTCGGTCGCCTCTGCAGTGCTTTATTATGACAGTCCATACACTCAATTTCTCCAACTCAGCTTCCGCGAGCAGGGATTTGACGGTAGCTTCCCCGATTCCCCGGCGTGGGACGTTGATAATGCGCGCTACCGCATCATTGTTCTCAGGCTGGTAAACGACGCGGAGGTAATCGATGAGCACTTTGATCTCTTTTCTTTCGTAGAACTTATGACCCCCGATCATTCTGTACGATATACCAGCCTTGCCCAGCGCAGACTCGACGTGCCTTGACAGAGCAGCGGAGCGCAAGAGGATGGCTACATCCTCATGCTTGAGCATTCCGCCTAACATGAGTATCAGGCGCTTGATTTCCGAGACTATCCACTCCCCTTCGTTGGAGGAGCTTGTGAGTTTCCTCAACACTGGACGCGTACCCTTAGCATGCACCGGTGTCAGGGCCTTCTGGTAGCGCCTCTTGTCCTCCTGAATGACTCTCAGTGAGATGTCCAGGATAGACTGCGACGAGCGGTAGTTCTCCTCGAGTGATACCTCGTCTGTGCCGGGAAATTCTCGGAGTAAACGGTACAGGTTGCGAACTTCGGCTGATCGCCAACCATAGATACTCTGATCGGGGTCGCCGACGACGGTGATGCGGCCCTGTTTCTGAGCGAATAGTTTCATAAGCTCATATTGGATGCCGTTGGTGTCTTGATATTCATCGATCAACACTGACTGAACATTGGAAACGCATGAGGCATTCTTCTCCAGCAACTCTACGCATCTCACAAGCAAGTCATCGTAGTCAAGCAAGTTTGAGCGTTGTAAATGTTCCTGGTACTCTTCGTAGCATTTGAGGAGATCAGGATGGTCCGCCTTCTTGCCCTTCTGCGACGTCGTTGAATGGTTTCCCTTGGCCTTCCGTTTGCTGATCCACGATTTTGCGTATGAGGGCTCGACAGTAAGCTTTAGTCTTTCGCAGATCCGTTTGATGATCCCTTTCGAATCGCCATCATCGGCAATGCTGAAGTTTGAATCCAGGCCAATGCGTTTTCCGTAGGCAGAGAGGTATCGTCTTGAGATGGAGTGGAAGGTGCCGAGGACAATCTTCTTCTCGACATCTTCTCCCAAAAGCTTGCCAATTCTTTCTCTCATTTCACGCGCTGCCTTCACCGTAAACGTCGCCACGATGATGTCGCATGGTTGATAGCCGACCTCTCGAATGAGCCAAACGACGCGTGAAGTAAGGGTATGTGTCTTTCCACTTCCTGGTCCGGCCAAGATTGCGACTGTGGAAGCTTTGGAGGTAACTGCGCGGCGCTGAGCGTCATTCAATGACTTCAAGATGGCATTGTCGGAGCTGGTCATTGCCTTGAATGAGACGCGTCGGTATCGGCGCGTCGGTAAACAGGCAGTTCAAAGAGTCTATCATCGGATCCTTTGGTGTTTCGCTTGTCAGAGGTTTACGATTGAAGGTTTCTTGCTTTGCCAGATGAAAATTGAACGAAGCGAATCTCAGGCTTGCGCTTTTTCCATCCCATCCCAGGGCGCCCCTGGTCGTGTCTGAAGTGTAGCACGCGACGCCGTCGCGAGGTCAGGTGACTCTCCTGGGAATGACTCAGCACCCTCTCGCCAGCTCCATGCTCGAACGTGAGGGCAGACAACTGCACATCAAATGCGCCAACATGGATCTTGTGTTCTCTCTTACAGTTCAATGCCACTTTGTTTTTGTACATGAGATATGTTTTCACAGGTAGCAATCCCACGGTAACCACTTGGTAACGGTGCTCCAACTCTACCCCACGCACGTCAGATCTGAGGTGCCCCGCCCCTTGACCGAGCTCCACAGGTTCAACGACTCGACCCATCAACATCGCAACGCACCTGACATCTTTCTTCCTCGACCATTGTACACCCTGTAGCTGAGAGACAGTCGCAATGTCGCATCTTGAAGAAGTGTCCGCTTTTATCGAAGGCGCACCTCCGGGTGAGGTAAGTGCTTTTAGGCTTTGGAGGCTATTGATCGCGACATACTGACAGCTCCTCTAGCTAAACGATGTTGTCACGGGTATGGATTCAATGGCGCTTTCGAGTTGGCAGTACGAAACTTACAAGCTCGCCCAGACATCAAAATCTTGACGCAAAACGAACCGGAAATCGTGGACCAGCTCGCACCCGCTTTCGAGAAGTATAATGAGGAGCAATTCGCTACGGTAAAGCTGCCAGGCAGCAGCCAGCCCGTGAGGAACCTTAAAATGCTGGTTTCAGTTCATGTGCTGATGTGGATCCCGTAGGTCGTTATCAGCTCACACAATTCTCTGGGAGGTGGACGCTACTTCGACGTGGAGAGCTCTTCGAGCTTTGATTTCGACCACACAACTCAGGTACGGCCATCACTACGAAGTCTGTGTTCGTCTTGTCTGACGGAACCTAGGCTGCGAGTAATGTTCAGAGCCATGTCTTGGAGGGTGCTCAAGCCGATCTTGTGTAAGGACGTCTTGTGTCTGCGATCACCACAGCTAGCTTACATTTTGTCTCAGGAAGTCGACCTTGAAGAGCATTGGCACGTATGTCAATGAGCACTACCCAAATGCTGCATTTGGCGTTTACCCCATCGAAGTCGACTCCAAAGTGGCAGTCGTCATTGTTGCAAACAAGTACAGCCCCAACAACTTTTGGTGCGCCTGTCTTGACTCTTCCTCTGGATCTTGTTCGCTAATCGGGAACAGGAACGGTCGCTGGCGATCTCTGTACATATATGACCCTTCATCAGGCAGCCTCGAGGGTTCGGTCAAGGTCGATGTGCACTACTATGAAGACGGCAATGTGCGCCTTATCACCAACAAACCAGTTCACGCGAGTATCTCTTCCGGCACTGGCGCCGGAATAGCCAAGGAGATCTCGTCGGCTGAGCGCAAATACCAGGAGGAGCTGAACAAGGGCTTTGTCAGCTTGAGCGAGGGCGCTTTCAAGGGATTGAGGAGGCAATTGCCTGTGACGAGGCAGAAAATTGAGTGGGACAAGGTCACCGGCTACCGTCTAGGCCAAGATCTCGGCGGGGGCAGTTCGAAGAGGTAGATTGTCGCCGGCGGGGTTACATATGAGAGCGTACATTCTTCTGTCCTTGAGCGGGGTTCGCATGTAGAAGCGAGCGTTGCATTCGTCGCAATGGCAGCACTGGAGCAATAACACCTCGGCGAGCGAACAGTGCATGCCTAGCCCCCCAAAACGGTGTGCAGAGGGAACTCAAGCCGTAATCCTACAATTGCTTCCTTTTGCAATGGCAATCGATGTGACTCGACAGCTTGGGACACCGGACTTACGTGATAGCTACTACTATCATAATAGATCCCTCGTTTGGTAATGGGCTGTGATCAGTAGGTGATCAGTAGGTACAAGAGACGTCGGGATCGCTATCTGCCAGCGGATCCTAGGGATAACAATTTCCCCGTAATAGGCCCAATCATGGATCGTCTTCTGTAATTTCGCGTTAGCCCATTGGCCAGATGGCGATTGAATGACTAGTACGGAGTAGGCCGGCCGCCTGGCCGGTTCTTGGGGCACCGACGGGATGCCGCTCGCAAAACATGGCGCTAGAATGGTACCACGAACTGTCCGTTACATAACGCTCCGACACTGGCACCCCTCATCACAGGAGGTGGCTTGTGGAGGATGATACCCTGCCCTTGAACGGAGGAGTTCGGCGTTTTTTGGCTTACTATATCCACAGGGTAAGGTCTATCGTTATCAATAAGTCGAGCGATATCTACACGTAGCTAGCTAACAAGTCACCTCGGTGAAACTGAAGTAGGATGGCACCAGATGAGTAGAGCCAGCGCGTACGGAGTAGAGCAGATCGAGCATACCGGCTGTTAATTCGCGAGTATTGATTCTACGTAAGGATAGTCTTGTGACTTTTAGCAGCGGATAAGATGGAGTGAAAGGGGCTAGTCGATGGTGGGAGAGAATATCCACACAGGGCCGCTCGAATCCTGCGGCGTGCTAATTAGAAAGGACCCCTTGGATCTACGACCAAGAGCGAAATCCCGAATTTCCAACCAGACCGCCGAGGACTACTCCCACCTCTCCACCTCCTCTACAGAACAGCCACGATCTCCCAACCAAGCTCTTCAGCAACAAACGTCAAAACTCCGAGTCCTCGCCTCCTCAACAGACAAAATCGCCCAAGATGTCTAAGGAATTCACCTACCAGGATGTTGCTGAGCACAACACCAAGAAGGACATGTACCTTGTTGTGCACGACAAGGTCTACGATTGCGGTAAATTCGTGGACGAGCATCCGTACGACATGGCCCCCCAACTTTGACAGACCTGCGCTAATGTTCCCGAAGTGGTGGTGAGGAGGTGATGCTCGACGTTGCTGGACAGGATGCCACCGAGGCATTCGAGGATGTTGGCCACAGTGACGAGGCTCGCGAGACACTGGATGCGCTCCTCGTCGGTACACTGAAGCGTGCGGTATGTACACCCGGAAAGAACCTCCTCTTGCGACAACACACTGACAAGAAACAACAGCCCGGCGACCCAACCCCCAAGAGCCCCGCCACCAACACCTCGGCTTCCAACACCAAGAGCGATCAGGTCGGCACTGGCATTGGCGTCTACGCCGCCATCCTCATCGGCGGTGTTGGTGCCTACTTCGCCTACAACTACATGCAGCAGCAGCAGGCCCAGCAGTCGTAAGCTGCGCTGCGGTCGAGCGTGCGGGGGTGGAGATGGTGGACTAGGACGATAGAGCGATGAATTCAAGGACGATAAAGACGAGCGTTTGGGGCTTTGTGAGCCTGCTTCTAGAGTCACGGAAGACACATGATTATAATCGGTCATACAGGAGCATTCGGTTAGGAAAGAAGGCGATGATAACGACAGCAGCGTCCTCTTCGATTGAACTCTACAGCTTTTATACAACGCAGGGAACTTGTAATTAAACGGTCGGCCTTCTATAGTGAGCATTGGTCACGTCGAAGCGAAGAGTACATGTTGTGAAGTTGATTGTTGAGTAGCCTCGGGATGTTAAGTACATGGGCTTGGGTGGATATGCCACGTTGGGCAAGTCTGCCGTCAACACAGGGACCGTGATGGGAAATCGACGCCGCAGTGCCACCGAACGCCATGCATATTGCAAAGCGAATCGCTATTCGCATGAGACCTTCATCTTGGACCCGCGCTTTGATTTGCGAGGTTCATGATTATCAGGTGTTTGGCCGATGTAGCTATGCGAGAGAAAATATTCTAGGTTAGGCTGCACTCTAATTGACAAGGTAAGGTAGCACCTGAAACGTGTGCGCCACAGCATAAGCCACAGTTAACTCACGGAAAGTCAGACAAAGTCATCGCTCTCGCTCACACCCTCACCTCCCAATTCTCCATCCTCAACCTTAGGGAACGTCACCTGTCCCTCGCGTCACGATGCCGTCGTACCTGGACAAGCAGCAGAGCGCTTTTGCGGGCTCACTCGCATCTGCTGCCTCCAAGATCTCAAATCCGACAGTCGCCGCACCTGCCAAAGCCAGCGCAGCGTCTTCGTTAGCACCTCCGTCGCCATCGCCGTCCGCCGCATCAGACACCAACACCACGCCCAAGGCGAAGTCCAAATATGTGCAGGTGTACTCGCAGCCAGAAGCCACGGGGACGGGCACAGAGGTCCGGACGAACATGGCCTACGCAGTGGAGAAGCTCAAAGACAAGGGCACGACGATGACCGCGGAAGAACTCGAGGGGTTCCTGAGCCTGGGACGCTTCTCAGAGCAGCACAAAGAGGATCTGATGGCAGGACTACGGAAGCATCCGCGCGTTGAGTGGAAGGCCGACCCGAAAGTGAGCGAGCAGACGTGGAGGACGGGCACGTACACCTACCTGCCCATCATACCCGGCGTGAAGGACAAGCAGTCGCTCCTAGCGCATCTGCAGAAGAAGAGAGATGCGTCAGGTCTATCGGTCAGGGATCTCAAGGACGGCTGGCCTAAGTGCGACCAGGCGTTGGAAGACTTGGAAAGGATACACAAGATCCTTGTCTTCCGCACCAAGAAGGACAATCTGCCGCGCGCCATCTGGCTGGACGACCCCTCGCTGCACCACCATGTCAACCCGGAATTCGTGACAATGTGGCATCGCACACCAATTCCAAGCATTGACGACATGCACCGCAAGCTCGTCAGCGTCGGTCAGAAGCCTACCAGCGAAGACCCCCGCTTGGCCGCGGCTGCGTCTGCCAAACCAAAGGTGCAGAAGAAGAGGGCCGGCAAGCGCGTTGGCAAGACCACCAACGTGCACATGGCGCATTTGATGAAGGACTACAACACCGGCAGACTGGGCTGAGGCAGGGCGTTGGTTGGTGGGAGTTGTGCGGATTATAATAGCGTGTTTTGAACTAATTAGCATCGGCGTTTATGGGTGCGATCATGTTTCTCGGGCCTCATCCACCAAGGAACGCAGGCAGGCACACACGACGGGGTTGAGATTGGCGACTTGGGCTACACTCCATGAGGGCGTTGGAGACACTTGCATCCTCCATACACACAACCTGCACCGCATACTGTCTTGCGAGACCAGTACAAGAGAACGAGACGCGGCGACGCGAAGCAAAAGAGGAAAACAAAGTTCTTTGGACTCATTTGCTAGCTGATGCATGATATGAACCCGTTTCTATCTGGCTTCGTAAGGTACGCATTATCGTGAACTCATCCAGTCATAATCCAACCCCGTTGCTGTCCTGGTTGTGCCGTGCAAATCAGGAGATTGAGTAAGAAGAGAAGACAGCCTTGTCTCCTCAACTTCCACCATTGGCCCATATACTCTCAAAAAGCTTGCCAAGGACAGCTTCTTCTTGGTACCCGCCGACAGGGTACTTGCCCTGTACTATCACGCAGGGCACTGCCCGGACATCCCGCTGAGGTCCCACAGCCTGCGCTTCGTTGTCGATCTCCTCGCCCGCCTCTTCGCTCCTCAGCGGCCTCCTCACATCGCTCGCTTGCAGCCCACCGTGCGTCGTGCCCACCTTGACGAGCCACTCGTCGTCGGTGACGTTTTCTTCGCCTCTGCAATGACTCAGAAACAGGGCCTCGACCACGCGCGATTGCGCTGACGGCCCTCGTTGCTGGAGCGCCAGCGCAATGAGCGTGTGCGAGTTGCCCGAAAGGCCTGTGCGGCCCATGAGGCAGAGGTCGACGCCGTAGCTAGCGGCTATGGCCCGGATCCGCTGGTTTTTGGCACCAAAGCAGCCGGGGCCTTTTGAGCCATCATATAGTTCCTCTTTGCTGCATCCTGAGGTTGTCAGCCCCTGTGAACGATCGCTATCCAGACAGATCCGCGCCGCATCATATTGCATGACTGCGAGGGAGCAAGCAGTCGTTCGAACGTACCTTCTTGCAGCAATAGGTAAAGATAGAAAGGTCTCCATAGCACCTCAAACTCCATTCCAGGATGCCTTCCCTGAAACCTCTCAACACGGCGTCAGGCACTTCTGCTGGACGTAGCACCATGGACATAGCGTATCACAGTGCACTTCAATCCGGAAGAGCATGCGCTCCGTCGCTGAAGGTACCGCCATGGTTCCTTACTCAATATTTCGACCGAGAGTACGTAGCGCGGGGGCACCAAGTGAGGCGACTGGTGACGGGGGCGGAGAGTACGTATCATGAACAGGCGGACGCGAAGGAAAAACAAGAACAGTCGCAAACAATTGTGATTATTGTCATGTACCGCTCGGCCCGGCTCACCCCAGAGACATAAGCAATCCAAGCTACAAATGAATAGCCCTATCGGTGCCGGGGCCACCGCACAAATCGCACTGGAGGGAATGAGCAAGCCTTGTCCGAACTGCATCCGAAGCCATGAGCGTATGCCGGTCAAAGGATGGAACAGAAGAGCCAATGTGAAAAAATATGGAGACAGCCATTATCCGCTAGTCCGGAAAGAGTGGTATCCAAGGGTTCTGCCCATGGGCTCAGTGAGGGTGGGGGGAGGGGGAAGCAGTTTTCCGTGGCATTGATATGTAAACATCGATTATCCAACATTGGGCTATGAGTTCACATGGACCTAGCATGCTGTACTTTTATTAGCTGCCGGGGGGAAATGGGGAAGCCACTGTAGCCTGTGGGAGGAGAATCTCCCTCAAAGTGGAGGGAGGACAGCATCTCGCTAGGTAACCAATACGTACTAGAGCTATTAGTAGGTAGACTTGAGCTGGGCCTGTGAACATCCCAAGACACACATATGCAGCGACACGACCCCGAAAAACAACGGCCTGAACCCCTGTTCGCTAAGTATGTTCAACTGCTTGAGATTTGCTTTTCATCATAGCAGTGAGATGGTCTGTTCTTGAGGCTTGACCCAAAGAGGTGACAAGAGGAATGAATCGATACAGTACACCACGCTCGACGGGAGTGTCTAGCGCCAGACCTTATCATGAACAAAATGTGCATGGAGACTATACCCGAAATCGTTAAGCGGCTGATTGGGCATGGAGGCATGGAGCAGCATGGTGAATAGTGCGTGACGACTCAGATCTCATAGCACTGGGCTGCATATCAGGAATTCTCGCGAACACGATCATGTCACATTCTGTTCATGCCTAGAATGGCGCGTTTTGAGAAGAAGAAGAAAGGTAGATTGCTCTGTTGTACTCTATGCACGCTACAAGCGTTATGTCTCACTCAATAATGATCAGAACGCCTCGCCATCCCAGTTTCCTTTGGTTGTATCTCGCAAATTTGCTGCCCCCTCGTGTTGCTGTGCCTTCCTCTGGATGTTTATCGTGTTTAATTGGTGACCTAGTCGCGCAGGTGACCATTCTAATTTCGAGTCCCGGAAACCATTCCATAATGTGACATATTCGAGAGGGAAATAACAAGGTGAAAGAAGCCAGGTGAGTGGAAACAAAGGCTCCATGCCAATGCGGCCTGGCTGAATCTGCCCCCTTTTGCCGTGTAATGAATGAATGAACGCCATGTCGAGGTGAAGTAGCTCAACGTCAAGACTTCCGCTCTCTCTAAAACGAGCCAATACAGGAGAGAACACAGGGTATCAAACAAGCAAATGTTCACCCACAGCCACGTCGCTCAGTGTGCGTGTGGGCCTTGGTGCTCTTCCTAAGTCATTGGCACCATTGACTGATTGTCGTCGTGTCGCCGCATCTGCCCAGTGTAGTACATCTGCCCCATGTTTGCTGGATTGGGGGGGTATCCTTCCTGTGCATCCGTGTACACATAGCTGTTGCTGTGCTGCGACTGGGGAGATGGCATGTGGGCAGGTGACTGCCATCCCACATTGCTCATGTGAGGGCTGTTTGCGCCGCTCGGGGAGCCAGAGTGCTGTTGGTGTTCCACGCTGGGCTCCAAGGTCGAGGGAGGCCCGTACCCTGTGGGGTGGGATGTTGGTCGCATGCCCGTATTGTGACTGTAGGCACCGGCCGAGGTCGTTCCGGGACTCCCAACGCGCATGTGTACCGGAAGGGAACCATTCTGCAGATATTGAACTTCGCTGTTGTGGCGGTGCATGCCATCAACGCTGGGGGACATGGACATGGTCCGGTTGCCAGGGGAGGGTGTTGACATGGGCGAGCCGTGATTTGATAATGCTTCGCCATCTTGACGGACCTGCGACATCCCCGTACGGTTCGCAGTCGCAGCTAGTGCTGCCGCGGTGGCCGCCGCCGCCTCTTCCACAGTTCCGGTGTGCTGCTGCTGGTGGCGAGTCAAGGTGGTCCTCCGAGTAAAGGTCTTTTGGCAATCTGCGAAAGGGCACTTGAACGGACGCATGCCCGAATGCGTTCGGCGATGCCGCGCTAGCGAGCTACTGTCGCTGAAACGCTGCGTCTGGTCAGCATCGGAGCAGAAACAACACGCAAAGAAGAGCTTACCTTGGCACAAACTTCGCAGCAATGCGGTTTCTCGCCCGTGTGTGTACGTTGGTGAACAGTCAAGGCTGACCTTTGGATGAAAGGTTTCCCGCAGTCGGGGTAATCGCAGACATGAGGCCTGTCTCCGCTGTGTATGCGTTCTATTCTCACGTTAGCCTCTGTCGATCTCAAATTCTGCAAGTAAACCTACCATGCCGAGCAAGATCGCTTCGTCTCGCAAAAGGTTTGCTGCATGAGCTGCAAGCATACTGTTTGGCTGCAGCCGGTTGAGCCTGGCGCGCCGAGGGCGCAGTCGATACCTCCTGCTGAGGAGGTGGTGTGCTATGCATTGGAATAGGTATGCTGTGTGCTCCTGGCATCCCCATGGGTATTTCCGTGTAGCCTCGAATTTGCATCGAGCTGAGAGGTGAAGGCATGTTGGTCGGCAAAGCCATTTGACCAGCTAGATTAGGCGACGCATAAGATCGAGATAGCTGCGAGAATTGCGAGTGCTCTGACCCATGAGGAGACACAGACCGCTCCATCTCGGACTCGGCTTTAATAAGCGTATAGTGGTTATGCTGTTGATCGCCAAAGTTTCCTGAAAAGTTCCTTCTGCCGTCGAGGAAATCCCCGTTGTGCATGATGTCCGCCGGCACCACAGATCTCACAAGTAAAGCCACTTTGACGGTGCTTCTGATTCTTGCCTTAAAGATCGGTGCGTTGTTCGCTGGGTCGCGTGCGCTGAGGATTTCGCAGGCAAGCCTCCCCGTTAGTCGGCCGAAGGTTTGTGATGCGGGTTGCGGCCTCAAGAAGAGTGATTCCGTTCCTTTTCTTGATCCGCTGGCTGCACTGGTATTTGATGCGTGACTTGAACTCTGGGTTGGTCGAAGCTGGATCGGAGAGGATTATGTATTTCGAATAGCTGGGTGATCTTCGTGTCGATGTTAGCCGCGTCGCGAAGGATTACGGAATGCCAAATGATGCGAACACAGCAGAAAGGTAAAATGAGAGGAATTCGATCAAAAATACAATGCAAAAGAAGGCAAAAAAATATGCAGGATTGCAGAGAAGTTCGGAACTAACGGCCGCCCTCGAGCGACGAGGGACTAGACGTCGGGACCAACTTCTTTTTTATGCTGGAGCCTCAAGCTCAGCGATGACAGGGCAGATCAAAGGGGAAAAAAACTGCACCCCCTGGAAGCAGCGCCAGGGTTCGCCCAATATGGACCTGACAGGGGGATTTGCCGGGACAGCGGACAGAGCGGTGGGCGGGTATGACTGTGTTCTGTACGCGAAAGCTTCTCGACTTACCCTAATTAAGAAGGTTTGGGAATTAAACAAATCCCCAGATTGCGAAGACCGAGAACAGCTTGCACTCGGCGCGCCTCGTTGTGGAAGCGCAGGCGTCGTCAACAATTGTTTTGCTTGCTTCTGCACGTAGAACCCTTTTTGAAGGTTTGATGCTGGATGAAGCTTGGCTTTCGGGGAGCGGAGTCCTGTACTAACAGCCTGGAGCAGTAGCGTGGTAGCGGGACTTGAGGCGGTTGGCGGGCCCGACTAGTGAGGGAGAGATGACGGAGGCGCCTGGCTCGGAGATTTTGCTTCCTAAAAGCAGCTGCAGGTAGGATGATGTTGCTAAAGAGGATGACCGGAGCCTGGAAGCGAGGCAAGTAGGATTTGATGACAGGAACAAATGTGTGTAGGACTCCGTGGGGTATATTGGCGTGGCGTCCGTGCTAGACTGACTGCGATCTGGAAGCTGGTGCTCGTGGTGGTAGGAGATGGTAGAGAGTGAATGTTCTGATCGCAAACGGGTCTGGGAGGAGGGATGCGCAAAGTTATAGTCGCCGGCTCCGAGCCCCCGGATCGCGGGACGCCTGTTGGATGTGTAAGATGGAAGGCAAAACTAGTCTAGTTTAGGACAGCACCATGCGAGAAAGCGACCTTCTCGTCCTTGTTGACAATGTGGTTGTTGGTCGTGTGATGCTCGGGATCAGGGTGAGCAAACGTGAAGACGACAGATGCGAGTGGAGGTACCTTGCACGGTGCAACAGGACAGTGCGTAGAAAACGCTTCGACCCACGCACGACTGGGTCTGTGGCTCCGCCGCTGTCACTCAGACAAGCACGCGCCCAGTGCTTCATTGACGAGTTAAATCTCCCTTGTGGACGATGGAAATAGATACCATTTCGAAGGCTTTGAGTGTTCTCATTTGGATCTGTGCTGATCCTACATTTGCTTTGAGTACCGGCTTTGGAGCTTTCATCACATCGACGGTCCAGGGGACCTCAGTACCTTCTTGCCCCTCTGACAGGTTGTCGCGTTTTCGTACGAAATTAGCACGTCACCCAACCCAACGCGGCTACCATGACGTGGTTTTATAGGCGCGCTGCATCTTACGGTCAACGGTAGCTTGAAACAGATATTGACGCAATGCACTCCGAGCGTTCGACTTGTTGGGATACTCTGTTTTAGAGGCAGCCAATATATGCGTTGCCACACGTTTGGTCGTTGGGTGTCGGGGGGCCTTGCATGAGGCATTACCGTTCCTATCACTCTTTGGTAGCGAACGATCAAGCGAGCGTGTCTCTAGGTCAAACTGTTTACAGAGTCTGTATGGCATGTTCGCCAACAAGCTGCTGCATTTGTTAGAATCTTAGAAAAGACATAGGCCCTGGGAGAAAAGCAACTCGAGACCAATGTTAAGTCAATTTTATCGTGCTCCGCTCCCAGCGCATTCATTCAAGTTGCAAAGTAACTGTTGGCAAAATTGGTGATGGACGTTAAATGTTCTCTCTGCAGCTCTTCCAGAATGACTGGAGTCACGTTCGATCCTGGCTGTAGTCTCGTTGTACGTACCTATGATTATGAGGTGAAGTCGAGTTGTCGTAGATCGCCAAAGCACAGGCCGCAATGCAAGAGTTCGCACTGTACCATATACTTTATTAATGCTCGCGCCTGTGAAGTGCCTGTTGCTAATTACTCCCATGTCGTCAGACTCGATAAGCGCACGCACAGAGTGCTTTCACTCCAGACTGATTGCTTGGGCTGGCACCGATTAGGGCACCCATCACTCGAATGCTCAGAAGCTCAGAGGCTCAAAGGCTAGGTCAGATATCAGGGAGGATCAACATGCAGGGATTCGTTCACGCCGTCTTTGTGTGTGTGTGGACCTTCTGTCGCCGGGGATGTTTTATGGCTCCGACCGCCAAAGGGGCAGGCTTCCAGAAGGTTTCGGGATCTTCTGGGACGGAATCCCAGTGGCTCATTTTTCCAGGTGACCCACTTCGTCAGCCCAGACCCTCGACTCTATTCACTTGTCGCCGACCGACCGCGCTTCGATACATATTTTGTCTGTGCGCCGCCATTTTCCCTTGTGACCGGTTGGCCCGACGAGATTGGTGACTGATATTGTTCTGCGGCCCTTCGATTCACCTTCTAGTGGCTGGGCGGTCTGGGGAACGTGCTCGACTCGCGTGGACAGGGGCCCCTTGGCGACTACCCAGCCAGGTGCCGGGATACGCACTGTACTCATCGGTGATGAGCCGAGTGCTCCATCTTTCTTTGTGCGCGTTCCTGGCGATGCGACATGCACCTTGCGACCCTCACTCGATTATCCTCTCCAGGGTCGTGACGTACCTCGTAGACTGTCCGCTGCCTGAATTGGTGATTATCTCGCGCGTCTCTCTGCCAATCTCATAGGTCCAACAGCTAGCTGCTGTCCTGCTGTGGAGGAGCCCAACACAGTGCTCCTAGATCTGATGATGGAATGCCCGCCTAGCTAGTATTCGGCACCAGCCGTCCGGGCCCCATCGAACAACAAAGGTAAAGTACTCGACAAATTACCCACCCTGCTGGCCTTCTCACGGACCACCAGCATCTCAGGCTAGGAGGCTGTGAGCGTGATTGTGGTGGTCTACTAAACGCTCGTGCCACCGCCTGCCTCCTCAATAGAAAGCAAGGGCCTATACAATGGATTGCTTGGCTCTGCAAGCGGCTCCCGGCTGTATGTGCCATGTCACGACCTACCGTTGCAGCTAGCAACAGCGTCGCAGGAGCCGACGCGGGTCACCGTGTCAGATTGGAACTAATCTCGTCGATGTCTGGAGCTTTTCTCGGGGAGAGCGACTGGAACGCATGCAACTTTGCGTCCGCATGTCTGATAAGGCAATTTATAGTATGATGTTCACCGCGATGGGACTTGTCCTGTGCAATGCTTCGCTTGCAACAGTGTACCCGCTTTGACCAGAATGAAATGGGCCACAGAGATCGCCCTAACGACTAACTTATTAGTCCTTGCTCACGAAAGACTCGACTGGCAGATAATCTGAACGGGCAATATTCAAGCCAAACGCCTTTTTTAACACAGGGTCTTGGATGAACAAGGCGTTACCTACTCAGAAGTCCGTACGATACATACATAGGCACTGCGGATACTCGACCAGCTTTCGAGCGAATGATTTTCACAAGGATCGTGGGTCCTGATTCCTGGGACGCCCGCCCGTCGAACACAAGCTGGCGATTTGGGCTTGGCCAAGAGTCCAAGACATGAACAATGACTCCCGTATCACAGCTCTTCTCCGGCTTTTACTATTGTCAATCCCCCCCCACAGTGGTCCGACCACGCGGTCGTGCGCCAGCGCTAGTAAGGGAATCTAAGCTATGTTGGCAGATGAGATGCATGTCTCCAACTCCCTCCGCATGCTCGCTACCTATTCAGGCCGGTTATTGACGCTCGCATCGAGACAAGCGCCCTCTCCAAGTCGTTTGCGCCAGCCAGTCTTGTCACGATGGAAGCCTTCTGGAAGGTTACCCTTTCCCAACCTCGGCGATCCCGTGAGTCCCTTGACGCCCGTTCACCCGCCCACCATTTCTGTGGAAAGTTTCTGGACGCTGGGATTTGACTTGTTGGGCCTCTTGACGCATTCTTGCATTCAGGTTGCTGTCGGATTGGGAACGTGCGGTGCATGCAGCCTTGCCGCCGTGTCCAAGAATTCCCCGTTGCTTTTTCCGCTCGAGGTCGTGTCCAAATCAGGCGCCCGCAGCCCGCAGCAAGACCGCCCGCAACTTCGTTGTGCTCATGTGGAATGTTGTCGTAAATAGACGCTGCACTGTACGCGGCTCTCGATGCATCCTGGACAAAGTCATGGGCATGTTGCTTCTCGAGCATCGCTGTGCGCTGTCGCATTTGGTATACATGGATTCTGATGTTATGCTATTTGATGGCAGAGGGAGATAGATACCAACAAGCGTCTCGTAACCAGGGCGAACAATTGTACACTGATGTGGTTTCTATCTGTGCAGATCAATCCTCATTACCCGTAGTTCAGGACGAAAGCCCGTCAAACACGGGAGTACCCGCCAGCAGAGGCCTCCTCAACGGGCAATGGCCTCCTGATGGATATCCGTAGTAGGATGGACTACTACGGACAAGCTGCGATCAGTGCCTCCAGTATCCCTTCTCCGCTAGGTACTCATGTCCATAGAATCTGTATGACCTGTGCGGGGAGCAACTTGAAGGCTGGTATACACCAAAAAAAAAGTGAGCTGTAGATTGGAGGTAAGATGCTTCCCCTACATGCTCCCCCTACAGTATCTCCTCGAAAGCTCGCGCCATGCGCCCTGGAGAAATCTGAGATGACGAGAACGGTATTCGCCGTGCGCACGCAGTTTCGGCCAACCCACAAGACAATATGCGATTACCTTCTCACTCCCGTCCTCTTATCTCAGGTATCACCATCTAGGCTCACCCTTTTCAAAGGCAGGAGTCTCCACGACATTCCTATCTCCAAAGGGGTCATTCTCATCCTCGTTCTCATCCTCAGGTTCCGAGTCCGCATCGGGCACCGCTGCAGGGCGAGGCGGCTTGGGCGGCGGTAGCGCGTTCGGCTTCGTCGACGTCGAAGGCACGGGCGGGGCGTGCGCACTGGGTGCGATTGATAGATTTCCTAGGTCAGGAGGCTGGGCTGAAGTAGGAGAACCCGAATCTTCTTTCCTGTTCATGGTCGCCACTGCGGTAGCACGATTAGCGACGGCGTCCTGGTGGAGTGCAAGTCTGACATACTTCGATACAGATGTGCCTGCTCGGCGAGCTCGTCATCCGAATCGCTATCGGCGTCGATCGCGTTGTCCATCTGCTCAAAGGACATGAGCGCGTGCACCAGGGCATCGTTGGCGTTCAGCAAGCTGCCAAGGAAATGCTCATCCTCGACATGATGAATCTGTGCATGTCAGCCAAGCTTTCTGCATTCCGGACGGGCCACCGACATATCGCAGAACGCGTCGGCGCAGTTGCTTGCAGGCCTCAAACTTTTCCACCGCGGAGGGATTGTCTGATATTCGCTCCGTCTCGCGATTGATCGTCTGGAGGGTATTGAGAAGATTTGTCGAGGAGATGGAGGCATCGGCAATGACGGCTTTCATCTGGGGCTTCTCGGCCTCGAGATTGAAAGGCTTCCTCTTTCCCTTGGACTTGTCCTTCTTCTTGTCCTTTGACGAGCTGAAGAAGGACGATCCAGCGCCGGCCTTCTGCATCGCTGCGGCAGAGGCCGTGCTCGACGTGGGCTTGTGCGAAGGACCACTGGCAGAAGCTTTCTGCTGGGCGGCTTCGCGTGCCGCCTCTTCCTCTTCATCACCGAAAGGGTTCGCCTCCGTCTCACGGATGACCTTGGAGCGCTCCTGGGTCACCGCAGCCTTCTTCTTGGGTAGTTCCTGGAAATGTCAGTTTCCGTTCTGCGCGAGGGATCATGGCTGGCGCACCCTATGGAGCGCAGCAATCTTCTGGAGACCAGGAGTGTCTTTGAACGCGGACCATTCCCTGAACAGCTCGCGGCACTTTTTCCGCACGTCTGGATCGGAGAGATCCGATGTACCACAGACGCGAAGACGCTCGAGGAGCGGCTCGTCAGCAAAGGCGCGCTGGAACCGTGGGCCCGCGTTCTGGATGAGTCCGTCAAGAATGACGAGGGCGCGAATTTGGCGATGCACGCTTCCGTACTTGAGCTTCTTTCGTATCGCGCGAGCAGCCTCGGAGGGGCCGGTGGACTGGAGCTTGATCACCTCGACGAGCTCTGGTATACCACTAAAGTCCTCCTCCTCGTAAGACTCGGCAGTGAGATTCTCAATTGTCACAGTGACTGCCGAATACGGCTTTTTCTACTGTTTGTCAGATAAGTTGATCCAGTGAATGGAACGCCCTCGTTCTCGCGGTTCGCGGAGCTCCCGGCTGACAAGCCATTGGCGATCGCAGCTCACTGCTGTCTGCGGTTGGGTCGCCTCAAGAGATGGGCCCACGTACCTGCTGAAACATGCTCATCTTGAACGCTCCGTGCTAGAGCTGAATATGAGGAGGAAATGAGCGCAGCTACCCACAGGTCCTCACGTACGTCCGCCGGAGCCAGAGCTGTCGCAAGGTGTCGCGATGGCGATCCGCAGAGACAAAAGCTGTGATGTTTGACGAAGCACGGTTCTTGACTTTCGTGTAAGCTCCGCGATGCGCTTGAGCTCCTCGCCTTCAGCCTTTGACAAGGGAACCGTAGGCAGAAGTGAGAAGGAAGTTCGTGTGTGGCGCGAAAGAAGCTCTGGTCACAAGCTCATGTCTCCTTTAGTGGCCGGTAGTGGGGGGAAGACGCGGGGCCAGTCACCGGTGGATCCTGAATTCCTGGCCGAGCCGTGGACGCTGCTCCCTGACTTTGTGTGATTCTGGCGAATTGCCTGATAGAGAAGAAGTCTTGTTGCTTATAGTTGGAACAAGCCGACAAGCATGGGTCTCAGATCATGGCAGTGCTGCACATGTCCCGATGTTGGGCTTCCACAACGTTGAGGCTAGTATCAGCTGCCAAACTTCGAAAAAAGGACTTATGACGTAGTGTTAAGCCGCCGGAGATGGGAAAGATAACGGGATTCACGATGATCCAACATTTATCTACCTACGAGATGTCTTACTGTACACAGCTCGCATCTATCTCACTATCAATACCCTTTTATTCTGAAAACATTCACGATCCTGACAGCCTGTTGAACGGGCTTTAGCTTTTCTCAATTCAAAGAACTCCTTGCTGAATGTCGCTTGCAGGTGGCTTCGAATGCACTGTTGAAAATTCACTTTGTTGCCGGCTTGGGAGGCCGAAATCTCAGCAGAGAGGTCGCCTTGTGCAAGCCGACGCCCGTTATTTCTGCTTTTTGCCCGACCTCTCGCGCTCGCGCTTGGCGTAGATTTCGGACGTGAACGGGTCCTCGAAGCGCAGGGCCACGACGTACACGAGGAACACCCAGAAGGTCAGCGCGAGTCCTGCTGGCTTAGCAAAGAGAAGCGCGGTGCCCAGGAAGCTCATGGTGGAGCCCCAGTACATGGGCGCACCGACGACGTTGAATGGGAACCCGGTGACCATCTCGTCCATGAGGATGCCAAAGTAATCGCCCAGGAAGGTGCCGGTGATGCCGAGGCGCCATGTCGACGAGATGACAAATGTGTTTCCGAGGGCGATGAGGGTGTAGGCCGCGGCTTGGGAGTAGACGCTCGTTAGCAATGGGTGCGTGGGTTGCTCGCTAATGGCGGTCTTGTAGAGGAAGTCGCGGAAGAGGCCGAGCGAGAAGATGGTCGCGGCGAGACCGTAGCAGGCTGTGCGGGATCGGCCACCGAACAGGTTCGTCAGAAGCTTGTTGTTGTACTCTGTAACATCAATCCATTAGCCATGGTCGCGTCAAAGCGATGCAAAGAGACGGACCTTGACGAGCGACAATGCTGTTGGAAGTTAGCTCGGTTCATCGCACGGGCCTGGATGGGCCACTCACTTCCAGAAAGTCGGGTTGAAGGCAATTGACGCAGCCGAGACTGACGATGTTAGCTCCAGCTGTCATTACGAGCTCAGCAGCGTGCCAGCACGTACGAAGAAAGCTTGGCTTGGTTGGGTCGACATAGCGGGCGAGATCTTGAAGTGTGGCTGCCATGATGCAAGATGTCCTACAAGGATACGGATCAATGGTAATAAAGTTGGGTGTTGCTTGGTAGAACGCGACTCTGCCTTGAAGGGTCAAGATTGAGTGCAGCTTTGAGCACGTTGGCAGATGCGGGGCGGCGGGTGTGGCATGTGAAGTCATTTATTGATCAGCCGGGAAGATGAGGAGGTACCTCTGCCTCATTAAAGATGGAGGACAGCCGGTTATTACCGCGCTGTGATTTTCCAGCCACGCACATTCATTTCACATCCTAGTAATTAAATTTCTCGACGAGCAAAGTCCCAGACAGCCCGTGAAGCGATCCCCGAGACATCCATAATTCGTCTACGTGCAATACAAGAGTAGTATTCATGCGCCGCTATCCTATCTGCCCTGTCTTCGAATGTTCTTCGAGGGGACTGCACCTGAACCAACAAATCTTCCTCCAAAGAGAACTCCATAACTCCGAGCGCTCGCAACATGTAATAACCGCAATATGTTCGAATCGACCTTTGTCCGCCTGTCCACACGGCCCCGCGCCTTGGTCATTATAGTCGTCAGGGGTATCTTCAACCAAGGGCGCTTTGGCAATTCGTTCTATTGCCTGCGCGCCCTTGTCTTCTTCGCTGTTGTTGTTGTGTCCTCTTCCTCATCGTCCTGCCCCTTCTTGAGATCCTCCGTCAAGCCCCATTCCTCTTTGTCGTACCAGTCCTCGCCATCTGACATGTCCCTATTCGGCCCGCAGTGAGCCTCTGCCTTGGACCAGTGGAGGACGTCTTTGCGGAGACGATGCGCCCGGGTAAGGCCATCATGTAATCTCTGTGCACCGCGACACACCTCTTCCTGTTTCTGCACAAACATCGCTAGGAGCCGTCGAAGGTTGTCCGCTTCATCTTGAGGCACACCCAGATCGCGGTCTGATTGCACCCCTTCCGGGGAGGCGAAGATGGGATGTATGTAGGACGACATGTCAGGCGCACCTTGCTCCTCACTAGGCTCTGCATCGGGGTTCGTTTGGCTTGTTTCTTCGTGGGCACGACGAGGCGCTTCTGCACTGCCATTGGAAAGACGCTGATTGGTCGACTGAGAATGATCGCCGTCGATTTCGCCTCGTGGTTTGTCGCTCCCGGCAAGTCTGACCTCGGAGTTGTCACCCGCATCAGTCATTGACGTGTCCGCATAGGTTGCTGCCGGATCGTATGCCGCAGATCCATCTCCAGGCGCAAGGTCCTTCCCTTTGCCTTTATGGCTGCCCGTAGCATTGCCTGTGCCATTGGGTCGAGTCTTGGACAAGCCGAGTAATTGCTGCGCCACATGATCCTTATTGTATAATTCGACATCATCCGGCCCTATCATGACCTCGCAAGGGGCCCATATGCGATCGCCTAGCAAGGCCGTCCACAAGTGACGTACCTGCCACAGCGATCTGTTTTCTCTGCGCATCAGAGTGCTGCTTTGCTCGGCTAGGTGGGTCAACGTTTGCGCGACAAAGGGTTTCGAAAGTGTCGGGTGAACGGCAAGGTCGGACGCCGAGGTTAAAGGCGCCAGGATGTCTGGGTAGGTTAGCCAGGATGTCTTCGGCGGCAGGGCTCATTCACTGACTCTCGATTCGCACATCCGAATACGGGTCGAGCTCGGCAGCGGAAGCCATCGCTTCTTCAATTCGATCGTCGTCGTCTGCGCTATCGACTTCGTAGCCATCTTGGTCGACGAGGGGGGGATTTCGATGTATGATGGAACGCCGGACACCTGCGTATTCGATGGACTGCGGTTTCCGTTAGCGCACTGGGCGGCTGAACGCATTGGCAGCCGTGACTTGCCTCGTTGTAACCATCGGGTCCTTCTGCTGGGACGAGTCGTCCTTTGTTGGAAAATCTCGCTCTTCTCTGTAGCTTGTGGCCGCGATTGCCGTAGCTCTCAATTTCAGAGTCCGAATCAGAGTCTGGGAGAGCAAACGTGATTAGCGCCCTACCCCGTGCCGCCAGCTACTTTGTATGTAACCATACCGTAAGCCCTTCTTTTGAAAGCTTTCTTCATTCCGGCAATTGTCTCCGCAAAGAGAACCTGTTGCGACGCCATGGCGGGCGCGGAGGCGACTCGCTCGCCGACGGGGATCGTGTCGTGCAATTCTGGCGCCGACCAGGCGGTTCGTTGAGGAAGGCTAGGAGAGGGCAGCACGGGAAATCAACTCAAAAAAAGGTACAGCGAGTCTACGCATATGTCTTGGATGAAGAAGAAAGCATGGGCTTGTCAGGGAGCCGCAGAATCGTGCTACAGTTGAGACATCACTCATGCATGCTAGAGTTGCAGGAGGGCGCCTCGGGACGCGAGCAGAGCAAATGCGGCAGAACGAGGCTGCCCGCCTTACGCATCGACCATGACCGCACTGGGGGAGCTGCAACCAGTCATGGCAGCCCATTCGGTGCTGACATGTTCCGGCGCCGGGTCAAATGGAGAAAGCTTACTAATCACTTCACGAAAGCCTTCACCAGTTCACAGATGAGACACATTGCCAATCAACATTCCTGATCGTCGTTTGCTACATTCAAGCTACGGTAACTGTGACATTCCCGTAGAAGTTCTCGCTGGAATTACCCACGAGAATTTCAAAATCGCCCTTTTCGACAACGTACTCCATCTTGCGGTTCCACAAACCCCAGTCCTGGACTTTGAGATCAATCTCGACAGTCTCCGTCTCACCGGCCTTGATGTTGACCTTCTTGAAGCCCTTGAGGCTGTAGCGAGGCACATCGATGCTGGCCAGGACATCTCTGACGTAGAGCTGGACGACCTCGGCGCCGTCGCGCTTGGATGTGTTGCTCACGTCGACAGATACCGTGATCGTGTCATCAGCGGACGCGGTCTCCGACGATGCCTTGATGTTGTCAAACTCAAAGGTGCTGTACGACTGGCCGTATCCGAACGTGTAGAGTGCGGTTGGGTCGAGCAGGACATAGTTCCTGCCCCATTCAATGGTGCCATTCTCATAGACCTTACCCGGGTTTGGCCAGGTCCGTGCCGAGTTGAGATGGTCATAGTGGATGGGCAGAGCGCCAACGTCGTGCGCGAAGCTGATGGAGAGCTTGCCCGACGGATTGACGTCGCCGTATAGGATGCTCGCCAACGCGTGGCCGCCCATCTCGGACTGGTAGAACTGTTGCACCAGGGCCGCGGCCTCATCTGAGATCCAAGGCTCGGTGATGGGCTTGCCAGAGCTGTAGACGACAACCGTGGGTTTTCCAGTGTCGATGATGGCCTTGACGAGACGCGGCATGGCACCGACAAGGTTCAGGCTGTGCACATCGACGGACTCGCCCGTCGTGGCGTTCAGACCCTGCCAGAGCTCGTTCTGGTCGCGAGACCACGTACCGACGACGACCACGGCGACATCGGCATCCTCGGCAGCGGCGATGGCTTCATCGAAGCCAGAGTCATCGTTGGACCAACGCTCACAGCCTTGCGTAAAGGTGACAGTCCCCTCACTGGCCGCCTCGATGCCGTCGAAGGGAGTGACACCCCTATACTGCGATTTGTAGATGACATAGTCACCGTACTATTGATTGCATATCAGCTACTGCCGCGCTCGTGGGATCCTTTCTCGCTTCACTCACATTGACATAGCCGTGTGCCATGGGGCCGATCACCGCCACATTGGCGTCCTTCTTCAGTGGCAAGACATTGTCGTGGTTCTCCAGGACGACGATGCTCTCCGCGTCTAGTTGCTGGGCGAGCTCCTTGTGTTCGTCCGTGTTGAGATAGTCGTAGATGGCATCATCGGAAACACCTGTCCATGGGTTCTCGAACAACCCTTGCGCGAACTTGGACCGCAATACGCGCGAGACGGCAAGGTCGAGGATCTCCATGTCGAGCTCGCCAGACTCAATCAGGTCAGGGATTGTCTCGAAGCTGTACCGGCCGCCACCCATCTCCACGTCGTTCCCGGCGGGCAACGCCTGCATAGTCACGCACTCATCGTCGCCCTCGGCGCAGATCTTGAAAGGTTCGATCAGGCGAGCGGTGCCGCCAGCATCCGAGATAACGTAGTATTCGTACCCCCACTCGTCACGCAGTATCTCCGTCAGCAGGTGATGGTCAGCAACGGTGGGGATACCATCGTACGAGTTGTACGATGACATGATGGACCAGGTGCCGCCGTCCATGATGGCGCGCTTGAGAGGCGGCAAGTATAGACTGCGCAGCTCTCTCTCGCCGCCACGGACGGGGGCGGTGTTGATACCCTGTTCAGGTGTACCGAAAGCAGCCTTTTTTTTTCAGAGTCAGAAGCGCCGCTGGATATCGGTGAGTGGAAAAACTTACGAAATGCTTGACCTGAGCGCAGACGCCTTCATCCTGGAGACCCTTTGTGTACGCGTAGCCGAGCTCTCCAGCACTACATGGCATGGTTAGTCTTATTCAGACGCCACATTGAAACTGACGTGACTTACAGGAAGGCGTCTTCGCCAAAGGTCTCCTCGACACGGCCGAATCGCTGCTCGCGGGCCAAGTCAACGACAGGGGCGAAGAGTTGGTTTACGCCAAGTGACTTGGCCTCGGTAGCAATGGCCCTTGCCATCTTTTCGACAAGCTCTGGATTGAACGAGCAGCCAATGCCGATGGCAGAGTTGAAGATGGTGGCGTTGACGGCGAGGAAACCGTGGAGACCCTCGCCCTGGATGTAAGTCGGAATTCCTACCCTGGGTTAGAGATCTTCACCACCACGGGACACGGTATTCTCACCATGTTCCGTCTCGTTGACGGCATAGTCCTGGGCAATCTTGGCACCATTCTTCAGCTCCTCGGGCATGATGTACAGGCCAGTCCAGATTGCGTGGGCGCGAGTCGACATGACCCACTCCAGGCCCGTCTGATTAAAGTCGCCGTCGTTGTCAACGTCGAGATAGTCGCGGATATCGCCTTGAATCAGCTGGGCAGCCTTCTCCTCGACACTCATCCGCTTGAGCAAGTCCGAGACCCTGTCGTCCACGGTCGCGTTGGGGTTTTTGTATACGGGTGTGCAGTCGGCAGCTTGGGTGGCCACCGCCAGAGCGGCCACAGCCCCAAGCGTCAAGACTCTCACCATGGCGATATTTTGGGCGCGTGATGAGATGGAGGAGTTCGCAGCTATCCTGGTTCACGGGAATGGCAAAGGACCAGGTTACATTTGGCGGGCGCCCTCTTCATATAGAGGGAGCAGTCCCAAGGCCATCAAGAATACCCGGCGCGGCACACTGTTCAATGGAACTACAAACTCCGTTCACAAGGTTGAATTCAGCAGGCAGAATAAACTTGCAGATCGCAATCACGGAACGATGCGCCGTCACCCTAACCACGGACCAGGGTGGTATCAGGCAAAAGCTATGCAGCCTATGCAGCTGTGCTGGGTTGGTTGAGATCCCGGCACGCCGACAATCTGGGGTAGTAGTGATTTCTGGGCAAGCAATTGGTTCGTTCGATCGGGGAATAAACATCAAGGGCGCCATTGCTCAGTGATACACGACTATGATGGCATTACTTCCTTGAGGATCAACAGGACTGTATTCTGGAGAACACAGGCTCCAGACCCGACCTTCTCTTCTGATGCCTGGCTCTGAGGCTTATGACAGACAGGCAAAAGAGAACCATGAGGTATAGGAGAGTATGCGTCCCTGGAGCATTTGAACATACAGTTTTGCAGTGGGGGCTCCATCGGGTCAACACCCACCGAATACCTTTGACTTTTGAGGAGAAGATGCGGGAAACAGGGGGTAAACATGGGGGTGGATCAAGGACTGGGGAGATGCCTATGGCGGGCTGGGAATTCCGCATCCCGTGCTGGGAATCCCGCATCTCGTGCTTATATTTTCCCGCATCTGCATCATATCTCCAAGTCGCGCCTTGCTCGCTGCATTGTCCGACAAGATGGGGCTCGGATAAAGCGAGACGGAGGAATCGTTCACGGTGGCAGTTCAGGCTGTTCATCTTCTGCGCATGTGACGAAAGCGGCGGACCGGTCCCATCCTGAGCGTCTGACAACCTATGGTATGACCACGGCCTGCTGCCAACTGGTAGCCTGGTCCATCCTTCGAGAGATAGACGTGGGGTCGACGATGAGGGGCACAAACCTTGACGTGATCTGACATGCTGTATTCAGGGTCCACCATACGGATGGGTCGCGCATCGCTTGAGCTCAGGCTAATTCATCCTCGAGCGAAGGATCAAGTTGGTCACAGCTACGAAACGTCAGAGTTCCCAGTTGGGGCCAGGACAACCCTTCTCTGTTCAACATCCAGCTTAGACCTCGCAACCGGACACAAACAAGTGCGAGATAGACGGCTGCCCACGAGATCTCAACATGGTCAAGCTTCGCGATGGCATGTGGCTGCCGGCCGAGGGCGTTCGGACAGAGTATGCGGAAGAGATCTTTAACATCACGCCTCTTGATGGAGAGCAGGGCTTGAGTCTCCTCTGTCCCGTCGGCCAGATTCGTTCTCGTGGCAACACTCTGAACATGCCAACCGTCACTTTGGTAAGTCAATCAATCGCGGGTAGATTATATCAACTTACACCAAGCAGGATGTCAAGGCAGAGTTTGACGGCGTGATTTCGCTCGAGGCTGCCCATTGGCGTGGTGCCCAGAACCACGGCCCTCATTTCGACCTCTACCCCGATGGCAAGCCTTCAGCAGAGGGCAAAATCTCAAAGAACGACAAGAATGCCACGACATTGGCTTCCGGTTCCCTCGCGGTCACCCTCGAGTCTGAGCCTCACCGGTTCGGCCTCAAGTTCCACAGCACTGAAGGCGCCAAGACCCTCACAACACTGGGAAGCCGTAGCGTCGGATTTGCCTACTCGCCGGGGCCCTCGACGCCCATGCAGACGGGCGACATGCGAGACTTCAAGCACTACATGTTCTTCCAGACGGGCCTCTCCGTGGGTGAGTCGGTCCACGGTCTGGGCGAGCGCTTCACAGCTTGGAACAAGGTCGGCCAGTCCGTCTCCCTCTGGAACGCGGACGGCGGTACGTCGAGCGACCAGGCTTATAAGAATGTCTCTTTCTGGATGAGCAATCGTGGCTATGGTATTTTCATCGACAACCCTGGCCGTGTAGATCTCGCGGTCGGCAGCGAACGTACCTCCAGGGTTCAGCATTCCGTCGAGGGGCAACGGCTCAAGTGGTATGTGATCTACGGCCCTACCCCCAAGGAGATCCTGAAAAAGTACTCCATCCTGACCGGCAAGCCTGGAAAGGTGCCTGGATGGAGCCACGGTCTCTGGCTCACCACGAGCTTCACCACAAACTACGACGAGTCCACCGTCACGTCCTTCCTCGAAGGCATGAAAAATCGCAACTCTCCAGTTGACGTCTTTCATTTCGACTGCTTCTGGATGAAGGCCTTCACATGGACCGACTTTGTCTTTGACTCGGAGCGCTTCCCTGACCCCAAGGGACAGATTGCCCGTCTAAAGGAGCAAGGCCTCTGCAAGAAGGTCTGCGTGTGGATCAACCCGTACATTGCCGAGCATGGCGCTGCTTTCAAGTACGCAGCGGAAAAGGGGTACCTCCTCAAGCGCAAGAACGGCGACATCTGGCAGTGGGACCTGTGGCAGGCCGGCATGGGCCTGGTCGACGTGACCAACCCCGAGGCGAGGGCATGGTACACAGAGTGTCTCAATGGCCTGTTCGATCAGGGCGTAGATGCGCTCAAGACAGATTTTGGTGAGCGCATCCCAACCCTGGATGTGCAATGGCACGATAAGACGGTCGATCCCCACAAAATGCACAACTACTACGCCTTCCAGTACAATCAGCTGGTATACGAGGCCCTGCAGAAGCGCCACGGTAATGACGAGGCCGTCCTCTTTGCCAGGGCTGCTTGCGCCGGAGCTCAGCGCTTCCCGCTCGTCTGGGGTGGTGACTGCGAGTCCACGCCCGAGGCCCTCGCCGAGTCGATCCGCGGTGGGCTGTCCATGGGCCTCAGCGGCTTCTCCTACTGGAGCTGCGACATTGGCGGCTTCGAGGGCTCGCCCCCTCCATGGGTATACAAGCGCTGGGTGGCCATGGGTCTCTTGTGCAGTCACAGTCGTCTGCATGGCAGCAGCTCCTATCGCGTGCCATGGACCGTCGACAACGACGACAAGACGGAAGAGGGCTGCTCAAGGACGCTGGCCAAGTGGACGGCCTTGAAGACGAGGCTGATGCCGTACTTTTACGCCCAGGGCATGGAGTCCCGGGAAGGCGGCATTCCTCTGTCGCTACGCACGCTGGCACTTGAGTTCCCCGAGGACCCCACCGCGTGGTTCGTCGACCGTCAGTTCATGGTCGGTTCGCAGATCTTAGCCGCGCCCGTGTTCGAGGAGTGCGGTGAGGTCGAGTTCTACCTCCCCAAGGGCCGGTGGACGTCGTACTTTACCGGCGAGGTTAAGACTGGCCCTGGCTGGTTCAGTGAGAAGCATGCCTTTGGTACACTGCCACTGTACGTCCGCGAGGGTACCATCCTGGTGCTCGGCAACAGGAAAGAGAGTGGCGCTGTGTACGAGTACAGCAAAGACGTGGAGGTTGCACTTTACGAGGTCAAGGCGGGCGACAAGACGACAGCCGTGGATTATGATGGCAATGTGCTGGGCGAGCTCGTCGTCGGGGACGATGGCAAGATCAAAGATACATCGTTCCTGAAGGGCGATATCTCTATTAGCGAGATGGGGAGGGATTTGAACGGCGACCCGCCTGTCGCGATTGAGTCGATTTAAAGAGAGCACGACTCCATAGGTAGTTGAACGACGCTTAGACATCGGAAGATTTTATAGATTGATTATTTGTTCATGCATTTGGTTCTGACATTAGGCAACCATCTATCCCCACTAGGGATATATTTGACCACGTTTGATGCGTTCATCCCCTATCACGGGGCGCTACGCATCGGGGAACTGCGGACAGTCAGTCGCCGACACAATTTGACACGGGAAAGGTGACTTACATAATCTGGAGAATTGCTAATCTCCTCGAAGGATTGCAAAATATCAAACCCCATGGCCTGGAGCGGCTCACACGTTTCGTCGACAGCCTGCTACAGAGTCAGTATGGGTGGATAATCGATAGATCAACAAGTGAGAACGTACCCAACTTAGCACCATACTCGAGGCCTTGCCGCTCTTTATCTGGCGCACGCCCATCAACGCCAACCCCTGGAGTGCCAACGTCGACAAGGAGCTTGGCGGTGCAATGGGCGCGAGCAAACCGCCAATGTCGTCCGATCGTGAAACGAGAGGTGGAATGTGCTGTGCGAGCGGACTGCGCTGGCGACATATGATAATCGTGCCGAGCAGCATGCCGGACGAGTCCTTTGCGCGGACGATACCGCAGTTCGTCTTCTCCGTCAGCGCCGCGCGGTACAGCTCCAGCAACTCTGGGTTCGCGTGCGCACGGACATGGTTCAGGACGCTTTCTGCGTTGTCCAGGCCGTGGATGAGATCGAAGCTGATGTTCGCCCGCTGGATCCTCTGGAGCAAGCCCTCGGGCACGGTCCAGTTCCCAAGGTCAGAGATGATCATGCTGGTAAGGCGGCGAGAGAAGGAGGTATCCCATCCTCCATTGCCAAACCATTCCTTGGTGGTATTGACGCCGCCGTCGCACGGAATGCCCAGGAAAACGCCTGGGAACGACATGCCGAGCTGTATCTTCTTGATCCCTTGCTTCTGCTTGAGTTTCTTGATGGCGCGACGGAGCAGGGACCGGCCGATGGAGACGTTGCGTTTTGTGGGATCGACAACGAGAGCACCAATCATGCCAGTGCCCGACACAAAGTACGTGGCCACGAAGCCGTATAAAGCCTGGGTGCTGCTGTTTCGCACCACATAATGCGCCTCTGCAATATTGTAGTTGTGCAGGGCAAAGGTCCCAGCGGTTGTCGCCTTCAGGAATGACAAGTCGGGCGCGCTGGCGCGGTGTACCGCTCTGAGCAGGTCCTCTAGCCCCGCCCCATCTCGACCGGGGGTGTATTCCTCTACAAGCCAATGCTGCCTTGCCTTGAGGACCTTTTTGCTCTTGCGGAGTGTGCCTGGTAGACTGCCAGAGGGCGTGATGTCCCCAACCAAAGCCCGCACCAGAGCATGCATGGCTGTCTCGGTAAAGTCAAATGTGCAGATATACGTGCCTATCAACTTGTCCATCGCAAAGTCGTAGGGCGAGCTGACGGCGGCCACGATCAGCTGCTTCTTCTGTCCGCGGCTGCGAAGCATGGAACACATCATGTCGACGTGCTTCGTGAAGCCAGCCTGGTACAGGTTCCTGTTGGCATCGGCCGTGACTATGACGATGCAGGATGCCCTGTTGATCAGATTTTCGTGGACTAAGAACATTAGCGAGATGTTTGGCATAATAGCCTCGCTGTCATACCTGGTCTCACACCGTTCGCCGTGTAGCTGGTGTGCAGAAGCTTTCCATTTCTCGAGCGAGCCAACTCCTTTCCAAATTCGCGGAAAACGCCCTCCCCGCTCATGATTGATCCCCTGTCGCGGTCTCTGTGCGCCCAGGTGTCATGGTTTGTAGGCCGAGCTGCTCGGCCGTTGGCCTTGGATTCGAGCAAGCTTTTCGTTAGAGACGAAGCTGGCAATGGCTTCACCAGGGGGGTGAGCAGTAGCAGCTCCTCAGAAGGATGCAGGCTCGCCGAAAGTGGCAGAAGTTTCTCTTTATCCCTGATGACCGTGATAGAGTCATCGTAGGCGCGCCGGGAAAGCGCCAGATGAGACGGATGGAGTTGCGAGAGGAGCGAAACACCCGGTGGGTGGAGCGCTTTGGACCAGGATGTGCAAATAGATTTGAGGTGCAAGACTCTTCGGACTGATGTCAAGAGCCTGTTCCTAGTAATGATGCCATTCTCCACGCCAAGTTTGAGTCCCTTGAGTGCTTCCAATTGCACATCGTATGCTCGGCACAGGAGAATCAGGTCGCAGCCGGCTTCCATAGCCATGCATACTCCGTTCTGCACACCGAGCTCGTGGCTGAGAGCCTCCATCTCCAGACATTCTGAGATGGCCACGCCCTTGAAACCAAGCTCGTTGCGCAAGAGGTCATCGACGACCTGGTCTGACAGGCATGCGTGGCTCACGTTCATCGATGGGTTGGAGATGCCACAGCCACCGACAAACATGGCATCTAGTCTCCCAGAAGCAATGGCATTCCGAAAGGGGATCAACGCACTGAGGTTCAGCTCTTCCAGAGTTTGTGTGATGATGGGAACATCGAGGTTAGAGCCCAGAAAGTCCAGGTTTCCGTAGGAAGGGAAATGTTTGCCACACGACGCCATCCCTGCGTCTTTGATACCCTTGAGGGCTGAGAGGCAGTATTGAGACACCTCTTGGGGATCATCGCCCGTTGCCCTTACGCCTAGAGGCTGGTAGCGCGCATTATTGAGGACATCTAGGACGGGACCTAGCATGAGGTTCACACCACACGCTGAGATCTCGCTCGCTGTCGCCTTGGTCACCTCGTAGGCTAGTTCAGGGTGTCCTGTGGCCGCGACGCCCATGGCACTGGGGAACTGGCAGACATAGTCCTCATCGAACAGACTGTTAACACCGCCATTCTCCTGATCCAACGCGATGAGAAGCGGATAGGGGTGTCCAGCATTCTTTGCAATGGTTTGCAGCTCCTGCACCAGCTTTGCGGTCTGGTGCGCAGCTGTGTCGACGGTCAGCGATGGTCGGGGCGATCGATGCGCACAAAGGACTTACATTTCAGGTTCTTCGCGGTCAGGATAATCGAGCCAAGGTGATGCTCTTCGATCAAGCTCCTGATTTGTGGCGTCACTGCAGTGCCGTCCCATCCCATGATGAGGGACTGCCCTATAGCCCTGCACCATGGCTCTGTCAGCTGTGGTCCGTTGTGACTCTCTAGTTCCAGATCAAGCATCGTCCTCTAGAGTGATCCAGGAGGTTTTCGGCAGTGGCCAAACAGGTTCGGCGTTGCAAGCCCCCCCCGGAGCCATCATCCTAGAGGAACATGAACTGTATTCTTCTACATACCAGTCCGCATCCTGCCACAGTGGGTCCAAATCGGCATGATTGGCATCGTTATTGATAGCCATATTGGCACGCGTGGTCTTGGGGGGCCAACTGAAGCTTAGCGACGCCGTGAATGGTGTGGTCACGTTATCGCAGGCATAGTAGTTGCCAGCTGCTACCCAGGCCGGGGCTACAAGATCCTTGAGCGAGTGGGCTCAGCTCGGAAGTAGCTGGTATCCTTGGTCCGGAGTCGTGCGCATGCGTTAGTGACAGCAGCAGGAGACTGGCAAAATGCGCGGATCGAGGTAACGATGAGCCCTTCAGCGTAATGTTGGGTCACGTCGCTGTACGCCTCGACGACAAGGTGTTCATGTCGTCCCTCTGAGGAAGGCCGTAGGGAACCGTGCGGGTAAGGCCTAATCACTGCGAGTGCCGCCTATCTATCCTGTCGTTAGCACAGTGTTTGCCTGGGCCTCACTGCTGGGCCGTGGACGAATACGGAAGGCGGTGTGGGCGTCGGCTAGGTGCGGCTCGCAGTTCTGATTGGCGCCGAAGCCCCTTCCAGTGATTGCCAGGGTCCATCCAGGGAGGGAAGGCGTAAAGGTGGAGCCAGCCAGTCCATCTGGTCCAGTTCTGACGTCCTGACATCCTGCTGTTCCAACGTTACATGTGGACACTGTCACAGACTGGACCCGACTGCGCACACTGGCATGTGAGGAGCCCTCCTGATTATTCGCGAAGATGTCCAGTCAGCGGACCTGGCTCGAGTGGCACCGACCAAGCCTGAGCAACCGCTCTGTCATGTTGCACACGTTGTGTTCGCTTCTCGCCTCTAGCCGGGTGGGTTCATGTTGTCAGGCTGCTGCTAGCCTGTCTCATCGCCGTGTGTGAGGGTGTGCCGAACATGTCAACTCCGCGCGTGGAATTGTTCTCGACGTCAGTCCTGGAGGCTCCCATGGTACCAGCCAGCTCAACCCTCCATCACCCAATAAGGTTATGCCGGCTTCTTTGCGAGCCAACGTGGGCCAGGCTGTTGGCATCATCATCCACCGTAGGTACCAAGAAATCCTACTAGTACCGCAGTTCTTGCTGCTGCGTCTCTTGGTGTCGCTCTTGTTCTTGCTATGGAGTGACAACAGAACCTCAGTCGGGCGTGCAGTCCTACCAGCCCAAATATCTCATTAATATCAAATCATCCCAAAAGATCTATCTGCCCTGGCAACAGTCCCACCCGCAACAATGCCCATTGCTCTCTCGCCACCAACCCGGCCACAGAACGGCCTCACTAAATTCACCAACTGCCGTCTTTTGCGAGGCGACAAGCTGGTCGATGAGGATCTCTGGGTCAGCTCTATCTCGGGGAAAATTATTCACAGTCAAGCATCTTTCTACGATGAGCTGGTGCTACCCGACAAGACAATCAACCTGGGTGGTCGCATTGTGGCGCCAGGCATGATTGAGTGCCAGCTCAACGGTGCCTTTGGCTTCAACTTTTCCACCTTGCTGGATGACATGAGCCAGTATGGCAAGAAGGTCAAAGAAGTCAACCGCTTGCTAGTACAGACGGGTGTGACGTCGTACCTCCCCACAATCACGAGCCAGCGCCCGGAGCTTTATCAAAAGGTATGCTCACCTTTGAGCGACGCGTACTCTCTCAGACTACTCTGACACTCGAGGCAGGCACTACCGCATCTGGGGCCGTCAGGACGCAGCCGCGTGGCTGAGGATGGAGCTGAATCGCTAGGTGCGCACTGCGAGGGCCCCTTTCTCAGCCCCTCCAAGAATGGCGTTCACAATGTAGACGTGATGAGGGAGGCGCACACCTTTGCCGACCTGGAAGAATGCTATGGAGCTGAGAACCTCAACGCCTGCGGAGAGGGCGGCGTGATACCTGTCAAAATGGTTACGGCGGCGCCGGAGAGAGGCCAGATAATGAACATCATCCCCGAGCTCACATCAAAGGGCATCATCTACTCCATCGGTCATTCCGAAGCTACTTACGAGGAAGCCTCGGCAGCTGTGGGCAAGGGCGCTACCATGATCACACACTTGTTCAACGCCATGCGGCCACTTCATCACCGCAACCCTGGAATCTTTGGTGTCTTGGGCATCGCCGAGAGCCAGGAGAGGCCCTTTTTTGGCATCATCTCGGACGGCATCCACCTGCACCCGACCACAATCAAAATCGCCTTCAATGCCCACCCCGATGGTTTCATACTGGTCACAGATGCAATGCATCTCGTTGGCCTGCCCGACGGGGCGTATCCGTGGACCAACGGCGAGACAGTGTGCAACATTGTAAAGAAGGGATCCACGCTGATGTTGGAGAACTCTGACACCATCGCAGGAAGGTAAGTGCCCGAGCCCTGAAGCAAGCGAGAGAAACACGGGCTAAGACAAGACGTGCAGCTCCATCACTCTGATTGAATGTGTGAATAACTTCCTACGCTGGACCGGCTCAAGTATCCCGTTGGCTTTGAAGGCGGTGACCGCGACGCCAGCGGCCATGCTGGGGCTCGAGGGTGTCAAGGGGTCTCTTGAGCCTGGTGCCGACGCGGATCTTGTCATATTCTCCGAAGAGACCGTTGACGGTTCAAGCCAGCTTTCAGTTGACGAAGTGTGGAAGTTTGGGACCCGCATCATGACATGAAAGAGATTGACGAGTTTGGAAGTTGTCTAGCAGCGGTCGTCATATGCGCGCATATGCACCCCGTCCCTGGAGGAAACATGAGCAGAGTTGACGTTAGACTACGGAAGGAGCATAGACGGCATCCATGCGCTCTCGGTAATCATCTAGAACAGTTTCGTCCCATGCATGAACGCCTCTGTGCTTGCCTGCACCTGCAGACGCCACCAAACTAGTCGAATTACGTTGTATCCGTCGTGTCATCACACCGTGATGTGTCTGTTCCAACACTACGTACTACGTACCAGGTATTAGTCGGCTAGTGTTATCTTTTATCATCAAAGTAGTCACGGAATACTGGGTCTACTTCCGATAAGACGCATTGCCGCGCAGCTTATCTTTTCAGAGCCACATGATTCGAAGAAAGACACAAAGCGAAGGATCCAGAGGTATCTGATAGGGGACGGCCCAGACAACCACCTGATATGGATAACATGTTTCTCAAAATGCAACCCCACTGACACTACCATGACCCTGATCGACAGCGCAAACCGCGGGCAAATGGAAACACCGCGTCTGAAGAGGTTGCAGCCAGTCGGCCGGCCGCTCTACTAGGAAGCTTGTTACGTATGGACTCGCGATCACATCTTTTGGTCGCCTAACTTGGATCATGAGACGATTGCAGTGTCGTGAGCTATTGAGATTTCCATGTCTTCAACCGCACAGACGACTGACTAAGCCGGTTGGTACTTGGTAGTGGAGGACTGTTGGGTAAGTCGTTTGGTTAGCAACGGGCCAGCTGACCGGCGTCTTTCTCGAAGAGGCTGCCAAGGTGTTCCTCCTCGGTGGCCCTGGTGAACAATATCGCTGGCGCGACATGGAGCCGACCAAAGTTCGGCTTGGGGCTTGGAGTTGGAGCGGGACGAGACATGATGGAGTCCATGTCTCATCTGGCGACATGGACGTCCGAGACACTAGCACTAGTCCAGGTGACTAATTACGTAGTGTGCTGAAGAGACCTGTCGCCCGCTGAGCGACCCAGTCTCCAGCTTGCCCACAGGCTACGATACTAAGTACTATCCAAAAGGCCTGTGAGACTGGAACCCCCCTGTAGTTTCGGGCTGTTAGTGCCCTCTTCCCCGCTAATCTATCCCCCGCCTCGTGCTGGAGCGGCCAATCGACTTCCCCATTCTGGGCTCCTTATTAGTGTCCAGTGATGGCACTCCCCCCATCAGGCTGGCCGTGGAGAGTCCATGTCCCTGCTCACCACCTGGACGGCTGGACAGAGCTCACGAGGCTTCTCCAGACTCCAGCCCAGCCAGTCCTTCCATTCATTCTACGACTCATCAGTCGCAATTGATCTAGCTCACGTCCAGCCAGCCTACGTCCTCCATCCACTGCCCGAGACACTTGCGCCTGTCGCCCTTACCTATACATTTTTTGACTTTCTCTTGTCGTTTGTGCCGACTGCTATTCCGCCAGCGACAACACTTCCTGTACGGCCTTGTCGGCAGCACATGTGGTGAGGTGAAGTGGCTTGCCCAGGCCCAAGAATTGTCAGTTTGCCAGTCTCAGCTCCACAGCTGCGCATCACACGCTGGAGCCTCTCGACTGCGACAAGTAGCCATTCTCCAGCGACGCGGTTCGAGCATCAGTAGGGCAGCGGGAGAACGTCGCTCACACGCGACCGCTACGATGCCATGGCAGCCTTCAACTCCATGCCGCCCATGTCTTCTGGCGCTCCTGACGGGATGCACCACCATCAACACCACATGATGACGCACCAGCCCGATCTTAACGGCATGCATTTCGAAGATGCTATCTTTGAGGACGCTTTGCTGTAAGTCATGAAGTCAAGAAGTCAAACCGCACTTGCCCGGCAGCCGTTGCTGAACGATCGAAACAGAGACAGCGGCGCTCTTCCGCACATACCCTTTACACCATCATACGAATTTGACAGCTTTGCAACCACGTTTGAAGATCCCTTTCAATACTCAGCGGCCAAAGCCTTTGAACCGCCCCCAAACCCAGCCAACGTCAACGATGAAGCTTCACCACAGGAGCTCGACAACAAGCTCTTGGGCTTCTCCGAACCCACGGTATCAGCAACAGTACTTGACGAGGTGGGGAACATTGGCGAGACGAGCATGTCTGCCGAATTATACGGCATGTTCTTTGTCGCCGAGGACGTGTTTGGAGCTGAGAGTACGGGTCGACCTCTGGAATTGACATGCTATCGCCGGAACCTGTGGCAATGCACGGGGCAGATAACATTGCCACGAATTATTTCACACATTATTGACGAAAAGGGTCGGCAGATACCGTTGATGGACTTGTCAGCGACTATCACGGCCGTTGAATCTATTGAAGGGAAACCGACGGAAATTATCTCGATCCCTTGGAAGAGTTCCAATCCACAAGCACCAGAAGAATCGAAAGTGGCCGGACCACCACCCAGTCTTCCACTCGACCTAGCCGCTGGCCAGGAGCTAGATGCTAACCGAGTGTCCTTGCCTGTTTCATGGAAGCGTCTCCAGTTCAAGCACGCCACGGCGAACAATGGACGACGCAAAGGCCTGCAGCAGCATTACGTGGTTCAAATCAGTCTTTTGGGGAATACAAAGGCGGGCGACACCATCACCATTGCGGAGATCAGGTCAGGTCCCGTGATTGTGCGTGGGCGAAGCCCAAGGAACTTTGACAGTCGCAAGGATGTTCCTCTGACAGGCGATAAGAGACTCGAGAGAAGGAACACCGCGGGCTCCGCCGATCAGATGGTCAAGACTGAGAGGGATGCCTTCCAGACAAGCCTACACAAGCCACAATCCATGGGAGCGGTGCCGGTGAGTTATGCAGGAAACTTGCTTTCCCAGTCCAATACTGACCAAAAGGCACGGCAGAGCAACGAATGGGTGATGCCGCAGCCTTTCACACAGCCTAGTCAGGGCTCACATCCCGCGAAACGTATGGCTATCTCACCCACAGTAGCGAAACCGCCCGTCCCTGGCTGGTCAAGGGACTCGGCGAGCGCCTTCAAGCAGGGCCCTAATGCAGCACAAGCGATGAAAGCGAAACGGAACAGTACCTCGGCACCTATCAACTTGTCCCTCTCTGACGATGAGAGAAGCCCGAACCGCTCGAGCGCCGAATTACCGAGCCCCCATGCAGGCAAGATCCAAGCCGTACCCGGGCTGGCCCCAGGAAGCAGTCCACCTGAGGAAGAAGACCCCCTCTACGAGTACTTCCCTCTAAGCGTGGACGATTGGTAAGTCGCTCGGTACTACATACATCATCTTGCAGGCGCTAATGTCTCGTAGGATGCCACCGGTTGACGCGGTGTATCGACCTCACGTCGTTCATCATACCATTGTACCGCCTGAGATCAAGGCGCAGCAGATGCAGAGCAAGACAAAGCGATATTTTGTTGTCGAGTGATTCCGAGCTTAGTTATTGTCTTGGCCGGTATGGAGCGAGAAATATGGACTCCACATATACCATACACGCATCAGCGTTGTTTTTTTGAATGGCATGAATGGAGCCATTGTACTGTACAACTGATTATACCCCGGCAGGCAAAGATGGCAGCCTATTTGGTTTCTGGTGAATCTCTAACTGAAGATCTATTCACTACTTCGTTCCGCGATGCGTGCCACTCTTGCTCGCGAGAGGCTGGAAATGTTTGAGTCTTGTAGGCAATTGTCCACAACGGACATGGACAAAGAGTATGTTGACAATTTCTATTTTAAGCTTGTTTCAAACGACTAATGTGCGGTATTGATAATATCCGCTCCTCCTTCAACTCCTAAGCAGCAATGCCCGCCGGCCTCAACACCTGCTGATCAGGGTTGGGTGTCAACCGGTTGTTCAGCGCCGGCTCTGGTATCCTCGAGGCCATCCTGTCGGGCACAAGCTCTGGTGAAACAGACCGCACGGGGTACTCGGTCGCCGGTGTCGCGCGAAGCAAGCACGACGTTGTGGGCTGTGGTGCCAGGATTGTGGGCGACGAGACCTCATCCACACGGGTCTGGGGGACGCTGGCAGCATTACCGGTGCGCACCTTGGAAGGCAGTATTTGCTCGAAACCTTGCTCGAGCGCCACCTTTTCGATGCTTTTGAAGTACTACGTGGAAAAAGTCAGCGCGACCGAACACATTGCGCGAAGGGAGAGGGGTTGGGGTGGAATTCTACCTTGACGGTCTTGACTTGCAGCTCTGCGGTCGCGTCCTCATCCACGACGATCATGGGATGGGGGTGCAGCTGAAGGCTCGACAGTGTCCACATGTGGTTTACCCCTTGCTCGATACATCTCTGCAGCGCCAGCGACTTGCGTTGGCCGAGGATGATGACGACCACCTCGCGTGCCTCGAGCACCGTCTGCACGCCAACGGTCAAGGCCATGCGAGGTACCTTGTTGACATCGTTGTCGAAGAATCTCGAGTTGGCTAGGATTGTGTCGTACGCAAGTGTCTTCACCCGCGTGCGGCTCGCCAAGCTCGAGCCGGGCTCGTTGAAGGCAATGTGGCCGTCGTCACCAATACCAGCAAGGAAGAGGTCAATGCCGCCGACAGCTTTGATGGCCTCCTCGTAGGCAATGCATTCAGCCTCGAGGTTCGGGGCGTTGCCGTTGAGGATGTGCACGTTGGATGGGTGGATGTTGACGTGGGAGAAGAAGTGCTTCCACATAAAGGAGTGGTATGACTCGGGATGGTCGCGCGGGATCCCTACGTACTCGTCCATGTTGAAGGTGACGACATTCTCAAAGGAGATCTACATGCGGTTGTCAGAACATGCGTGGTTGCACATGGGGGCGGGGACCGGCAGAACATACATGACCAGCCTTGTACTTCTCCACGAGCATGCGGTAGACGATGAGAGGGCTTGACCCGGTGGGCAAGCCCAACACAAAGGGGTTCTGAGGAGACGGGTTGAACGCCTTGATACGATCAACGACATACTGTGCGACGTAGGCACTCGACGCCTCGGCATCGTCACGGATGATGAGTCTCATGGTTTCGTCGGTGGTCTTGAAAGAGAGGCTTGTCCTTGTGCGCCTTGAAGAGGACTAGTGTGATATGCAAGCAAGGGAAGAAGTAGAAGGGGGTTATATAATAGGGATAAACGTCACTTATTGTCTGGATGAGATGCTCGAAAGATCGAGGGAGAGGCCAGAAAGACAGTAGTTAGAGGAGCGAGGCGCTGGGTATAATAAGACGTGGACTGCAAGCGTATACGTCACGGAATGGACGGATTTCATAGCAGAGGCCCCATGATCGATACCCCCATAGGCCATCTTACCTCTTCTGGTACGTGTACTATCAGCCACTCCAGACTACTCGTCAAGAATCCTCGAGTCGCTTCGCCAACGTGCGCTGTTGGGGCCCATTTCTCTGGCATGCACAAGTCCATTTGGTATGACAGTGCCAACGTTGATCGCGGCGTGGTGCAAAGTTCACAAGGTGGACGAGCCAAATTCGGAAAGGGGATGGGGGAGATGACGGGGGCGGGATGGAACGTCACTGCACTGAACGTTGGAGGATGGTCCACCTTGCGGAATCCCCTGGGGGTTGCAAAGTAACATATTGCCCGTTCCAGATTTACAGTTCTCCGTCAGATGTTTCGTGCGCTACGATTTGTTCTAGTAGGTATCTTAAATAGGTGAGGTCTCAAGTCGGACTCACGCATCGAAGAGCCTCACCGAAATGGCGAGTTCCGGAAGTTCCGATTTTGGGCAGACCCATCTTTGTTGAGACGTCGTTCTACAGCAACGAGAGTGATTTACTATTGTAATGATGGTGGTGGCCAGGATCTTTCAGAAAGTGTTGCTTCGTGGTCCTGAGCAGCCGTGGCTGTAGCAAATTAGGGCCCCACGTGGCTGGCACAGGAGCACCTTGTACGTAGACTTGGTCACTTGGATTGCGACGCTTGTTTCTCGAGACAGAGGGACGCGCTTATAAAGTCGAGGCTGGAGTATGAACTTGCCTGAATTATTATATATCATGTGTCGACCCTTTGATAAGGCGTCCTCGACCAAATCCTGGCCGAGGTTGATTACGGTTATGGTGGTGAAGCAAGCAGTTAGTTGTCTACGATACCGGGTGTGAGATGTAACCCTATCGGCGGTGGCACAGACACTCATCCATACCTTCTGATCACAAAAATGCTGCTGCTTGAGATTGGCCATGGTATTTTCTGTCTCTTCCGAGTGCCAAGTACGACAAAAAAGGTACTTTATGTTGATGATCTCGTCTGGTGGCAGAGAAAGGATCAATCACCAAGCAGACATAGGCCGTCATTGCACTAACATTTAATTGAATGCTCGGCGGGTCTAGTCATCAGCACAGCCCCACCCTTCCCGCCGCCGCGTTGCGTGCGCGCCTCCGCTTGCCACCACCATCTCGCAACGTTACAACCGCAGCCTCCACTTCTCCCTCTCTCTCTCTTTCTCTGCCGGCCTCCAGTCATTGTGGCGCGTCTGACTCCTCCAGTTGCCGTCCACCTTCTCCACGGTCACTACAGCGCGTCAAAGGCCAGCGCTCGTAGCAAGATGGCTCCCTGGGGTGGTTGAAGCCAGAATCCACAGCGCAGATGTGGGCGTCGTGAGTGGTGCGTCGTCCCCTGAAGTCCACCCCTCAGGCTCTCCGCAGACCGCGTGCGACGTTGAGCTGGATCGACTTTTAACGACGCTAGCATCAGCACCACGAGGACCCCTGGACCAACAAATCTACGCGTGCGGATACTGCGTGCTGTGCGCTTCCACCGCACGCCAGCCAGTCTGTAACGTCGGCTCAGACCGCCAACTGCCTGATTCGCGTCCAGATCTCGCCCCGGCACTGGTCTGATTACCGTCTGCCTTTGCTCTATACTACCTAGCTTAGCTCCCCTGCTTCCCTGCCATCCATCGACTGGCGATTGGAGCCGCCCTGGCGAGAGCTGCGCTGTGCCTTGCTGTGCTGTCGATGCATTCGGGGCATGTTTCATTCTCATCAGGGACCTCGTGTAGAAGCTGATCTTTGCATTTGTCGAGGTTCCTACCCAAGGTGGAGAGACGTTTCGTACCCGTGGATCCGTCAAGCGCCCATCCTGCACCGTTGAGCCTCGCCTCCAAACGCCATATCCTGCCTGCTACCTTGGATCAGGGAGACTCTGTTGTACCAGGTCGTTGGGACGTTCGTTCGCGGATGTTTTCTCTCCATCTCTCTCTCTCTCCCCTTGTCTTCTACACCGTTGCGGTCAATCCCGCCCCTAGTGAGACCACTGTTCATTTACGACCGAAGAAACAACGGGAGGCATACAGCCAACTGCGACCATCAAGCCTTCGCCCATGCTACAACACCATTCAGAGCTTTCCATACGGTAACACCCTTTCTCGGACCTCTTCTGCGAGTCGGTCGTTGGAGTATGCCGTAAGCCGATCGATCTGGGCTTGACACTATTTACTTCCCTATCCTGTCTTCGAGACTCGACTTGAAGTTGGCACTCTGCTTCCGCGCCACGCTTGACTTCATTGCCCCTCCACCCTTTCTCATATCATCGCTGTCAACCTTGTCCGCCAGCTTGCAGCCACTCGTTTCTGCCATGGCGTCGTTTCGGAATGTCGTCCTGGCTGCCATAGTGAAGAGCCTGCTACGGGGCAAGTCACTGATTCAAGCCATATTCGCCTACTGGGTGAGCCCACTGGCGTTTGAAGAGGGTAAAGCGGGCCATATTGGCGCCGCGGGCCATCGCCTATCAACAAAAACCCTGGATGAGTTTCTCAAGGAGGCAGAGGCCGCGCTGTTGGGTCCCATCAGCGGGGACGGCCTCACCCGACTGTCGACAGATCTGAAGAAGCAATTTCTGGAGCGTTTGCAGTCCGACCTGGAGTGTATGCTGCCATCGTATAGCCATCAGCTACCCACCGGCAAGGAGACTGGCCAGTATCTCGCGCTTGATGTTGGTGGCTCAACATTGCGCGTGGCGGTAGTGGAACTCGGCCTAGGTGAGACTGGACAACAAGAGAGTAAGATTCTTCGGTTTCGAAACTTTCGTATCGACAAGCCCATCAAGGACCTGGAGGGGGTGGCTTTCTTTGACTGGATGGCGGCGAGGATAGTGGAAACCGTGGCAACGGATATGAAGCGGGAGCACAGCTCTGATCAGCCTCTACCTATGGCGCTGGCCTGGAGCTTTCCTATCGAGTATGTGTCACTCTTGTCCCTACTGATTCGGCCACATATTGACTCCACAACAGGCAAACATCGTTGGGCGCAGGCAAGCTTCAGGCTATGGGTAAGGGATTCATGGCGAATAAGGGCCTCATTGGCCAAGACCTAGGCGAGATTGTCGAAGCGGCTTGCAAGAATCAGGGTTTGGACGTCGAAGTTGAGGCCATCATCAACGATTCGAGCGCGTGTTTGCTCTCGCAGGCATATACACACCCATCGACACGTTTCGGTCTTATTCTAGGGACAGGTCTAAACGTTGCGGTCTACCTCCCCACCACTCTCATTGGTCGACAAAAGTTTGGCACACGGCCCGTTGGCTGGTTCGATCGAGCGAGCCATGTCATTGTGAATACGGAGTTGGGTATGTTTGGGAAGGATATTCTGCCCATCACGAGGTGGGACCGTCAACTACTTGATGGCCACCCGCGACCAGACTTTCAGCCCGTGGAGCATATGTCAAGCGGCATGTATCTCGGCGAGATTGCGCGCTTTGCCCTGATCGAGGCCATCGAGACCGCGGGTATCTTTGGTGGAGTCGTGCCAGCATCGCTCACGACGCCTTATTCCTTGAGCACAGAGACGCTGTCCATCGTGGAGAGGCATGTATCCCGCCGAGGTTTCAGAGATTCTGTGCTAACAATCATCAGCGACGAGTCCAGCGATCTGTCACACGCGAAACAACTTTTCGCTGAACGACATCCTGCATCACACCAGCCCACGACATCGGATCTCATCGGTCTGCGTGCCTTAGCCTCATACGTGTCCATCCGCTCGAGTGCCCTTGTCGCGACGTGCGTCTACACTCTGTGGGACATTCGATTAGAAAGCCACAAGGCCTACGTCGACAGTCTCCCTGTTGCGTCGCCCGAGCGGACCATTGCCGCGTCAGATCTCCAACTTGGCAAGACCATGGTTGCGTTCAACGGCAGCGTGATCGAACAGTACCCAAACTACCGGGGCAATTGCCAGCGCTTTGCCAACGATCTTGTGCAGGCCAACGGGTGCTCGCAAGCCGGGACAATCGAGCTGGTACCAGCAAAGGAAAGCTCACTCATCGGTGCGGCGGTGGCCTCGGCATGTGTACAAGGTGCTTCATGATGTGACGACTGAATTGGCGTGAAACATATACATACTTTAGCGGCACATGCTTGAACTTTTAGGTTAATTTAAAAACCAAACTAGTATATAAATCATTGGTCAGAAACTTATTCTACACTATGCTTCAATTCTCCCTATGGATCACGCCGCATCTTCAAGACTAACAGGAGGGTCTCAGCTTGAGCCTGAGATCGTGCATGCGGATACACAGTGTGCCGTTGGTATTAAAAACACTGTGTTATTCTGGAGATCTTGTCTCTGTATCCGTAGGCCACCAGTGCTTTATTATAACCTCACCTCAACCCCATCACATTCTCTTCTCCGTTTCAAGCTCCATCAAGATGCCTTATAGAGATGATGCACGTGTGCACCGCCACCGTGATGAGCGTTCCTCGCACCAGGACACAACGCGCTCGTCGACGCGTCGACAACGTGGGAGGCGCTCCCAAAGCCCCAGCTCATCACGACGGCGCTCTAGATCACCACATCGTCGGCCTCAGGCAACCGCGCAGCTCCCTTTCTCCGCGCGGCAGCTTTCCAAGTCAGAGCTTCCCGTGTTCAGGTCATTGTTTGGCTATTATTTGAGCGTGCAGAAACAGATCGAGCTTGAGAACATTGACGAGAGAGAGATCAAGGGAAGGTGGAAGAGCTTCGTCGGCAAATGGAACCGAGGCGAGCTGGCAGAGGGCTGGTATGATCCCGAGATGTTCGCCCGCATCTGCGCCGAACCACGCCAACCTCGGATGAGTGAACCTCAAGACGAAATCAGCGTAATAGCGCCAAAACAAGCATCCCACCAGCCTGCACGCGAGGACGATCAAGGAGACAGCGGGGATGACTATGGGCCGGTGCCTCCCCCTGCAGGACGCGTCGGTCCAGGCGCGCCGTCCCTGCAAGACCTCGAGCACAGAGACGAGTTGTTGGAGGAAGACCGTGCAGACTCGCGCTCCGCATTGCAGTCAGCCAGGAAAGCCGACCGCGCGCTGCAAAAGGAGCGTCTAGATGACATGGCGCCCCGCGCGGACGCAGGCACCCGGGAGCGCAAGCTCGAGAACCGCGCCGCGGTCAACACCAAGATGCGCGAGTTTCGCGATCGCTCCCCGGGCACCATGGAGGCGAACGAGCGGGAGGTCATGGGCGATGATGGCGTGGACGAGTACAAGCGGCTGAAGAAGGAGCAGGAGAGGAAGAAGAGCGAGCGCGAGATTCGACGCGAGGAGATGGACAGGGCGCGCCAGGAGGAGATGGAGGAGAAGCGGAGGAGATGGAGAGAAAGAGAGGAGGGCACGGTCAATATGCTCAAGCAACTGGCCAAGGAGAGGTTTGGTTGAGTCGACGGAAGACCGCCTGCTCCTCCTCAAAGTATGGGACAGTAAATTTGAACTATATCGCACACTGTGCCGTGGGTGGAGATGAGTGCTGCAGCAACAGTGCAAACTTTGACCTCTGGCACCATCATCACCAGGGCATTGCAGCGACGACGCACAGGCGAGTGGAAGCGCACTTATAATACGCCAACGTGAGTGTGCAAGAAAATACCCTTTCAGTCGAGACGCAACAATCAGAGACGTTCTTCGCAAGGCTTCCACTTTCTACATCGCTCTCTTCTCACTGGGTCTCACTTAAGGCCCACTATCTCACACGAAAAAGCTCAGCCACCACCCTGTCTACCAGTATGGAAGACGACGACTACAATACCGGCGGTCTGATGGACGAACCGGAAGGCTACCGGCCTCCTACGCCACCGCCGACCCAACAAGTCTACACCCTCCGCACGGGCAAGGCCATCACATTGCACCTCGTGGGTGCCTCGCCCACAGAAGCTCACGTACTCTGGAACGGCGCCAAAATTATATCCGACTACTTCGAGGATGACCCGACCCGTGTCATAGGCAAGACCATTCTTGAGCTGGGTGCTGCAGCAGGTCTGCCCTGTCTTACAGCAAGCATACTAGGAGCCAAGAGGGCGGTCATGACGGATTACCCGGACATTGACCTCGTCCAGAATATGCAGAAGAACATTGACGAATGCGACGCTGCATTCGAACCGGCTGGACACATTGCAAGCACCATCGTGGCAAAGGGCTTTATCTGGGGCGCAGACCCCACGGCACTGCTTGCCGAGGTACCAGAGGGCGGCTTCGACGTGCTCATCCTGGCAGACCTGCTCTTTCGCCACAAGGAGCACCCGGATCTGGCCAGGACGATCCGCGAGTGTCTGAAGAAGACCCGCTCGGCGAAAGCGTATGTTTTCTTCACGAGCTATCGCCCGTGGAAGAGGGAGCTGGACATGAAATTTTTCGACATTGCGAGGAAGGACGGATTTCTCGTCGAGCAGGTCGAAGAGAGGAAGCTGGAGAAGCCGTTGTTCGAGAACGACCCGGGTGACCTGGACGTGCAGAAGACCGTGAGGGGATTCGTTGTGCGATGGCCCGATAATGTGTGTACGGATTAGTCGAGCCATAATACCGTGAAATGTGTATCTAGCGTGTTGGATCTGCACCGTGCGTATGATTCAGGATTGGAGGGGATAGTCATCGGCTTCTCAGCCGTTTGGTGATACGTTACCTCAGCCTCCTCGAGCTGAAATGATACCCAAGTCCCCACGTACATCCCCTCACTCAGTCCTCGTTCTGCCAACATTCAAACCACACCTACACACGCACAGAATGTCACCAACACCGCACCTCGACGCCCTGAACCGCGACGGCTACGTCCTAATCAAATCTCTGTTCAGCGCGGAACAGGTCTCCCACCTTCAGACCATCGCCTCGCAAGCCACGCAGCTCGCGCGAAGCGGCCAATGGCCCCACATCCGGACCTTTGGCAAGCAGTTTCCCCCATGGCCATCCACGCCGGGCGAGAAGGGAATCTGGGGCGTCCAGCACCTCATGAACCCCTCTCTCCCCGGTGCTGACGAGTTTGCCAAGGTGTACTTTTCGGAGGAGATACTCGGCGTCGTGCGGGAGCTGCTCGGCTGCCGAGACGAGGACCTGGTCATGGAGCTCTTCAACATGCTCGTCCGGCCCGAGGAGGATTTCGAGCTACGCTGGCACCGGGACGATATCCCCGCCACGGCCACGGCGGACGAGGAGATGGTTCGGCTCAAGGAACCGGCGTTCCACGCGCAGTACAACTTTGCGCTGTACGAGGACGCGTCTCTGTTTCTCGTGCCGGGGTCCCATCTGCGCGCGCGGACCGACACGGAGCGCACCGCTTCGCCGTTTGAGAAGAACATTCCGGGTCAGATTGTTGTCACGCTCGAGCCGGGCGATATCGCGTTCTACAACAACAATATCCTGCACAGGGGCGCTTACGACAGCACCAAGGAGAGAATGACGCTGCACGGGTCGGTGGGGCACGTGAAAGGGAGCACGTTGCGGGCCAGGAACGTGCTGCAGCATGGCGTTGGGGAATGGGTCCGTCAGTGTGATCTGAGCAAGCTGGAGGGCCACGAAAGGGAGCGTGCCGAGGCGATGAGGGAGAGGTTGGTGAAGATGGGGTCTGGGGAGGAAGTAGGCTACTCGCTCGATGGTTGATTGATATTAGGCTAGTTGTTGAACTACGTGACCGTCAGCACGATCAATTAGTCTTCTTCTGACTTTTCGGCATCAGGGCTTCTCATTCATCTTGATGTCAACAAGTGCATGACTTATCTGTCTGGTGCTCCTCCAGGGTAAAGTATCTTAGCCGAGGTCAGCGGGGCGACAGGCGCAGGCATGCGGGGTGATTGGAGGAGATTGGGGTCGGCGCCCTACTTCGTTTTCCCTGAGGTCTTGCACTCCCCTCAGCATTGGGACTTGTTCGAGGAGCGGGAAGTTCGCTGTAATTGTTTCAGAAGAAGATTGGAGCCTGAAGTAGGTATTGGGTCGCACAATTCGGTGGGCATTGCCGATTTTGGGGTCGGTATGGGTCAGTGACTGGAGGCAGAGGGAGGGAATTCATGCGCTTCAGCTTTCAACCCATGACGTATCCATACATGGGGGCTGCAGCGAATGGCAGAAGCCCTGCGCGCGAAATCAAATGCCTTGAGTTGTTTATCTGCTCGCGCGCGATCTGGTGTATAAGCGAGGATCGCATGCACAAGTTGGCCATGAGGAAGCGCTCTGCACCGAAATTGATTTCAGCTCACTGAGCCAGCAGCATAAGAATCATCATCTCTCCAATGCGGAGAGTGTGACCCCAGAGTGGAGCGGCTTTGGAGGGATTGGAGGCTTGGAGGGATTGGAGGGAAGGAAGGGGCCAGCCAGAAGCTGCCCCATGGGGGGGGACAATGAGGAAAGCGCTGGCCCCCACACGCAACTCAAAGGCGCTCAAATGATGACTTCAGTTCAGTCGGGCTTCCAGTCCTCCCCACCATTCGCTTCCTTTTCGCGCACCTCCAGTCCAGTCCCGTCCGGGCCGCATGTGCCAATCAGTTGTCCGTATTGCGCCTTGCTCACTGGTGACGGAGCTGGAGCCACTCACGAGCTGTGACACCACTTCAGTAGAAGCATTGAGTTTCAGCAGCAGATTTCTCCGTTCCATTTTCTTCCTGGATTTCGCGCAGTGAGCCTGGTGCGCGCGTACGCATCTCTGCCTGCTCAACTAGACCCTCATATGGGCAGATCTGGGCTGCGAATTGGTCGTGCTTCTAGACCTAGAACGGCGCAGCGAGGCGTTCGCGATAGCCCAGCTTTGCGAGTTCCACGTTCGGTCCGTGCAAAGAGCGCCGTCGCAAGGTATTACTTTTAATGTTTGCTTTCCCCGCTTCTCCTCTCCTCATCTCTCCCTCCACAACCTTGCCTGCCCTGCCTTACCCAACAACAGTCGGAACACGCCTGGGATGGACGCGCGCGCCTCTGTCGTCCTCCACGCGCCCGCACACGTCTGATCGCATTTGTCCTCCTACATATTGCTCACACTCGTCGCAGTCGACCCCTCATCTGAGAGCAAGAGACCAGATACAGCAACTGCGAAAGACCATCCACCGCCAGTCCTCTGCAGCAGGGCACTATTGTCACGATTTGCGCGGCCACACTTCACACTGCACAAAGTACGTATGTTCCGCTGGCTTTGTCGTCGATCCGCTCCCCTGCTTCATGCTTCCCCGGATTCTCCCCCATTACTTGGGACTCCAGCCTAAGCACCCCCGTGGGGCACTCTCCTCTCACGCGACACCTTTGTCACATTCTCTCTCGGACCACGAAGATCATCAGACCCTTGGCACAACTTTCCTAACCTCAGTTTCTCTCAAAAATTGGACATTTCTATCTACCCTTTAGCACTATCCCCACACTGTCTGTCGGGTCGTAGTATTATTGGATGTCATCGTTCCCATCCCATCCTTTCCAGCCTTTCGAGCCACCTCGGACCATGAACCCACTGTCGGCTTCACAAGCCAGTCAAGCTTGGGGATGCATTAGCTCACCAAGCCCGTTATTTCCCTCGCTATATCACATTTTGCCGCTCAGTCGTTCTTCTCGGTTCCTAGTCAGATTTAGGACGACTACAAAGAGGCTCATGAGCTCTCCACAGGGGACATAATAGCCGGCCTCGATTTCCTTTTCCACGACTAGAATTATCCGCTGGGTCTTCCCCGCTCCCCAACTCCCCTCTGAATGTGCCGCCCACAGAAACGGACACAGACTGACCGAAACACAAAAGACCTGTTTGGATCTGATCGACTTGGCCGCGAGAGCCTCCTGCACCCAACCATGCTGTCCGCCCAGTCTCTCGAGGGGTCGCCTCCGCACCCAAGTGGAGGCCCAGGTGCCGCCCTGGCTGCTACCTCGGAATCTGTTGAGAACCGAGGGCAGAAACCAAAGAACCTTCCGTGTCAGTACTGTAACAAATGTTTCAGGTTTGTTCGCCTCCAGTCCCGGTCAAACTGCGGCGTTCAGAAACTGACCTCTCCAGACGAGTCGAGCATGTGCAACGACACGAGAGGACACATACCAAAGAAAAGCCCTTCCAATGTAACTGGGACCGCTGTGGCAAGACCTTTGGACGCCGGTGAGTTTACTAACCTCTTTGGCTGTCTTCAGCCATCTCATCACCGCCTCTCAGGGGAACCACATCTTGCCCCAACCCTTTGAATACGACCTCTTCCCCGCCTTGCACTGTGTGTCGTGCTACGCCCACCTTCCGACCGGTTGATTTAGGGCAGAGACCTCGCTCATTAAATACTCACCGCTTACGCCTCTTCATGCTCTTGACCTGAAATATGCTTACATGGACATCAGTGACTTGCTCGTACGGCACGAAAAGCTCGTCCACCTCAATGACAACAACAAGGACAATGGGCGATCGCGCAAGCTTTCTGGCGCCACGCACCAGTCTTCGTTATCGTCGGACAGCCAGAGCCTCGAGCATGGCCATATGGGAATGCACCGTCCCCTGGCTCAGCAACCGCAACTCTCGCCTCCTCAACCACTACCTCAACATCAACACCCTCAGCAGCAGCAGCTACCTCAACATCAGCAGCCTCAACTGCACGCACAAGACCGACAACAACCCCCACCGCCGCAGTATCACACCAGCCATTTAGCTCCTGTGGGCGGATCCTCATTACCACAGGATGCAAGGTCAGCTCCGAGATCAGCAGCTTGCAATCTTGACCTTTTGTCCGATGCTGCACTAGCAAGCGAAGTCAGCACGATTCCTCCCATATTAGGGGATCGTCATCACAGCAGTCACGCAAGCAACAAGGGTTTTGTCGAAGGACTCGGACAATATGGAGACCGCTCAAGGGAAGAGCACCATGCTCTCTCGTCAGGCTATGGACTGTCTCATCAAGGGCTTAACGATGACTACAACATGTTGATGGACGATTTTGGAGCAGCGCCACACTTTCTCCCTCCTCACTTTGAGCCAGATCAGCAGTTTGGGCTTTTCCCACGGTCGTCTGCGAGCCGGGGACCATCTAAGACTGGTGGTCAATATTCTTCGAGATACGCTTCGCTCGCCCCCGATCACAAGGAACCTCATGATAGTACGCGGTACGACGAAGGCGGACGGGCGGCCCCTCCACGAATATCCATCACAGATCACAATACGATCAAAAACCGGCTTGACGAGTTCTCGTCGGTCCTACCAAATGACTTTGTGTTTCCGTCGCGGCATACTTTGACACGGTTCTTGGAGGGTTACATTACTGGGTTCCACGAGCATCTGCCCTTTCTTCATTTGCCGACGCTCTCGCCGGTGGATATGGCGCCAGAGCTGCTAATGGCCATTGCGGCCGTCGGCGCGCAGTATCGGTTTGAGAGTACTCGAGGCTATGCACTCTGGTACGCGGCCAAAGCGGTGGCCAACGAGCAAATCAGACGGCGGCACAGCTCGGACATGAATGCCCTCTTGCCAACACCCGCGGCGTACAGTCCGCATTCAACAAGACCGTCGCCAAGCATGACATACAGACACTCCTTTGCTTCCGCGCAATCTGAGCGACCAATGACCCAGGACACGCATCGGGAACCCTAGTAAGTTACTCGCTGGCTTTGTCCAACAACCCGACACTAACGACGATGAGTTCTCCGAACACACCGCAAGCACGACTTGAAACCATCCAGGCGGTTCTACTGCTGTTTGCCGTTGGTCTCTGGGGCGCCAAGACTATTTTACATGAATCTCTATCATTGCAGAGCAACCTAGCTGTCCTCATTCGCGAGGAGGGACTGAGAGTCGAGACAAGCCAAGCAGCCATGTCAGACTGGGAAGCATGGGTGCGACTTGAGGGGGCGACAAGAACGAAACTCATCGCCTATTGCTTCTTCAATTTGTGCAGTACAGCGTACAACATGCCGCCTCTCTTGTTGACATCTGAACTCAACTTGTATTTGCCCCTGAGGTCTCGCCTTTGGAGGGCAGAGACTGCTTGGCAGTGGCAAGAGCTTCGACAGTCGACACCCATTGCCGAAATCACAGTGCACGAGGCTTTCTCTCGCCTGTTCGGCCGCACGAACGAGGGTGTCCCGTCGCAATTATCGTCGCTGGGCAACTACGTCTTGATCCATGCGCTGCTCCAACACGTCTACCTGCTCAAGCAAACATCCTTTTCGGCTGGCTCGCCGTACGACATGCACCGCACATTGAAGCCCGACGATGTCGAGGAAGTTGCACAGGCTCTGCGCGTCTGGCAGACCAGCTTTGAGCACCGGCATCAGCTACGGTCGGCCGAGTCCGGGCACTTTGGCGGGACGGAATCGATACCAGGCGGCTCATTGGCGTACAATGCGTCCGCGTTGCTTCGCTTGGCTTATATCAGGCTGTACATTGACCTTCCGCCTGGCCGGGCTCTGGAGACGAGGGACTGGGCGCTCATTGCGTCGAGATTGAGCGCGACACCTCTCCTCATGAGGAGCCTCCGTCTGCACCGTGCTGTGTACCAAGCTGTCCACGCGCTGTCAAGGCTTGTCAAAGCCGGCGTGGCGTACGTTGCGCGCGCAAAGTCCTCTGAATGGAGCATACAGAACTCGCGTAAGTCTTGCCACGTATTTCTTTCGGGAACAAGGCTAATACACAAAAGTGTGCAACTTTGAGTGCGCCATTCTGCTCGCCAACTGGCTGCTCACCCTCGCCTCGATCGGCCCCTCGGACCCGCAGGCATCTCCCGAGGAGAAGAACTTACTCGACACCGTCCGCCGCATGCTTGACGAAACCGAATTCGCCGTGCCTGTCGACCCATCATTGTCCGGCCCTGGGAACACTGGCGGCCACATGGAGATTGCGAACAGCGACAATGCCAAGCTGCGACAGCTGGCTGCTGCCGTCGTGCGACTCTGGGCAGAGACTTTCAAGGGCACGCACATATTTGACATGGTCAAGGTCATGGGCTTGAGTCTAGACGGCTACGCTGATCTGATTGAGAAGCCGCGAGAGCGCACGCCGCTCGGTAGGCTGGCACCCGAGGCGGGCATGAATTGAGTTTGGCTTGGGAGTGGCCGTGTTTCACTTATGACATGCGCGCGAGTATGTACGTGTGGCACTCGGGCTGAGAAGAGCCCTTTGGGCTTGGAGGGCATTGGCTTTTGCATGGCGTTGTACCGATTGGGGGTAGCGAGTGGTGAGCCAGGCATCGTGTCGTGAGAAAAGCTAAGAGTTTCCCTTGGCACTTGCGCTGAGCATTATAGGCTCTGATGAATTCCAAAAACAATACCGTACCACAAGACTGACCCGGTGTATCGGAGTTGCGGACCTCGCCCTGTCTACTACGTACAGCCAGCCAGCCACCTTTGACAAGACTCAGTAGACAGCCGCTTGCTGTGCCCACACTATATTCAGATGGAAAGCCCTATGTAAGGGCATCCGAGCAAGATAAGCAAATTGTGCTACATTTCATTGCACCTACGTGATTCCATTACCTTGACGTCTGGCCCCGTCTAATATCATGTTGAGTCGGCTCACAGTAGGTCGTGGTCACGAATTGCATGTGAGAAGGTGGACGGACCCCCCTGTGGCTCCCCACTGGGCCCCCCTAACGGCGTGGGGAAACGCACTGCAAAGATAATTGCGGGGCCGAGCCGACGTGGGGAAAGTGACGCGATCAACCTCGGCATCGCCTTCGTCTTCTGGTGGCTGCCCTGGCTCCTCCTTCCGTTCCGCCAGACAGCTAGCCGAAATCTGACACCTTTTTTCTTCTATATTTTCACGGTCCTTCCTTCCCTTCGACACCAACATCTGACGCAGCGACGAAGCGAGCGCTCCTTCTCAACTCCTTGCATTCCATTGACTCCAGAGAGAGACGCCGCCCATCATGCCTTTGTCGACAGAACTCACGAAGCGCTTGGGCATCCGCGGTAAGCCAACCTTTTGTGCAATGGAAGCACCGTCCTGACTTTTGTCCCCGACAGTCCCCGTCGTGCAAGGCGGCATGATGCACGTCGGCACCGCCGACCTCGCCTCCGCCGTCTCCAACGCGGGTGGTCTCGGTATCATCACGGCCCTCATCTTCCCCACGCCCGCCGAACTGCGCGCCGAGATCCAGCGCTGCCGCACGCTCACCAAGAAGCCCTTTGCCGTCAACATCACCCTCCTCCCCGCCATGGTGCCCCCGGACTACGGCGCCTTCGCCCAGGCCGTCATTGACGAGGGCATCAACATTGTCGAGACGGCCGGCAACAGCCCCGGCCCCGTCATCGCCCAGCTCAAAAAGGCCGGCGTCACCATCCTCCACAAGTGCACCACCATCCGTCACGCCCAGTCGGCCGTCAAGCTGGGTGTCGACTTTCTCAGCATCGACGGCTTCGAGTGTGCCGGCCACGTCGGCGAGTCGGACATTACAAACTTCATCCTGCTCTCGCGCGCCCGCCAGACCCTCGGCGTGCCGTTCATTGCGAGCGGTGGGTTCGCCGACGGCTGGGGCCTGGCGGCTGCGCTTTGCCTGGGCGCCTGCGGCATCAACATGGGCACGCGCTTCATGTGCACCATTGAGGCGCCCATCCACCAGAACGTCAAGAACGAGATTGTCAAGGCCCAGGAGACCGACACGACCCTCCTTCTCCGTCGCTGGCGCAACACGAGCCGCCTCTACAAGAACAAGGTTGCCGAGGAGGCGCTCAAGATTGAGCAGGAGAGCCCGACGGGCAAGTTTGAGGAGATAGCGCCGCTCGTGAGCGGTAAGAGGGGCAAGGAGGTGTTTGTCAATGGCGACCCCGAGTTTGGCGTCTGGACGACCGGCCAGGTGATTGGGTTGATTCACGACATTCCCTCGTGCAACGACCTTGTGAAGCGCATCGAGAAGGAGGCGGAGGCCGCACTCCAAGAAAGGCTCGGCCTGATCGTGCCCGAGTCGAAGCTGTAGAGGACGTCCATGTGGTCTTTTTGAATAGAAGAGCGTAGATGCGAGAAACACATATACTTATGACCATTTTTTGTCCCCTCTATAAGTTAGTCTATGCCCATGTCGTTAGTCGTAATATGCGGAGTCTAGTCGTCTAGTGTAATCCCGTTTCCTCGCACGTCTATTCTGCTTCTTTAGGCCGAGGAAACCCTGCGTCTCCATCCTCCACTCCGACCTGACGCATGCACCCATACCATCTTCTGACATGGCTATCGTCCCAGAAGGCTTTCCTACTTTCCAACCATCCGGGGCGTCCTTTGACATAAGGCCCTTGGCCGTCACGTCCTCGGCCAGTTTCAGGCCAACTTCAGTCACCGCGCCCTGGGTACCGACAAAGAACGACGAAGCGATATCCGATGTCTTGGCAAGAGAGTAGACATTCCCGACGCTGGCGTCGCCCATGTAAAGGGTGACATCAGGACGATAGACATCTCGACGACTCTGGAAATGGTACGTGCACTTGTGCGAGCCCGAGCAGCGTGCGCGCGGCGTGTAGCCGGGCGAGTGGTCGTACGGCGAGATCGGGGGCGGACATTGGTCGATGCAAGGCAGGGCATCCGCGTAGTGATACGGCTTCGGATTGCGAAAGTCGTAGATGCGCACGTTTGCGGCCGACTTGCCGCCGGCGACGAAACGCTGCGTCCCATAGACGAGGAGCGAGCTTGCGCTGTCGTACGTCTGCCAGCATCGATCGCGATACATCATCACGTAGGACGAGGGTGTGCGGCGATCTGTCAGGCGAAATGTCCCGTCGTCCCAGGCACTCAGTAGAAGCGACTCGCTCGCCCCGTTGCCGACTGTTTCGATGGCGCGAACAGCAGTCTTGCCCTCGGCATCCAAGGAGCCGAAAACGTCCCAAGGCCGCGTATCTGGGCTTTCGGACGTGGTGGGAAATACAAGCCCTGAGGGCGTGATGGTCCCGAAGCGCAAGGGATTCCGCGTGTTGCCGAGTGCGCAGGCAATACTGTTCTTGCCAAGGAATTTTGCGCTCTTCAGGAGCGAGAGCTCGTCGTCCGGACCGCCGGTTGCCATGTCATATTGCGCCACGGACTGGATATACTCGGAATCATGATCGCTTAGGTCGTACAATGTGAGGCTCGAACCTTGACAACTCGCGATCAGGTTGTTTTCGGGGTGCCACTGCGTCGCGGAGATTGCCACTTGTGCTGGGGATCCAATCTTCATCCAAGAGACCCTCGCATGATGCGACTCGACAGTCTGTTCATGGGGCAGAAGCTGCTGCACCAGCTGCCCAAAACCCTCGCCAGCGACTGTGATGAGTCTCATCTGTCCATTCGCCCTGCCGACAAGTGCTTCAGGCCCTGAGCCCCTGTCTAACACGGACAGCGCTGTGATATCGCCAAACCCAGCCGATTGGCCTATGCTCTTCCCCTCGAGACGGCTCCATTGGTGTTGACTAGAGAGACTGCAGGGCGTATACCTCGTGAGGAGGTCTTCACCAGCCCCCCATGCAACCAGCTCGTCGCCTTGACCAACTAGGCCACCATCTAGCACCGGGTAGAAGCCTACAGTCTGCTTGCCCTTCCAACGCCTGCCGGTCCGTGGTGGTGCTGATTCTTTGTATGAATGATAGACGAAGGCTCGTTTTTCCCAGCACATATCCAAATACGTGAGTCGATCGGCCAATATCCTCCCAGGGAATGCTGACGTGCCGTCGAGAGCCAACGAGGGAAAGCTCTGTCGACTGAATTTCTTCCATCCGGCACGCTCCACGATGCTGTGCGCGTATCTGGATGTTTGGCTGAGGTTGGCGATGTGGGAGGCGTGGGGGAGGTGTGTGATAATGTCCAGTGTGAGTTCCTCTGGAAGATCGTTGAGGCTTGTCCTCATGGAGGCATGTGCGAGCGACGTGCTCAACGAGTCCATGCTTGCTGCTGGTTGACTTCAACGAGAGGAGATAGATGGCTCTTCGCAAACTCCTTCAATCGTTTATGAGAGTGGCAACACTACCTTGCGGGCAGTACCGTATGTAATCATGGGCGAAGTGTTGTTGATGAGTCGCGTGTTGACTCCATTTCGTCAACCCTGGCAATGATTTGAGTTTGACGTTCAAGAATGACTCAAAAGATGACTCAAAAGACAACGTGACGATAGCCCACAGCGACCCCAATATCAAAATACACAATGAAAAGTGAGATGCGAAAAGAATATGAACTTTGCAGCCCTATAAGAGTGGCGAAGTTGTTGCTCGCGACTTGAAAGTGACTAAATCTTTGAGAAACATATGCGTCATACCTGTGGCTTTTTTTGTGCGTCTACGGTCTACCTACCCTACATCCTGCATTCACTACAGGTCACCGGTTACAACGTTCATTGAACCTCGTCTACTATCAACCGGGCGGTCATCTGGCAACTTTCTCTACTGCAAGGCAGCTCGGATTGCATAGACTCATACCCTCGTGTTCAATGCTACTTTTCTGTGCTATTCTCCAAAATCATGTTGCTATGCTCGCACACCACATATCATGTCCATGATGAATGCTCAACGCCAAAAAACCGCACCGTCCCGAGCTGCTCTAGTCGTGTTCCGGATCAATGTCGACCCATACCATTAGTACCATATTTACAGTAGCATATACAATGCTCGAACGGCCTTCTCCGCCGCAGCAACGTGCCACGGCCGCACATCCGTAGCCTTGTCCACAACGCCTCTGGATCGCGCCAATGTGTTCAGACCGCGGAAGTTGTTCAGCATCTCCCGCAGCAGTGGTTCGTAAGGCCGACCGGTTCCCTCTGTGTGCACGAGGTTGACCTCCATTACTACAGGAGGCTCCTCCACCTCCTTGCTGGTCTTCTTGATGAGAAAGCCGCTTACCAGGGATGGTTGGAGTTCCAACGGCGTCTGCGAGACGTTGAGCCGATGCCCGACAACGGCACCGAACGTCTGGTCCGTCAAATCCAAAAGTATGGCGTCCGCCTCGGGATCTGTGTTACCGTCTGTTGCAGTGGGCGTGGGCGGCGCCGCCTGGGCGGAGACCTGCTCAGGCGAGACCATGCTGCCCTGTGGCGTCGAAACAGGGGTCGTGTAGAATCCCGCACTGGGCGCGGCCACTTGGACACTTGGGGGGACAAGCTGGAGGCTGGGATTGGTGTCGACTGTCATGAGAATCACCGCTACATGTGCCCTGCTTTCTGTCCTCATAAGATCAGACCAGAAGTCGATTTCGGCATTGTCCATGTTGCCGACTTTAGTGATGATGAGCCGCCAGTGAATCTTGCGAAATGCAATCATGTCCAAGGTAGTTTCCCATATCTCGTGTGCAACCTCATGCATTGTCGTGGACAAGGGGCGTCCCTTGCGACCCAGACAGTAGGAAGCGGTGGATTGTTGGGTACCTCTGTCGTCAGTCCATGCTGCCGACACCCATCGCTCATCCTGGCTGCAAGCGTAGCTGACGTGGAAACACGAGTTTTCGTGTATCAAAGAGGCGGAAGGATTCGACGTGAGCTTGAAATCAATCACTCGAGGTAGTGGTTGCTCGAGTACGATAGCCGGCGCAGGCGATGGCCCTCCCGCGGCTGCGCATCGATCGTACAGCTCTAGACATAGCTTGGCCAATGCAGTGGACGACGGGACAACGAGCGTGGTCGCAGATGAGATTAAATCGATGGACACCAGCTGCAAAGTCAATCCAGGTGGCCCGCCTTCCTTAGCCGCCGCCTGCTTCGCGTATAAATCAGTGAACTGCTGAAACGCTAAGCATGCTTCGACAATGGACGTCGGGTTCCCTGGGGAGTACACCATGAGCACGGCGATGTTGACTTCCGAAGCAGGCAAAGCAGCCAAGGCAGACTGCAGAGCGGTCATGCTGTCGAGAAGAGCCGAGCCATGCCCGGATACGCTCGCGTCTGGCGACGTCGATATCCTATCAACCTCGAATGGAATCATGCCAGGCTCCATGTCGTCCGACAATCTGAGCCTGACGAAGCTGCCAAGTTTGAGAAGCTCATACATGCCTCCCATACTCTCTAGGAATGAGCGCACGTTATCTTGCATGCCTGTCCACCGAGGGAACATGCATAAGGTCTGCACCTCCTTACCTCCAGAAGCTGGTGCGAGCCCTAGACTATCCCAAAATGATACTGCTGTCGGCAGCACGGACAGACTTGTCTCCGCCCTGCGGACTTCAAGGCGATGGTAAGGGATGGGATAGAGACTACTGGGCCTTAGCTGTGCCGCCACGTTGCCGTCCTGTCCACTCGCCGCTTGATTGCGATTGCTCATCCCCATCCGCATTGCTTGTCCACCGAGTGGCACGTCTGGCAGGTCGAGGAGACCCTTGAGGCTGTTGCGAGTCCAACCCGTGAAGCATGCGGGCACCGTTGCGTGCAAGACCTCTAGAGACTCGTGTATCCGACCTGCCAGTGCCCTTCGATGACTTGTTGACAGCGCAGGGTGGACTTGAGATGCGCGCATGTCACCAATGTCGACGAAACCAGTGGATGCCTGTTCTGTCAAGACTTGGGCGACAGCCACGAGTGTCTCGTCAGCCAAGGATAGTTGCGTTCCCATTGGCTCAGGATCGGCAAAGATTCGCGCCAGAGGCAACTCCTCAGGCACTGGCTTCGAAAGACGCGGCAACTCCACCACCAAGTGTTGCTCAGACTCTTCGAACGCCTCAGCGTCCCGCAGAGACGTCACTTGGGAGGCATCGTCGTCCTCCTGAGCCCCTCGCCTAAATGTCGCCTTCGCAGGTGAAAATGCCTCGTCCGATGTGTAGCTTGTATCGTCCTCCTCGGATTGCACGCTGCTGGCGTCTTCGTCGCTGGCTGATCCGCCATCTTGCTTGTTGAAGGGGCTCATGTGTGCTGCTGGTGCTTGGGTAGGCAACTCTTTCAGCTTCCGATTGCGTCGGCTGTGCCTTCGCAAATAGTCGGTTTCGGGCAACGAGCCGATGTGGTGTACATGGTTCTTGGTCAAAGCGACTCCCGGGTCAAATGAGAAGATGCCGCCCTTCTCATACTTTTTGTTAATGACGGGAAGCGCTGGTCCGATGTCCACCTTGTCGAATATACTGCCACGTCGTTGGCCAGGTGGCGGCATCGCAGCAGAGGTCTCTCTCGGTGGTTCCAACGACCCACGCACGCGCTTGAAAACTGCCTCGGGACTGAAAGGACTTCCTTCGCGCTTCGGCGAGGACACTGGCTTGCCGGAGACGGTCTGGGACGTTGCGGGGCTCATGTAGCTTCTAGCGTGCTTCAGCTCCGGCTTCTTGAAGACATCGGCGTCCTGCAGCGCTGGATTCGTTGACATTGGAGTGCCTGCAGGAGTCTCGTGTACTGCTTTGGGGGTGCTGGCCTTAGAAATGTCCCTGGGAGGGCTGACGTCGCTCGTTGGCGCGTAATCAGCAATGCCAAGGTCCATTTCATCGGGTTGCTCATCAAAGAAGCGAAAGTCATCTTCCGTAACGTCATTATCGCCAAAAATATCACCCCCAATGAGCATGTTGTCTTGGTCGCTCAAGACGTTGCTGTCACTCCGCTCTCGGCTAAATTCCGATTGTCCCCAAATGTCAGTCTCTGTGCCGAGACCATCGGTGTTCATTCCGTCCAAGTCCGCTGCTGTTGCCGAGGAAACCAGGTTCTTGGGACTCGAAACGAGGCTATCGAGCATTGGTGCGACGTCACTTGGCGGCTGTACACCGTCGGGGGGCGTAGGGTACATGGTACTGGCGACTGTGGTACCTGGACGAGCAAGGGCAGCTGGTGTCGGAGCCATCGGGGGTGGTCCTGACTGCGGCGCATGCTCATTGTCGCCTGGGGCTGGTATGGCCCTCATGGCCTTGCGTTTCGCGATCTGTCCATCTCGTTCACTGGCGCAAGAGAGCCACCGTCTAGCATTGCCAAGAGGATCATGACTTTCCTCATGTCCGTTCAGTGTATCGTTCGCGAGCCGAGTTCCCGTTGACGTTTTGAGCGTTTTCTGGCGAAAGCAAAGAGGACCCGGCCATGGTATGGAAGTCATGACGGAGCCATCCCTGTGTCGTCGAGGTTCACTCCTCGTGTCACATACCCGCCGCCGTGATACGCTGATACTGACCCAGGTGCACCCTTCGATTGCAGCAGGTGGAATGCCGCGTGATTGTAATGTCTTGATGCAATTCTGTTTCCATTTGCGCTCATCGACATCTGGTAATCCTCGGACACTCAAGGCCTGCGTTGCCGGTGTTTGAGCCAGACTGACAGTGCCTGGGTCAGCAACTGCAGATAGTGGGTTTGTTGCCTGTATGCCGAAGGGTGCTGCTAGTATCGTCTGTCCATATGTAGAGGCGAACACATTATCAAGAGACAACAAGCCATTGCAGAGAGATAGCTGCAAGCTGATGATGAGAGAACCTTGCGTCGTCAAATACGCACTAAAGGTGCCCAGTATTGAAGACCCTTTAAGCAAGTTGTTTGTGTCAGTCTCGTGGGCTCGTTGATCACTTCTCGAAGGCAGTAGCACAGTGCGGTAATTCAGAGGTATTGCGCCTATCACGGGACAAAACCTGGTCGATATTGACAGTAAAACAGCAGCGATGAAAAGCTCGTATGCCATTCTGACTGTCGACTGTGGAGGCTTCACATCGACATCCATTAGGTCCGCTGATCTTGCATCTTGTTCGTGCCCACCTGCCTGAAGTCCCTGTGATAGACTTAAGTTACTGGTGCGAGCAGTGTGATCTTGGGTAGCGCCGGTTGATGACGCGCTGACGGGAGTGTTGATGCTTGAAGGTGCATGGGACCTGGTTCTCTGCAGCTTTGATGGCTCGAAAATTGCCTCTTCGGTCAAGATCAGCGTGAATCCCGCTGTTTTGAGCGTGCGAGGTGGCTCAGCAGCCGCGCTGCTTGTGCCATCCTTTTGCTCAATCCCAAATTGCCATATTGCTCGCCGAGTGGCATCGTAGAAGACAAGATATCCATCGTCTCGGAGTATACATTCGACATCAATGGCCGCTGAAGGAAACGTTTGGTGATGTTCGGGCAAGGGTTCGTAGATTTGGTATGCGACAGACGAAATGTTGCTCTGTCCACAGACGTTAGCTCGAGGTGATCAATTTGGCAATTGCGCTACTTACAACCAACAGGGTATTGGTCCCAAATTCGCCAGTCTCCATGTCGAAGTCCCTTCATCGACGCCACTGCGCGAGCAGCTGTTGTCGTGGATTTCCGAATTTGGGACGCTTTCTTCTGCCGGCCACTGAAGCAGCTGAGCACGACACCTTTCCTCTCACAGATATGACCGGACAGCCCTCAGGACCTTAGCGCCTTTTTCTTTTGATATAGCCCACTGCGTCTCACTGGTCTCCATCTCCACGAGTCGACCGCACGTCCGATTAGCAATAGGACGGGCCAGGACAATGCTAGAGCCCGCTCCAAAGCTGTGAATGAAAACGCCGGAGCCACAGGCAGCAGGGGTCGACGTATACGCTGGTTCGTGGATGAGGCTAAGAAACAAGGCCCGTATCGTGATATATAATAGCTTCGGGGTTCCCGTGTGTCCTAGGGGGCCGGGACTATGTGCGAGGACGGAGGTAATGCTGGGATGAGAAAGCCACCGAACAAAAGTATGGGTGATGGCTATTAGAGCTGGGCTGACTTAAGAGCAGGTCGCGCTCGTCTGTCAGGACACGGCAACCATTTCCGAAGCAGGGAGAACGTCGTCACGGCGCAGCTGTGACTGGAGGAGGTTCGGCTCGGGCTGGACGTGGAGCAGGCGCGCTGACGCTGCCAGTGGCCGAGGGAGTTGAGTCTGTGGACGAACAGTGGAGTTCATCCAGTGGCGCTACTCTAGCTAATATAAGTTAGTCGCGCGCAGGCCTCTTGTCGCATTACCTATCGATAAGCTGGTGGGGGTCCTCTTTTTCCTTCACCTGGACTTTTTTTCTGCCTCCTACCTGCCTACCTGCCTGAATTCCAGCTTTCTCTCGCGTCATTGTCCCGAATCTCCTCACATCTGGGCAGACTGCACAGACGATGAAGCTCGCCAATCCGGGGCAAGTCCCCGTATACACCGTATCCGGTGCCTCCACCGCGCGGCCACTCCCAGACTGGCTCGCCAGACGAAGAAAGCGCAGCTTGAAGAATGATCCCGAATACCAGAATCGCGTCGAGTTACTGCAGGACTTTGAGTTCGAGGAGGCCAGTAGCTGCGTTCGCGTCAGCGCAGATGGCGAATGGATCATGAGCACTGGCACATACAAGCCGCAGATCCATGTTCACAACCTCGATCAACTGTCCCTGTCCTTCGCTCGCCATACCAACTCACTCAACCACTCCTTCGAGCTGCTGTCCAACGACTATTCCAAGTCGATTCATCTCCAGATTGACCGTCGTCTCGAATTCCATACACCCATGGGCTGTCACTACGAAGTCCGACTTCCTCGCTATGGACGTGGCATTGTCTACGATCGTCTCTCAACCGAAGCTCTTGTTCCGTCTGTGGGCCTCGACACCGACGGCAAGGGCGAGGTCTTCCGCCTGAATCTGGAAATGGGAAGGTTCATGCGATCGTACCAAGTCGATGTTGGCGGCGACGATGAACTGACTGGCGGTGGTTTACAAGGTGGCATCGGAGTAGGCAGCGTGAACACGGCAGCTATCGCGGAGGAATCTCATAACCTACTGGCATTTGGCACATCGCTGGGTTCCGTCGAATTCTGGGATCCTCGGTCTAAATCCCGGGTGGCCGTCCTGGCTGGACAAGAGGGTGAGATCACTGCGTTGGACTTCAGCTCGAGCGGCCTTTCCCTAGCGACCGGATCATCTACCGGCATGATGCAGATCTTTGATATGCGACGCCCGACTCCGCTGCTCAGAAAGGATCATGGATACGGCTTCCCCGTCAAGAAGCTGATCCACATGACCACATCCTCCCAGGAAAAGAAGGTACTGTCATCAGATAAGCGCATCATCAAGATCTGGGACGAGGCAGATGGCGAGCCTTGGACTTCGGTTGAACCAGTGGTCGATATCAACGATGTTGCCTGGTGCCGGGATAGCGGCATGATCCTCACAGCCAACGAAGGCAAGCAACAGCACGCCTTCTTCGTGCCTCAGCTGGGCGCTGCCCCCGAGTGGTGCACATTCCTGGACAACTTGGTCGAGGAGATGGCCGAGGAGACACGCACAGAGACATATGACAACTTCAAGTTCCTCACTGTGCCCGAGCTGAAGCAGCTCAGCTTGAGTCATCTCGTCGGCAAGTCCAACCTCCTGCGCCCTTATATGCACGGTTACTTTGTGGATACAAAGCTCTACGACCAAGCCAAGCTCATCGCGAACCCATACATGTTCGAGGAGGACAGGGCGAAGCGTGCCAAGGAGAAGATCGAAAAGGAACGCGCCAGCCGCATCCGTGGCAACAAAAAGGTCAAGGTCAATCAGAAGGTTGTCGACAAGATCCTCAAGAAGCAGGAGAACAGAGACAAGGTCGACACCAATGCTGGTATTCTTGGCGACGATCGTTTCAACAAGATGTTCGAGGACGAGGAGTTCCAGGTCGACGAGAAGAGCCGCGAGTTCCAGGTCCTCAACCCAAGCACCGTGGTGGACAGGTCAGCTGCCGATTCCGGCGCGCCCTCACGCTATCAGGCTCAGTCCTCAGATGATGACGCCTCTTCCGAGAGCGAGGATGAAATCACAGGCCAGCCGAAACGTCGCGACGACGACGTGGTCATGCACGTGTCTTCCACCCAGAACCGGGGAGGACGAACGAGAGACACGGCGCTGGGTTCGCGGGAGCACAAGGCTGCGAAAGAAAAGATCAGGAGGGGCGAGGTGGTTGGCGACAAGCAGGTCACTTTTACGCCGCACACCAAGAGGAATGGCGCTCAGCCAGAAGAAGCGCCACGCTCTCACAAGCCCAAGGGTCAGAGGCGAAGCGCAAGCTCCAACACATTCAGAAAGATGTAAATACTTTGCATTTCCATGGCGTTTGAACTTTGCACTATCCCGGAGCCGCAAGCGCCGAGTCAGGACGAGAATTATCAAGGAGATGTACCGGATGGATCAACCACCCCCAAGGGCACATAGGCACAGCCTACGGCCCGTCCGCCATGCTGTCGAGCCAAGCAAAAAATCTCACTTGCGCCCTCTGCTTTCGATGATAGTCTTGGTCCTGCCTTTCTCCAAATCTTCGGGTCGCAGCCTAGGTGTTGGTGGGACATCGTCGAGCCTCGTGTGCTGTCGTCGACGTGATGATGAGGCATTGCCGTCCTTGAGGTGTGATGGGAACTCGGCACGCCGAGGTGTGAGAGCAGTCTTGACTTTACGGGCCGATCGTCGCAAGGTTTCTCTCATGGTCCACTCACGCTTCTTCGCGATGAAGAACAGGGCGCCCATGGTGGCTGTGCGAATCAGTCATGTCGTACGGCCACGCATTTCCCGATGACACTCACCTCCAACGATAGCCACAACGACGACCACGACCACAATAGCGATTAATCCGCCTGTCGAGATGCCATAGCTTTCAGAGCTTCCCGAGGCGCCAGCCTCCGTGCCTGAGCCAACACCGGGAGCCAGCTGACCTCCATTATTCTCATCGATCTCTCTGGGAATGAACATTTCCGTCTGGTATGTAGCAAATGTTCGGAATTTATGCAGCGAGGAGTTCGGGAAGACCTAAAAGGAAAAAAGTGCGTCTGTATCGATACCAGCGATGTTGTAGAGTACTCGAAAGACACGAACTGGTGTCGTTCTGCACTTCTGGTATATACCAAATCTGAAGCCACAAGTCCCCTATGTGCCCCGCAAACTCTGAAGGCCAATTCAATCGTCTTTACCGCCCATCATACCCAGTCCTGGCGCAAAGATAAGTCATGTCACGAAGCGAGACGTCGGTCACGGCGGGATGATTGGCTTCTGGCCATCTGGAAGCGCCGAGGGCGTCAGGCACGCAGCCAATCAGATGTAAGCGCTCAGATGCTGCACGACTTGACGCCGTGCAGTGTGACGGGGTCATCCACAGTGTTGGGTCCCTCTGCCTCTGCCGGCTGGAGGGCTGGCACTTGAGAGTCGAGACTTTCTGGTCTTGTAAACTAGCCAAGGGTCCATTGCCAGGGGCTGCTGCGTGTGTCATGAGATGTGCCAAGACCAGGCGTAGGTTGGGGGCGGCAAGCACTTAATTAGCAGATGGTCAACATTCACTTACACCAGGTACTCAATTCTGAAGCCTAAATTGACGCCCAAACACACGGATAGAGGCTTTCTTCGCATTGGCGCTTAGGAACCGACTATTTGCGGTTTGAGCCTCGAACAGCGATGTGCGCTCGAGATGACGGAAGTGCAAGCGACACCAGGCTCCAGCAGGGGAACAACACAAGTCAGAAAGTCAAAATAGCATCCCCAGGGTAAACCGGGAAATCTCCATGAGCTCCAGTCGTACGCGAATCCACTCTCCAATTACTCGAATGTTCACTCTCCGAATGCCTACTAGTGCTCATATGCCTGATTAACATATGGGACTCGAACCGTCGCTCCTGCCTTCTGCCTCGCTGGAGGGAAGGAATGCGATGACGGCCATGGTTCCTGCCTGGTACGGCTAGGAAGAAGAATCTGGCAGTCTGCACTTCCCTAAAATGAGCAGCATCTCTTTTTAATCATCATCTGCTCTGCGTCATTCTAAGCCCAACACTTTTGCTGCTTTCCCATAAAGTAGCCCGAGCGCACAGCGTCAGGTTGAGGAATCCTGAGCAACAGGCCTCGTCCGGCATGCCTCCTCAATCACCAGCCGGATACCGGCATGGACCGCCCTTCGACTTTGCCTCCTTCGGCGACGTTGCTCACGGAGAGGTGGGTGGCTTGCCGGGCCATGCTGTAGCCAGAGCAGCACCCAACGACACCAAGAGAACACCCTTCATTAAGAGAGCTCTCCTTTCTCATGAAGACCTCATGCCCGAGGTCGACGCAGCAGACAGCTTCATGTTTGCAAGGAAAGCGCCTCCAAAAGAAGGCCAATACCACGGCACTGCCCCGAAACTTTGCATTGATATGACTCACCAAAATCAAGGACAACAGGAGCCAGACTACTCCCCCCATCAGAATGATGAGCAGAAGAGAACAGTGTCTCCTGAGAGCAATAACCCACAGCATTCTTGGGAACAGGATGGCACACTCGATCTGCCAGAGATGCATTTTGACTTGTTGACAAGCCCCCCTCGTGCATCAGTCAGAAGCCAGCACTGCAACACCGCAGCGCAGTCGCCCAAGGAAGTGGTCGACGTTGGGAAAACAACGCCTCTCTTGACAACTTTCAGCTCCCCACATTTCACCAAACGGGCGGACGATATCATGGAAGGAGTACGCTCATCCATTCGCCACTTCACCGTCACACCTGTAGCCAATGTCAGCAGCCTCCAGAGTAGCATGTTGGACTTGAGCCCAAAAGTAGCGGTGTTGCCAGAGAGTCACGTCTCTAGCAAATCACGCGGATATCGTTGCAAGGAGGAGGTGGTTTACTCACCCAGACACCATCGAGAGCCAAGTGTAAAAATGCACAAAGTATACCGCCCTTCGCAGGAAGCTAGACACGATGGGATGAGGGAGAACACTCAGCCATCCGGCCTACTACGCCACATGCGTTCTGCGAGCAGCAGTCGTTGTCAAATTTCACCCCCAAGCGTCTGTGGAGACCTTGAAGTACCAGTTCACCAAACTCCCGCTCAAACGCGTCCACGCTCATCTATTGAACGCAAAGGCCATCCTGCAACTCGTCACATCCATCATGCACCTCGGAATGCCCGATCAGGACGTGAAGTCGAGACCCGCACGGGTTCTCGGAACAGCAACGTCTCGCGAAAGCGATCTGCGGTCTCCAAGCCATATCTGATGAGACAATCCCGTCCCAAAGAAGACATGATGAGAAAGATGGCTGAGTATTGGAACATCTGTATGCAGATCTGCGAAGACGAGAAGAACCAAGCGGTAGAGCACATCGGGAAGCTTGAGGAAATCCTGATGGAAAGAGAGGTATCTCTACTGGAAGCGCAGGCCGCACTTGTCGACCAGGAGTCTCTTTCACGAGGCCTCAAAGATCAGCTTGAGGAGCTCCAAGTCAAGCGCAACGAGCCATCCGAGCAGGAACAGGCAATGTCTGCTGAAATCAGGAAGCTTCGCGAACAGCTGTCTTTTTCCCAAGTCCGCACTGCCGAAATGTGCGAAAAGTACAAGGGTTGCAAGACCAAGATTAATGAAGCAATCAAGGAACAGCAAGACCTTTATACACGCTCGAATGAACACTGCAAACGCCTGAAAAACGAGCTAGAGAAGGCAGAGTTGGAGCGCAATGAGAAGACCGCTGCTGTAGACAAGGCAGTGCAGTTGAGCCAGCAGAAGCGTGAGGAGATGCGAATTCTTGTCCAGCAGCGATTGGCGGAACTTGAGAAAGAAGCAGACCTCAGTAAGCATGACAGATCCATATCCTGATTGTGGCTTCAGACTGCTGACGACAATTAAGAGGGATGCCAGGTCGCCCGTCTCAGAGAAGAGCTGGATGAACAACGCTGGCTCCTCCAACAGGAGAAGCAAAACGCTGCCCATTTGCAGAATCAGTTCGATGCTGCAGAGCATAGAGAAAAGGACGCGCGCCAGACAATGGCGACACAGCTGGCGCGTCTGACTGACGCTTTTTGCAATGCTGATCTTGACAAGGTCTCAAAGGGTTGGGATAAGATCATTGACCGGTAAAGATTCTCGCCTGTCGAGACGTGCGATGCTGACCTTGATTGTAGTATCAACAACACTACTGGTGCATTGATTACTGCCGTAAAGGACATTCCAACTCAGGAAGCCCTCGAAGTGTTGTTCAGCGGCACAGAGGACAAAATGACATATCGGTGCGCGCACATCCACGCCAATAGCCATGCATGGATAGAGCTAACGTGAGCAGTTTTGAGTCCGCACTGAAGAGGAATATCACGGACCGAGGCCTTCCAGAGAAATGGGGCCAGCAAATTGCCGAGGTCCTCGATGCTTGTCTGCACGAGCAGCTCAGCGCTTCCGGTCAGGTTGACGCCATAGAACGAATGGAAGAGTCTTTGAACCGGATCGAAACAGCCACAGCCGGGGGCGAGCAAGGGTTTAAAGACATCATCAACAAGCTCGATCAGAACAAGTGTGACGAGCTAGAGACCTTTAAGCGCGAGTACTTATCCCGCGAGTGCGAGCAGCATGAAGCATTCGTCGCGCGTTACGAGAAGCTCAACAGCCGCGAGCGCGAGCTCCAACTCCTCATCGAAGACTACTCAGCCAAGATTGCACGCGCGGCTGCAGCGGACGCAAGTGGCACAACTGCCGAGGCAGTAGCCCTTGAGTTCGGTAAGGCCATGGACGTGGCCTTGGAGAAAGAGAGACACTGGACCACGGAAATGTACAACAAGGGCACATGGGCAATCGAAACCATGAGAGCTCGCATCGATGGATTGGCTGAAAATGCGCAACAATCTTGGGACAAAGCGGGGGTCCTGGAGCAGCTGGGTGAGGAGAGGGGTCGTGTCATGCGCCTGACCACGGATATCGCCAGGCTCGAGAAAGAAGCTTCCGAGGCCGGACAGTTGAAGGACAAGTGGGCGAAGGACATCCATCACATTGATGCTTTGCGAGCCCATCTGCGATCGCTGGCCAATACGCGCGTTCCAAGAGTCGAAGAAGCCGCAGCTAAGCTCGGGGCCGTTGCGCGTATGAACCAGATCATCGCTTCCACATCCAGTTACTTGTCCACGGAAAAGACCTGGATAGTATCTCAGCTGGCTGCTTTGAAAGGCAACGCATCTCAAGCAGCACCATCTCTAGTTGAAGGCCATGACCATCCCAAGGGAAATGATGCTGAGCCCCAGGAGATATGCAGCGTGAAAGCAGACCAAACGCTTCTGGTCCCTGGTCCAGAAATGCAGTCAACAGATGACTTGGATGTCGAGAAGTTTGCAAAGCAAGTCAGGGTAAACACCCCTGTCCTTCTCACGCAGCCGTCGTGCGCTCCCGCTGTAGAGCAGGAGCAGCGGCAAAGGCGACAACCCGTCAAGCCCCGATCCATCCTCCGCCGGACGCGGAGCGTGCAGTCAAGCGAGAACGATAAACGTCCAGACAGTAACAGCGTCCGAGCCATTCTCAACCAAACCCAGTACAACCGACTGGTAGTCGCAGAGAACCCTGCCATTGTTTCGAAGGCGCAGATCGCCTTGATTCGTGATGGCTTTCTGTCAACTGAGCAGACCGGATAGGGCCGAGACTTACCAGTTTTGCAAGACTTTGCGCAGGAGCAAACGTCCAAGCATTTTGGGTTGCCAAGCAAACGAAGTCTCTCGATTGAAGACGGCCACAACATCCACGACATCGGCAAGCGATTCAGGAAGGATTCGCAATGGGTGTCGTCTGGGGACCTGACTTCCTTTCCCGTCCATCAGCAACCATCATTCGCAAAGGATCCAAAGAGCCGGCGTCTCAATGTCCTAGGCCAATGTCTGCAGCGCAGCGTAGCGGAGTAGAGTATCCATACCGACTGTCACATCTCTATCAGACAAGGTGTCCATGATCTCAAGAACATTTGCTGCACTGGGGGCATTCTTTTATCCTTACCGACGACGCGATTCGGCACGTCCCCAAGCTTTTTGCTAACATTTTCGTTGCTGCGGCAGGCTCAGAGTACTGAGGAGGTGAACATGATGAAGTAGAGGGATCGAGGTATGCGATGTTGTTGTATTCGTGGGCGCCAACTGTTGTACAAACACATGTACACGCGCGGTGTGCGCGATGCTATTCCCAAACTCCAAACATTTCAATCATAGTATTACACAAGTTCCTCTTCCCGTTAAGAGCGCTCCGTTCGACGGCGTGAGGGAGCCAGCTCATCGATTGTGCCATTCCGTGCTTCGTGAGACACCTTTTATTTCGATCGGTTCTTCGTTTCCAAGAAGAGGACCTTTTTGCGCACTACCAAGGGTCAGTCGAACACGAATGAGTCGCCGACGGTCTGGGGGGGTGATCATACCGATGGGATCGTACTTCATGAGACCCAAAGGCTTTGCCGCACGCGGGCGCTTAAATGTGTAGAAGTAACCCGTCTGTGCCATAGACACCAGTCGCGCCAAGATGATGCGAGACTTCTTTGCCTTGGCCATGGTGAGCGAAAGGCTGCGGGTTGATCGTGATGGATGCGGCTTGTATCGTCGCGGGTAAATTTCAAGGTGAAGTCGGTTGGTTCTGTCGGGGTTCGGCGAAAGGAAAGTCCGGCTACTGCACCTGAGCGCCTTGGCCCACCTCATGAGCCGAGAGGATGGAGCAACAGCGCCATTGGGTATAGCATGGAAATAAAACTATTATTGTCTTCGTTCCACTGAACTGACGATGAATTTGTAATCATATGTTGCGGAGTGAACATGAGCGGGAGACTCGTTGTTGGTAGCGGCAGGGTACCTGTACTAGGTACCTGGAGTTAATAAGAAGCACCAGGGACTCTCATTCAGCTGTGCAGCGGCGGTCAGCGACTGGAGATAAGACCTACGAGCGCAGCAGGGGCGCGTACGCGAGTGCCCCCAAGGTCTCAATCTATCAACGTCTGCCGGAGAATCTGTGTCGTCTCGTTGAGGTCTATCGGTGGCCGATTCTCATTGCACTCTTCAAAGTTCCTGTAAGCCGCCTGCCGCTGACTTTCGGTGTGGTGAGAAACATCTGGCAGCAAGAACCGCGCGGGCGCGCGTCTGCTTTACAGCTCTCGCGGAAAACGAGGACACGATGACCACGCGCAATCTTCAGACCGTAGCGCGAGGCGCCAGAGGAACCACGAGCCTGAGCTCGAATTGTCTCAGCGATGGCGCCTCGACCTTTGTCGGTAAGTCATCATCATTATCTACTCCTACATACCTACCCACCGTGGGGGCGTGGCCGCGTGGGAGACCGGAGCCTCCAATCTTTGCGTACAGTCACAGAGTCGTGTAACACCAAAGCAGTTGCTTTGCTTCTCTATCGCTCTGTCGAGTAGGCCTTTTCTGTCACGTCTCCTTTCCCCTGGTTGATATCCCGTCTGGCTTCTCCCGCGTGCCTACTACGACTGGTGGCGACCGCCGGACCCAGTCCGATCTCGGATGAAGCCGAAGGTGGGATGTCAATGCCATGACGCCCTCACAAGGCGAGAGTTGGAGAGGGCAAGCTTGAAAGCACGAACCTCTTTCTATGACTCTTAGTGTGCATGATCGCCAATCATACACAGGCCTTGCATTTATATATGCAGGAGAAAGCGGTTTATTATTTATTACGAAGCAAGTGCCTCCTGATCCTCCCGACTCTTCACTCCACGATACTAGTCAGGCGTCTCTCCTCTTGACTTGACCATTGCCACAAAAGCCATCATTTTCCAGGCATCACTCCAAAGCAGCGCTTCTCTCTCACTTCTCGTCCAAATCTCGAGCTTCGAGCTTCTGTTGACTTTGTACACATCACTAAACCTGGACGAGGGCACCATTGAAGTACCTTGAAGTCTTAGCTTACAACAGAAACTGTCCTAGGACGACGACCCCTCGCCGCCCCGCCAAAGCGACATTGTCAACAGCACCAACTCTTCGAACCCCACCATCACCGACAATTCTCAACAACGCCCACCATGACGAGATTGACGGTCGACAACATCAACCCGCACGTGCGCGCGGCCAAGTACGCCGTTCGCGGTGAGCTGGCCGTCAAGTCGGAGGAGTTCAAGGCCCTTGTCGCAAAGGGTGAGGCACAGAGCCTCCCCTTTGACAATGTGATCAACGCCAACATTGGCAACCCCCAGCAGCTGGACCAGAAGCCCATCACCTTCTTCCGCCAGGTGGCCAGCATCCTGGAGAACCCGCAGCTCCTCGAGAAGGAGGAGGTCCTCCTCAACGGGCTGGGCTACAAGTCCGATGTCGTCGACAGGGCCAGGTGGTTGCTGAAGCACGTCGGCTCCGTGGGCGCCTACAGCGCGAGCAATGGTGTCCCCGCGATCAAGGAGAGCATCGCCAAGTTCCTCGAGAGTGAGTAGCGCCACCCCAAGAGTTGGAAATGGTCTGCCTAACTAGCGAACCAGGGCGCGACGGCTTTCCCGCCAACCCAGCCAACATCTACCTGTCAGCCGGTGCTTCGTCTGGTGTCAACACCCTCCTGCACACCATCTGCGCCAACCCCAACACCGGTATTCTAGTCCCCATCCCCCAGTACCCTCTCTACACGGCAACGCTCTCCGTCCTCGACGCCACCTGCGTGCCATACTACCTCGACGAGTCCAAGAACTGGGGCACCGACATCAACACGGTTCGCTCCGCATACGAAAAGGCCAAGGCGGACGGGACCGACGTCCGCGCCATTGTCATCATCAACCCCGGCAACCCCACAGGCGCCTCTCTGCCCGAGGAGGACATTCGCCAGATCCTCGACTTCGCCGCCAAGGAGAACCTGGTCGTGATGGCGGATGAGGTGTACCAGACCAACGTCTTTGTGGGCAAGTTCCACAGCTTCAAGGCCGTGCTGCGTAGGATGCAGCAGGAAACCCCGGGCCAGTACGACGGGGTCGAGCTCGCCTCGCTCCACTCCATCTCCAAGGGCATGGTCGGCGAGTGCGGCCACCGCGGCGGCTACTTTGAGCTCTGCGGTTTCGACCCCGAGGTCGAGGCGAACATTTACAAGTTCGTCTCCATCATGCTCTGCGCCCCCGTCATCGGCCAGTGCTTTGTCGAGATGATGGTCAACCCGCCCCGCCAGGGCGACCCCTCGTTCGAGCTGTACGACAAGGAGCACAGCGGCATCTTTGAGGGGTTGCGCCAACGCGCCAACGCCCTGCACAAGGCCTTCTCCGAGATGGAGGGCGTGCAGTGCGGCGAGCCCCAGGGGTCCATGTACCTCTTCCCCACCATCGACCTCCCGCCCAAAGCTGGTGAGGCCGCCGCGGCCGAGGGTCGATCACCCGATGAGTTCTACTGCATCCGCCTGCTGGAGGCGACGGGTATCTGCGTCGTGCCCGGCTCGGGATTTGGTCAGAAGGATGGGTCGCTGCACTTTAGAACAACTTTCCTCGCACCCGGGACAGAGTGGACCGGCAGGATCGTCAAGTTCCACAAGGAGTTCATGGAGAAGTACCGTTAGACAATGCCCATTCAAGGTGAAATGAAAAATAAAAAGAACATTGCCGTTTTTCTTCTGTATGTGAATGCCATGAATGTGGACCGTGGAATGTACTGCCGAGCTGATGTCGACTCAATTCTATTCATCTCGCGTCAAACGGAGTCAACTGGGTTTCAAGTCTAGCTCAAGTGTAAAGACATCCCCTAAGCCCTCTCGCTGCCCCTCAACCGCACAGCCTGACCGTACTTTTGTAGCTTGGTGATCAGCTGGTCACCCTGGCGGACGACGTCCTGGTACTGCTTGTTCTTGTCGTCAGGTCGGTTGGTCTCAATAACACCCTTGCCCGAGACGCGGTCGATTGTGCATGGAATGCGGCCGCCGGCGATGAACTTGGCTAAATCCCTTTTCATTTGGTCAGCATGGTCGCCATGGGAAGCTTACGTAGGGTACACTTACCGGTCCAAAAAGTCTACGGTCACGCCGAAGTCGACTGCCATGGTGTCCAGGCCGACGACGCGATAGCTCTGCAGGAGTTGCTGATACGCGCGGAGGCGCATCTCGCGCACAAACCAATTCTTGTGTTCCGACAGGTACCGATCCTGCGTCAGGAATTGCTCCTCAACCGATGCGAGTGACTGGAAGAAAGTCTTGTAGTTGCCGGTGTACAGGCTGCTAACAAGGAGCGCAAGAGGGCTGAAGTCAATCGCCATCTCCGCCTCGGGCTGGTCGGTGCTACTGCCAAGGGTAGTCAGGTTCACAACGCCGGCCGTGGCAGTCTTGGGGGCATCATTGCCAGAGGTATCGTCAGCACCCGGCCCTGCGCTAAGGGCGCCGCTGAGTGCGAGCAACCTGTCCTCTCCGTCGCCAAGGATAGCCTTGATTTCGGGGGCATCAACTACCTTAGACTTGAAGTCCACACGCTTGAGAGATACGGAGCCCGCCAGGACGGAGTAGATCACCAGATTCGAGTACGTGCAGAGCTCGTAACTGGTAAATGTAGAGAGCGAGTCGAGGAGCAACGGGGCGGCGAGGTTGTACGAGCGGACAGTGAGAAGGTGAAGGCCCTCGTAAGCCTTGAGGCGGTTTCGACGGTCCCAGTCACCACCACTTTCCACGAGAGTCTTGGCACGCTCGACGTGCCTCTTGACGAGAGGCTTGTCGCCGTAGAAGAGGCCCATCCGTATTATGGCCAGGACGAGATCGATCTTGGCACCGAGGATGCCCGTTCCTTCGAAAACACTCTCATAAGCAGCGATTGCTTTGTCCTGGCTTGGTTTCAGCATTCGTCGCACATGATGAGATGATGAGATCGCTGTGACTCCCTACCTTGTCACCAACTCGGGCCCAGAACTCGGCACGCTTGCCTTTAGCTGCTGTCACTTCTGTGTCTCCGGCCTGCTCCACAGCTTCTTCCTCCTCTTTCTGGATCTCCGCTAGCTCCTTCTCGTTGTCCTGCACCAGCCTGTTGTACAATGCCTCGTCCCACGGAAGGTTGACCGTAGTGGCTGATGGCTTCGAGGCCACCATACCCACCAGGCTGGTCCTCCTGCTCAAGGGACGACCTGGAGCACTGGAACTGCTCTCCCCGACGCTGTTGAAAACACCGGTCGTAGGGTGCGCTAGGTAGCGGTAGAAGGGTGCCATCTTGTCCTCAGTAATGGCATCCTGGAGTGCCTTGGCGGCAGCCTCTTGCGCCTTACTGGTGGCGTAGCCGTTGCTGAGCGTGAATACATGCTGCGACAGCGGCAGCAAGGGCCATTTGGCATATTGAGGGTCGGAGCCCATGGTTGCAGCTGTCGCGTGGTGATCGCTTGATGTTGACGTTGACCTGGATTCGATCGAGGACGTGAAACTTGGGCCTAAAAGCAGTCCGCGGGACGAATGCGCCTTCGAATGGGATCGATTATACCTTCCCTTACTGATGCGCAGTACTCGACGATTCGGAGAGTTCACTTTCGTACGAAAAGTCGAATGGTGATGATGGCATCAGAGTCGATCAGATGCGAAGGCAGTGGAATCAGAGGTGGGAAGTGACGCCTGAGCCACAGCTGGAGCTAGGGCATAGTGAACAGACGATTGGCTGCAATCCCTTGGGTGGAGCCACAAGGCTCCGGTGCTGTGACGCGCCTCTGCTGGCCGCTGGCGTCTAGCTCACCTACGTGTATCTCGGGTTAGTCAGCGACGCTTTCGGAGTTTTGAGCTACGAAGCTTGAGCTTTGCTCTCTCATGTATGCAAGCTCACGATAACTCCATCAATGACCTTCATCGAGCTGTCAGCCAACGTTGCGTTGCGGTGACATCTTTCATTTCTTGCTAAGGATCTCTAGACATTTCGTGCCAACTAACATCGACCGCTAGCATCAAGTCATGGCATGTCTCTCTCAGCTGGCTCTGCGCCTTGGAGAATATGGTGTCTTCGAGGCTCTGGTTCGAAGCTCTCAATGATATTGCCTTGAGATACAATGTGAGCTTGGACCTTCGGACGCCTCTAGTTCAGAACGAACCCCAGGTCCTCCAAAAGGTCGAACTTCCATTACCATCCTCAAGAGCGAATGGGCACAAACACGATGGTTGTGTTTGGATCACTTGTTGGAACGAGTAGTCAGCACGACTTTGGACTCTGTGTGCCGGTACGCGCCGTACGTTCACGCCAGATCCCTTCACATGGAATCATGCCTCATTCTCCGCCCAGATCGGAGCTTGAGATCGGGAGAGTGAGTTGGGCAGCTCGATGCCCAACGCAGCCAGACATCTGGTGCACACTGGAACTGCTATCGTGGCAAGTGGTGGCTCGGTGCGGGATCGACCGACATGCAGCATCAATAGTAGTTGAGCTGTGTGCTGCAAGCCCCCCTCAAGGTTGCCAAGTGCGTAACTGCAGGAGATCTGGGATTGGCCAGGACAGCAGACCCCCGGGGGCGTAAATTTCCGTGCTTCTTTACTTTCCCTGAGAGGGTGAGGCCAGCTGCAATCGTGGACAACGGGGGGTTTCCTCGTCCTGGAGAGGCGGGTGTTCCCAGAAGGCGTACAGATCATTCCCAAACAGGCAGAGCACGGCGGAGATGATTCAAACAAACGCAGGCCATCTGCACGATCATCAGCCATGTGACAGAATCGAGTGAGTGGCATGGCCTAGTCAGACTCTCTTCTCATGGTCTTCAGGGGACTGTCGGAGGCTCCCGATGATCTCGAGGGATGGGTTGGGCGCCCATGTACTGGTCAAGTTTATCAGGTATTGAGTATTTGAAAAGCAACATGGGGTGTGTATCTCAGAGGCGATGCGTGCAATATCTCTCATCGCTATTGGCGGGTTTTCTCCTCCGGTGTCCTCGACTTTGCACTGGAACGGATGTGGTTTCGCAACCTTTATCCTTACTTTGGGCAACTATGTAACTACCACCACACCCAACCACTATAAACGCAGGTGTACAAGTGCCATGTTTATAATGTTGGCACTGCAATCGACACACCGGCAGAAAAACACGAGCCCGGCGAAACCTGCTTCACCCTTGTGCAGGCAATGTGTTGACGTGTTGCATCTGTGTGGGAGGACGTTGACGCGGATAGCACAGGGTAGGTTGCGAGCGTACAAGTCACGGAAATGTTCATCCACGATGTGGTAGGTCTGGAGTCTGGACTCTGGAGTGAGTGCTGGGCACAAGATAATAACGCTTCGATAGACAGCCCTTTCTTTCAACATGCCGTAACCATAGATTTGATACGAGCTAAGATCGACTTCTGGAGAATTGTCGCTCCCATGATAATGGCAAAGGCGTAAGGATAAACTTATTAGCCAGCAACGCGCACTGTGCACCAAACATCGCCCACCCCTATCGTCTTCGCTCGGGGTGAAGCCGTAGTAGATGCGGCTCCCTAGGAGCAGTTTTCCCAATCACAATTCTCGCGTGGCCAGGGCGGCACTGGGAACGTAATTACTTATTAGTTGCTCTTGGCCCTCGTCGGCAACGGGCCAAGGCCACCCCCTCAGGTAGAGGGCATTGCCTGTCTGAAATCCACGTGGCTGGCCTCAAAACTGCAAGCCCAAGCACGCCTGGGCTCGATCATTCTCCCCCACTTTCCCACGTACCATTCACTCATGTGACGAGCGGGGATCCGGATCGGACCCGTCTTACGTATCCCGCTCCGACTCGTCCCAGGCAGTCAGTGACAGTCTTCCTTCACCGCCAGGTCCCCGAGGACCCCAACGCTCAACTTGTTGCTGTCCTCGGGGATAAGCCAACCGGTCCAGGCCTGGGCCAACCTTGCGAGGACACACGCAGGACGCTGAGTCATGGCTCTGCCCAACCCAGCAGCTCTAAAGTCAACCAGGAAACTCAAATTCACGGATTTACGTATATTTAGACCTCGTGCCTTGTTCACTTCATATCGGCCGACCAGCGGGCCCCACGATTCCAAGTCGGGGATCGGCAGCGTGTGCGTGGGTACTGGCACAGATCGATCTCACCGTCGCAAGTCGCGAGTCGCGAGACTGCTGTACAGCAGGGATCAGACGTACACGCACATATTGTTTGTATCCATGGTCTCAAATGTGAGACGTTACTGATTACCATCACCTGCGCGATGCATAGACATGTCGTCGTCATCACATCTCTACAGGCCTAGCCGGATCTTTGATTGTCTACGTACAGCCATTGTTAGCCAAGATGCAGGGGCACCAGAAGCATGGAAAGTGCATAGTGTTGATTTTATAGTCTGTGACCAGGATACGAATAGGGAAAGAGACAGCTAATACCCAGCAGATGATGCTAAAAATGCCTCGAGCGAAGAACGACCAATTGACCAAGGCAACCCGAACTCCTCAATGTGAGTGAATGAGGCAATAAACAATACGCTACCTCCCCTAGTAGACAAAAACTCCCGCGCCGATGCTGTAAATGCTAGATGCCAAGTGCGCACGATGTAGCCAGGCGGTGGCGTCGACGACCTGCATGCTGTTCTGCCTCCGCCTGCCCTCCATCCCATGGTTGGTAATCCGTCACGGCGTCCTACGCGTACTCAATGTCATCAGTCCAATCCTGCAAGTCGCCGACGACCTGGTACGTGGGGTTCGCAGAGTGGCCATCACCGCCCTTCTTGTCCCAGGCCCAGCGGTCGGTGAGCTCAGCGCCCAAGGTACCCTCCATTAGCTGGACGATGTAGTCCCCGATGACGGGCAGGAACTTCCAACCGTGGAAGGAGCCACCGGTGGCAATGTAGAGATTTTGGGAGTGAGGGTGCGCCGTGATGAGGAAATCATGAGTCGGCGTGGAAGCATCCCTGGGAACCGAGTCAGTGTCATGCGTCCCGCGAAAAGCAGTAAGCCAGCGCGGGCAACTCACCAGCACATCCGGTACGCATCAATGGGGACATTCTTGACCTCGTCTCCGTACAGCCCGTTGATGGTCATGCGCGCACGTCTCTCGAAGAAGTCGAGAAACTTCCGGTCAGTCCACGTGTTGAAGAAGTTGCTCTCCGGAACCAGAGACATCTTCTCACCCGTGGCAGGCAATGTTTGATAGTTGGTGAAGCACATGTCGCAGTTGAACTTGATTGTCCCGTCTGGGAGGATAGACATGCCCTCACCTGTACACGGACGGTCAGTATCATGAAGCAAGCGCTCGGTAAGTGCCAGGCACGTTGCGGTACGTACCCTTCACCTGTGGCATGCAGTTCTTCAGCACCGGGACAGCTGCAAACTTGTCCTTCTGCGCGCCGTGAAGTTTGGCGTGGAAGCTGACGGCGCCTGTGGCCACCAAGCGGTCACCAATGTGCAGGTCTTTGTTCCCCGGAGCACTCTGCGCGAGGAGGGCAGGTGTCCTCGCGCCCGTGGCCATGAGAATCTGATTGGCATATAGAGTGCGTCCATCCTTCAGATGGATGCCCCTGCATTCTCCCGTAGGACTCAGTGCCAGGGATGACATTTCGCCAATCTCATAGTGGGTGCCTGCGTCGATGGCCGCCTGCACTACGGCACCGAGTGCCTTGTCAGCCTCGGCAAAGCCAACCGTTGGGTTGTACAAGACTTTGCTCAGGCCGTCAAAGTTGGAGGTCGAGTACGCCTCCCAGCGCTCCCGGACTTCCTCCACAGTCATGTAGCGCGAGTCGTTCGCAATGCCAACCTCCCGGTAGGCCTGCATGCTCTTGTCCCCGAAATTCGATGGGTCTGCCCTCAGCATGCCGACCTCGTGATACCACGGGCTGTAGAGCTTATCCTTCCGCCACAACGGCATGGCCTTGCGGAGCAGCTCCATGTAGAGCGTGTCCGGATAGTCATCGCGGACAATCTTGTTGATGTCATGGGAGGCTGCTCTGGGGTTGGGGTAGTGTGCAGTGTCAACCAAGGTCACCGGTGTGCCCTGCTTAGCAAAGTGCAGAGCAGCGGAAGCACCGAAATTGCCAGCTCCCACGATGAGGACTGAGGAGTGTGCTTGAGTGCCACGGCGTGCATCCGCCTGGCTGGCAGGTTTGTTGACCGTCATAGTAAAGTGTGCAGGATACAGTAGAGGGCTCAGGGCGGTTTGGCTGTCAAAAGTGTCTGAGTCTAGGTACTTGGGGAAGCGGAGTTTGGAACTGTGCCAATTGGGATAGGTGAAGTGGCAGTCGTGTGAGCCAAGCGACGATGCAGACAGTTCCGAAGGCTTGAGTGAAATCCTGTGTCGACCTACTCTAGCTTCGTTGATGGGTGTCACTTGCCTTTATACGTGGACGAGATACTAGTTGGAAAGAAGAGAGCAAGGGGTCCGTCTGCCAGGGGGGTGTATCCAGGAAAATAGAATGCAGAGGTAGCGATGAATGCTCTCCGGCCAGGCACCTGGTTACGAATAATAAGTCTGTACATGTCGGCAGGTAACCACTATACATCCCCAGCTTTAGGCCAGCACAAGCCAATCTGGCCGTGGCTGCGCTGGCAGGACTCAGGAAATTGAGAAGGACAGGACCGCGCCACGACAGCGCAGGCATCGGTCAGCGCCGTCTGCGGTCACCCGACTTTCGGGGATTGGCAGGTCGGGTAACAGCAGGGCGATTGTCATGTCATGTTGTCTCAGCAGCCAAAAACGAGAAGAAACGAAAAGTAAAAATAAAAAAAAGGGGGCCCGCGGAACTTCCAGTAGCCTCACTCTCCACGCCGGGCGCGGCGGTCACACTTTCTGAGGAAAGGGCGGTGACTCGATACGGCCAAGGCCATCCAAGTCGTCATTACACACTAATTAGGCATGGATGGGATTGAACAGGCCCGGACTTGAAGCGACTGGTTGCGTCCGCCGCGCGTGAACGATCTCTACCCTTGGCCCCGAGAACTTGTGAGCGTAATCGATGATTTTAAATGCCTGCGAGGGCGAGGAAGGTGCTAACCTCACCCAGGCGTGATGAGACTCGAGTGTGGAGTAAGAATCGACAGAGGGGTCCAGTCTTGGAGAAGGAACACCTGGACTGGCACAGGGGGGCCCGGGACTCTGGTTTCCAGGGGAGATCAACAAATGTGAGTCTCGGCTGATTGGAGCGCGGATCACTTGGGGCAAACACTGGCAGCCATCTTGTTGGAGCCGACGACAACAATCACGACTGAGAATCTGAGATCATGCGTGGCTGCAGATGCGGAGGAAAGGAGACGTGGGGATAGCAATCACCACGCGAATTTTAAGGTACCCTGTAAAGTAGCGACTACTAATCACTCTGTACGGGTGGTCTGGTCAACATCGACACTACTATACCTACCAAAATCAAAGTCTCATGCCATCGACAGGTCACTTTGCGGCATCGCCAGACCACGATCATGGCCCTTGGGATGTTCGCGCGCCATCGTCCCAAGGCATTCGCCCCACCCAAAAGTGAGCCTTCTTCGTGGAAAAGCAACGAGCGCTAAATTAGGTGTCCATGCATATTAGGTCGCCTAGTTGATACATGTTAATATTTTATGACCTCATCATTTGTTTGATTACCTAGCAAACCTTCTTCCGAAACGGCCAGTGACAAGAGCAACTACACCAGGTCCTTTGCAGGTTAAGACTCAATGCTGGCATCCACAAACCCGCGTGCGGCAAGTTGGCCACTGCGTCAAGAGGCGACGCCCCCGCTTCGACATTCGGTACTTTTTATTGACTTCTAGGGAGCTGGAATGGCGGGAGCTGGGCAAGAGAACCTCCAATGACCGACGGGTGCCCGTGTGTGGAATCTGTGGCTGTTTGCTGATCGTCGACAATGGTGTACTGTGCGCTTTGCTTTCGTTGGTTCATTACATTCCCTCGCTGTCTGGTTCAGTGCCACCTGAAACGCATGGAGAGATTGCGAGTGATCGACTTTGCCTTCTTGCTTCTGACAGCTCGCAGTTGAGCCAAGTCCGGATACAGCATTGGAAAAGGCCACAGTCCCTTTTTCTGCGTTCACCCCCACGAGGCCCCCTCGGAGCCTATCAGCTTCTTGCCAGGGGTCCCGGTGCAAGTCCGTCCCCAAATCTGTGTCGCGCCGCCCCACTACAATGTCGTCTCTTCTCTCTTTTCCTCCATCGTTCCCATTTACGGGTCGCCCGAATGCTCCGACGTGACTTGCTGCGCCCAGAGATAAGATGCCGACGACGGATACAATCTGGACGCTTATTATCCCACCTGGTGGATCTGGTCCTTGAGGGCGCCTTAGCCTCTTATGCCCGCACCTACTTGCGGACACGTGCGTGATGCGTGCAAAGGGCACACACACACTGATCAAGCCCACAACTCGAGCTGGAGAAGGACCCTGAATGTGGCTTGATCAGATGTAACCTCGATGAAGAAGTCTTGTCCAGTTGCTGACGCTTCTTCGCACACCCTCTGTCTGCAAAGCGCGGCAGCCTGACATTGCTATTATTCCCTGCGCCACTGCATATCACCACTGCACGTAGCCGAACCTTTACCCTAAAGCCTGCAGCCGAATACCGACTCCCTCCCACCTGGCGATTTCCCCGGCTTCTTTTCATTGGGCAGGAGGGGACGCGCGACCGGTGAGGCTACGTTGAAGACCCTGGCTGTCCATCCCTACACAATCCCAAGGCTAGAACAATGTAGGCATTCAGGGTGCTCTCAAGCCAGATCTCTGTGAGCATCCGGAGAAACCCAGCTTACAGGAGCCTGTATTCGTCATGTAATCAAGCGGAGAAACTGTCGAGTCGTGACATTGTCTTCCTGCGCCTCGTTCACGAACGACACAAGGCTTAGGAATTCGGATAGTACTGCGGCTGGACTGCCGCGTGTTGAAGGGGGAGGTAGTCGCAAGGCCAACGCGAGACTAATTGGGTCATCTGCATGCTGCCGCAGGCCACTTTGAGCTGTAGCACAACATACGGCGATAGTATAATAAGTGTCGAGTATTTTTGGCCACTCCGAATGCAGCTGAGCTGACGCACAATGACGGATCTTGTGCGACGCACCACGAACTCGCTTCCACGGGAGGAACCGGTCAACGGGAGCCCGTTGGTCTCATACCCGCCATTCCTGCTACGTAGTAGTGTCCTCCTGACCTCGGGAAGGCGTTGTAATCTGCTGTGTCGGAACGGGCCGACACTAGGGCAGATTATGCACTTCCGATTCACTTGCCTCGCCCGTGAAACCAATATCCGTCCAATGAATACTTTACAAACGAAAACCCATATTCTCGAGCTAGAGATCCAATGGCACTCTACTGCGCATGGACATCTTCCCGAACGATTGGCATCGACCAGGGTGTAGGTCCAATGACAAGAGCCACGAACTATTTTGACCGACCTAGATCTCAACAGCACGCAAGGCTCCATTGTCCGGTGATAGAAAGCTGGCAGCAAACATGCACCCAGCCGAATGCATGTGCTTAAGGTAGCGGTGCTGCATATGCTGGCGTTTGAAGCCTTGTCCGCTTGTTGCGAGAGGCGGGGGTCCGCGCTGACCGTGCGGGTCTTCCTCGCAACTAGGATGGGGATCATGGGGTATGAACCGTATGTGTACGATAGGGAGCCAAGGAGACATCCCTTCAAACGATCTGTCCTATCTTATATTGGGCGGTCTGCATGGGCCAGAGCATGGATCCGTTCGCGCGCTCGCCCGGAGATTTTGACCCGAACACGTGCGTCCTGGCGGTGTGCGTGGGGGAAGGGTTTGCTTCTGTGTCCCGCATGCGACTGACGTGATGTGACCCTCGCTCGAGTGCTGAATGGGGCACTTATGAGACAAGCACACTGGGGCCCCTGGCTCCAGTCGTCGTAGAATCTAAGAGTCGGGGAGTATTGGAAGAAACTTTTAGGAGGCGTTTCGCAGATGGCAAGAGAAGAAACATGTTAAGCGTCAGGACGCGCTTGCCTTGCATCTATAGCAACTAAGTCAGATGCCCTAGTCAAGGTAAGTACCACCTAGCTATGAAGAAGCACCTCATTCTTGCTATCTGAGGGTAAAATAATGGAACAATTACCGGTGGTCCCAACCCATGTCTGCCTGAGAAAGTAGTGCTTTTGTGATTATGAGCATCATGCCCGGTTGATCTCCAAGCAAACGCCATGTACAATCAATCAAGTATAGGATCCGCCAACAGAATCCTAGTTGCCGCCAAAACCACCATCAAATCCAAAGGTGGGCGGGCACATGCGAATCCAGTCCGCTTTCAGGCGCCCCGATGCTATCAATAAGGACGGTTCATAAGGCAAGCAAAACACTGTAGTAGTGAGCGCCACTATTCATTTGAGCTGGCGGCACTGGTGACGAATCTGACGACCCTGTGCCGCCAGTCCGTCATCTTTTTATGCCTTCCATTTCCGTTGCGAGGTAGAACGTGCCACCGGGCGGTCCAGGCGCCATTGGCGATGCGACACTCGAGCTGCTCGTTGTGGTTTGGCGACGAGACTGCTTCCCTATGTCATGCCTGTGCAGAGTCTTCTGGTGCCTCTCCAAGCCGTCTTTCCGGCCAAATTTTCGTCCGTTGGGAAACTTGGGACAATTTGGCAGTTCGCATCTGAAGGGCTTGCTGTGTTTCCGACAGTGTGTTCTATTTGCAACGTCAGCTCAGCCGTACCACACTTCGTCCTTATCACTGCTTGGGACTCACTTGAACTCAGAATGACGCTCAAAGACCCTCACGACGCCATCAACAACACCGCCCTGTTTACATTTGAGACCCCTCACGCATCTCCATTCGCCCTTGCCGCGCTTGTTGAGTTGCGTCTCGATGGTCTTGTTGAACCAATCTTCAGTCTCACTGTCTGTTTCGCTGGTTCCATCCGAGTCCCCCAGATCAGCGAGTGACTCGTGCGTACCCGGTCCAGCAGTTGATGTTCCACTCATCATTGAGTCTCTGTATGAGCGAGGGTCTTTATTAGGATAAGAGTATGCACTCTGACGGAATTTCAGTTGTGTGCGTTCCGTCTCAATCGGAGGCCCGTAATTCGATGGCAGCCATATTCGTTTCATCTCCTCTGCGTGACGCTGTGTCTCTTCTTTCATTTTCCTAGTTCCTGGGTCAGGTTCAATTCCATAGTTTGGCTTTGAATGGGACGCGGCTCACCTCAACTTGCTTACGCTCGCATTGACTGTCATTGCCGATAAGTCATCCTCCCATAAGCGTTTACGGAGCTCATTAATGGTGTCCGAGAGATATCGTCCTTCGACAAACTCGGCTGTAAGCCTCTCCAGCACCAGAGATGTCCACAATATGTATTCGCCCACCTCTTCCATCTTGTTAAGCTGCTCGTCGTGATAGGATCTTGATCGGCCAGGCAGATTGACTTTGGTCTTCTCCTCCGCCTTGTCGATGGCTGCGCGAAGCTCATCGCTGAAGGGGGACTTACTCGACGTGGTAGCTGTGGTGTCCCACGCCTGGTGAAGGGCCGAGTAAAAGGGACCTTCGACATAGTGGATACTCGGGAGAGAGGTTGATGCTGACGGCAATGGTGGCAGAGGCCCCGCGAAAGGCTTGTGCGGATCAGACATGCTGCTCATACAGCTGATGGGTCCTCAGCGTTCCACTAAGTGACAGCCTGTATCTTGTCAGCGACACGCAGATGGCACCAACATCGCAGTACAACATACTTGCTCAACGGTACTAGAAATTCGGGGTGCTCAGTGTGGGATGGCTTCGGAGCATCAGCCAATGCAGTGAACCAAAAGAAAGCACACCATGAACCGTCCGTCACGCGCCACACACGCGGTCTGACTATCAGTTTTCGACCTTCACAAAGTCGCGATGGCAATTGAAGGTCAGGGTTTGCCGATGCAGCCCCGGATGACTACTATGGTGCGGTTGGCAGCGTCAACGTCCCACGAGACCGTGTCATCGACGTAGCGACAGCCGAATTCAAAGACAGGGCTATAGGCACGAGACAAGAGACGACGATGCCAAATGTCGGTGAGAGAAGAGACGACAACAAGACTGTCCGACCGTGAGCAGAGTCGAGGGACTGGCAAGACAGTGTTACCGCACAGTGCCATATTTTCCCGACACTGTAAGTCATGCTGGAGATCAGATCCAGATCTACGGCTGATCATCGTGGTGGACATGGCCAACAAGCACGTTCCCGTACCTTAGTGTATCCATTCGCTGCCGCAAGGCTCATCCCGCCAGCCATCCCGCGATAAACCGTACCGTGAGGACAACACTGTGCCCCAACAGCTGTTACTATTTGATCATAGGGGCTGTACCCGCGTTTGCAGCGGCATTTTGCGAGAATCTACAATAATCTACAGGACCTCAGTCGTGACCCCGCCATCCACCGTCGTGAAGTACCACATGTGCGGTGAGCAACTGAGGACCGACTCTTCAATTGATGAACGACTGGAGTACATTGAAAGGAAGAAGCAACCACGGCCGCCGGTCGCCCCCCTCTGCTTCACCCAGCGTGTACATTACGTTTCATGGTCCCTTGTCGCCACACCAACCAGTCAAGTAGGTCGCAAGACTTGCGCTTTCAAGGCTTGTAAGCACATTTCTCCCCTCGATCCCCAGCCCCTCCCCGAATCTGCGGCCATCGTGATGCGGCCGATGGATCACGGATGTCCAGACAGGGCTCACTACCCCTGGCACAGGCACCGTGGTCCTGGGGCTTGGGGCTGGCCGGCGAGCGGGACATTCCAGGTCACGGGAATGAAGATCTGGCGCCAACGTGGGGAAGACGTGTCAAGCTGAACCAACCACCTGGGTTTATCTGGCAGAAGAATTTCACTTCGCAGTGGTTGGAAATGAGCTGAAGCCCAGTGCTGTCGGGCGAATGACGAGCGGGTGAGACTAACAAGGGTGAGAGGGTCGACCGCAAAAGCAATGGTAGCCAAGAGCATAGATCTAGAATCCGAAAGTCTGCGCGAAATTTGTCGGGCTTGGGATTCATAGATGGCTTTTTGAACAAGCATATGTTCCTTTGCTCTCGCGTGCGTTCACCGCTGCTCTATCCTACATCCAGTACAATCGACAGACAACATCAGGACTGAAGCGACGAGTACAGCTCCAACAAACAGCGACCAGCCCTCTCACTCATCGCTCAAGAGGACCTCGCTCGGTTTTACATCTGCCGACATTGACAACGAACCGGTGAAGACGCGGCAGCCGCGTGCAGTATCTGGACGCACAGGCAAACAAGCAATCATAGCTGCTGGTAGCCGCAGCGCACGCATTTGTCTTTGCTAGTATCCTCTACTGTATTATGTATGTACTGTCATTCTTCCTTTACTTCCCTATACCCTTATCTCCATGGTCGCATCGCATCTTCCTGCGCGCGTTCATCCCAATTGGATGCTCGCCGTGCAGGCCCTTTCCCTGCCTAAATACGCATATCCACATTTTCGTTTGAGTTGGTAAGCCAGGCACGCAGCACCTCTCTCTCACCGGTCGACTGACTCGACTAGCTGTTGCTCTTCTCAAGTCCTCATTTGCTGTGGCCGGACTGATGGTGCCGTTGCTCTTTCCCGACGACCTTTGCCCTTCCCTGCCCCCCGTGGCACCCTCCCTGGCTCTTGATCATTGGGGTTACTGATCATGCTTCGAGTGACTGGACACGAGGATCGGGCACTTTGTGCTATCCAAAAGAGGCACTGGGTAGTTGCAGGCCGCTTGTTCTAGGGCCGAACTACTATTTGCCGTCCCCGTAGGCTCAGCTCAATGTTACTATCATAAGGGGATCCCCCCTCATTTCACCCCGAAGCACTATCACAATCCCTCATATCACACAACACGGAAGCCATCTCAAAATCCGGTCACAACGTCCCAACTTCCCTCCCACTCTCTTTCGCGGCTCTGGGCCCAGTCGTTTCTGCTGCTATTCTGCAACCCACCTCTGCCAACGACGGCAGCGCGTCATTACCCACGTTCCGACCCAGCAACGCTGCAGGGTGTGCTCGGTTGTCGCTGCCCGCTTGCCAGTCTGTCCACCTGCGTATCACACTGCAGCAGTCCCTTGTCATCTCTCCCCTCGCCTGGCGAGACATCCCCAGATCCAGTCGTCTCTTCACTCATCTCACCCAATCTCGGCCTGACCACGCTCACTTTCCACTGGCTAATCTCTGACTCCAGTCGCTTGGCAGACCAGGACACTGGCGAACCGCCTGACGGCCGGGTTCGACCTACGGCACACCAACGCGCGCTTCGGCTTCAATACGCGTTCGACCGTTCGGGGACTATTATTCAAACGCCCTGGGCTGTTGCCCTGAGCCCTGTATATGTTTAGTACCGGTACGCACCAGCAGTAGCCAACAGCAAGGGGGTATACCGTCAAGGCTCCCTTGTCTCCAGTTTCTCTCACATGATCAGGCAAGCGCAAGACGACTCGAACCGTCCTGCGAAGCGTCAAAAGCTGTCGCAGCCGTTCCAGCGGCCTTTAGGTTCGAGTCATTCAGCCCACCAATCTCTGGCTTGTGGCGGCCCTCGGCTTGTACAACATTCAGGACATCATGTAGGACACAGCCCGGCGCCTATCAGCACGTGTGACGAGTCCTGGGTGCAGTCATTGCACCACGACGAGAACCAGGTGAATTGGCCTGGACCGCACGAAGCAACACACGTGCCCGACGGCGACATCTTCTACCACCACTCGTTGATGCAACCCATCATGAGCCACAATAATGGTCATCTCGCTGCTGCCTCGCCTTTCGAAGCGCCGACACATGTGTTAGGTGGCATCGACATGCTTAGCCAATCTGCTTTGAGTGTGTTTTCCACGGAAGCATCGCCGTCAGGCTCGCACATGTTATTCACACCCGCCAATGGGCTCTCCACGTCCATACCCGGTTCCAGAGTTGGTGAGTGTCGCGATCGAACTGTGGAGCGTGGAGTGGATTGCTTACTGCTGCTCCAGGCTCTGACAATGGCAATGCAATGTACTTTCAGTCAAATGTGCACAACCACAGTGTAGTGCAGACAGACATGATGCAAACGGCACCATCAGCCTCTGAAGCCTCGCTGGCTGTCAATCATGGCACCGCATTCCATCACCAAGTAGTAGAGGGCACGCCCCCACCCCGGAAGCTTGAGAACCCCTTCAGAAAGTGTCGGGGCACATTCGGAAGCTTTAAACTCAACCCCCGCTTCAGGCTCACCAAGAGCCGACAGCATGGGTACATCAAGTATGAGAATCCTCGACTTCCTGCCGGGTCCTCCAGTCAGGAGGTTACAGGTCCCATCGCTCGACAAAAGCCCTGGGGAATCGATAACAGCAGACGTCGTGCAGTCTCCACTATTCATGAGGCAAACTCGTCAGATTCCGATGGCTCTGAAGTGGAAGAGCTTGATCACCCTGAAGCTTGCACAAGATCCGATGACACACTGCGACAGCTGGAGCAAGATCACCGCGACGCAGCTGCCCTCGCTTTGTCGAGGAACGGAATGACCTCCGCAGAAGCTGCAGATGGCGAAAATCTGAGGAAGAGTGTGCAGCGTTCCCTCGGCCTCATTCAAGTCAGCACAAACCCTATGACGAGGAGGATGCTCGAGCGCGGCAGTCCTGATGAGCTAGTGTTTTTCGCTTTCTGTAAGTTTTTTCTAGAAAGACGGGGCAAGTTGCTTCGCTGACAAAATAGACTGCCGCAACTGGTTACCAGGACGCAGTACTCTTGGTGCCGACAATGTATGGCAGGAGGACTTTCTACTCTTGGGACAAAACCGCTACGTTTATCACGCCTTTATGAGCATCCCAGCCGTCCACATTCTCGACATGATACCGTCGCGGCGTAGCCTTGGGCTTGCCAACTACCTCTTGGAAGAAGCGAACAAGGGCATAGACGCTTCGTTCGAACAGTACAACTCTGGACAACTTCTCTCTTCCACCCAATTGGACTGCACACTCACGACACTGATCGCCTTGGTCATCCAGGATGTGAGCGCGACCCTACTGGCACTTCCAACGTAATCCAGCTAATCGTTCACCAGACCAACCTCCCTGAACGTCGTCGCAAGATGCGCGACCACTGTCCTTGGCTGGATGCCCTGTACTGCTGCGAACAGCTACTTGAGCGCCACAATCCCCATGCCGGCTACTACAATCCGGAAAACGTTCAAATGTCGTCATTACGCGCTGCGCAGTGCAAACTCGTAGCCCGCGGCATCATTACAGCTGAGACGATGCTCCCATTTGAGCCTGCGCTCCAGTACTCGACGTACGATGGAAGCAAAGCCTCTAGCCGCTTTAGATGGTTGAGATACGGCAACATCAAAGACAGGCACCAAATCCAGGGTGGTGTAGGAATGTGCAGGCGCTTGCTAGAACTGATGCGACAGATCACGCTGTGGTCGGGAGCCATGTCCCAGAGCGATGCAAGCGGGGGCAACATGCTCCAGGTTGAAAACATTATGAATTGTCTTGAGGATATGCGTCAATGGGCTCCCAACTTCTTGACATGGGATGAGGCCAAGGAAGGGCCCCCAACCAAGGTCTGGGTCGACAGCCACTTCGCAGGTGGACGCGAAGTTATCCAGACTTCGGCAGAAATGACCTCTGTTTCGGCCGAAGCTTATAGGCTTGGAGCCAAAGTCTACGCACAATGCCGGCTGCTCAGGTTAGTGGTTCTTTGCGATCCAGTCCACATCAACTCCGAAACGCTGACGGGCCCGCAGGTTGCCAAGAGATCATCCAGACGTTCTGATGACGCTGACAGAATTGGCCAATTGTGTACATATCCTACCCACGCATGGCAAATTCTTCAGTGCTCAGGCGCCCTTGTTTCCCGTCTTCTATCTCGGGCTACTCTCTACCGAGGACCGACATCGTGAGATCGCAACTGAATGGTTCGCTGGTGTCATCTCTTTCTCAACGCGAAGTGTATGTGGAACCCCTCTTATTATTGTTCTATCTGTCATTCTAATGCGATTGCTCACGCAGACGGTACCGCCTCTGTATCACGCACTCAGGAGGATCCGAAGGTGGATCGACAATGTCGAGCCAGCTCTGCCTCTGAACACACGCAGTCTGCCCGCGTCCATATCGGACAGAGATCCGTGGTGGGAACGCCTAGTTGCTGAGATCAAGGAACGCGAACCAATGACGCTATGCTTGACTTGAAAAAGCAGATGAAAGGAACCCAAAGCCAAACCTCTACGCCGTGCGCAAGATGAGTGCGCAAATTGTGGCAGTCTACTTTGACCTGCTGCCAGTGCCATGCAACAACGACACCCCCTTCACGTGACTTTTGGTGGTCGATCCCATATCGACCTTTTCAGTTAATGCCCGACACTCCACTGTCGGCGTCGCTTCGTGGATCCGCCGCATTAGGCTGTCTCACTAGGTATTGTCCTGTCGGTTGTTAACGTGGTCACCGGTGGATCGTTCGGGTCTGGTTATAAACTCACGAAACTCCGAATTGGGCGCCTGCCAGACCTGAGTGACGACAAGTCCAGCCTTACTGAACATGGTTTCAACTGCGGACTGACGCCACTTGTGCGAATCAAACCAGTCCATCTCCTCCCCCTCATGGATTATCCCTCCAGATGTCCCAAGGACGATGTCACGCTTTGCGCAAAAGTAAAAGCGATGCCGGGTTGACGTTGACGGTGTCGACTGGTCAACTCCGTCGCATTCTATGTCGACGTGCCGCTCCCAATCTTCGTCGCGGAACCATTCCTCACCGGCATACTCGTTCATCATTCTGAAACCATGGCTGAAGAAAGCATCCCACAACCTGGGGTGTGTATGGTACGCCACCTTGATTTTCTGACGATACGCTGGTGCCAGATGGCCGTCCATGCCGACAAGGAGCATATCATCTGGACGCAAGATAGATGCCCATTGCTTGATCTTCTTCATGGCTTCCGGCCACTCGTCGTTACACAAGACCGACCCAAGAGACAAGAACAACCTTGGGCCGTGTATTTGCTTGACACGGTCGAGGCAATCGTCAAAGGTACCCCACAGCCCGGCCACGGTGACTATCGGCTCAGCATGGCCGCGGGCCATTGACGCCAGGTATTCGATGTTGTGGTCCAATGACTCTCTCGAGATGTCGAGGCCGAGGTACGTCGCGGACTTGCCAACCTTCTCGAATCCAGCGATGAAGTGGCGAACCTTCCGAGTGTCCCTGAACGTCAAGGGTCAGCGCAATCAGATCCACCAGGCGCCTCCATCACCTACCCAGCTCCAAGATCGATCATAGTGACGCCTTCGGGAAGACGCTGGATGATACTCAACCCATTTTGCTTCAACAGAACTGCTTCATCGTTTGTCTGGTAAAACTCGGCTTTGGACATGATATCAGCCCAGTACAGCGATCCGGTCCCATCGTACAGAGCCTCGTCCAATCCGAATAACCTCTTGCTGGGGTCGCGTGTAGGCCCGAAGGTCTCGTACATCATCTGAGCACAGGCATCACGCATGGCACTGCCGCCAATGTCCCGGACCTCGCCATGACTCGGCAAGGAGAAGACAGCCATTGTCCGACTTTGGAAATGTGGATGCAGGTTGAGGCAGACCACAATCGATCGTCCGTGTATATTCGGTCAAGCTGAATGCGCAAAGGCAGGGTGCTGCGAAGATATTTTGGGAGTTGAGGGGGGAAATCCCAGCCTACCAGAGGTCGGCCAAGCTGGGGCTTTATACCTCCGGAAAGATTACCGAATCACCTTCACCTCGGACCAGTGAGTCGCGCGTTGTTAAAGTGCAAAGCCACGCAGACAAGGTATACGGCGTGCGAGTTGTCGATATGGGGAAAAATGCATGCGCAGCTTGCAACCGGAGCTGGAGGGATTGGCCGGGGTCGTCTTTGTCGCTCCACAGGAGGGAGGTCACGGCGCGCGGACAGTCGTGAGGCAGCTCAGTGCTGTGCTGATCTTTGTTCGGAGCAGCGCAGCAGACCAAGAAAGCGACAGAGTCAACAATTGAAGCCGCACAAGGTGCAAACGAGGGCCAGGTCCCTAGCAGAACCTATGAACCTCCAGTATGATAAAAGGAGAGTATGTCTCTTCATCGATAGAGAGAAGTGAGGAGACGACTGGACGGCGAGCGAGCCATAGGTCCTAACCGAGGATGGCAGCCATGATGAAATTGGAGTGCCCAAGTCGGCGGACACCCACCGTACGCGCGCACTGCATGGTACGTACCTGATGGGAACGAACCCTGGAATATAGAGGACTGAACTGCCTATAGGCTGCATGTTCGCTTTATTAGGCTGGAGTGCCGCAATCACAGACATCCATCCGACCACAGGCGACCCTGTCGCAGGTGGATACTCATGTATCGACGATGCCTGTTGGTTGTTTCCTCAATTCTCAGTTTCTCACTGCTCGAGGCTCGGCGCTCCAGGCTCTAGCCTCCAGGCTCCAGGCTCCAGGCTCTAGGCTCCATCCACAACCAGCTGGACCAGCTTGTGTTTGTAACGATCCCTTCTCAATAGAATCCAGTGCTAGTGTTGCATCCTGCCCGTGTGCCGTCCATCCATGTTGGGCTGGAATTAGACAAGGTGAAAAATTTCGCTGCCACGAGACAGACTCCGGGATGCGAAGATATGCATCGGTCCGCTCCAGGATGGGTTTGTCCAGCTCTCCATTACTGCACCGTATTATACGTACGTACGTGCAGACCCGCCAAAACTGAAAGGGCTTCATGATTGCGGACGGCGAGGGATGGGCCGCACGGGAAGAGGGGTTGGCTGGTAGGCTGGCCCGCCCTTTTCGACACCAGCAGTGCAGCAGCAGCACCACCACGCACATGCAAGTCATGCTAGCAGCTCAGCTGCAGCTGGCATGGACATGGACATGGGAGGGTGTTGGGCAACAAGGGTCACGGGTCACCGTTGAGAAAAGCCTCCTCAATGCGGATACTCATGGGATCAATCGCAAGCTTGACACGGTGCATTAAGAGACAAATCGATGTTGCAGCGAACAGGTACAATTCCCCGATCATCTGAAACCCCAAACGCCAACGCTAAGGCACAGACAGATAGGCGCCTACGTACGCGCTTGTCGTATGAGGTGCGTTCTGGGGCCAACGGTAGGCCCTAATGACCGGAGCCCCTGATAGCGGTTGCAGCTGCCTGCGCGCTACGTACGGGGACGGACATTAGCACTGGACAGAGGGCTAGGCCAGGGCACGACATGGAGTCTGAAATCTGCTGACGATGTACGATGCGGGGCACTGTGCCTACAATACACTGGCACCAGCAACATGCGACCTCACCCAATTGTGTCGTTATTCTATTGATAGCCCCAAGCCACCCGGGTACCCGAAGAACAATCAAGCTACTGCGTACTAATCGCTGGTCACTACACCCCGTGCGTACTACTCACGAGTGATCGTGTTGCGTGTCGCACGCCAGATATGGAGCAGATATGGAGGTCATGTCACGGCGAGCATGTTCAATGTTGCGTTGGAGGCCGTGCAGCGGCCAACATATTGACCGACTAAGAGCCAACAGGACCAACAAGTAAGGTCGTTTCCGAGGCTGACAATCTTTGTCGCGTACACATGACCCTGGCGGCTGGCCCCTTGGCACTTGTGTTGCTAATGAACCTTATTTTCAACGTCAAACTCGGTTGGAAGAGCCGTTAGCAGCAGTATACCACGAAAACATGTCAAAAGCGACAACGCGGGTTGAATCGAGGGGACTGGAGCCTGGCAGTGGTAGTGGCAGCGGCAGTGGAGTCTGCGCAATGGAGTAGGTCGTCATTGTGTGAAGACGGCAGATAATGGACTGTCTGCTAAGTAATCAGCGGGTTTTCCACTGAACTTTCTGTGCCCGTTCGCCTCTTCTCAAGACGCAATGTAAATCTCATGCTAGGATGGATCTTCCCGCAGCTAGCTGACGTCGTTCCGAGCTGGCTACTCAATAAGGCACCATGCACGCTCGAACTCGCTGCTGGTTGACGGACCAAAGACGCCAGCCAAGCACGACGCTTCTGCAGACTGGCCCGCTCGCGGCGATGATCCGCTTTCAGGCTACTCGGTTGAATGGCGAGTTGACAGCGGCGATGGAGCAATGCTACGCACCGTGACGAGTACGTAGTAGATTCCATCTCTTGAGGTTTTCCTTGGAGCAAGAGGGACCTCTAGACGTCCTGCAGCCGCACCGAGCCAAGCCTAATACTTTCGACCACCGGCCTTGCTGCCCCGAACGCTACTCGACCTTTGTGCAAATCCATAATAATTCGATCAATATTCGGCAATTTGTCCTTGCTCCTCCGTCATTTGATAGCACAGGTGGGTGCCCTGTATCGGTGCTCCTTCCGCGGATGTGCAACTCCCGGCCGGCCTGTGGGCCAGCAGCAGGCGATGGAGATCCCGATCCTAAGTACTTACCTACCAGGTATCTTAGTATGTACGCAGAAGCCTCTGGATTTTCTTTGTCTTCTTCATCTTTAACGTGCGACTTTCCCCCCCTTTTCAAACGCGCTTTGTGCGCGCGCATTCTGCACGAGTGACGAAACAGAGGCGTGGGGGCAACTAATATTTGGCCTCCTCCAACTTGACCCTGACCTCGAGCATTCCCCACATTACGTGCGCACTGCAGCTGCCAGGTCTACTGCGGAGCCGCGCCACATTTCAACTTTCAATTTTGAATTTCCAGCGTCCAGTCGGCCGCCACGGGTCACTCATGAGTGTACATGAGCAGGATCTGCGTGCTGTGCGGCCTGGCGTTCCGCGTAGTCGATCCGAGGAATGCAGGTGCGGGCTCTCATGATTCAATGGTTAGTGGCCGCGCCTCTGGAGTGTGATGAACGCCTTCAAGACAAGGTGGACAATGTCAACAACGAATCTCCACAGTCGTCCGTCCGTTCCAACTTCCCCCGCGCCCTGGTCCTTGAAAAAAAAAAAAAAGAACTTTGAGTGGGCCCACATCACGGGCCGGCCCTGGGTTACAATTTACAAACGCAGGTTCCTGATCGGCTTCAGCTTTCATGTCAATCCCTCCCCTCACCCGAGGAGTCACCGCACCACTAATCTCTTTGACTCCAAACAGCACTGTCGAGCAGAGGTACTCAACTCGGGCGCTACGAACAGCGGCTGAGAACGACGACAAGCTTTTTCGCCGTCCCCGCCGACGAGGCACGGTGGTGCAGTTCACGTTTCAGTTTGTCCGCGGCAACCAACCCCTGTTATGGCCCCCTATGCACGTATACGGAATAACGCCAACGATTGCGGAGGAGAAGCCTTCGTTCGTTGATTGACTCGGCGTGTTCCGCTCGGTGATAATGATATGCTCGATGCTGTGTTGAGCAGATTGACGCATACGATAGGTATCGTGGCGTGAGCCAAGTCGTTACAACGGCAAATGTACGACATGTCGTGGAGTGACGAGCGGAGCGCAACATACAGCGACTGCCTACGTACGTTGCGCTACGCACCGATGTCACATGCCCATATTCCACCATGGAGGTCCCCTCCATTCATCATTGGGATCGTCGACCGTTTACGTACCTTATTCATTCGCTCTCGCCTACCTTCGCGGCGTTCTTTCTCGCGCGCGCGCGTACTGTTTTGTTGGCCTGCAGGCGCCGTAGTACGGTGAGTCGTTGCAAATCCTGCTTGCTTGCAGGCCCACGCACCACTGCTGTGCAAAAGTACATAAGGTAGTACTGTACTCTGTACGATGCTACGCTGGTACGTATTGGCATGGAAGCTTCAGAGCATGCAGGATGCGCCATGTAGGGCGGAAGGCATCTGAAAGATGCTCTCGGAAACCCCAATGGTTCTTCGCCACAGTGCGCTGCTGCCAATAATTACTCCGCGCACGAGCACCGATACTCAACTGCCCATGTGCTGCGGCTCCGTAGCCGTGAGACGAAAGGGCGCATCCTTCACACGTCGAAATCGAATCGGCAACTCGTGTTATCTTTTCGCATTCACCTACGGAGTACTACATGGCTGCAGCAGACGTTAACCCGCAGAGGCAGCACGAGATGACATGTCACATTCTCTTGTCCCTTTTTGAGCCTCCCGCTTGATGACAACGTTCAATGACATGAGTTATGCTTGCTGTAATTACACATAAGTACGGCGTGACTCCATGTCGCTGCGTTATGGTCGAACCGCTACTGTACACCCTCAACTCCAACAAAGCCGACCAAGCTTCCTCAGCCCTGCGGGGATCCCACAACCGTCAAATACGGACCACAGACATTCTCGGTGTTGCAGGTTGCTTTCAATAGGCGATTGCTCGATCCCTGGGCGATTCGAGGGCGTGGCAAGGGTGGCAGTCTTCTCTTTTCGCGCGGCTGCATGCACTATCAGGATGCAGGCTGACAGCCATCACCAGACGATCCACACAGCCATTGGCTGTGCCGCGCCGCAATGCTGCAGTGCGAGGTAATAATCAGCCAGAGGCAGATGGAGGGTTGGCCTGCGACTGAACTGAAAGACTTGCCTCGCGCATGGAAGGGCAGAAGGGTTCGCAACGACCACTGGGATGTCTCCCAAGGCTGTACGGGGCACATCAGCGGGGAATGACATGGCTTTAATGAAGTAGGGCCATTCAAAGGCGATGCAGTTCCCCCGAGTAAGGAACTCTCCCTATGCTTGGGAATACTATTTGACTTACCAAGTTGCCATGTGTGAGCTAAAAGGATCGTTAAGCACGTAGGGCGCTTCGCCTGGGATATGCATGGGGAGGACCCAAGGCAAGGGACCGGGGCAACACAACCGTGGCTTGATGTGGCAGGTTGCGAACTTGCGATTCCATCTGTCACGCTGTCACACGGCAGGAGGTATGGCTCTCCGTGCAGCGAGGCTAGTCCGGCCCATCGTCACGAACTCCTGGATGGAGTTGCAGGCGGATAAGATACCCCACTTGAGAACTACAGTCGTGCAAGCACTAGTCCTATCTGTCGCGGCCGCGCGGAGCATCTACAAGGAGTCTAGACTCGTCAGCGATGAGCTAGGTCTCTCCCACCTCAAGGTGCAGATGTCTTTCTATTTCTCTCTAACTATCGTCTATCATCTACTATCGAGACTCGTCTCTCAAGACTTCCAGATGTCAGGATACAGGTATTCGATGCGCTTCATGGCCTCTTCGTCGCGACCATCGGACTTGGTCATGAACTGGATGCCTCCCTGCGCGTACCCAACCCAGTGCTTCGCCGCCACAAGGTCGCTGTGCTCGACCTTCGAGAGGCGCTCCATGACGGCGCCGACGAGCCGCTTGGCATTCTGGCTGTTGGCCTTCATGTACTTGATGACCAGCTCCACGTTGACGTCCTCGGACGAGTGCCAGCAGTCGTAGTCGGTGGCCATGCAAATGCTCTGGTAGGCAAGTTCCGCCTCGCGAGCAAGCTTGGCCTCGGGGAGGGCAGACATGTTGATCACAGAGCCGCCCCACGCGCGGTACATGTTGGACTCGGCACGTGTCGAGAACTGGGGTCCCTCTGTCCGATGTGTCAGTCAGGTAGTCCGTCTCCAACGACAGAAGAGAGAGGTAGGTGGGAGCGTGAATAGTCCCAGCATGTCCCATGATGCAATTCGCACGTACCGATGCATACAACGGTGCCCTTGTCGTGCAAGACTACACCATCGCCCTCGAGGCTCTCGGCGCACGTCTTGATGACCTGCGCGAGGGCACCATCAAAGGGATCAGCGAACCCCACGTGGCCGACGACGCCCTTTTCGAAAAAGGTAAAGGGACGGATCCCCTTTGTGCGGTCAATGGCCTGGTCCGGTAGGACAAAGTCCATGGGCTTGATCTCCTCCTGCAGGGACCCCACGGCGGTGAAGGCCACCACGCAGCGGACGCCAATGTGGCGCAGGGCCGCCATGTTGGCGCGGTTCGGCACCTCGTGCGGTGCCAACTGGTGGTGCACGCCGTGGCGGGCGAGGAAGGCAATGTTGAACCCATTGTGGCTCAGGATGAAGATGGGCGAGGACGGGGCGCCCCAGGGGGTGACGGGCTTCAGCGCAGCGACGGTCTTGAAGCCGTCCAGCTGGGACAGCCCAGTGCCGCCAATGAAACCGATATGCACGGGCTCTGTGCGTGAGAGACTGGTCAGCATAGATTCCAGGCCCATGGGTGATGCCTCGTCTTACTATCAAAGGTAGAGGGTAGGTCGTCGGCCATGATGACTGGACGTAGAGGTCAGGGGTAAGATGTCTGTCCTGCTGCTTGGATAGAGAGCTTCCCGTCCAATTCTCTATATCCTGGTGGGAATTATGCTCTTGTCACAGTGCGTTCCTGACCAGACCAGAGTGTGAAAAAAAGGGTGAGATGCGGCGCCATGAAGATCTTGGAGGACCCGACTCATTACCCCACCATGAGAGGCCCGCGATTTGAAATGGCGCGCGACGAATAGAGGGGCATGCTTGTCACGCACACGCGCCCTTCACATGGCACGATCATTGGCTCAGCTAGAAAGAAGCATGGCTGCTGCAGTTTTCGGAGTTGAAAAGGCTAGTCATTGTCGAATGTGGTGTGCTGGTGAGTCTTAGTCCTCAGGGGAAGTCGTCCATTCATGGTGTCAATTCGATGTTGATGGGAGGAGGGAGAGACGTCATCAGCGTAACGTTGGTGGCTGATGCCGTTGTGCAAATGTGGCTGATCAAATTCTTATCGATAAGGCCGTCGATACATTTGTTGCGCTGCCGAGATCTTTGTCATGCCATCAGGGTCGCTCGCCTCACTCACGGACTTCAAGCTGCTATATTCTATCAAAGCACATGAAAGGGCCACAATCAGGTTCAAGCTCTTTGCAAAGCTTTGCCTCGAGAGCGTCCCATTCACGACAGTAAAGAGACCTCGCCAAAGTCCAGCCGCAGCAGCTTACAAACCTCAACCCTACCTGCCCCGCCGCCATCGACGGTGGGAACATCAAACTCAGCTCGCTCGCTCCCAGACCGCCCCCCTTCCTATTGCGTGAAGTCATCCACGCTTCCTGAGAGTACGCGCACGACCACTCGTGAGCTTATCGTTCGGTGTGCGCCGAGGGCAACATGGACCCCGAGCACGCCGTGACCAGGCTACCCGAGTTTGCCGCGGTTCCCCCGTTGGGCACGTCGGGTCAAGATGCTGCAAACTCTGGAGAGACCATAGAAGAGCGATGCTTCCATGCCGCTCTGATATGTCTAGAAGGCCATTACGTTCAGGCCCCGGCCATGGGGCTGCAGACTACGGCGAGGGTGAATTCGTTGGTGGGCAAAGCGTTGGAGAAGACTCATACGTGTCGAAAATCTAGGTATGCATGCCCCCATCTGATGAAACGAACTGGCTTCAAGGAGCTGACTCCATCACCAGGGAAGCTTTGGCAAGGAATGTGCCTATATGGATTCTGCTCACCAAAATCTTCGCCTCCGCCATCCCCAGCCTGACCACTCGGTCAGTCGGCCCCTTGGCCAGCCTCAGCGACCCTGACAAGGGCGTCACGCCGCAGGAGAGCACGCAGTTCATCGTCAAGAATCATGCGAGCATAAAGGAGGATTTGACCATGCTGATCAAACTGATGCACATTGCCCGAAACTTGCTCGTCAACGCCGACCCCCAAGTGCCTCAAGATATCTGCGGTGCGGTGCGGTTCGACCAAATGGTGTACAAAACCATTGTGCTGTGCGTCAATGTCACGAGCAAGGGCTACGACGGGGAGATCCTGGATGACAGCCAGCGGCAGAAGCTGACCGACATCACCGAACACTACAAGAAGCTACTGGTGACGTCCCTGCAGCAGGCGCACAACTGGACGGCGAAACACGACCGCAACAAGATGGCCTTCTGGTTCCGCGTGCTGTTCGACGACGACAGCCCCTACGCCGAGTCCGACGATGGTCTCAACGACGGCACGGGATTCCGCCCAGAAGTGGCGCGCTCCCAGGTCCAGAACTGGCTGGATCGAAACACAGAAATGTGTGAAACGGCGTGGGACCTCCTGGGCAATCACTTCCTCGATGACAACGGCGAGCTCAAGTCCCCAGACACCATGCCGGCCACACTGCGGCCCCCAACCAAGGCTCTCGCCAACGGTAGCCAGACAGATGAGAAGTTCAGCCCCGTGTGGAATCCGGAGGAAACCGACAGGTTGGAGCAGGATCGCCAGTATGGCAGAGTCTCAAGGGAAATTGACACCTGGTGGCTCAAGGCTCGGGACATGAACTACGAGCAATACGTGATACCCATGACGAGCATCGACGTGGCCAAGGCCCGCCTGGAGCACTGCAAGGAGAATCTCGTCCACAGATACGCCAACTCGTATCATGAAGACGAATCGCCTGGCTCGGTGGTGGCTGAGGCCGACTACTCGGATCATGAGCCCCGTGCGGACTGCCACACCTGTCACAGCCACGACGAGCTGGAGGACGACGAAGAGTGTGACCACAGCCATGATGACGACAGCGATCCGGACCACGACGAGCATCATCCTGACTGCGTACATCACCACGGTCACCCTGATCACCACCACAGTCATGATCACAACCACGACCACCACCATCATCATCACCACCATCACCACCATCATCCGCACCACCACCATCATCACCACCACCAAGATGACCCAGACTACGCGACCGAGTATGTGGAGGACATGATGGATGAGGAAGAGGACGATGACGACATGTCGTATGCCGAAGGCCCATTGACGGGTCTTCTGACAGAGATCCCGAACATTCTCGACCCAAAGCAAATCGAGGCACTGCACATGATCGTCAAGTCATGCATACTAGACAATGCAGGGTCGGGTCTCACGGAGGCGGGGGAGAATCTGCAAAAGACCCGCTGCCGCATGTTCCTGGCCCTGGACTGCGGTAAGAACCTGCTGCGCGAGCTGCTGGTGTTCATCGCCGTGTGGGAGAAGGATGAAGCCTCACTCATCTTCCAGGTCACCACGCAAATTGTCGAGGCCATCCACCACAGCGCCCTGATACCGTATGCGTGGAACGTGCTCAAGATCCCCAAGGACATCATCTCGCCCGGGCAGACGGTCCTGCTGCGCCTCATCAACCACATGTTCCGTGCGCGCGTCAACAGCCCTGCGGCGCAGGCGCCTAAGGACCCCGAGTCCAAGGACGTCAAGGTCGTGCATTACCTGTTCAGCGTCTTCCGGGCCCGCCTGGTGCCCGAGTGCGCGGCGCTCATGCATCTGCAGGCGGAGATTCGGCAGGGCAAATGCGACGCTGGCGAGTTCCCCGTCGACAGCTGGGACATGGACCGTGCCAAGGATGGCCTGGCGCAGTACCTCGACTTCCTCACCACGGTGGCCGAGATGCAGGATACCCGAGAAGAACTCATTGAGTGGGATGCCGTCTACGACCTGCTGGTCATCCTCAAGGGTCTCGAGGCGGCTGTGCCCAAGAAACCTCTGGTCGAGTTACCGAAGAAACATGCTGCTGCTGCTGCTGCTGGGGGTGATCCCATGGTCGAGCGCCCCTACGCGCAGCCAGACGTTCGCTCTCCTTCGCCTCCACCGCCCCCCCTGCAGGAGGCCGCGCATCAGTTCTCGTGGAAGGGTATCAAAGGTCAGATCTTCACCATTCTGGCCACGCTGCTCCAGCCTCCCGTTGGTCTGAGCAGCCCGGGGAACCCCAAGGTGCAGCTACAGATTGTCGACCGCGACGGCCTCGTCCCGCTGCTCAACTCGTGCGCGTACGACGACAACAACCCCTTTGCCAAGGAGCGGGTCACGCTCTGTCTAAAGTGGCTTCTCGATGGCTGCGAAAAGGCCAACGCGTTCATCCGAGAGCTGAACGGCAGCGCACCGCCTTCGAACCTGCGGCCCAGCCCCGGTGGCGCCGTCACGGGGACGCTCAGGGTCGACGGCATCCTGGGCGACGTGCCCGTGCAGGTGCGCTCAAACCCACCCGCACCAGTCTTCGAGCCCGAGAGCATGAGGCAAGCCAATGAGCTCGTCAAGCGGACAGCAGGTCTCGACATCAACAGGAGCATCAAGACCCTGGAGGAAGACTTTATGGCGTAGTACTCTACAGTCGCTGGAGAACACCTGTTTCCGCACGGCCCTACTGCTGTTGCGCGTATGCGCTCGGGTCGCCTTGTCTTTCACGAGGGTCCCCCGATTCCACCGCTGTGGACGGTGCCGCCGGCGAAGCCGCCCGTGCTCTCTCCGGAAAGCATTAGTCTTCTGAGAGATCAGGCCGAACGCGCGATGGCCAATCCCCGTAGTGTCCGCAGGGCCGACACGAGCCCCGGAAGACGGGTTGACGAGAGGCGCAGGACAAAGGAAGAAGATGCCCTGTCACGACGCTTACTCTGCATGGAGGCTCCGGCTGCACACAGTCGCCGCAGAGTCACTCGGAAGGAACGACATAAATGAGCAAGACAAGTCATTAGGATGTTAGTTTGGAGGCAGAAGACTAGACCGGATACACCCACATAGACATTGATCTGTGGCTCGGTATCCTGGTAGATGTGGTGGCGTACGAATCTATGAATGATGAGTAGAGGTATCGTGATAATATACTTTCTATAAACCGAGCCCGGCTTTCATATACAAAACAGTGATATCCTGTCAGTTGATCGTGGTCTTCAGTTTGTCCCTACTGACCATTTATTTGCAACTTCCCCTCCGTCTTTTCGACGTGGTCGACGAGATCGGCAATCGTGCACACCTTCAAGCCCCATTTCCTGGCAAAGGCCACGCACTCCTCCCCACGCAGCATCCCGGGCCCAGTGTGCTCCGCCCGTCCGGGGACCGGCTCGCCATCGCTCACGAGCTCGCATATGACACCGGCCTCGGCCTTGCCCGCCAGCCGACAGAACTCGGTGGCCGCCTCGGTGTGGCCTCTCCGCGCCCTGATGCCGCCGGCCTTAGCGAGGAGAGGGAAGACGTGGCCCGGCCGCCTAAGATCCGAGGGCGTGGAGTTGTCGTCGGCCAGCACGCGGCACACGAGGGCCCTGTCGTGCGCGCTGATGCCCGTCGTGACGCTCTCGTCGGCGGCGTCGACGCTAACGGTGTAGGCAGTGCCCTTGGGGTCCTGGGACTGGGCGAGGGCGACCATTTGGGGGAGCTGCAGCCGCTCAGTGCGCGCGGCCGTGATGGGCGCGCAGATGAGGCCGGACGAGTGTCGCACCATGAAGCCCATCTGCTCGGTCGTGACGTCCTGGGCCGCGATGATCAGGTCGGCTTCGTTCTCGCGCGAGGGGTCGTCGAGGACGACGAGGAAGCGGCCGGCCGCAAAGGACTCGATGCAGGAGGGAATGTCATCGAATTGACTGAGAGGTATCGTGTCGGAAGGCATGCTCGTTTTTCGTAGTGCGTGCGACGTTTCACTTTTTGGAGACGGAATGGATGATGGTGGGAAACCCCGCGGTGGTGATCGAGTTGTTGGAGGGGCAGTCGGGGAAGGGCAGCGATTTTCGATCGTGGTCAATCACGTCTTGTACGTCTTGTTACTTGGAATTGAAGAGAATGAGGGTAGACAGAGTCGGCAGAGGCAATTGATGAGTGCTTAGGGAACGATTAGCAAGGATGGGGACGGGGTATTGTCAGCAAGATGGATGATTGAGTAATGCACCGAGGGTAGACGACCGCAGACATTTGCGGCAAGGGTCCAGTCCTTAGCCGCGCGCGGCCCCGAACCAAACTCCAAGCATGTACAGTATCCGCTGTCCTCGTGGCTAGATTTGCTCGTGATTCTTTGCTCCTCGGTTCGGCCACTCGGCAACGAGTCGCGAGAGCTTCAAGCAGGCAGCCTGAAAAACGCACTATTTCTACAAGCTCAATCCACGAATACAGAATTTACGAATGAGACATTCTTCATTATGTGGCATTGCGCCGAATTCGAGTTCTTCTGACTCGTGTGCATCGATGTTGGACAGCCTACAGGGTAGCCAGTCAGCTTTTCCAACCTGCAGCCACTGGCTTGGACAAACATCGTCCACCAACAGCTGAGGTTGCAGAGCTCAATTGCAGATTCTAATCAAACATAGGTTTATTCTTCCCTCTCGATTCTTCTTTTCTTTAGGATGAGAGAAAAATTGCATTCCCACAAGGTAGACCAGAAGCCAAGGTTGTATGAACCTCGTACATCTGCGGCGGATTCCGCTCGTGTCAATCCAATCCCGTACCTAACCAGACTCGGAGACAAACTTCCATCACCTAACATACGTCCCACGTCGCGATACCTCATGAGCAGGTAGTTAAAGCTGCACGAGCTCGAACCCACGCGTCGACCGCCTCAATGGCGCCTATACGACCGAACGCGGCTACGGGACTGCGCCCCTTTCTACGCGCTGCACCTGGGATACGACCGCCCTTCCTCGCTCGAACCGCATCGCCACCACAACTACCCGCCCAACGATGGCATTCCTCTGTCAACCCAGACGAAGTCTCCCACTTCAACGCGCTCGCCTCCGAGTGGTGGGACCCTCACGGCTCTTCGCGTCTTCTCCATCTCATGAACCCTCTCCGGCACGACTTCATCAATGCCTGCCTCACGTCACAACCCGAGGCCCGCCCGTCCTCCCTGACATATCTCGACATTGGCTGCGGCGGTGGCATCTTCGCAGAGAGCGCGGCCCGCCTGCCTTCCACGTCGAGCGTCACCGCCATTGATCCCACCCCGTCTGTGCTAGCCATCGCAAAGGCGCACGCCAAGAAAGATCCCATGCTTGCATCCAAGCTGTCCTACCAACAAAAGTCCATCGAGGAGCTGCCCACCCCTGAAAAGGGCTATGACGTTGTCTCCGTGTTCGAGGTCATTGAGCACATTGACCAACCAGCTGCGTTCCTCGACAAGGTGAAGCCTTTTGTCCGGCCTGGCGGCTGGCTGGTCATGAGCACCATCGCCCGGACATGGATGAGCTGGTTCACGACGAATTTGGTGGCAGAGGACCTTTTGCGGATTGTGCCACCGGGCACGCACGACTGGAACAAGTACATCAACGAGCACGAGCTGAGGCGGTACTTTGCAGGCAAGGGATGGCATAGTCCAAGGGTCATGGGAGTGGTGTATATCCCAGGCGTAGGGTGGCGCGAGGTCAAGGGGAGCGAGAAGGTGGGCAACTACTTCTTTGCTGTGAGGAGAGATGCGGAAGAATCATGACATGCGCAATCTTGTACGAATGCTGTGGGCATGGAAGCTGCACCTATGTATACGGTTACCTAATGTAAAATCTGTACAACATAGCTGGTAGTCCTGGCGCTTGCCGTCCAATGACGGACCTGCGACATTCTGTGAGAAGACTGAGAGGCGTTCAGTGCTGGCCCCCCGTGAGACAGCGCCACCAGAAGGACCTATAAACGAAGCCTTGCTGAGCATCATGCTCGCAGCATCATAGCATCATCTTCCAGCCCATGGTATCCGGCGCGAACGCAGCAGCGTCCAAGAAACCCATCGATCCACCACAGGATCAGCGCGTTCCTGAGAGGTCCATTCTCGGCCGTTTTAACGGTCCGTCTTTGCAGGGGCTTCGGCGCAAAACCATATCCCACTCAAGACCATACACTGCCAGTGAAGCCGGCCCCTTGAGACCAGGTTCATCTATCGTGCTATCGTCGGTCAACTGAATTCCCATCTTCCGCTGTCGGCTTACTCACGCTGTATACCATATCAGACAGGGCTGCTACTGAGCGGACGGGTCTCAGATGTGCAGACGCAGTCGATGGGGCCCAATTTAGTCTGTCGGTCTTTCAAACATGGTCACTCATCTTCGTCGGAGTCGTCATCCATCTCATCATTGTCCTTTGCCTGCTTTGCCCGTTGGATCCTACGGAGGACAGCTTGGTCGAGGTAGAAGTCATCGCGGAACGTTCGCCAGCTGAAGATCTGCACACATCGTCAAATACTCGGTCTCGGATCCTAGAGGCCATCAAACTCACCTCAGCACACCCGGTTTGCGGACACTGCACCTGACTGGTAGCGTTGCGCAAGTAATCCTTGATGGCATCCTTTTCAAAAGTGTGCTTGCATTTAGTGTTGCTGTAGGGCTCTTCCAGCGGCCGGAGGGTCAGGGGACAATTCAGGCTGACGACCTCGCGGGCGACGGCGATATCCTCGTCGGACTCGTCTTCGGCCGGTCCTCGAGAGGAACCCAGCGCCACCATGACAGGCGCTCCGTCCGGCTTGAACCACTTGGACGAATCTGCCAACGGCGGACCATCGTCCCCCACGGCTCCGTCGTGCCACAGCTTCTTAAAGGCAATGTAGTCATTGTGCTGCGCATACTTTCGCCGGTTTTCCAGAGATGCCCAGTGGCTGTTCTTCTCCGCGCGCTGTTGTTGCAGAGCCGTCAGCACACTCTCGGCAGGCGCTTCCACATTATCCTCGTCTCCTCTGCACCGACGCTGATGGAAGTTGGCGTGGCTCTGCGTGTACAGGTCCCCTAGGATCGTCTTGTCGTCCTCAATGGCATTATTCCGGTCTATGCATGTCCTCACGGCAAACTCCGACCGCTGGGTCAGCTCGTCGACTTCCGACTGAAGCGCTGTTATGTGTTGTTCCAGTTTCTCCTCGTCATCTGATTTCTCTGTCCCGTGCTTCGCGCGGTCGGCTTGCATTTTGGCAAGAGCCCTCTGCTGCTGCTTAACTCTGTCGTTCATGTCGTAGACACTGTGACCCAGATTTCGCAAAGCCTCCTTGACTTGATCCTTGTACGTGGACCACAAGTCCGAAGCATCGCGTCCATTGCTCAATTTCTGGATATTATTGATGGCCTCTGCGCTGAGAGGGAACGAGGGTGGCTCGTAGTCGACTGGTTCTTCGGCCTCGGGGCCGGGCGTCGAGCGATATGTTCGGACGTCCCCGCCCACACGGTTGACAAGGCGTCGCGGGGGCATGTCTGTGACTTCTGGTACTGAGCTTTGATGGTGTCTTGTTCACGCTATCGGTTGGAGACGCGTCGCTACGCGGTTGGACGTTCACCTGGCAGATCATAATTGCGGGGCAGGCGTGTTTGCCAGACCACCTACAAATACTACTATGTATGTACGCCTTGGATGTAGGTACATTATGAGTTCATGAGTGTGATACGTATTAGTGTTCGCATGCTGGTCATTAACGCTTAAACGCACAGGAAACTTTCACGCCTTTGACCTGCGGAGATCAGGATACCAATCTTTCAGATTGGTTGTCACCAGTGTACCGACAACCTGACACCCCCCCCGACGGTATTCTGTCACCCGACAGTGGGGCAAATGGAAGCCTGTCACCTGTCAGTACTAGAATGATTTGTGTCAGGTGACAGGCTACCCAATAGTCTGTCACCCATAAGCTGCCCCTACATAAGCTATTATTAAGGAGACCGTCACTGGAAATCGGTTCTCGAGTGTAGAGCATGCGATGTGAATCGCCTACCCGGCACCAATGTTGTTATTCAGGCCTTCTAGAAAAGTGTGCAACCCCTACATGCATTGGCGCGCGTCAATCGCAAGAATGCTTTGCTTTAATTGGTTTTTTATCGCCATGTTTCGTCACTGAACATGGATATGCTGTTTACAGTAATTTCACGTCTGTCCTCTGCTTGCCGCATAAATTCATTCCGTAGAACAACGCTGGTCGAGATGATTGACTGATCCCTGCCACCTCAGCGCGGTGCTATGATCGACGATCACGAAAGCGAACAAGACCCTGAATGAGGGAAAACTATTATGGGGCGATCGCTAGTGTCGTCTTCTGGTTGGCAGGATCGGCTCACTAAAAGCGCCAAGGCCATTCAAGTCGCACCTGCGGAGACTTCTACGTGCCCATCGCGCAAACCACAGCGCATCGATCTTGAATCGGATTCCATTTAAACGCCATCGCCAGCCACTGCCGATTCGATGATTGTTACTGTTAGTAGCCCTGCGTGTCTGCCGCGGCCGGGCTTAACACGAAAATGAACGCCTCTTGCGCACCGATCCTGGCAAACTACACCTGACGCCTGCGATCATCTCCATGGCGGAGAGCGATCTCACCGCAGCGGCAGATTCAGCATGTCTGAATGTCGATTTCCCATGATTGCCCGACGTCTGCGACGTTCTCGGCCTTGACTCCGCCCAAATGGCCCTGCTTTCTGCCTGGGATATCTGCTCTTGTCGGTGCGCATTATGTCATCACCACAGCCAGCTACCCACGGCACAGTGACGGGCTGCTCATCTATCGGATCTCGATGTAGGATACCATTGCCGTATCAAAAACACAAGAGCTGGCACATCAGTCTCGCGAGACTTCCCATGGAGATGCTGCTTTCTCATTCTGCCTCCAACTCTTCTCGTCGGCAACAACCGCGACAACTGCCAGGACGTGAAGAACAGCAGCCATCGCCAACCTTACCCACAACGACCATGGCTTCTCGAGCACCACTTCCTTCCATGAACCCATGGGAGGCTCAAGCCCTGACAGTACGTCCGCATCCTGCTCTTCAATCTGAGCTGCTATTCGCATTATACTAACAACAATCCCAGTACTCATTCCCTGAAGGAGGCGTGGCAGATCGATCTGGTCTCACACCCAAAGCGTCGTTCAATAGGCGGCCTGACCCTCTCATCTTCCCTGGACTATACTGTTCTAGCGGATTCGACATAATCAGCATTCTCGTACGTCCCCAATACCATAACACTATGCATGGACTGACAGGTGGCTAGTTACAACTTCGTGGTCGGCCTGATCCCGACATTGACCTCGGTGCTGTCGACTGCTCAGTATCTCTTACTCTGTGCGACCTCGAACAACCCGACACGCCCATTGTCTATGCATCGCCATCATTCTGCGAGATGACCGGCTACTCAATGAACGAAGTTCTGGGCCGCAATTGCCGCTTTTTGCAGTCCTCACCAACTGCCTCATCATGTGTTGTCGACAAGGCTGCCATCAAGCGCATGTCACAAGCCGTCCGCGGCAATCAGGAAATCCAACTCGGAGTGCGCAACTACAAGAAAAACGGGCAACCCTTCACCAACATGCTCTCCATCATTCCTCTCACATTGGGAGCCGATGGGCATCGTTACGCCGTCGGTCTCCAGTGCGAGATGTGAAGACATTCTCACCATTGCTTCATTTCTCGGCACATGTTGCCTCCAAGACGGAATTTTTCTCCTGTATTTGTTTTTTTTTCAGAAGCGGGTGGCGTCATGGGAACGGAGGGTCAGATTACAGTCATCATCATCGAATTTTCGGAGCTATTAGGCATCTCACTATACCCACGACTTGATAGAGTCGGTCCTAGGCGACCAATGAGTTTTTGCTATTGGGCAGGTTTACAACGGACACTTCCAGGTGATATCGCGAGAGAAACTGCACAGGGCGGCATGGCATCTACGGAGTTATTAGACTAGCATAGCATGCGCAAGCGGCGATGTGCACACAGTTATTTGTTTTCATGATTACAGAAGCATAGGGAGCATGGGCGGCACGGAATAAATGATGTAAACTTATCTCATGGTCAAATTGAACAAGCATTTCCCTGTACTACCTTGCCGGTATGATCAGTTTAATCGCACGGGCTTGGCAGCAACCGACACTTGCTTAAGTGATACCGTTAACCAACACAAAGAAACCTGCGGACAGAGGACGTTCATTGCGGAGGAGCGTACGCACCGAGCCAGCTCAGATACTGGAGCGCCCAGCAAGAGCATACTTACTGAGCCCCGTTAGATGCCATCTTCGTTTCAAAGAACATGTAGGAGCTCGAGGAAACATATCCACATTCATTATCGATCACGCACCTGATGACCACCACGTCTACTGCGAGACTACACCACAGCCCAGTGGGCAGACGCAACGTGACGAAGCAGCCTGAGAATCAGTCAAAATGCGTCAATTGTCTAATAAGCCTGAAAGCCCAGTCCATGTAAGATGATGCCCCGCTTTGCCTCACTACTGAAGCCTTGCGGACTTTCTGCGGCCACCCGCACCACGCTGTGGTTCTGGAACCATGTTGGTCGAGGTCGTGTCTATTGTCGTATCCGGCTTGCGTCGCGATGACCGCGGTGCGGTACCTGTCCCATCTGCAGCTTCTGACTTGATTTTCGATCCTTTCCGTGACGGCTTGACGACGAGATCGCCAGCTTCAGATGGGGGTGCTTCCCTGCTTTTCTTGGCAGGTGGCCCAAGCTCAGGTGCAGTGGTGTTCACATCGGCACCATCCCCTTTTTCTCCGTCTGCAAGTTTGACCTGCGACCTTTTCCGCGTCCGCTTCCCCGACTGTTTTGCTGCTTCAACACCAGCATTTGTGTCCTCAGCTTTGGGTTCCACTTTGCCGGTTTTCTTTTGTCTTTCGGGAGCGTAGCAGCTGGTTCTGCCGCCAACTGTGATGAACGCCAACTTCTCCCCGTTTGGATGCTGGGAAGCCTCCTCCTTCGATCCTTTGCCCCATCTGTGGTTGAAAAGCCAGTGTTCGGGAAAGGCATCCGAATCTCCAAGGTGATCGACGGCTGTTTGACACACGTATCGGATTGAGTCGAAGAGAGTTTTGATCTCCTCATCGTTGAACGTATTGCAATATTGCTCCGGGTGTTGCTTCGCCTGATAGAGTGCCTCGTCTGCTACCCAGTTGCCAATACCACTAATGGTGGTCTGGTCCAGCAGCAAGGCTTTCACTGGTACCCTCCGTGAGCGCATCTTGTCCCGCAAGTATTGCTCGGTGAAAATGTCGAGGTCATTGACCGGGTCCGGACCATTCTCGACAAGAGGTGAGTACTGTCTGATGTCTTCTCCGGGGCAGTCCACCAGGCGAACTCGCCCGAAGCGACGTGCATCTGTGTAGGCGACTTTGACTGAAGGTTTCGTGTCTGTCTCCAGATGAAACTTCCAGAATTTGGGTGGCCAGTCTTCGAGCTCCGTGTCCTTCATCTTTTTGTAATAATTTGTGTATGCTGTCTTTTCTCCTTCGATATGGACCCAGCCTACTGATAGGTCAGGTCAGAAAGTGGTTGAAGGTCCAAGGGAATCACCTGTCATTCCAAAATGCATCACCAGATGTGGCGGTTTGTCGAGCGTTATCCTTACAGTGGTCAGAATGCCTGCTGGGTAGAACTGCAACACCAACTCACCAGAAATATTTCCCCTGACTCCCAGCGGACATCACCTTGAAAGGGTCAGCGTGTGTGTGAGAGACTCATTATTCTCAGACGAACAGTTCTACCGGTAAGCGCCTTCTGTACCTCTGCACCCGTCGTGCCAACTTTACCGAAGACGTTGGCATCGTCCAAAGCTGTTGCCGTTGAGATACGTTTGCCGACAAGCTTGGCTTTAAGGAAGTGGACAATTCTAGCAACTGAGCGCAATGAGCATCGACTGGACCAAGTAGACCGCAAAGCATACCTTCCGCTATTTCAGGCATGTTACAAAGATTTTGAGGTTGGCCGGATTTCTTGATCGCGCACTTCTACACGCGCCGCTCTAATCGTCATTCGTCACCGACCAAGCTCCAGAGTCCATGCGCGGCCAAGACACGCTGTCACGTGCTCTGCAATGACCCTTAGTCATCAGCCCAATTGGCGATCCCCACAACGCCCACCTACAATTTCTTCAACTTTTTTCTGGCGAAAGCTCTGTTCTTCATCAGCAACACCTCGCAAACCAACAATATTTTCCGGTAAGTTCCTTCGTCGCGACAACATGGACTCTCCCTCCCTATCCCTCTTCCTGATGACAGATACAAACCGCAAACTAGAGTCTTTGACCTTCGGGAATGAAACCAGTTTTGTCACGTCAGTCTGAAAGACTGCTTCAACACGTCGCTCATTTTCACCCTTGGCTTGGAACCATGAGCTAACCCGTGTACAGTAGACATCGATCGCCAAGTGGCCAATCGTCCAACTCATTTGCAATGCTGCGCGCATAGCTGATGTCAAATGGTACGTTCGCATTGCTCTTCACTCTCGCACAATCTGTATGATGATCATTTCGTGTTTTACACGCTGGAAATTACCGTCTGATATCTTTGACGACAACTAAAGGCTATTTCTGACTACAACCTTCCAATGCCAATTTGTTACACACCGCTTGACGAAGCTGTCGCTGACCTCTTTGTCTCAGACTCTTGAACAGGCAAGGTACGCATCACTGTCGCGGCTCCCATCTTCGCAACGATCGAACATTGTCCACCTGATGAATTGGCACTGGGCTCTGAGAAACGAATGAGCAGACAAGCCACTTTGCGGCAGGCCTAGAAAACCTCGCCCACTGATCTGGACTATCGATCGTCGGTTACTGGCCATGTTAGCGTCGATAGCGGCTAATGCGACTGTTTACAGTGCCTTGCTGAATAACTTTGTTTGCCAAACCCATTTCGTTACCACAGGTTTGGATTCCACAATCTCGGTAGGTCACGATATCTCTTTTCTACTTCCCCTTACATGATGAACCCTTTAGATGACGAGTCTTATCCGGGCTTCCCGATGCAGACACAACCTATTTAATACCATTCATGCATAACTGATTTTTGTGACCTTCACATCGTTTCTTTGGCGAAGATGGCACAGCATGTACTGACCAGTTCATAGTTTTTCACAACCTTCACCGTAAGTCTTTGAGACTCTGCACAATCACATCGTGTGATGAATGCGAATAAAAAGACAAGCATATGTCTGAGCCCCGGCGACGACGACAACGTGTTCCGCATACTTTCTGACTCCCGACCTTCTTCACCATACTGTTGCGTTAGTCGATAGCCCAGTTGCTAATTTACCAAAGACAAAGTCGACACTTGCCTGTCTTGTTACATGCAAACCTCGTCTGGTAAGTCACGACTGTCTTTTTTCTTCACTCTTCACATGATGCTATAAATTTATATCACGACGGTCTTCATAGCAAAATACTTTGATGAGACCGCCCTTGACCGGGCATTTTACCCTGACACACATTCCTTCATTCTAACTGTTCTTGTCGTTCGCTCGTGGGCCCGCGCTGACCAGTTTGGTTCAGGCTTTGATGATCCGTCCCGTCCTTGATAGTTCCAATCACGACATACGAATTCCCGTTGTATAGAACGGTCCTGGCGACAGGCACAGTAGACCAGTGTTGTGACCCTGGCTGCCGGCAATGCCCGTTACTGAAGTAGTTTAAATTCATATGAACAATTCCATTCACTCATTACTTCCTAGATTCTGTGCTCTCATCGTTCGTTGTAAACATCGCTCCGTCCAAACCACGTATAGTCAGTAAGGTCGTCCGAACACTTCAGGGTTGGGCTGGATGACTGGGAAGAATCCATACTCGTCCGAGCCGTATGCTTGCGGCATATCATCAAACTTGTGTGCAAACATGGTCAGCGTCGGCGCCTCCTGGTCGTTGCGGCATCCGGCATACCGCTCCAGGTGTACGGCTTGAGTCTCATCGACGTTGTGAAGGCTATCTAACGCCCCAAGGTGTGGAGAGCAGTACGCCGATGTTGGGATGCTCAGGTGAGGAGGAGGGCCTTCGTGCTGGGCATAGGTCGGCGGTGTCTGAGGAGTCGAAAGCCAGGGTGACGCGCTCCCCGACGACTGCCTTTGATCGTTTGGCGGCTGTTCGCCTTGCTGCTGCCGACGCGCCGTTCGTTTCTTGCACTTGTACTTTTGCAGGTCCCACTGATCGAAGCGTTGACGATAGGAACGGATGCTTGGTCTTCAGTCAGCGTCTGCCCTGAACAGGAAAGAAGACGAAGAAAACTGTGGGAGCACAGAAGACTGTACGAGAGGGAGAAAGACGCACGACGCATTGAAACCATGTTTCTGGCTCATGATATCCTGCACCTCCTTCAGCGTGCGACGCTCTTGAATGTACAAGTGGGTGATGTCGTTCCTGAAATGGTTCCACTGCTTGACCATTGCGTTCTGTGTTCCACGGGAAGGCCGTCTTTATCAACCAAAGATGATGCAGGGTGCGTCTCGGCAAGATTGATCAATATCCTGGGTAAGGGAGTCCGGATTGCTCTTGGTCCTTGATGCTGCTGCTGTTGAATTCTCTAGAGTACTGGGCACTCAATCTCCAAGTCCAGGACAGGCGTCTGCATTGTTCTCCAAGGAGAGAGTCTCACAGCACGACACATGCGTCTTTATACACACGGCACCTATAAAATGAGGCTGAGATGCCTGTCTCCCCGGTTTCCCGTCCCTCCCCTAGGGCTGAGAGAGAGGTCGCGCGCACCGCGGGCGAACCTCCGGCTGCAAGGCGGCGGTCCGCATGGGGGTGTGCCAACTGCAGCTGGGCGTCAACTAACGCTCTGCTACTCGACGGGCGTCCGTCGAGAATAGAACTACGCCTCGTTACTTGGTTGCCTTTTTGCCATTTTGGTCAATCATCGAGCCTTGCAGGCCTCATTGTGAGGCCATGTCGCACACCACTGGGCGCGCTGTCGATTGGAGTTCAGGCAGCAGGCTGATCGCGAGGAGCACTCCCCACGCCCTCCTCCCCGCCAAGCTCGGTGTTGGAAGACGCCCGTCGACTGGCTGTTGGCGACGTCAGGCGGCTCAAGCAGTTGTTGGCAAGAGAAGGCAGAGCACGAGGCGAAAGGCCATGGTGGCACTTGGCAGACAGGATGGCGCCAAACTTTGTGGATTGCCCGGTTACTCTGGCAGAGGTCGAGGGGGTTGCAACAAATCTGTCCGCAGTCAGGATGCAGCACGTTGCCGTGCTGTATGCCCGAGCGGCCGGACACCTTGCAATTCACTGAAAAATCCATCCCTGTGCATCTGTCTCAGCCACTACGTCCCTTTCCAAGACTGTCGTTTCGTTGCAAGTCGACGGGCAATGTTCGTCCACCAACCTTTCCACGCAAATCACACCGAACTGAGAGTACGCCCAGACTATGTTCATTCCCTTCGTAGCAATCTCTCGTACAATCCTTACCGAGTTGGCCAGCATGCAACCTGTCTAACCCAAGCATGAGCCCCGCAAGGCTGACAAGCTCGCTGTCACTGCATGTCCAAGCCTTGCAGTAGGTATTGCTGGTCGGTGCCAACACATGTCGCGTATCTACACCGTGGTCCCGGTGTAGATCTCGGAGTCATCATCATCTGGTAATAGCTTCATTCGGTTCGGGGCTATGTAGTTTGAGGACAGCCTCCACACAACGGCTAACACTCATCACTGAGGAGAAGTTGGCTGACCAAAAGGGTTGCAACAGGTGCAAAGCTCCCTCCCACACTATGTGAGCGGTGATTGCATGCCTAGGTGTGTGGGACGAGATCGTCTTTGCCAGAGGTTGATATACATCTCTCTTGGAACAAATAACCACACGTCTGGCCGTAAGTATTGTGTGTAACATTCACAGTCATAATTAGCGTGTGCGATCTATCAGCATTCTTCACACTCCTAGTAACAGTACACCCCCTTCAGAAAACTCCTAGACATTTTCTTGGCCGACCCTGCTTCCAGAACAGTGACGCCAATTTGCACATGGATACCTCAAGAAGCATCCGTCTTTGAGTTCGCGGCAGTGGGAGAAGGCTGAGCCGCTGGCGCAGCTTCACCCGACACGCCCGCCTCCTGGGCCTGATGGTCGCCTTGTCCTGTCGCCGCCGGCTCGGTAGGCGAGTTCATCTCGTACTTGTCGCTAGGGAAGGACTGCGTCTTCTCGTCACTCGCCAGAGGCGAGGTAGGTGTCGACCCCGAGGGGGAGACGGGCGAGTCGGACTGCACAGGGCCAGTGGCGCCTGCCACGCCCGAGATGACCTGGAACCACTTCTGGGCGTCGGCCGCCGTGTGCGCCTTGAAGTTGAGCTCGGACGAGCCGGTGAGGCGACTACTCATAGTCTTGCTCCTGTCCTTGCCCTTGACGTTGAACTTGTCACCGGATGGGGTGCCGATGACGGCGTCGGGGAGGTAAATGGAGAGCTCCGGCTTGGGGTCCTCTCGGGTGTTGTCCGAGTCCTTGAACTCGTGCAGGAATTTGGAGGGGGTCACGACGTAGTAGCCTGTCGCCATGCCCCACGACAGCTTGTTGCGCGACTTGCGCTCGAGGGAGCCCTCAATGAGCGCCTTGGTCGAAGGGTGGTCCATGTTAGGGAAGCTGATGGTGTCGACGGAGCGAGGCGCCTCGTTGGGCTGTGCGAGGCGCTCGGCATTGCGCACGGTGAAATTGGCCCACTCGAACTCGGGGGGTACGCGCTGGACGTTGGCCAGCATGTCGTTGTGCAGGGCGCGGGTCTTGTCGGCCTGGCCGCCGGCGAGCTGAGTGAAGGCTTCCATGGCCTGCTGGATGACCTGCACGACGTGCGCTTCGAATTCGGCAAAGTTGTTCTGCACGGCGACGAGGTCGTTGTGGTGGTTGTTCTCGGCCAGGACCTGGTTGCTCAACCTGTGCAGGACGCCGCGGTGGATGACATAGGGGTCGTCCGCACCAGAGAGCTTGCCACCAGCCGAGTCGTACGAGGCCGTGTGCTGGCCCAGCAGCTCAATATGCTTCTGGGTAATATTCCTCGACTTCTCAACGTCCTTGGAGCCCTTCTGCGCACCGCCCGACAGCTCCTTGGCCTTGTGCTTGATTTCCTTGTGGAGTCGGTCGAGGATAGGCAGCACGGAGCCTTTGAGACTCTTCTCCGTCTCGAGGTTCGTGTTGATCAGGGCCTGCGTGTTGGAGCGCAGGTTTTCGAAGAACCCAGCGAGGCCTCCGAGACTCTGGTCGAAGTGGTGGCCCTCTTTGAGGGGGTTCGAGACGGCCTTCAGGGCGCGCTCGTACTCCTTGGCGTGCTTGCCGTGGATCTTCTCCATGGCGCCCACGTAGTCCTCGAGGTAGGCGACGGCATGCTTCCATGCCTGCAGACGCTCGGCGAGGAGACCGGCTGTCTGCGTGGTGTTAAGCTGCGTCGCGGAACCGGACAGGGGCTGCTACTTACGTTGGTGGGGTCGATCTCGGGAACGGCCTCATCGTGAGTGCTCGCGTTTGTCGCACTCCGGCTGGGCAAGTTGGTAGAGGTGGGCGAGGTAGCGGTCGACATCTTTGCGGTTGCTGAGTGATCTGGGGTGTCGTGGACTCGTGGTGATCGTCCTGGTGCGGGATGGTGGGGGTGGTGTGGTTAAAAGCTTCAGCTGAAACTGCGAGGGTAGGACGGTTAGCCGCTAATCAGACAAGACATCAAAGTGCCAGAGTGCGTGATCGAGGTGATACACAAGTTAGCTCATGCAAGGAAGAGATATTTGAAGGTTGTACGGCAGACGCAGTCCGTTCAAGGGGCTTGGAGCATGTCGCTCTCGTCGCGGGGAATCGGGAAGCGGTCTGGTGGCGCCGACGAGAGCTGGAGGGATCTTGGCAGCAATTGTCCGCAGCTGCATGTTCGCCCTGTGCTCTTGTCGCAACGTTTTCTTGCTCGGAAATTGGAGGCAGAAGACATCCTGGGCAGCAAAGAAAGGAACTCACGTACTATTACAATTAAAATTACTGTGTAAAGCCAGCGGTTGCTTCGTATGAGCCGCTTGGTGTCGTAAGGCTGGAATTATTCGGGGTTGGACATGGATGACGGAACTGTCGCCAAGATCGCCGAACCACGGATCTTTATACCTTCAATGGACATGTTCACCTGGTGCCTCCCTTTTGCCGTCATCGTCGAACATGGCCACCAGTGACGTAAAGGGCGCTCAGGGTGCCGATCATGTGGCTTAGCGGCTCTGTTAGCATCCGCACCTTTGGGCAGGCCACTGGCCTAACATTCATGCTACGCTTTTCACTTAGCTCCGAGCCGACATCATGGCTGTGCTCACGCTAGTCCCGCGATGATCCGTGATGACCCTCCCCGAAAATTATCGTTACTACGTACATGATCTTCGAAAGTGTGAGATAATTTCAGGACTAGATGGAGCTCAAGTGCTGGCAAAGAGACAGGTCTAGTGAATTCCAAGTTATGCCTGATGCTTTCGTGCGGGTATCATACAGAAGGATGCGCACACACACACAGACACACAAAACACTGAGAGTGTGATCCCATCTTCTAAACCATCTATGCCCATCCAAGTCCAACGGTCGCTGTGACGCTGTCCCGTGCTGCCAGCGCACGGTGTAAAAATATCGTGCCAGTCTCGCGTGACCAACGAGCAGTGCGCTATGTGCCTGTAACAAATGCCCAACGCCAAACAATAGTGAATCCTGGTCAATCCCACGCAATCAAAGGTTTCCCATGTAACAAAAGCCACCGTGCCCACCCAACGCAATACGTAAAATCAATCCTGCGAATCAGGGTCCTAACCAGAGATAGCGTTGGACCTTTGGTTGCTGACCGCCTCTTCACCCTCGGCACGCGTGGTGATGCTCGGCATGTATTCGTACTGATTGTCGGTCGCAGGCGGCGTCCGCGGCTGCGTGAGAGCTGTCTGGTACGTCGGAGCAGACTCGTGCGGCGGCCTCGTCTGGACCGCCGTGTGGTAGCTGGGCACGCGCGTCGTCGGGGCGAACTCGTCCAGGTCAATGTGCTCAGGCGAGTCGCGGCCCGAACTGGGCGTATCGTCGTCGCCGCTGTTGTGGCGAGTGAGGTTGTTCGAACTGGGCTCGGACCTCCGTCCTATCGTCGAGTTGAAGACGGTATTTCGCAGTGTTGGGTCGTCCGAAACGTTCATCAGTCGCGAGGACAAGTCCGCCGGGGGGATGGGGCCTTCGCTCTGCGCGAGGTTGGCTAGGTTTTCGCTTGATCCGGCCCTCGAATGCACGTAAAAGGGGCTGTTCACACCCGACATGGCGCCGGCCGGCGTTCGGAACCCGGTCATGTCGTCGTCGTATAGCTGGTCGAGCTTGTGCTCATGGTAGCTCGGTGGAGGGCAGCGCTCCTCTTCCCCATCGGCCTGCGCTGTCTCGGGGTTGATCACGTCGCCCTGCTCGTTGAGGGGCGCGTTTGGCGAGATGAAGATGGCCACGGGGAGCGTAGCGCGAAGCTCAGAAATGTGCCCATCGGGGTTCTTGAGAGCAATCGTCAGCTTGAGCTTGTGGCGGACCTTGATGCCGTGCACGTTGGTATCTTGCACGCATTGGCGCAGCCTGCGAGGCAGGTCCAAGGCCTTGGTAATGACCCAACCGTCCTGACCAGTGTCTTCAATCATGTCCACCCAGTGCGTCGCGCGATCCACCTCCATGTCCCACTTGGAGACGTCGCGCTCAACCTTGTGCTCGCGCACACTCAAGCCTGTGGCGCCTATGACCGTCGTTTCCCGAATCTCGACGAGCTTGGTGCTTATCCTGCCCATTTCTAGACCCTTGAGAAGGGGCGTGATGCGCATGGTCAAGTCAATAATGCCTCCGAACACGACGGCCTTTTGGGGTATCGAGATTGAATAGTCGACCTTGTTGGGCCAGATGTTCTCCACGCTCATGGCGTGGTGGAATTCAAGTGCGCTTGGGTCAAGGGTACGGATGATGCGCAGGTGCTTGTATGCGTGGAGATCGTACGCGAGCTTGCCACGACCGACAGTGGCCTTGAGACGGTAGGTGATGGATGCCTCGGGGATGCCTTCGACGCTCTCAGCCGTGTCGCCAGGCAACAGATATTCGAATGGGTATTCGTAGTTGCCGGCGGGTAACATCATGCTTTTGCCGTGCACGCCAATGAATGGCTCCCATCGCTTCTCGCAGATCGTCTTGAGACGATCGTTCTTCTGGCTGGAGGACCCGGATGCGCTGCGTAAAAAAGGTTAGATGGGATTTGTGCCTCCCGACATCGCAGCGCGAGTGTGCTGGAGGGGGGATTTGGAAGGCTCACTTCATGCGCATAGTGCCGGTCAAACGCAAGCGGACGTCTTCGATCTTGAGTGGTGTTGTCAGGCACAGGACAACAGTGCCCTTAACAATCTGGCCGTTGGACTCTTCCTCGCCGCCTCTGAACACGATAAAGTCATTTTCCAGGCGGACATCGAAGAGCGCGGCAGCCCCGCGCCCCGACATGGAAGAGAAGGGATTGAATGAGGGCATCGTGAGGGTGCGAGCCAAGTCGGGCAGTGTCTTGCGGTCTGCCGCTGCTTGCTAGGCTCAATTTGATGGCGAAGCAGCACTGATGAATGCTGATGACGGCGACTGGATGTGGGAAAGCGAGGGAGGGAAAGAGAGAAGGAAGAAGGAGTCCATCTCCACTACCGCACGGGTTAGAGAGCGCCGAAACTTTTCCCATCCATGACAGAATGAGGGACAGAGCCCACTTTGGCTCGATTGCGCATTCCATGTTTCGCTTGAATCTTTTGACGGTCTGACCCGAGACGGGCGGATGGGTCGTGAATGGGGGTGCTACGTAGGAGGGTCCAGTATCCGTCCGTAGTCCAACAACAACACTGGCTGACTCGTGGGGGCTCAGAAGGCCCGCTGGGCGCTGGCGGCGCTGCACAGGGCTGTGTCACGCCCAGCAGTGACTGCACTGCGCAGGCAGGCGGCAGGCCCGACTCCAGTCATTGCAATAAGGTCCGGTCTCAGCTCGCGGATCCGCGTCATGTGCATCCTTATCTGCGCCCGGTCGTGCGTACGTACGCACCTGCACTGCTAAGGTATACTCGAATACACGCCTTGCCGTTCAACGCCGCGGCAACACTCATGTTCGATTTTGACCGCAGAGATTGCTTGCTCGATGCGACACTACGTGCGTACTGCCATTTCCCTGCTTTTCCGCCATTCGGGTCAGGTCAAAGCATCACTCACCAGATACTGTACGTGACAATCATACTGCTGGGTGGTCTGAAGTGGGGCGCACAAATGCCATCAGTTCCTTATCAGGCAGGGATCTAGAGAATTGTTTCATCATCTCGAAAAGCTACATTTATTACCTCACGGTCGCTCGACGTGAGTGGTGATGTTGCCATTTGCTGCCTCTTCTGAGCCCGGCTGGGAACGCATATAAATTCCACTTGCGATGGCCGCACGACTCCCATGTCCCGGCTTGTACGTACACGGCAATTCACTGTCGCATCGCCGTCGTCATTGCGCCAGCTATGATTCCCGCCCTCCAGTCTTCGCCCATGTCAGATGGCTTGCATGCAGCATACGGCCGGCAAGTACCCACTCCGCCGCCGTGCTGTGCGGCCTGACAGGGGTTCTGGTGACTTCTCTCAAGTCTTCAACCCTTGACTTTTGCACACAATGAAGATAAAGGCGTACGATTGATACGGACTCCTAAACACGGGCGCAACACCTTTCTGGCAGAGGCCAGAAACCCGCAGGTGTTGTGCTCCGCCAGTCACCCGTGGGTATGCTCTGTACCTTCAACCGGCAAGTACGTACTTGTAGCAGTAGAGTAGGATATCGAAGCATTCACCAGTCCCACGAACCACCCGGTATTCATCGTCGGCGGCTGAAAAAAGCCTGCGGGCTAGTGGCATCAATAACAGAACAACTGCCTCATTACCGCCGTACCTGAGCTGTTTGACTGCTCAATTTCATTCATGTCCATGGCCCACTGGCTTAGACCCTGAACACCAAAACAATGGGCCTACGGCGCTACACTCGGACGCCATCGGGCTATCTTCACCGACCTTGCACCAAACCGTTTTCTCAAGGTGTACGTACGTACGGAGTCAATTGTGACATTTTTGTGTGGTCCTCCTTATCTTCTAGACAGGGGGGCAAGAAAATTCATCCTTACGCGCGCAGCGCGCCCAGCACGTGTTGATGATCCGGTGGCTTAAAAATGCCCGGAGGCCAATTCCCGCCGGATCGATGCGTCCTTTTCTTCGGCCAAGGCTTCCAGCACCTTTCTCTTTTTAGCATCCATCCACCTTGGGAGTTTGAACTTTGAACCCTGGGCCCTGGCCATCTCGGTCTGTTTATCTTCTTCTTTTTTCTTTTCTCCTTTTTTTTTGTCGCTTTCTCTTGTGACGGGTCCTGTAGTATAACTGACCGTGTTCCAAGCCTAGCACTGCCGGTCGTCTCCCGATGGACACGGACAGAATGACAAGGGTTCAAGGGCTGTCAAGCCTGAATTACGCCTTCCCGTCGTGCCGACAAGGCGGCTAATCCACCGGACCACCGCGGCAAGACGCCGGCTCTGATGCTCGGCGACAGCCCCGGTGCCCGCTGGGTTGTGTGAGTGTCTTACCACCAGTGGGTCATACAGCAGCGACACTTGCAATACTGAGGCCCTTGGGAGAGATATCAGTCAGAACTAAGGGCGCTTGAGCCTACCCGATGCTCACCGTGGCCCGATGCTGTGATATCGCACCCTGGGGAATGTAGCATGATCCAGACAGACATCGTAAACTTCCACAAACTGAACACAAGCCTCGCTTTTCACATGGTGGGCCACATACAGTTCTACCTTTTTACAGAGGAGGCCTGCATCTCAACGGAGTCAAAGGCTTCAGATTAGACCCGCCAAAGAGCCGCATCGATGCCGAGAATATGGGCGGGCCTCACCGCCATGATTGTCACGAGAAAAGCTTGGCTACAAGAGCACCATGGCATTGTGGCCATTTCCGTAATATTCTCGCCTCTACGGATGGGCCCGACCAAGTCTGCGCTATCAGCTCAACGTTGCTGCTTGAGCTTTTTGCCCACAGATAACAAATTGCAAAGGTATGCAGCGTCATGATAGGCGCAATCCCGCTGATCTGGACCGGCCCAAAGGGCTGTGAACGACAACGCCCAACACAAAAGACAGGCCTGAGTGCACGCTGTAATGATAGTGAATCCATGGCGCCACAAAAAGTACAGGTCGAAAAGCCACAATCCTGCAATACGCGTAGTACAAGGCAGATAGAGACTGGACTGATGGCCCCGATCATGCCTTTGCCGCGCCTGGCGCTTCAACCTTCACCCCGGGCCGATTCCAGGTCTTGAGATGGCCATTCTTGGAGCTCGTGATAATGGCGTCCTCGGTAAATGCCAGCCACTGGCTCGGATCCTTATCAATCTGCTTGTTCTAGACATTGTCCATTAGTGCTGGTTCCTGCGGTTGGACTTGAGCGGACTTATTCACCAGAACGGGTGGCAGCATTGGGATGTTCGCTCGAGGCTCGACAGGGTGCGAAAAGCCGTCGTCCTCAATGTTGCTGCCGTTGGACTCTTGACTTCCTGCTGTCAGCGTCGAATCTAGTGTATCCAGCGTGGCCAGGCGAGCCGTGACCGAAGCGCGCGGTTGCGTGGAGAGCTGCTCTTATTAGCATGCATTCTGCGGCACTGTCAATGACACTTACAGCGCGAGGTCTGTGCAACATGCCGACGCTGAAGTCCCAGAGGCATAGTCTCCCGTCCTCCCCGACGCTGCCGAAGCGATAGTTGCGCTCATCGCATCGCCACGGGTCGAACGCAACAGCTGCTAGCCAAGACTCGTGGCCTTGCAAGCGAGCAACCAGGGCCGAGTCGCTCATGGAGAAGATGGAAAGCATGTCGTCTTGCCCACCAGTGACAATGTACTTGCCGTCCGGCGACCAGCACACGCAGCTCAAGCCACCGTAGTAGGAGTAAAAGATGTCAAGGAGCCTTTGCACCGTCAGCGACTACATGTCACACGATGGGGACCTGGAATGCTTACTTCTCCTCCAGGTAGTTGATGATTCTCAGTGTTCCGTCTTCGCTTACGCAGGCCAGATGTGTCCTATCTGGAGAAAATGCAAACGCATTGACGCGGTGGTTTGACAACTTCCAAAGTGCCACAGGGTTCGTCTTCTGATTCTTCGAAAGCACGGACTTCTGGACCTGTATGTTGTTTTTGCTGTGAGAGTTGACCGCATCGCCAGCCTCGCTGCCATTTAGCGCTGGGACGGTGTCCTCTGGAATGAAGGGACTGTCTTCCTTTTCCTTGTCGTATACCACCAGCGCGCCATCCATGTGGGCAGCAAGGAACAGGCTCTCAGACCCCGGGATCCATGTGATCTGGGATACCGGCGTGTTGTTGATCGCACCATTCTTGTTCAAACGCGTGTACCGCTGCGAGATGGGCTCCCACCAGATGATCTCCCCAGTCGAGAAGCCCATGATGACGTCCATATGAGAGCTACCCTTGGAGACATGGTTGACATCGTGGCAAAGACAGTGCGCCTTTGTGAACAGGATCTTGGTTAAGTAGTCTTCCTGGGTAGAGTTAGTTAGGTGGCCAGCCAGGTCCTGCTGCTCGAGTGCGGCCTACCTTTTTCGGACTGGACAGGTCGAGCCATTGGAAAGCCCTGTTGATGTTGGCAAAGGCGTAGAGACCATCGCTCGGCCGATCTGTGAGCTTCTTCGACAGGCTCTCATTGATAATGACACGAGATATGAAGGAGGAATTGCTCTTAGTCATGTTATTCTTGGGCTTCTTTCTCTTGTTCACATCCTTAGTAGGTGCCTGAGCGAGCAGAGGGTTCGCCTCGCCAAAGGCTGGCACTGATGTACGATACAGCGACGTGCCAGGGCCGTCGCTCATCGAAGTCCCTCTCCCATCTTCGCTGCTCATTCCGCCCTCAGTGGACGATCTGACCTCTTTGCCAGCTTCTTGTATGCTTGCCGCTAGCCCATTCATTTGAAATGGCGATTTGAAGAACACCGGCGGCGTTGGTCGCGCATCGAGATTTATCAACGACACTTTCGTGCCCGTCGTCGCGGGCTGAGGGTTTGTCGCCAGCGGATTTGGGTTCACAACCGGAGCTTCCGACGGATGCGGTGGTGGTGTCGCGAGATGCAAGTCTTCTTTGAGCATGTAGGTGCCTTCGCCGACAAGGAATTGGCTGTCAGGGCCGTCAGGGTGAGACAAGGTGTTGTTCGTCTCGATGACGGGAACCATGTTGATTCCATTGCCGTATGCGCCATTGATGGGGTAACGCGGCGGAGGCGGAAGGACGCTGTGAGGTTGTCAATCAGTCCGACGTCCACTATTGTCGACCAAGCAAACTTACAACATGGTGGCCGTGGTTGTCTACTGGTCAAATTGACGTGGTACGGGCTGAAGGTCGACTCGCGCGGCCCCGATAGCGTTTGCGCCTGCGTGTGTCAAATCGTCGGAAGGATTCGCTGTAGGCGCACACAGAGACAACAGTGATTCATGTGACCGTCGCGCTCAGAGGGATGACGTTGCCAGGTATGTGAAAGGAAGGTAAAAGAGGAAAGGCTGGGACGTTCGGTTGAGGATCCAACTCGAGGCTGGGGCCGCAGTCGCAACTGCTGCTTCGCAGCCCGGGGTCGGGGATGAACATTGTGTGGGGTAACTCCAGGTTCCAATTCTACCGGTTCGTCCCTGCCCACCCATCCATCCAATGATAATAACGCTGGAAGTAGACAAACGTGCATCCCAAGCCACGGAACAGTTTAAGAGTCGTCTGAGTATGTACTGTACTTGCTGCAGCGGGGTCAATTGATCCCAGGCTTTGAATCGAAATACAGTGCCACTATTGGGCTTGTCAGTGGTGGGCGACAACAATGCCTCGGGGACTCTGGCATGGCCACAAAACTCACCCCAAAGCCTCGAGGATGAGGAATCTGTGAAAAGAAGAGCGCTATTATACTAGTTACAATTAATTCACTTGCTCATAATTCGGGTTCACCACTCGACATTAGGCGTGTTTTCTGCCACATGGCTGCTTATATAACAGTGGAGCGGCCTGGCGTGTGGGGGTCCGCTGACTGTCGAGACGGCTTCATTTGACCTGCCCAGCTCCTGCGTATCTCCCCAGCTTCAGTACGTGCCTGGCAACCTTGGAGCCACAACGCGACCGCACAGGACGCAGAATCTCTTAAGAGATGAGTATGCTGTAATCGTGTTTGAAGCTCCCCGCGATTCATTGCGATCATGGCGACTGGTACGTTTTCCGGAACACGCATTCACGAGCCCCTACGCCTTACCCTCCGTCCCCTCACGAACCCGCATCATCGGATTCGGGCGTGCTCACATTCAATAGTGCGTATTTGCGTGTGCGGCGATGAATCCACGGGGAAGTCCAGTCTCATTGCGTCTCTCGTCAAGGACCAGTTCATGACCAACAAGATCCAACCCGTTCTTCCCCAGATCACCATTCCACCGAGTATAGGCACTCCCGAGAGTGTCACCACCATCATTGTCGACACGTCGGCGCGCCCGCAAGATCGCACGACCTTGCGCAAGGAAATACGAAAATGCAACATCATACTCCTGGTATATGCCGACCACTACAGCTATGAGCGCGTCGCTCTCTTCTGGATGCCGTACTTCCGGTCCCTGGGCGTCAATGTGCCGGTCGTACTCTGCGCCAACAAGTCCGACCTCGTAGGCCAAGGCCCCACGCCCCAGGTTGTGGAGGAAGAGATGATGCCAGTGATGGCAGAGTTCCGAGAGATCGACTCTTGCATTCGAACAAGCGCCCGAGAGCATCGGAACGTCAACGAAGTGTTCTTTCTCTGCCAAAAGGCCGTCACGCATCCCATCGCGCCACTATACGACTACAAAGAGGGAGTACTCAAGCCTGCCTGTGTGGCGGCTTTGAAAAGAATATTCTATCTGTGTGATAAGGACCAGGATGGCTACCTCAACGACGAGGAAATGCGCGCCTTTCAGTCAAAGTGCTTCGACAAACCCTTGACCGATGACGACCTGGCAAACATCAAGACCTCGATCTCGAAAACCTCCCCTCCCTCCAACACAGAGCCTGGGATCGACCAGGCTGGCTTCTTGCAGCTCAACAAGATCTATGCCGAGAAGGGCCGACACGAGACCATATGGATCATCCTTCGGAAATACCACTACACCAACAGCCTGAGCCTCGACGAGAAGTTCTTGCATCCTAAGCTCGACGTTCCCGACTTTTCATCGGCAGAATTGAGCCCCGCTGGTTACCGGTTCTTCGTCGACCTTTTCCTGCTCTTTGACAAGGATAACGATGGAGGTCTTAGTGATGATGAGCTGCGTGCTCTCTTTGCGCCAACAACTGGCCTGCCCCTTTTCTGGGTCGAATCGCTCTTCCCGTCATCCACAGTCCGCAATGACGCTGGCCATGTGACCTTGCAAGGTTGGCTGGCCCAGTGGAGCATGACAACCTTCCTCGAGCCAAAGACCACTATTGAATACCTGGCCTACCTCGGATTCGAGCCGCCGAATCCAAAGGAGTCACTGACTGCGGCGCTCAAGATCACAAAGTCTCGCAAGAGGCGGAGGCGTCCTGGACGCGTGGAGCGGAACGTGGTCATGTGCTACGTCCTAGGCGCTCCCGGCTCAGGCAAATCGTCCTTGCTCAATGCCTTCCTCAACAGACCGTATGAGCCCTTGCACTATCCTACCATCAAGCCGCGCCGCGCCGTGAACAGCGTCGAACTTCCTGGGGGTCGCCAAGTATATCTCATCCTCGAGGAGCTCGGCGAGCTCGAGCCAGCGATTCTGGAGAACAAGACCAGGCTGGATGCTTGCGACCTCCTCTGTTACGCATACGACTCCTCCGACCCCGACTCCTTTTCGCACATTGTCGAAATGCGCGCTAAGCACCCGCATCTGGATGAGCTGCCATCCATCTACACCGGCCTCAAGGCAGACAAGGACAAGACAACTCAGCGCAGCGAGCTGCAGCCCGACGAGTACACGGCCTCGCTCAACATGAGCCACCCACTACACGTCAGCGTGACCTGGAACAGCATCAGCGAGCTTTTTGTGGCGTTGGCTGACGCGGCAACCAACCCGAGCAGTGCGTTCCCCAAGACCGAGGAAGACGCCACAGACCGGACAAGCCTGTACATGGCTCTTGGTGCCACCGCGTGTGCAGGCGTTGCCGCGTTGATGATCTGGCGCCGTTCGACCAACTCGGCATGATGATTGCCTCTTTTTTTTTTTTTTTTTGCCCTTCTTACCCCCATGACTGCTTTTCTTGTCAAAATTCTTTGTAATGCGTACTTTTACTTCGAGCTGTCTATTGGGGAGAGAAACCTTTCATGGGTCAGGAGTCGTCATTCATTTTGAAGCGCTGCAGTCAGCGAGCCCGGATACCCGCGATACCCAACTCCATCCTTACCGTCGTTTGCGCATCATTCACCTGGATAGGAAATTTCATATCAAGAAACAGTAATTGCATATCCCCCCCCTGTCTGGCTTGGACCTAGACCTTGTAGAAGCAGAAGCCGATATAGAAGCTCGCCGCCTCCATCTCCTCGTCCGACACCAACAATCTGCCGCCGCCTCTCTCACGGACGCCCATCCTCTCGCTCAAAGGGCCCATTTCCCGGTCATCCTTCTCTGCCTCGTAAATCTCTCTAAATGTACGATGAAACTGCAGCTCGAGGTTGAAGTCATCAGCCAGGGCACGGAAAGCCTCCCACGGCACAACGTATTCGGGCACCTCTTCGACGGCCTCGTCGAGGAAGAAGCTGTACTTCCAGCCAAAAGGCGGGCGGAAAATGCCGTCCTCTGGCGTCTTGCCGGGGAAGCGGACTCGATAGATGGAGTTGCCCCATTCCGCGCTCGGTTCAACAGCCACTTCACCTTCCTCCTTGTCATCGGCTTTGTCATCCTCCTGGGATGCCGATGGCTCGGACGCTCCTGTACCTACTTCGGCTTCGGGCTCCGTGGGCTCTGGTGTCTTGTCGCCTTGCGCGTGGTTGTTGATCTCGACGGATGGTTCCTCTGGCTCCGGGGTCGCAACAATAAGAGGCTGTGCGAGGGGAGAGCCAGGGGGCGATTCCGCAATAAGGGGCTGGCCATCATCTGACGGGGGAGGTGACTCGGCAATCAACGGCTGATCATCATCCCCGTTGCTCTTTTCGGCGTCTTTCTTCTCCTCGCCGCTCGCACCCGCCCGTTTGGCTGCTTGTTTCTTGTTGAACTCTCGGACATGCTGGCCAAGAACATCAGAATTGGGAATACAACCAATGAAACGCCCGCCTTTCTTCAGTGCTCCGGCAACATTGCGTAGCATAGTCCGCGCGCGCTCCTCAGATTCAAATGCGTAGTGCATAGAAAACATCATGGTCACCACATCGAAGCCGCGGTGGTTCATTGGTGACGGGTCGAAGCCCATGTGCTGGATGATTTGTAGATCCTCGATCGATTCACCATAGCAATCTTTCACATGGAATCGCCCATCGAAAAGGCGGCCCCGACGCCCGCCGCGGCCGCCGCGCGATCTGAGCTGGTTATAGCGTTCCCTGGCCTGTGCGATAGAGACGTCTGCTGGATCAAGGCCGACGTAAAGCTGAATTGGCTGAGGCGCAGCCTGCCACTTGTTGAGATCGCCACCTTTGCCACAACCAATGTCCAAGACACAGAGCTCTCTGCCGGAAGAGCGCCCCTGCTCGCGCGACCCGGGGGTGTGGTCTTCGTCAGGCGAATATCGCTGGATAATGCAACTCTTGATCCAATTGTTGAAGACACGCAGTCCCTTGATTTTACTGTCTGTTGTCCGCCACTCTCGTCCACGCTGCGGGACATTGTTGTAGTGTTCTCTGACGACGTCGTGCAATCCGCCTCGGCGAGCGTCTTGTTCGCGTTGTGCTCGCGCTAGTTCTTCGGTCTCGCGCTCACGCTGGGCTTGACGTTGCCGATACGCCTCGCGCTGCGATTCGGAGATGCGAGCGCGTGCGCCAGGTCGCTTCTGCTTGCGAGGCTGCTCGGAGGGGGATAGGGCGCGGCGTTTGGCGGGTTGAAGCTGCTGCGCGTTGTAGGGTTGCGGAAGGTCATCTTGAGATGGGTCTTCTTCGGCACGGCGTTTGCCATTCTGCGTGGCAGAAGCTGTGCCGTTGGAATCTGTCATTACGGCGATTGAATTCGCCGGGCTTGTCTTGGCTGGCGGACAGGACTGATTGTCAAAATCAAAGTATGAAGTCGGGAAAGCGAGAATCGGACAATGAAGGGAGCACGTTGGGCCAGTTGGTGCAGGCTAAACTTCCGCTGGAGAAGGGTGGGTCCACCGCGGAGGTACGCATTCGCCTTTAACCTCCAACCTCACAGAAAGTCTCCTAGCGATCACACTTCTTCTCTGATCTTGGACTAGGCAATCAACACCACTTCAACTTCGCGTTCTGAACAGCGTACTGGCTTGAACAGATGAAAACCCAGGTTCAAAGATGAGCCGGTGCTACGAATCATGACCATCATCTTGGTCACGCCGCTCAGGCTACCTCCTTAACCGACTTACTTCAGTACGCAAGTACGTATACTGACCCATCGCTGCTTTCTCGTGTGTTGGCGGTTGGCACTGGTTGTGTTTCACGCACAGATTGCCACTGGACTAGAGACTGGGCAAGTGGCTCCATGTCTCTGATAGACTGGTAATAGTAGACCAAGTACTCCGCAAACTCGCTCTTTCCCACCTGTTGTGCAAGAGGAAAGAGCAACCGGCGGAATCTTCCCTCACCTCCGGATCGTCATGAGAGACCTCTATGGCTCACCTAAGGTACTAGAATGTTCCCCACGACACCCGGACTAGAGCCCACAACAAGCTTCGTGCAATCCGCCTCAGTCGATACCGACGTCTTTCAAGCTCCAGGCTCAACTATCAGCCACGTGATTGACATGAGGTCTTCCGAGATAGCCGGTCAGGGTCAAGTTCCGAGTCAGCTTATATGGAGTTTTTTTCCTCATTACGGATACTCTACCAACGGAATTACTTCTCAGTTCTAGAGTTCCTAGGACGGCTGCCAACATAGTAGCCACGACAATGCACATGCGAGGCCATGCCGTTACCAACCACGGCCTGCGCTCCACCGCCAAAGCGATATACCCTGAGCGAAATCAACAATACACTACGTAATATCTATGCCGCCGAATGTCACCATCTCAGCCTCCTCTCCCCAGCAATTGCGGGCGGCGCGCCATGTCCCATGGGGCATGATACCATTACGGTATAATTACTTCTATGTATGTCACGATGTGCCTGGATTGGCAAGCCAAAACTGGGGTTGCCAGGCTCATGTCAGTAGCATCAGACGCGATGGATCACGTGCCCCAGCGTGAGTGCTTGGCAATTGAAGGCGACACGGCCAGAACAAGGGACATGAGCTGATATTACTCCGTGCGCAAGGGTACAAGCTCAACAAACATACAAGGCAGACTTGCTGGTGCAGGCAAGTCGCGGTTGCGTGTAATGGTTGACACCGGTGTCGCCAAGGGACCAGACCATTCCCACACGTAACAGCAGAACCTGCCACCCATCACGACAAAAGTGCGACACGGTCGCCCCAGACCGATAGGATCAGAACCTCTGGCTGGGTGTTTCCAGCGCCCGTCCCGTGAATGCACCTGGTCCATTACTGGCCACCAGTCCACGTATCACGACGACAGTCGCCTCATGAAGAAAGTCTGGAGGCTACCCACACAGACAAGGCAAAGAGCTTATCTCCCACTTGAACTTTCTGGGCTGACAAGAATGTCGCAAAGGTTCTTCGAAGCATCTTTCCAGAAGCAGTGGCGGCTAGTGCGACGAAAGCTGATTCGCTCGTGGTCGTGTGGCCAAGGTGAGCACTGCATATCATGCCCACCTAATAATTACGTACGTTAGTATTACTGGGCGTGGTAATCAAGCACTTCCTAATCCCAGGCTACTGCGACATATCCGTCCCTCATCAGTGTTTGCTCCACTCTCGGGTGCGCCTGCGACATGGAGGGTTGCCTCCGAAAGAATCGCGATCTGCCGCTCTAGACGAAAGGGATCGCCGGGGCCTGCTCTCTAGACTCTTGCTGATGCAATGGGAAAGCGGAATGGTGAATGGAATGGGCACTCGCCCATTGATCCAATCAGCTTAGGTGTACTGCGCTGACTTGCTCAAACATTTGCCAGCGCCTACGAGGGGGCTCGGAACTTCAGATCACATGCGCCAAGCCATCATTGGTGTGCCACGGATTCTCGAAAAATTGTTGGAAGATTGGAACATGGAAGGTCCTTTCAAAGCCGAATGAAAAAGAGGGTCATTGGGGAAAACTGAAAGATGGTGTGGCGGCTGGCTGCGGCTCAGATGGTGGACATAAGAACTCGAGCACGATGTGGTCTAAGCGCCCGCGCTCAATTCAGCTTTCTTGTGTCCGCTTCGCGTTCGGGGATGGAGTCCATGCCCACCGTTTCTTGCGGCGCTTTGGATCCCGAATCCGTTTTGCGCCCAAGATTAAGGTTAACGAGAACCCCGGGTTGCATGCGCCTCTGCTCGACTACATGTCGCCATCTCGTTGGTGCCGCACTAGGGCTATAGTTGGGGGGGGCGTCAATCAGCTCAGTCGCCCATCCGCGACCACAACGACTTTTCACAGCAGCCAGTCACCGAGCCGAGGGAGACGATCGATGCACCGAGTGAGCTTGTCCGCCACGTTGTGTGCCTCGACGTGCAGTCCGTTTCGTGGACCGTGCACGGCAGTACCTACGAGTAGTGTGACTGGGGGCGGCAGATACTGATAAGAGTGGAGGAGAGCCCTGGCGCGACGGATCACTCCATTCTCTTGGCTCTTGGCACTACACGGCATCCGCCAGGCGGCCAGTGTCGCTTTTGAATCTTGATTCCTGCTGCCTACAGAAGCCCGTTCTGCCTCACTCCCCCCCCCCCCGGCACACACACCTATACGCACAAGTAAAGCCAGGATTGGGTGTTGCAGAGTCCTCCCGTCGCCCTTATCGCCTCTGCTTGTGTCACAGTGCGAAGCTGACCGCTGGAATGGAAGACGTGAGCAGATTCCCTGGACAGCAAGTCGGCTCTCGACCGACGGCCAAAGGAATCATCGCTATCAGCGCTCTGCACAACAGCTGCAACTAAGCCCCTAGTGGTCTAGGGTCGCGCTTATCAGTTATCCCCACACGCTCGAGACTCTTGCGCTCGCGAATCCTTGACAACCTGTTGCTGCATGCGCCACTCAGATGTGTAAGATGAACCTAGCAACCTTCCCAGTTGGGCAAGTCTGCCCCAGATCAGTTCTTGGTCGCTTGCAGTCTTCTGCGGTCCGACTTGGGGAGGAGGAGGAGCGGGCAGACCGAGCTGGTCAGCGGGAAACGACGGTTGTCGATTCATTGGGTGGTTGCTGTTATCAGGACCAGCATGGGTCTTCAAAGTTCTTGTTGGTTTGTCGACACGAACCCTGGCAGTTCCTGCTCCCCTCTCCGTCTCCATGCCCATGGTAGCCGTATAAAGTCGAGAAGCGCTGCCGCCCTCGTCAAGCCGACTCCACTGCCCTCTTTGCGCTCCTACTCTGCACACGACTTTGCCAGGCCCGTCTCTCGGATCCAGGTCACTGCCGCCCACCATGAACGCATCAGAGAAGAACGAGAACATCATGGAGAACCAGCCTCAGGGCACGATGATGGACCACGATGTCAAGGGCGCCACCGCCGAGGACCCTTCCTCTGTCGACTCTCGGGGTTCTCCTGTTGAAGAATACCCTGAGACCGTGGAGGAAAAGCAGCCCATGGGCCGCCGGATCTGGAAGTCGTTCAAGACGCCTGGTTCGGCCTTGCAGATCGTCTCTGCCGCGCTGTTGGCGGTGGCCATTGGCCTGATCGTTTCGACTCAAGTCGACAAGGTCCCTACTCCGGCTGTCGAGATTCTCAACATCCCAGGCGACCTCTGGCTGCGTGCCCTTAAAGCTGTCGGTGAGTAGCTTCGTTTGTCCGAGCAACGTGTTGTCGGCATCAGTCGCTAATACCTGCCCCCAGTTCTCCCCCTCATCATCTGCGCCATGATCCTCGCCGTCTCCCGTCTACGTGATATGGCCGACGGCAGTGGCGGCAGGCTCGCAAAGTGGACCATTGGCTACTACGTTCTCACGACCTTCCTCTCCATTGTCATGTCCTGCATCATGACCGCTTTCGTCTGGGGCCCCCGCTTCATCGAAGTCAGCGACGACTCGCTCGACATCAGCGAAGCCGACCAGGCCACCGCTGATGAGAAGGCCGCCAGCGGTGATGCGAACCCACCTCACATTGTGGTGAAGACGCTGTTCCGGTCTTTCATCACCCAGAACGTCTTCTTTTCCCTGTCCAATGACGAGCTCCTCGCCATTCTCATCATGGCCTGCGTTATTGGCTACCTTATCAAGTCCAAGGACTCGCTGATTTACAAGCTGGTCGTCGAGCTGGAGAGCATGATCATGCGCATCATCACCTTCCTCATCAAGGTCGCGCCGATTGGTGTCTTCTTCCTCGTCCTGTCCAACTTGATGAAGCTCTCCATTGCCGAGATTGGCGCCAACCTCGGCATGTTGATCGGTGGTACCCTGGGCACCATGGCCATTCACCTCTTTGTGATCCTGCCCATTATCTTCTTCGCAGTCGTTCGCCGGAACCCATACACCTACTGGTTCAGGATCGCGCCTGCCTGGATCACTGCCTGGGGTTCTGCCTCGTCTGCGGCGACGCTCCCCGTCACTCTGCGGTGCGCCCACGCCCAGAAGATCCCCATCACCGTCTACAAGTTCACCTGCCCGCTCGGCTGCCTGATCAACATGGACGGTACCGCCATTTACTTCCCCATGGCCGTTGTCTTCCTCGCTGCCACCCAGGGCAAGGTGCTCATGGGCGTCGACTACGTCATCATTGTCGTGCTCGCCACCCTGGCCTCCATTGGCACCACCCCGATTCCCTCGTCGTCGCTTGTCCTCGTCATCATGATTGCCAACTCGGTCAACGTCGAGGTCACGGGCATGTACGCCGTCATTGTCGCCATTGACTGGCTGCTTGACCGCTTCCGCACGGCGATCAACGTGTCTGGTGATCTGATGGGCTCCAAGGTCGTGGAAAGGCTTAGCAAGGTTGTCGACCCCGAGGGCCTGGTCGACGAGACCATGGGTCCCCGTCCCGACGCTGACGGTGCTCGCTACGCCTAAAGAGATGGAAATGTGTATGTAATGTTGGGAATAATGTGGTTGTTTCTGAGCGTGCAAATGATATCATGGTCTTGGTATAACTACTATCAACGACGATTCTACGTTGCCGTGCTCTTTTATCCTGACCTGAGTGCAACCATGCCTTGCTCACCAACTCGTCGCCCTGACCACGCACTCGGAATGTAGAAAGTTGTGAACATGAGCGATCGCACAAGCAGTGGCAGCTGGTGGTAGTGGTGTCCATCGATTCCTCACTGGGAAAGCATGAACAGCGTGTTGGCCCTCTGGAAGCGACAAGTCTAGCACGGGACCCAACACCCAACCAGTCGCTACCAGGGTATTCAATGCTGAGTCATTGATAAACATGAAAACTAGTCTTCCTATTACTTTGTATTAGGTGGTATTGGCACGGAAGTCGGTTGGGAGTGCCTGGCCGACGATCCGAAAGTGAGAATTCCATCATGCCGGCAATCGGACGCTACAGTGGACGACGGTCTCGTACAGGCTACAGTGGCCTCGGGGAGCCCTGTGACCAGCTAGACCCGCCTGGAGAGACCCCGAAAACCGAGATTTTGGGTGCACGTCCGATACGGGCTAAGCCGTAAACGGTAGTAGCCCCACCATTGCGTGATCCAGGGCCGTCCGCCATCGAGACGTGGCCCATGAACCACATTTTCTCCATCCGCCAACCGGACTGACCGTTGTCGAGCACGCAATGCTCATTACTGGCAGATATGGATGGCATCAGCGACTGCTGGGAATGCCGCCGCCCGGGAAAAATTGGTCTCGAGCCGGTGATACTGCCAGAACCAGGCGTGGTGGATAGGAGCGTTGCTCTCCATCCTCTTTCTATACGTACCGTACCTTACCATCCTCCCCTTCCTCACCATCCTCCTCCCTGATCTCATTCACGACCAAGGGCTATACACAACCCGTCGCAAGTGAAGTGATCCAAGATGCCCGGCTTTCAGAAGCAGGCCACCAGCCTGCCCTTTGGCCAGCAGGTGCCTCTCGCCTCCGTCTCCGGCCCAGCCTATGTGACAGCCCAGCTGCTCGTGCAGCAGATCGCCTACCAGCTGTCCGACAAGATATTCTCCTACTCCCCCGAGACCTTTGACTTGGACGCCTCCCTCAAGCAATGGGCTGTCAAGGGCGACAAGAACATTCACGACGCCGTCACCGATGTGCTCCCCCTCCAGAGCAGGACCGGTGCTGGTGCCCTTGCCCTGGGATACATCTTCTCGCCCGACTTTGACGTGACCAAGCGTCACATCCCCCAGTCTCTCATCGCCGCCTCGGGCAGCCTGCAGCAGCTCCGCAACAGTCTCGACCAGCTCTCCCTCCTGTACGGTGTCTCAAGCCCCCTTGTCGCCCATGTCGCGGCCGCCGACTACTCGGCCAGCGAGGGCATCGTGACCGACTACGACACCCCTCTGCGCCTCGCCGAGGACCTGGGTCTTGGCCTCGTCTCCAGCACCTCCACCTACGAGGCTCAGCACATGTCCATCTTCTCGACCCTGCTGGCCTCCCTCATCCCGACCTTGCACGTGTACGATGGCGTCCGCGTCGCCCGCGAGACTCTCCGTGTCGTCGATGCGCTCAGCCAATCCGGCGTGGCCGACTTGTACAACAAGCTCTTCGCCGAGGTGGGCAAGCTGAACAAGCGCCTGGACACCGCTGGCAAGGTCGTCGAGCTTCTCAAGCTCTTCAACGATGAGCTGGGCACCATCTACGAGCCCTTTGAGTACCACGGCCACGAGACCCCCGATGTGGTCCTCGTGACCTTTGGCAGCGTCGAGGGCCAGACCGCCAAGCAGGTCCTCAAGAAGATCTCGGCGGATGGCGCCAAGGCCGGCGTGGTCAACGTCCGCGTGTACAGGCCCTTTATCGAGGAGGCCTTCCTCAAGGCCATCCCTGCCTCGGCCCGCACCATTGCCGTGCTAGGCCAGGTCCAGAACGACACCGCCGTCAACGACGAGGCCGTTCAGTCGGCTCTCTACGGTGATGTGCTGACCACTGTCGCCTTCTCCGACAAGTTCGCCGAGCAGCCCGAGGTTCTCGATATCAAGTACACTCCGTCTCAGGCCATCACGCCTCAGGGCATCGTCGACACCCTGCACAAGATCTTTGACAATGGTGGCGAGGGCAAGAAGCTCCCCTCGCTCATCCAGGCCAGCGAGTACACCTTCTGGGACGTGGACGATTCGGCCACCCTCAACTCGGCGGCGGCCGTGGGCACTGCCCTCGCCAAGGAGTCCCGCAGCAACGTGTACGTCTACGAGTCGTACGATAACCTCACGCAAGGCGGCATCGTCCGCACCGACCTGCGCGCCTCGAGCAAAGCTCTCGAGGCGCCGTACGATGTTGACGCGGCCGAGGTTGTGGTTGTCTCTGATGACCGCATTCTCAAATCTGTCAATGTCACAAAGGGTCTGGCCGAGAGTGGATCAGTGATCCTGAAGCTCGCCAACTTCAAGGAGGACGAAATTGAGAAGCGTCTGCCTGCTTGGTTCCTCAAGGCCCTCCACGAAAAGGCCGCGCAGCTTTTCGTGCTCGACATCTCGTACTCGCCCGCGTTCGAAAAGGAACCCCAGTCCACGAAGCTGCTCTTTGAGCTTGCCTTCCTCCGGATTGCACACCCCCAGGTCTCGTCTGAGGAGTTCTCCAAACTCAACCGTGTCGAGGGACACCCTCCCACGCACGAGGAGTGCGTCGATGCGCTCAACCAGTGCGTCCGCAAGGTCGAGGTCTCCCCGTCGTGGGCCGAGGTGGACGCCGAGTACACCGATCCTCAACTGCCCTCCACCATCCAGGCCAACAGCTTCGTTGCCCACCAGAAGGAGGAGGTCGAGGAGGCTCTCGAGCTCAGCGATTGGCAGGCCGTCGCCAAGGGTCTTGCCTTCAAGGAGGCCTACGGGACACGCACCACGCTCCGCCCCGATCTCAACGTCAAGACAGGCACCATCACGGTCAAGGAGAATCGCCGTCTCACTCCCCAGGAGTACGACCGCAACATCTTCCACATTGAGTTCGACCTCGGTGACTCGGGTCTCAACTACAAGATTGGCGAGGCGCTGGGCATCCACGCCGAAAACGATGAGGCCCAGGTCCTTGCCTTTATCGAGTCCTACGGCCTCAACGCCACCGACATTGTCCAAGTTCCCAGCCGCGAGGACGTCAACCGGCTCGAGTCGCGCACCGTCTTCCAGGCCCTGCGCCAGAACGTCGACATTCTCGGCAAGCCGCCCAAGCGTTTCTACGAGGGTCTGGCCGAGTATGCCACGGACGAGGTCCAGAAGAAGAAGCTCGAGCAGCTCGCGGGTGCCGAGGGCGCCGACGAGTTCAAGCGTCGCAGCGAGGTCGACACGTCCACTTACGTCGACATCCTCGAGGAGTTCACCTCGGCCCGTCCCAGCTTCCACGATCTGCTCAAGATTGTCAGCCCGCTGAAGCGTCGCGAGTACTCCATTGCGTCGGCCCAGGCCGTTACCCCGACTTCCGTCGCCCTCATGATCGTCGTCGTCGACTGGGTCGACCCCAAGGGCCGCACCCGCTACGGCCACGCCAGTCACTACCTCAGCAGGCTCACGCCCGGCACGCCCGTCACGGCCTCGGTCAAGCCGTCGGTCATGAAGCTGCCCACCAACGACAAGGCGCCCCTCATCATGGCCGGTCTCGGTACCGGTCTCGCCCCCTTCCGTGCCTTTGTCCAGTACCGGGCCATGCAAAAGGCGCAGGGCAAGGAGATTGGCTCCATCCTGCTGTACCTCGGCTCCCGTCACCAGCGCGAGGAGTACCTCTACGGTGAGGAGTGGGAGGCGTACCTCGACTCGGGCGTCGTCACGCTCATCGGCGCCGCCTTCTCGCGCGACCAGCCGCAGAAGATCTATATCCAGGACCGCATGCGCCAGACGGTCCGTGATATCGTGCAGGCCTACATCAAGGAGGAGGGAAGCTTTTATCTCTGCGGTCCGACGTGGCCCGTCCCTGATGTCACCGCCGTGCTCCAGGAGGCCATTGCCCTGGACGCCAAGGCCACCGGTGCCAAGAAGGTCGATCCCGTCAAGGAAATTGAGAAGCTCAAGGAGCAGGGACGCTACGTGCTCGAGGTGTACTAGACGGCAGATGGGCTTAGAACTGAAAAATGTGTGTTTGAGCGCGCAGGCGTTGAGGGTACATAGACATGCATCTTTACTACAGCTACACAAAGTAAATGAAGGATTTGATTCCATACGCCAACCTTCTTGTGGCTGGGGCAGTGAACTTTTGGACCAGATTTCGGTGGGAATCTCGCTGGCGAGAAGACACACCTCCTACGCATGTGCTTGCTCGCTTGGATGTTGCCTCCACCGTCTCGTGGCCCATTACACGCGAACACGTTGCAAAGGAGGCGGGTAGGCATCGTATGACTATGTGCCTACCCGTTCGACGAGCCTGCATTGGGTGAGAACAGCTAACTACGCATATTGCCGGAAGCGTGCTCAAGGTTGGAACATGCTCTACTAGGGTGGGTCGGCAAGGGGTCACTACTTTGGTCTCACAGATTGCGCGACACACTTGACAATTCTGTAGGGCAAACAATGCAAGTGACCGGTAAAATACAGTTTCTCTGCTGCGATCATTTCCTAGACACACAGTATCTAATCAGGCACACCCCGTCGCCGCGGGGTGTAGGTATCGTGAGCCTGTGTATCCCACCCACGAATTACTAGCCTCTTCCCGATGGAGGTGCATATTCATCATATCAATACCATACCCATTTCGTTTTATACCTGACTCCTTTGCATACTCGTACTGCGCCTCGTCATATAGTAGACCCTGAGAACGCCAATAATGAAACCGACACGAAACTCCAGAGAGATGCTGAATGTAGAACGAATAATGAGAGAGAAAAAGTGCAGTGAACGCCCGATATGCTGCTGATGAAAAGGTACATCTATCGCACGGCTGTGGCGCCGAACCAGCGACCAAGAACACCACGCTTCTGTCTCTTCTTGGATGAGCCGTCGTCCTGCAGTTGCTGGTACTCTTGCTCGGAAATCTCGTAGGGCAGACGACCACCAGAGTTGCTTCGGTAGCGCTTGCTGTGCTCCTCAGCGTAAACGTGGACTGGCGACTCGCAGAGACTTCCTTGGGCTGCCATCATGGCGTATGCATCGGGCTCAGCGTAGTCCAGAGGCGTGGTCGCGCGCGACTGCTGGCGGCTAGAGATGGACGAGGCGTATGAGCTCGCCGAGCTGCTGTAGATGAGGCCGGGGGTTGAGCCACTGCTGGTGGCACGAGTGTGCTCCCTTGCCGCATGGCGGGAGCGGGAGCGGGAGCCCTCCCTTGAGGACGCTGGACTGGGGTAGCGACGGGCTGCAGAGCTCATTTCGTTTTGACGCAGTTTGTCCTCGCGCTCCTGCATCTTGCGCTGGTGGCGGTCCAGGATCTTCTCACGAAGAGGCTCCAAAAAGTAGTCGAGCTCGGCGTACAGGTGCTCCTCGTGGATGCGCAGGTCCCACTCGAGAAGGAAGAGAAGCTGCTTCTCCATGGTATTCACTTCAGTGCGATCAAAGCCAAAGTTGTAGTGTTTGGTGGAGATGTGTGAGTACTTTGCCCAGTGCTTGTTCTTTGGCGAGGAGTCGTTCAGGTACTTGGCAGCCAAGATAAGAGAGGCGAGGAAGATGCGGTGGGTGGTGCATCGGATGCCGCGCGCCTGTGGTTGCAGGCGAGCCTTGAGGCGGGTGAGGTAGACGAGGCTGGCCATGAGAGTGGGAACCTGGACGTTGGATGAGACGACGAGCTGGCGGATAAAGTCTTCCACAGAAGGAAGAGACTTGTCGAGCTGGTCTTCGGCATCGGCTTCTGGTGTCCTGGGGGGCGTGGGGGGGTTCTTGGAGCGAGAGTAGGTTGTAGGATCGCATGAGATGACGTTCTGGGCGGCATGAGCCAGGAAAGCAATCATGTCATTGTTGACAGGCTGGTAGACAAAGTGCTCGAGAGCCGTCTGGTTGAGCTCGTCTATGGTGAGATGCCTCGATGCCATGGTGCGTTGTTGTGTGGGTGAGCGAGAGTGAGAGTGAGAGTGTGGGTAAAGCTGAAGATCGTTCTTGGTCGGCAAAGAGAGGGGTTGTCTCTAGGTGAAAGCAACCAAAACACCCGTGAACAGGAAAGGGTTGAAGTATAGAGAGAAAGGCGACTGAACAACAGGACAGGAACTGTAAATGTGGCAGCGGATGGTGAACAGAGACTGGACTCGGGCGGTCAAGTGACGGTTCTGTCAGGCACTACTAGTTGCCTGCGACTGACTAGTACGTACTCCCTAGTCGGCCACGAGGCGGAGTGCGCAGGAATGCGATGGTCAGGGGTCTTTGGAGTCTTGGACGTCCAGAATCCCACACTACGGGTGTCTGCTGCAATTCCAGGTCGAGGCCTGAGCTGAGAGAATGCGGGTCGATGTAGTGTCGCCGGTGGAGGGTGGCCGGGATCTTGGCGATGATGGCCGGATTAGGAAAGACGGCTTGCGTAGGCAGTTGATCTGGCCCGGTGGCTCAGCTGTGTGGCTGGTGCTGGTACGATGCGGCGCGGTGCGCTGTCGGAGGCCGAGGCAAAGGCAGCGTTCGACTTTGGTTACTGGCGTCCCTGATATTCCGATCAAGAGAAGCGAGTGCAACCAAGGGTTCCGTGGTCGCGAACGTGTGTTTGTTTGTTTGTTGGGTCGTATGTCCACAGCGTAAATGGATGTTGAGATTTGGATCAACCAGACAACTAAGTAGACAGACAGGCGGTCCTTATTATCCAAAAAGAAAGTCGTAGTGTTGCGTCCTCTCAAAGGGCGTTGTCGAGATGCAGGAATTGAATAGTTCAGGTGATTGAATAATGAGGATCAAAGAAAGGCAATCGTAGGTAATAAAGGGCGAATACAGCGATGACGATGTCCAATGTCCGCTTGGCAGGTCTCCACGGTCGTCTCAATCTCGCAGAGGTATGTGATAGTCGTCAGTGTTGCTGAGAAAGGGTGAGGATATCCCCGGGCAGGATCTCCGCGTGTGGCAACGGGATGGCAAAGGGCAGTCAGTCAGTCGGCCTGTGCGGAACTGCTTGCGAGTTGCAAAGGAGAAAGAGAGGAAACTGGGTTAAGGTGCCCGCCCTTGGAAAGAGTCGCTAGTGAAGAGTTGAGAAAATTGGACTGAGTCCCTGACTGCCTGGGAAAAGAAAGAAGGGGGGAAATCGCCCAGCGAAAATTCCAACGCACGAGGAAGGGGGTGGTGAGGGTGTAGGGGACGTCCGGACTGGATGTCTCTGGTCACGAAGTAGCGTTGAGACTCGCAGGCAGGCAAGCAAGCAGGCAGGTGGACGGTGACCGGGCACCTGATACATTTAATACCAGACGTCGGAAACCCGTGGGGACCCTCACATGTTCGCCAGCGATGCTTGTCGTCCAACAAAACGGCCCTCTCCGTACCAACCCTGCCTTTCTCTCGTCCTTCTTGCTCTGCGCGGTTCCAACTTCCAACGCACGAACACGTTGTCAAATTGGACCTGGCCATCTCGAGAGACCACCGTGCCTGTGTCATGAGTGGCTGCTGGCCGCTGTCAGAGAGTTTCCAGCTGTTCGATGGGGCCTTCCCCAGCGCACCCCACTGCAGCTGGCGGCGGACGGGAGGGCTGGACGCTAGCCGCCTGGTCTGATTGGGCCACAGCAGCCGCATTATGAAACAGTCCCTCAGACGTGGAGCAGCCTCCTCCTGCAGACAGACAGATCTGCTGCTTGCCTCTCTCGCTGCCACTCTCACCCAATCACCCTGCTTCAGTAGCCGTCTGCTGCTTTTCTTGTCTGTGTTTTACATTTTGGCGCCGACCGCCGGTCATGTATCGAGGCAGGCGCCTGCTTACTTTATTAATGCTTGGACTCGTAATGTTAACCAGCGCCAACTGCCCTTCTCGGATCGGAGCGAAACATCAGCCTGCACGCTGTCTGTCCGCACCGTGACTCGAAGCGCGCCACGCTACCGGTGCATCGTCAAGACTGTGGCGTCTGGCCTCGACCTTCTTCGCGTGGAAACTGGAAAGGGACATTTGTGAAGGCGCGCCGCGCAAAGACAGAGATCGGCTAGCGAGGTACCACCATACCTATCGTACCAGTCACTTGGAATTGCTACTCGGTTCTTCGGTCCCCCTTGCTGACGGCCACCTCGCCTCTCTCTCACCACTCATCGGCGTTGAACCGCGTACCAATCACACAATGTCTCAACTCTCAAGACTTGTTTGACTGTCATCTCCTGGCCGGCGACTGTCGAGTACTTATCATGGCCTCCTCGGAGAATGGACGCTCAGCACGGTTCAGACATACCAGCCCAAAGCGCGCATGTATTGCATTACGAGGCAACGTATCTCCAGCAAGGGGAAGGGAGCACACAACCTCTCGTTAACCTCCGTGTGCTAGTCCCAAAACCACGCGCAATCGCATTCCAGACGATGGCGGCTTCCTCCGCACCATCCGTTCCCCTACAGGTGGCTGCAGGCCCTGCAGCCCGGATCTGTCTACTGAGCCGGCGGTCAAGATGCACTGTAAGGTACGTAGTGTGCGTCTTTTCTGACACGCTGGCATTTGTTGCTGCCCGTCATGCATGACAGGCCGTTCCACAAGAAAGCGTGCCCAACCTGCCGACTAGAGTCACTCATGACGGTCTCATTGACCGCTCTCTTGCGCCCATGGTTCGGCAAAAGTCATGCACTTGATGCCTCGAGCCAACATAGCCAACACTGATTAATTGACCAAGAATCATGCGAGCGGCGCGCTCATGTCCTGCTGCCAAGTGACATGTACATACGTACCTTCCTCACATGCCAGTGCGCAGGGCAGCTGAAACACGAGCCACACGGCAGCAAAGTGACCAATCCAGCTGCGTGGAGCATCATCTACCGAATTGTGGCTTGACCAGCGCAGGGGGCTACAAGGGGCCGGCCATAAGGGGCGGTTCTCTCACGTGCTGTACAGAGCTGCTGTCGGTGCTAGCCTCAGCCACACTTCAAGACTCAGCCACAGGCCGACCTTCTCACCGGAATCCCGCGGAGCCTCAGTCCGCATCATCACCGTCAATCCGCAGAGCTTAATCTGAAGAGGCTCACTCAACGATGACGCACTTGTCGGTACTTGTTGCTTTGTAAGATCTTTCCTTCGGAGACCGCTGCGGTTCACGGGAACACGCAATCCAGAGACCTCACCGGCTGGCTACGCCTCAACACCCCAGGTCCGCTGGGGCTGTGCAGCGCGAGATGAAGCGGCGGCCTGCTGCAGGAACCAAATCTTGTGGAACAGACAAGACGTGCTGTTTGACTTGCGCAACCTCGCTCTGACAGATATCCCTTTGCAGGCGAAACACTGTTGGCAGAAAATCAACCGCTCGCTCGTCGCAGGTACGTACAGTTCATAATTAGAGCGAGCGAGCGGCTCCTCTCCCGCACGGGCGCTTAACGGACTGGACCGGTTTCTTAAGCGCCGGTAGCAGCAGCCGCCCCAGTCTCACGATATCGTCCAGAGCCGCGTCTCATGAAACCACGGTGTTCTATTTGTGTGCGCGGCTGTTGTGTCCAATCAGTCGTGCCCTGAAGGTCCCTCTTCCCGTGCGTGTGTCTAGGCGTGGAAGCAGCCAGGCCTGATCGCTCACTCGACGCGCCGCAATGCACTCTGGGCCATGGCAACAAGTTCAGCAAAAGGGCAGAGCGTTTCTCCTCCATGATTGCCATGACAACGAAAAGAGTGCTGTGAAATTTCCATTTGGATTGCGCGTTACGGGCTGCCGCCCTGTCCCTGAACCCCTGAATGCGTGCGTACTGTTTATACATATTTCCGTAACAAAGGGACTGAATACATGCGGATATCATTGTGCCCCATCCGTCCTCTCCCATGCATCACCATCTGGCCGCTCCGCCCACCCCAGGCCAGAGAAGTTCCTGAAGTGCTGATCACGGCGAGTCTTGGTGCCTCGTCTCTGGTCCTCTGTCTGCCTCTCTCTGTATCTGTAGGCAACATTCGCCCTGTTAGCCACCAGCGTAGATCACGTCTTCGCTCTTTACAATACCCTCTATGACAAGAATTGCCTACGCTGAGGCGGCATGTCACGGTCTTCCCACGGCGGAGGCACGCCCATCTAGTGCGTGTCTCCGTTTGTCAGCTTCTCCTCGTCCCAGTACCCCTCAAAGTAGGGGTGGTTGACGGCCGACTTGGCGGAGATGCGTCCCGCAGGATCATACACGAGCATCATCTCCAGCAAGTCGAGACCTCTGTCATCCAGGTTGTGGCAGAGAGCAGCGCCGTAGTCGCGGCGCCACTTGGGAAACGTTGCCTTGTAGTCGGGGTACGACGTGACGCCAGGCCAGACGTCTTCGTAGGGCGTTCCGAGAACACTATAAGTCTTGTCAGCGGCAGTTGCCTCTCTCTAGAACCCTCATAGCCAGCGCGTACCGGAAGATCTTGAAGATCTCGTCAATCTCAGAGTCACCGGGAAAAAGGGGCTTGCGCGTACACATCTCGGCAAAGATGCAGCCAACCGACCACATGTCGACACCGGTCGAGTATTGTCTCCCGCCCAGCAAGATCTCGGGCGCGCGGTACCACAGCGTGACGACCTCGTGCGTGTACGTCCGGAGCGGGACGCCAAACGCCCTCGCCAGACCGAAATCGCCCAGCTTCAGGTTGCCTTCGGCGTCAATGAGGAGGTTCTGCGGCTTGAGGTCGCGGTGCAGCACGCGGTGCGAGTGGCAGTAGCGCAGTCCCAGGCAGAGGTGCATCATGAACTTGCGCACCACGGCGTCACCCATGCCCATGGCCTGCACGCGGCGGCTCACGCCGTCGGGCAGCGACTTGCCACGTCCGCCCTCGGAGACGGGGAGGGACTCCATAAACTTCTTCAGGTCGAGCTCGAGGAACTCGAGGACGAGGTAGAGCTTGTGGCCGTCCGCGTGTACAATGTTGAGTAGGCGCAGCACGTTGTCATCCTTCATCTCCTTGAGCAGCGAGATCTCGCGGATGGCCGTGCTTGGGACACCTTCGTCTTCGGCCTCGAGTCGGATCTTCTTCAGGGCCACAATGGCACCGCCATTTGACAGGTCTCGAGCCTTGTAGACAACACCGTAGGTACCTGTGGACTGTCAGGATGGGCGACGCGTGGCGAGTCAAGGCTGCAGCGTCACATACCCTCACCGACCTTTTCCAGCTTCTGATAATTCTCCATGGCGAAGGTGGCTCTCGGTAGACTGTGAGCTGCAAGAGTCTGGGGATGGTGCTGTTCTCCCTATGGGACTCGTCGAACTGAAAGAGCCCTGTGCTTTGTCCTGATGGCAGTCTCAGACCTCTTGGGTGATTACGGTCTTGGTGGCGGTACTAGATCGCGTTGGCCCGCCAAAAGCGATTCGAGTGTGTCTCGTCAAAGTCGTCGTTATCGTGGCGTCGTACTCGTCGGAATCAAATCTATCGGTGCTTGGCTTGGGAGAATGGAGGTGCGTCAGCCTACCTACGGTTGCAGACAATGAATGGATGTTGGAGAAAGTGTGTTCAAAGGGTTGCTGTGCAAAGAATGTTTGTTGACCAAACAAGCATCGCGTGGGTAGTGCTCAGCCCGAGTGCAGTGTGGGGTACATAGTAATATCGCGTTCGCGTCAGGGCCAGGCGAACAAAGAGGGGTCCTCGATAAGATAAGAGAAGGGTCCTTCATATTGATACGAAGGTACCTGACGCCGAATTCAGTTCATTTACACGCAGCGATACTTTGCTCTACACTCATCCATCACCTCCCAGCAACTACTCTGGAGCCTTTCTTCTCAGGTTTAGGATTCTGCTGAGATCGACCTTGCCCTTCGCACCCCAACCCCCTGGCCCAGCTTCAACTTCGGGCCTGATATTGACGTACCAGCTCCAGGCTTTGCTATCCAGCTCTCGCCGACCCACAACATCCTTCCAGCTCTCGAAAAGCATTCGCAAAGCTCCCAGCAATCGGCCTAGGTTCTCCTGCCTTTCGTCATTGGCCGCTGCCACCGTCTTCTTCTTGTCCTCGCCTTCGCTGACCCCCTGAAACGACCTCAGGATGTAATTTCTGGCCCCCTCGGGCCTGTGAATCGCCATGCCAATCGTAGAGTCGACCGGCTTGGTGTCCCCGACGTCAAGGGCCCAGACTGCCTCGCCGCCGTCCAGATTGCCGACTCTCCGCTGCGTCGCGCTCAGAGCGTCATTCGTCACCTCCCTCATCAGCCGCCACCGGTCAGGCCCCAGCATGACACCTCCATACCATCTCGTCATGACAACGAGCGCGTTTGTGACCTTTGACTCTCGCATGACTTGCAGTAGAAATTTGCCAGCGCCCGTCTCTCCGTCGTCAAAGGACGCTTCTTGAACCAGGGGCGAGGCTCCGTAGCTTGTACGGATGGCCCAGGCATTGTGCGTGGCGCTTTCCAGGGAGGGATGTTGACTCATCAGAGTCGTAATGTAGTCTGACCGGTGAGTTGGGGAGTCGATCAAGATGGCATGCGCAACAAACGTTGAGCCTCGTGACGATAGTTTCTGGCTCGCTTTCCACCCTTGTGGCGAGGCCTCGGGCGCCACTGTCGAGGAAGAAGGCTGCGTCGTGGACGGCGCACCGCTCCATGTGTAGCCTCCTCTCTTGAGCACAGGGACCTGTCGACCCATCACACTGACTTTGGGCTGCCCTTCAGAGACGTCGGCGCCTTCTTTCGTCTTCTCCAGACCCAGGCTTACCGCCTTGGATCTCGAGTTCGCGCTCACAACTGCCTGGGCCAGACTCAGCCTGCTACTTAGCGGTTGTTCTGGCATGGTCACCCTCATTAACTCGATGGCGAAAGCCAACAGTAGCGGCGCCCTGTTGGTGACTATGGTCGTGCTGCGTATGGCATCCTCATCTTCTGTCAGGGGCAGGGCGAGAGCTGCTTCTAGTTCATCGGGCGACATACTGCCCAGGTCCAGATCTCGCTTCGTCGGTTCAATCTTGGCCTTCTTGGCTGAAGGTGGTGAGGAGGGTGAAGATGCATCAGCAGGACGCTTCTTGCTGTGCGATTTGCAAGCCATCTGTATACTCTTTGCGAGTCTGGCGTCAGATAGTGTCAACTCCAGATCTCTCAATGGAGCTGATGCCAGTTGATCAATGCTAGAAGGTGTGAGTAAATGTAGCGTGCGTGGGTGCAGATCATAACAATGCCTTTTGATGTTCTTGGCTTGTAAAGCTTGAACGTGCTTCAGTGCGCCTAGCATGGACACCTTGCGCGTTGTGAACATGCGCAGCATCTCCTGCAGGTCTCCATGACTGGACATGTTGGTTCTCTGTAGGATGTACAAGCTAAGTGATGAATTCTGGACAGTATGAGCCACGATGGAGTCCTGTTGATGATGCCTTGCCTTGGTGCAGGGTATGAAGATCACGGCGGACGTGACGACGGTGACGCGTGCCCCACATCTTTCCGTCCGAGTCGCCCCCTATGCCAAACGCGGCAGGGGCCCCACCAGATGGTGACTTTCGAATTTCGATCACGGCTCAAGCAAGCTCTGCCTCGACCACCCCGGAAATTCCGCTCCATGACAGAATGCACCTCGACCACTCATGATATGCTCAGCAAGAGGTCTCCTCCATCCGAGGCTGGCCCTTCTCCATCGACCGCAATGGCAGCGTCTCGCCAGCTCTAGCGCACGCGGTGCGTCGCCCAAGACCAAAACCAAGACCTCGAAACCACCACGACCGATACCCTACAAGCCGTACGGACCCAACTGCACTGCAATCTATAGCTACCCAGACTAACCCACATGAACCAAGATCGAGCATCAAGCCCCGCGAGCCGAATTTACGAGACCATGTCGACCCCCCCGAACCCCAGACCGTGGCGTCTATCTGGAAAACCCACTGGCTGCCTCTGTCAGGCGCTGTCCTCCTCGCCGGCGCCCTGGGCTTCTACATTGTCGGCACAGTCACCGCCTCCGTCAAGGCCTCAGGCTGCCCGTGCGTCGAGCACTCCATACCGACAGGCCGCCCCCCTGCGCTGACGGGCGACAATGCCGACACTTTTGACAAGGAGCTGGACTTTCCCGAGTGGTGGATGGGCATCCGCGCCCTGCGCAAGAGGCTCGCGGCCGAGGCCAGGGGCAACGTCCTGGAGCTCGCCATGGGCGGCGGCCGCAACCTGGAGTACTACGACTGGTTCGCGCTGTCGCAGTACGCCGCGGGCCGGCCCAACATTGTCGCCAAGGGCGTCACGTCCTTCACGGGGCTGGATATTTCCGCCGACATGCTCGACGTCGCGCGGCGACGGCTCGTCAAGGCCGTGCCGCCCATGAAGGACTCGGCGCCGGTCGTGGCGGCCGCGACGATGCCGGACCGCACGGGCGGACAACTGTCGTACCTCGACGGGCACCTGCGCTTGGTCAACTCGGATGCGCACAAGTCACTCCCCGCCACGGCGCGGGGGGACAAGTACGACACAGTGGTGCAGACGTTTGGCCTCTGCTCCGTCTCGGACCCGGTGGCTGTGCTTACAAACCTGGCGTCCGCCGTGAAACCCAACACCGGCAAGATTATACTTCTAGAGCATGGAAAGGGGTGGTTCGGCATCCTGAATGGGCTGTTGGACAAGGATGCCGACAAACATTTCGCGAAATACGGCTGTTGGTGGAACAGAGATATCCAGGGGTTGGTGGAGGAGGCCGCGCAAAAGACGCCTGGCCTCGAAATCGTCAAGATCGAGAGACCCAAGTGGTTGCAATTCGGAACGCTGGTCTGGGTCGAGCTGAGGGTGAAGGACGCGTCGCCCTAGGCGGGCAACGTGGCCATCATCATGCACAGCTGTATGAATCATTGTATGAGTAGAGTCTGTAATGAGTGGCATTTCCATTTTATGAGAAACCTCCCGAGTCTTGTTGCTTCCATGCAAAGAGTCAATCCATCCTTTCCTGAACGCCAGAAAATTGCCATCGCGCAGAGACCGTCAATCTACATATACAAGAGATTCATTTCCCTCAATCAAATCGATCATTCATACCCCAAATTCAGTCGTCGAATCAAATAAAATCATATCGTCTCCAAAGATGCACCGGTACGTGTAGCGAGTACCTGTCATCCCACAAACTCCAAATGCGCCAAACATGATTTTGATGTCGCAGGATATGCGCAAGAAGCAGTAAACACTCAACACCCCTCCAGGAGGCCGTCAAGCTCATCAATCTCGATACTCTCGGCGCCAGCCGTCTGGTCAAGCTCAAAGAGCTTGTGCATGCGAAGCCAATTGTCAGCCTCCTCGTCCTTGCGACTGCTTGACCCGGCACTGGGTCTCATGGCTGGGCTTGTGAGGAAGGCTGTGGTGTTGCTGTCGCCGAACCACAGCTCGTCGCGATACCCGTACTCGGCAGTGGCCAGCTCTTGCGAGGTGGAGGGGGGCTCGTTGAACTTGCGCTTCAGCAAGGTGTCCGCCGTCTGTGTGAACTCGCGCTCGTCCTTCTCCAGCGGGGGAAGGTCGTGCGGCAGGGACCTGAGATCGCGGGGGGGAAAGGATGGCTTGGGTAGCGAACCCATGGGTGTATCGGGCATGTCGTCCAGGAGATCAAAGTCGCAGTATGGCAAGTCGAGTTCGGGAGACGGACTCAACTGACGGCGACGATCTTCGTACGAGTCGGAGCCGGAGTCGTCTGTCAACGACACGGAAGGCGTGAGATCCGCAACGGCACTGGCGAGAGTGACGGCTGGCGGTATGACGCCCGACTCGGGCAACGGCTGACGTGGGAGAGTGGTCAGGAAGTAGTATGTGCGACGAGGATGGACCGTCTCGAGTTCCTTGGCCAAGGGGCACGGTGCCAGCGCCGTCCAGCAAGGGCGCTTCATGTACGAAGCCAATCGTGATGAAATGATAGCGCACGGGTTGGCGGAACTGTAGTGTGGTTAGCGCAATGATTCGCGACACTCTGAGAGGAAAGGCTCACTTTTGGACGGATCTAAGCGTCAACGCGAGCATGAGGGCCAGGTCTTTGATGAGATGGGGCTGGTTGTCGGTGTTTTGGAGCTGCGTAATGACCGCCTCGACAATGTCGTCGTTGATGCCCTCCAAGTCGACCTTTCTTCGCACCGGTTCGGGGTCGGGCATCTCAACGCTGGTCGCAGGAGTCGGCGACGCGGGAGGCGTTGTGTCCACCACGGCGACGGAATCCTCGTCGTGGGATCGCTTGATGCGCTTGCTGGGGGGCGAGTCGGGGGTATCTGGCTGCGATGTCGAGGGCCGCGACGAGGACGATGTCGAGAATGTCGAGGATCGACTGCTTGACTTTGTAGACGATAACATGGAGGCGCGCGCCGCATTGCTCGTGGGAACATGGATCCCAAGGCTCGGCAACGACAACGATTTGCGACGAGTATTGTACGGCATTGTGAGGACGCGAGGGACGAAGTGTCTGGACGGAAAGAGGAACGACGGGGACTATAGGAGTTGGGGATCGTGTGTTATGTGGTTGATGCGCGGCCACGTTCTCGGGATGTATGGTGACGTGCGACCAGATAGGTAGTTCCCAGTCGCGACAAGATGAGTGCACGGTACTGCTAGTCTTATCACCTGCGATGACACACGATGCCGTGAATGGTGCAGACAAGGAAAAGGACCAAGGGGGGCGGCGAGATGACCGGGCTGGACAATGAAGGGGAAGTGAGTGATGATACTTCGGGCGCAGTCGGGGGGCAACTGGAATGACAAGAGGGCGGTCTGCTGTCAACCAAGGGGCCTCGCTGGAAGGTGAACTGTTGTAGGGGTCCCGAAGAGGCTGCTCAGCCGTTGGTTTATTTTTTTTTGGAGCCAGGGATATCAGGCAAGAGCTCGAGCGACCCGCGCAGGAATCGGCAGCAAGCACGAGAGCATCTTGTGCATTTTTTTTTTCTGCTCGTTTCCCGATGATCCCATTGGCCGTGAACCACATGCAGAGTGGAGATCTCAGACGTCAGTGGGGCCTGCAGCCACCAGATCCTTGTCTGAGCTGCAGCTACTGCAGGCGCTAGTGCAGTACGTACGTCGTCCGCCGACTCTCTGGCCATGACCCTCCTTCTCCACGTCAAGCAGCGAGCCTTCAAGAAGGGAGAGAAAGGAAGGAAATGTAGCAAAAAGCAAGCCCGTGCCTACCATTTAGGACTGCTCAGAAATGGACTCGGCAAGAGGTGAGGCATTGAAGTGTCTTCAGCAGGAGGGACCTTTTCTGCCTTTCCCCCTTAATTAATTACCTTTACTTGTACTTCACCTTGGCCGACCCGCTTCTTCATCCACATTGAATGGTGAGAACCGGGGGCTTCGTCTTTTCTTGTCCAAGATCAAGGGACTTGATGGAATGGATCCTCTCAGAGCGCGTCTCATTGCCGTAAGTGAACATCTGGCTCCGCTCCGAATATGGAACTGACAATGTTGTCGAGTGATTTCTGCTGCCGCACCGCAGCCGCAGCTCCGAATCAACGGAAGCAGTCCAACTTAATTGCCTGTGGCATTCTGAAGCAACGTCAAACGACGCGCAGGCTGCAAGGAATTACAGCTTCAAGAATGAAGCACACACATGTTACAACAGATGGTTGCCTCGTTGCTTCTTTCGTTTCAGCCGACCAGCGGCAGTCGACCGAGTCAGACGACCAGACCACTTCGTCCGAATCGACGTGGGTGGCGACGGCGCATCCCTTTTCCAGCCCATTCCCGACCTCTCATTGGGCAGCCTTGGTGGTCGTGCATTCCCCTTCCTGGTTCAGCCAGCCGTGACGACATTGTTGGCGTTTTATATTGATCACTCAATTACTCTCGAGTTGTCTTGGGACTTTATGTTGATCGTTGAGCTATCTCAGCAATCACAACGAAGAAGAAAGCAGGCAGAGAGAGCGTTTGCCTCGACGTCTGGATGGCTGCATGCACGCATGCAAGCCTGGAGGCCAAACGGCCTGACTCGAGCCAACGAATCCAGCAAACCTTATAAAGGCTGCATTCCACTGTGCAGGCCTCCTCCAACGAGACGTCTTGTGTGGCCTGCTCGAGGCCGCTGGAGTCATGCCGTTCCCCGCACCCCAACACCCTCTTTGGAGGCTGGATGCGAGCGTGTAAGCCAGCCCGGCGAATGCTTCTCTTGGCCCAAGATCGGGGGTGGTGTATCACAGCGTTCCATGCGTGCGTGCATTGCCAATGCATGCGACCCAGCCCAGTAACACCCTCACCGCCTTCATGTGGCCGTCCCTTACTGCACACCAGGCAGTCGGTCAGCCTCGCGCTTCATCGATTGATGCCTGCCGAGCGTGAAGCATGGGAGGACGACCCAAAAAGGCCTTTGCTCGGTTTGTAATTGAGATGCATCCAGCCGTCGACACGGCGGGGAGGGGAGCGACGGACGATCAGCGGCCCGTCCGCCGACTCTCGTAGCGTGATGACGACCCTAGCGGAAACATTGCATCAGCACACATATCCTTCAAGCCCTCTTGCACGGCACAGGTAGGGAATGAATCAACTACAGGGCGATTTGGCCGGCCGACGTCGCGTTCACTTGGAGTACTGCCGACCTGTCTGGTAAGTCTCTGACAAGCGCCCCGCAGCCTTGCAGTGACATCAGTCGAGAAGGTTGGGCTGGTGCTGTCTTGGACTCTTGTTGGACCTTGGTCACAGTAGCACCACGGAGGTAGCCAGGGGGAGGCGATGTTTGCCTCTGATGGCGTTGAGCTGGTATGGTTCTCATTCGACGCTGGAAATGCATTGCAATCACATCTCATTGCGGAAAATCGCATGTTCATCTCTGCACGAACATATTGTAGTAAGCAAGCACCCGTCTTGTTTGCCTGCTGACATACGCCGTGCACACACACGTAGTATGCCAACGATCCTGGTGAGTAGACTGCAACTCGTTATCCGTTCAATAGCCTTGCCCCATGCTCTGCGTTGATTGTGTGAGTACTTGCAGGCGTGAGCCTCGAATCCTCGATCCAGGTGTACCGTTCGTTTCGCGCTGGAGGATCAATGGCTAGACGGCGGTTTGGCTGGGCTATTCTGGTCTGGGCTGGTCTTACAACGGGCCTTTGATAATCCAGTTCTACAAGTACGTATCGCACTAATCCCCCCTCTTCCGATTGGATGCATTACCCGAGCCAATCCGTGCAAGGCTACGGATATGTAAGCAAACAGCTAAACCCCAGGCCACTGGGCTCTCGTCCCCCTTCCCAGACGCTACCGGCGGTACTACAGGCTACTACGTACGCAGCATCGCGAACCAACCGACCAATGACTGTCGCCCGCAGCGAGCGCTGTCACTGCTGTGAACCGCCCGCTTGGCCTTGCTCCCTCCCCCACCTATACAGCAGCCTGACAGACGGAAATGCGTCATACCGTGCGCGTCTGAGGGTCCTGCGCCCACACGCGATGACCCCAGCATATTACCACTTGCAAACCTATTCGTCCCTTTCTCTAGCCTACCCGCGTTATCTATGGAGTCCAGCCTCGACCCGTTCCTCATCCGTAGGCTTCACGTCTAACCTCGTGTGGTGTATCCAATCTCCCATGTCGCGCCTCCCCCGCAGATGGCTCCTTCTCTTGGGCGGGCGCAGCAGCGAAGATCCCACTCTGGAGGGGTTGAATCTGGATGCCCATGAGGGATTAGACGGGCGGGCAAGGCGTCCTGGGGCGGCTGGCCCCGGATGAGCTGGAGCTGTATAAGAAGCGCGCTCTTCCCCATGGGCGACAGGTTAGATGACTTGCTTCCTCGATCTTCAACAAGACTACATCTGAATTCTTCTCTCACCTGACCTTGGCCCCATTTGTCGTCGACGACTTATATACTCCGCGTACTACTCACCACTCTCGCGAACACATACACATCCACACCACCACCTATATACAAACAATATCACAACATGCACGCCCGTGCCGAGTACTGCTGCAAGTGCGGTGGCATGATTGTCATCAGCACCACCTGCTCCGGTTGTGGCCACAACCAGTGCAACGACTGCCCCTCGAGCTAGATGAACGCCTCTACAGCACCACAAGCCGGCCAGCATCACGTCCGCAAACGGCTCGTGGCGTTGTTCCATGACGGAAACAAGCCACACTCCGATATGGAGGCAGTTGTGGATGGCCTGTCACTTTCATCGACCAAGACCAAGACAAAACATACCAACTCCCCCAGTCACCCATGATGACTGAAGTACCATGGCAACACACTGCCTGCGCTCGAATAAATTACTTCTACAAGGGGCGCCCTTGGATGGGTCTGCGCTTGGAAACTACGACGGAAGTCACGGAGAGAGACGTTGTCGTGGAGGGGGCAGACGGGAGGTTATTGGAGTGTGGCCATCGAGCATGCACAACGGCGCGGCGAAGGGTCATGTCCTTTTGCGTGTTGATACCCAGCGTTCTTTTCAGCGAAAGCGACTCCTTGTCAGCGAATCGAGTTTTCTCCATGCATATTGAATCATTTCAATCCGCAGTAGTTGATATTGGCAATGTTCATAGGCGTCTTGTCTACCCAGGTACCCACTAATGTTGACCACTGTTCCCCTAGATATCTCGCACCATCCTCAACCCTCCCCCATCCACCCTCCGGAACCCCATCTTCTCATAAAACGCCACGACCTTGTCGTTGTCAGGCGCAATGCCAATAAAGACGCCCTTACTCGCAGCCGCCTTCTGCGCCCTCACGCTCGCCACAAACTCATCGATCAACTTCCGCCCCCACCCCTTGCCCTGCCACTCGTCCAGCAGGTCAATGTGCATCGTGCCCCAGTAGCCCTGCTCGTCGATCAAGTCTGCATTCTCCCGCCTCAGGAGGCACTCGGGGTCGTACGCCAGCTGTCGCAGGCACACCTCGTCGACCTGCCCGTCGCCCGTCGTGAAGGGCTGCGGGGCCCCGGGGGGTGGTGCGGGCCCGACCTCGTCCCGTGTCTCGAGGACGTCCTTGACGTAGCGCGGATAGGCCTCGATAAAGGTCGCAATGTCGGGGCAGCCGATGCAGTAGCCTACCGCGCGACCGGTGCCGTCGTCGAGCACGAAGCACGTGGTCGGTGATAGATGTGTGTACTGGTGCGTCCAGATATAGGGGGCCATCCTGTAGGCATCTTGCGATGGTCGTAGTGAGGGCGCGAGTGTGGCTCGACACTGTTCAGCAAGAGCTTTGAATCAGCGACTCAGACCCCGTGAGTAAGAAATAAGTGGCAGGTGCTTACAATGTGAGCTGTCGCCTCGAAGTCGGCAGCTCTATAGGTTCTTATAAAGGCCATGTTGGTGATCCGAACTGAGCCTAGATTTGTTATTGTCGAGTTGTTGAGGCCACACATCGGTTGTCGCGAGAACGCGGGGGAAGAGACTACAATAATCAGATGCGGAGAGACCTGCAGGGACATCCATGGGCCATCCCAGCCCCCGCCTCACAAGCTGCTTTGAAAAATTTGTCAATCTCAACTTGGCTGCTTAATTACACTTGTATATGGTGGTCTTATATGTATATCGAACCATGTCGCCCTGAAACTCCACAGACACCTTCCACAATGCTGACGGGCTACCACGAGCTCGCCTTGATGGGCTACCATGCTCACGAGTCGAGGCCCAGCCTGACTCTATCCCTCTCTCGTCTGCCGTGCGCGCCTGCACGAGCCGCTCCGAGACCGCCAGCATGGGAAATTAATGACCTATCGCTTATTTTCTCTTTTCCATAAACTGTAGAGAACCGTGATCACGGCCTGATCAACAAGAAGCATCCAAAAAGGTGCAGAGGTATCTTGGTCATTGCTCGTGTGCCCTGATGATGACGATGAAAGAAATATGCAGTATGGAGAATAAATGACACTGAAGAAAAGAAGACTTTGATCAAAACATGCCGCCTGGGGAGTTACTGCTAGCCGTGCGTGGCTGCAACGGCATCCGCGGCCCATTCTCGTAGGAAGGGTTTGCGCGACTTCTGTACGAAGGGGCCGCCACGCCATTCGCTTCGCTGGGAACCTTGCGCAGGCGCTGCCTGTACTGTCCCGGCCCCATGTCGTCGTCGGACACCATCCTGGTCCGTGATGGTGACCGTCCCTGACTGGCGGGACTCATAGGGGTCTTCGTGCCACTCTCATCGTGGGGATGCGGGCTTCCCATGCCCTTCCGACGAGGATTGATGGGAGGTAGGGGTGGAGGTGCGCCAGTGTTGGCCAGTGCCAAATTTGGCGTGGACGATGTCATTGGTATGTGTGATCTGTCGTAGTTGGAGTAAGGGGACATGCCCTGAGGGCTCCTCATGTCATTAGGTGCGCGGGACTCATCGTAAGCTGATGAGGTAGTTCGCAGACGAGGGCGATAAGCAGAGGCACCACCGGTGTTGCTGGCCTCAGAACCACTTCGATCACGCTCGGATGCACCAACTGAACCAGGCCGCGAGTCGCCGTCAGCACTGGGGTTACGGTTGTAGCTGACGGGAGGGGGACCTCGATCCTGAGAAGGCAGAGACGATCGCATCGCCGGGGGAGGAGGCGGTGGGGCATGTGTCGGTGCGGCCTGGCGTCGCTGCTTCGTTTCGAGCTCCTTCATTCTCTGCAACTCGCGGCGGGCCTGTCGGAAAGCCTTCAGCCCTGCGTGAGCGCCCTCGTCCTTGTCGGTTGGCGATTTTTCGCCGGATGACCCGTACAATTCCTCACGATGTGGACCGTCATCGACCGACGGCCTGGTGGGCATCGGCGCGTGCGAGCTGGATGATCCCAAGCCCAGCACCTTTCGCGCCGCGGAGCGACTTCGCTCGCGCTCTCCATTCGGCTCACGGGCCGATCGACTACTCGACTTGGAGCGCAAGGCACTGAACGCGCCAGTCCGAGGCGGAGGAAGATCCGAGTTGTCCACGGGCGATGCCACAGGAGACGTGGATCGGCTGTGATCGGATTCGACGTAGCTGGTCAATCGTTCGCGGACCCTCTTGGCGCCGTCAGCAAGGTTGCGCGCAAACTCATCTGTCTCCCGGCCTTTGCTGACCGCCTCAGAGTTTCGACCTCGTGTGAGCTCCTCGTCTGTAACTTGGTGCGCCGCGGGGGTGTCCTGCTTCGAAGCCTGGCTGGGCTCTTCTGTCTGCTCCCACTGGTTGCTGTCCGAGCCCCAGGGGTTTGAATCAACCGCCAGGTCAATGGCGCTGTGAGTGTTTCGGCTGTCCTGGGCTTGCGCAACCGCCGCATCCTCATCGTCCTGTGGGTGGTTGTCGTAGACTGACGACGCATTGCTGACGTTTCGCAGGTGCTGTCGGACCATGCCGCTTAGACCCGCTGGACCAGGGCCCAATGTTGGAGAGTCTTCGGGTGAATCGTCGGGCTTGTTGAGGGCCTCGACAGAGGTCCTCCTTGATATCGTCAGAGGGGTTGGAACTGGAGACTGGCGGAAAGCAGGGTGATCCTGGTCCGCTGGGCGTTCCACCTTCACCTGAGGCGTATTCGGCTGGAATCCAGGCGCGGGACGAGTGGGTGCAGGCAAATCATCATCTTCATCACCAACATTGAGGAAGGTTGGCGATGAAACCTCCTCGCGGATCGTGGGCCTGGGCTTGGCAGCCGACTCGCTCTGTTCGATGTGGGAGCGATTCACCGAGGACGACGAGCGAGAACGACTGGTGGGCTGCGAGCCGTTGGATTCGGTCCTATGCCTAGAGGTGGGTGTCTCGCGACCCTGCTGGAGCTGGCGCTGGCGCTGGGCGTAGCGGTTCTCGTCGTATTGACCTGCGGGTCGGTTGAGGAAGCCTAGAGAAGTAGCCTTCCCCCGGTCATTGGCGCCAATGGACAGAGTCGGGTACTCCTCCGTCTCACTGATGGGAGGACTCAGGGGTGGCGAGGCAGCTGTTGTCTTGGCGTCAACGGTTGGGAAACGTGAGGTGCTCTCAGCAGGCGAAGGGTGTGCGGTGACTGAGTTTGGCGGGCTGAAAGATCGTAGGTTGGGGGCGCTGGCCTTCGAAATCATGGGTCGTCGGTCGTTGTTGCGATCGAAAGCAGTGAAGCCTGAAGGGGTTGAAGCATTGCTGGCAAGGTCGGGGGTTCGCGGGTTGAAGCGGCCCTTGGACAGTGTGTCAATGCGCGACAGTGCCGAGGACTGGTGATCTTGCATCCCCTCTGCCAGACTCTGCTCATAAAGTCGCCTCGTCCGGGTCACGCTGCGTTCGGGTAGGCCTGCGGGTGTTGCTGACGAGGCCTGCCAGTCTTTGGCAGACGATGCGGGCTGAGAAGCGATCGATGTGGCAGCTGTCGAGTCGCGGGCAGCCGAGGGATTCGAGGACATTGTTGAGCTGGTCTCCCTGCGTCGGCTGAAGTCGTGAGGCGACTCTGGTCTTAGGGAACCGGATTCCTGTGTATCTCCTGCGCGCTCGTTCTCTAACGAGCTGCGCTCCTTCTCTGTCTGTCTCCAACGCTGAAACGACGATTGTGCCACGTCGTCGTCGTAGAGTGTTCGCCCGTTACCTCCCGTTGCCGAGATTTTATATATCTTTTGTCGGCCGCCGAATAAGTTGTTTCCTTCAGTGGGCTTCGCGCGGTTCATGATGCTACCAGATAAGGAGGCCGCGTCGTCTGACTGGTAGGAGTCCATTCGGGCGAAAGGGGGATTGCGGAACGAGCTGTCTTCGGCAATGTCGTCAAGACCGTTGCCTAGGCCAAAGTCCATCCTCGATTGTCGCTTGGGCTGCAGCACACTATCGTCGCTGGCTTTTCCGAGCTTACTAGCCGGGTCATCTTGTTCACGCAGCATGGAGAATCGAGCTGAGAGGCCAGTCATGAGCAGACTGGTACGAAAGTCGTCGGTTGGTGGGAGGGCACTGGCTAGGTCGACCTGTGGCGCATTTTCTTCGACTGGTTTCTTGGAGCGACCAAACATTTTAAAAGGACCAGAGGACTCTGAATCGACCGAGGGACGAGGAGGGGCCTCGTCCTTGGCCTTCTTCCGACCCCTGAGACGATTCATGTCGAAGTTTGGGCGGGGAGATGTGCGAAAGTCGTGATCGGGACGGGGGGTCCGGCGTTATACTGCTTCCATGGGCTGTGAATGCTCGCTCCCTACTGCCGCAGCGTTGTAAAGAAGTGATCAAGCTGGGTTGTCCAGGGCGGAAGCCTTATCGTCACGAGCGATATTGTCAGCAATTCACTCCTGCAGTGGCCTCGGCACTGGAACCTGAGGAATTGCGGTCGCCTGTCGGGAAAAAGTAGGGCGAAGAGGCCGCGTTGTGCTTTTGCTCAGGGGCAAGGCGTTCGAATGTGGTTGCGTGAGGATTCGAGAATTAACTTAGACCGGTGTTGCTGCACTGAGGGCGAGAAGAGCTCGGCAAAGTGGTCGCTGCGGCACAGCAGCTTGTAAAAGAGGTTCAAGCGAGAAGGTAAGGGTTAGGTACAGCGAGAGTCAAGCTGGGGTGTTGACTTGATTGCTGTCTTAAGAGAATCGCAGTGGTTCTGACTTTTCTGTTGCCTGTCTCAGACTTTTCTGTTGCCTGTCTCAGACCAAGGATTAATTTCGCGGAGCCGGCGGTGACCGTATCGATCGGCGGCTGTTGGCGTCCTGGGTAGATGGCTAGGTACCTTACTCGACGTCGGAGGCTGGTCGAGACGAGGGCGCGACAGATCCAAGCGCAATTATCGATTCTATCAAAGGAGAGCGAGCGGTCGAGGATGGTGAGGGAATGTGAGGAAGGTCAGGACTGGAGCGACTGGAGTGAGAAACGGTCTGCACGACGACTGGAGTGATGGAAATGGCAGTGACAGTGCTTTAACCCACTCCACTATTATTAAGCCGTATGAGGCTGGACTTATTAGCGGTTGGTACTCTGTAAAACCTAGGAAAGGACTGTCAATGAATTGTGCGCGAATCCAGGCAATTTGAAGCCCCAGCTTGATTAGGCCCATCATGCCGCTCTGCAGAGCGGGCAGGGGGACATGGAGCCTGGAGGGAAAGAGATTGATTGGGCAATGTGGACTGGGTCCAGTCCAGCCAAGCCAAGCCGCCTGCGTTCCTTTTACTCTCAACGGCATCCGTCCCAAACTTCCAACAGGAAAGCGTGACCGCCAGCAGCGTGCCCCCTGACTCCTTGTCCCCGAGGGCCCGATCCCACTCCCACACACGCGACATGGAGATGGTTGAAACGCGCGGGGACTGGACACTGGACGACGCTGTGCTGTGTACTGCATGTACCTGAAAGGGAGCCATAGCGCTGAGGTGCTATAGGTCCAGCCGGCACCCAAGGGGGGGCCGCTAGTGTAGCGTGACATACCATCCAGTCACATCTGCTGTAATGACACCCCAAATTTTCTATCGAGGAACCTCAGCAAACAGGTTCCTGTCGGCATGCCTCAATGCTACATTCATAAGATACTAATCTTGTTGGCGCTTTATTATTCTCCCCTTGCTAGTCTTTTGGTAAGTCGTACTAGGTAGCGCATCAGATGGCACGGAGCCGGTTGTCGTCCCACGTATCATGCCTGTCGCATGCCTTCGTCGGCTGGCACGAGCAAAAAGAAACGAGCCCGTGCTACACCAGAAGCAAAGAATCTTGCCTCAGCATCTCCGCAATTCGCCAATTAACGGAGCTGACAGCCCACACACTTCGCAGCTTTTAGAGAGTTGTTCCTTACATGATGGAGCTAGGCGCCGTCATGGCAGGGAAACCCATACAGGGATGAATAATTGATGCCGCGTGCATGCATGTCCCAGTTCGTCAAAGCGACTTGATCATTCGATGAATTAGTCCCAAGGCACTTTTTGCTCTCTCTGTGCCCATCTAGGGACTAGAGCGCAACCTTTCAGATCTTGATATGAATCGCGGGGTTCTTTCTTGATGACTGTGACGAAAGGGGTCTTATTAATAAATGCGACCGATATAATCCGGCCACCGACATTGGCATTTATTTGTGTCTCCAGCACCGGGTTTGATTGGGCAGAGCAGCCAACCGTACAAGTAGAGAACTCCCTTTGCGGCAGGGAAGCAATGTGAAGCCCGTCAAGTTGATCCTGCTGTAATACATAACATAGTACACACTGGGGTTATCACCCGCCACATCAGTCTCGAAAACAGAGTGCCAAGACGGGATCCCTTTTTTGCAGCTGGTGCATGGTGTTCGAGTTCGTGGCGGTTCATCACCTCTCATTCTCAACTCTCAAGTGAGACAGAGTGTCTCTGAGACCAGGGGCTCTTTTTAGACAACGTGACGTGATATAATCCAAACAGCAACTGTGTACAACAACAAAGTCCTGACTCGAGCACAGGTAGCCATTGCTCGCAACGTGAATGACTCGGGCTGCTTGACGGAGGCAGCATCCATCCACACGAGCGGAACGTCTTCACCACATAAGGCACGTTGGTCACCTTCCTCCTTCATGTTTGAACCCCTCATGTTTTCGAGAAACCAGTTTCTCCAGAGTCGTGCTGGAAAATTACCATCTGGTTCCGTTGCTATAGCCACCCCCTGGACTCACGGCTCGCAGTGTATTCCCGCGAACCAATTACAGTCATGTGCCTGGGGCTAAGCCCAGTTGGGTTTCCCGTCGGTGACGGCCCCTGAACCGGCAGTCGCGACTCAGGGCACAGAGCGGGCGACTTGCCAACGCTGATGCAGGAGTGGACGAGTGGTAATTAGTACGTACGTGTAACATGACATCAGCATCAGCATCACTGCCGTAACTGTCATGAACTCGCACACTCCGAGACACGATTCGCCGTGGAACAAGAGCACCCACCGAACAGAGGACAATTCGTTTCTTTGTTTACAGACGCGTCGAGCGCGTTCGTGGAGCACACTAATTACCATAACTTTGGACCCACGGTACAAGCGCAGAGGCACAAAATGCATCCCTGTCGCCCAACGGACGCCAACAACGGTGGCCACTTTGCTGGGTCGCACAATCAGTTGACAGTCGATCGCTGTTCTTATGAACCACACAGACCAGGATTACGCACGAGCAGCGGCATGACCAGAGTACGGGCTATTTCCCTTCAAACGCTCGTACGTACGTAGATATACCGAACAACCTGCAGCTGACGGCCGCACGCTTCAGTTGCGCAGACGGTGGACCGACCGGTCATTGCGGTCAAGCAAGCATTTCAGATCGGTGACTGATGGGGCTTTTGTTCCCCATGCATCCTGGCCTAGTCCGTAGTTCCTTGTTCGATCCCTCCATAGCACAAGCTTAGGAAACTCTATCTGCTACTAACAACACTCGGGACCATCTGACCGCCGCCGCGTGCTTCTCCCGCGCGATGCATCGACGCCAATAGAACGCTTGGGTATATGGTCGCAGCTGGGATTTGCAGTGTGCACCGCTACCAAGTTCAAACAGCGCGGTAAAGGCCTGCTAATTCGCTCTCGAATGATCGAATCTTGCTACAGACATGGACGATGCGTCTGTTGCTGCCCGTCCAGGCACAGGAACCCTTAAAACCCCTGCTGCAGGACGCAGGGCACTTTCCCAGCTGAAGCCCCCAAATGGCGCTCAGGCGTTCACGAAACCCCTCAACACGAACCAACCCTCAAACAAGATCTGGACAACGCCAGGCGTAATTGCTGTGCCGTCTCAAGGTCGACACATACCCCGCGTTATGTAGCGTGTCCGGTCGGCTGAATCCTGCACATTCCTGCCTGCCTGCATGGCATTTGGCAATCTACCATGTGGGCGTGAATGGTGGGAAAGCAAGGAACGGGATGCATGCAGGCGGTCGACCGCCTGCAGTGGCCGAATTTGTTGAACTACCTCTAGTACCCGCAGATCGAGAGAGACATGTCTCGCAAGTTGGAACGAGATCTCGGTCACGGGAGCGTCAGTCATCGATTCTCCTGAGCTTGATGCAAGGTTGTACATGGTGAGCCTCAAGTCGGATTGTCTAACTTTATTATATTCTCTATAGAGATATGTACCCATCAAGTAGAAACTCCTGTCTAACAAGAGGAGGCCAAGGAAACAAGAGGTTTTGGGAGGGGGCATCATCTAACGAGCCATGACTTCCCAAACACCCAGGTGAGGGGGACGGACAAAAAACTCCAGAACCATGAGTAAAATAGAAGCTGTGGTAAAAGATGTCATGAGATGGTGTGACTTTTTTGCTGTTGTTTCCACATGTGGCAGAGAAGAAGGCCTCGCTCAATTCACCTCCTTAACGGGCTCGTCGGATCCAGCCGAAGTCTGCCGCTCCGCCGTCTTCTCGTCCGAGACGTGGGATTGCGCGGTGGCCGCCGACTCCTTCTTGTCCTGCTTGGCAGTCTTGGCCTTCTTGGGCATGCGCACCCACCAGTAGACAAAGAGAGCGAAGACAATGTTGGCAAAGATGTACACCCAGAGAATACCAAAGTTTCGCCAGCGGTCGCCGTAGTCGGCACGGACACCAGCCAAGAACTCGTTCGTCGTGGCCAGAGGGCACAGCTCGCAGTTGGTCTCGGCATCCTCGTTGCGGAGATAGCCACCGGCGCCGCTGAGCCAGGGGCCCAGGTACTCCCTACACGTGGTGTTGTCCGGGGCGATGATGGGAAGGTACTCGTTCTCGGCGCACACGACGTCCGTGTTGGCCACGGCGGTGGAGAGCATGCCGGAAATGAGGTAGGTGAAGGGGGACACGCGGTACATGAAGATCCAGAAGCGAGGCATGTCGTCGGGCGTGGCGAGGACACCGCAGAAGATGAGGCACATCATGAACATGACGTTTGCGATCTGCGCGCCGCCCTCGGCGGTCTCGAAGCCGGCGATGATAAAGGTCGAGAAGGTACCGGTAAAGAGCATGAACATGAGCAGGAACAAAAAGGTCAGGGCGCCACGCTCGGCCACGGCGCCGGTGGCGTTGTTGTACAGGCCAACGGGGTAGTACCAGCAAAAGTACATGAGCACGGCCATCAGGGCATTCCAGGGCAGTTCGACGATGATCTGAGACAGCATGAAGACCTTCCAAGAGTACACCTTGGAGGGTCGCTCGCGTGCCTCGTAGAGATCACGCTGGATGACAAACTGGGGCATGGACTGCTGCACAATCTGGCCGAAAATGGTCATAATGTTGAAGATGGCAAACATTTGGTTCTGGAGACCCATGATGGAGTTGGGCGCGTCGAAGAAGATGAAACCGATGAAGAGCGCGACCAGGGTGCAGAGCGCCGTCTTGGAGTAGATGTAGACGGGCGTGCGCCAGTATTGCTGGAACACGCGGAAGAGGTTCTCCTTGAGCTGGACCATGAAGGGGGCGGCGAACTCGCGGTAGCTGCCCTGGTCCTCCTTGAGCGCACCCGAGGCGCCGGCGCGCTCCGCCTTGATGCGCTCCAGCTCGGTCTGGAGAGCAGCGTACTCGGGGCTGGTGCGCCAGGCGTTGAACCAGTCGACGTCCGAGTGGGATCCGGGGGCGGCGCCGATGACCTCGAGCATCCACTCGGCCGGGTTGGCGGATTCGGGGCAGGTGAGGCCGCTGTAGCGCTGGAAATAGTCGATCATGACGTTGGAGTTCTCGCCAATGTCGCCAAAGTAGACGGTCTTGCCACCCTTGGCGAGGAAGAGGAGACGGTCGAAGCGCTGGAAGAGCATGGCGGAAGGCTGGTGGATGGTGCAGAGGACGGCCTGGCCGGCCTTGGTCAGCTTCTCCAACAGGTCGAGAATGGCCCACGAGGTCTGGGAGTCGAGACCCGAGGTCGGCTCATCCACAAACAGGAGCAGCGGGGGCTTGGCGGCGAGTTCGACACCAATGGTGAGTCGCTTACGTTGCTCGACGTTGAGACCCTCGCCGGGCACGCCGACAACAGCATCGGCGTACTCCTGCATGTCCAGAAGCTTGATGACCTCCTCCACATAGGCGAGCTTCTCAGCCTTGGGGACGTCGGCGGGCTGACGGAGGATAGCAGAGAAGTTCAAGGCTTCGCGGACGGTCGTGGTCTGCAGGTGGAGATCCTGCTGCTGGACGTAGCCGGTCTTGCGCTGGAAGGATGTGTCGCGAGGGGACCCGTCGACGAGCATCTCGCCGGTGATCACGCCCATCTTGGTACGGTCGGCCAAACAATCGAGGAGAGTTGTCTTGCCAGCACCAGAGACACCCATGAGGGCGGTGAGGGTGCCGGGCTTGACAAAGCCATCGACGTGGTCAAGGATGCGACGCGTCTCCTTCTTGATCTTGACGTCGTAGCAGACATCGTGCCACTGGAAGACGGAGGTCTGCTGCTGGAGCATGGCGCCCTCCTTGTTCTGGCCGCGGCTGCGCTCGGCGGTGACGACGGGCCCGATGTTGGCCATGGCGGCCTCAGGGTCCGTGTGCTTCTTCTCGGCCACGGCGGCGGCGGCGGGCTTGTGGCCGCGGCGGTAGACGAGGACCTCCCCCTTGGACTTCTTCTCCGAGACGAGCTCGGCGCCAATCATGTACGTGACCAGAAAGAACATCATAAAAGCGATCATGATGCCCAGGTTACGCCAGCGGTTCTCCCAGTGGTAGTCAAACTGCGAGGCCGCGTAGGCGTCTCCGTTGACAAATTCCTGGCCGGGTCTGGCGCCGACCGAGCTGCAGACCTTGTTCTCAAATGGGACGTCCGCGTAGGGCCCCTGGCTGGGGACGACCTCGTCGCAGGGGAACTGGCGGTTGTGGAACTCGTTGACCATGAGGGCCTCGAAGGCGTACGCCAGCGGGTCCAGGTAGTAGAGCCAGCGGCACCAGTCGAGCATGTAGGACTTGGGGATGACGAAGCCGGTGAAGATGACGAGGTCGAGGATGATCAGGGCGGCCGGCACGAGCGCCTGGAAGAGCGTGCGCGAAGACGAGGCAATGGTGCGGAAGATCATGGACATGGACAGGACCGTGAAGAGCGAGATGAGGAGGAAGAAGAAGAACGGACCCGGCTCGCGTCGCAGACCGGTCATAAAGTACAGGACCAGGTTGAAGACGATGGTGTTGGTCATCTTGTAGGGCAAGTCACAGAGCATGGAGGCGACGGCCTCGGCGGACGGATGGTACAGGGCGTAACGGGCGTGCTTCTCGACAATGGGCCGTTGGGCGTACAGGGTCAGAATCTACCATTGTCAGCAAATCGAATCACACAGGGGCTCCGGAAAAGGCTCACCTCGAGAGCAGAGGCAAAGGCGTTCATGAGACAAGCGAAGAAGAGCAGGGCGCCGCGCTGGAAGAAACTGCTCGACACATCCTGCAAGTCAAAGAAGACACTGCCAATGATCAGGGCGGTGGCGGTGTTGCCGATCAGGGCGCCCACACTGAGGGTCGGGTCACCGGTGAGGCGCTTCCAGCCGCGCCACAAGCAGAGCTGCGTCTGCTGCATGAACGAGAGGGTGTAGGGAGACTTTACGCGCTGGCCCTTGGCCTGCTGGGCATTCTTGGAGGCGCGGAAGGCCTCGGCGTCGGGGCCGCCGATGGGGTGGGCGACCTTGTACTCCTCAATCTCGGCCTGCAGAGCCGCGTACTCGGGGCTGCTCTTCCACGCGGCGGCGAACTCGTCGGGGGTGCGCGGGGCCTTGCCCTCGAAGCCAGGGCGGACCACACGCTCGTGCGGCGCGGTCATGGAGGTCAGGAAATCGGGCGTGGTCTGACGCGCCGGGCAGTCGAAGCCGAGGTTGATAAAGTAGGCCTTGGCGGCGTCGGCGCGGCCAAAGAAGATCTGGCGGCCCTCGTACAGGACAACAGCCTTGTCGAAGAGATCGTAGGCCGACTGAGGCGACTGGTAGATGGAGACGACGGCGGTGCTGTGGAAGAGCTCGGTCTGCAGACGGAGGGTCTTGCAGAACTCAATGGCGTTGGCCGAGTCGAGACCACGGGTCGAGTTGTCCCAGCACTGGAGAGGGGCGCCGGACAGGGCGGCCTCGGAGATGGTGACACGCTTGCGCTCACCACCGGACACGCCACGGACAAACTCGTTGCCGACCTTTGTGTTGATGGTGTGGGAGATGCCGAACATGGCCATGACGACGTCGCGGAGATGCTCGGCAAAGGCGTTCCTTTCGAGGCCCTCAGGCAGTTGACGGGGCTGGCGAGCACGGGCGGCAAAGGTCAGGGTGTCGCCCACGGAGAGCTGGGGGAAGTGGACGTCGACCTCGGCGGTGTAGATGGCCTCACCGCGGTGGTGGGTGTGCATCTCCTTTGCGTCCATGCCTATTGAGGTCAGTCACTGAAAGTTCTGGGGTGGGTGAGCTCGTGTCTCGGGCCACTCCGTGGTGTTCCACGCAGCCGCTCGAGGTGAGACAGGGAGAGATCGCCAATGTTGCGATCTAGGCCAAATTGACTTACCTTGATAGTTGAAGTAGGAGCCGTCGTCCAGGTAGATACCGTTCATTTCTCCGGCAATGGTCTTGAGCATGGTGGAGCAGCCGGATCCAGGGGGCCCGAGAACCACCAGCATCTCGCCGCTGCGGACAAGGCCGTCAAAGTTCTGCAGAATGTCGATGCGCTGCTTGCCGCCGCCGGTGAGCTTGCGGGGCAGGCCACCGAGACCCAGCCACACGTTGGCGACGTCGGCCTGGTAGTCGGTGGCCTCGCCGAAGCCGTGGACGTTGAGGTGCTGGAAGCAGACGCCAGTGGAGCGGAAGTTGGCGCCATCCTGGTGGACGAGCTCCACAATGGACTTTGCCCAGTGCTTTGCGTTGAAGTTGGGCGAGGCCGGGTTGAGGGGGGAGTCCTCGCCGGCGAAGAAGGGGTTGCCGCCCGCGACGCCAGACGTCCTCGAGTAGCTGCGTGCGAGGGCCTGGACGACAGAGCTCCGCCGCCTCATCTCGGCGCCATCGTCCTCCTCGCCGTCGTCGTAGCTGTCCTCCTTGAGAGTGTCGGACGGGGAGGCGTCCCTGGGACCATTCTCCGTGTCGTCAATGTCCGTGCTGCCGGGGACCTTTGAGGTGGCAGAGAAAGGCTGCGGCTCATCGTGGTCATCGTGCTGGCCGTGGGTGTCCGAGGTGAGAGGGGCGCCCTCTGAGGCCTTGGCGGCATTGACGTTGCCGCCAGCGCCAAAGGGGGTGGTCATGCTGCGCGGGTGGTCCCTATGAGCGAGCGGACGGGTTTGGTAGACTGCACAGAGTGGCGATATTCAGTTTGCGAGGCGGTCGGTCGTCGCGCTTTGGCGGACACGTCTCCTTGGCCTGTGAATACAGCGTGTGGTGATACAGGAGGGGCCTCTGTGGGTACCTTAAGTGTAGTAAGGAGTAAATAGAAGGGCAGGTAAAGAGGGCAGGAAGGAGAGTGAGAAGATCAAGTCAAGAGGCTCTGCAGAACAAGCAACAAGCACTGCTTGAGGAGAGACAGTCAAGAAGCCAGATCAGATCAGATCAGATCAAATCAAATCCAGGAAGGGGGGCCGAGATAGTTAACTGATAAAAGCAGCATGAATAGAAATTGGGGGTTCGGACCGGGGCGACCAAAATAATTAATATGGATCGCTGGCGGGCCCTTCGCAGTCTACCATCTCCCCGAAGCACCGCCAGCTCTTTCCATCCCAGTCCAGTCCGCCACTGCGAAATCTGGTACGTACGTTACATGTACGATACGTGTAATTGCGGGAGCCTGATCATCATAATGAGCAAAAGCACGCACCGACATGCGGAGTTTGGCATATCTGTGCTTATTCTCCTGCCTGCTCGCTCACCTTGACAACAAGTCCATCGATGCAGTAGATCAGAGTCTACGGACACAGCATCTTGAATTGATGTCTATAGCTCCGCTTCCGGTTAGCGCATCGCAGTGGCGAGCCATTCTTAGAGCCCCAGGCCCTGGGCCCCGAGGGCCTGCAGCGCCGCCTAGTACGGATGCGGCAGTGACTGAGTCCATTGATCGATGACTCAATCTTGCTCACGTACGGAGTACTGATCATTCGATGTATCGATCAGCTCGCATAGTCATCACAAGTTGCACTGACCAAGCAGCCGCGATGATTCGGACTCGGATGCATTCACGAACTGGCGGGACGATGGAGCCTCCTACACGTAGAGTGCGTGGCCATGATCGCTTACGACGTTGGATCTCGCAGCATCTGCATGCGAGTGAGTGTTCTCGGACGTGAGCAGTGGACAGACACCTGGAGCTACGTACGTGCTGTCCCTCCAAGACATTGCCGCTCCCGTGTCATTGTCGCCATCCATGTGCTCATGTCTCGTAAGCACGGGTCTCACTCACTCACGCACGACTCTCTGGTTCTGTGAGGAGGTTATCTCCCCAAGTACTTATACGTGTAGTAGGGCAAGTCGGCCGCCCTCGCATCTCCAGCCGCACGCAGCCTGTCCAATTGGAGGTCAGTGAGGCCACTGTATTAGGTACCTTACTCTTAGTCGGCGCTCTGGCCCCGGATTTCTTTCTCAGGTCCCCTACTCCATGTCTGCCAGACTCATTAGACAGTCCCCGACTCTTTGTGAAGTTTCCGTCGATTATTCTCATGCCGCCACGGCACCTGTGCGGGATTGCGGATAGCTGTCTCCAAGAGAATTCTCCGTGTCGTGTTCGCGCCATAACCGTAAGGTATGTAGGACCATTGCGGAAATGCACCGAAGACTGTGTGTCGGTCGGGTCGACGGGGTCTTGGAGCAGTCCGACACTCCGCCAGCCGCATGCTCCACCACCCTGCCTAAAAGGAATCATATCCGTTCAGCTTCCATTAACATATTACAGAACAATGATAGTGAGCAAGATGAGCAACATGTTGGTGTGTGAGGCAATCTTACCGTCAGCACAGGGGCGTGCTACCGTGGACTGACTAATGTACGTACTTGTACACGTTGGGGCGCCAGCTAGAGCTCGAGATGGCTCCGTGTGATAGACACAGAGCATGGCCGAAGATGAGACTAGCTCATGGAATTAATTAAGCTTGATCCGCCCGCCATGTGTTAAAAAGTCGGCGGCCGCTATCACAGCTAGTGGGGGAATCTCCAGTCGGCAAGCCGCAAGGTCGCACCGGGCTCACAGTGCAACCCGGCGCCCCGCCACGCGCTGCGTTACATGAACCAGGCACCGTGCTGCGCTACTATGTTTCAGTCGGTCGTCGCAGGCTTCGGACTATTTCTCTCGGACTCTCGGTTCACAACTGACGTGTGCCATGGCGGCATGACGCTTGTGCGTGAGGACGCCACCGTAAGCCGTCAGCTGGCTGCGCTTACCCTGTACCGGCGTACAATCTGTAACATGGGTGATCCAAGTTGGACCTTTATCATTGTCAAAGTCATGGCGGCTGCTGTTTGAATCTGCCCTATGATTTGACACGGAAGCATGGGAAAGTCTGACCATTGTGAGCCGGCCTCATATGTGGCGTGGCCAGCGAAGAAGATCTTTCCCATCAACCAAAATTCAAGATCTAACCTTTCAGTGGGATTCAAGAGATGATTTTTCTCTATAAATCCCAAAGACAGCAAAACCTATTAAAGCAAGAACTAATGTAACAATTGGTCCCAAGAAGAACAATATAATATTAGCTTGTGTAGGTGCTACATATTCTTTACTAATTAATTTTTGAAGCATCAGCAAATGCTTGTAACAGTGAAGCACTATGTAAGAACACCCACCACGTACAGTTACAAAGTGGCCAGCGCTCCAAAGGGGGCGTCGCAGACAAGCCAAGTTACCATTACTTTACAACATGTGCACAGTCTACTACAGAAAGTTGATACCGACACCCACCTGCAACCCCTTTGTCCCCAGCTCCCCCCGCCGCAGGACCAGAGGCAGACTAAAGTTCAGCTCGAACCTCGCGACCGGGTGCGCGTACACGAGCCCGACCCCGGCTGCTGTGCTGGGAACCCCGCTGAACAGATCTGCCACGGCATCCAGCATGCCTCTGCTCACGGCGCCCGCGCTCATGCCCGCGTCGCCCGTCTTGCGGCCTCCCTCCCTTGGCTGCAGGCTGACGAGACGGCCGCCGTTGGCGAACAGCTGAAATCGTAGGCCGGAGTCGGGGCCCTTGTACGGGAATGGCAAGAGGGCATTGACGCTGGCCGCAGCAAAGACGTCCCCTCCAACCGAGTCGTGTCCGTCGTGCGGCCCTAGGCCACCAAGCTTGAACCCACGCACATCAGTTGGTCCGCCGAGCTGGAACCGGTCGTTGATGCGGCTCGGTTGAGACGTGCCCCCACTGCCGAATCCCAGTGGTAGGGGGTACAGCATGCCCATCCGGAGACCGCCCCCGATCGATGCCCCCGACCGGCCCTCGACACCGGGAAGTGGTATGGGCACGGCGCCTCCCACCTCGACATCACTCTTGGAGAAGGCCACATCGCCGCCCAGAGGGCCAGCGCCAGCCAACTCCCACGCAGAGCGGACCACGTAGCCATTCTGCGGCAGCTGGGGGTTGTCTCTGCGCTCCCGGTAGAATGTCGATCGCACGGCGCTCTTGACCGTGTCGCCAGCGTCGCCGCGGACCGTGGGACTGGCGCCCGTGCCCAGACCCGTGACCTGCCTCCACGTGCCAGCGTACTCCACGGAGAAGCTGTCCCGCACAGCGTTGAGCCACTGGTACTTGATGCTGCCTCCCTTGACCACCTCCTCGTGCGAGGCCCAGGGCTTCTCGGCAGCCGACGACAGCGCCTCGACGGCGACTCTCCGGTCAGGGTCACTCAGTACCGGGGCGCTGAGGTTCGCGCTGTAGGCCGACCGCGTGCGTGTCCCCGTCTTGGCGTTCAGCGAGAGCATCTCTGCGCCGCCGGCAATGTTGCGCCACAAGAGCGAACCATAGGCGGAGCCCTCGCCATTCCCTACATCCGTGCCCGTCTGGAGCTTGAAGCGAGGCAGCTCCCGGACCTTGACGTCGACGTCGACATCCGTCGGGCTCGTCGAGGGATCGGTCTGCTGGGAGGACGTGAGGAAGATCTCGGGATTCGGCTGGAAGATCTGGAGATTGCTAATCTTGTTGTTCGCAGCCTGCAAGCTGCCCATCACCTCGCCGATTGTGGCGGGCGCGCTGTCCTGGCCCGCCGTCAATGGGCCAAACAGGGGATCGAGAAAGCCGCGACGCGTGTTGGAGGCGCCGTGTATCCGGATTTCGTTGACGGTCATGGGCTGGAGGGACTGGTCCGCCATCTGGATTGGATTCTTAGTTCACGTTGCCGTGGCGCGCGCGCACATGGCCTCACGTACCAGCTGCGCTATCCGCTGCTCCTTTGCCGCATCCTGGGTGTTCTTGAACTCGGGTTGCGCCTCGGCCTCTTGCCGCAGAGACGAAGTGTCGGCATTGAGCTTGTCGAAGGGGTCAGAGCCCTGTATCCTCTTGTTAGCTTGAAGTGTCTTTGAGAGAATTTGCGAGTGGAAAAATCATACCCCTGTGAGAGGTGCGCTCATGGTTCCTGGAATTATCGTCTTCGACTACCGCGAAGCGACGCGACGAAGCTTTGATGTCAGTGAATGCAGAATGTCCCGTGATTGCCTACCTGGGAGCGTGTGGCTTGACTTGACCACGGCTTCAGCCACAATGAACCCGGCCAGCCACAGACCCCCAAATGACACTTCGAGTCCAGTCAGTCAAGTAAGTCAGTCAAGTCAGTCAGTCCCTTTGCTCTGACGTCCTTCCTGTTCGACCACCCATCCACCCACCAGCACCGCCCACCTCTTCGTTACATATCTTTGCTTTCTGCTGCGTAATCTTTGCTTTGCGACATATCGTCTTTCGTGCCCATTGCCGCACGCCCTTTTCTGGACTCGACACTGTTCTTTGCCCTCTAAATTTCCCATACCGCGCTTCGAACTCACGCGACCACCGTCATTGAGTGGAGCGACCACCTACACGTACTCCCTACGCAGCCACCCACTTTCTGGCCGCCGTCATGAGCCTCAAGGTAGCGCAGAAGCGGGTACGACTCTAAAGAGCGACGGCAACACTTTCATGACTGACTGTTTATCCAGTTGACCCGCGAATACCAAACGATTGCCGACAAGCTGCCCCCCTCGATCACGGCGCATCCCAGCGAGAAGAACATCTTGGAGTACGCACCACCATTGTCTCCTCCCTAATGGATCCGTCATGGAGATAGCTGACCATCCTACAGGTGGCACTACATCATCGGCGGCCCCAAGGACACGCCCTATGCAGATGGCCAGTACTGGGGTGTCCTCACCTTCCCGGACAACTACCCCTTTAGCGGGCCGACCGTCGTCATGAAGACCCCGTCCGGCCGCTTCGAGCCCTCCAAGCGCATCTGCATGTCCATCTCCGACTTCCACCCCAAGGGCTTCAACCCGACCTGGGAGGTCTCGACCATCCTCATCGGTCTCCAGTCCTTCATGGCCGGCAACGAGGCGACCACGGGCGGCGTCTACGCATCCAACGCGGAGCGCAAGCTCCTCGCGGACCGGTCCCGATGGTGGAACTCGACAGCCGGGGGCTCCCACCTCGACAAGACGTCGTCGTCGTCCAAGGCCGGCGACGGCGGCAAGCGGTTCCGCGAGGAGTGGCCCGAGGTTGACAAGGCGAATTGGGAGTGGATGGCCAGCAACGACGTGGACACGGCCACGGGGCGGCGCGCGGGCGCGGACAAGAACTCGTGCGCCAAGACGTCCCTCGGCATCGGGGGCTCGAGCGGGCACAATGTCGTGGATGCGGTGGTGCAGCAGAGGGACGCGGGCCGTGGGTGGATGTCGCGGCACAAGTACCTCATCGCCGGCGCCCTCTTGTTCACCTATGTACTCATTGCACGCCTGATCAACGGTGACTCTCTGGCCTAGACGAGCGGGCTTGCTGGCTGGCTGGGGTAATGGGATACAGGTCAAATGGCGTTAAGGGACGGGTAGCCTTGTTTCATGAAAACTGATCATTACTACTTTTGCATTCATTCCTTGCCTGGCATGCACTGCTACACTAGAACAAGCCTCATCGTCTCGCCAGTCATCTCATCATCATCATCATCATCATCATCACCTCTCGCCGGTCTACAGGTCGTGGCCACAGCCGAGGGAGTGTTCGCCCTTGGCCAGGAGCTCCTCAATGTCCAGGGCGCGGCGTTCGAGACCGAGGATGTGCATGGTGGCGTTGATGGACTCCTTGGGGATGAGCTCGTGGCCCTCCATGGACAGGATGGCGACCATGTTCGCGGCGGCCTTTGCGTTGTTTGTGATGACGACCTTGTCCGGGTTGTCAATGGTGTCGCATGCCTGGCGACAAGTCAGTAAAGTGTCCTTGGGCTTGCGAACTTGTTGCAGCCAGCTCACCTGGTGGTAGCAATCGTCCTGGGCGACGCCCGTGCCCGTGTTCAAGAAGCCAAACGGCTTGTTCAGGATGCCCCAGAAGGAGGCGTAGTCCGAGCCGTTGGTCAGGATGGCCGGGGTGGTCTCCAGCCCCTGACCGGCAAACCAGTCCAGGTAGATGTCCTGGATCACCTCGGAGCCCCTGGGCGCCACGCTGCCGTGGGCACGCCCGTCATTGTCGCTGACGCCGTAGTAGCCCCGCGAGACCATGTCGTAGTTGAGGTAGGCGAGGAGGCTGTTGACCTCGTCCGTCTCGAGGGTGCTGCAGTAGTACTCGGACCCGAGTAGGCCGTTCTCCTCGGCCCCCCACCACGCGAAGCGGAGCTTGTTCTTGAAGCGGTAGTTCTGGGTGGCCTTGAAGATCTCGAGGATGAGCGAGGTGCCAGAGCCGTCATCGTTGATGCCGGGGCCGGCCTGGACACTGTCGAGATGGGCACCGAGCTGTTTCGTGTGTCAGCGCGCACTCACAGGACGACTGGTCTATACGTGCCATGATGACGTTGCTGGGGTCACCCTGCTCCGTCTCGACAAAGACGTTCTGGGTGATGCGTTCCTCCACAATCTGGGTCTGCTGCCAGTGGGCCATGACAGTCTCGCCCCCCTCGATGCGCGCCCTGAGCGCCTCGCCATCTGCCTTGTGGATGAAGCCGGCGGCGACGTACTTGTCCAGGTTGACCTCGCCTAGCGATCCAGCCGTGGGCGTGGTGGTTAGGTCGTGGTAGATGATGACGCCCTTGGCGCCCAACTGCGCAGCCGGCGCGACGCGACCCGCCAGCGTGCCACCGGTCGGGCAGCGGAACCTCTGCGTCAGGACAATCTTGCCCTCGACGTCGGGATAGTTGCCCGGGTCGCAGCCGTCCGCGCCCTGGGGCGCCAGCACGAGCTCGGCCTCGACGCCATCCTCCGGGGTGGAGGGGGAGTACGTGAGGCCATAGACGTAGTAGTCCTCCTCGTCGACCTTGAGGGAGACAGAGGTGACCTGGCCGAACCACGCGGGGAAGTCCTGCTTCCAGGCCTTGGTGCCGTTGACGTTGCTAATCTGGGACCAGATATAGTCGACCGAGGCCTCGTAGCCGGGGAGGCCAAAGGCGCGGTTGCCGTTGCCCACAGTAAAGGCGATCTCGTTGAGCTTCTCAAGATGCTTCCAGAGGCTGTTTGTTTCTGTAAGTAGTTGTATCTATAGGACTTGACCAACGTGGCAGACGCACTTTTCGGTCTTGATATCGGCCTGGAGGGATGCGGAGTCGATTTTGGGCTTGCACACCTTGGCGGAGGCGGCAGTGGCCAAGCCCAGGACGGCGGTCGATGTCAGTTTCATGGTGAGTGAGGATGCCTTGCAACGAGATGAACGTGGAACAAATACTCATGATTCCATTGCAACGGCCGCCAGCAGCCTTAAGTATCTTGCCTGACGCCCCATCCCGCACGCAATGTCACTTGCTACATCTGGCCTATGCAGTTGGGAGCTCGCGGGGTTGGAAGAAAAAGATCCTAGAGATATTCAGGGTGTTGCCGATGGAATAGGCAGGTGAGCCAAGAAGGTTAAATGGGCGTGACAGAAAAAAGGGGGCACTTACTTGTATTTACTATGTACTGTAAGCTGGTCCCTATCTCTTTGAGGCTCGAGTGCATGCGGCCCTGTGTCAAGTGCCGGCTTCTGCACGCCCATCTACAGTAATCACTCGGTATATTCAAGGATGGATTGGGTTTGCTCTCACCGCAGTACCCGTTGCGTATCATATCCTGATGGTGGGAGCTCCGGTAGCTAGAGAGCCTGCTGACATGATTCTGGCACCCGCGATGTACGGAGTACCGGCGCTACTAATGCACGACATGGATCTCAGGAGGGGCGAGGTTGAGCTTATCTTGATGAACAGCATGGCTACCAGCGGGGGGAGCTCTATTGGCAGGCATTGCATGTTGTCCTTGACTTCTCAACATGCCCTCGCTGCGGTCAAGTGAGTGGAGCCTTCATCTCGCGTCCAGCAACAAGAGCACACGAAGGAGGGAGCGGTGTCCACGGATCTAGGGCAACAGAGCGGGTCGGGGCGAGACGGACGGACGGACATGTCAAGTGGAGCAAACAATTGTTGCTGCATGGTGGTGAAAAAGAAAAAAAAGAAAAAAAGAAAAACTTCCAAGCGTCCAGCTACTTCAGTGCGTACCTTAGCGACTTGTGCGATCGAATGCTCGCTCGTACGCTCAGTTCACCGAGCCTGGCCTCCGGGGCTGGCTGCATCGTCAGCAAGACCAAGACCAAAGGCACTGGCTGCCGACGTCATTGGCAATTCCATGTCGTTCGTGCCCAGCCCGCGAACGCAGCAACGTCCTATTTCGGCGAGGGCATCATCATCGATCGACTCTGCAAAGTTGTATGTGCGTACTCCCGCGCGGCTATTACTAATCTAGCTAGCAGTGGATATGCATCGGAGTAAACATCCCCCCTGTTCGAAACCTCTGACGTTGCTTCCCTCGCGGAAGGATTGCCATTGGCTTCTTTCCAGCTCATCGTGGGCTGTCCCCAGTTTCTTCACGGCTGACCTGAGCAGCAACTCCACCCACAAGTGCCGGTAGGCCGGCCGTTGATCATGACCAGTCGCTTACAAACTATGTTTCCATCTTATGCGCGGTCAAGCTGCAGCATGTGGACCATCAGAGACAATATAAGAAGCACGATGCCATGCTGATGCCCCATGCGTGCGCGCATTCGATGATAGTTCCCTATCAGTACAGTCATCATCCACCAGCCCAACATGCGCTTCGTACTGCCTGCGTTCGTGGGCACGGCCAGTGCTGCCTCGACACTGCTGTCTGGCGGCACCATCATCGCCTTCAACAACGAGACCAATGGCCTGGACGTGGTGCGCAACGGCTCCCTGCTCATCACCGACGACCGCATCGCCTCGGTCAACTCGTCCCCCAGGCCACGCAACCTGCCCAACGACACCACCACCATTGACGTCTCGGACCAGATCATCACGCCTGGCTTTGTCGACACGCACCGTCACGGCTGGCAGACGGCCTTCAAGACCATCGCCTCAAACACCACCCTCGCCGAATACTTTGGTCGCTATGGCGAGTTTGCGGCCGCGAGCAGCTTCGAGGCCGAGGATGTCTACCTAGGCCAGCTCGTCGGCATGTACGAGTCCCTCGACGCTGGCGTCACGACCGTCCTCGACCATGCGCACCACACGTGGTCCAACGACACGGCGTACGCAGGGCTCATTGCGTCCATTGACAGCCGCGCCCGTGTGTTCTGGGCCTACACATTTCACAACATCACGAGCCTCAACTACACCATTGAGATGCAGTTCCCCAACTTCCGCGAGATTGCCGAGTCAGATCTCTACGCCAGCTCACTGGTCGAGCTCGGCATCTCGTACGATACGTGGGGTCCCACGCCCGGGCCAGAGACGCGGCAGATCGCCGACCTGGCCAAGGAGTACAATGTCTCCGTCGTGACGACGCACACCCTCGCCGGACCCTGGGGCATCACCAACCTCCCCTCCGACCTGCACCAATTCGACATCCTCAACACGTCCATCCCCGTTGTCTTCTCCCACGGGAGCTTCATCACCGCCAACGACGCCCAGCTGCTGCGCCAGACGGGCCAGTACCTGTCCATCACGCCCGAGTCGGAAATGCACTACGGCCACACCCATCCTCACAGCCGCTTCATCCAGGACCAGGCCGCGCTCGGCGTGGACACGCACTTCACCTTTGCGGCCGACATCCTGACCCAGGCTCGTCTGTGGCTGCAGACCGCCCGGTACGACTTCTTCGACGCCGTCCTGAAGAAGTGGGAGATTCCGAGCACCAACCCCATGAGCGTCGAGCAGTCCTTCCTTCTGGCGACGAGGTCCGGCGGTCAGGCCTTGCATAGGGATGATATTGGCGTCATCCAGGCCGGTGCCAAGGCCGACGTCGTCGTGTGGAACGCAAGGGACTCGTGGTCGATGCTGGGCTGGGTCGACCCCGTGGCCGCCGTCATGCTGCACGCCAACCCCGGTGATGTCCTCCACGTCATGGTCGACGGTCAGCTGGTCAAGAAGGACGGCAAGCTGACCGACCCCAACCACGAGGATGTGAAGAGCCGCTTCCTAGAGAGCGCGAGGAAGATCCAGAAGACCTTTCGCGAGACGCCGTACCCAGAGCTGGAGGGTAACTGGGAACAGAGTGGGTTCCCCTTTGCCGCGCCTCAGATCGCTGATATTGAGCCCGGCAACGGGACGGGCTACGGACAGCTGTATTTGGATCAGTAGCGCAGTGGCTGCCACGTCTGTCATGAAACCTCGTCATGCGATTTGAGAATATAATAGTTACAATAATACATATTACACATATGCGTACACCTTCCGCCCCCTTTTTACCTCTTTACGTTACGGAATGTGCTAATGATCCACCTCTGCTCCTTGTGTTTCGGTGCGGCGTCGTTCGCCCCGAGCACAGGCAGCCCGCGCGCCTTGAGCTCCTCCTCAATCACCTTCCAGCGACCGATGCTCTTCTCCTTCTCCACAAAGCTGATCTTCTGCGCGTGCGCCTTGACGTTGGACAGTGCGTCGTAGGCGCCCTCTTGTTCAAGGATCGAGGCCAGGTGGGCAGGCTTGGGTTTCTTGCAACCGAGAGCCAGGAGATGGCCGACGTTGTGCGCGGCGCCGAGGCGGGAATCGGGGATCAGGTAGCCGCTGAACTGGTAGACTCGTTTACGAAGCTGTGGACTTTGCGTCAGTGGTGGGGGCTTCGTGCATCGTGCTCTGCAAGTAGACTCACTGCAAATTTGGTGGCTGCGTCGAGGGGGATCTGGGTCCATGACGAGCCCCATTGCCTCTCTGCCAGGATCTCCTGCCCTTCGCTCTCTGAGATACCCTCGGACGGCGAATCCAACTCCTCGTTCGTGAGCTCCGCGACAATGTGCGAAGCATCCTGCTTCAGCTCGCCTGACTCGGTGATGTCCATCTCCAGCGTCGCGCGGAACTGGTCATCGCCTCGCCTCGGCCAGGCCTTTGTCGCCCACTCGTCCCATTTCCCAGCCTGTTTCAGCGCAAGCACCTCGACCAGCGCCCGCCTCAGGTACACTTCAATGACGGGCTCCGCCTGCTGGACCTGCGTGCCGGTACGGGCGAAGCCCTTGAACTGGCTCTCCGGTCCCCAGTGCTCCTCCTTCTCCCACCAATTCTCCACACCTGGCAAGGTCTCGAGCTCTTGCAGAGATCGAGCTGGCTCGTACTCGGGGTGCAGAGCCTTCGCTTCCCGCTCCGCGGGGGTCTCGACCAACTGTCTGGGGACGGCAAGCCCAGAGTCGGGAGACTCCTCTTCTTGCACGCGAAGAGCATCAATCTCTTCTTCAGAGGGGCTGTACTCGCTTTCCACGGCTTGGCTCTCCGGGATGGTAGGGGCTACTTTGGTCCCATCGCGTGTCTTGTAGAGAGCCCGGGGGAAAGGGGTCGTCGAGATGGCGCGCGTCGCGAGGAAGGGGCTAGAATTTGAGCAAGTCAATACTCTCCGTAGAGGCGCGAACGCCCGTGCCGCAGGTATTCGGGGCATTTTCGTGGTGATGGGACAAGGTGTTGGCTTCGAGAACTGCCAAGGTGCGTCTGTCGTCGCGATCGTAACTTTTCTGATTCGGCATGTTGACCAATCGCGAGTGGTTACCCTCGTAATGTGGGGCTCATGTGGCTGATGCAGCTGGCAAGGCGCCTCAGCCACAGGCCCGCGCCATCACCTCCAGATTGCTGTCAGGCCCGCGGCCAACCGCGCCCACTCCTACGTTCGGCATTGATCTCAGCAATCTCTGCACGATATGTCGCGCATCTTGTCTCTGTGCTTGCTCGTTGCGGCACTCGTCACGCTGGTCGCGGCGGGTAGGCTGCCCTAGCACATTTGCTAGCGACGTCCAAACTGACGTATCTAGGGGCACCGACATTCTGCAAGTGCACATGCTTCAAGAACAGCACCATCATTCCCCTAGGACCCGAGCACGCCTCTGAAGGCTCGGACGCCTTGCCCCGCCGCTCCGTCGACCTCGGGGATTTCCAAATCGAACCGCGCACCGCATCGACGTCCTGCTCAGAATGCACCAAGAGCTTCTGCCTCGGGCAGGGCATCGACATTTGCGAGGATGCCACCGAGGACGACGTCATGACCATGTGCTTCCAGCGCGATAGCAACAAGGACAGGATCATTGTCTGGGGCTTCATCATTGGCGTCGTTGGGCTGCTTGGCTGGGCGCTCTTCAGGAAAGCCAGGACGTGGCGAGAAGAACGGTCGTTTGTGAGACAAGACGCCAACTACGCACCAGTGTCGGGCAGGTGACGTTCCATCTTTTCTTCTATTTGGCATGACATGGAGTATCTCGATGTTGAAGAATATGAAAAAGAACCGATCTTATTGTCTACACGACCACATTGTGTCTCGAATGTTCTTTTGAACGCCTTTGAAACCCGCTACATACCCTCTTACGAACCATTGACCGAGCGCCGAGCGCGCACGGCGGCCGCGAGATCCTCCAGCACGGTGACAGTGTCCTCCCACTTGATGCAGGCATCGGTGATGCTGACGCCTTGTTTGAGGCCGGCCGGGCCCTCTGCGGGGACCTTTTGGTTGCCCTCGTTGATGTTGGACTCGATCATGACGCCAATGATCGACTTTTCTCCCTCGCGCAGCTGCTCGGCGATGGCCTTGGCGACCTTGGGCTGGTTGTTGTGGTTCTTCTGCGAGTTGCCGTGCGAGCAGTCGACCATGATGGCCTGCTTCTGCTTCTTGTCCGTCAGGGTCTGCTTGGCGGCCTGCACGCTCTCCTTGTCGTAGTTGGGCCCCTTGCTTCCGCCGCGCAGGATGACGAAGCCGTGCTCGTTGCCGCTCGTGCGGGTGATGGCCGCCAGGCCCTGCTTGGTGACACCCATAAAGTGATGCTTGGCGGCGGCCGAGCCGATGGCGTCAATGGCGACGCCAAGGTTGCCGTCGGTGCCATTCTTGAAGCCCACGGGGAAGGAGAGGCCAGAGGCCAGCTCGCGGTGGAGCTGGGACTCGGTGGTCCGGGCACCAATGGCACCCACGGAGATGCAGTCGGCGAGGAACTGGGGGGAGATGGTGTCGAGCATCTCGCTGGCAATGGGCATGCCGCTCGAGGTGAGGTCGACAAACATTTTGCGCGAGACACGGAGGCCCTTGTTGATCTGGAAGGACTCGTCAATGTCGGGGTCGTTGATGAGACCCTTCCAGCCGACGGTGGTGCGAGGCTTCTCAAGGTAGGCCCGCATGATGATGCACAGGTCGTTGGACAGCTTGTTGGACAGCTCCTTGAGACGGGCAGCGTACTCAAGAGCGGCGGCGGGGTCGTGGATGGAGCATGGCCCGACTACCACAAGAAGGCGGTCATTGCTGCCGGTGACAATCTCGGCGGCTTCGACGCGACCCTTGACGACGGTCTGGAGAGCTTTCTCGGGCAGAGGAATCTCTGAGCTGAGAAGGGCAGGGGGGATGAGAGGATCCTGGCCGAGGACTAGGCCATCTTAACAATGGAACATGCCTCATTTTCGAGCAGTGACTTACTTCGAGTATCGTCGGCCACGAGCGGGGCCAAATCAACACCAGGCATGATGCGTGTGTGTATGGGCTGGTGTAAAGATCGAGCAGGGTCTTGAGAGGGATGCTTCTATTGAGAGCTTAGTGAGATTTCACCAATGGGTCGGTCGGTCAATGGCGGTGATGTTGTGCAATGCAAAGTGAGCAAGGTGAACAATGGAAATTGACGTACGTCGTCGATATCGGCGGCGCGGGGCAATTTTTTTATGCTCTGTCGTTCCTTGGTGAGTTGAATATTGTACGATTGGGATTTCAATATCACTCCTGGCGTCAGTCGTCCAGAAAAAGTTGGACCAGTTATTAGTGGATCACGCTGGGCATCCACTACATAAATGGAGTTGCTCGTAGTTTGTTCAGACTATGGTGACTCAAGCGTTGTGGTCGTGTCTTCTGTGACTCGCCGTCTTCTAGAGTGAGTGCCCACGCATCGGAGGTCTTTCGGAGCTCCCGCGCGTTGGAGGGGCAGGCCAGGACCATTGACAACGAACAGGAGCGTTGCCTTTGCAAATCCGCGCTTCGGTCGGTTTGACTGATCCGTCTCCTAGGTTGGAAATCTGTTTACCAACATGATATGCGTTATTCGCCTTTTGCGCATTTGCCGCCGGGTCTGTCACGCTAGTCGGTGATGCAGGTGACGATGCCATTCACCCTACGCGATATTTTCATGACCACATTGAAGCGAGCATATACGGATAGATGCTCTTGACTTCTAATGTCTATCCTCAAACCCAGATCGTCTCAAACCAGCCAGCGCGGCTGAAACGGCAACTCTCAATATGCTAGTTACTCTGCAATACAGTCTGCATCTTCCGCAACAACTCTCAATGGGGCATCTCTTCCGGTCCGGACTCAGCGACAGTTTCCACAGGCATCGAATGTTAGACATCATCTTTAAAAATCGCGCGCACCTTCTTGACATTGTCTATCGCAGCAGTCCTTTAAACATCAGTGTGGTCTTCTCAGGGGGCTTTAGTACTACTCAAACGTTGAACATGAGAAGGGCAGCAATGAGGACTTGGGCCGTTAAGCATTTGAGTCGGGAAGACTTGATCATGTTTTCTTGCGCGAGTCTCCTGGTTTTTGGGAAACTTTTGCACCAGTTACTTGCCTCCACTCATCGACACAGCTTAAGTGACGTATATTTAATTGGCGATACCCCGTCTTGTACCATCTGTTGATTTTGGTCGTCTGGATTGCGAAGCAAGCGTCAATGCCAAATACTTGTCCATGATGGTACAGGGTACGCTCAGTTGGTCGGTACTAGTTAGCTTACGTTATGTACCTTGTGATCCCTCCAGCTTCTGCGTCAACTTCAATTAAACAGTGCTGAAAATAAGCCAGCCTAAGACGTAGCAAACGTCTGCGTGTCTCAGGCGGGCTGTCAAGACTCAAATGGCACTTCAACAAGGTGACCATTCGCCCAGACGCGTGTCGAGGCCTTGAGGACCCTTGCGTGTCTGCTCCAGCCTCCAGGTCGCGAAGCCCCATCCATGTTTTGGCCCGAGTCAGGCTCTGCGAGTGCTCACCTTCTTCCCACGTTGCCTGCAAATGCACCATGCAACTCGAACCTTTTGTGTCTCATTCCACCGTCCAATTGTCACCGTAAGAACCATAGTACACATACCACTCTTCACTCAGGGGCAAAGTGCTGGCCACTGCGCTCTCCGTGCCGATCATTTACCGTCTGACTTAGCGTACGTTCTCGCCTCGGCGTCCATTGACCGACGCCACCCTTCACTGAGCACCTCCGTCAGCTGGACCTGCGACTTGCCACGGGCGTAGCACCCAGCCTTCCTGTGCTGCTTCCCCTCACAGCAGATCAATTGACACCAACCTTTTACCCATTCACCAGCATCGATCTTTATACCATAGCGGTTTTCTTCCTCCGAGTCATACATCCAAGCGATTGTTGCGGGAGCTCAGCCAGTGTACTAGCTGGCCCAGCGGGACCCTGTGCATAGCATCGTATTCAGCGGGATTCCCATACCTCAGTATACGCTCTTGCGGCCTGCCCACCCACGGGAGCATATCGACCAACAGCCTTGCTTCCTGGTTTACGAGCCAACGGCAAATTCCCAACATCTCCCATGGAGACAGTCAACATGGCCGACGCACAATCGTTCTGGGACACCACAGCGGACTACAACAGGAAGAGGGGCAGAGATGAAGACCAAGACATGATGGGCAATGCGCCTTGCAGCTTCAGCGAGCACCGCAATGTAGGTGCAGCTTGGACCGGAGAGAAAAGATTTTGTACTGACTGGAGCAGAAACGGCTTCAACAGAGCCTCCCGATGCGTATGTCGCCAAAAACCGGCTCGCAGTTCCTGCCGGCCAGTTCTGTGACGCCACTCAACGCCTCGCCAGCTCACCTTCGACACTCTCATATCGAAGCTACCTCGTACTTGCAAGCACCCGGGCCATCTACGACTGATGCAGACATGGAAATGGCGACTGACAGCCCCTGTTCGCACCATGGCTCGAATCACCTGGTCCCAGAGGCCGACCATTCCACGGCCACCCAGCGCATGCCTACCCCGGTGCAGCCCAATTTTGCTGCGCAAATCCGTGGCCAACAGCATCACTGGAACACCAATAACATGCAAGAGGATATGCACAATGTTCCGAGGACATTGGACACTCAGGCCGACTGGCAATCTTTGCAGAACAACAGGCGGTTGCCTTCGCCCATCTCGGAATATGAAGACTCCATGAACATCTCGTTGCAGCCCCCTTCGCCTCATGGCATGGAGCACCCCAATGCTACAATGGGACTCGAAGGTCGTGCCTCCTCGCACCCTCCCGAGGGCGACTCCCCGTCTCCAGAGCGTCGAGGCCACATGCGAAGCAAGCACACCATCAACACCTGGACCTGGCAGCCTGGCATGAAAAAAAGCTTTAGTGTCGGGTACCGCCAAGATTGCGAGAAGTGCCGTCTCAAGGTCCCAGGGCACTTCAATCACATCATCATCTCATAGAATGGCATTGAGCAGATTGCCCAACTGAGGTGCAGGACTGAATCGAGGGATGTTCGCATGGGTTAGGATTGGTTCAAGGGTCAACATTGTATAGGCGCTTTGGGAGTTTTTCTTGTTTTGGTTTCACGGTATACCTACTTCGTCAGAGGGGAGAGAAGGACGCGACACACACCGACATTCGCTGCCAGGATTTTCTCATGTCATTTCTTGCGTACAATCACATATTACCAGCCTGTCCCAGGCATCATCAACCAGCGATGCGTTTCCCCAAATTGGTCCCGATCATTGCGTGACAATGACAATGCTTGAATACTAGCTCGCCTAGGATACACATGTACAAAGAGCCCCAAGCGCCGTCTAATGCACTGCCTGATCTACATATATGATACAGCCTGCCTTCCCAATGCCATCATGTACATATCCCACTCCTCACCAGAGCCAGCCCTTCTTCTTTTCCGGGGCCGGATCCGTCCCTAACCGATCCAGGCTCCCGCCCTCGTGCTGGTTCTGTTTCTCATGCTCCCATGCCACCTTGGCCTTGTCCTCGATAGTCTGCACCTCAGCCTGCACGTTGTTCGCCACAGCCGAGACGTTGCTCTCCTCTTCTTTGCTGCTGCCGGAGAAGAGACCAAAAATGCCCTTGCCCTTGCCCTTGCCCCCGCCCTCTGCACGTTCGGTGAAGGCGGGTTGCACGGTCTCCTCAAAGTGCGTGCGGTGCTCTGGGGGTGCCAGCAGAGGCGGCAATTTCTCGCCCCTCTTCTCCGCCTCGCGGTTGGCCTCCTCTACAAGTTCAATCTGTTCTTCGGTCGCAAGGCCCTTGAGGTAGGCGAGTCGTGCGGTTGCGAGTTCGTCGGCTTCAAGTTTCTTCTGGGCCTCGATCCATTCGGCGCGACGGGCGCGGTTGTAACGGAGCATGTCCCATACCGAGTATACACTGACGACGCCAGCCACAACTACTCTGGCTTTTAGCGATCCGAATCTGTGACCAGTGTACTACTACGCGAGGGGGGAAACCCTACCAGTGAAGAGGATGACGCCCCCTACTGTGAACCGATGAGCCGCGTCAAAGAACCTCCGCGAGACGCTGATGACCTTGTCTGCCTTGCTGATCTGGGCCTGCTGGGCCGCCAGATGGGCCTGTCGTAACCGCCGGACGCGCTGCTCGGGGGTTTCGCCTGGGATGCGGGAGCTCGTCACGGCCGAGGGCTTCTGGACGGCGGACGCGGCCGAGGAGGGCCCCTTGGCGCCAGCGTGAGGAATATTCGAGGTGAAGCGCGTCGCGTCCTTGACGCTCCGGGGACCGATTCGGGAAGCCATGGCGATTTGCGTGGGTAGTAATTAGACCTGGGGAAGGGGTTGGGCCCGTGGAAGCTACAGTCGTGGTGTCATGAGATTTTCGCAATGATGGCACGAGTCTCGTCGTTTCATTGGTCATCACGTGGGTGGTCTGTGCGCGACAGCTAGATTCGGATGTGCAGCAAGATCCGTGTAAGTGAAAAAAGGGCATGAGCAGATATTGAAGGTGATGCTGAGTCTATAGTTCAATTGGCACGGTGGCAGGTGTGTTTACAGTTGAGCACGTTATCTCTTGGTGGCAGCGAAGCATGGTTGCGCGTGTTCTCACGGATGTGCCGCGGGAGCAGCATGCCCTGCGATGTCCAACACACCAATGTGTCGAGGAGTACTGCTGAAGATGATAACAAATGAAATGGCAATACGAAGTAACAGAGCCTCTAACTACGTATCAGCAAGATACATCAGTGCGTAGTGCCCTGCTTGAAGGTTGGACCGGGTGGCAAGTAGATTTTGTAGAGCCTCGCTTCCGAGCTGGTCAAGCGTTGCCAGCTTCATGTTTTGAACAGCAACAATAGCTAATTATCTGAAGGCTATGCACGTATATTAACATTTTGGAATAACAAGTCCCGAACTAATATGATTGACCGTCGATGCACTCAGTGTCCTATGCTGGTAGAAGAAAAGGAACGCGTTCCGTGCCAGCTGCGTACGAAGTGCCGCTTGTTCAGCCTGCCAGAGAATTAAAATTTACGAGCTAACAAATGGACTTCCAGCTGCTGGTTGCACGGCATGCAGGACAAGCACGAACCAGGTGAAGCTGAAGGACAGCTTTGATTGGCCTGCTTCGTTGGAGTGAAGAGGGTGTGACGGCGAGCCATGGCGTGAAACTTCAAGGCTCGGGCGGCGTTCTATTTCACTAGGGCACAGGAAATCTTCTTCATAAAGCCACGTAGAGCAGCGTTACAATGAAAATTGAAAAGCCATCAAAAATTGTACCCACTATGACCCCGAAGGGCAATAGAGTAAGGGTCGACGCCGCGATGTGCAATGCAGGCCACCCTCACTTTCCAAAGCAAATCTTGAGCTGCCTTGGAATGGGCAAGGTAAGTATGATTTTTTACAAGAAAGTGGCGAGGGAAGCGGGTCTTATATAGACAAAGGAGACGGTCCGTGCGTAGGATATGCATGAAGCGGGGGCGCAAACTTGCGCTTTACGGATTGATGCATGTCCGTCCCCCTTGGCAGAGAGGCACACCCTGTTATTGAATAAACTGATTCCACTATCCAAATGTTAATGCCAGGGAATCAATCTCTGCTAGCTAGTACATCGAGCAAAGAGATTTAAGCGGGTGCAAGACGCGAGCATCAAGTATTATCTAACAGGTCTTGTCGACGATTGACCTTGGTTCGGGTGCTACTTTACCGCACAAAATATAGGCGAAGATTTATTTAACGTTTACCAGGTGACTAGAAAATAGACAAACAACGTATTGACGCAACACAATCATATGTTCATGTATGTACGCTTCAACGTCGCTCTCAACGACATTGCGAGTTTGTCTCATGGCGATATGGCGCATGTGTTACCCTCGGCAGCAAAGTTAGGTGGCTGGTGGCTCCAGCCACATGGACGATTTGTGGCTGCCGGACCCTTTCCCCACGTGACCTGGAAATTCTTGTGCCTCCCCCACGCAGGGCAAAAACCTACCAACCGATTTGTGAGAGAGCCTGCGCAGGCCGGATTATTTTCATCAGCCCTCACGACAAGACTAACCGACAACAGGCAGCGTTGATCGCAAACAGGCACAATGGTACGTGATGGCAGCCAACACGCAATGAGATCAAGGAATGCCGTACTGACATTTTTCTCCTCGACAGGCGATCAAGCACAACCAGAAGATCGTGAAGACCCGTGAGCAAACCGACGACCACGAACGAAAGCGAGCAGCGAGACTGACCACCATGAAATAGACTTCCGCAAGGATTGGCAGCGTAGGGTCCGATGCCACTTTGACCAGCCCGGCAAGAAGAAGAGCAGGCGCACTGCTCGTCAGGCCAAGGCTGCTGCTGTTGCGCCCCGTCCCCTCGACAAGCTCCGCCCCATTGTGCGCTGCCCTACCCTCAAGTATAACCGCCGTGTCCGTGAGGGCCGTGGTTTCACCCTCGCCGAGCTCAAGGTATGGAGATTCTGGAAGTTGTGAGAGAGATTTCGAGGTGCGGAGACTAACCAGACATGTGTCTCACAGGAGGCCGGTATCCCCAAGAAGTTCGCACCCACCGTCGGCATCAGCGTCGACTTCCGCCGCCAGAACCTCTCTGAGGAGTCGCTCGCCGCCAACGTCGCCCGCCTCAAGGCCTACAAGGAGCGCCTGATTGTCTTCCCTCGCAAGTCCAACAACCCCAAGGCCGGCGAGACCAAGACCAACCCCCGCGAGGTCGAGAAGGTCACCCTCATCTCCAACGCCCTCCCCATTGCCCCCACCGACCAGGGCGTCAAGGAGATCAAGAAGAGCGAGATGCCCGAGCCCGTCGAGGGCGGTGCCTACGCGAAGCTGCGTTACGTCCGCGCCATCAAGCGCTCGCAGGGTGCTCGCGACAAGCGCGAGAGGGAGAAGGCCGAGGCCGAGACTGCCAAGAAATAAACGCCTCCTCTTTCCTAGGTGTGCTTGGGTTGCGATTCAAAAAGGGAATTGGTGTTCTGAGGTCATACTGCTCTTTGCGTTTCTCTTTATCACGGAGATGGGGAGCAGTGTCCGGTTTCCGACGAGGGACTATCCGGCCGGGGGGTCTAGTGTGGGGATGGATGATTCTAGGTTTCCGGGTCGTATGAATAGCATGATCACCGGCCTGCTCTGTATTTCAGGGTCAATGGAATAACGAATGAAAGTCCTCGGGATCCATGCGTGCATGCTTCATTTGATGTCTATGAACTTTTGCCTTCTACAATTTTGCGGGTGCCTTGACTGGCGAGTGCTTGCAGAGCGCCTCGTCGAGGCCAGTCCTCGGGCTGATGCTTCAAGAGCTCCTGACACATGACAACGGCGTTCTCCCTATCCACGCGTGCCATGTCCGATTGGCGTGCAGGGTCGATTTGCTGCGGTTCGAGCTGCAACGATGTCCCGCCTGGTACGAGCCCGGCGTCCGTGGGCGCCTCCTCGGACACGTCTGTCACCACACATTGTTCCCCAGTCACTGCCTCTGTCAGCGAGCTGAAAGCCTTCTCGTCCTCCAGGGCCTTGGAGAGGGCTCGGCCGCCTCCCTGCGAGCGGCAGATGAGTGCAAACACAAACCACGCTTCCGAGCGAACAGATGGCCACTTGGTTTGGGCTACCAAGTAAACCAAAGGCTCTGTAAAGTCGTACCTCTTCCAGAATCGCTCCCTCAACTCTTCGTCGTCGTGAACATTGTTGGCTTCTGCAATGTCTTTCAGGACAGACTGGACAGGTTGCGACTGCACAACTCGGCATAGTCCCAGTATGCCTCGGGCAATCTCCATCTTCACAGGCTCTGTGTCCGAGCGTTTGAACAATTCGGCCAACTTTTGGACAGTGTCCGGCTGAGACTCATCGGTCTGGCCAGCATTTCGCCAGCGGCTGCAGATTGCTTCGGCGTTATTCGGTGAGTTGATGAGGAGTAGCCTGATCAGTGACACGGCCGCGAATTGCACCTGAGGCATGCTGTCTAGCGCCAGTACACGAGGAACGCAGGCTGGCTCCAGAACATCCACGAGCACGGACTTGTTGTCAATAGGAATAGCCATGTTTTTGAGGAAAGACAATGCAGCGTGCAGCTCTTGAGCATCTCTTGCGTCTGGGTCTGCAATCAGTCTGATGAGCGGTTCGTGGGCTTTGTGCTCCTGCACCATTGCCTTTGAAGTTGCGTCTGATCGACAGAGATTACCCAGAGAAAGACATGCTGCCGATCGTAGAGGCCGATTAGCCCCGTTCAGCCAGCTGAACAACTCGGACGACACGGGATCGTTGAGGGGGTGCTGTTTCAAGAAGATATCCTGTGCTGTGACGTCCGCCAGAGTCTGCTGGAAAGTTGAGCGCATAGCTTTCAGTAAAGCAGTCAAGTCTTCGCCTTCTTCGTCCTGCACATCACTAAACACTGTGTTTGCGTGCTTGGTGGCACGGAGGAGAAGGGGCAGCTGGCCGTCACTGATCAGTCTGACTTGAAACTCCTCCATGCTGAGGTAGGCGGCCGCTGCGGATGTGAGAATGGCAAAGTCCTCAATGTCGCTTGAGAATGGCTCGTGGGTGGCCAATCCTAGCAGCACGCGAACCGTTGACGGGTCTGCTCGTGTTGCCTCGCCGTCCTGGCCACCAATGAGAACCAGTGTCTTACACATGTATGTGACTAGCTGGGCAAACTCATCGATGCTGGGCCCAGCGAGACGGCCGATCAGCGCCGCACTGAGGTTCGCCTGGGATGCATGGAGCTGTGCTGGTTCTTGAGAGTCTTAGCAGGCCATATCTGGTCCAACGTGAGGAACACCTACCGTAGTCAACAACGATGTTGTACAGAACGGGAACCACGACTGGAGTAAGGCTCTCGTCTTCGAGCAGGTCCATGATGGGCTTGAAGAGATTGGCTCCGACCACCCTAGCCCTGTTCTGGTCGGTATCGGCGCACGAGTTGCCGACGAGTCGGAGGGTATGTAGCTGCAAGTCTGGGGACAAGGACTTTGCAGCATTGATTTCGAGGAAGAAGTTCAGAATCCCCGACTCTCCAAAGGCAATACGCCAGGCCACTAAGGGTACTTAGCAAGTCGTCGCCGCGGCAGCTCAGCTCCAGGTCTCATACCATCCCGACTTCCGTCTCCCAGCCTCTGGGCCACCAGCTTCAGATCGTCAGATTTGGCGTCCCATAGTTGCCGGCACGTCTCGAGGACAGGTGTGAGGAGTGTCGCTCGGTTTTTCATCACATCCTCAGTTTCTGGCTGCTCATCGTACTCGTCGGGCGTAAGACCACTGCCATTGTTGGCTAACAAGTCTTCAATCTCAGCCGCCGAAAGCATCATGGTCAAAGCGTCATGAAGTTGACAAGAATGGCTGATCAGTCAAGTTCGATGTCAACACGAATACATGTAGGATGTGCTGATTAAGGAGGGGCTGCGTTGAAACAGTTCTCAGCCATTATCGTGCACCGTGACATTCGTCCCTGCGGACGTGTTACTCCCTAGCATCCAACAAAAGAGCTCTTGCAAGAAAAAAGACAATAAGTCTCGATACAGTCTTTCGCAGCTCTTGACATCAAAGGGAGAGGCTTCTCAGAAAGCTGTATACCTGCCATAGGGTAGGCGACTAATGAGAAGCTGATGCGCTCGGTGAAGCCTCGGTGAAGCCAAGCCCGGGTCGCCGGGGAATTCTCGGCACGGATGGAAATCTTCCCCAATCCCGCGCTTCGGGAACGACCGCCGCGTCGCAGAGAGACAGACGAAAAATCGATGAGCACGCACGCCATCTCCACGATCCAACCCTTAGCCTCGTCAACCTCACGTCCCTATTCCATCTCCCACAGCCATCCCAGGGGCTTGCCTCAATATACACACGGCGTAAACGCCTGTACATATTTTTTATCATGGTCAGTCCACGCGAAACCCTGACTTTTGGCAGGCCAGCAGCACCTCCACGTGCATCGACGTCTAACACGACAGCAGGCGCACAAGTTCGTCATCACTGCCTTCCTCACCGGCTCCCGCATCCTCGGACGCTCCTTTGTCGCCGCATACAAGCAAGCGCAGGCCGCGTCCGCCTACCAGCGCGCCCAGGCCAAGAATGGCAACCCGACATCGGGCGCCGCGTCGCTGACAGGCAACATGACCCTCGACGAGGCCTGCAAGATCCTCAACGTCAAGCCGCCGGCCGGCGGGCAGGCCGATATCGAATCAGTGCTCGAGCGATACAAGAAGCTCTTCGACACGAATGATCCAGCCAAGGGCGGGAGTTTCTACCTACAGAGCAAAATTGTGAGGGCCAAGGAGCGCATCGAGAGGGAGATGGGGCCGATACGAGAGAAAGTCGAACAAGAGGCCGAGGTGAAGGAAGGCTTCAAACCCAAGATGTATAAGGACCGGTGAACGTGCACCAGAATCCACGGCATCTCCGAAACGAAGAGGCGCAGAGCGGTTGGGGGAAAACGGGAGGAAAGAGATCCCCCTTTTGTATCACTTGTACATGTACATCTTCACTCGACTGCGGCATGGCACGGCGTTTATTTGGACACAAGGCATCATCGAGTTGCTGATGAGCGGGCGGCTGGGCTAAGAACAAGAAAAAGAAAGATGGACACTGACTGGTATCATTCGAGAGATGGCCTAATGTATATGATCTAGACCTTTTGTTCATGTTCCGTCTTCTCTGATACTTTTATTCGATAGGAGGGCGCACTGCCGTCCGACTATATCTTCCGTCTCATGAGACCTTTCCAATAGTCGAAACTGTTCTCGTCGCTTTGCAGCGCCCACATCTTGCCGGTCCCCCGACCTTGCCCGTCGACCTCCTCGACGCGCAGCAGGCCCCAGTCGCCGGTGATGCCGAGAACGCGCGCATTGGCACCGCCGTACTGCTCCAAGGTGACGAGTTGCCCGGTGTGTAGCCAGCTGCGGTAGTACCTTGACTCCATCTCCTCCGTGAACCCTTGTCGAATCCATTGCGCATGCAGCGCTTCCAGCCGCGTGAGGACGCGAGCCAGCAAGGTCTCGACGTGAACAGGGGGCGCGCCTTGGGGCAGGAGATCTTTGATGGATGTTGTGGGGCGAGAATTGGTTGTGTTGATGCCGATACCCAGGATGACCTGGTACGCGCCATCAAAGTAGGAACATTGGGTCAGGAAGCCACCAATCTTGACATACTCTCCGGAGTCGCCCTGCGAGGGATCCAAGGCATCTAGTGGCCGTCAGCGTTGTTTCTGCACCGCCATTATGGGCAAGACCTTACATATGTCATTCGGCCACTTGATCTTCACCGGAAGCTTCTCATAGCCCTGTTCATACGATTGGATGGCCTCGACGATGGCTATGGCGGTGATGTACTGGATAAAGATGATAGGGCGGCTCGCCGCCAGGTGCGCCGGGTGGTTGATAATGGTTGAGAAGATGAGCATCCCGGGGGGCGCGATCCAGACATTGGCGCCGCGACCACGACCAGCAGTCTGGGTTGTCGCCGCCAACGTGAAGCCATGCGGTAGTTTGGAAAGAAGCTTTGGATTTCTGGACGCGGTGAGACGGGCCGTTGTGTGTCATGCTGGGAAGACTTACTGTTCCAAGAGCGTGACTGTGCTGGTGACCACATCGCCGTACATGAGAGTGGTCCCCCAAGTGTTTGCGTCGTTCTCCATCACCTGGTAACGTCGAAGATTGTCGTAAAAGCGCTTGAAATCCCATCTGGGTGTTTCCTTGGACGATGGCAGCCCCGATTCGTGGACAATGATCTTCTTCACCAGGGGTGACTCGGGCTTGTCTTGTGGATGGTCATTGTGAGGAAGTGAGTCCTTGATCTCGGACATGTTGAGCGCCTCCTGGGCAGTCTCGATACGGAAGATGTCAGATTCTCCTTTGATAAACTCGGCTCCATCTTCCCTCTCCAGGATCGGGTTCCATGCGTAGAGGAGCTCAATCACATCAGCGTTGTTGGCTGAGGTCAGGTAGAAATCCGACAGCTCTGGAACTGTAACGACGGCATCGTTTGGTTGAAGGCCGAGCTTCTCCAGACAGGATTTGACAAATGCGATTCGTGCTCGGTCGTCCTCTGCGAGTCTGGCTATGAGATCTTTGTATCCTGGGAGATCCGTGTTGGGGTCGAGATTGATAGCTGCAAATCTGCATCATCCGTCAGCGACACACATATGGGTGCATGCACCTCGGGGAACGTACTCTGGATGTGGTCCCATAAGCGCGGCTTTACCCTGACCAACGTTGCAGAGCACGACGGCTGCCTTGCCATCGCTTCCATCCACATCCAGCTCATCCTCGTACTGGGCAAGGACCTGGACTTTGCTTGGGCCGAAGCTCTTTGCGTCAACGAAAACACCACCTCCATTGAAGTACGATGTGATCCTCTGAGGCACGTCATCGGAGAACATGTCTTTTCCTATCCTCAGCTTGATAGCCCTCGCGCCCTTTTCACTCTTATAGTCAAATCCCTTGAATGCTGCACCTCGACAGGTGCCTGGGAAGAATGCCAGCTCGCGTCTGCCTATCACCTCGAGGTGAGGATCGCCGACTTCAAACTCACATCGGCCACTGCCATAGTAGCCGCCTGCGCAGAAGCCCAGGTACGACCCGCCGCGACGTAGGAAGTCCGAGATGCGCCTGTTGCCCTCACCGTTGAGCACTTTGCAGTAGCCCAGATCTGCGCCACCTGGGAACACAAGAAGCGCACACGTCGACGCCCACGGTTCTTTGAGGAGGGTGGCCTCGGTGATGGGGATGACAGCGTAGTTGGGCGTCAGGAGCTGCCGCAGGGTGAAGGTGCAGTGGCGGACGGACTCGGTTGACGCACCAGGTCCTACATGGCATTAACACAATGCGGGCCAGAATTTCATTACGACTTGCCTATATAGACCAGCACGTTGAGTTTTCTGACTGGCATCTTGTTGTGTTTGGTGAGTCAAGTGGGAGGACTGCATCCCGTTACCCGGGACTATCAGGTAGGTCAGGTAAATCAATTTTACCTTACCTTCGCAATCGTAGCACACACCCTTCCTACAACAACATACCCAATTCACACAATGGGGACACAAAACTCGCAAGCAGAGGAGAAAAATACCTCAGGATCGATACAGGATGACAAGAATAGTATTGCTGCGACGAAGCCAGTGGAAGAAGACGACGAGCCGGATGAGTGGTGAGTGGAAGCGGAAGCCCCAACACACGAGTTTCCCACCCTCAACAGATACGTGGAACACAAGGGTACGCGGGTCAAGGGCAGCCATAGCCGCTGACAGCCGAGATAGGGACAAACGCATCTTCAGCACGGGCTGCTCGGGTACGTGATCAAGACGAGCTTCCTTGAAAAAGCACAGTGGCTCACGCGAGGCAGTCGAGAATGCCAAGATGACGGACTGCTACTACGAGAAGAAGGACTGGAGAGCTTGCGCCAAGGAGGTCAGTACACCATGGATCAATTCTGTCCTCGCAATATTGACAAGCCAGATGGAAGAGTTCAAGGAGTGTTGGAAGCGTCATGGCAACGAGGAGCGCACCGCCAGCAGAGACGCTTGAGACGGTCGCCCCGGACAACCTGTAGCAATATTCACTCCCATCTGCAAACCAAGGTGTATCATAAATGTACATGTATTCGAACCAGCGCTGCATTCACTTGTTTCATATATAAAATAACCATAGAGGACTCTTTAAAGTGGATAACGAGCAGGTCACTGAGGGCTCTGATTGGCATCCCTGCAAAGAAAAGACCCCGAATCCCGTCACGAAAAGTCGAAGCTCCATCCATCCATCCATTTGATCCAGCCTTCATAGCTCCTCCGTCTCGGCACACCAAGCCAAACGTTTACAAGCCCAGCTCAGCGTCGCGGCCATGTTCCCTCTCCGAAGAGCCGTCCAGGCCGCTCCTCGCCAGGCGGCACGTCGAGCTTGTGCTGCATCCAACGCGGCCTGGCAGCAGACGCCCGCCCAGCGCGCGCGCTCCTACGCGACAAGCAAGGACACGAACGACGAAGCCTCCTCTGTGACGACCAAGGCAACGGCCGAGACGAAAGACGCCGACAGCACCAAGCACAGCACACGCGCCCCGCGCCCCCCCGCATTCACCTCCAAAGCCAGCGCAAAGTCCACCCCACGGCCGACGGCCGCCGCGCAGCACAACGCAGCGTTCCACTACCCAAGCCAGGCAGAAGGCAGCTCTGCTGTGCAGGAGATTGACTGGACGACGAGCTACTACGGCCTCGGCGTCGCGCCGGTGACAAAGGAACAGGCGGCCACGCTGGCACGGCCGCTCGCGACCACAGACATTGAGGTGAAGCCGGATGGGATCATCTACCTGCCCGAGATCAAGTACAGGCGGCGGTTGAACGAGGTTTTTGGACCCATGGGCTGGGGTCTGGCGCCGCGTGGCGAGGCCATTGTCGGGTCCAACATTGTCACGAGGGAGTACGCGCTCGTTGCGCAGGGACGGTGAGTCTACCACGCTGCGGCTGCGTGTCTGTCCTTCTTTCTTTAAGAATCTCGCTAACATGGTCCATCAGATTCGTCGCACAGGCGCAGGGCGAGAACGCCTACTTCAGCCCCGACCAGCTCCCCTCCTCGGTGGAGGGCACAAAGTCCAACGCCCTGATGCGCTGCTGCAAGGACCTCGGGATCGGCTCGGAGCTGTGGGACCCCGAGTTCATCCGCAAGTTCAAGAAGAGCGAGATGCAGGAGGTCTGGGTCGAGCACGCGACGACCAAGAAGAAGCGGACACTGTGGTACAAAAAGGGGGCCGTGGAGGTCGTGTACCCCTGGAAGAAGGTCAAATGAGAAGCCCACGCACAGGTGTCTGGGCGGCAAACGCGTGGAATCCGTCGTGGCGCGCGATTCGTGTACATCATATTGGGGCCAGCAGCAGCAGCAGCAGCAGCGCTCCATCATTTCATTGTCACCATTAACGGGAGGGGAAAATCCCCACAGGCGAGCACATAGACATGGTTGGTAATATTACTTGTACGATACAGAGCTATTTCTACCGGAAAAGACTGGTAGTCTATGGTGATATCAGGGTTTGTGGCTCCCCTCCCAGGTTTGTGTGAAAACCCAACCGTCGTCCACAGTCTAATCGAAAACGCCATACTCCCGCCAGTACTGGGGCTGCAGACCTTCCTACCGATCGACTCCCGAGCTCTTTGCCGGATCTTGGGCCGCGCCCCAGCTCCAAGGCATCCAGCCGCCTCCGCCGGGCGTGTTCTGTCGCCGGCGCAGAGAGGCCTCGTCCTCGCTGTCCGCCTCGATCTTCTCAAAGTCCGTCTCGCTGCGGCTCTTGCTCAGGGCGCTCAGCCCGCTGGGTGGTCGCTGCGTCGGCTCGCCGTCCTCGTCGGCAGCGTCGAGGTGCGCTTGGGCGTCGGCTGTCTGCAGCTGCTGCGCTTCCGCGTCCAGCGCTGACAGGAGCGTGGCGAGCTTCTCCCTCTGCGCGGCGATAAAGGTTATCTTCTCGCCGGAGGACTGCATGTTGGGTGGGATGATGCTGTTCTCGGCGCCACGGGAGTGACCGGCTGCCGTGACCGCGGCGGCCACGGCACTCGCCAGGAGGTTGTACACATCGGCGCCCGCGTTGGCCGACCCGGTCCATTTGGCGGCGGGCACGCTGAACCGAGCGAGCAGAGACTGTGTGTAGCCTTGCGGGGACGTGGCCTCGGTTTGAGGTGGTGCGGGGGGCTCTCGGGACGGTGGCAGGCCCAGGACATTTGTCTTGATCAGTTCGATGGCCTGCTTCAGATAGGAGAGGCCGGCCGTCTTGAGCCTCTCGTGGGCGGACGCGATAAAGTCGTCAATGCTGGCCTCATTGTCCTGGAGGAACGGGTGGACGTGCTCCTCGTAGATGATGCGCGCGCCCTGCGTCTGGGGGAGGATGAGGTAGAGCAGGAAGAGCAGCCTGGCGTAGCCGTAGAAGGGCACCCAGGAGAGGACGGGGAGGAGCCACGACTCGACGAGCAGGGCGACGGAGAAGACGACCCAGTACATGAGCCATGGGGTCAGCTGGGCGGGATCCGACGTCTTGAGGGCCTTGTACGAGGCGAAGATGGGGAAGAGGAAAGAGGCGACGGAGCTGCATTCGGTATCTGTCAGCTGTGCGACTATGTAGTAGGACCCTGGATTCGGCTGGCGGGGCGGGGCAGCTGGCGACTTACGAGAGGAGCATGGCGAAGAGGTCGAACATGATGGGCGGGTTCTTCTGTAGGCGCGAGCCTCTCCCAACGCGGATCTAAGATTTGAAACTGCGCGAGCTGTTCAACGCAAGACAAGGCTGTTAGTGAAGTGAAGTGAAGTGAAGTGAAGTGAGGTGAGGTGAGGTGAGGTGAGGTGATGCAGACACGAGGTTCACTTTCACTCAACCGCGCGATGGCTCCGCTCAGGATGAGATCAGATCTAGCGGCGGGGCGGCTGGAGGCAGCAGTAGCATATGCAGCGTCCGTAGCAGCCGGTAGGGGCGTCTCTAGCGCCAAACTCAATGCGAATAGTGGGACACGTCGCTGGATGCGGTGCCTGGAGGCTTCCTTTCACGTTAGGCTTCAGGCGGATAGGCCACTCCAGTCACTGCCTGCACAACCACCTTGAGAGGGCAGAGAGCAGCCTAGCAAGTGAAACGCATGGCAAGGCTTTTTTTCTTTTCTTTTTCAAAGCAGATTCAAGTGAGTTCAAAGTTATCAAAGACATACAAGGGTGCTCACAGCAGCGCTGAGCTAGAACGGTAAGACGGGAAGGCTTACTATACTATCCTGACGTTGATGACGGTGCTATCATGCTCCCGTGGTGTTAGTGCCTGATGCCGAGCTTGGCTGAGGTCGCGTGACGCGCGCCTGGGCTGGTCACGTTTCGATCTCGCGTCTGTGCTCGTCACCTGCGTGCGTATTCTCGAGTCTCACCTAGGACAGACCAGACCTAGGTGAGCTCATTTATCCATCCATTCGTCGCTTACCGTACCTTGATCAAGAGTGGGACTCTTTATGCACAGCCGTCGCTAAGCGCTGTCACCTGTGCCTCCCGCGACGACTGCTTGCCTCGGAAGCGCGACGACAATGGCAGTGGCTCAGACAGCCTTGAGCCTGCGGTGCGCATCTTCCACTTCTGCCTTCTTCGATGGCTTAAGCTATGAAGAATCGCAACAAGGCTGCTTTTCTGTCTCAAGGCTGTGCTGATGCCGTCTCGTCCGGACATGAGCACGTCGAGGACAGCTTGTAGCAGGCGTCCTCAATGAACGATGCACCAGCGCTGAAGCGCGAGATGGAGTGGTCAAGAACAACGTGAGGAGTCTCAGGCACAATGCCAAATCGAAAGACCGACACACTCGCCAGATTCAACAGGATCATGCCCTCCAGCACGCGGCGGACCATGTTCAGAACAAGGCGTTGGCCCATCGGGGACAGACCGCCGTCACAGCACCCGCCGGGCATCGAGATGGAGTTATCAAGTCGGCCAACCTAGCCTGGTACATGGTGTCGTCTCACGTCGCATCCTGTATTCCTGGGGCACGTGCTGCCGGACCCTGTGGCTCCGAGATACCTCCCCAGCCCGGCATGTGGTGCCATATATATTGTCCTATTCGAGGTCGCTGCCAATCACTACCGTGCTTGTCAAGCGAATCTCACGAGGAGGTGCCGTTTGCGACGTCTTGGCGTGCACCCCGTCCATCTCACACCGTCCAGCCCATCCATCGGTTGTTGCAGACCGTAATGCTGATGCCTTGGTCTTGTCGGCATTGCGATTCGTCTGTCTCTCACAGCGGACAATAGATTTGGGGGGGGGGGGGGGAGAGGGGATGGAGGCTTACAGGGCAGAGATCGATGAGTATAAAGATGGCTTCCCTTGACGCTCCCTCTCTCTCTTCGGTCCTTGGCTCCCCATCACCACCAAGTCTAATCCAGCTACCATGAAGTCTTTCCAGTTCTCCGTCCTTGCGGCCCTGGCGGCCACGCAGGCCATGGGCCATGCCACCTTCCAGCAGCTCTGGATCAACGGCGAGGATCAGATGAGTCTTGTCGTGTCAAGCCTTAGCCTCTCCAACTAACATGCATGTCTGTCTCACGGTTCGACCTGTGCCCGTCTCCCCGCCTCCAACAGCCCCGTGACGGACGTCTCAAGCAACGCCGTCCGCTGCAACGCAAACCCGGCGGCGGCCAAGGGCAAGTGCGGCGTCTCAGCCGGCGACACGGTCACCGTCGAGATGCACCAGCAGCCCAACGACCGGAGCTGCGCCAACGAGGCCATTGGCGGCAACCACTTTGGCCCCGTCATGGTCTACCTGACAAGGGTCGACGACGCCGCCACCGCGGACGGGTCGACCGGCTGGTACAAGATCTACGAGGACAGCTGGGCCAAGAACCCGAGCGGCTACTCGGGCAGCGACGACTTTTGGGGTGTCAAGGACATGAACAAGTGCTGCGGCCTCGTCGACGTGCCCATCCCCCAGGACACACCCGCCGGCGACTACCTCCTCCGCGCCGAGGTCATCGCCCTGCACGTCGCCGGCGGCGTCGGCGGCGCCCAGCTCTACATGAGCTGCTACCAGCTCACCGTCGACGGCAACGGCAACGCGTCCCCCGCGACCGTCCAGTTCCCCGGTGCCTACTCGGCGCAGGATCCGGGTATTCTGTTCAACATGTACGCACCCGTGAGCAGCTACAAGGCGCCCGGTCCGGCTGTCGTGTCTGGCGGGACGACCAAGACGGCGGGCTCCGGCTGCACTGGATGCGAGGCCTCGTGCCACGCATAAGGGGCTGGACATGTCTAGCACAGTATACGAGTGACAAATGAAACGTGCCTTCTTGTGCCAATTGTATGCATTTTGTTTGTCTAGGTGTCTAGTGCAGGACCAGGTCGTCAAAGGGACATCCCTGGTCCGCCGACTCGCGCTTTGTCTTGTCCATGACCACCTTTCGCGTCAGCTCCATCAAGCTATCCTGCAGCTTCTCGTCCTGCGAGGCGGCGCTGCCGGGCTCGGGGACGGCCGGCGGGCAGATGTAGTTGCCCGAGCTGTCGATGAGGGTGGCGGCGTAGACGGTGCTCTTGGCGCCCTCGAATTGGTCCTTTTTGAAGAGCTCGAGGCCCTTGGACATGGCGTAGCCACCGAGGGGGAAGCTGTAGGTGAGTGAGTCGAATTTCCCTTTTTTTTTTTTTTTTTTTTTTTTTTTTTTTTTTGAAGTCCAGAGAAAGAGAGAGAGAGAGAGAGAGAACTTACGGCTCGTGAATGTCCTGGGTGCTCATCTTGGAGCTCACAATGCCCGGGTGGGTGGCGTTCATCAGGACGTTGGGGTGACCGTTCTGCGTGACCTTGCGGTTGAAGTAGCGGGCGTACAGGATGGCCGCGAGCTTGGAGCGTCCGTACTGGGTGTTGGGGCCGAGGTCCTGGTTGAGGTCGTCCAGGCTCTCAAACTTGAGATCCTTGGGCACGCTCTCGTGCACGTTGCTCGCCTGGTTCGTGATGCGGACGGTGGCGCCCTTCTTCTCGGCGGTCTCCTTCATCAGGGGCAGCAGGTGCGACGTGAGGATGACGTGCGCCATGTGGTTGATGGCCATGTGCCTGTCGACGCCGTAGTCGGTCAGCTGGTAGGTCATGATGCCGCGGCCGGCGTTGTTGATGAGAATGTCGAGTCGCTCCTCGTTGGCCTTGATCTTCTCGGCCACGTCCTTGACCTGCTTCCAGTCGCTGAGGTCGCAGTGGAGCCACGCGGTGCGGTCGGCGACGTCCTTGCCCATGTCCTTGGCGATGGCCTCCTTGGCGCCCCGGACGACCTCCTCGTCTGTGGACAGGATGTACAGCTTGCTCACGTTGTGGCTGAGGAGGGTGTGGGTGACGCCATAGCCGATGCCCTGGGATCCTCCGGTGACGACGGCGACTTTGCCGCTGAGGTCGGCGGTCTGGTCGAGGGAGAAACTGTGGGTGGCGAGCTTGTCGGCCCCGTGGCCCAAGTTCTCGGCCAGGGTGTTCTAACAGGGAGTCATCGTTCGCCGTCTGCATCGGGGGTTCTCTGAGCAAGGGGGCGTACCTTTGCTTGGTCAATGACGGACGCCATCTTGCCGTCCTGTCCGTCGTTGTCGCGAAAGGGCTGTTGGTTCTGATGTTGGCCAGGCGCGTTGGTGATGCTGCGTGAGACGATGGCAGTCAGTGAGATGCTATGAATCGAGGGAGGTCTGACAGTGAAGATGCGACGACGAGCAGCAGGTGGGCAGATAATATTCATATCTTGTACTACTACACGAGACAACCGTCCAAGCACACACAAGGTGCATACGCTCGACGTGCGTGCGCCTTACATAGGGATGAGATCATATCATGAATCACCAGACTGGAGGGCAATGACGCAGTCGATGTGTGGGAGAGCATTTCTGGTTACAGTGGAATCGAGAAATTGATCCCTTCATCATGTAATGCGGGGATCAATGCATGCATGCATGCATGCAGTTGTCAATTGATGTAATTCCATTGGCACAGCATTTATTTCCTGGAGGGAGGGAGGGAGGGAGGGAGGGCAGAAGATCTGGGGTCCAGACTCCAGTCGTGTCTTGCACGGCCTGCCGGAGGAGACTCTCCGTGCGCATGACGACGACAGCCTTGAATCATCATTGAGATTAGTGACGGCCTGGCCAGAGCTGGCTGGCGACATCTTTGACCAGCTTCAGCTTCTGCACCATCTTGTCCTCGGTCATGCCGTCCGCGCCAATGGCGACGCTGGCAAAGCCGCACTGGGGGCTGATGCCGATGCTGCCCATGGCCTCCTCGACCGTCCGTCCCTGGCCGTCGGCGATGATGCGGGCCGCCTCGAGGACCTTGGCCTTGATGGCCTCTGGATCCTCGAGCTCGGGCGCCTTGGTGGTGACGACGCCGAGGACGACGTTCTTGTGCCGGGGCAGGAAGCGCAGAGGCTCGAAGCCGCCGGAGCGCGGGTTGTCGTACTCGAGGAAAAAGGTGTCGTAGTCGAGCGTCTCGAAGAAGCGCTGGGCGATGCGCTCGTACGAGCCCTCGCTAAAGTGCATGGACTTTGAAAAGTTGCCCCGGCAAATGTGCAGGCCGACGTGCATGTCGGCGGGCCGGTCCCGGATGCACTCGTTGTGCGCCCAGAGGTAGAGGTCAAAGAGCTTGTCCGGGTCGATGCCGTCCCCGCGCAGGCTGTCGACCATGGCCTCGGAGCAGAAGTAGGCGAGCGTCGGGTCGTCAATCTGCAGGTTGCGCAGACCGGCCGCGTGGAGCGTCTTGATCTCCTGCCGGTACGCGCTGCCCAGGTCGGTGAAGAAGGCCTCGTCCGAGTCGTAGGCCGACGAGGCGTAGCACTTGCCCGGCGCGAGACGCAGGTGGAAGTAGCACGGCGGCGGCATGGTGAACTTGCACTCCTTCCACTCCGCCTCGGGCAGGTTGTCGCGGAGCATCTTCCAGCTCTCGAGGTAGGGGCTCTTGTCGTACGTGATCTTGCCCTCGCACACGGCGGCATGGGGATACTGGCGGCCCGTCTTCTTGAGCGCCGCAATGGGGGGCGCCGACAGACGTGCGAGCTCCCATGGCACGGGGCTCACCTCGCGGAAGCCCCCGAGGTTCTCAAAGAAGCCGGACCAGTAGTACTTGCGGTCAAACTCGCCCGACGTCAGGGCGCGGATGCCGTTGGCCCGCTGGAGGTCGACAATGTCCTTGATGGCCGACCTTTGCGCTGCCGCCAGAGTGTCCGGGTCCTGCTGGTCTGGGTTGGCCAGTGACTCTGGCCGGATCAACGATCCAATGTGGTCGGCGTGGAAGGGGAGTGTCATTGTGCGATGCGATGCGATAAGATGCGGATGCGGATGCGGATGCGGAGTGACGGAGCGGAGAGGCTTGTCCAGAGCGGCCACAGCGACGCCACTGCGATGAGGTTCGTCGATATATATATACTTGTACGTGTAGTATATCCGGCTCGCCCCACAGATAGCTGGGTAAAGACCAGGTGCCGGTTTTCCTCCAACTTGCCTCGCGCCATCCTCCCCTCACGCTGTGAGGGGTCCGGATCTTGACGCGGCAGATGGCCAACGTCGGCGGACTTGTCGGCGACAGGTGGGGAATACGAGGCGGGAAGGTCTAGGCTCAGCCTAGAGTGTTTTTTTATAATGTTCATCATGTATATTTGAAGGCTCAAAAGTGTTGCTGTGTCAACTAGAGTCAACGGGTATTGCTGCTGCTGCTGCCCACCGCGGCAATTACGACGCCTCGACGTCGCAACCGTCCTATTCATCACCACCCTTTCGAACCTCCCCTGGTTTTGTTCCGTCGCCTTTTACCAGTCGCCCGTGCGTGACTTGCGCCTGCGTGACTTACGCCGCAACGGGGGGCTGCGCACCGTTGGCTGTCGAGGCACCGTTGGACGCCCCATTGTGAGCACCATTCGAGGCATTCGAGGCACCACTGTGCGCACCGTTCTGGTAACCGGCCATCGCCGCCTTCTCATGGTGCGCATGACCGTTGGGGTGCCCGGGCTCGCGCACGCCCAGGCCTAGGGCGGCAAAGTCAATCTTGGTGTGGCCGTAGAGCAGGATGGCCGAGAAGACGGGCTTGGCCAGGACGTCGAGGACACCGTAGAAGATGGCCTCCGAGTCCGGGTGGATGACGTTGCCGCCCTCGCAGACGCCCCAGGCGATGGGGTAGAGGAACCACAGGAAGATGGTCAGGACGCCGCACGCGTAGTACGTCGTGCGCGCCCATCCGCCGAGCACGGTGGCGCCGCGACGGCCGACGACGAGGATGTTGTAGACGACGTAGAAGAAGGCGAACATGCCAAAGACCCAGTACCCCCACTTGTACCGGGTCTGGGTCAGGGCGCCAATGAGGCCGCAGACGACCATGATCTCGTCCGCCAGGATGGTCGCCATGATGGTCGACCAGGGCACGCCCGCCGTGAGGAGCAGGTCCGTCAGCAGCAGCGGCGTCGTGACGAACCAGTCAATGTAGCGCGCGTAAAAGATCTCGCGCGTGCCCGCGGCGCCGACCTGGCTCGACCCGGGCCGCACAAACTCGGCCTGGATGGGCACCTGGCCCAGGTTGGAGGCCATGCTGAAGTAGGCGATGGCGGCCACGAGGAGCAGCACGCCCGTGATCTGGTGGAAGAGGCGTCGGCTGTGCGGGACGGTCATGGAGTGGGCGACCGTCGCGAGGCAGGACACGGACATGATGGCGCACACGGTGTATAGCCAGTCCGAGCCATGGGTGGTGATACCCAGGTCCGGCTGGGGCTGCGAGGTGTAAGCTGCGGCAACCAACCAGGAAGGCAGGTAGGCAGGCAGGAGAGACTTACTGCGACGACGCGGTTCACGTCCAGAGCTTCGTTGCCCATGGTGATGGTTGATGTCTTGAGGTCTTTGGGGTGGTGTTGGAGGTTGTGACCGACTGGCTGACCGGCAGATCGAGGACTAATGTGCGACAACTCGAGGTTATATACACGTCCGTATACACGCTCATCGACCTCCACCTAGCACCATGTCATCCGCGTATCGATGTATATCGGCCACCTCGCCTGGCCCGCACTGCATTGATGACTGCCGAACGGCCGGACCCTACTAGCGTGTGGAATCATCATCGAGAACGCATCTGGCGAAGGTGATGTCAGGATTATCTCCGATATGTACCGTAGACCGTTCGGCGCCCGGGGAGGGCCCAGGGTCAAGTTAGCGCGCGCCCGGCTGTAAGAGTGTATGATCTCACCATTATCGATTCCCGTCAATAGACCAGGTGACGCGGGCGAGAACCGCACCACGTTGCAGAGCTACCGCACGGGAAAAGGGGGACCTGGATGCCATTTTACTGGTGCTTCTCGGCTTGGACGTGCCGTGGCCTGGACAACTTGACACATTTGGTGCGCGCGTGGTCATCGATGCGCGTCGCGACAGACGATGGTGAGGGATGACAGCAGCATGGTGTGGATGGAGAACGCGGACACTATTCGCGAATAGCCCGGCCAGATCACTTCACGATCTGCGAAGCCGCGTGAGCGCTTCTCGGAAGGTCGTGCCGCGCCGGGCAATAGTGTCGTGAGGCTCGACCGAGCATCCGGGCGTTGTGTGGGAGAGACATGAGAAGGGCGATGCCGAGATCTTACCCGCCCAGGAGGAGAATGGCGGTCTGCTTACCCTGCACTCCTTCTTCACCCACCACAATCGAGCATCAACTCTGATGACGGGCCACACTCTCGATCTGTCTCCCCCAGACTTCCAAGAGGGCCCAGCCGAGCCGAGCCCAGAGTCCAGTCCCAGACCAACTGCATCTGGCCAACTTCCAAGGGATCTATTCCCGGATGTGCACACGCGCTGCCCACTTTGTTCCGGCACTCCACGTCCAGACGCGCCCATGTGTCTGACACTTCAACTGCGTCATCCAGCGATCGATCAGACCAAGCAAGGCAGGCAAGGCGGGCACGGCATCAGCCTTCAACGCCGGCCATGCTAGCTGCCACGTGCATTCTCGAGATCGCAGCAGCTTCACCCGTCTGACGCGCATTCCTTTCCATCACACACTCTCTCACCTACCTATGTTGGGAGGGCCCGTGATCCCAGCCAACCATCATGCCTCACGACAAGAAGCCCCGCCATCCGTACGTTGCCCTCTGCTGACCTCACCCCTCCCTCGTCTGAGTCTCCTACATCTCGCCCTCCACCACTGACGCTCCGTGACAGCTACCTCTCTGGCAACTTTGCGCCCATCCATTCGACGCTGCCCCTCACACCGTGCGCCTACGAGGGCGAGATCCCGCTCGACCTCGCCGGCGGCCAGTACGTCCGCAATGGCGCCAACCCCGTCACCAACGAGGACCTCGGGCGCGACGCTCACTGGTTCGACGGCGACGGCATGCTCGCCGGCGTTCTCTTCCAGCGCCGGACCCAGCGCGCCGATGATGGCAGCGGCAGCGTGGAGGCGATAGAGCCCCATTTCGTGAACCAGTACCTCCTCACAGACGTCTACTGCTACGCAAAGCACAACCAGTCCCTCGCCAGGCCCCTTCTGCCCAGCATCGCGACGCTCGTCAGCCCGGCCAGCGCGCTTCTACATGTCATGTGGTCCATCTTTCGCGCGGTTGCCCTCGCCATGGTGTCGCGCTTCCCGGGACGTCCGACCATCAGGAAGATCAGCGTGGCCAACACAAACGTCGTCTACCACGACGGTCGCGCCCTGGCCACGTGCGAGAGCGGCCCCCCGCTGCGCTTCCTTCTGCCCACCCTCGAGACCATTGGCTGGTACAACGGACGCCGGGCTCAGCGAGAGGAGGACGCCGACGAGCGCAGCGGTTTTGGCGGCGAGGGCCCCATGGCATTCATGCGGGAGTGGATGACGGCGCATCCGAGGGTCGACCCCGTGAGCAAGGAGCTCATCGCCTTCCACTCGACGTTTGCAAAGCCCTACGTGCGATATTCCATTGTCAAGCCGTCCATCTCCAAGGAGGCAACCCCTCCGTCGACATTCGACCAGCCTGTCCCAGGCATCTCGTCACCCAAGATGATGCACGACTTTGGCGTCTCCTCGCACCACACGGTCATCATGGACCTGCCGCTCGTGCTCGACCCGATGAACCAGATGCGCGGCCTGCCGCCTTTACACTACGACTCGTCCAGCCGGTCTCGCTTCGGCGTCTTCCCACGCTACGCGCCGCATCAGGTCAAGTGGTTCGAGACCAACCCCTGCCTCATCTTCCACACGGCCAACTGCTGGGACACGACCACCCTCATGAACAAGGCCACGATGCAACGCGACACTGTCGTCAACCTGCTGGCCTGCCGGCTGACGTCGGCCGCGACGGTTTTCAACCCCGCCAACATTGCCAGCCCCGAGGTCAAGGCCGTGCAGCCCGAGTACGCCGAGGAGGAGCAGTGCAGGCTGTACTACTACGCCTTCCCGCTCTCCGAGAGCCAGGTGCAGATCCGCCACCAGTGGGCCCTGTCGGCCATCCCGTTCGAGTTCCCCGTCGTGGCCGCCGACAGGGCCATGGGCGAGTGCCGGTACGTGTACGGCTGCACGACATCCAAGTCGTTCACAGTCGCGCTCGGCAAGGCCGCCAAGATTGATTACCTCTCCAAAATCGACGTCCGGACACTCATTGCGCGTGGCGTCGAGAAACCCCCGCAGACCATCAAGGGCAGCGTGGACACGAGGAACGTGCAGCAGGTCGTGGCCAGCAAAGACCCCCACGACCCAATCCAGCTGTTCGCGATGCCGCCGGGCTGGTACGCCCAGGAGCCGCGCTTCGTGCCGCGGACGACGGACGGCGGGCGCGAGGACGACGGCTGGCTGCTCTTCTACGCATTTGACGAGGCGCAGCTCGACGCGCAGGACAAGGCCGGCGACGACGCGACGAGTGAGCTGTGGATCGTCGACGCGCGCACCATGAAGGACGTTGTGGCCAAGATCAAGCTGCCGCAGCGGGTACCGTATGGCCTGCACGGCGCCTGGTTCAGCGAGGACGAGATTCGAGGGCAGAGGCCGCACGAGGGCGTGCGGGCGCTCGGGGCGATTTCGGCGGCCAAGGCGGCGGACAGCCTGGTCGGCCAGGTCCGAGATAGGCTGGAGCGTTGGCTCGGCTAGCTTATCAGAGACGGTCCCCCTTTGGGTGTCAATTTGTTTACAATCTATGGCCGTTTTGGGCACGCCGCCGTCGTGGGGTCTCAGATGGCATGCCAGTGATCAGGAACAGGAACAAAAAAACAACAAACCACGATCCAGCGCGTTGGATGCCATGCGGCGTCTGTAGATGCGGGGGCATAATTTCGCGGTCTGACATTGAAATGGGATTTCCACATCATGTCGCTCATGATGATGGGATTGATCTTGTGTCGTGAGAGTCAGCATCGGCGGTGGCGTTTCATGTTCTATAATTTTCATACGAGTCCATGATCATGCAAGCTTGGGGGGAATGTCTTTGTAGCCTTTGAGGAATTCTGAGCGTCTGTGCCTTGTTCCGGTTCACTGCAAAGCTACAATTTCCGGGTCTGGTCAATACGTGAAGTCAATCGATGGTTTACTCCGTATGGAGCGTTATTCATCGTGTTGAGCAGATCGAGAGCGTTCGGTCTTGGGTTATGCGTGACATTGTGTGTGTATCTGTTTTACGTTCACAAAGTGTCAATATGATAACTATTACTTGTACATTCGGATCGGGCTGTGTGTCATTTACTTGCGAACAGATATGGACGGTATCCTCTGCATAGAAGTATTCAACAACACATTATCTACAAATATATTCAACCACGGATGGCACCAAGAGGCAGTACGGGCATAATCGTAAATAACAAAGTACAACCTCATGTTTAGACATAATTCATCCTATATATGTATCTGAAATCACATCACTTGCAGCTGGCCTTCTCACGCTGGTCAGAAGTCGGTGCGTAGGGTAGCCATTATTCACCAGCCTCAAAGGGGAGCGAGTGACCCACTAAAACCCCTGGCATCTCCTTCAGGCGGCCGGCCGCCCCTGAACGACACGCGGAGCCTCAACTTTCACTTCACACTGCGATTGTGCACAGTGCCCAGGACCACATTGTGCACACCATTGTCGCGCCAATCCATCAAATGCTAGCGTCTATCCTTGACCGCACTTCTCGCGTATCGGTGGACCTGGATCGAGCATGGCACATACACGTCCTCTCAAAGATCGATGGAATGACCTCGCTTTGAGGCCTCATTTCCCAAATGGCCAGCCGGAAGACTCCCTCCAGGGATAGGTAGATTGGACCGGATCGATAATATGGAATGTGAGGGATACAAAAGCACCGAGGGATTGCGGCCTAGCTTGGACGCCCTATATTGGGGCTCCATACTTCTAGGCGGCTCAAGCGATGCTGTCTCACGTCAAAGTTGGCACGCGACGAGGGGGACAACAACATCTACGCCCAGAGCACCAGACACAGCAATAGCTCGTCTTGGAAATTGGAATCCACGGGCATATTAGATCCAGATCCAATGGCTCCCGCTGCGAGCGGCCAAGCTTCTCCGGGCCTTCTTGTCGAGGGAACGGCCACCGAGACATGCCCCCACAAAGCATGCTCGCCCCGTCGAGCAGCATTCTTCAACACCCAGCTACGACCACTTGATGTCTCAAAGAACGCGCTGCATTCTCCAACGCCGCCAGAGAGATAGCGCACACGGCGAAGATGAACCCTCACAGCAAATACTGGAGTCCAGATACGCGTCGAAGACGAGGGCCATCCAAGTATAAAGTAGGGTGAGCCTTTCCATCAAACCATCACCTTTTCTTCTCATCACCAACAGCATCAGCACAGCCTCGATTCCACTCGTTCAGGTTTCACCCCGAGAGCTCTCTTTTCAAGTTCCTCCCCCACACTCTTTTTAGGACTCTAGATCCGAGGCAACACACCCGTCGCCATGCGTTACACACCTCTTCTCGCCTTTGGCCTCGGCCAGGTCGCTCTGGCCCAGAACTCCACCTTCACCTGGAGCTCGACCACCTCGTCCGGTGCGAACCCGACCGAGACCGCTCTCGTCCCCGGCTTCCCCGAGCAGCTGGGTGACTTCCGCTTCTTCGGATGCCTGGCCTCGTCCGAGAACTTCCCCACGTTCGAGCTCATCGCCTCCAGCGACGAGATGAGCCTTGATGTCTGCGCCGCCAGCTGCCCCGGCCGCTTTATGGGCGTCTACAATACCGACTGCTACTGCGGTGACGAGGTCAACAGCGACGACACCCAGCGCGTCGCCAACTCGCAGTGCGACGTCGCCTGCCCCGGCAATGAGCTCGAGGCCTGCGGTGGCCTTGCCGGCGCCGGCGCCGTCGCCCGTCGCCAGTCTGTGCCCCTGTCCGTCCTGCTCTCCGTCTACATCCGCTTCCGCGACTCTGCCGTCACCAGCGGCGCTGTCCCCACCGGCACCATGACCGCGGCCCCCACCGGTACCAGCACCATCACCGAGACCATCACCGACACGCTCACCATCACCTCCTGCGCCCCCGAGGTGACCGACTGCCCCATCGGCCAAGTCACCACGACAACATACACCACCGAGTACTGCCCCGAGCCCACCTCCAAGGCCAAGGTCTGGCACGAGAAGGTCCTGATCTGCTACGGTGACTACTGCGCTCCCCAGCTGGCCTGCACCGACTGCGCCAAGCACCGCGTCGTCTGCGAGGGTGACGTCTGCCACCCCGAGGTCTGCACCGACGACGAGTACTACAAGAAGGTCGTCTGCCACGGTGACGATTGTGTCTACCCCACTTGCGAGGGCGATGATTGCCTCAAGAAGGTCGTCTGCTACGGCGACCACTGCATCCCCGCCAAGTGCTACGGTGACGAGTGCGAGAAGAACCTGGTCTGCCACGGCGACGAGTGCCTCCACGAGACCTGCCAGGGCGAGCACTGCTACGAGAAGTACGAGTGCAAGGGTGACGACTGCAAGGTTGTGCCCGCCTGTGTCGGCGAGCACTGCCCTACCCCCGCGCCCCCTGCCCGCAAGCCCACCCACGCCGATCCCGTGTGCTACGGTGCCCACTGCCCTGCTGTCGTCCCCACGGCCCCTCCCGCCAAGGGCGACAACGCCGGCCAGGTCAAGTGCGTTGGTGAGCACTGCGACAACTACGGCCAGGACAAGTGCGTCGGTGAGCACTGCGACAACTACGGCGAGAACAAGTGCGTTGGTGCGCACTGCGACATCCCCGTCGCCGGCTCTGGCAAGGTCCTGCCCGCCCTGGGCATGGGTGCCATCGCTGGCATGGCCTTCCTCCTGTAAGGGAAGCATGGACGGTCTCGTCTCGGACGCGAGCAATCTGCTGTGGTCGGCGGACCTGGCGAGCTCTAGTGGGTGATGTTGGTGTTCGCTTCAGTAATAGGTAGTTGAGGAGGATATTGATTTGATAGTGAATTCGAATTCTATACCTTGCACATGCTACCTGATCTTCTCCTTCTTGTTTGAAGATTGACGATCTGGCTCCTGGCAGACCCGACCCAAACAGTTGGCCCCAGGAGCTTGAAGACGCAAGATGATTGAACAATGAACCTGACTTCTCCCCAGTGATCAGCGCTACCCCGACTTCGAGCTCCATAGCATGGATCTCTCCCATCCAGCCGGATTGGATCCCCGAAAATGTACAATTCCTCGTCAATGACATTGAACACGAGGCTGGCTGGACGTATCCCGAAAACCACTTCGATTTCATCCAAACACATATTGCACTCCATCAGGAGCCGATCCGAGCTCTGGGAGCGTGTATACTCGTGCGTCCAAGCACGGTCCTATCCGCGACTCTGACCGGCCAACCGACAATGCCATCATGAACTAGTCGTCCGAAACCTGGTGGGTGGTTTTGAGCTTCAAGAGTTCGAGTATGCCGCACCCTGCGACGACGATTCATGCCCCGGCCCTTATCCCTGGAGGTCATTCTGTGAGGAGGCGCGGATTTACGATTACGACTGTTCTTGTGCTGCATCTCATAGCAATTGGCATAGCAATGCATTTGGATTCACATTATTTGAACTACGTTGGTCTATTGCTGTAGCTCGTTGCCTCCCATGTCACGCGTGAAGCAGCGCAGCGTCAATCCAATTTGAGAGCCTATTGTCTCGGAAAGGGGCCCATGCGGAACCTTACTGTTTTTATAGAGTTTTCAACGCTTTTATTTCAAACCATGTTTTCGTGCGCAGGTAAATTAAGGTTAGACTTTGCGCTGACTTGGTGTCCTTCTCAGGCTCATGTATAAGAGGGTCGCATTTCAAGCTCGAGATGCCACTACTCATCTGGCAACGTCCATATTACAACATAGCACTTTCCCTCTGTCTATACCCACTACATAGCAAACGTACGTCTTTTGGATATGGGTACAATGTCTCTTCCGCAACAGACGCTGCAGTCTGCTAGCGGCCAGATGTGCAATAGTGGCACCTGGTTCATCGTCGAGACCAACGGGCGCTCCGTGGTCTACAACTCTCTCCAGCAGCCAGCTCTTTACAGGGAAGCGCTTATCAAAGCGAATCATCAGATCAGGGCTCGCCGACGTGAAGACCAGATCTGGAACAGCATTGCGGCGGCTGTACATGCTATCCCACCAGAACAGTGGTTTCCTCTTCCATACGCCCAGCAAAGTGTCCAGCTGCCGGGGCCTTTCAGTGAGGAGACCGTGATTCAGTCCCTCGAATTTATCATCGCGAAAGAAGAGGCAGGCAGCGCTTCGGAGGAGTCTAATAGGTCTCCTGGCTCGGGAGGTGACTCCGATACGAGCCTGTACTCAATCTAGACGTCAACGCGGCAAGCACAAGGGCTATCACAACGACGATACTGAACCTCCCGTGGGTATCAATGGCAGCGGCAGTGACGACAAACGAGGATATTGTCGAAGATGAGCGGTGGGAGTGTTTACCTCACACGATTTACGACAGCCGTGGTTTCTAGAATCGGGCTATGATCAGCGACGTTTTAGAAAGAGGCGTGACAGCAATGAGCTCTGATGAAGAAAAACAAAAACAAAAAAACATTACACTTAGACCAATTTTTTTCATTTCATTTCTTTGCTATAGGTGTACTTGTGAATACAACCTTCGTCGCACGCACCGTGACGACTCCTTGGTGGCAGGCAGTGGTTGAATCAATGTCAAGAACAAGGCAATGTGAAGCATGCTCATAAGGGGAATTAGTCCATCCCATTCAGACGGCAGTAGACCTTCCTAAGTGCTGCTATAGCGAGGGTAGCCCTACTCTCTGTAGTGTGTTTACCCTGTACGTGCACGGTTCATCTGCAATTCATGGACAGCCTGAAATCAATATTGGTACCCGTAAACAAAACGCCAATCAAATGGTTCAAGCACTGTGCGTGAGAAAAGTGCACGTCCGTGTGCAAAGGTGTTCCTTGCACATGTTGTCACCAACATTGTCCTCGTCAACTGGACGCTGCCTGCTGTTTAACATGGCGGTCGACGCTACCATTGATAATGTCCAAATCACCAACTCGTATCTTACTGGGTCTGCTACAACGACGAATCACTTTAATTACCCCCTGCCACGAGAAAAGTCACTGCACGATCATGTGAGCGAATGCACGAGGGGCAACAGTGTCCGTGAATCTAGTCCTGACGAATAGGCGCTCTATAGGAGCCAACGCCCTTCTCATTCGAGGAGGGTAATGAGTCACGCCATCAGCTATTATCTTAGCTGTCCTTGTTTTCACTAGGCGTATTCAAGATGAAACTGCAGCCGTGCTCGCCCTCGTGCTCGCGCTCGCGCTCGTGCAAAGATAGGACCCGATCGCCTCTACTGCACGTAGCCATTCAGTCATTCGCACACATGTGGCGAGTGATGTCCAGCTGAAAGGCAAAAGCTCAGCCTGAGCTCTGCATGGAAGCAGCCAATGATGGAGGCAGGACATCCCCGGACTGTTGAGTCATGATCGCGCGCTGCGGATTGGCGGGACTGCCAGCACCAGTCAGTAGACGTCGGGATAAACTACAGGCCCGAGATCCCCGGTGAGGCCGGTGTCAGGGCCCACTTGCGCCGGAGACCGGGTGGCGCAGCATCAGTACCGAGCGCTCGGATGCCCGCACCGCCACACTCAACACCCCTTGTCGCGTCTCTCGAGAGTGGTGAGAGACACTGCCATTGCGCGCGTCGCGTCCATGCATTTCAAGAAGTAAGAAAAGAACACGCGGTCCATCTGAGCTGAGCCGTCGCCACAAAAGTAGACAAAGACTAATATCTCACCAATCGGTTGTCTCACTTTCCAAAATGGCGCGGCCCCAAGCCATCATTGGCTTTATGGCAGTAAGAGTCCTACGCCAATAACAACTCACCATCAATTACTATTAGGGTACGATCGTACGCACATGTCAGCGAGAGACCGGCACAGCGATGCTGCGCTCTCCAATTAGCCGAGAGGAAACAGAACAGGCCAGCATGACTCTACTAATGTTCATGCATGAACAGCGCAACCGTATGAAGCATCATGATGTAGAAAATTTCTCAGAACCGATCTGGAGGGGCACGCTGCATGAGCACAGAGGGTCCCTCTGTTCTGTTGACAACCAAGTACGTACGTGCGCATGTCTGTCGTGTGCAGATGATGCCCGCCATGATGCATCCGGTGGTGTCCTCACATGGGTTGGGCACAGTCGCATGAGCACCACCTGCACAGGAGTTCTAGATGTCGGCTATGCCCTGATAGAACTGCAGACTCTGTCATTTTGCATCACAGGATGATGAGGAGAAGGAGATAATTCTTTCCGTGAAAGTCGCGCTCAAGAAGACGAGATAAGGCGAGGAGGTCCAAACACAGTCCACGAGCGTGCGCTCGTCCGTTGGGCTGCAACGACGAGGTCGTGTTGGGCCGTCCTCCTAATTTACGGATGCCTGTTGGATTCTGATTGCCCTGACCGCGGCAGCCCTCTTTCGCCGGGTCCTAATAAAGGCACGGCTGTTTCTTATTACTCGAGCCTTGGGCGCATGGGCGTCGCTTCCACGCCCCCTCCCTCCACCCCTGTCCATGTCTATCCGGAGGGACGTGCATTGCTGGCACTTTCTGCGAAACAAGAAGCCCGACTCCCAACCAAATCTCCTACCATCAGGGCTGTGAGAATCAGTACGTCACCGCGCTGCCTGTTGCCCTAAGAAATGTGTCCTCGAGCTTGGTCCTTTGTTATATTTACAAGACATTATCAGGCAGGATGTCTTGGACGAGGCAGTGCGCACCCCTCTCCAGGGACCACATAAAGACGGAATTCCCATGTTGCATTGCAATCCCATCCTGAATCAAAAAAGGCAAATAATGATGGGCATCCGGCCCGAGCACACGTTCCTTGGGACAAAGAGTCAATCATATGGAACGCACAAATTTATGGGAAAATACCAAAAAAGAGAAGGAAAGAAAAAATGAGAAAAAAAATCTTCCCCGTTGCTGTCGTGATAGACCATTCGAAGAGTCGGTGAATACATGCGTGCAAACGCACAGTTACGTGATGCGAAGGCTCCAGTCGCTACTCCGGGGGTGTAAAGGCAAGGGATCCTAGAGCAGAGGAGACTCTAGCTTCATGAAGCTCCTCACTGCGACTGGAGGTACGGATAGCTTCAGCGTCCAGTCTTCCTGTTCCGCGGCAACGCCATCTTCTTTAAGGAATTCATTTAGGACGGAGACACAGCTGACAACAGCCGTGAGTGGGCCACCACTTACAGAGCTAGTCGGGACTGGATTCTGGAGGAGGGGAGCATCCAAAGTTGCCAATCAGGGATGCAGACAGCGTGCAGCCAGCGTCTAATTCGATGGCCAACATGCACTTTGGACAGCAATACAGCGCATCTTTCAGATGATTGGGAGTTTGTTTGCATTTTCTCTGCCTCTGTGGTGACTCACATGGTGTCGCGTTAGAGCAGAGGAGGAAATCCGGTTCAGAAACTCAGGCCGTCTTGCCAGAACACTGTTCTGTTGTTGTTCATCGTCCGGCAAATTGAGCCATGGCTCAGGCAAGAATGTGTGAAAATTTTTCCATCCCCTTGGAGGGACAAGGGGTATTATCTGTGGCCGGCGGCGCGGAAAGGCTGGTGCGTCACGCCGGGCCCACGCCAGCAGGGGGTGGCTTTCTAGAAAAAGACCAGGATTGGAGGGCTGGCCAGCCAATGGCGATTTCGTTCCCATCCAGTCGCCGAGATGTAATCACTATCTACGGAAGGGCGTTTTGAACTGCTTAGGGTAGGGCGTGCTTCTGTAATACGTACAAGTATGTTGCCTGCCACACAACATGTGGTAATTTCGGTGCGGACAAGGTGAAGCCTGCTATATCGGACAGTCCAGTCTCATACTGTGCGGTGTGCGGCATGCGCTGGCGCTGCTCGCCATTCCGCCATGGGATTTGATGCCCTCCTGAAGGTCCCTTGATGGCAAACCCTCAGATGGAAACGAAAAGACGAAACGTGAGTTACACAGCGCTCAAGGTTCTGTGGCTGCAGATTGATCCTCATCGAATTTTGGAAAGCATGAGCGTCTTGGTACCTTGTGTAAGCTGGCAAACACGCAGGCAAACACGCAGACAAAAAAGGTGAGTGACTGGGCCCAGCGCGACGCTCTGCTCAGCTAAGTAGTGAACAGCCTCAAACACGCGTTGAACTTTGTCTATGGATGAGAGACAAGAGGGAGGCGACGCGTCGGAATGTTGAGGCTCGAATGTCAGAACATCTCAAATAATAATCAGACGAGGCTGTGGCAGCGAGACTCGACGAGACGACCCACAGATGCCTGGAAAATATCCCATTTGCCAGCCTCGTCGGCGGCATGGCCCTTGAGCCTTTCGGGCAAGACGCTGTGGGCTTAACATGGTGTCCACGCAGGCGTCCCGCAAGGGCCGCCACCTCCACCTCCGCCAGACGGCACGGTACGATGCGATGCGATGCCCTGCGATGCGGAGGTGGTGCATGAGCGCTTTGCAGCAGTTCGCTCAACATTAGACCTCTCTCTTCCCACGATTCTTTTGATGCTTGACCACAGTCGAGCGATGGAGATTTGCTGTCAGCGTCGAGGCGTGGTGGTCGTCAGCCCTTCCCGTTTCCATGCGCTCGAGGGGGAAACCAGCAGCGTGCTGAGCTGTGAGCTGCGAAAAGGGTACGACTGGTTTCGCACAGCGCGCGAAACAGATCAGATGGAGGGTGGCGCATGTGACCGTGATCAAGCTCATCCGAAGGTGTGCTGGGACGTCCGTCATTGGAGCTTCAGACATTCCATATTGTCGGCATGGTCGTTGGAGCACCAGCGGGCGCTTATGTACGAGAGGCAAACTGCATTTCGAGCTCGTTGTCTCGGTGGACCGTTGATGTTCCTTTTGGACTCGCAACTCTGTTGCTTTGGCGAAGGTGCGTAATTTGCCGCAGACAACTGACCCAAGCAAGTGATGGTCGTCGTAACAATAAGCGACGACCAAATCTGTGCAACACCTTCTTTGATTATCAGCATGCACGCACGACTTTGCGATGCTGATTGCGCAGCTTTTAGCGACAGTGGTATGTGGCGTGCGTGGCGTGTGTGACTGATGTGACCCAGCCACTCCATTTGTTGCCAGTGATTGATGACTCGGGAGACTTCAACATACGTACGGATACTGTCAGAGCTAATGGCGATACCAGCAGCGATAGGCAAAAGCTGACATCGTTTCGGGACGTTTTTTTCATGGACCTCCGGGGCAGGGGTTGCCGTTCCGTATGTACGTAGACCAGCCTAATCGCCCTTCTGCCCAGTGAATTGGATTTCTCTTCATCAGTGGAGACCACAAGCTTTGCGACCAGGATCTTCGGTGACCAGCGTCGCAGAGTCCAGACTGACGCCTAATGGCTGGGGTCCCTAATCTCACCTGGACTCCGACATCGTCATGAAAATGTGAGTACATGTAGTAATGAGACCTGAGGTTCTCGGTCTGATAAGGTGAGACCCGCCCGTAGTTTCGGTGAACCAGCTTGCGTCAGGCGGAAGCGACGAGAGGCTGGGTCGTTACACCGGCGAGACAAAACATGCTATTCGAGGGAATGACTCTTAAAAAGCTGGCGTTGACTGCCTGCAGACCGGGGATCACCTGCTCACCGAGGAGCCGGCTTCTATATTGCTTTGTGACTGGACCTACGGAGTGCGGACCGCAACTTCTCGCGCAGTCTGGCACTGTTGGCGCACATGCTGGTTGCTTCCAGCGCCGTGCACGCAGTGACTAAGCGCTGCTGGAGCATGAGTGGTGTTAGGCCCACACCCCCTGCGCACACAGGCAGCAACACCAAATTTCGCGGTTGCTTTCCTGGCTGCACCCCGGTCATCACTTGGCAAGCACAACCCCTGCTTCTTCTCTGAGCCCCCCTGTCCCTATTTTCCCTGCCTGAAGCAAAGGAGTCAACTGTGGCTACAGCGCGCACAAACAGACGGACTGTAGCCCCCTCCAGAATCCTGCGTGCAATATATATCTCGACGCACACCCACCACCAAACCAGCCTCTCGCTTCTCTCTCCCTTTTCTCCCTCATTCGTTTGGGCTTTTTGCACCAACAAACACTCACTACCACAAACTTTTGCATCGCGTCTCTTTAGAGCGTCGTTGTCGACGTTGAATCTCCACTCTACCGCTTTTTGATTTGTTTGCTGGTCACCAACGTCCAGCACGCAAATCCACGTCTTCCTGGACGACACAAATAAGCAATAGGCCAAGTCATTCTGGAGACAGGCCCCTTTCCCACTATTCTCTCCTTGATCTGGGGGAAATAGCAGCATTATTGCGTGACATAACCCTTGGTCATGTTTGCAGTACCACGACACTTTATCAACCCATTCTCAACCGATCACATACCAGAGTGACAGGACTAAAACCCGAAAAAAAAAAAAAACGAGCAACGAACAAACCGCATACGATCGACGACCTACACCAACCCGCGACGCGCTGGAGCGAGGGAGTGTGAGGAAGTTGAGCAGGAGACGCTACAGGAACATCGACGGCAGTCTATATCATGTACGCTTATCAATCACCAAGGACACCCGGATCGACACCGGACTACGAATACGACGACTGGGAGTTTGCAAGGATGAATTCGGCCACGCCAACCCCCTCGCCTCGACAGAGCTGGGTCGAGGCCCAGCGCACGCCTCAGCGCCCGTCAACCCGCATCGGCCACAGCCGTCACAGCAGCTACTCGGCCTCTGCTTTTAGCCCACGCCCGCCGAGGGATTCTCCACGATACAACAGTTCCGGGGAATATGCCACGGTTGATGTGAGTTATGAAGATTTTCCATCGCGTGGACCTTCCAAGTCCTTCCACCATCGTTTTCCCTCAAAGGATATTCGGAGCTCCTTTGCCCATGTTCGGTCCTTTTCTCCCCATGACGAATCCGAAGACGACGAGGTCATCGAGGCCCTGCGGCGCACCAATGTGTTGCCTGCCCAGTCGCGGTCTAGGAGTCGCAGATACACCAATACTTCTTCCGACTACGATAGGGTACGGTACACTGACCGCCGCCTCTTTTCACAGGAATCACCCCTCTACAACGAGCCAGCTTACACACGGCACCCTGCCGCCGAGGTGCCCCGTCCCATGGCGCAGGCTCGCGCCCCCACCAGCCACTCGCACACTCGTCGCGCCTCGGCAGCCATGGGACGCTCCGCTACGGCCCGGCCCCAGCAACAGCCCCCCTCGAAGAGCGACGTTCGTGTGCACCGCGCTGCTACTCAACTCGATGCGGACCGACACCAGATTCCGGTTGGCTATTCACTCAAGAATTGGGATCCCCGGGAGGAGCCCATCCTCCTTTTGGGCAGCGTCTTTGACGCCAACTCCCTCGGCAAATGGATTTACGACTGGGCTGTGTACAGCGTGGGGCCCCGGGCGCCCATCGCCGAAATGGCTGGCGAGCTTTGGCTGCTACTACTTGACCTGACCGAGAAGACCAACAAGTGCGTTGAGGAAGGCCTCAAGACACGAACCAAGGAAAGCAGGCAGATTGTGAACGACCAAATCGATGGCAGTGAACGTCTTATGAAGACCCTGCGCCTGTTGCTCAAAAACTGCGAGGCGCCCATGCTGAAGGCTGCCAGCAAGAAGAAGTCAGGCCTCGGCAAGAATGCCGGAACTGAATTTGTGGATACCCTCTTTGGCCGTGACCGGGAGCTTCCACGCGTCGAGAAGTTCATGCAGAAGGTGAGGACATGGAGCATCCGCTACGAGGCCAACGTGGCACCGCTCCTGCTCAACCCCACCAAATGATGAGGAGACACTATTCCGGGAAATTCCTCTTTTCTTTCCTTTCCTTGTCTTCTGCCTCGACCGCGCTGCCCGTGGACCCGGACCAAACAGGACTTCCACTTGACCGGACGGAATGGCCACGCATACACGGGACTGTACAACTACTGTTTGCCGGAGTCTTTGCTTTCCTTGGATACCCCTCGTGTGTCTGGTTCGACACTCGGATCCTCTACTTTATTATTATTATTTTCCTTTTTATTTTTTTTTGGGCGGTGCGACTATTATTTTGAAGACGTACATGGGCAACCTGTACCAATTGCCAATGTGGTCAAGATTGGACTTGACGACCCTGGCTGGGATGTTTCGTACACCATCCCAACGGAGTTCCATTTTTCTTACTCTTGAGATACCCAGCATTCGTGGCGAGGTAGCGACGGAAGAAGAGTGAATTGGGGCAGCGAACGATTTCTTTTGTTGTTTGTTTTTCTGTTCTGGTGATTTGAAAAGCTTGGTTGCTTTGCGTTCGGCTCGGGAAAAGCAATTAGATGGAGGATTATTAGATTTGCTTGGGAATACTTCACGGTAATTACGGTCTATGCATTGAATGGATGGGCTTCTAGATAGTTGTGGATGCGCTCATGCGCTGGACGACATGGCGTACGCCATGATGTCTTTCTATTGATAGGCGGAATACAACGTTGGAACTTCAGTTACTTTATCCTTATTGCGTGACAAAAGATAGATACCCGCCCTGGCTCGACGAGTCTTGTCTTAAAGCGATAGATGCTCTCTGCCTGATGAGGACTAGTCTCCATGGTACTGGAGGTGTACGCCGTCGTTGCGGGCCAAGCCTAGGCTTGTGTACGGTGTACATTTGCACTATTACGAGGCATCATGCGCGATACCAAGCATAGAAGATGGGTCTGGCGATTCAAGAAGCACGACGAAACGGAGACTTGGACTGGACTGGAGCAGCGCTCGACGTCAACTCCACGTTACTATTCCTAGCTGCCAAGGACTGGACTTTGCAAGTGACTGTAACCCCAACTTAGACAGCGTGCTCTAGATGGACATCCCCGCCCTTGACTAGAGATGAGCTCAGGGGACGAGTAGGATCGACCAAGCTGAGACCCGTTTCGGTATCCTCGACCGCTCTCTTGAAATGCCTTGGGGCCACCTTCATAGCATATAGCTCGTCCAGCGTGTCTCGGGAAAGAGATATCCAGCCGCCCACGCTGGCGATCAATCCCACGCCCAAAAAGATAAAGCCAATCTTGCCACCCGAGTTCCCGGCATCCGGGTTGATCATGTAGGGGACGGCGAACTGCATGATGAGTCCCCAAAGCGAGTTGGTGATGGTGATGAGACCTTGCGTAGCGGCCCTCAGTCGCATTGTCGCAATTTCGGAAGCGAGAACCAAACCCGCAGCGCCAATCGAGAGCTTGTAGATGAGGGCCCAGATGTACAGCAGGGCCACGATGCCCCAATTCGCTCGAGACTGGTTGGGAATGCACCCAGAGTACCAATGATGAGAAGCATGAAGCAAAGCATGAGCTGCGGGCCTCGAATCAGGAACCGGCGACCGTAGGTCTCTGCCAGTGGAAAGGCGGCGGTGCTCGTGAGGAGCATGACCACATACAAAGCGATTGAGGCCCCAAAATAGTCTTTGATGCCGATGAGGTCAGGAAAGTCGGTCGCGTAGCCGATCACAAATGTGGCGCCAATCATCTACTGGACGAGGCAACAAATATGGCGGTACAGGTGTGCTTGCGGTTCTGTGTGTCGAAGCATTCGCTTTCTGCTTGTATGTTAATGCCGAGCACCTTTTTGGAGGACGACAGACCAGAGGTGCCGTGCATGTCGTTGGTGATGCGAATCTCTTCCTTGGCGGCGGTTGATTTCGATATCGTCGTACTCGGCTTCCTGTAAGCCATAGATGCGGCGAAGTGCTTTCTTGGCGTCGAGTGTACGGCCGCGACGGACAAGCCAGTAGGGGGACTTGGGGAAGAAGGGCCGAGCCGCCGCCAAGATGACTGTCGACACACATGTCCATTAGCCTATGTAGACCGAGTAAGAAAAGAAGAGCAGAAGTACGGCGGCTTACGAGGAAAGGTGTACATGGCGACGACAGGTAGCCACCACTGCCACAGGCCGTCAATGTGACTACTTCCCTGGCTGACGACGACAGTGGCGAACTGGCCAACCACGATGCTCGTGTTGAGGAAGCACAGGAAAAAGACACTCAGTTCCGGACGGGCACGTCTCCCCGATACACAGGGGCGAGATGGTGAACATCATGCCAATGGCGATGCCGTTGCCGCCCCGGCCGGCCAGGTGCATCAGCCAGTCGGGCGCCAGTTGATGGAAGAGGACACTGGTCACCGAGATGAGTGACGCCGCGAGGATGCCCCCTTTGCGTCCGAACCTCTCGAGTAACAGCGCAAAGATGAAAGTGGCGACGATTTCGTTGGCGGGCGCGATCGAGTTCCAGGCGGACAGACTAGTGGGCGGGAATGAGGTAGCTGCCATCCGGCTGGAGCACACCAAACTTCTCTCGAAAGGCGGGCAAGGCGGCAAGCTGACAGCCGGCGACAATGTCAAAGCCTTGCATGACAACATCCGAGGAAATCAAGAGAGCTATGGGCCACTTTGTCAGCGAGGGGCGGCGGACCAAGAGACTGAAGAGGAGTGATGGCTGTCACCGACCCCATAGCGCAAAGCGCGACCGAGACTTGAGAATCTTCCATTTGGTGTCTGGATTGACAACATAGTAGTCAACACTGTGGGTTCTCGTTGGTGGTCGCAAGGTCTGTGAGTGTGCAGAGTTTGACCAACCCGTTGGTCAGAGTCATGCTGAACCTGGGAACTTGAGAATAGGAATGCCCGGTGTATTGATGCGTGAAATATCTGAGGGTGAGGTTGCGCTATGCAGGGAGCAGAGTGTTCAGTCTCACGATGGAAGCGAAAGGAGAGAGTCAATATTTCTATGTCAATACGGTCAAAATGCCATGGAAATGATGAAGATGATAGCATACAACGTCCAGCGGTTGACGATGCAGTTGCGAATGCATATCCGTATGTTCGGCATCACTTGAATATACGCGTCAAAGAACCCTTGGCAATCTTTGAGCACCTCGGGCGTGGCTGTGTTATCTTGGATGCTTTGATACACGGCCGGCCAGTAGATCGACAACTTGCAACAGTAGTACTGTGCACGGAGAAAGTTGCCCAGAGGTTCTACGGACAAGTAACCAAAAGCGGAATCGCTCGTATCGGCGTCGAGGTGCTGGAAGCGCACAGGCTCTGGAAAATAGCCATACCACTCATCGAGCTGTAGCTCGAGCTCCAATGCAATGTGTGGCGCGTAGACAATCTCACCCCGAGGGGTCCTGCGGATGGCGGTGTTGCAGTGGTGCAGCATCCGCCTCATAGCGATCTTGGCGAGGAAATACGACTGGGTTCGATCCGTCCGAGGGTCTTCCGCGGAGAGCGATGAGCTCTCGGGTGAAGTGGTGGACGCCCTCGACACTCCTGTCCATGACGACAGCGGGCAAGGAGGCCATGGCAGCCTCTAGTTAGAGCTCGCTGCTGTTGTCAGAAGACGCGGCGTCGCCCAGCTCATGATCTTGCAGGACCAAGAGGACCCATGCAGGACTCGGGCCCTGGCGTCAGAGAGGGAACATCAACCACCTGTGGTTCGTCCAAACGTGCCGTCGTATTGTTGGACCAGGCCTCATCCCATACTCCAAGTTGGGCGTGGCCATGATGGAGGTGCACAACGCTCTCGGCCTCAACTACGAAGTCAGCGACCCAGACTACTACCGCAAAGTACTCATCAAGATGTACTGGGACGACTCGGAGACTCCCAACGTCCTGGCCCTTATTGGCGATTTCTTCTGCCTGGGCTACTCCATGGCCGCCAACTGCCAGTCTCTCCCCTTCACCGTGCCCGTCAAGCCGTCCGAGGAGAAGAATTTTGGCGTCGCAGCGGCTTTCAACTGCTACCTGCCCATGCCCTTCAACAAGCGCGCTCGCATCGAGATTGAGAACCACATGGGTCAATCCCCGGCGAAGAGTCGCAACATCTTGATGAGAAGCGCGTCTTTATCTGACCCTATTGCGTTAGCGTAGGCTTTGGCATGCAATCATTCCATGTCGTTCCATGTAGGATGAGCGATGATGTCTGGTTGAAGACTTCAAGGCCGACCCAGTTTGAACTTTGTGGCATGAAACGATGACTAATCACTCATTGCAGTCGCGACTCGCACGGGTTCACACCTGCCCTCGCTGAGATTTTGCCCGTCAACGAATTCTGGCCCCAGCAGATGGTGTGCACGGCCGTCATTTTCACTCCCCTCTCACCACATATTCCTCTTATTTTGCACGTAAACAGGTCTTTGGCGACATACAAGAGGCATTCTGGCGGTGGCACATTTCCTCTGCGCTATCAGGTCAGCGCGATCATACTCGAACCATCAACATGCACTACATTCGCTGCCTTCGACCGCCCAAAATGTCCAAAGTCGGCAAGATACATCAGTTCGAGCTGCTCTTTGTGATCTCGACCGACCTAGGTGACTCACTTCTCGTCCCGGACGAGCCACTGGAGATCAATGTTCGAGCTGCACTGCCCACAGCCTCCAAAACCATCACGGTGCCGCTCACCAAGAATGGCCAATTATTCTGGAAGCCCGGCCAGAGGGTCCTCAAGCAAGGCTTCAGCTCCATGATAGTATCCGCGGCCATTGACTGCGGGAGGGCGGTGGAAATTTGTATCAGTGTTGCCGATGAGCTTTCCGCTAGATCCGCTCAAGACGTCCTTGATCCGGGGAAGAAGACTGGTCTTGTCATGCCGCTGTTCCTCACACTTGATGGTAACATGGATGGTCAAGAGGTCTCTGTGCGCAAGATCATCTTGGGTGAGGATCCTCGTGCACCATGGCTACAGATTGTTGAAGATCTCGGGGAGCCCAAAAGCTTGGCCCGGCACGTCTGGGACGGTGGGGTCGTTGCCGTGTGTGGTTTGGCTGAAACGACACAGAAGACCATGACGGGACCAAGTCAAGGAGAATGTTTGATAGCGATCAAGGATGTGCTGACATCTCCCAAGCCGCTCAACATCCTCGAACTCGGCTGCGGCGTTGGGCTCCTGGGGCTCGGGTTCGCTGCAGCGTCGGCCCAGATCAGGTTTTCCACCGAACATGAGCGCACTGTCTTGATGACCGACCTACAAGATGCCGAAGAACAAGTGCGAGCCAACATCCATCGTGCGTCTACAGAACCGGGCATGAGCCTCGATTTCGAGAGTCTGGATTGGGAGCAAGGGCGCCAGGGTCACTTTGGATCTGCCGTCAAGGCTCGGTACTGGGATCTCATCATGTTCAGCGACTGCACTTACAATGTCGACGTGCTACCTGCCTTGGTTGGGACGTTATCTACATTGCACGAAATGAACGCCGCACATCCTGGCAAAGGACCCACGAGGTTGTTCATGGCAACCAAGCCGCGCCATTCCTCAGAAAATGAAGTTTTCGCGCTTTTGGCAAAGAATGGCTGGGTGAAGCGAGTGAAGCAGGTTGTGCGACTTCCAGTCATGGGAGCCGATGATCAACGTGTCGAGCTGTACTCTTTCGAGAAGTCGTGAACGCGACATGCTGCTGGAAAGACGACACCTCCTCTAGGGGGGGCTCAGAGAGCTCGCCGAACTCGCTTCACCATTTCGCGAAGATTGGGCCAACCACACAGTGTGCGAAAGGCATCAACACCTGACCTATCACGGAAGCACCCAGACTCACCGGCCTGATGTGCAAGTGCATCGCAACGATGGTGGCGTGTGCGTCGCTGAGGCAGGTCCCCCGCAGATGTACCACCTCAACGACGAACCCAGTGGCCGACAGGTGAGCGTCGGGCGCCAATTGCATACATACATAGGGCTGATGTATGCATGAGGCGCGTCGACGTGCCCCAAGTCGGTGTGGACCACTGCGCGCGTGCAACAAACATGCGTATGCTGGGTATCTCGTCGTCAGCCTGCCGCATAGCCCAGTGAGATGTTGCGAGATCACGTCAACGGGGCTGTCCTACATACCGAGATCGCACACTTTGTTGATCATCAGTCATATTCGCAGGCGCCCTCTACCATCCGTCACGCAGAATCACAAGTGCATTGCATGTGAGAAGTACATCGCTTTGGGTCCTTGGGTGCCCATGGGTGAACGACGACGCGAGCGTTCGGCCGAATGGGCTCCATCCTCGGCAACCAGATGGAGCCCCTTGCGTTATCTTGAATACGATGGGACCTGTCTTTTATTTATTTCTTTCGAAGCGGCTTCCGGGCGCATCGGGCCTCAGAAATGGGCGTCAATACCCACTGCACGCGGATACGCACGCGGAGAGCTTTCGCAACGAACGACCCGAGCAAAGGAGTCGAAATGAGTCAACGTGAGAAAATGCCATTGCAAGGGGGCCTGGCTTGCTGGTGGGGAAAGCATTCCCGGTGATGTCGCAGACGCGCGGGCCGTCTGACTGGCCGGCGAGGGACGCCATGTGCAGGATTCGGCCGTGGGTCTCGGTGCCTTTCAGCCGCCAGGGTCGCGGAGAAAAGTTTCATCAAGCGTCAGTCGGATCTGGCAGCAATTTGCGACGGACAATGTGCACCGTGGAACAAGCGACTGGCAGTGCTTGCGGATCGACCGTCATAGCTGCCTCGCTAAATATTTATATGAGCAGAGGGATGGATGCCTATGCTGAGTGAACAATGGATTGATGGAAGCGGCCGACCCGACGAACAGTGCACCGCAAAACTTGCCACCACACAGTGGACGTAGGGAAGGTTTGAACTTTGAAATGAACGGCAAACCGACTGGAAAGGGACCACAAACATCACTGGTGTCCGTCCGCCGTCTGCAAGTGCACGAGGCTAGAGGATGGACGCTGATGAATGAAAGCAACTTTATGACGGTCAATCGAGGCATACGCTTCCTGGAGCCTGGAGGACGCCGCCACACTGACTCGAGTGGAGCCTGTTGGCCCCACCGCCCTGAATCTTACTCGGCGACTTTCAATCCATCAAAAGAGGGGCAGCCAGGAAGGACATGCTTGGTCGATATGATATGATTCATCTTCACTCATCTGCGGTACAGAGTACAAGATATGCAGACATGCTGCCGTTCGTCCTGCGTGGGGCCGGCCAGAAGGGTTGAGACAGATTCGAGATGATCAACGGTCAAAACGGGGAATCAATCAGTCAGGAAGGAAGCAGAGCATGGTGGGGACCCTGGTGGACAGACGCTGGCGAATTTCGAGATGCCAAGCTTCGCATGCAAAGGTCCATCCAACAAAGGTCCATCCTGCAGCAGCACGCACCATGGCGCCAGAGGCAGAGTCGGCTGAATATATCTACCGTGCAAGGGTCGCATTTATAATGCTGCCCGCGGCCCCGCTGCAATCTGAGGCGTACGCAGCTCCACGACATCTCCGAGACTGAAGTCTGAAAGGAGTCAGACTGTCAGAGCCTCAGAGGAGAGGCGCCGGCTTCACGCCCCCACACATGTGATCGTCAACCTCTCACTCGTCTGCGTCAAGATTTTTCTCTCTCTTTTCACCGGAGCATGTACGGAGTACATTTGCTACATATTATCTGATCCCGCCCAGATCTTCTTACCCTCTTGTCGTTCCTTGGCTCGATTTTGCTTACATTCCTCTCTCTTTCCTTTTTGCTCTTCCCGTACCTGCTCGGCGGCCTCCTACCTAGCTACTGGACCCAAGGTCATACCGTATTTCAAGACCAAACAAGTAGTTGTCAAGGAACCACCAGCACTGGTCATGGCCGACGCTTTTCAGCGCGCCGAGGCCAATGTGGCCGCTGGTCACCCTGCCGAGGAAATTGAGGCACCAGCAACCTACCAGGAATCAGTGTCCACTGCAAGCCCCGAGGATGAAAAGGCACAGCAGGCCGCAGAGCGCACTTCGCGCGAACTTGCGCGGACACGCTCCGGCATCTCAGTAGAGCAGGCCGAGGCCGACTTCAGGGAGTTGCAGCGAGAGCTCACCGGCGTCTCGCGTGCGAGCCGCCGCAGCGGCCGCCGAGACATTGTCGACCCGGAGAAGAACGTGTCGGATCCATCCGCTTCGGATGATGGGGGCTCCGTCTTCGACCTCGAGGATGCACTACGGGGTGATCTCGATTCACAAAACGAGGCTGGCATCAAGAACAAGCATATTGGCGCTTACTGGGACGGGCTTACTGTCAAGGGGTTTGGAGGTCGAGCCAACTATGTCCCCACGTTCCCGGACGCCTTCATCAGCTTCTTCGACTACATCACGCCGGTCATGAAGCTGTTGGGCCTGGGCAAGAAGCCTGTCGAGGCGACGCTTCTCCACGACTTCCAGGGTGTTTGCAAGCCCGGAGAGATGGTCCTCGTCCTTGGCAAGCCCGGATCCGGCTGCACGACCTTCCTCAAGACGATCGCCAACCAGCGGTACGGATACACCAGCGTAACTGGCGAGGTTCTCTACGGCCCCTGGACTGCGGAGGAGTTTGGCCGCTACCGAGGCGAGGCTGTTTACAACGCCGAGGACGACCTCCACCACCCGACATTGACCGTTGAGCAGACGCTGGCTTTTGCCCTCGACACCAAGATGCCCAACAAGCGCCCTGGCAACATGTCCAAGGCCGACTTCAAAGAGCACGTCATCACCACGCTGCTCAAGATGTTCAACATTGAGCACACGCGCAAGACCATTGTCGGCGATGCCTTTGTGCGCGGCGTGTCGGGCGGCGAGCGCAAGCGCGTCTCCATTGCCGAGATGATGATCACAAAGGGCTGCATCCTGTCCTGGGACAACAGTACCCGAGGCCTCGATGCCAGCACCGCCCTCGACTTTACAAAGTCGCTCCGCGTGCAGACCAACCTGTACAAGACGACCACCTTTGTCTCGCTCTACCAGGCGTCTGAGAATATCTTTGAACTCTTCGACAAGGTCATGGTCATCGACGAGGGCCGCCAGGTCTACTTTGGCCCCGCCAAGACGGCGCGTGCCTATTTCGAGGGCCTCGGCTTCAACCCTCGTCCGCGCCAGACGACGCCCGACTACGTGACCGGCTGCACCGACGATTTCGAGCGCGAGTACGCCCCCGGACGCTCGCCCGAGAACGCGCCCCACAGCCCCGAGACCCTCCTCGGGGCGTTCCGCAAGTCGGACCAGCAAAAGGCCAACGAGGCCGAGATGGCCGAGTACAAGGCCGCGCTCGAGCAGCAAAAGCCCGCGCACCAGGACTTTGAGGTGGCCGTCGCCGAGAGCAAGCGCAGCGCGTCCAAAAAGTCGCCCTACCAGGTCGGCTTCCACCTGCAGGTCTGGGCCCTGATGAAGCGCCAGTTCACGCTCAAGATCCAGGATCGCTTCAACCTGACCGTCTCCTGGCTGCGCTCCATCATCATCGCCATCGTCCTCGGCACCCTTTACCTGAATCTCCCCGAGACCTCGGCCAGCGCCTTCAGCAAGGGCGGTCTGCTCTTCGTCGCCCTCCTGTTCAACGCCTTCCAGGCCTTCTCCGAGCTCGCCAGCACCATGATGGGCCGCTCCATTGTCAACAAGCACAAGGCGTACGCGTTCCACCGCCCGTCCGCCCTGTGGATCGGCCAGATCATTGTCGACCAGGCCTTTGCCGCCTCCGAGATTATGGTCTTCTCCATCATCGTCTACTTTATGACCGGCCTCGTGCGCGACGCGGGTGCCTTCTTCACCTTCTACCTCATGATCCTCTCGGGCAACATTGCCATGACGCTCTTCTTCCGTATCATTGGTTGTCTCAGTCCGGACTTTGACTACGCCATCAAGTTTGCCGTCATCGTCATCACCCTCTTCGTCACCACCTCGGGCTACCTGATCCAGTACGATGCGCAGCAGGTCTGGCTCCGCTGGATCTACTGGGTCAACGTGCTGGGTCTGTCGTTCAGCGCCCTCATGATGAACGAGTTTGGGCGCATCAACATGGAGTGCACGGCCGACTCGCTGATCCCCTCGGGCCCCGGGTACGACAACATTGAGAACCAGGTCTGCACGCTCGCCGGCTCCTCGGCCGGCTCGACGTTTATCGACGGATCCGCCTACATCTCGCAGACGTACTCGTACTTCCCCAAGGACCTGTGGCGCAACTGGGGCATCATCATGTCGCTCATCGTCTTCTTCCTCATCATGAACGTGGTGCTCGGCGAGTTTGTCAAGTTCGGCATGGGCGGCAACGCGGCCAAGGTCTTCTCCAAGGAGAACAAGGAGCGCAAGCAGCTGAATGCGGCCCTGGCGGAGAAGCGCAAGGCGCGCCGTGCCGACAAGTCCAACGAGACCGGCTCCGAGCTTCTCATCAAGTCCGAGGCCGTCCTTACCTGGGAGGATCTCTGCTACGACGTGCCCGTGCCCGGCGGCACCCGCCGTCTTCTGAACAACGTCTTTGGATACGTCAAGCCCGGTGAGCTGACCGCGCTGATGGGTGCCTCTGGCGCCGGCAAGACCACTCTGCTGGATGTGCTCGCCTCGCGCAAGAATATCGGTGTCATCAGCGGTGACGTCCTCGTCGATGGCACAAAGCCGGGAAAGCAGTTTCAGCGTTCCACCTCGTACGCCGAACAGCTCGACCTCCACGAGCCCACCCAGACGGTGCGCGAGGCCCTTCGCTTCTCCGCCGACCTGCGCCAGCCATACGAGACCCCTATTGCCGAACGCCACGCCTATGTCGAGGAGATTATCTCGTTGCTCGAAATGGAGGAGATTGCCGACGCCCTGATTGGTACTCCGGAGGCTGGTCTGACTGTCGAACAGCGCAAGCGTGTCACGATTGGTGTCGAGCTGGCGGCCAAGCCGGAGCTTCTCCTCTTCCTCGACGAGCCCACGTCCGGCCTTGACAGCCAGAGTGCCTACAATATTGTGCGCTTCCTGAAGAAGCTCGCTGCCGCGGGCCAGGCCATTCTCTGCACCATCCACCAGCCCAACGCGTCCTTGTTTGAGAATTTTGACCGCCTCCTGTTGCTCGAGCGTGGCGGCCGCACCGTGTACTTTGGCGACATTGGCAAGGATGCGCACGTCCTGCGCTCGTACCTGAAGCGTCACGGCGCCGAGGCCCGCCCCACGGACAACGTCGCCGAGTTCATGCTCGAGGCCATTGGTGCCGGGTCCGCGCCGCGCATCGGCGACCGTGACTGGGGTGACATCTGGGACGAGAGCCCCGAGCTGGCCAACGCCAAGACGGTCATCCAGCAGATGCGCCAGGAGAGGCTCGCCGTGGCCCGGTCCAGCGACGCGTCCCTGGAGAAGGAGTACGCCTCGCCGGTGGGCCACCAGCTCAAGGTGGTGTGCCGCCGCATGTTCCGCTCCTTCTGGCGGTCGCCCAACTACCTCTTCACGCGCCTCTTCAACCACGCGGCCGTGGCCATCATCACGGGTCTCACGTACCTGCAGCTGGACGACTCGCGCGCCTCGCTGCAGAACAAGGTCTTTGTCATGTTCCAGATCACGGTGCTGCCGGCCCTGATCATGACGCAGGTCGAGGTCATGTTCCACATCAAGAGGGCCATCTTCTTCCGCGAGCAGTCGTCCAAGATGTACTCGCCCTTTACGTTTGTCACGGCCATTACGCTCGCCGAGATGCCCTACTCCATCATGTGCGCCGTCGTCTTCTTCCTGCCCCTGTACTACATGCCGGGCTTCCAGACCGAGTCGTCGCGCGCCGGGTACCAGTTCTTCATGGTGCTCATCACGGAGATCTTTGCCATCTCCCTGGGCCAGGCCAACGCGTCGCTCACGCCCTCGCCGCGCATCTCGGCGCAGTTCGACCCGTTCATCATCATCACGTTTGCCCTCTTCTGCGGCGTCACCATCCCGTACCCGCAGATGCCCGGCTTCTGGAAGGCCTGGCTGTACCAGCTCGACCCCTTCACGCGCCTCATCAGCGGCACCGTGTCGACCGCGCTGGAGGGCATCTCGGTCCAGTGTCGCCAGGACGAGCTCAACCTGTTCACGGCGCCCAGCGACATGAACTGCGGCGAGTACATGGAGCCCTTTTTCCGCAACGGCGGCCCGGGCTACCTCGTCTCCAACAGCACCCAGGACTGCGAGTACTGCGCCTTCCGCGTCGGCGACGACTTTTACACGCGGCTCAACATTTCTTTCGACAACCGCTGGAGGGATCTCGGCATCTACGCGGCTTTCATGGGCAGCAACCTGCTCATCCTGCTGCTTGCGGTAAGTTCTCCTCCCTTGGTCTGGGTGATTCTCATTCAAAAGACGGATACTAATGAGTCGCAGAGCCGTTTTGTCAACTACAATAAGCGATAAATGCTGCGTCGAAGCTTGAAGCGTGCCTACATATAGATCTGAAGCGGGTGGAATGGTGTTTCTGTGCATAGCGCCCTGTGTGAGCCATGGTCGGCTCAAAAGATACTAATCGATATAGAATAATACATCAATAGATTTCTACTTTCTCTTTGTCCTAGTTAGTGGTGGGCGCTGATTCCATTGTGATCATGAGTAACGCCAGCCAATGCCAATCAATCCGCCTACCCTACGGCGGACATGAACCGCCCGGCCGCCTCTCCCTCTCTCTCTCTCTCTCTCACATCGGCATCAGCCCATTTCTCCTCACTCTACATGCATGCATGTACTGTACCAACACCATCCACCTCCTTCGTTCACTTTTCACTCTTCACCTATCTCCTCACGTTCATCCGCCAACATGTGCATCGTCTTTGTATCCACGTCGCACCCCGACTACCCCCTCATCCTCGCCGACAACCGTGACGAGTTCATCCTCAGACCCACGTCCCGCCCGCACTGGTGGACGCACACATCACCCACCAACGGCCACACGACGCGCATCCTGTCGTCGCGGGACCTACACCGTCCCGAGCGCGGCACATGGCTCGGCGTCACGGAGTCGGGGCAGATTGCCGTGCTAACAAACTACCGCGAGGTGGACGCGGCAGGCCCCTCGCCCAAGGGACGTCGGAGTCGCGGCGGCATGGTCACGGGGTTCCTGTCGGAGCCGCCGACCGAGTACATCGGCGACAGTGTCCGCCGGCTCGTGGAGGAGGGCGAGGGTGTCAGGGGCGTGGGCGGGTTCAGCATGGCCTGTGGCAAGATGGCGCGACGGGGGGATGGGTTCGCCATTGTGTCGAACAGGGCGGATACCCTGGGTGACGTGCCCATTGTGCCGACGGGGCAGGGACGGTGCTGGGGCTTGACGAACACGACGTTTCGGAATGGCGGGACGTGGCCGAAGCTCAGGGACGGTTTGACGCCGTTTGACCAGATTGTGGAGGAGACTTCTGGTGGCGCCCAGGGGGAGGGGAAGGGGAAGGGGAAGGGGGAGGCCGAGGCCGAGCTACTGGAGAGGCTGTTTGCGCACCTGAGTCGGGACACGCTCGCCGGACACGAGGATAGGAGTCTAGCGGAGAACATTCAGGATCTGAAGACGAGCATCTTCATACGCGCGCTGGGCGGGGCGAAGCAGAGGGCGGAGATGGAGGAGGCGAGGGCCCAGGGGAAGGGGACGTGGCCGACGGATGATGAGCTCGTGGCCGAGGCGCCGGAGCACGAGGTAGCAGTGGCAGGGGAGCGGAGCCACGAGGACGTGGGGTTTGAGAGGGGGCTGTATGGGACGCAGCGGCAGACGGTGGTACTCGTGGATCGGGAGGGCCAGGTTGTGTTTGTGGAGAGGGCTCTGTGGGATGCGAATGGGCACGCTATACCCAAGGGCGAGGGGGATGTTGTGTTTAGGTTTGGGGTAAAGGGGTGGTCAGGGTGAAAGTGGACAGAACCTCCATAGAGAGAGAGAGAGAGAGAGAGAGAGAGAGAGAGAGCAAAGAAGTGGTAAAGTGGTCTTCCGTGAATAAGCTACTCAAGTATCCTACCTAGACAAAGACCACGGTGAATGATGCTTATCGTCGTCGACGGCTCTCTCCACGTCCAATCTGATCCAACAAGTTCTCAGAGGGTTGGACAAGTGGGGCGCTACATTGGACACTTGCTGTACTAAACAAAACTCCGGCTCAGAACAGAACAAGCATTTCACAGGACACGCATGACCTTCTTCCGACCATACTCGTCACTTTCCTGCCCATAGTCCCTGTTCTTGTTGGTGTCCTCATAGGTCATCTCCACGTCGGTGGTGCGCACGATGCCATCCTTGGCATCTATGATGCCGTCCTGCGACCCCGTGGGCGTGGTGGCCCTGCAGCCCGCCTGGCCGTTGGCGTGCATGGACTTCATCGCAAAGCCATCGTCCGTGTCGTCGTGTAGGCGCGACGCCCCCACGGGCCGGGCGAGGTTGGAGCGGAAGTCGGTCGCGCGGCTGGTGTTGGCCGGCTGCGCATTGGCGTGGTACGACGAGGTGAGATCCGAGAAGATGCTGGGGAAGGCCTGGCGGAACAGCGGCCAGAGCGCAGGGATGGAGGCGGCGATGATGGCGAGGTTGCACTCAATGGGCGAGACGGCCCAGCCAAAGGAGTAGTATATGTCCTTGGAGCCGAGACCCGCGTAGAACTGGTTGAACCAGTTTACCAGGAGGACGAGACGAATGCAGGAGACGACGGTGACACTGTTTGATTTTTCATCCCAGGTTAGCAAGCAGATTCTTCGGTTTTCGTTCTTCTCGTTCTCGTCGCAGCAACTTACAGGCCACCGAGAGCAAAGACACAGAGGAGGGCAACCTTGAGTCGAGTCCGCAGCTGCAGACCGACAAACGCCCAAAACGGGACGGCCAACACCGCAATGTCAGTGGCGATGACGATGCCGTTGTAGGCGTAGTTGAAGCTGACGTTGTCGATGCAGCTGCGCCTATAGCCGGGCGTCCAGTTCAGCGACATGGGGCTGCACTGAAAGAGGGTGACGCAGAAGATGGAGATCATGCAGCCCGCGTTGACAGCCTGGAGGACGTAGACTGTGTAGCGGATCGGCTTATGGACGCCCGACAGCCGCTGGTCGAAGGACAGGACCGATGCCTTGACGAAGCCCAGGATAGGGTGGTACAGCAGGATAATGAGCCACTCGTACACCTTGGCTTGGCTTTGCTGCTCCAGCGTGAGCTCCGGCGCGTCCCAGTAATGGATTCCGACGTAGCACGTCTTGACATCTATTCACCAAGGACAACTTGTTAGTCTGTGCAGGGACGTTAGTCTCTCTTCAGCGTCTTAGACTTACACATGATCAATGTATAGAACCAGCCAGTGTTGACAGCCATGGCAGCAACCATGAGGTAGTCATCTGGATTGAGACACGTTAATCGGGCCCTTCTCTCTCCTCCTGTTTGCTTCAGGAGACATACCCACGCCGATCTGCTTCGACGTCCACCGCGCCCATAGCCGGAGGCCGACAACGAGAAGCGACAGAGTCCACAGGATACATATGACCGCAAGACCCAGATGGTATAGCCAGTTCAGCTTGGCAGGCTCCGGGAAGTCCGTTCCGGGCGCCCACGCGCGGGCAGCGAGTTCGAAGGCGCTCATCGTCACAGCACGCTTTCGGGAAGAACTGATGATGAGCAAGAGTCGGAAGACAACAGCCTCCGTGGGTTCTTGTCGAGTCTCGAGCCAGTACTTCTAGTATCGGAAGCAGTCAGGTATGTCCCCAAGGAAGGAGTGGCGAATGTAACCCTGATCACAGGGGGCGCAAGAATCCAAACATGCCCCGGACTGAACCTCGCGATGCCCCGGACCATATTGCGGGCAGTCGTGAAGAACCCTGGCAAGGCGTAGTGCCTTACCTGCATCTGCATCCTTCTCCGCGTTCTCAGTAGCGATTCGTCGGAGAGTTTCCCTGACCTGGCTACCTGGAATCCTTCAGCTGGCAGATGCCAGACCAGACCACCACATCAGCGCCCAAGTTCTCGCCCCCGATGTCCTGTAGGCTCCAGGTTACCGCCAAGATCTCGGCTGTTGAAAGGAGATGATAATCCCGCTCCTCATATTAAGCATAAACCCCAAAAGAAAGGGGATCGAGTCCTTTACCTTTTCACCAAAGGGAGCAGGAGTCGGGACCGCCTAGCAAGCATGAGCTGCCGCAAATCGTGCGCAAGATCGGTCAAGTTACTCGAACCTCGAGTCCATCCCCGCAACTTCGGCGATCGAGGATCAGCCTGTTCTTTTTTGACGAGGAGGAGATCAGCACGGAGATTTTGACGAGGTAGAGAGCCCACGGTCGTACTCAAGTGAGACTGCCGGGAACGAGCAGACAGGGGGGGAGCACAAGTTTAACAGGTAAGCACAGGGGTCTGGAGAATCATCCGCATTTATCCAGGCAAGCATGAATACAGACGGCTTGGCATTCAATCCCCCTGCCCCTTGCCTTCATTGCTGCAGCTGCACCTCCGGGAGGAACCTCAAAGGGGTCAAGCAGACCTGGAAAGGGGTCCATCAGCCAGCCAGCCAGCTACCAAGTTCTTTTGACGGCTCCGACAGGGCATTCATTCATTGGGCCTGCTCTCAATCAAAGTGGCCCATCACTCATACGTGACAAATCCCATTTAGCGTTGGCCATGGAGGCGGGCCTTCCCACGTTGCTGGGGATCTCTCGGATCTGTCGTGTCTGCGTTCGGCAGGATATAAGAGAGAGTCGCGATGATCACTCTTCTTCTTCTTCTTCTTCTTCTTCCCCAAGCTCGTCCTTCGCAAGAGTAGCAACTCGCATCTGCTCTCCTGTCGGGTATTCACTCTTTGCAAACACAACCCATACTCGTGTACATATTTCCCCGAACAAGAGAACATGCGTCTCCTCAAGGCCTTCTCGATCGGCGCCTGCATCTTGGGCGTCGTCGAGGCCGTCCCCCGCCACACCCACAGGCTTGCCACGAGGCAGGTCACCAATCTCCGGGACGAGTATGACTTTGTCGTCATTGGTGGTGGTACCGCCGGCTTGACCGTCGCCGACCGTGTTTCGGCTGCCTTCCCCAGTAGTGAGTCGTGATCACATCTTTCTGACTTTGCCATGTAGTCTAGACTGCGAGCTGACATGGATGCTCCCCCGTACCAGAGACCGTCCTGGTCATCGAGTATGGCAAGATCGAGGGGACCGTCGGTTACTACGACCCGCCCGAGGATGGCCGTGGTGCCAGCCGCCTGGTCATCAGCTCCCCTCCTGTTGCCAGCGTCAACAACCGCGCTGCCACCGTCATCCTAGGGATGACGGTTGGTGGAGGATCCGCCGTCAATGGTCAGTTCTTGGACCGTGGTTCCAGGCACGACTACGACGAGTGGGCGCGTCTTGCTAGCCCTCAGTTCGACGACAGCCCTGACAAGTGGGACTGGGAGAACTTTGGCCCCGCGTTCAAGAAGGCGAGTCTCTTTCTAGTCTCCCCTGATCCTGAGTCGTCTTCTTCCCCTTGCTAACAATGCCATCAGTCCCTGTTCCTCACCGAGCCCAGCGATGAGCTCGTCCAGGAGCACGGCTACACTTGGGATACCTCTGCCTACACCGGCGACTCAATCGAGGCCTCTTTCCCGCCCTTCCAGTGGCCCATTCAGCGTATGTGTTGTTGCGTTCCCCAGTCTGATACACTGGTTGATGACAAAGACACTGACGTTTCTCTCCAGAGATTGCGCATCGGGCGTACGATGAGTTTGGCCTGGAGACACCTTTGAGCTGCGACAACGGGGACAAGCATGGTGTCTGCTGGGTCCCTTCGGCTCAGAACTCGGAGACTGTCGAGCGATCCCACGCCGGCGTCGGTCACTACACCAGGATCGCGGACTCGCGCTCCAACCTCGATCTCCTCGTCGAGCACAAGGTCACGCGCCTCATCGTCGACAAGGACGACAAGGCCCCTCCCGCCATTGAGTTCCGCCCCGTCGCCGGTGGTGAAGTCCAGACCATTCGCCCCAAGCGCGAGGTCGTCCTGTCGGCCGGTGCCATCCACACGCCCCAGATTCTCCAGCGCAGTGGCGTCGCCTCCGCCGAGTACCTCGAGTCGGAGGGCATTGAGCTCGTCCAGGATCTCCCCGGTGTCGGCCAGAACTTCCAGGACCACTGCGGCACCCCCATGACCTACTCGTACGATGCTCCTCTCCCCAACGAGGCCGAGGTCATCAACAACGCAACCTACGCGGCTGAGGCCGTCGCCCAGTTCCGTGAGCGTCCCGCGCGTGGCCCTTACACCCTCGCCATGGGCAACACGGCCGCATACGCTGCCCTCCAGAACGTCACACCCGAGTGGGAGCAGATTGTCATCAACATCCGTGCCCAGATCGAGGACCGCTCTGCCCTCCAGTATCTTCCCGCCAGCGCCACTGAGACCGTCCAGGAGGGCTACCTCGCGCAGCTCGAGATTATCGCACAGGCTCTGGAGCACCCAGAGCACCCAATCCTCGAGATGCCCTTCCACACGGGCCCAGCGATGGCCTTTCTCCTGAAACCGCTCAGCCGCGGCTCTGTTGTCTTGAACTCGTCTGACCACGATGCCACCCCTGTTGTCAACTACGCCACCGGTGCCAACCCGATCGACCTCGACATCATGGCCACCTACGTCGACTACTTCCGCAGGCTCTACGCCACCGACACGTGGCAGGAGCTTGGCGCCGTCGAGGTCGCCCCCGGTGCCAACGTCACGGAGCACGACGCCCTCATCGAGTACGTCAAAGACACCGTCATCCAGTCGCTCATGCACCCCTGCTGCACGGCTGCGATGCTTCCTCGCGAGAAGGGCGGCGTCGTCGATGCGAGCCTCTCCGTCTACGGCATCTCGGGTCTTCGTGTTGCGGACTGCTCCATCATCCCTACTGTCCCTGCTGCCCACACGACCACCACGGCGTACGCTATTGGTGAGAAGGTACGTGGTCCCTGGCTTCCCCTTGTTTCTACCCTTGGAAGGTTGTTGTTACTGACAGGACTGCAGGCTGCTGAGATTATCATCAGGCGGTGGAAGAAGGGTTGCAAGCATTAGAAGCTCAGTGTCGTCGTGTATGACCTGGAAGACCATTGCCATCACTGTTCGGATCGGGGCTATCATTGTGTTCATACTCACTGCCATTCTTACATTCGTGTTCTTTATTCGCTGTGCTGAGGGCGACTTCTTGATCGACATACCGTACTCACCTGACAGCGCTGGTGTGTCTGGCTAGGCGATAACCCTGTCAGGAGTGCCCTTGGGCTTTATAACAAATCAGTATCTGCGCACAGCTCGGCTGCCACACCGAAGTGATCAGCAGTACCTCGCACTCAGCACGGACAATAGAATTGGTAATGCGCCGGAGCATATCGAGCAATGGCGCGATCACCGTCAGTGGCACGATCCTGGTCCAAGCACGACGCCGCGTCAACACTAGAAAGGCGCGCAGGAACAATGGGCTTGGGTTGGTATCGCCCCAAGTCCCACACTTCAGTGCTCGCTTCCGTACATTCGGACGGTGACTCGGCCGTGACCGACGACATGTCTCGGGGATGTTGGTTAGCTGGATGAGGTGACCGGTCACCATCGTGGCCGTTTTCGCGCGCCCGCAAGTGAAGTTGAGCCATTCTCCACAGGTAGCAGACACGGACAATAGCCACGCCTTACAAATAACGCTGCTGGAGCCAGGGGGGGGGGGGCGCACGCCCATGTACGTATATACTTACGTACGCGTACTATCAGAGGAGCCCAGCCAAGCTTTAGTGTTAACGCAAGATTGCCGGTAATAACAATCAGGACCAAGACGACAAATATGATATATTTTTCCCATTCTGGCGTCCCACTTTACTCCGGCGGGCGGCCTACTATTGCATAGCAGGTTTTCATATACATCGTAAAGTCATTTCATTCCCACGGCATCTCGGCCGCTCTCACAAGGACGGCAAACCCTGCCGTCGCTCATCGACCGTACTGTATGCCCAATCCCATGTGGTTCTGTGGCGTCGATCCACTCTCCACGCGGCTCCTCTTGGGTGGGCTTCCTTGCTCGGGTCGTGGCTCTTCGATGGTCTCCTGGCTGCTCCCGTACTTGCGCTTGTCCCCATCATTTCTCACATTGGAAAAGAGTTTGGACTGCAACCGCGCAGACTGCTCCACGGCGCTGGGCGTCCCATCACGGGACATGGCCTGCCGCATCTCGTAGCTGTCGCGGGGGTCACGTCGTAGCATCTCCGTCGCCGCCAGGCTGGCCTGGCTTCCGTAGGCGCTGGAGCCGTCCTCGCCCCGACTCACTTGGAGGCTCCCACCGAGCACCCCCGCGGACGTGAATGACCGTACAGCTTGTCGCGCTAGTTCCTCGTTGTCGTCGGCTGAAATCGTGCTCTCCCTGGATTTCCTGCGCTCAGTTCTGGGGGTCGGCGATCCACGATCATATAGTCTTGGGGCATACCGGTGGTTATAGGGCTCTGTCTGGGGAACCAGGTTGGCCGAGGGCAGCAGCCCAGCATAGGGGCCACGCGGCCGCTGCATGGGCGTGGTTGGCAGGGACGACATGGACTGTGCATTCCGCTGGTGTTTCCCGCCGTGACGCGAGTTGGACCGGTTCGTCAAGAACGGGGTCGAGGGCGCGCTGTTGTTGTCCTGGCTGAGGACCTCCAAAAGTGTGGTCAGTTTGTTGTTGTTGCTGCCGCTGTCGTCTCGCTCGAGACCGCCGCGCTGGCCACCTCGGTGGGCGCCGCGGCTCTGTACCGGCGATGCTGGATTCTGTCGAGGTGTCGTGGCTCCATGAAAGATCCCCCCTGGACTCCTCAGCTTGTTCATGTGTTCACGATTCTCCCTTATGCGGTTGAGTAACTGATGTCTCTCCTCGATGAGGGACATGACCTCCTCATCTTTCTGTCCGATGATCCTCTTTGCATTCTTCAGTCGGCGTTCCAGCGCTTCGATCTCAAGAAGCGCCTCTTCGTGAGCCGCCTTGAGCTCCATGAACTTTGTTTGCACAGCCTCTGAGAAGGCACTGAGCTCACGCTTGGCCTGCCGTGAGTGCTCCGCCGTCCTAAGGGCGTCAATCTCCTTGCGTAGCATGTCCAGCTCCACATCAGCCCGGTTCGCATCTTCCGATGCCTGAAGGCTCAGCAAGTTGTACTGCAATCTGTGGTGGGCCGTCTCCATCTTCAGCTTCTGGTGGTCTGCAATGCAGGTCTGCAGCATGGCCCGAAGTTCATCTGCCGAGCTCTCGCGCACCTGCCGGGGCGAGGGCGGCACAAAGTCCGTAATGTCCCTCTCACGCACATTGTTGAGAATCGTAGCAGGGGGAGACACAAGGTTTGATTCCTGGGACTGTGTGATGGGTTGTCTAGCGCGTCGGCTGTGGCCATTGACATGGCTGCTGCCGGAAGGCCCAACTTGGGTCGAGGGGGGTGGTGTCAGCGAGGACCGGATGATGGTTGTGGCTGCTCTGTCATCGTTGACCTCGGTCCGGAACGAGTCGTTCACGTCGTTGACCGGTGATGCTGGCACCTCGGTGGAGGGTAGTGTCACCTGGGAGAGCTCGTAAGGGCCGACTTCTTGGGGCGTCGATGGTTCAATGGGCGACCCGATGCCGTCAATGGCCACGCCATTTGGGCGCTTGCTGTCGGACTCGGAGTCCGAATACATGTTGTATACAAAGTTGCTCGAACAGGGGCCGTACCGTGGGTAGGGGTAGCAGCTATCGATCGCGTTCCAAATCGTCTGTCGGTACCCAGACACTTGACGTCAAGGGGCGATCCGCACGCAAGACAGAGCGCATGTGTCGACGCGTCGCTGAGCGGTCTGGTCTAGCAGGTGTAAGTATAGGCAAGGAAATTCGAGCGAGCGTCATGTAGCAGAGAGGTTTTTGGAAAAGCGACGCGACCGTGGACGGGGCCAGAGGGTCAGTAATAGTGGTAGATCGCCAAAAGCTAACGACGTTAATGTGGTGGTTGCCCGGCAGAGAAACTGGAGAGGCTGGGCGTGAGGACGCGCTAGTCCGTAAACGGACACGGTGAGGCAGCTTGGCGTCGGTGTGCACAATATCTCCAATGTCCTCACGTGCGCAATTCGACGACTGGGAGCGTGTCTCTTCCCTGGGAGCGTGTCTCTTCCCTGGGAGCGTGTCTCTTCCCTCCCCTCCCTTTGAGCAAGTGATGAAGCGAATGACTGAATGGTAATATTTTTGAATATCCAGAATCAATACAACGGGTATCTTCGCGCAATACTCACACAGTTGTGGCAGCCAACTTTTCCAATGCCACAAATTAAGAAACCCTGACGCAGCCCTGATGATCCATAAAGGCTGATCACTCTTTTATTATACGCACCCAAACCATAAACGCCGCTGAACAGTAGACTGAAGCTTATTCGACGTCGCTTGAGGCTTCATCGCCATCGTCCCCTTTCCATTCAGCCTTCTCCGCAAGAGGGACGCGGCCGCGAAGCCACCTCAGGGTCGACTCGGTGCCTCGCTCGAGCACATTCCATCGAGGGACTTTGAACCGATTGCCCATGACATCGAGCTTCTCCAGACCCCCAGAACCCCCGAGGAGACCAAGGCGAGGGTTGAGCCGTGAAATATCGTTGCTGGAAACATCGACAATCCTGAGCCCCTTGATTGTCTCCGGCTCCAGGTCAGTGATTTGATTGTTGGAAGCCAGGAGTACTTTTAACAAAGGGAAAGCTCCAGTCAGTGTCTTTGGTAGCCCATTGACCCTGTTCAGACAAACATCAAGCTTCTCCAGTTGAGGTGCGTTCAAATGTCGCACCAATGGCTCGAGCCCCGTGATGCGGTTAGAGGCCAGGTTCAACTCCCTCAGCGCCGGAAAGTCTATGCTCTCCGCCAGGTAGGTCTCTCCAACAAACTGATTGTTTGAGAGAGACAGGATCGACAGTGTTTCGGCAAAGAAGCTCAAAGAATCCGGCAAGGAAGTAAAAAGGTTGTAGTGCAGCATGACTTGTTTGATCCGGTGCTCGGCTGCCACTTTGGAGCAAACAACTGGTTGGAGCGATGACGAGTCGGTCCTGGACCGATCGAGGACGCCCCCCGACTTGACAGGCCAGACCTCCTTGGACAGCGTACGTGAGCGCGAGCGTAGGCTCGATACCGTCTGCGACCGGGACCGTGCTGGAGAATGAGGCGCTGAGGTCGGGGGCGTAGCAAAGTTATCGTCGAGGCTGTCCTCGTCCTCGTCGCCATATCTTGCGTCTCGCTGTTCCAACCTTTCCTGAGCCCGCATTTCGGCCTTTGCGTCGGCCAGGAAGCCAGGCACGCCAGGCGGAACATCAGAATCAGCCTCTTGGTGTGGGTATGGAGGCGGCGGTTCCAGCCTGGCTGCCAAAGCATCCTTGAGCTCATCCGTGGCGAGTGACACGAACTTCTTGTCCCGCAGAGGGTTGCCGCTGAGTCGGATCATGGTCAAGTTGTCCATGCGAGCAATTTCAGGCGGTACGACCCGGATATCGTTACCAGAGAAATCAGCATGTCGAAGCTTTTCGAGCGTTGTGAAACTATTGGGTATCCCCGAAATGCTGTTCTCATCGACCGTCAATGTGAGCAAATTTGTCCACGTGGTCATGTCTGGCAAGCCTTGCAAACGGTTGGCGGACAGGGACAGTGCGTGCAATACCGGCAGATCGATCGCGGCGCCCAGGGGTACCAACCGGGTCAGCTGGTTCACGGATGCATCTAATGTCTGCAGCTGGGGTAGTCTATCCACAGGATCCTCAATGAGGGTGCCCGCGAGCTTGTTCTTGCGCAGGAGAAGTTCGGTCAACGGCAACTGGGCCAGCTGACTGAACGAGAGGGACTCGATGCTGTTTTCGCTCAGGTTCAATATTCGCAGTCGGGTCATCTTCTCGAGGCCTCGAGGCAGCGCAGACACGTTGTTACCGTGCATGTCTAGTATCTCCAAAGATGTGAGGTTGCTTAATTCGGGCGCCAAAGGCCCGTAGAACAGGTTCTTGGCCAGCTTGAGATCTCTCAGGGATGTCATTTGAGCAATCGTGTCGAGGCAATTGTTTTGGAGGCGATTGGAAGACTGCGACCGTTCAGCTAGTGTTTTTTTTTCCGTGACGACGTTTTCAAACTTACCAAGTTCAGTGATGTCAGATTCGCCAGTCGCCTGAACCCGAGGGGAACGTTGACCAAGAGATTGCCATGGAGGTCCATTGTTTCAAGCCCTCCGAACATGCTTCCTGCGCTATCCTCCTCGCTGGCGAAGCTGCTGGGGTCGGAGTCGGGGAAGATGAAATCGTCAAGCTTTTCAAACTCATTGTCCGCCGCCACGAAGCGTGTCAAATCAACACTTTCAGCCCAGTTACCGCCACTGGCGCCAACGCTTTCAAGGTCGTACATTTTCATCACCTCCACGGGAATCTCCTTTAGACTCAAGGCGGCGATGTTCAAGCGGCCTGTGCTCCTTGCGGCACCGATTCTCTGTTGCAAGACCCTCTGAGACGCGGTCTCGCCCTTTTTTAGATTGAAGGGGTCTTCGTGTGCGACACCAAAGTCGAACCCATCGTCACTGGGCACAATTGGTTCTTCTGTCTGAGCCTCCAGAGCCTGCGCCGAGATGGACTGTCTCATAGCCTCCCGTTTTGCAGCCTTTGCTTTCGCGATTTGATCTCTTAGTGCAGCTGATGACTTGCGAGCCGAGCTCGCTTTCTCGCTCTCATCTGGGCTGACCTTGCTGTTAGCCGCTCCCAAATCAATGGCTGGTAAAGAAGGCTTTCTGTATAGGGAGCCTGCAGATGGTTTGGGCTTCAGCGGCCGACTGGCCACGGTCTTGGCACCTGTCTTGGGAGGCAACATGCCATAATTCTTCCTGGCGGTAGTTGGCGTAGAGTTCGTGGTTGTGGTCGCGCCAGTCTGGGGCAGCTTTGAAGTTGATCCCAAGGAGGCTCTTGACGTAGTCTTGCGCAGTACGGGCGTTTTTGGTGTTTGCAGACCTGAAGACCTAGCCCGTGGCGTGCCATCAAGGGTGGAGAGCGGTGCGTGGTATGTTGAGGTCGACCCTCGGAAGTTGGGCTCTTGTTGATAGCCAAGACGTGACCCGGGCCGACTGGCAGCGCTCGGTGGTCGATTGGAGCCGTCTGAGTTGTAGCTCGACCCCGGTCTCGATGCGGTGCTACCTGCCCTGGATCGCGAGCGATTTCGCTCGAAAAAAGCTGACGGTTTCCTGCTCACAGCTGGAGAAGAAGGAATGTTGGCCAACGTTTCCATTGTCCGCTCAGAGAGGGATTGTCCGGGCTTGAAAGGCGTTGATACTGTCGGAAATTCAGTCACGCTGTCCTCCATTTCAACAGCGTCTTCGTTCAGTCCAGAGAGTGGCGTATCCGAGAAAGATTCTGAAGGCCGTCGTGTCAATGTCAGCCGTCGCCGGAACAGCACTCCGTCTGGTTCCGCCGGCTTGCGATCCGCCTGCTCCTTGGCGAGCGTGTCCATTTGGGCCATACTCGTGCGACGAGACAAAGGGGTGGCACTATTTCTGCCGCCATTGTAGCTGCCTGTCGTACCTTGCACAGGTTTGGCAAGAGAGAGCCTAGAGGGTCGACTTTGCGATAACTGGTCGCGCGATACCGAAGCTCGCAACCTAGGTGTAGCCCCTTGTCCAAGCCCGGTCCCCGTCCCAGTCCCAGTGCGCAACTGGTCCCTTGAGATAGAGTTTCGCAGTTTCGGCGTTCTCAGCCCAGTATTCGCATCGCTCAATGTATCCCTCGGTCCAATTAGACTATCCCTTGACGGCGAGGGTCGAATGACAGAGCTGGGTCGAGGGATCGTGGAGGCGGGTTTCGGAATGCTTGAGGTCGGTCTCGCCTGGGGAAGCTTCGACGGCCGTGGAAGCCCAGTTGTGCGTTTCGGTGTCTCGTCCATGGCGAAAGAGGTATCAGTCGTCGCGGGGCGGCGAATAGACATAACCAGTCGCGCCTAGTTCCGGGAGCTAGCCAGATGCACGACTCGTGGCGTGAGTGAGCGCGGACGCTGGTGTGCAGGCTGATAAACAAATGTAGAACAAAGATGGGGGCATCGATAATGGCATGTTCACGGTTCCATTGGGGCTAAAGCTTCTGGAATGCGATGAAGGATTAAGCTGGAGAAGTTGAACGTCGAGTATGGAGGTGGAAATCCACGGACAGCCTGGCTAACCCCTGATACTGCGAACTTTACGATGCGCCTTCCCAGATTTGACTGCAGCTGTGTGGGGTCAACCACCAACCACAAGGACGGACATAAAACATTAGACATTTAGCAGCATGGAACGTGGAATAATATCAGTTAAGATGAGTGCTTTAATTTGTCAAGTACCCCAGCCCCTGGCCAACCACCCGCGCTACCTTATGTAGCAACCGCCCGACACCAAAACAAACGATTCATTAATCATCAACGCACGGAGGTCAGTCATCAGCCATCGCACCAACAAGTCACTATGATTCCGCCGTCAAGTTTTCGTTACTCGTAATCATCCAGGCGAAGTTCAAGATCCGTATCATCATAGTCTGAATCATCCAAGTCGTCCTGTACAATAAATCCATCCAGGGAATCAAAATCGCTGCCGTTGTCCAGTGCCTCGCTCTCCTCGCCCCCCGATGAATCCAGGACAATGGGATTATCTCTGTCGTTTGCCGACATGTCTAGCTGCTCGAAACTGCTGCTCTGGCCGCCCGAGGCACGTATCGATCTTGTCTGAACCCGTAGGCGGCCGCCGCGCGCGGGCTGTACTGACGGAAGCCGCAGTGTTTCTTGACGCTCGCTGCTAGACAACACGCAGCTCGTTCCATTGGAGTGGTGGTGGTTTGCAGTCTTTGCAGTGCTAGGCTTCTTCATCTGAGCAGATTGAGCGCCCTGAGGAATATCCTGCTTCTGATTGTGCGTGGTCGGGGCTGCCTGCTTGGACTTTGCCGGATGAACAGCTTTGCCCCCTCTCCAGTCGCGCAGGACACCAACAATCTCAGGGTGGACCAGCTGTCTCGCTTGCGGGCGCTGCATGCTTTTCTGATTCCTCTTGAGCAGTGTGTCATAGTCGGTGTATTTGTGTCGAACGTGAGCCGTGACCGCCAGCCGGACCTTGGAGGCCATGTCGCGCGTGCCTGTGCGCCCAACCCTCCCACTGCGCTTCTTCAATGTATGCTGGAGGATCGTTCCGAGGCTATCTTCTGGGATCTTGGGGAAGTCTTTGAGGATTGCTTCCTTTAATGCCGCTTCGGTTGCCCCATCGCGCCTCTCAACAGCGGCACGTCGCGTCCCCCTGGTTTCCTTGTCCTGCTGATGAACTTTGCTGATGATGTCGTGTGGTGCCCGGAGCCCAACACTCTTGTTCCCATCTTTGACGACGTACAGTTTCCTGCCGGACGCATGTGTCAATCGACGGCAGCTCCCTGTTTTGTAAGGGTTGCCCTTGGCAAGAAATCCGTAGCCTTTTGGCTTTTGGCTTTTGACATCAACCTCACATTCCGAGGCAGCCATTGTGATACTCGAGGCGATCACAGAGGTGAGCTATATTTGAGAGAGAGGCGCCGCGCCACTTTATATCCGGGCAAAGTTGTTTAGATGCGGCGTTGTGATTCTTTGGTGCACCTTGGCTTTGTTTTATGATCGGGAGTGAATATGAACGTCGTCTGATCGAGGTGGCAGTTGATTAGATCTACCCTACAATCATCTCGCCTGCTCTCATTGCCACAAGCAGTTAACAATTAGGAACTCACAGGAGAAGACTTAAAGTACCGGTGCATTTTCAGAGTGTTATCAAGGCTCTAGAAATAATTTTTCAATCCCTGCCGTCCCGAGAAACGAGCAGTCCTTCGGGAGTCTTAGTCCTTCATCCTTAATGTATGTGCACGAACCAACATCAACCCATTGTCATTTCAACTAACTTTCAACGCCAACTCGTCCGACTCGAAAGTACCCAAAAACGCATCTGCACTATCAGAGGGATTGTCAAGCGAGGCATCGCTAATGTCGTCCTTCGCCTTCGGCCAGACTGCTCTCCACTCGCCCTTCAACAACGCCGTCGGGGTGTCACCCAGCGTCTCCTTGGGCACCATCACAGGCTTCACCTCAATCTCGCTCATTTTGCTCTCCCCGGCTGCAAACTCAACCAAGTGGTCCCTCGTTGGAGGCCAGATCCTGCGGAACTGCACAGTTGCCAGTTCCAGCGGCGTATCTTTGCCAGAGGGCGTGAGCGACAGCAAGCCAAGGGCGAACGCAGCCTGATCGAGTGGCGAGTCGTATGTCAGGATACTGACGGTGTAGTCATTGGTGTTGGTGACAGTCGCCTTCACAGTGATAGGCCACTCGGTGGAAGACTGCTCGATCGACACCTTCAAACCCTCCAGAGGGTTGGGCGAAACGCGCTGGCTCATCCCGACTGGCTGCGTGCCAAACGCTCGAAAAAGAACGACAACAGCAACGAAGAATAGAACGCCCGTGAATATCCTGGGACCTGTGCAGGCGCGTGAGGGACTCATGGGGCTAGTGACGAGACCTGTCGCGTTGAGGGAGCGGGGATCAACGTATTCGTCAGAAAAGCGTAGAGAAATCACACAAAGGGCTGTTCGAGGTCGCAATGGCGCCTGTTTATACCATTCCATTCAAGGCAGCCACCTGCCTTACTTACCTCATCGGGACCAATTCGAGGTTGTAATACAGTACTTCTTATCCTCCTGCCTTACCGGGCCTAAGTTCCTAACCCCGCAACAGGCAGTACCGTGCCCTTATCTGACCTTTAGATCCATCGAATCGGCAGACCACGAAGCCGAGACCACCTTCTCAGTCGGGCAACTATTAGGACGACGTAGCACCAGTCACGGGTCAGCATGTGCTCCAATACTGGCGACATCACACAAGGGCAGGCAACCCAAGTCCAAAATCATGTGGTCATAACGTCGTTACTATCCAACATCTCCATCCCAGTCCCTTGTACTATGCCTAAGAATAAAATAGTAGGCACATCCTCCTCTTCCTATAGGCCCATCGAGAAACGCCCCCCAAAGTCAGCCTTCTCGAAACACTAGTCTTCTTTACACGCGGATAGTCCCTGGTCCTAGGTAATGGTACCCAGCATGGCCCGGACAATCTTTGGCGGCGGACCTACAGCAAGGAAGATAAACACGTCAGCCGCCTGTACTGATTGCGAAGCGCTGTCCCACCCGGGGCGGTATGGAAAAGGGAGGGGTGAATAAATGTGCTTCATGACCGCTTGGGGACGCTGAGACTTAACCGACCCTTCTTGTCCTTTTCGATGCGCGGTGGCTTCGAATGGTGGATGACCTTTTCGACCTGCTCCTCGTAGAGCACCAGTTCCCCGTTGGGCAAGCGCTCAGCGCGTACGAGCTCGCGGCCCCCGACGGGACCAGTGCTGTGCTTGGGGCGATGGGCGAGCTCGCGTTCCAGAGCTCGGATTTCGGAGCGGATCTCCCGGCCTCCGCGAGAGCGCGAGCGAGAACGAGAGCGCTCCGCGAGGGCAAGGGGCCCCACAGGCATGGGAGCCGAGGCCTCATGATGGTGATGGTGGTGATAGGAGTCCCAGCTCGAGGTAGTGGATGTGCGAGAGGGAGAGTAGTCGCGGGCTGGCGGAGGCCCAGCGTCGACAATCACAGGAGCCGGGGCTGGGTTTGCGACCGGAGCTGGCGCCGGCGTCGGCGGAGGAGGTGCCGCAACAACCACAGGCTCAGGGGCCGGCGCGGGTGCAGGTGTCGGGGGAACGACCGTCGCAGGCGCTGGAGGTGGCGGTGCGGGAGCGGGAGCGGGCGCGGCTGGAGTGGGAGGTGGTACGAAGATAGGATCGTCTCTACGATCTTCAACGAGGTTTCCAGCGGATGAGCGGGCTGCCGCCACTTCCATTTCACCTAGAGGCCATTGTAAGCATGTCATTCATCTCACCGCAACCAAGAATAAGGGATCTCACTCTTCTTGTACTCTTCGCTTAACTTGAGCAGCTCATCAATGTTGTCCTGACCAAGAGCCTTTTGCACGATGAGGGTGTTGCCCTCTTCAGTGAAGGGATAGCCAATGTCGATGAGAGCGCGCTTGGACACGAGACGCGCGGGGATTCTTGTCTTGCCCTTCTTGGGGTATTCACTCTTGATAGTGGTGCCACCGCTGCTGCTGGATGATCTCGAAGTGGTAGTTGACGTGGGAGAGCTGCTGCGGCGAGTACGTGTGCGTGTAGACCGGGTTGTGGCCGGGGATGTATCTCGCCTGTCGCGGCGGACGTACTCCCGCTCACGCACGCGGTCAGGGTAAGGGCGGTAGTGCTCATCGCCATAGTAGTCTGGCTCAGCAACCTTGATATCGTCGTAGTATGGGTCGTCATACCGCCTGGGAGGTGGGAGAGCCTTTGTCTTGGTCTTTGGGAGGGGTATATCGGTGTAAGGTGGCGCGCGGTACTCGTCCCGTGGATCTCGCGGGGCGACGTCTTCACGACGCGCAGGTGGTGGGTACTCCTCGCGTTGGTCGTAGAATTTGCGCATGGGTCGACGATCATACGTATCTAGAGACGACTGGCGGCGGAGGAAGGCAGGGCGTTGCGGCGAGCGATCTCGTCGATACTCCCGCTCCCTCTCCATGACGGGAGGAGCTCTGCGCTCATACTCCGGGGCGTATTCGCGGCGAGGGACATGTCGAGGCTCATCCTCGTAATACCGGCGCTCACGAACAATGTCGTCGTCATAAGACCTAGGGTTTCGGCGCTCATAACGGTCATCGTAATAGTCGTCCCTGGGACGTCCTCCACCCCTCATGTAGTGCCTGTCGTCGTCGTCGTAGCGAGGGCGATCCTGCTCATAATCGAAGCGATCACGGTCCCAGCGCTCGGGTCCTCTAGTCGACATTGTGCTGGTCGTCTTATGATGAAAAAAAGTCGGCGGAGTTGTTTGAAAGAGTGACTTCTCGGGGGCTCTCGCTACACACTTGGGATTTGAAAGTACAGCAGTGGGTTGGCAGATGATGGGCGACGACCGATGACGTGTGTCGCAACCCCACTTCCAGGTAGTATTTTGGTAGACAGACCAGTCAGTGGCTGATTGTTGAGGTGACTTGAGAGCAGAGTGGCTGATGACACCTCTGGACGATGTCACGAACTGCAGGGCCCTCGACGGCTATTGGACCGTATTCTCGTGTTCGCAAGGACTGGGCTTGAGTCGAGATTGTGTTCACTAAGAGAAGTCTATGGAGAAAGGTTGGGAAGAAGGAGAATTACGACTTCTAGGAACCAGGCTTCAATTTAACAACAGGAAACCGAGAGAAGCGCGCTCGCTCGCTCGCTCGCACTGACCTCATTCTGCCTCCTCGCGACATGGACTGGGCACTGAAGCAGCGAGGCTACTGAATATAGCAGGGCGCAGCTGGGTTTGCTTGGGACGCTTGACCATCTCCTCGACGCCCAACTGGTGGGCCAAGACCAGGCATTGACGGCCTTGTCCGGGACAGGGGTGGTTGGAGTTGGCTGTGGAGATTCTGGATGCTAAGGGCTGATAGTGCAGTGGGGGTTTTGCAGGCAACAGGTCTAGCAGATCCTAACCGCGCTTTCGTGTCCAAAGCAACCGTCAGCAAGCCCTGCCAGCCCGTTGACTGGGGCATCCTCGCTGCGACCACAACGACGAAGACCTTTGCCAAAGCGCACAATCTGTCGATTATAATTGCGAATGTAAAGTCTCGGGCATCGAGATCGGCTCATTGGGCGCTCTCGAGTACGCGAGCCCCTCTCTCTTGTTTCTTCTCACCTGAGACCACGCCACGAGGCAAAGCTGCGAAGGGAGCTCTGACCAGAACATCGGCCACGCAGCGTCAATGTAGACGATGACGAGGCCGTAAGCAGCGAGCGATGCTTTCCCAGCTCAGAATAGGACAAGCCGTTACGCAGACCGCATATTGTACACTTTAACCACTCGCAAAAAGACGCGATGTCGTCGCGAGAGGAAGTCCTAATAACCTCATAACCTGGGACCACCCCCAGGACCACCCGTGGGTGACTGGTCAAATAACGCATCGAAAAGTCTCCGCTTACCCATGTCCCCGCCGCGCCGCCACTCGCTATTCGTGGCCCTGTGGAGAGGCAACACTGAGTCGACTGGCAAGTAGTCTGGCCAGGGTGAGCTTTTGCGTGCCAACGGTATGTCGGCGATGGCCACCAGCGTCGCGGAGTTATCCTCAAGGCTTCAATTTGAAGCCCAATGGACCAGGCAAGGAACTCGCATGGCGGCACGCTTTCAAGTTATCACCAACCTAAATCGGCTACTTCCACTACGTAAGTAGCGCACAACGCCATATGCGGGGGATGTAGAATCACGCGCGTTGTTGGTACCTCGGCAACCCTTGAGAGTTCAGACCTACTAAAAGCACTGAGGCAGACTCGACCATTAGCATGTTCGCGATTTCAGTCTCGATCTACCGCCAACATGTCATCCTCATGGGCAACTGTCGTGGCCATCTATGATCCTCATGTCATTGACGTGGTCGGCACTCAGCTCATCCAACTCGTCTTTTGGTGGCTGCCTTGCACCTTGTTCGTGCTCCTCGATACCCTAGCCCCGAGCTTTTCCGCAAGGCACAAGATCCAACCGGCGCCCAAACAGCCAAGCAGCGCAGACGTCAAGCACGCTGCCTGGGTCTCCGTTCAGAACCAGGGGATTGTCCTTGCTCTTCAAGTATTACTGGCCGTCTTGGCTGTGCTAGCGAATCGACCACCGGCGCTCCAGGTCACTGCTAGCTTTCCGAGCTTGAGAGACTTTAGCCAGGACTTCCTCATCTGCCTCCTTGCTCGTGAGGCCCTGTTTTACTACTCTCACCGGATCCTGCATACCCGGTCTCTGTATGCGGCCATCCACAAGTTCCACCATCGATTCACAGCACCTGTGTCGTTTGCTTCACAGTATGCCCATCCTATCGAGCATGTCATGGCCAATACATTGCCGATTGCACTTCCACCGCTGCTCTTGCGCACGCACATCCTCACAATGTGGACATTCCTCGCTTGGCAACTTGTAGAGACGGCCACCGTGCACAGCGGCTTCGACTTTTTACATGGCGCGGCACGGAAACATGACCGACATCACGAGAGGTTCAACGTCTACTTTGGGGGGCTTGGACTGCTAGATTGGATCCATGGTACAGGCGAAATGAGAAGCAGCAAGATCGAATAACGGGGGTATATTGCTTTGCGTACAACCTGAAGCAAATCATAACACTCTCATTTCCCATTTACATTCTCACTTCATCAATACAAGCGCTGTTCGAGTGCCCGGCCCTCCTGTCTTTTCTTAGCTGGTCTTCTTCTGCGCCAGCTTCTGCCCCTGAGCTGTGTTTCGCATGTACAAGAAAGCGACCAGGGCACCGATGGACAGGATAACAATGTTTCCTTGGTCTTGTCAGCAACGAAGTGACACGAGGGATTGCTTGACACATACCAACAATGAACTTTCCGACCCCGGTGCTGATGTCGACGAATCCGCCCAAGACGTCGCCAACAAGGGACAAGATGCCGACGACAAAGTTGTACGCGGCGAGGAAAACACTGTGCACAACAGAGTAGGCTGCACAAAAGACGGAGGACACAAGCTCGTAGATGGACGCGAAGAAGTCCGAGACTGCAGTGGTGATGGCCATGGTGTAGTTGTTAATACGGGTGATGGCAGATGGGAGGGTAGGGTTCTTTGTGACGGAATGTGAGTTGGCGAGCTAGAAGAAGTTCTTGGCAGTGAATGGAAAGCAATATGAATTTGGCTCCTTTTAAATATTTCTTCACAACCGTGATGCGCAAACAGGATCTAGATCCCAATGGACTGGTTTGTCTCATTGTGAAGTGACGTCGCCATGACTAACTGACGTCATTGTCACAGTACATGAAAGTTGCTGACAGCCTTGCTGGACAGTCTCTTCTTGCGCCGAGTGCAGCTCACGATATTGTACGTTTTGAAGGATATTGGGAAGCATGGGAGCAGTGTCTCGTCTTGGGGTCAAGTTCACCGCGAGGTGGAGCTGCGACATCGATTCACGCCGCGCTGCTTCTTGTGGAAACTCCGTACTCGGCAGACGGCATTTGCTTCGGAGGGGGAAGGCGGCGTGTGTCTGGATTTTCACTAGCGAGAACTAAGTAAGTACGTAGGCATTCGTTCGTAATGCAGAGTTCGTTAGCTTCAGTAATACAGGTTAAAATCCGATTCTTCCCCGAATCTCAGTTATGTAGTTGGTTGACTGATAGCGGACTGGCCCACTGGATTCATAAGTTGTCCCTGGCTGCCGGGTGCTTGTCCGCGTACCACCTCGCGTTGCCAAGGGTAAAATCTCTAGCTTCTACGGATACAGTAGCCTTCTGCCTCTCGCGATCTCACCCAGATGCCCACCGCCCGCATGCCACTTGGCAGCCGCGCCAAGGGCGGCGAGACCGACATGGACCGCCCACCAGGGAAGCTTCGCCATCGAGCACTACTACACATAGAACCCAGAGCAGAAGCGGGAAGGGGCGCATTCCAGCACCAACAATACCTACCTAGGTAAGGCACGGTATCATTCAGTCTTGGGGAGCCTGGGTCGTTTCTCCAGCCCGGTCTGTCCCCTGCGCACCCAGCTAGACGTCTGGACCCCTATTATTTCCCCGAGCCCTCGAGCCCTCCATTGCTGACGGAGGGGTTTCATCCTCGTGCAGGCTCCCGACGTTCAACGCCAAGCGTCAATCGGAAACTGCGCTGCAGGCCGTCTCTGGGGACATCATTACGTGTCCCACCTCTTACCATCGTCGTTGATGCACAGGCGCGTACCATCGTTTTTTCCACTCAATATCCATCCAGCCCATTCTATCACTTGTCGCCATTCGCTTTAATTGCCCACCGGGTACCGCATCCCTGCGCCACCTCCTCGATAGCCTCAATCGCCAGCGCCGACTGCCCCTGTTTTGCAACTCTGTCGTTCGCCTCGCCAACGCGGCGAGCCGAATCGTCCAAGACTCTCGGGCCAGAAACATCATCACATAAAACCAAGCTTCAGAATACTTGCCCATCATGGCACCGTTCTCGCAGACGGAGAAGTTTTTCATCGCGCACTGCGCGATGCTCGTTGTAACATTGGTGACAGCAGCAGTCGTAGGGTTTTCGATGTTTTGGCTGGCGCGACGACGAAAGGACCCAGCGCGAGCATGCCTCATCTGGGCGAAATTCGCTGTTGTTTTCTTCATCCTGTATGCTTCTAACGACCCCCGTCTTCTCGAGATGGTATCGCTGACCCGGTTAGGTTTTGCTTTACTGAATTCTGCGCCGACGCCGTATGGATAGCCTTCTCTCGAGTCACACGGACAGCGCACGAAGATGGATTTATCACGAAAGACGAATACGACATGCTGGCGGCACTACGCCAAGCTAGCCTCGAGCTCTCGGCTGTTTCGCGCTTCACCGACAGCGTCCTCCTTATCTTTTGCTGGATGACCGTGATCCTTTTAGGGGTTGGTGTCAATGTTGTACGAACTGGCGAGCCAGCTCGGCTTGACAAGCCCATGAAGATTGGCTCGTTTGCCTTGGCGGGCGTCCTGGGAGCATTGGCGATTGCGGAATGGGGTATCAAGATCCAGGCGTATGTGTCATTCGAAACGGACACGTACGATCTGGAAGAGGAAGTTGGCTATTCTAGCTACCTGCTCAACTTCGCGACTAAGCTGGACTTTTCGTTCATTGTGATCGCGTGGGCGCTCAGCATAGCGACGCTGGTGCGTTCGACGATGATCTGGCTACCAAGCCGGGTAGACAAGCGGTTAGACTGGGTAGGTTCTCCCACGTGTTTTATCGGGCCATGACACTAACCTGCTAGTCTTTGTTGTTCTTGATGCTCTGCTGCGGCGCATTGCTCTTCCGAACGACGTATGATCTCATCTATCAGCTCAAGTTCGTCGACTTTAACGATATCCAACATGCCCCCCCGGAACCAGCCTACATTGAGCTGATTGAGATTGTCTTTCATACATGGTCAATCTTCACCATTGTCGTCATGTTGCTTGTCTTGGGAGCAAAGAAGCGCGGTGGATTGTGGTCAACACAGCAACCATTCTTGCAAAACTCGGAAGCCGGAGACAGTCAGGACATTCCTCTAGAGGATATAAATGTCGATCCGCCAGCGTACTCCGCTGCTCCGGGCTCCAATAATAGACCCCCAGCTGGCGCCGTGCCGCCTGCAGGTATCGAAGCGGCGGCGGCACATCCGAATCCAAGGCTAGCTGGACCAGAACCCTGGCAGCAGGCTGCACCACAGAATGAGCCCGCCGATGATGACCTTGTAGATGGTCTCGGTCTCGGCAGTGCATCATCACACTACCGACCACCTGTGCCTCAGGATGACGGCTACAATTCTGGCATCGTAGCCCCTATGTTACCGGCAGAGGCGGAGGCAGGGCCCGCCGGCGGATACGGGATGGGGATATCGTCGCAGCCACCGCCCGAGCACGAAGAAGTCATGGGGTTGAACCACCAGGCTGACGGCAGGCCGCCGATCTCTGAGCCTTTACCGTACCCGGAGAAGAACTAAACAAGCGGGAACAAGGGTTCTCTTTTCGTGTTGCGTGTTTTCACAGCGAGGGTTTAAGAAGCACATACACTGGCGTTTGTCATGATACCAATGTTTGTCAGCTGCTCTATTGGTGTTCTGCTTCTATGTTTATAGGTTGAGGTAATAACAAATGCGGGCTGGATTAATCCAATTCTTCGGCGTACTTTGCGGGCGCCATAAAGGGGCCTTCCTCCCCCAAGGTGCCAGCGACATATCTGGATGCGTCAGTGCGAGGCCGTCCTATCGAGGAATGCGTTTTTGCGAGTACGTACTTGGTGTGGCTCCCGCGAGCAGCGAGCTGTCCCTTGCTGTTCTTGAATATGATGGTCGTGTACGCCAATGTCTTGCCAACTTGTCGCGGTGGTTAGCCAAGGGTAACACGGGTCACGAAGGCCGCTTACTCTTGTCACAGATGGCAGTGCCGGTGAGCATATCGCCGGCCTTGCCTCCAGGGCTCAGATATGACACTTGATTCGGTTAGCTTGAGTGATACAGCGTTTCCGTGGAGTGTTTTCTTGCCGTTGAGATCCGTCGTGACGCCTGTCGCGAAGCGTCCCGTCGATGCTACGGCCAGTGAGCCGCCCAGGTCGACCATGGCTGCGAGTGTGCCGCCATGGATGGTCTGTAGGCGATTCTGGGTCTCGTCAGTTCATCCTGTGCGAGGCATTGCGGTACCTAGGCCAGGCCCACCGTGTGATTCTGGTGAATGTCCAGTTCGAAATCGACCCGGCCATTAGACGCGTCTGTGATGCGAAAACGCTGCGCAGTTTAGTCCCAGGCCTTCGGACGCGAGTCGTAATATTGAGGTACGTACGTTGGCTCCGAGAAGGCTTCCATTGGTCAGCATTCTGTGTTTCGGCGAGGCATTGGGACTCACGTCGGCTCGAGGCCAGACTCCTTCATGAACGCGCGGAGCACCTATGGTCGGGTCAACCTCGCAGCTCAATATACACTGTCACAGGTGTCCTGACGGTCTGTGTAAATAATTTTGGAGACAGGCGCTTCGACATGATAGTCGGCTGTGTAGTTGAGTTTGTCTAGAAGGGTAGAAGAAGGGCTGAGTGTATTCAATAAGCTCTATGGCCGTGGATTGCCGAAGCAGCATTTCAATTCGGATTTTGGAGGTTGGAGCGGATGGAGCTGCACCAGGCAACACGATCAACACGCGAAAGGAGTACACTTCATGTTTCAAAGTCTTTGCGATTTAGGCGCCACTCAATAGTTCTCTATTTGTAACATTTACGATGTATGAGTAGTGATATACGCTGAACATCTTGAGCTCCCACAATTCACCCTTTACAGCGCCGACATGTCTGAGGTACCCGGTACCAGCTTGGTGACATCACGTCCTTATCGCGCTGTCGATAAGAGCGTGATAAGCCGTGAACTTCTGACGGCTCGTGCACCTCGAACTTCACGCCGTATCAAGCATCGTCACCACTCCGTTCACATCCCACCAGGCGCATGTCTCCCGCCGTACCCAGACCATGCCATAGCACCACCTCAAGGTCTGACTGACATTCGAATCATCAGCCGCCACCATGTCAGTCAGCACGGCACCCTCGCTACAGCTTACCGATTACCTGGAGAAGCTCCCAGGTACGACCTTTCGGAAGCTCTACCAGCAGCCCTCGACGGCGTTTGCCATCTTTCGGCGCATGCTGCCCCAACTCGGTAAGCCAACAAACTTCCTCTTACGATTCATCACGATGCTCATTGCTAGCCAAAACATTTGTTATGCGCATGCTTTTCATGCCCAAGCCGATGCTCCTCCACGATCTCGAGCTCTGGGTCCGACCCGATGCGAAAAGGTGGCCATTTCTCCCTTCTGCTTGCGCGCTTAGGTACAGCCTCTGACTGGAGGCAGGCAAAAAGATCAAGCACTCTCAATATTGCAGGCGTTCCACATCGTACATATCACCGCGCCGTCACGCGACAAACCGCAGGAGATGCAGCTCTCCTCCAACTTCAGAACATCGATGCGCCTCGCGCTGACTGGCGGGGGCACACACCAATCGTTTGGTGTTCCGTCTAACCTGACCGTCCCGACGGAGATCGACATCAACTTCCTTGATCGATACGCAAAGAAAAAGTGGGAGGACATTTTGCACTTTGTCGTCTCCTCCGTGGGCTACAAGTCTAGCGCAGAGGCCAATGGCCCGAATAAGAGCGTCAAGGAACTCATTATCTCGGGACGTCTCGTCGATCGCCGTCCCGGAGGTGGCATCGGCATCACGCAAGCAGGGTTCACATTCCTCCTGCAGGAAGCCAACGCACAGGTCTGGACGCTGCTTCTACTGTGGCTCGAGGCAATGGACAACAACCGCGAAGCAGGCTTGGAGGCGGTCGACATGCTGTCGTTTCTCTTTGTCCTGGCCAGCATGGAACTTGGGCGGGCCTACGATACAAACGCTCTGACGGAACAGAGGCGGAACATGCTCCCGTCCCTAGTCGACTTTGGCCTTGTGCATGTCCCTCATCATAAGAGATCCATGTTCTTCCCGACCAGGCTGGCGACGACGCTCACATCCGGCTCCAGCTCGAGCCTGCGCACCATCTCCGAGGGTGTGACGGCCGCGACCACGGCAGTCCAGACGTCCGGCGGGCCCCTGGGCTCGACCGAAAAGGGGAGTGTCGTCGTCGAGACGAACTACCGCGTGTACGCCTACACCCACTCCACGCTGCAGATTGCCGTCCTCGCCCTGTTCTGCAAACTCACCTCCCGCTTCCCGGACATGGTGGCCGGTCGCCTGACGCGCGCCTCGATCCGGCAAGCCATCAATTTTGGCATCACGGCCGATCAGATCATTGCGTATCTCGCGGCCCACGCGCACGAGCAGATGCACCGAACCGCGCTGCAGACCGCTAAACCCGTCCTGCCGCCCACCGTCATCGACCAGATCCGCCTCTGGCAGCTGGAGAATGAGCGCATGAAAACGACCGTGGGCTTCCTGTTCAAGGAGTTTGAGGATCATAAGGAGTACCTCGCGGTCGCCGGGTTCGCAGAGGAAATTGGCGTGCTCGTTTGGCGGAGCGACAAGACGGGCATGTTCTTTGCGAGCAAGCACGAGCAGATCAGGGACTATCTGCGGATACGCAAAAAGGCAGAGTGAGGAAGAACTTGTGTCTCCTTGGGGGAGCCCGGCGTTTGTTGATTTTGGTTACCATGGGCTTTGGACACTCGAGGGTATGGGCGTGCACTTGGATTGTACAGGCGTTTTACATTGATTATAGACTTGCGAGAGTGCGCGCCCGGGCGCGCAAATGAGATTGATTCTGTCAGCTGCCCCATAAAATAGCTTTGTGAGCCAATTAGGGCCGTGTATAGCACTTACACGGCTGCCTACGAGATTGCCTATACGTGCGGCGATGAGGCTACCTATATATGCGGTCACGGGGCTGCCTTTATGTGCGGCGATGGCCATGAGGGGAAAGTTGAGAGGCCAATCGATTTCAATTCAGAATATAGGCTCTGATGATGATGAATCTAGATGTTGAGGAACCCAAGAGGAGGTTTGCGGAAGAGACGTAGAGGCCAGAGACATGGAGATCGGCACACGGAACTGAAAACACCACTCAATGATCATAGGCGCGCCGACCCCTTGTGAGATTGGACGAGGCCGCTGTGGCAGACTGTTACAGGGCTCGATGTCGCAGTCACGCGCAGCTGCGTTTTGGTCTGATGTTGCGATCCTCACATCGAACGCCAGAGAAGCAAAAGCCACCACGATATCCGTCACCATATCTTCATCTTCCTCGCCCTCTTCGAGCTTTAAACTTTCATCAACCTTACTACATTTCCCTGCAGCTCCCACCATGAAAGTTGAGGGGCGGCTAGCTTTTAAGTTTGAGGCTATCGTTAGGTAACTTACGGGTATTGGAAACTTATTCGGCTCGAGCGCTATTCGGTCACCTACACGGTCTACATCTCATCGCGGCATCTACAATTATTAAATAATTAAGAAAATTAAAGTAGTTGTAGCCCACGAACGCAGCTAAATTCAGCTACGGGGCAAGGAGCCTCTACGCCACAGCGTCTTTTGACTCCACCGGGTATGCTCAATAATAGATGTGGCATGCTTGATAATACCTCCCAACATGAACTATCGACCCACCGAATTGCTTGCCGTCAAACAGCCTATGAAACCTCACATAGGCCGGGCCACTGGCACCCTTTCAGTTGCGACCCTCTTCGCACCGCGACCCGATGCCTCCTTCAACGAGGACAAGCTTCGCCTGCCGCTGCCGATCCACTTCGACACCTTGCTTTCCTGTTGATACTGGGGTGTCTTCTGTACGCGTTTGTAAGGAAGCAGATACGGCTGCTTGTATTTTTGCGCATAGGCTTGCCGCCACTCCTGCAGCGACACCTTGGCCTCCTCGGTAGAGCACATACACTCAAGGCGGCGAAAAACTCTTTGTAGAATCTCGTCTTGTTCTGTTGCTGGATTTCGGAAAGATGGACCACCCGCCTTTGGATTTGTGGTAGGATTTACCGTCAGAGGATGGAGCGTTTCTGGAAGCGCCGTCAATGTCGACGGCAAGCCTGTTCCCACATCAGTGGCCTGCGTGGCTATGCGACCAGGCGGTATTGGAATCAGAGCTTGGGTGGAAAACTTGTCAAATAGGGACATGAATCTGCCACTCCAATATGCGGAAGGCATCGCGTCACTGACAATGTAATGGTCAGGCTCAGGTGTGCGCGTCTGGCAGCCTTGTGGAGACCCCGCCACGATAGCCGGTGCGGGTGACGCAAGAGGCGAAGATGAGAGCACTATTGTGCTCTGGGTCGAGAGCGATGCGTTTGACGCAGTTGTTTTGAAAGGTGTGGTGGTTCTCAGGGATGATCGTGACATCGAGGTTTGGAGTTCGTGGAGAACATTCATTGTCCTTGAGCGAGGGAGATTGCCCGAAGAGGTCTCGTGAGGCTTCTAGCCGCGAACCCCCTTGGGAGGTATGTTCTCATCTTGTGGGAGGACAAAGGCGCGAGACGAAGTGCTGAATGCTGGCATGCGCAACTTTGGAGGCGCGCGCAGGGCAGATGTTGATCCAAGAACGAGCTGCGAGGAGGATGCTGAACGGAAATCAGGCCGGCGCATTGCCACGTTCTTCCTGATGTTGGTGCCTGATGGCATAACGCTGGGCATTGTCGACGAGACGCAGTCGTTTATCGCGTCGACCATGATCAACTTTTCGCTGCGTGAGAAATCGGGGCCTCGAGAGTTCTTGACGGGACCAATGGGGGATGTTATGTGAAGTCGAGGAGCCTTTGTTCGGAGGCCAAAGCGTGTTCTTGTTCTGGGAGGCCTGGAGCCACGAGAACCGATGTCCATTGCGGCGGGTGCACACTTCAAGTATTCCGGAAAGAGAGCATTGTTTTGAAAGCGAGAGGTAGACGCGCCAGTGCTGCGGACGCGATATAGCCCAGCGCTATCGGATAAGGAGAGGTGAATGAGGTGGTTGTTTACAACAGGAAGGGACGATCCGCTATGGTCAGCTGAAAGCCCCATATTCTGGATGACTCGGATGGGGTGTTATTGATTCAAGTTTTCGCGAAACTGTCGCGGTCTCTCCCTCTTCTCTGCCTATAGAATATCGCGCATTCAGTCATCCCCAACGTCAAGGGGCTTTTTATCCTCGGTTGTTGTCATCGAGTTTCTGCCGGAATGATACCGTACTGACTTGACAAAATCGCTGGCGCTGGTGTCTGGCTAGGCAATAACCCTGTTACGAGTGGTGCCAATATTGAGTAAGAATTGCAGCCTATTATAAGCGGGACGTCTTGGTGGAGCTGTCACGACGGAGTCAGTCGAACAAACTTGCGGTGAGGATCATGTTTGACAGGGCTGGTCTTTCCAACGTTTGGGATCCGCATCGTTCTGTGAGCGAGACGGAAAACCTCGAAAGCAACTGACTTGCCGTCCCCCGAGGACATACCCAACGTGGACCTAGACGTGGCGAGCTACCGCTGCGTGCCCCTGGCTCGCAGCACGCCAAGTTCTGTGTGGTTGATGGAACGTAGGCCATGGTCATGTGTTGTAATATGGAGGGTAAGCGATAACATGGAGATAATGACCCGCCTAGAAGGGGACATCCAGAGGCTCAGGGACACGGCTCTGCTGTGCTGGGGGAAGATTCTGGGAGGAAGCGCCCAAGGATTCGAGAGGGAGAAATCTAGGGTTGGGCTTGGGAATGAAGGATCGCGACGTGTGAGTGGCGATGACTTGAAGCGTCAGATCAAGAACGAATGCTTGATCGCGCTTATTCCGGACCAACCGCACTACGATGTCGACTTTGCGCCTGAAACCAGGAGGATCCAGTCCAACCATGAGCCCGGGAGGGGTGAAACGCCGCTCCAGGCTACGAATCGCGTTCTGAACATGATGGCGAGAAAGTAGGTGCCGCCGTCCGGCCCCAAGATTGCCTCCGACGAGATCTTTACGCCATACATCACGACATTGGCGCCGCAGGATGTGCCCATTGCCATGGTGTCACGGTCCGCCTACAGGTCGGCAGACAAGTCAAACGTAAATGTGCCTCAGAACGAGGCATGGCTATCCTTGATCAGGAACCCAGAGCGGAGTGTGCTCATCCAGAACCCTGATCTCAACACCGTGCCCGTTACCAAATCTATCGTCGACGCCCTGGCGCGTGGGATCGAAGGAACCGTGTCTCTCAGATTCGGCTATACCGCCGCTGGCGAGATGATCCCCGGCGAGGCTGAGACGAATGAGAAAGCCACGAAGCGTTTGATAGCCATGATGACGGCGGATGGTCCCGCCCGTGAGAAGCTTTGTTGGGAAAGATCAAGATTATCCTATACACGCCTGATCCAAGACGAGGAGCTGTCAGATTACGATACTAGTTGTCGATGACTGCGTCGGTGTGCAAGTCAGTGGCAACTAGGACATGCAGACCTGATATCATATCCAGGAGGTCAATGTCATGGTGGACAGCCCGCTGATATGCAGGGTGTGGCGAGAGAGGTTGGAGAGGAATCAAAACGCACGCCAGTTTGGGGTGGCCGAGGACGGCATCTGGAGAGAAGGGGATGGAAGCCCAGGCGAAAGATACAGAAGGGATCCTGGCATGTTGGAAGGTCTAGTCTGGGGCGCTGGGGGTATGCTCAAGAAGCTGAGGGTTTCGGGTGGTCTTGGTCGCGGCCAATGATATGGCAATTGAGATCATATTTCGGATCTACTTGAGTTGCAGCCTAGATGCCTCTGACTGGACAATCTCTGGGATCGCCTCGTAGATACCGTGCTCCTTGGGCTGCCATCCAAGCACCTTCTTGGCCCGGATGGCCGTTGCGCGCGAGTTCATGCCCCAGCTCGCCGCCTCGAACCCGGCAGGAGACTTGACGGCTTCGTCGTATGACATACCCTCGGTCCCCAGCTGGCCCTTGTTGCTCAAACCTTGTTTCTGCACCTCCTTGCCGATAGCTTCCGAGAGCGGTCCCCATGTGTGCTCGCCAATCTCGGTGAGGAAGTACCCCTCTGGTCCCCAGATCTGCGCGTCGTCCTTGCGCGACGGATCAAGCGCAGCCTTGACAAGCAGGTTCATCACCGTGCTCAGGTCTTGTACGTGCACGTGGTTCCACTTGGAGAGACCCCTGCCGATCTGAGGACAGTACTGCTCCTTGAGGATGAACGTGGTCAGCTCGTATACCTGTCGTCCACGGCCGGAGCCAGGACCACGCCCTTGCCCGTATATGGTGGGTGGGCAGACGATGGCTGTCTTGACCTTTTCCGCATACTGGGTGCCCGTGCTCAGGACGATCTCGTCAATGTGGCGGTGGAAGGCGGCCGAGGGGAGGTTGGTGAGCTCCTCGACGCCGTCATAGTCGTTGAAGACCTTGTCGTCAGGCTCGCCAAAGCTTTTCTTGACCTCTGAGTCGAAGTAGGTGAGGATACCTGTCCCACCCACGTGGAGCCAGTAGCCAGGACGATCGGCAGAGTGTCCCTCAACCAGTCCCTTTGCAATGGATTTTGCGGCGCCTTCGTGGTCTGATGAGTCGGCTGTATCTGTGGATGAAGGGGTTGGTGGTTAGCTTCCACGTCTTGTTCAGTGTACTGCGTGTGGTGGTGACCCACGGATAACAATGTCGGCCCACGCTGCCTCCTTTTGAATAATTCCAGAGTCGTCTAGACCACCGAGAACAACTCTGGCCCTGGGGTACTGCGTTTGAACCGCCTTGGCCTTTTCCTGCGAGCGCACCAGCAATGCTAATTCCAGGTTGGGGTACGCTCGAGAGATTTCGTATAGCGCATCGCCTCCAATGTAGCCGGTGGCGCCGGTGAGGAAGATTTTGGCAGACATTATGTGTGTCGGAGCAAAATTGATGTGTGTTTTGCGAATCTTTCAAGCTGGGCGCAATTGTTGATCTTCTTATTTACTGAGGGACACTTGACGACTTTTGTAATTTGAGTGATGACGTACATGTGGACAAACATCTCCAGTCATTGGCAAGACTGATTATCGGTCTATTGAGCGGAACCTGCTCTGGTAAATATTTATCCAAGATGATGCTGATGGCGATTCCACACTGATTGATTCTTCTTCTACCTGTCTGGTATAAGCCTTCATCGCGCGACTCTGGGTCGAATTCCCAATCTCCAGTTGTGCCACGGCCCGCGTTTGATACTTGAAGGTCACGATTCACGACCAACTTTCCCGAGACGGCACTCGATACATCCGTGAGCGCCACGGGAATACCGCTGTGAGCAAAAATGGCATCAAGGCCTTGCGCGAAGAAATATTTGCCCCGTCCCTCACTCATGACGCGGGGCAACGTTGAGATTGAAGTGTCAATGCGACCACGATAAGGTCACCTTCACGCAACCGTATCTCAACTCCAGTCTTGAAAGCCAACGTACCTCGTGTTTTCTCGACAATTAATCATGGATTTGTCCAGGCGCGTGAGCATCTGTTAGGCCATGGCGTCAATGTCTATCCATCTTACATATCATTGCTTGGTCGGTCGTTTGTGAATTGTGACACTCCTCGCGATGCCTTCGGTGGTTTGGAGCCTCAACTTTCCACGAACTAACCCTCAGCGCAGCATCAAAGTCCTTGAGCCAGGCAAAGCATATACTTGAAGGCACGCTATTTCATTCGAGGACAAGTATTTTGGGGAATCTACGTAATCTAGCTGCCGTTGGAGATCTTCCCCTCTTTGGCGTTCGCGGGGCCTCGGCTACGCTCACACTTATGTGTAGACTACGACGTATCCCGACCTGAATGCGTGGGGAATCGGATTCTTTTTTCGCTTCTGACCAGAGTGTAGAGCTGCGTACGTGCCCGGCATCGTGCGCGACCTTGAACCCGAATTCAGGACCACTCACCCCCCTGCCATCTAACATGGAAAATGTACTCAAAAAGTTCCCCCATGGGCTCCCCACTCTCGAGCAGATTCGAGAGTCGAACAAAGGATCAGATCTCCCTCCGGAGACTGCTTGGATTTGGGGACCAGAGGATGAAGTGAGTACGCTCCCCAACGTAGCCTCCTTGTGCCTTTGAGTAACCCGTCTGTGTGCAAGATTGGCCGAATCAACCTTCTGACGCCAGAGAGAGTTCGAGAGGCCAAAACCAAAGAGCTCCTGGACGGCGACGTTGTGTCATTGAAGTGAGCCCAATAAACGCATCGGAAACCTCCCAGCGTGCTAAAATGCCTTGTAGCTGGCCCCTGAATCTGCCCAAGAAGCCATCCTTTGGCCGCCAAGCAGCCAAGCTCACTCTCAAACAGACGACGCCAGACACTGAGATGAGCCAAGACGACCTCATCGACATGAATACCCAGTCTGGCAGTCAATGGGATGGCTTTCGCCACGTGGGACACCTGAAGAACAAGTTCTTCTACAATGGCCTCCGACCGACCGAACTCAAGACTGACACTCGTTGTGGTATCCAAGCCGTCTCAAACCATGGCATCGTGGGGCGAGGCGTGCTGCTGGATTACTATAGCTGGAAGCAACAACGAGGAGAGGAGTACGATCCTTTTACCTCGCATGAGATACACCTGGACGAGCTCCTTCAGGTGGCCAAGGAGCAACGTGTAACTTTCGAGACTGGCGACATTCTTATTATTCGGAGTGGCTACGTCTCCAAGTATCATGAGATTGAGCGCAGAACCCCGGCGAAGCTGGAGGAGCTTGCCAGTGCGTCCCCCCAGTTGGCCGGCGTGGCGCCAACAGAAGAGATCAAAACGTGGCTGCACGACAGGTGAGTGTACGCCTCATACACAGAGCAGCCCAGCTCTAGTGTGAATAAACGACTGACCATCACAACCGCAGCTACTTCAGCGCGGTAGCAGGAGACGCTCCTGCGTGGGAGACGTGGCCCCCTGCCAAAGACTTGCTGGTGAGCCATCACACTTTGAGTTTGTACCTTCTAGGGGTAATGACTGACGGAGAAAATAGCATCAGTACTTGCTCGCGCTGTGGGGGATGCCAATCGGTGAAATGTTTGACCTTGAGGCGCTGGCTGAGCAGTGCAAGAGGAAAAAGCGATGGTCTTTCTTCTTTGTGAGCACACCTCTCAATATACCAGGTATGAGAGGCTCTCGGAACGGTTCCGTATGATACAGTTTACTGACGATTGTAGGTGGAGTCTCGAGCTTAGCAAACGCTCTGGCTGTGCAATAGAAGAGAGCACAATTTGCCCCTTTGGTGATAGGCACAAGGAGTCGATATGGCTATGGCGTCCGTTCTTCTGAGACAACTGCAGCCCGGACCAGACCCAGCCACTGGCGTCGAAGACAATTTAAACCGCCTGAGGCGTATCCTCAGTTCATATGTCTAGTCCCATATACAATTGCTGAGTTTTTTCACATGCCCCGGTATACTTTGCGTGAGTGGTGAACATATGCACTACCGGCTAATTAACTACCAGACCACATCACGGGCGAATCAAAGTCACCAGGGATGGGGAAAAAAACTCGCCTTTCGCCACGAAAGCCTGATCGCTGTTCGCAGGTGGATCACTGTGACTGGACGTCATTCATGGTTCACGTCAGTCAATGGGCGGTAAGGATAGCCAATTGCCTATTCGGGTGGGCCGATCCTGCATGGCCTCCATTGCGGCCTTGGATTATCGGAGCGTCTCCGACACAGATCAGCGCTTTTGTTATCTCACCGCTGAGTTCGATTCCAGTGCGGACTCGACCGGTTTATTGCGGGGAAGAAACAAGAAAGAGCTTTGTTCGTATCTGTTGCTCGATCACTGCCATGACAAGAGAGGGGGCAAGATATTAGTTACACTCCAAAAGAGGGCTAGAGTCTCAAAATGAATGAGCCATCTCTTTTTATATTAGCCGTTGGGACAAGGCAAAGTTCATGCAATAGGCCAGGTTTATCTCCAGCCAGCTTCCAACACATCAACGGCTGCCATCTCACCAACACCCGAGAAGGATGCTCTTGGCGTGCTTGAACCTTGCTGTCCAAACCAACCCACCAAATGGCGCGATGACATATGAAAGATGCCTCTTGCTTCTTCACGCGGACTTTGTGGACAACCGGACTTTCCTGTACCTAGGGATCCTCTGATCCCAGGATACAAGAAACTCAACTGCCGTTGCCAGGACTTTGATCGCTTTGCTCATGACGTTCTGGACCTACCCCTCGTTGATTCTGACGACAAGTCGTCAAGGTTATTTAGGCATATGAATAAGCTTTTACATCCGCAAGAATAATATGTGGCGACTCTGCAGAAAGGTCTGACCCCAGCATCCGCGTCCATCTTCACCATGTTGCGCATCATCTCAAGCACACTATGTGCCGGCATACTTCTCGCTTCTTGTGCCATTACCCAGTCAGGAAGTCCACAATCAGGTTTTCAATACGGTGAGAACTGGGTAGTGGTGCAGATGGATTCGGACGTTTTCGCGAGGGCATTCCCCAAAGTCAACATCACGCTGCATGTTCCCGCCTTCTCCAAGCCCGAGACTGTGCCTGCACGCTTTGCCAATGACTCCGAGGGCCCAACTGATGAGATTGAGCATGACTATTTTATTCGCGACCTTGCTCGCAAGAACTCGTGGCTGTCGTACGAGACTGCCGACTTCTTGTCCAAAGAGAGCCGCGCCATTTCCCACCTCTACCTATCCACGCCCGGCAAAGGCGAGGAGAAAAGGCTGCGCGTCTACCTACAAGCTGCTATTCGCGGCAATGAGCCAGCAGCTGATCAGTCTATCCTTGCGCTGCTGGGCAAGATGGATGCCGAGCCTGCCTAAGCCGCGACGATCTTCGAGAAGACGGACATCAAAGTGCTGCCTCGCTACAACGTTGACGGAGTCGCTTAATTCCTGCACAAGCTGGTCTGCAATATGGACGGTAACCGCGACCATATCAATCCCGCTCATGAGCAGAGCAGGAAGATCAAGGGCGTGGTCACTCAGTGGAATCCTCGCATCTCCATTGTTATGGACGAGTACACAGCCTCGACTGTCTTTGGCGAGAGGTACAAGCACGGTGCCGACTCCCTGATCTCCGGTGGTATTAATTCCAATACTCACCTCGACATCATGGGCCAAGTCCTGAATAAGTTCATCCCTGCCATGGGCGACGCCCTACAGGAGTACGGTCTGCGCTGGAATCCCTATGTCACGAACGGCGCCTCCGATGATGACCCCGATGGTGCTGTTGTCCTCCAGTGCTGTCACCGAGGCCCGCGCTGATCGCAATGCAATCGGTCTGCCGCAGACTATTTCATTTCTGATGGAGGTGCGTGGCATCCGCCTAGCGGACCAGCACTTCCACAGCCGCGTTGGTACTAACCTAGTCAAGATTCAAACTATCCTTGAGACCGCCAGCGACGACTTTGACAGTGTGCTCTCCACGGTCGAGGATGCCCTTCAAGAATTTATTGACAGCGACGAGGACATAATCTTCACGGACTCGTCCGTCCGCGAGACAGGTAATTTCACACTGATCGACATCAACAATGGCAGTGTCGTCCATCCTGAGATTGAATTCATCCGTACAACCCCCTCCGAGGCAAACCTCACCCGTACCCGGGCCGAGGTCTACACTATCCCTCTTCCCTGTTTTGACGATGCCAACAAGCTTGAGAACCTCGGTCTTGAGGTGGAAAAGCCGGAGCACGGGTTCAACGGAACTGTCGAGACACTGATCATCGAGACTTCCCAAGTGACTCCGTCGCAGTGCGAAGGCACCTATCTCAATACGGTGACTACCACTGCTCGCGAAAGGAACATCATGCTGCCTCCAGGCAGTTTCCGGGTCAGCGCCAAGCAGAAAAATGCGGCTATGGCATTTATTGCGCTGGAACTGGAGAACATTGACAGCTATATGACATTCAACATTACACAGGTCGATGAGGGCGAGGAATATCCTGTGTTTAGGGTGTGCAGGGAGCAGTCCTAACCTAGTGCAAGTTGGCTTGCTCTATTGTTATCAACGAGTATTGTTGAGGCTGTTTCTAATTACTGCATCTATGCCGAAAGTAGAAAAAGAGGAAAATCTTGTTGGGGAACGAACACGCAAAAGGAGCGATACTTGGATGATGAGTTGTGATGCGGAGTGAGTATACACTAATAACTTGGATGAGACATTGAAGCTGTTTTACTTTCCTCGCGACTCAATTGTTTTATCGAGTATTAATGCTGACTTGTTCTGTTTTGACTAGCTGCTCCGAATGGACATTGAACTTGATTTCTTCCCAACTACCTTAAGCTCCTTTCTATTACCCTAAAGTAACGCTCAGAGTGTGCTCAAGACAGTCTTCTTGCAAGGCCTCCCGCGACGTGACCCATGAAACGTCGAGATCTTGATCATTCAAGTCATTGCCGACGGCCAAAGTTCCAACAAGATGGCCGTCCAGCGTCACCACAGCAGCCCCTGAGTCACTTTGCCTTGAGAAAGTGGTGAGTATTTCGTTTTCTTCGCGCCACCCATAGACCATCAAGTGCCAAACATTGGCACCTCGTGTTCGCTCGACGCACCCGTAACGATTGCAGATGCCAAATGTCAGATAAGTTCTCGGCCCATACTTACACACAATTGTTACTCTCGAGTCTTGTTCGCACATCTCCCGTTGAAGCTCCTCCAAGGTCACGGTTCCTTTGATCTCGTGCATCTCCAGTCCGTCGTCTATCATATTGGGGAAGGGGATGCCCATCGATATTGTTGCATTACTGACCGGTCCAGGAATTGCCGTATAAGGAACATGAAGACGGTTCCTAGGACTGCCTGATGGAAAGACCTCCATGTCTAGGCTGACTAAAGCCCAGTCCCGCAAAGGCGGCTTCGGCGCCGATCTGACGAGGACCTCTCGAATGGCCATATCTGCGTAGTTCATAATGTTTTAGATACGTTACTTTTGATTCCACACTCGATTCATCGTAGACTTCAGACGAACAAGCTCCATCGCGGCTGCGGAGTTGCTCTTCTTCTCGAGGGTTTCCTCCCTACGGGCAACACATCGCTTCATGTCGGCACGAAGGTTGTAGTATTTATGTAGAGCTGTTTCTGCGCACTATAGCTGTTGGAGAGCAGAAATCGGCAGCTGTGTGACAGAGATCGGCTCTGTGCGAGACTTGGCCACCGTATAAGGCATCTTAGCGTTTGTGAGCAGAACGTGCCGGCTTGTAAGTTCAGCGGTCGTTGTGATGCGTTTGCCGTCTTCTTCAAAAGGCTTATATTGAATGACGGCTCTGACTGCCGTGCCACGCAACCCGCGGCCGCCAATCGTTCATAAGAAAGCGGGAAGTCTTTAAGAAGATTAAAGAAGTAATAATCCACTGGCGCCATGGAACATTGGGACTTGGCCAACGCGTAGGGCTGACTTGGACAAGGTACAGTACCCGGAGGCAATCTAATGTCAGACTCAGTACTACGCGTCTGTCGTCAGCATCATTTCTCGTGCTGCTGACCGCCCATGGGATCCACGATTGCCATGCATGTGAAATGAGCACAGTTCACACAGCTTTCATATTTTGAGGCAATGCTAGTGACAGCTGCGCCAATAAACTCTAATTGGGAAACATTGCTACCATATGCCGCCTCAGCCACCAGATCATTTCGTGAACGGGGCTTCCATGGTACAGGTGGATCTAGGAGCCGACATTCATTGTATAGAAGTCCTAAAAGACTGCGGAGAGGCACAGCCGCGTCGGTGGTCTTGATCATCAATCGTTGTCAGCCTGTTACTCCTGAACGACAACCCAGCGTGCCGATGTAACCGCCACCGAGAGCGCACGTACAGATCGTCGTGATCGGCAGCCAAATCGGGCTCAAGAGACAGCCCCGAGGGAAGTGGTCTATTACATTACTTCTCGTGGCCATTTTCTTGGTATCAATAATTTTCATCTGGGTTCGTCTCCGAAGTCCCAACACGGTGTCCAGTGTCAGTCGCTGACCATGCCAGGTTTTCCGCATGCCAGACCCCACCAGCTTCCAGCGGGCCACACAGAGCCGCAGCCCTCTCGACACGAGCACACTACCATCGGGGGATCGAAAATTAGCCATTATCCTCCCAGTCGATCGACCAAGCCCAGATTTGTGCAAGTTAATAATGAGTGCCGTTGCCTTGGGATACCCATCGCCTGTTATCGTCAACTGGCAGAGAGAGTTTCACACCGACACAGAGGGCGTTGGAGCGTCGCAGCTCGCCAAAATCACGGGCACGCTTGACTAACTCAACTGGGCCACTAGCAAAGACACGGCGGGATATGACCAGTTGGACGACGAGGACATTGTCGTCATGCTCGATGCCCTCGATGTGTGGTTCCAACTGCCTCCTGAGGTCTTACTGACCAGATACTTCATGGCTTTGCAAGAAGCAGACCAAAGATTGCAGAATGAGCACAATATGACAGCCGAGGACTCCATTTACCACACTATCATGGTCGCTGCTTAGAAAGGCCGCTTCTCGCCGCGTGACTCGGTATCGAATTTTCACTGCAAAGACGTGCCTACGAGCATCTTGCCTGGCGACACGTATGGCATGTGGACAGACACGAAATTCCGAAACTGGAGGTACATGAGACCACGCTTTGTTAACAGCGGCAGCATCATGGGTCCAAGGGGGGATATGAAACGATTTTTTGGGCGAGTCCAGCGTCGCATGGGCGGTTATCTTGACGGGTTCGGGATGTTCAGGAACTCGCCGGCGATCAGGGTGTCTTTGAGGAGGTGTTCGGTGATAGTCAGTTTGGAGGCGCATACTGGCCCAAGATGGGTTGGAGAGTGATGGCGCAACAGAGAACCCGAAGACAAAAGAACTTCACAAGGAGTACGAGTACCATGTGGGGCTGGACTACAGACAAGAGTTGTTTTGCCCTACGTGCTACTCTGAAGAAAACGGCTTCTTTGTCGAGCTCGGTAATCCAGAAGCTGTTGAACTGGAGTCACATCGAGTGGGAGTATCGCCCCCTCGCGTGGCCGGTCTCCCTGCCGATATCGCCGTGGCCAACTCACCGCTGCTCACACTCGAGCTTGCTACATCTGACCAACCATCATGGGGCCAGTTGGCGCTCTAGACAGACTTTTGGACGACTACCGTCCCTGCGGTCATTCACCATAATGCTTGGAAAAACGTATTAAAGGGAAGACGAACCACTTGCTGGGATAGAATGTGGTACTTTCCGTGGCTCAGGCAGCTCATGGAGCATAACGTGGCTCTGTCCAACGACACGGCGGCCTTTTGTTGAGTTTGGGGCTACTGGGGAGCCCAAACTACGCATCTGGCCGTCTGACTTGAAATGGAGCACTAGAAGGCCTGTCATTTTCAAAAGGGAGCTCGCCGCGGATGACTGGAGTTTGCATCAAGCAGAGTGTGACGATGTATGCCGTGGGGATCCAGAAGACAAAATATGGCACGAAGAGATATTTCGAGACGGGAAAGGCTCCCTATGAATTGGACACTTGGTCAGTAGATGACATGTTTTTGAATAAATAACATGATTTCATAACGTCTAAGTATTGATCACCCTGGCACATGTGAATACCCCTGGACACTGATGAAATTGTGAATGCGCAAAATTTAACGATAAATCACCGTGGCAATCGAACTAGATCTAATTACAGCAACGAAACCTAACGTAGTCTTGACCACGAAAGCTTGAAATTCGATTATAACCTAGAAAGGAACAGACTTTCTAATGCGCCATCGCTTAGAAGCGACTTTTCTGTCTGGCTGCTGCACCGGAAACTACAGGTTAGGCAGCCTCCAGGTATTTCCCCGTTTGGGTCGAGTGCCGCGACGTGATTCGTGCGTCGCCGGTCCGGTCCGGCTTTCCTTGGCGCGCGGCGCACCAAGCTGCTCGCAGACCTTTGTTTTCAATGCTGTGATATATGCGCATTCTCGGGGCATTGAAAGTTTTTTAATACACAGTTGGGCTCATGACTATGATTTTTACTATGCCAAAGTTGAGTATATATCTCCATGTCCCATGGCAAGTCCTCCTCCCTCCGGTGCCTGCTCTGCACCTAGGCGCTCGTGATGAGAACAGCTATCAGATAAGGGGTGGATCAGTATTTCCATTCGCAGTGTATACAGCTTATGTGCTTTTGATATTCACGATTGTTGACGACCCAACTCTTCAGAGGAAGCCCCTCCTGAAACGCAATGTACTCATATCATGCTGCTTCTTTCCAAGCCGTAGATTGCAGATCTGTTCTGTTCTTCCTCTGTAACTACCTACGTGTAAACCCGTCTTGATGCATCTCAAACCCTAATTAACACGCTATTCCATCTCTGCCTCCTTTCAAATGTTCTTACTATGCTCAGGAACGCCTCAAAAGTCACCCTTTTCGCCCAGGTCCCGATCCACAACGTCATCCAGCACCTCCAGCCCATCTTTCTGAGCCACCATCTCGACCTCTTCAAGCGGCGCGTGTTTGCCTCTGTCTTTTTTGTCGCCCAAAACGTCGCCAGGATGATTAAGTTGCACAGTCCCATCATGCCCAGGGCACTCGCAAGGTTCTCGCGGTACCGTGGTGCGTACTGCTGCCGAAATATCTGCGGCCCAATTGCACTACCAATTTGCACATAGCTGTTGATAATGCCAATGCTAAACGCCGAGCCCGTCGGGCATGCCGTCTTCTGCAACCGCCTCGGCCACATGAGCGGGAAAAAGGAGGCCGTGAAAGCATTGCCGATGAGGGTGGCGGCGTGCACGAAGCCGTTGAACGGATAGGCGACCAGGATGGCATACAAGGCCATAACAACCATGAAGACGCCCATCGGGTATAGGGGCCGCGGGATACGGCCCTTATCAGCCATCCAACTTGTGATGCCGATGGCCAAGCGACTCAGCACCGAGATGGGCAGGTTCAGGAGCTGCGCTTGCGCAATTGTCGTGAATCCCACAGAAGTTGGCGATGACGGTGGGCTGGTAGAAGCGGACTCCCGACGTGCCGATCGTGAAGGTGATTCAGATGAGGGTGAAGGGCCAGGGGCGCTTATCCTTGAGGGTGTCGATGATCTTGCAGAAGTTGAAGTTAGACTCGGCCGCGCGTGGGGCGTTGGGAGGCAGGCGTGCTTGTGTGGGTAGCAGGAACTTGACCGCGATGCCGAGTAAAATGGTCAGGGGACTCTCCGTGAGGAACAGCCACTGCCAGCCAGACAGTTCACGGACGCCAGACACGGTTTAAATGCAAACAACAGAATACCAACTAAATATTCCAGCCAAGTTTGCAAGACGTCGGCGGCATGATTAGCTCTTGAGGCTCGGGAATCTGTTCGCAACTCACAGAAGTATGGCAGGCGTTCGACATTTCGTCTGGCCTATGCTAGTATGTCATCTGCAAAATGACGCTAGGAAACATGCTAGCCTCAAAGAAGCCAAGAAGAAATCGAGTCGTGTAGATGCCCTCCTTGTGAGATACAGGTATGTGACCTAGTAGAGTGACGCCACAGGAGAGCATGATCCGGGATTGCCCGGTGCTGGGCGTGAAGCGGTTGGAGGGTGCTTCGAACACAATATACGGGACTTGGAATGATCATGTCGGCGTATCCTATTGAAGAGCCAAAATCACATAATAGAGACATTCGGCAGGTTGTACTGGTCAGAAGACATGCCAAGCTCTATCATAATGTTCCGGTCCATGGCCCTATTCATGATCCTCGCGTTGGAGATGTTCTCTGAATTGAGATTCTCCATCAGGAATAGAAGAGAGAAAATAGGCATAATCTGCAGGTCGAAACGTCTCATCAGTGCCTTCTCTTACTCTCCTGTTAGCAGTGCGCGACCGCGCATGCGCTCCGCGTCGTAGCCGTCAACGTCTGACGCTTCGAGTTTTTGTTCCACATCCTAGCTTCTCCGAGCATACGTGAGATCGGATCCAGAGACCTGCGACCCCTCCTTGGACGCGTTGCTACCAGAGTCGGCTCCGGAAGTTGGTGATTTCTCCATAGCCATTAAGGATATGTGTTTATGGGAACGTGTACAACAGAGCTGAGCCAGGCTGTCGAGCCTTTACTCGATTACACATGCCGGTTGTTTGTTAGGAATTGTTGTTATCGTCAATGTGAATCCTGGCATGATGGAGATTACTATCATGAGATACAAGGTCTCGCCTTCTCACTCCACCGCTCCGGCTACGCTGGTGATGCAGACGTGACATCCAAGGCGCCATGGTTGCTACACGGACAGTGACAGAATCTCGGAGAGTATACCATAATCCATTCTCCAAGATCTTGCAGGTTCCCTCGTCTTGGTCTTGCGCGCCTCGTTTTAGTTCTCGCTGATAGTGTATCCTTTCTCGAATACATCCTCACCCAATCCCTGCCACACGCAGTCTGCGTCACATTTAAACCACACCATCTTCAGCTTCATGTGATTTACAGAGAACGATAGGCCAACGTATTGTGAACGTTACCTCCTCGTTGAGAACACAATTGCGGGGCCCGGTGACGAACTTCAGGGTCCCCCACTCGAGGTCCAAGAGAACATTGAATGCAATCTCGCATGTCATGCATGCATATGGAAAGAGGCTGATGCAGGCTAATTTGAAAGAAGCGATGAAGCCGGTTTTGACTGTCGGATAGCCCATCCTGCAAGCCCAAACCCTTGAGAACAGTAGTCTAATCATCAAGATAGCTGCTGCCGTTCAACAACAGCCAAGCGCACATGTACCAAGCGCCCCTGCAGCTCTGCCAATTACAAGCAGGTGGCTGTAATCACGCATGAGCGTAAGTGAATACTTATCAGAATATCCAGTTGATGACTGAGAAACCCAGTCGAATGGGCTGGTTTAGTCACGCTCGATCTCTCCAAGTTCGACCAGCGAGGATGCAAGGAGGCCCTGGCAGAGCAGCTCTTTGAGGTCTTGAAGACAACTGTATTCTTCTCCATTGTCAACTTTGGCCTCTCGTAAGGCCCTAGTCGACCGCCAATTCGACACTGGCCAATCCCCCTTTGAGCTGCCCGTTGACGGAAGCTCAAGTACAGGGCCGACCTCCACAACGGTGCATACAATCACTATAAGCTATTGAATCTGCGTATAAGACCCCAAGCTAGGTCCAAGGACAATCACAAAGTATTTGACTAAGGATCGACGCAGGAGGTCTGCTCTGGTATCTCTGACATCACCGAGATCTACAATATCCTCAAGTTCTTACCCGCGCTTGAGCGTCAAAATCTTGCCATCGTCGTCGAGCTGCCATAAGTCTACTTTGCTAAGCGTCATCGGTACGAAGACGTCATGTCCCACTGTCACCTGCGCTACATGTATTTGAAGTACCGCGCGCGCGACGCCGACACCAACGCGAACCTGGACAATTTCTGGTTCAAGGGCCACACGGATTTTGGAAGCCTGACGCTGCCCTTCCGTCAAAATGTCGCGGCGTTGCAAGTTCGTGGCCAAGACGGCGGGCGAAAGTGGGTGAAGCCCCACGACGGGAGTATCCCGGTCAACGTGGCGGATGCCCTCCAGTTCCTGACTAATGGTTTCCCCAAAGGCAACATCCATCGTGTGATGGCGCCTCCGCCGGATCATGCTGGCATTGACCGTCTGGGGGTCTTGTGCTTTGTGCGTCCGGAAGATAGCCTGGAGCTGAAGCCTGTGGACAGCCCTGTGCTTTGGAGGCTGGGATACAATCCTGATGAGAACAGTCAGCTCGCAGAGGGAATCACGACCGGGGAGTGGGTGCATGCGTGTGTCAAGGCTGGCGTGAACAGGTTCGAGAAGGCCAGGGGCGAGGTGAGTGAGCAGGAGATTCTAAACGGCGTGAAGACCACGTGCTTTGATTAAAGGTATCGCAATGAACGTGCCGTCGACGGCGAATTATTGACATTTTTTTTCACGTCAAATGACTTTCTAATCATCACTGATGTACTTTACATACACGTCACGGTGGAATCTGACCGCGACATCTCGATGACTCCTGGATTGGTCCGCAGCTGGCTCTCGCCCCAAGTATCGTACTTCCCCTTCAAGAAAGTCGAGTCAAGATTTGCCCCTCATCCGACTCATAAACATTCTCGTGGTAACTAGACAAATGTCCCCGAAATTCTCCTAAGGCGTCTTCTTTGGTGAGATCGCTTTTGACACCCTGGAAGAACGGCATGCTGTATCTCTTTTGAGGTCCCCCGAGCACCCGATGCGTCGTCGCCTTGCACACCCATTTATGGCCACTTCAAACGCCTGTCCGATATTCACGACGAGCGTGTCTTTTATGACGGCTACGTATACCCGTGCGCCGTATTCATTCATTTGGGTATGGATACAAGCCAAAGCTTCACATTCATAATACCAGTCCGCCTTCATGCACGTGGACAGGTTTCGATGTCCTGCAGATGACGTGCGCCGCATTGAGTCACACGCAACCGCCACGGCGTCGCTGACACCAGGGTAGCAGAGACAGAAAGATTTCGTATCAATGGCGCTGCTTGGTATTTCGTATTGTAGAGTGTAAAGGGTATCTATCTGTTGCTAGTCCATGATACATAGTGTATAGTGGCATGAGCGGAGAATGTTCCTCGTCCACGTCTATGGGAAAGCAAATTCTACTGGTCAACATCGCCTGTCTTGAACAGCTCAAGGTGTACCCTGTCCCGCTTGACGCCACGGCTCTCCAGGAAGCTTCTCAGCTCGACCATCCACTCCTCCGGACCGCACGCGTAGTACTCTGCCTCCTCGACATCAAAGGGTAGCTCGACCTCTTTCGCAAGCACATCCGTCGTCATCCTACCAAGAACATCGTACTCGTTGCCGATGCCGTCCTCGGGACGGGTCTCCTTGACGAAGATCTTGGCCTTCAGGTTGTTGTGCTTGGCGGCCTGCTCTCGGACATGCTGCGTGTAGCAGGTGTTGCTAGTGTGTCGAGCCGTATGGACCCATTGAATGGGGCGAGTAGCAGAGGTAGATGCGAGAACAGCGTCGAGGATAGCGATGAGAGCGGAAGCACCGACCCCAGCAGAGAGCAGCACCAGAGGCTTCTGTGACTCCGTGAGACCCTTCTTCCCCACAAAGAACTCGCCCCTTGGCGCGCTCAGCTGCACCTCATCCCCAACATGGTACTTGTCATGCAAGATATTCGAGATGAGCCCTAGGACCTTGCCCTGGCGCAAGTCCTCCACCGAGCCCGCGTTGGTCGCCTCCCTCTTGACGCTGATGCGGTATCGACTGGGCTTCTCAACTGGTGCCTCGCTTAGACTGAACTGACGGTTCTGATACAGCCCCTCGAGTTCAGGGATCGGGACGCGCAGGCTGACATACTGACCAGCCAGGTATGTCGGCAGTCCCTGGCCGTCAACGGGCTCCAGGTACAAGTTCACCACGCTCTGATTCTCCGGTTCCTTGGCGGCAATCCGAAACTTGCGCCAGTCTTTCCATGCGCTCACCTCATCGTACAGCGCCTGCTCTTTCTGAATGAACACACCTGCGAGCTGGGCGTACGCCGCGACCCAGGCCTCCTTCACCTCAGGCGTCAGCCCGTCGCCCAGGACCTCCCCAAAGGCCCCTATCAAATACTCGCCCACGACATCGTACTGCTCGGCCTTGACGTAGAGCGACGCGTGCTTGTGGGCTATGCGCTCAACGGCATGGGACAGCTTGCCCAGGTCGTCAATGTAGGTGGCGTAGGCAAGGACGGACTTGGCGAGGGCGGCCTGCTGGTCGCCAGTCTGTTGATTGCGGAGAGAAAAGTAGTTCAAGAGCTCCGGGTGGGCCTTGAGCATGTTGTGGTAGAAGGTTTTTGTGACGGTGGTGCCATGCTCTTTGATGATGGGGACCGTCGATTTGACAATCTCGACTTGACGTGGTGTAAGTGCCATGACGGTGATGTGATGAATAGTCTGTATGTGTCTTGAATGAATCGATTCTTCTATTTTGTTGGATATATATATATGCCACAATGCGACCGCTGACTACCTTTTGTAATAGCAGCAATCTGAGAGGCCGCCTGGCGCTCCTGCGCGCGCATTCAGGCTATTGCGGGAATCAGACGATTATTACAAAAAAAAATCAATGCCATTTGCGTGGAGCACCCGTTTTGTTCCGGAGACAAGGCGGTCGCGCATTTTTGGGAAACAATAACTGTGGTCGGTGCAAAGTTTTGACGTCGGATGACAAGCTACATGTGCATCTCCGCGGAATGCGTCAATTCTAGGAGAAACTGGGGATTAGGGATTTCCTGTTGGCTTAGTTACTGGAAACGTCCGATCAGATATACTCCAGAATTTGGGTGATTGCTGATCGTCTAGTAAGCTCGCTACGTACCGTATTTTCTGTGGTTGGAATACTGCTCAGTCTTGGTCAAAGACTCAAACACAATAAAGGCGTCCAAAACCAGACCGGCGGATCTCCGTCCTTCCGGCATCCGGCTCGGGTCCGGAAGCTCCACTTAATACTCGGGACATGCCGGGCCCACGTGGAAGTCCCTGTGTGCTGGGCTGCCGTCATCTCGCCAGAAAGCCCACAACATGCCACGATTATCAGACGAGGAGGAGCAATGCATAATTTCTGTTGCTTTTCAAACTTGCCGGTACAGGAACTGATTTTTGACCCTCCACCCCATTGTGTACCGCTATGAGTGTCCCAGGACGTGTTCCTCCACGCGCATTCTATTGTGGTTGTACGTACTTTGTTAGATATGCTAGCGTTCGTATACGTAACTTATAACGTCGGTATTTCTCTCGTACCGCAGCATGGGATGCACTGTCTGAAAAGCCCTAGTATGGACAGTAGGATTCCCGGATGTTCAGCATTTTGCTTCCGATATACGTATATAGTGCGACACCACTAGCGCTTGTCCTGGGTCATTGTCATTCATCTCAAGTCTACAAGCTATCAGTCGCTTTCTGGTCCATTTCCATCCACTCCTCCCTTGTAAAAGCCCTCGCATGAGCTATCAGGAAACGAACGATCTTTTCGTCGAGCTCTAACGCCGCATTGACGCACCTTTGGAGCTGCTACAAGATCAGGTTCGAGTGAACACTGCAACGTGTTTTTCAAGCTCTCACCCTCACAACTCGTAGGATCCGTGGCTTTTGACTGGACAAACCCATTTATCGGAGATATATCATACACATGTCGCCTTGGTGTCCAGGCCCGCAATGTAACTTGTTCCCATTGTTGACTCGAAACATCTTGAGAAACCTCCTGAACACCGCGCTCAACTTGGTCGTGGGCATCTTGACGCGTGGTGGCGTATGGGTCCATGAGGTGTTTTGGTCGTGTTTATTCATGTATGACTGAGGAATGGATATTTGCGGAGAGTCTCAATCTAGGGAATCCGGCGTTCTGTCAAATAGTATCACATACAGCAAACCAACCGCAAAGTGTGGGCCTCATGCTTCAACGTGCAGTTTTGCACCGACCCTGGTCCCTGGCGACCATCAATTCATAGATACATGACCACGTGCGACATCCAGTCTAGGCCTTCTAAAGCACTGTTTCCCGCCCAAATACGAAAGTTGCTCGTAAATCTCAATGGTACCGCATCGCCCTTTCGCCATGATAGTAGCTTGCGTCGCCCGTTCATCGTGCATCAACAATCACGCCTGCTCTCACGGCAATTGTTCTCCGTGAAAGCTGTTTATTCTTCATCCCTGCAGCCTTGCACTACTTCTCCCCGCGCCGCAGCTCGAGCCTATTCGATCACCGTGAGGTTGACGACGGACCGGACAGTTTGTACGAACAAGGCGTAACTGTGGGACAACATGGTTTGGTATATCCAGGTGTGAAGAGCACATCGGGTAAGATACGCAAGCTCGACGGACAGACGACATATGTGCTGAGCGGCTTTAGTTTCAAACGGAGTTGTCATGTTTCCAAACACGTTCATGATGCAGGAGCTCGCGCGTAGATTCTTTGATGAAAACCTCCATCGTGAGGAGGAGGGCAAGCAAGTCTAGGTACCATTCATCTACACTATTCCTCGAGGTATGGACTCTAAGCCGTCATCCGACCACAGGCTTCCTAGGGAGCTAACTCAGGCAACCAAAAGGAACGCCGATCCCCAGCGATTTGATTCTCTTCGATGATTAAATATCGCAATTCTCCCTCCAAACTGCACGAGGGATGCCGCTTGCAGGTTAGCATCCTTTTAGAAATCTCTCTCGGTGAAGTGTGAGCCTAACCGTTCCTTAGATCTAAATCACTTGTTAGACGAGTTCTATAACAGGCACGCGGAAAAGGAATCTGCTGAGACGTGGTTCAATGCGCACCCCTATCAAGACGCCGTTGCATATGACGCAGATGATATTTGGATGACGACCATAACACATGGCAGGCGTTTCGGCATACTTGTAGCGTTTTGTTGTACCTGATCCCATTGAGTATCCCTGCGACGGACCCGGAGACATATCGTTTCCGTTCCAACCATGCACGACCGCAGAACAATGTTGCCTGTCTAATGAATTTATTAGCTTCCTTTGAAGCTAGAACACGGAGGTGCCAGCTTTCAAACCAGGTTTGTTCAGTGTTGGCCAGGCTGGACGATACCTAGCATCGCTGTCATCAAATACTGAACCGAGGCTCGAATCCAGACTACCCTATGGTGCATGATTTTGAACTACTAGACGACCTTATGTTTGAGGGCGCTCCTGCATCTCGATAGTCATAACTCAGCTCCTATATAAGGCAGGCAAGCAGATTTTCCGCTCAGCGTTTTGGCAACACGTAAAGAGCGGAAATGCGGTTTGCGCAGTGCCCGCCCCCGTCCGCTTTTGGTACGATTCGAGGCTGAACACGGCGTTGAGCGCAGTCCGTCAAGCCGCAACTGTTGATTTCGCCATGCTCAAAAGTGCGGTGAATAGCTCCGCGGACACATCCAATTCCATGGGAGAAACAATCCACGGCATGACTGACGCGACCCTGCAGCAAATTATGCGTAGCTGCATCGAGCTGAAGTTGTGACTTGTGAGGCTGGCCGCCGTGTCGAGGGGCCTGTTGGACACAAGTATACGGATACTCGCAGACAATCTCGCGAGACTGAGTTGTAATCCCATCCGAAACAGAAAATATCGCTTTCATGCTGACACATGTCTCAAACTTCTCAGTTCCTATTCCGCCAATGCTGGATTTTTCACACCCAGCCCTCCGCTGTGTCAATTATCTGCGCTGTTCTACTTGTACCCGTACTACGGAGTACTTGTACCTGACGCAGATTCCCGTCTGCCCCTCGTATGTTCCAGGCGTTCCGGCTTCTGCAGGCTTGGCTTGGCGGCTGGCCGCTGCCCCTCCATGGGCCTGGCCAGCCAGCCCCACCTCGCGATGTCGACGTCAAGTGGCTATGAGGTCAGTGATGGGACCTAGCGTCATCGAGAAATTTTGATGGCCCATGGGCAATTGGCGATTGGCAAACGCAATTGCTGAGCATCTCCTTAGTCAGGATGCTAATTGTACAATCCGCTTGTCAGCCCTCAGTTGACAATGACTGAATTCAGCTTGATCAAGCCTTGAGCCACGATTCAAAGAGACAAACGGAGAGATGCGAACAAAGCTTCCACCCCACTAATTAGCGCCCTTCTTGGGCTAGCAAATGGGCTTGGAAGCCAGAGAAGCAGCAGCCCCGCAGTGTGACCGTGACATCAATGTGGCGGGCCTGTCGCGTCGAGCTTCCACGCCAGCGCTCGAGTATCACAAGCCGACAGCTATGCAGTATTGTGTGACAGATGTGTCGGAGGACGGAAAGATATGAGTTGGGCCCAGCCAGGAGACTGGAGACTTGCGCCACCGGCCAGCGGTGAGACAGCAAAACCGCCTCTTCTCTAGGCGTGTTATTGGGCCGTGAACCGGCCGGCACTGAGATCGCGGATGGCCCGAGCGATGCAGCGATCGATCAGTCAACCAGTGGCTCTACGTCCAACGTCGCCGCGTAGTGTCCCTTGATTTCTAGCTATGCGTGAACCTTGAGCCATGTACCCGTGCCTGCTTTCCCTTAGCACTCTTACCCCTCTTCTTCTGCCTACTTCTGCCATCGTTCCTTCTTAAGACAGCTCCTTCCCCAACTTCGACCGTCGGTCTGCCTGCCTTTACCACCCACCCACCCATCCATCCATCCATCCATCCATCCATCCATCTCCCATCTTCATCGCCTCCCCAGCAAGAAACCAGAACCAGCCCATCATGCCTGTCTCTATTCCCAAAGCCGAGCGTCTCACCGACCTCTTCAGCCTCAAGGGCAAGGTCGTCGTTGTCACCGGCGCGTCCGGCCCCCGTGGCATGGGCATCGAGGCCGCCCGCGGCTGCGCCGAGATGGGCGCCGACCTGGCCATCACCTACTCCTCCCGCAAGGAGGGCGCCGAGAAGAACGTCGAGGAGCTGACCCGCGACTACGGCGTCAAGGTCAAGGCCTACAAGCTCAACGTCACCAGCTACCCCGCCGTCGAGGAGTTTGTGAACGACGTCGTCAAGGACTTTGGCAAGATCGATGCCTTCATCGCCAAGTAGGTCACCTGCAACTCCTCTCACTCCTCGCAGGGTTTCCGAGAGCATGCCCAGTCCGCAAGGTGCTAACGACGGACACAGTGCTGGCGCCACCGCCGACGCGGGCGTCATCGACGGCTCCGCCGAGGCCTGGGACAAGGTCATCCAGATCGACCTCAACGGGACCGCCTACTGCGCCAAGGCCGTCGGCGCGCACTTCAGGAAGCAGGGCTCCGGCTCCTTCGTCATCACCGCCTCCATGTCCGGCCACATTGCCAACTACCCCCAGGAGCAGACCTCGTACAACGTCGCAAAGGCTGGCTGCATCCACATGGCCCGCTCCCTCGCCAACGAGTGGCGCGACTTTGCCCGCGTCAACTCCATCTCGCCCGGCTACATCGACACCGGTCTGTCCGACTTTGTAGACCAGAAGACTCAGGAGCTCTGGAAGAGCATGATTCCCCTCGGCCGCAACGGTGACGCCAAGGAGCTCAAGGGCGCCTACGTCTACCTCGTCTCCGACGCGTCTACCTACACCACCGGTGCCGATATCGTCATTGACGGCGGCTACACCTGCCGATAGATGTGTGCGCTTGGGAGTAGTGAAGCAAAAATAATGAGTAAGGAGTAATGAAACAAACAAACCTCGTACCTTCAAAGGCACCCCACAGTGCTGCGTGACCAAGTGATGAGTGGTGACCTTTAAGGTTGGCATCAGCCTCGCGTTTGTAGCCAGGTCAAGCCGACGAGCGTAACGATACTTCACAGACTGCGTCTCGTCCACGATTGGGTCTTTCTGGCCGACGATGCGGCTCCGTGCATGGCGCTCCCTTGTGTGAAACGTACAGTCTATTGTGCAACAGACTTCCTCGACACGCGCCAACATGCGGAGAGGAGGCGGGCGAAAGAGTTGAAGGGGCCGACGGACAGGTGGCCATCTTGGACAAGGCGCACACTCGCTCGGGAGCTAGGTTGCTCGCTCGGGCGCTCGCGATGCTGTGTGCTGGCGGATAGCATACTGGAAGCCTTGGCAGGTGAAGGAACGCACCCGAACCGTCAGTTGGAGGATGAAAGGTCTGCGGCAGACTCGCCATCTGAGACATGGTAGCGTATCCAAGGCCCCATGACGGAGCAGGCTGGACTTGTTCGCAGTTCGGGTTTCGCACTGGATGCCCATGTTTTGTCTTGCAGGACTGAAAGAGAGCGGAACACCCCCAGAGCGCCGCAGCCTCGGGAATCGGGATGGGAGGGTCCTCCTGATTGATGATTCACTTCACACACAAGTCCAACTCTGACAGCTCTGGGTCTCGAGCGTCATTGAGGAACCCTGTCCGGTGGCCTGGTACTTTTTGCCCTGCGTCTGGGCTTCTGGCAGTGGCGGCCCTGCTTCAGTGCTTCGCGAGATGATCACGAGGCATCGTCAAGGCTGTCACAATTACCCCTACGGATACGGACAACCGACAAATAGGGGGCCCGTTCTTAGTCCAGGAACACCGATGATCCCCGCTGTATAAGGCTAGCCGCGCTCAACGTGCACGGAGCTAAAGCTCGGGCTCAGACTTGACCTTGACGCGATCGTGGAGCGCAAGCGTGCACCTCGCGCACCAATTCAATGGATTGAGATCATTAGGCACAAGATTGACGGCGCCCTGGTCTTGGCAAGATGAAAAGAACAGGGGACTATTCCGAGCCAGGTCATTGAATGGTCTATCAGGCTGCCCCGGACGAGCTGAAAAATGCTGGTATGGCATGAGTGGTCGGTTTGTCTGGTGGAGGCCGGCGGAATCCCCGCAAGCCGTTAATTTGATGAGCACGTCAATCAAGGGCGCAGCAGGCCCTGTATGATAGGTGTACCGTTGCTTTTTGGATCGGCATCCCGCATAGAAGATGACCATTCCAGCCCTCGGACAGCATGCAGAGCCCTTCAATCATCACGTCGCCCACCCGCGACCAACAGCCTCGAGAACACAAGCGAACGCGCTGCCGACCACCTAAATATGCCACGACGTTGACTCGACGCCGTCCCTCCAGTCGCTGCTCGCATCTGTAGGCGCCTGCCATGGCATCCACCAAAGCACTCGCCGCACGAAGCCTGCAAAGCTGGATCGACAGCATCACGCAGCAGGATGACCCTCGGGTGGGCTCGGGGAGGGAAGGATCGGAGGACAAGGGCACACTCAGCGCGGCCAACGGCAACAAGGGCGCGTCGCTGTCCAAACTGGGCTCGACATTTGTGCCCGTCATTATCTACGTCGCCGTATGCTTGACCATATTCATTATTGGTCGCCGACGTCTGCGACGAGTCTACTCTCCTCGGACATTCGCCGCGCTGCGAGCGCCTGAGTAGGTCGTGCCTGGATGGTTGTGTTGTGCTGCCGGTTTTGACTGACCAATTCGCAGGGCGCCCACGCCCGCCTTGCCAGGCGGCTGGTTCAACTGGATCATCCCCTTCTTCAAGACGCCCGACACCTTCGTCCTCAACCATGGCTCGCTTGACGGCTTCTTCTTCCTGCGGTTCCTCAAGGTGCTGCGCAACATCTGCTTCGCAGGCTGTCTGATCGGCTGGCCCATCTTGTTACCCCTTCACGCCACGGGCGGCCGGGGCAAGGTCGAGCTAGAGAAGCTGACGATTGGTAACGTCGACAATCCGAGCCGGTTGTACGCCAATGTGCTGGTGGCATGGCTGCTCTTTGGCTTCGTTCTCTTCACGGTCGCCCGCGAGAACATTTACTACATCAACATGCGTCAAGCCTATCTTTCCTCGCCATACTACTCCCAACGCCTGTCGTCCCGGACCGTCCTCTTCACCAGCGTGCCCCAGCGCTATCTCGACGAGGCGAGGCTGCGGAAGCTGTACGGCGACTCGGTGAAGCGCATCTGGCTTCCTCGAACGTCCAAGCATCTCGTGAACCTCCTGAAGGAGCGAGAGCAGACTGCCATGCGGCTGGAAAAGGCCGAGATCACCCTCATACGAAAAGCGAACGCCGTACGTGACAAGCAACTCCGAAAGAACCCCAGATCAGCCGACGAGAAAGTCTGGGCCACGGAAACAGCGCGAGGCGCAAAGGAGGAAGGAAAGTCCAACCCGCAGCTTTCCAACGAGGAAGTGAGACCAAGCGCAGACACGGATCATGCGATCGAAGAGAGCTCAGCGGGCGGGAACTCGGGCCTGCACACGCTCCAAGGTGTTGTGACTGACGCAGACACGAATGCGGACACCAAGGCTGAAGACAATGACGAGGCTCGGTACACGCACCCCTACGGCCTGAACCCGAACATGTCAGATGTGCGCGGATCGGTCGCTGCCCAGTACTTGCCAGCCGAGGCGCGTCCCTACCACCGCCCCATTGGCAACTATTTCCGTCGGATCGACACCATCCGCTGGACACGGCGACGCTTGATCGAGCTGAACCGGGACGTTGCGCAGATCAGGAAGCGTCTGCGCGGCCCCAACTGTGAGGCCAGCGACATGATGTCTGCTGCCTTCATCGAGTTTGACACCCAAGAAGCCGCGCAAGCTGCCCACCAGTCGCTGGCCCATCAACTGCCACTGCACATGGCACCGCGCCTACTGGGCGTACGACCGGACGAAATTGTTTGGGACGTGCTAAGGATGCCTTGGTGGTCGCGTATCATTCGCCGCTTCGTAATCATGGGCCTGATCGTTGCGGGCATCATCTTCTGGTCCATCCCCTCCGCGTTTGTGGGTGTCATCTCGAACGTGCAGACACTGACCAAGATGGCTCCGTGGCTTGGCTGGATCATGAAGCTTCCGGGGCCCATCTTGGGCTTGCTGACCGGTTTCGCACCGGCTCTCATCTTGTCCATGTTCATGGCCCTCGTGCCAGGCATACTGCGCGCCTGCGCCCGCGCCGCCGCCGTGCCCACCTCGAACATGGTCGAGCTGTTCACCCAGACCTCCTACTTTGCCTTCCAGGTCGTGCAGGTCTTCCTGGTGACCACCCTCACGTCGGCGGCCTCGGCAGCGTTCTTTGACATTCTGAAAAACCCCTTGGACGCCAAGGACGTGCTGGCAGAGAATCTCCCGATGGCGTCCAACTTTTACATCTCGTACATCCTCATCCAGTGTCTCGCCAACGCCGGCACGTCCATCCTCCAGCCCATTGACCTCCTCCGCCATGGGATCCTGGGGCGCATTGCGCAGATCCCACGCTCCCACTACCGGCTCTGGCACAGCATGCGCCGCACCGCGTGGGGCCGCGATTACCCCGTCTTTACCAACCTGGGCGTCATTGCGATGGCGTACGCCTGCATCGCGCCCGTGATCCTCGCATTCGCCGGCCTGGGGATGGCATTCAACTACATTGTCTGGCGGTACAATCTCATCTACGTCTTGGACTCGGATCTTGACAGCAAGGGGCTTTACTATCCCCGTGCTCTGAACCACCTTGTCGTGGGGCTGTACCTCGCCGAATTGTGCCTCACTGGCATGTTCTTCCTCAATTCGGCCACGGGGCCCGGTGTCTTGATGGCGCTGCTGCTTGTCCTGACGGGGCTCATACACCTCTCGATCAACCAGGCCATCTCTCCTCTGCTGCAGAATCTGCCCCAGACGTTGAAGCTGGAAGAGGAGATCCAGGAAGAGGAGAGACAAAAGGCCGAGGCAGCACGTGCGCAGCGAGAAGACACCTCGGTTGGCGTGAACGGCGCAGCAGCCAGCTACTTTGACGAGGACGAGCATTTCGGCGACGAGGACGAAGACCTGGCCGGCCACAGCGACGATGGCGAGGTGCACGAGACGTCGGGGACCAGGGCGATGGAAGGCTCACGCACCGTTCGCGACACCGTGGGCACGTTTCTCAAGAACTACACCAATTTCAAACTCAAACAGGAGGCCCAGTCGATGGGGATCAACCTTGAGCGGGACCCCGACGCGAAACCCAATATTGTCACGCGGTGGCTGAACCCGCACATTCACGAGGACTTTATTGCGATCCGCAAGCACCTCCTCACACTGCCCCAGGAGCTGCCGGATGCCGGAGACGACCCCCGGCGATCATACCATCCGCCGGAGATGTGGACACCCAAGCCAATACTGTGGATTCCCGAGGACGATGCGTGTGTCAGTCGACAGGAAGTGGCGCACACGCGAAAGTCGACGCCCATCTCGGACAAGGGTGCGCGCCTGGAGGGAGGAGGACGCGTGCGCGTCGAGGTCGAGAAGGCACCGTTCTGGCAGCCTCGTCTCATTTTATGAGCCGTGTAATCAGCATTTTGTTACATATACCGTGGACGCATACAATGATGAACCATAATGCATAATAGATACTGCGTACAACACTGGCATCGAAGACCTGTCAGAAAGCCATGCGGCCTGCTAGCCGCCAGCCATGCCAGGACAAGGCAATGATGCAGAGCAAGTTGAGGTGTATCGAGGCTGCATGATTCTTGGAAAATCTCCGCTTCGCCGCAGCCAAATCGACGTCCGTCTCGCCATTCTCCTCGTTCCCTCGGACCGCCATTCCTGTACATTTCCCTGGTTAGCCTACATAAAGATCAGAGAGCCTCCGCCTGCAGGGCGACTTACCGAGCTCGCGCCTCGCAAGCATGGCACGCATCGTGTTTGGCCCAAACAAGAGCAGGTTGAGCACTGCGCAGAGGCCCCCGATGGCGAATGAAGCCCAGTCAGCTGCACCACCCTGGACCAGCGACCAGGGTCCGGTCGGCGGGAATGACAGCGCCGTGACGAGCCACAGGACACTCTGCATCCGGAAATATATTGGGAAGATCCTGCGCTGGAGCCGGATAAAGGCATCGCTGGGCAATGAGGTGTAACACACCTTTGTGACGATGAAGGACTGGTAGAGCTGCGTGCCAAAAAGCCCAGCAAAGCTTAGTAGATGGACTGCGGGTGAGCATAATACTTGGAGGAGGCTCATTGCGAACAGCGACATTGTGATCAACGGTCTGGTGATATGAATATGAATGTGATCTCGAGGATTGAATCACAGCATTGCAAACAAAAGAATGGACTTGTTCAAGAGTTTAAATAGTTGGATGCTGGTGAGATATGCTTCAGTCTTCAATGTTGTTCGATACAAACAGCATCCGAGCCGTCTCGGTAGTTACGGCGGGATTCAGTGACAATTGTCCCGACCGACGCGACGGCTTGGTTTGTACGACGAGAATAAAAATATACTCAATGGACATGACCTACCTACGCAGTATTTCACAAATCGCCATAGTGATTGATGGCCACTCACGCCTCGTCATCTTGAGCCTGCTTCGCGAGCTTTGGACCCTTGGAGAGATGCCAGAATGGACCCAACTTCTTGCTGCTGTGATTGTCAGCGGAACTGGAGCTCCTGAATTGACAATGTCAACTTTGCTGACTTGTTGTTGGGCACAACCTCGCGCAAGCCCCTTATCTCTGCATGTGTGTATCTTGCAGGTCTCTTCCCCCCGTGACATCGCACGTCCGCGTAGTCACCCATTCCGCGCAGCACATGTTGGATACGTACAACAACGCATACTTGATTCACCCCGTAATCGTGAACTGACCAAGCTAAACGAACACGAACTTTGTAGATAAACTTCATTGAAGATGCACGCGACCACGTCGCTGTGGCATTACCAACAGCTGGCGCAGCTTTCAGCCAAAGGAAGGTCGGCTCAAGAGTCACTCTCACCACCTTGCCCTAACCCCCCCTTTCTCGAATCCACTGCACAGCTCGGGAGAATACTTCATTCAGGTATTTCCCATGTAGATCGCGATCAGCCACGCAGCCCAGCACCCAAAGGCCGGGGTAGCTATTTATCTCACTTCCCGGTTCCGGCTCTCCCATCCTTGCTTTGACCATGCCTCTCGGGAGCCAAGAGGGGCCAAGACGGGCTCAGGCAGGATCTGTCACATTTATCATCCGGCAGTTATTGGTCTTCGACCTCAACGCACAATACGCTCCGCTCTGTCTCTGATTAGTCGGCCAGCGAATATTGCCTATTCAATAAGACTACGTACGTATGGCAATCCCTGCAGTGCGGGCCTTACGGCGCGCCAGAGACTGGAGAGGGCTGGCGAGCGCGGAGGAACCAAGAGTATATAATTCAAAACGAAACGCCGCGTGGTCCGTGTCCATCCACGCTCTGGGTTCTTTGAGGCTGTCTCTCAAGCTGCTGCCGTCATCATGAAGCTGACTGCGATTGCCGCGTGCGTGGCGACTCTATTCGCCGGCGTTGCCACAGCCAATACATGCGCAGTCATCGAGGACGTCGCGCCCAGTATCGAGGTTCGATACAAGCTTCATCCCGAGTACACCTCCACCTCCAACGACTACTGGTCGACAGCATGTGCCAAGCTCGATCCGTCCTGCGTCGTCTTCCCTGAATCGCCCCATGATGTGGCTGCGATCCTCGAGATTCTGGGAAGACAGAACAACACTGACAGATTTGCCATCAAGTCCGGAGGGCACAACCCCAACGTCGAGTGGTCGAGCGTCGACGAGGGACCCCTCATCTCGACCGAGAAGCTTGACCAGGTCATCCTCGATGAGGGCAGTGGCATCGTTCGCATCGGCCCAGGCCTGCGGTGGGACGCCGTCGCCGATGCATTGGACGGCAGCGGATGGTCAGTGGTAGGAGGAAGAATAGGCAATGTTGGCGTTGGCGGCTACATGCTGGGCGGTGGCCTTTCGTTCATGTCGCAGCAGTATGGCTGGGCCGCATCCTCCCTCATCGACGTCGAGCTTGTCACGCCCAACGGCACCATTGTGACGGCCTCGGCAGACGAGCACCCTGACCTGTTCCGCGCTCTCAAGGGGGGAGGCAACAATTTTGGCGTCGTGACGAGCTACACTGTCCAGGCGTACCGTCAGGATGATATTTATGGCGGCACCGTCTTCTTCCCTCGCAAGCCGGACACGGATGAGCTCATGCTGCAAGCCATCCAGGACTTCACCCGCTACAACAAGGACGAAAAAGCCGCCATCATCCCCACGGCCGAGTACACCGGTGGCGGCATCCTCGACGGGTGGATCGTCTTCTTCTTCTACAACGGACCAGAGCCACCAGAGAGCACCTTCACCAACTTCACGTCCATCCCCCACCTGACCGATACCCGCAAGACGCAGAGCTTCGCCAGCCTCGTCAACGCCAACAACTTCTTCGTCCTCCGTGGCTCCGTCTACCTCATTGGCACAGAGACCATCCCCCTGCCGACGGACCCCGCGTCCGACATGGCGTCCGAGTTCCTCCCCCAGGTCCACGAGCGCTGGCGCAACGTCACCCTCGGCGAGAAGTTTGTCTCTGGTGTCATCGGCTCCATTGCCTACCAGCCGTTCCCCCGCCGCATCGCACAACTTGCCAGGGCCATGGGCGGCGACTTGATGGACTTTGACGACGACGTCGACCGCATCATCATTGAGCTCAACTACAGCTTCTTCCTGCAGCTTGACTATGAACGGATGAGTGCTGCCATGGAGGCGGCGTTTGGCGGCATCCGGGAGATTGTCGTCGACGGGCAGGAAGAGGGGGCCTTGCCAGACGCTTACCTGCCCTTGTTCTCGAACGATGCGTTCCATACACAGGATTACTATGCGAGACTGAGGCCCGAGAACGCGGAGCTGGCAAAGACACTGGCGGACGAGCTCGATCCTGAGGGCTTGTTCAAGGAAAGGACGGGAGGCTGGAAGCCGTGAGCCGCCGTCCGAATTCTATAGTATGGTGTCGTCATTTTCTTGTGATTAAGCAGTTGGCTACTTTCTTCTCATATACATCCTCGAAATACTGGTCCACATTCTCCGATTGCTCCATTCGGTACAAGACAAACTTAGTCCATGATCAGCACGTTCCTGAAACGAGGCTTGCCAGCCACCAAGCTGTCCACCGCCTCCTGAACCTTGGCCAAGGGGTACTTCTCAATGTAGCACTTGACATTGTGGTTCATGGCGAATCGAATGGCCTCCTCGCAGTCCAGGGCGTGCCCAGAGGGCCACCCTTGCACCGAAGCACCCTTGAGGACCAGGGCGACGGTATTGACCTCGGCGTTGCCCACAGGTGCCAGGTTGATGAGCTGCCCAGCGGGAGCGAGACCACCCACGAGTTCAGTGACGGCCTTGGGGCTCGGGGCCGTCTGGAGGACGACCGCGGCGCCGCCGAGCTTCATGAGCTCCTGGGCCGCATCCTGCGTCTTGGTGTTGATGTAGTGGTGGGCGCCGAGCTCCTTGGCAAAGGCAGCCTTGTCGTCGCCCGAGGACAAAACGGCCACCTCGTAGCCCATCTTGTAGGCGTACTGCACGGCCAGGTGGCCGAGGCCGCCGAGACCCTGCACGGCGACGAGGTTGCCCTGCTCCACGTGCGCCTTGCGCAGGCCGTTGAAGACGGTGACGCCCGCGCACAGCAACGGGGCCGCTTCGGCAGGGTCCATGTCCTTGGGCACCTGCACAACAGCCTCTGCCCGCAGCACGACGTACTCGGCAAACCCACCATCGCGGGTCACGCCGTTGATCTGCTCATTGTCGCACATCTGGAACTGTGCCCGTTGGCAAGCACGGCACTGACCGTCGTGGCCACCATGCCATGGTCCGCCGACACGCTCACCACCCTTGAACCGTGTGACGCCCTCGCCCACGGCGACGACATCACCAACAATCTCGTGGCCGGGAACACGGGGGAAGACATTGCCCATGTGGCCGCTGACAGTCCCAACATCCGAAAAGCAGACACCGCATGCCTTTACTTTGACGAGCACTGTCCCAGGGCCGGGATGCTGGATGTCGACATCTTGGAGTTTGAAGGGAGCGTTGGCTTCGGGGATGACGACCGCCTTGTACGTCTTGGGAAGAGAAGACATGATGATATACTGAGAGCCGCGAGAAGTGGATATGCTGTTCTGGTGAAGCCTGAGTCGTATGAGCTCGATATCTGCGTGATTCGGTTGAGAAACGCCCTCGAACGGGCGGGTTGGCTCTGCCTTTTGTATTCCAAGACATCCCGCCGCGTCCGCATCGGCCAGTAGTGGTAAAGTCAATTGCGTCGCCCGGACCAGTCAGAATGTCCGAGAAACATCCATCTCCCAAGACGGCCTACCAGGATCAGTTCGGTTGGCCAACGACCGCACTACTTGGTACTTGGTAGCTACTGTACGAAAGCGGCGGTCATGGAACGCGGTGCAGCTCGCGCAGCACTTTGCTCAGGTTCCCGTCCCCGCGTTACATCATTGCACGTTCTGTGACGTTTCTTCTCCGGCGGAGTCGCGGGCGGAATTTCGGCACACGGGGTTATGCGAGCTGATGATAATGCAGATAAGTGTGCGTTGCGGCTTTGGGAGAGCTGAAGATCGCTCAATCGGAAATGGAGGATGATATCTCATCTGTGCCTGTAATTCCGACTCGGTCTTAAGGTAGGCAGACCGGCAGGAAGGCTGCAGGCAGCAATGCATGTCTGTTCAGGTTGTCTGGAGTTGCAGAGATATTCCTAGATGCGTAAAGAGAAACAGACACAGCCCCTGAGCTGTATCTGCGATTCCCCAATGACGAGGGAGATCTGACTTTAGGGCAAATGAGAATCATGAGATGCTTCGACCAAAGAGTACGTGTAGGCGTGCGGAGCGTGGCTGAAGAAGGCAATCAGCCACATCACCAGCTAGCTCCAGCCACACCTATGCTGCACCCCACCATCATCGAAATTTCAGGTCCGATTCAAGATCGTCGCCAGTCCAGACACTCAACCCAACGCCGAACTCCCTTCCACGTCAAGCTGCCAAGATGCCTCTCGACACGTCTACGTACTCGCTCGCTCTTCTCCGTGTCGACGGCCGGCGCTGGAACGAGCTGCGACGCCTGCACGCCCAGATCAGAACACAAGCTGCCGCCGATGGCTCCTCCTACCTTGAAATGGGCCACACCAAGGTCATGTGTGTCCTGACCGGTCCCGCCGAGCAGAATCAGTCCCAGAGACGCGGTCAAACAAGCGGCGGCGGTGGCAGTGCCCGTGACACGGCCAGCATCAACGTCAATGTCATGATTGCCGGCTTCTCGTCCGTCGACCGGAAGAAGCGCGGACGCAACGACAAGCGCACGCAGGAACTCGAGATCACCATTGCCAAGACCTTTTCGTCCATTGTGCACACGCACCTGTTCCCACACTCGAGCATCTCCATCTCGCTTCATGTCCTGTCGTCGGATGGCTCTCTCCTGGCAGCACTGCTCAACGCCGCCACCCTCGCGCTGATCGACGCCGGTATCCCCATGTCCGACTACATTGCGGCCTGCACCGCTGGATCCACGTCTTCTCACTCTGCCTCGGACGATTCCGCCGACCCATTGTTGGATCTGAACACGCAGGAGGAGCAGGAGCTGCCATATCTCACCGTCGCAACATTGGGATCCTCGGATCGCATCGCCGTCCTCAACTGCGAGAGCAGATTGCAGGTTAGCAGACTGGAGGGCATGTTGGTCGTTGGCGTGGATGGGTGCAAGCAGGTCAAGCAAATTCTTGATCGCGTCATCCGGGAAAAGGGCGTGCAGATGATCCGCGAAGGCGCCGTCGACAGGAGTGATACCATGGTTATGGATTTGGACGAATGAGAATGGTATGTTGCTTACACCCTTTCTACTTCGCTAAAGCTCACGTCTGCCCAGATACCCCCTGCATTGCTTACAGTTCTTCGTGCACAATTTCCTCCTCGGGCGCCTCAGTCTCGATCTCTGGCTCGGGGTCGGTAGCCTTGGTTTCCTCTGATGAGCTCTTCTCGGCTTGGCTCTCCTCAGAAACTTTCACGGCAAGCACGCCCTCGGGCATCTTCTTCTTCTCCCCCTCTCCCATTCTGATAGCGTCAATCCAAGCCTCGATACCCTCTACGGTGTAGTCCTTGCCCTGGAACTGCTTGAACCAGCCGCGTCGGGCATTGAAGGCAATCAGCTCGACATCGGCACCGAGCTCAAGAGATGTGCGGAGGGTCGAGGACATGTCGACAGAATCAGGCAGAGCGAAGAATGGGAAGACATGGTGTTGTCCACGGATGTACTTGGTGTTCAGCTTGGACAGGGATTCGATGGCCTTCTCGCCATCGGCAGAGCCCTCGGGAGTGAATGCAAGGACGCACGTGTGTGATTTCTTCTGAAGGCAGTTCTCGTGCAGCATGTCGTCGGATGAGATGGACTGGATGGGGATGACGGTGGGAGCAGCGTCCTCGGCCGTGGAGCTGGCAGTGGACGATTCGGGGGACTCCTCAGGCTCCGGGGCGGGTTCGGCCTTGGGCTTCGCCTTGGCCTTGTTCCCCTTGCCCTTGGCCGGCGCCGGGTCAGGATTGGGCTCGCCGGCCTGCTTGAGGAAGTCTACCATGCTCGCCTTCTTGAGCTCGCCACCGTAGACGACTGGCTCTGTGTCCTCACTGCCTGGGATGAGGACGAGCGAAGGGAATTTTTCAATACCAAATCGCTCCACGGCTGCGGTCTCCTTACTGCGAATCTGGCCAACCTTGATGACGTCCAGGAAGTCAATGGCGATGCTGCGCAAAAGGGCGCTCGTCGTGCCTTTTTCCGTGAAGAGTAATGCCTTGGGTCCAGATTTCTCCAAAAAGGCGTCCAAGTCCTTGTCCGTAAGCTTCGCGACATGGTTGTTGATCTTGTTGACGACTTCGTCGGTAATGCCCGATGCGGTGCGCTGTCCACGATAGTCCTCTACGACAGGTTTACCGGCTTTCTTCCCAGGACGGAAGGTCTTGAGCGTGGGAAAGCCCTGGATGCCGTGAGCACCACAGATTGGCTTGTTGGCATCATCATCACAGTCAATGGCTGCGACTTTGGCCAAGCCATCCAGGTTCTTCGCTGCCTTCTCGTACGCAGGCTTCAGGTTCTGGCAGTGGCCGCACCATGGTGCATAGAACTCAACAATCTGTCATAAGTTAGCAGACGCCATTGCATACAGTAAATGTAAAATACAGATGTGTAATTTGAATTAGTGATGAGACTGTCAAAGTTGCGTGCGTTCAGCTGGACAACGGGTGACGACTTGGTGTACATGGCAGCCTGGGCCGACGGCAAGGCAGCCAGCGCTGCCGTCAAAGCTGCCGCAATCGATGGCTGATGCATATTGAAGTCAATTCTTACAAGAGATAGAGGTGATAGAAGAGAAGTTCGGGACAACAAGGGAACAAGTTCCACGTTGCATTCAGATTGTTATATCCTGATCCAGTAAGAGGCCACGGTGGAACATTTGATGCGTGGGCTGCAGCTCAGGAACGGTGGCGCGAGCTGTAGAGGGGCCCCAAAAAAGTGTGGCGCACTCACATGGGATTGTTGACTACCAGCCACACTTCCAACCCACGTCCCCGCAACGTCATGCGACCAGTCTCAAGGCTTCCATATTCACACTCTGCAAATACATTGCGACGACGCATGACCGCACGTCTCCTTCGACATCCGCAGCATCAAGTCGCCTTCTCAATTTCGATACACGCACATTTAAAACATGGCTGAGGCTCTTCCCGAGTCACTCAAGATCCCCGAGGTCAGCCGCTTCATCAAGCGCGCTGGTCAGCTGCGTTCCGTCAAGCCAGCCGTCGCATACTGGTGTTCGTTCCCAAATTCTATCGAATGACAATCTGTATGCTTACAAGTCTTTAGGCGAGTACCGCGCCGTCAATCAGATCGTTGGGAAAGGGTTACACTCTGGTGAAGAAGACGCTTTTGCATTCACGACGAACCTGATCGATCAACTCGAGGCGACAAAGGCCGAGCACGCTGCGGAGGATGCGATTACCGACAATGAGGTCGCCAAGGTCTACATTGAGCAATTCGCACAACAGACGTTTGACCGTGCAGAGCGCACCCTCCGCGCCGACAAGGTCACTCGACAGACAGCCGACACGTTCGACGCGGCGGCTACCTTCTTCGACCTCCTACGCGAATGGGGCGAGCTTGAGCCCGAGGTCTTGCAAAAGATCAAGTTCGCCAAGTGGAATGCCGCGCGGATCCTCAAAGCGCTGCGAGAAGGACGTGACCCTAACGAGTCGAACCCGAAGCAACCTGAACAGGCAGAAGGAGGGGAGGAGGAGGGTACAACCGGTCTTGATCCCAACGACCTGGACGTGGAAGAACTCGCCTCCCTAGGCACCGTGCCTCAACCGGCCACTGTACAAGATGCGCCCGACGCCGGCGAATCTCTAGGAAGCGCTGGTCCTCCGCCGCATCCTCCAGCCCCTGAAGACTACTTTCCCACAGGACCACACCCGCCGCAGCCTTCGACACCAGGCTCCGTGGTCCCGCCCTCGGTTCCGGCATCCATGCCCAGTGTCGCGCCCGAAGGCCCTGTCTCGGCTGCATCCTCGATCCCGCCAGGTCCCTCACCACACCTCCCGACCAAGCTGTCTTCGCAGTTTGCGCCTCCGCCGGGCCCAGCGTTTCCAGGCTCTTCTGCCAGCAGCCTTCCGCCCTCAGTTCCGCAGCAGCAGCTCAGTACCCCGTCGCTTCCACAACCTGTCCCCGTACCGGCACCAGCGCCAGCGCCAAGTGCACCGCCACCCGCCGCCCATTACAAGGACCTCAACCAGGCGCAAAAGCATGCCAAGTGGGCCATATCAGCACTGAACTTTGAAGACGTGCCTACTGCGGTGCAGGAGCTCAGAAATGCCCTGGCGGCGCTGGGGGCACAGTGAGAGGCCGTGAGTGGAGCTGCACATCTTTCACAAAGCACTCATTTGAAGCGTTTAGACGTGTCCAAGATTTTAATGAAGCAAGTTCACACTTTTCAATTCCCAGTAGAACCGTGCTAGACTACATCCCATTCAGCAGCTCGTCATAAGTGCCCGAACGCCAAAACTCCTGGTCCCTGTTGTGATTCTATGCTGAAACCAAAATGTTGTGCGGCCAGTCACCGGTGGCGAGTGGTGTCACCGCCATGAAGGGGTTTGGCTCATGTTTGTTAGGCTCGTCATCTTCGCAATCCTCGTCAGTCCAGCCACGCTCGGGTCCCCAGCCGGTCAAGTACCCGGCCGTTCGAGCAGTCTCGAGCAGGCCCGACATCATTGCGCCCTTTTTCTTAACGCTGGACCAGCCGTCAAACTCGACGACGTTCACGGAAGGGAGCTTCTCCAAGAGACTTGCCAGAAGGGTGCGGCTGAATTCCTCGTAGAACCCCTCGGAGCGGCGGAATCCCTTGAACACTCCATCGCTGGGGTCGCACTCGACAAACACACAGAGCCTGCGGACGTTGGTGAATTCGGCCAGCCCGAGGGCATCGTTGACCACCCATCCCCGAGGTGGCGCGCCCCATCCCGGCCCAAGGCGCAGTTCGAGCGAGGTGACGCACTCGCGCTGGACCTTCTTCATCCGCGACAGCAGCGGCTTCTTCGTTTTGAAGTATCGTCCCGGACTGGTGGGAAATATTCGGAATCGACGGGTACTGTAGAAGTAATGGGTGGCCTCGTCGTGAATCTGCCTGCATACCCGGATGATTCCCAATTTCTTATGGTACCGCTTATAAATGTCGGGACCCAAGTCGAGGATCTCATTGGGCCATTCTTCATCCCTAAAGTAGTGCTCGTAGACTTTGATGCGCAGCTCGGATGGCAGTTCGAGAAACGGAAAAGGCCGGTCGGGAACGCGGCGCTTGCGCTGGAATGGTCTAAGAGGGACATCGAGTGTAAGATCCGCAATGGGGATGCTGTCAACGTCGCCTGAGGGAGCAGGCACTGGTGATGCTCCCTTGGTGGGTACAGGCGCAGACGCCGGTGCTGGTGCTGGCGGCGTCCTGATGACCAGAACGCCTGATCTAGCCGGTCGTCGACCCGGTGCCATTGTGAGGGTGGCCCGTTGTGAAGATGCAAGTTCGGAAGGCCGTGTTCAAATAGTGTGGCGATTCGGTCCAAAGGACTTTTTTGCGGGGCAACTTTGTCGTGGTGGCGTTCAGGAGGGCGGCAGTTACAGCACCAGTGTCCACAGCTATTGCGACTCGGTGAATTGCAAACGGCTTTACGACAGAGAAGTTGAGTATGAGTGTAGTAGGTCTCGCGAGACGATTTGCGCCGTAGAGGGTGGTTCCATGGCGAAATGTCAACAATGGGACCACCCTAGAACGCAGTAGCGGCGAGCATCTTGCCCGCGGACGCAGTTGCTGATATTGTTAGGAAGTTGTGAGGAACAATTGATCAGGGCAGATCTCGTGCTCTAGGTGCCAAAGAGGGAAAGGAAAGGATGGTTGCTGTTGACGGGTGGTGTGGTGTGGCTATGTCGTAACTGCACTGAAGAGCGGCATCTTGAAGACGGCGAATTGGATTCACGTGAGGCGGCACTCTAACTCCGGTCCTCGATCAACCGATGTCGCTGCAGAGGTGGGATGCGAGTGACGACATCGGTGAAACAGTAGATCCGAGAGCAATCCGCCTAATCTTCGGGTGAACAACCCCCCCCCCCCCCGGCGCCCCCCCCCCTGGTTGCCGTCGGGCACCAGCTCCGTGGTTGCGGCGCTGGAAAAGATTCGAAGGACTGGAACTCCAGCTGGAGCAGCATCGCCAACCATCATCGCTTTCTTCTCTTTGGGACAATTTCCCTCGCGCCATCTCCAATTTCCGAGGTGAGCTTGAAATGTGGCCTTGAGTGACAACGCCCAAATCATCTCGATTGTCGCTTTTCCTCCCAACCTATCAACGCGCCTTGTCGCGGGACACATCTCTTCCGTCATGCTATCCAGGTTGGCCTTCGCGCAGGCCACGCGCCTTGGTAGCAGAACGATCTCGGCGGCACCACTGAACAGGAACCTGCCCGTTTCCGCAGCCTCTTACACCCAGTCTTGGACCCGGTCCTTTGCTCAGAAGCAGACGCCTGCGCCGAAATCTGATTCGACGCCCAAGGAATCACCCGACACTCCCGCGCCCGAGAACGAAGCGGCAGCTGAGTCCGCCAAGGCCAAGGATGCCAAAGAAACCGACCAAATACCCTTTGACAAACTGCCTGATCTGACTCAGGGTATTCCGTCGACACTCTTTGATGAGCTGGAGCAGGCCAAGGGCAAAGATGTCAAATCGGATGCTGCACTCGAAACGGTGCCTCAATACGAGCGACGCGGTGGTGGTGGTGGCGGCGATTCAGAATATGTCTCGACGAGCGAGCGCAACCGTCGCTGGTGGACGCGCATGCTCTTGATCGGCGTGGGTTCGGGCTCACTGTTCGGTCTCGGATATCTCGGCCGCAACTGGGACGATGAGGCTGAGGCTGCACGCCATCCCGAGATTCCCAACGGAGTCTCGCCGGTCCTGTGGTGGCAGCGACTGAGGGCCCGAATGGGCGAGTCAGTCTCATACTATCAGAACCCGTCCTTTGACAAGCTGCTACCCGACCCTCATCCCAGTTTCGAGCGCCCCTACACTCTGGTGATCAGCCTGGAGGATCTGCTCGTGCACAGCGAGTGGTCGCGCCAGCATGGCTGGAGATTGGCCAAGCGACCAGGCGCCGACTACTTCATCCGCTACCTCGGTCAATACTACGAACTGGTCGTTTGGTCATCAACTTCGTTCGGCATGGCCGAGGGCATTGTCCGCAAACTTGACCCCTTCCGTCTCATCATGTGGCCCCTCTTCCGCGAGGCTACCAAGTTCGAAGACGGCGAAATTGTCAAGGACCTTTCCTATCTGAACCGTGACCCGTCCAAGGTCATTGTCCTTGACACCAAGGCTAGCCACGTGCGCAAGCAGCCCGAAAACTCCATCATCCTGGATCCTTGGACCGGCGAGAAGGACGACAAGGAGCTTGTCAGCCTGATCCCCTTCCTCGAGTACATTCATACCATGCAGTACGATGACGTGCGCAAGGTGCTCAAGTCGTTTGAGGGCAAGCACATCCCGACCGAGTTCGCCCGCCGCGAAGCGATCGCTCGCAAGGAATTCAACGCTCGTCTGGCTGCCGAGAAGGGCAAGCACAAGAAGCCCTCCGGCATGGGCGCCCTGGGCAGCATGCTCGGTCTCGGGCCCAGCAACATGAGCATGACCATGCAGCCCGAGGGTGAGCAGAACCCGACTGAGGCGTTTGCGCAGGGTAAGATGCTGCAGGACATTGCCCGTGAACGAGGCCAACGCAACTACGAGCTTCTGGAGAAGGAGATTCGCGAGAATGGGCAAAAGTGGCTCGACGAGGAGAAGGCCATGACCGAGAAGATGCAGAAGGAGGCCATGGAAAACATGTACGGCTCCCTCGGCGGCTGGTTCGCGCCCAAGAAGGAAGAGGAGAAGAAGGAGTGAGGGACATGCGCGTCCGAATCTCCACCTAATATCGCCCAACAAACTGTACAACTGTTTCCCTCGCCGATGGGGTCCGGCGCGTACGATGACGCGAGTGTCCGCATTTCTATTTGTCCATTGGGGGGGTTTTGCATATAGACTCGGCATTTTATGAGGGAGGGAAGAAGAGGTGCGAGCAGATTGGCTGCCCGTGTAAATCTGTACAATATCTGTATGAGCTGACGAGAGCTAGAGCACAGGGTATGCGAATTGGTTGAGTTCTGTGGTCAAACAACAAATTCACCTCCGTGCTATTTTGATGCAAAGGGCATATAGTACATGTATTCTCATTTCTAGCCAAAACTACTTTCTCTATGCGGCCTTTGGCGTCCCACTCGCTTGGGCCGTCGTCTTCGTGCCTCGTGTCCATAACTCATTGTTTCGTTTGCGCAGGAATGCCACAAGCGCGCAAGCTCGCTTGTCCACATTAACGCCGTTTGCCTCGAGCCCCCTGACGCCGAGAAACGCCACGGCCAACGCTATCACAATCACATCGACAATGTGCGTGAACCACCAAAAGTGCTGCGTGCCCAGCGCACAGTCCGCATACTCAAAGCGCCACTCCCAGGCCTCCCAGTCGAACCACAGGCTCAGCAGGCCAGCATTGCCGCCAAAGCCACCCATCATACTACGCACGGTGATTTCTCGACGACCTGGATGGCCGGGCATGGCTGGTATCTCCTGTGCCTGGGCGTCCTCCCAGGTAATGTGCTCCCAAGAGCGGTCTGCTTGCGTCGTACCGTTGGTCTGGTTGATAAAGTGGTATGTGTCGCAACCGGCATGATCGTGGCCATTCAGTATGACGCCGGGACGGCCAAGGCCCTTGCCGTCAGCGTTCGTATTGCCGCTCACGCCCAGGATCCCTTCGAAGAAGCCCTTGCTGGCATCGGGACTCAGCAGGTACTGCTCCCTGACGCCCCCGCCTTCAGACGAGGGATAAAAGTCGAAGTAGGGCGCGTCCACGCAGATGCCCTTGGGCTTGTACGTGGGGATGTGCGTCAGTATGATGGTGAAGCCACCCTGAAACTCGACAGCATGGGAGTTTCCAATAATGGCATTGACGTAGCTGTAGGTCGCGTCTTGCAAGACGGAGCTCTTGGCAGGCGTGTCCAGGTTCATGTCGTTGAGCAGCACGATGCGGATCTCGGGCCGCAGTCGGAGAGATTCTGGGTTCGTTTCATCGTCGACAATGGTCTTGTTCAGCTCGGGGTCTGTGACGGGCAGCTCGAAGCGAAGCTCGTAGTTGGCCTTGCCAAACACACGCTCGAAACGCTCCATCCTCTCCTCTGTCAGGTCGCCTGCATACCCCACGTCGTGGTTCCCGACAACATTCAAGATGCGTCTCGTCCAGACGCCAGACTCTACCGAGTTGGACAAAACGCCCGACACGTCGTATTCTCTCTGTGGAAAGAGCGCCACCTCGTCGGGGACCCTCTCAGCGCCACTGAAGGTACGATTCCAGAACCGTCTGCCTCGCCTTTCGAACTCGGCATTGTCAATCCATTGACTGCCGACAAGGTCTCCGAGAACGGTCACATGAGTCGGCCGCGTCCACCAGTGCACCGTGCGATATATGTGCGCCAAGTAGAAGTCGTTGCAGAAGTGATCGATAACCTTGCGGATCGACTCGAGGACGTTGGGTATGTCCTCAAAGTAAAAGTCGACCGTATCGTGCAGGGTCATGCGTATGCGCTCGCGGAGGGATGAATGTTTGGATCGAAAGGCCACGTTCTTGGCTATCTTCTTCAGGTGCGGCAAGAAGCCGAATGTCTTGATCGGTATGGAGGTGTCGCCCTCGAGCTGCGGATCGCCCAGGGCGAGGAGTCGGAAGGGGGCCAATGCTGTGGGCAGTTCATTGTCTGGCTCCGCGTACGGCCAGTGTAGCTTTTTCGTCTCTTGAAAGGCCTCTATGGCGTCGCGCGAGGCAATCGGGAACGCGCAGCCCTTGAAAACGGGATACAGGTACAGCCAGATGCTGCAGGCCAATGCGAGTGGTAGCACGAGGCAGAAGCCTCGCCGAAGGAATGTCGCGACGGCCATGCGTATCTGGCTGTCTATGGTGTGCTGCAAAGCACGCGGCAAGTCGACCGCGGCTTCGTGTGAGCACAGCGTGTGAGGGTCACAGCACGAAGTTGCTATTCAGGGGTTCGAACAGTAGTCAGCTGGAGGGATGGCAGCTAGCCAACAGGGTTCTTGGAGTTGTGGACCGCGTGCGGTCTGATCGCGGCATGGGATGAGTAAGCCAGTAGTTGCCTACCCTACACTGGCCAAATACAGCTCCAATGAGGCAGCATGATCATGAATCTAGCATAGGATTACGACAAGGGGCTGGCGAGTGGGTGTTGTTTCAAAGTCTTAGCGTAATCATGTAGGCATAAATTTTGTATTTTTTTTTGCACTGTGGTGTCTAAACTCCCTTGTCAAAATGCGATCCAGAACGCAGGCCGTTGTGGCGGTTACCTACTTCATCCTTGGGCGTTGTGAAATCCAAACCCTTCCGTCAACACGAACACCGCTTACTCAATTCAACAGCGACTGGGACCAAGGGCAAGCACAGCACTTCAAGGCGACCCGAAGCACCTCCCACATAACCACGGATACATCATAGATGTACGTATTAGACGCCTGTGGAGACGAGGCTCAGGCAGTCGGCCGCCCAAGACATGTAGGGACTTGATCCTACGCTACCAAAGGGGGCCCAATCATCAATGAAACCAACACGCGCCGTTGCATCAGCGGAGCAGGATCTTGCAGGTCTCACATTCTCGGATTGCCCTTCAGACACTAGCCAGGCAGGCGGCCAAGTGGGCTGCTGAGATCCTAAGAATTACCCCTTTTGTCGATGCCGGCGCCACGCGGATCAACGGCTCGTGGTACCAGACACCCAATTCGACTTTGAGCTTAGGGTTGACGATCACTCGCCGTTGCTTTTACTTTCGATAGAGATGCCTGTACGCAAATGTACGAGAACCACGGCCTTCACCCGAGCTACACGCGCGGAAAGCCTTCGGGACGAGGACAGCCTGGACAGGACATCATCTGCTGGCGTTGATCATGCATGACCAATCAGTCAAAGGTTACATCTCTCTGCATACCAGTACCGCGGCCAGATCCTCCACGGCTGCCTCGTGTTGCTTCCTGCAATACCACCTGGGGATCTTAACCTAGTGCCCTCGAAAGGCCCGAATGGCATCGAATGGACTTGACTATCAAGGCATTTGGGCGCCGCAATGCTTCGACATCCGAAGGCCGGCATCTATACCTTCCTCATGTGGTTATAGTCTTCCAGCCCCACAGTCCCAACGGGCGTTTCAATGTACCGACGCTTATGCCCAACTATTGAGATCCCACGATGCTAGGAGTCTAGGATCACATCTATGCGCGCATCATGATACATTGGCAATGCGGCAGCGGCCATGGCGACGATCTGCGCCCAAGGCCGCGGTGCCGCATGCCGGATGAAACGATCAATTCCATATAACGTGGTCAGCCCTGTCGTTTCTTGCCCGATGAGTACTTAGGACGGGCCATGCACCCGTCTCCTGGTCAGCTTCTTCTACACCAACTCAACATGTCAGCTCCAGCCTCAGCCAACATGTACTCCAAGCTGCTTCCCATAGTCCTCCTCCTGACCGGAGCCCAGGCATGGATGCCCTATGAAAGGGGTAGGTCACCTAGTGCTCTCCTTTACATGTGCAAGACACGGACGCCACTGACACGCCTGTAGATCTATACAGGGCCACGGGCACAAAGCGCTGGCTCCCCAACGCGGACAAGATCCGCGGTGTCAATCTGGGCTCCCAGTTCATCATCGAGCCCTGGATGGCCAACGACGCCTGGAACAGCATGGGCTGCGGCGGCTATAACGACGAGTGGCAGTGCACCCAAGCCCTCGGCCAGGACGCCGCCAACGAGGCCTTTCGCGGCCACTGGGACACCTGGACCACTCAGGAGGACATTCAGCAGATCGCCAGCCTCGGCCTCAACACCATCCGCCTCCCCGTCGGCTTTTGGCTCAAGGAGGACCTCGTCAAGGACGACGAGCACTACCCCCAGGGTGGTCTTGAGTACGTTGACAGGCTCGTCGGGTGGGCCAGAGACGCCGGTCTCTATGTCATCATGGACCTCCACGGCGGGCCAGGCTCGCAGTTTGCCAACCAGCAATACACCGGCCACGTGAGTGAGAACTGCCCAGCCTTTCATGCGAGAGCTAACGTACCCTCAGGGCGTCGACTACCCCGGCTTCTACACCGCCGACAACTTTGGCCGCGCCGCCGAGTTTCTCTACTGGATGGCCGACCGCATCCACACCAACGCCAACTACGCCAACGTCGGCGCCCTCCAGGTCATCAACGAGCCCGTCCACGCGGGCCAGAACCCCTCCGAGGCTGCCTACATGATCGAGAGCTTCTACCCCAACGCCTACACCTCCATCCGCAACGCCGAAGACGCCCTCAACGTCGCGGACGGCGACAGGCTGCACATTCAGTTCATGGGCAACGCCTGGGGCGCCGGTGATCCCACGAGCAGCCTGCCCAGCACGGGTCATACCCTCTTTGACGACCACCGCTACTACAAGTGGGACGGCAGCGTCGAGACCACCAAGGACGGCTACATTAACGCCGTCTGCAATGACAACCGCGAGGACGGCATCGTTGTCGGCGAGTGGTCCATCGCCGTCGCCGACGACGTGGAACACAACGACGAGTTCAGCATCAGGGACCGCCCCGACCAGGTCGACTGGTACCGGTCCTTCTTCAACGCCCAGGTCCAGACTTTTGAGAGGAGTGCCGGATGGGTCTTCTGGACGTGGAAGTGCAACTGGATTGGCGGCATGGACGAGTGGCGCTGGTGCTACAAGTCTGCTGTGGCGGCCGGTGCAATCCCGGACGACGCTGCCAGTGCTGCTGGGAATAGTCCTTGCTAGACATGGTTAACATCCTCAAAAGAGTCGCGTTCAATCAAGCAGTCTCAAATTGACCATCCCTCAACTATACGTGCACTGAATGCTTTCTGCCATCTATGCTGACGGGTCGCGTGCTGATCTAACTTGAACACCGAACCAAACACACCCTTGGCCGACAAAGGAGAAGAAGAACTGTGAGAGTATAAAACCATCCCTTGCAACGCTCAGAAAATGCAATTTCGTAATCTCATCACCTCCATGTGACGCTGCTCTTGCTCGTCTGGCGGCGATGGGCCGACATGCCTGCCCCAGCCCCTGAGCCGACACCGATAGTGACGCGCCGGGGGCCAGGAGGACTAGGACCATCGGTAGACGGCTTATCCGACCTAAGGCTTCCCCCGAGATTCATTCGTCTCGCCTGACCGGCCGTCAGTGTCCTCTCGCTCGCATTCGATCGTTGGTCTGGCGGCGAGCAGGCCATGGGTGGGCTCCTGCGGCGCTCCGTGCTTCCACGTCGGTTTCGGGAGATACCATTGGCGCTGCTGGCCAAGCCGTGTGACGTCGGCCCGGGCATGCTAGGCCGCGGGCCTGACTGTCCTCCGCCGATGGAACCAATGGATGAGACCCGCTTGGCCTTGGAAGCAGATGCTCCCGTCATGAGGCTGACCCGACGAGCATGGTTGGCAGTGTGCATCGCGCCTCGCAGCTTACGCGAGTCTATGAAACTGGACTCGGAGTCGGACCCGGAGCCGTTGGTTTGTTTCGAGAGCGGGCTATTCTCATCTGACATAGCGCGCGGTGGACGCGGCTGGGGGCTAGACGAGGAGCGCAGGTACCGAGGCCGGCTCACGGGCGGCGACATGTTGCCGACTTTATCGACATCAAGTGACCGCAGGGCAGGTAGCCTACTCTCAGGTTCAGGCGAGGTGCTCTTGCGTAGGTTGAGGCTAAGGCTTGGGGGGCTGAGCTTGGGTGAACCGCCATCCTGTGCCGTGGATGGTCGTGATTTGGACAGAAAGCCAGCCTGAAACCGGCTTGGCTTGACAGCAGCCAAGCTGGCGGCTTCCGGTATTTCAATGCTAGGACTCGCCTCTTCCATAATGGTCGGTTCTTGAGGTATCGAAATCGTCGGCATGGCGGGTTCGGGCTCTGGCTTCGCAGAAAGGGTCTGCTCGGGTGTCGCATCCTTGTACTGCGGAGTTCTCTCAAAGTCGGCGAGTTCCCCGTCCTCCGACTCGTCGTCGCGCCACCTGACTCCGCCCTTCTTTGGCTTGGTGGCAGCGCTGAAGCTCACACTCGTCTTAGGCGTCGCAGCGCGGCGTCTCCTCGGCGAGGCCTTCATCGGGCTGGCTTGGTTGTCATCGTTGCTACGGCCAGAAGAAGCAGCAGCGAAGACTGGCTGGGCCACTGGCTTGATGTACGCATGCATGGTGCTCTTGCGCTTTGGCGTGCCCTTGCGCGTTGGTGGGAAGACTTCGGCCACAGGCAGAGACCCGTCAGGCTTGACAACGTGGGAAGCAGCGGTGTAGCCAGTCTGGAGCAGACGGTGGATGATCTCCTTGGCATGAGCCACTGCCGATTCCTCATCCATCGCAAGCGTATCCGCCATGGAGGTCAGCATCTCGAACTGGGCAGTCAGCAGCATCTGCATCATGGAGGCATCACCTGCCCTCTCCTGCTCTGCCACCTCGTGGTACGCCTCGCGGTAGAAGTTGACCTTCAAAAACTCGGCCTCGCGTTCCAAGCTTGCAGCTTCACCCATATCCGCACCCTCTGTGCCCTCGAGCTGCCTCAAGCTGTGGCCAAGAGCCGTATCGATTGTTCGCTCCCATGTGGACTTTTCTATCTTCTGATGAATGTGCTGGCGGCTGCTCTCCAACTCGAGAAGGATGCCCTGTGCGGTCTTGCGAATCGAGATTAGGTTTTGCGGCATAGCATCGTCCTCACCACCGCGCTGATCGCAGACTGTGTCAAATGCGGCGATCCAGCTCGACAAAAGTCCGATTCGGCGCTCGAATGCCTTGAGACGCTTCATGCTGTTGACGCGCTCTTGACGCTCACCAGCGCAATTGTCATAGGCCGCCCTGAGGCGCTGGACACCCTCGTGCCCAGCAGCCTGGCGCTTTTCACATTGTTTCCGGAATTTGGCAAAGAAGAGATTCTCAGAGTCTTTTTGCTGTGCGCGCAGCTCGTTGATCAAGGCCATCTGCTCATCGATCTTGACCAAAAAGTCCTTGACGTGGCGGTTGACATTGAAAACGTTGCGTGTCACCTTTGTTTGAATGTTCTTGGCCCGGTTCGCATAGCGCAATGTGTTTTGGCTCTCGTCGAAATGTGCACTCGATGGCGATACGCACACAATCATCACCGTCTTGCAGTTGCCGCCAAGGGAGAACTTGAGGAGTCGCGTGAGCTTGCTGTTTCGGTACGGCACATGTGCCTTTTGGCGTCGATCGCAGAGCGCATTGATGCAGCTTCCCAGTGCAAGGAGGGATTTGTTGATGTTGGCACCTTCGACAAGTCGCTCGCCGCGGTTCTTTGTAACGGAAGCTCGCTCTGATCCGGCCAGATCGATGATGCTGAGCGTGGCCATGGTGTGAGGCTCGTTGACATCTGCGTTTCGGTCTTTTTGCGCGACGTTGATCTGAAGCACGGCGTGAGACCGCGACGATGTGGCATTGGCCTCTGTCGGCGAGACGGTTCGGTACTCATTACCGCGCACGATCATGTCCATGACCTCGGCCACGTCCTTTGGGTGGTGGCTTGTCAGCCCAGGCACTGTCACGGCCTGGTTGCTGTCCTCCCGCAGCATCAGTCCACCCTTGCCGCTCCCACCAGGCACCAAGAGATCGCGAATGGTCTCATTGTAGATCTCGAGATAGCTCAGACTCAATTCTGTCGTCTTCTCTTGGCTGCGCTCCTCAATCTTCTCGAACAATTCCTGCATGGTCAGGAAAATGATACCAGGGTGTTGCGATGTGCCGGTGATGGTGTGGGTTTTGCCGCAACCAGTCGCGCCGTATGCGAAGACAGTCGCATTGTAGCCATCGAGGACGCTATCCAACAGCTGCTTTGTTGTGCCTTCGTATACGTCTGCTTGGTTCGTGTTTTCGTCAAAGACACGATCAAACGCAAAGACCTGGTCCTTTGTTTTCTTCGAGGTCGGGACGACAGATCGACCGAATTTGTGAACGGGGTTGTCCTCGGGAGGATCGAAGACTCTGGAGCCCTGTCAGTAGGCGTACTACTACATAAAGATGTGACCTTACAAGCAGCGGTCATCGACCACTTTTATGACGTTTCGTATGCCGCGCTGGTGAAGTTTTGGTTGCGGCGCGCCCGCGAGCGAGCCGTCGCCCAAGAAAACTGTGCCATCATCGTTCTTGTGTCTGCGCTAGTCAGTTTGAAGTTGTGCCTGGATAGGAGTAACAGGCGTACACTTGTGCAGCTTCTCGAATTGTAAAGGGCCGCACTCGGACTGTTGAGACATGGTCAGCATTGGAATGCTCTGTATGCAAATCCTTGGAACCCACCAGCGACTGTGATGGACGACTGGTTATTAGGCGCAGCCATTGTGTGTGTGTGTGTGTGATATATGCTCTTGCAGCCTCGGATATGTCTGATGTTGAGTGTCCAGTACTCAATTAAACAGAAGCGCAGATGAAAATTGATGTTCAGACCGAACAGAGCACAAGGTAAACAAACAAAAATTGGGTATCAAGTGTGAAGCGAAAAGAGAGTTGCGCCTCCGACGGAAAAGGGTTCGGTGCGAAAGGTCGCGTGCTTGATGAAGCTGCTGTGTTAGTTGTTTGTCGAAGGCGCAAAGTTGAAAAGGATCGTGAGCAGGCGACCGTGAATGTGAAGCTGGCGGGCTTTTGGCTTGTGACGATGTGAGGCTCATGCGTTTGTTTTTCCGACCCCGGATTAGGATGGCGGTTGCCCAGACGACGCGTTTCTACGGGGCCCGGCAGGGACTCGAAACAGGCGCGTGCAGGGGGGGGGGGGGCTTGGCTGTTAAGTTAGGTATTTGTTCATTTACTTACCCGGCACATAATGACATCCGCCCATATCGTATCAACATTGAGTTCAAATGTTGCATTGAACTTTGTTGTAATTAGCCACAACATTCGACTGTATACTTTTAACCTTGAGCAATCCAATAGTTCTCCAGTCTAAAGCACCTTCAAAAAACTCAGACTATTGGTACTTTCATCCACGGGGCCAGCTCAAGCAATGCAGAACCAGATTCTCTCAAATAAGTTCTTCGGCTGCTCGACCGGCTACACTGGCTCCATCCGGTCAATTTCCGCCTTGCCACTCCAGACATCCATGTTCTGCACCTTGACCAACTTGGTCTTCTTGATAAGCTTGTACGAGAAGAAGAACGTCAGCACAATGGGGATGTTGATGTGCGGCGGGATGAAGCTCTTGGCCGAGAACCGTCCTGGAAACAACGCAATCGTCAGACAAAAGCAGATGGCAAAGCAGGCCAGATACGGCTGGAAGAGCGCTTTGTAGGGCAGCGTGTTCCGGTCGATGGCGTGGTACCTGAGCCCCTTGTAGAAGCAGAGGTACGTGTAGCACACGCTGGCTCAAATCATGACTGTCGAGACAGCGGATAAGTTGCTGATCCAGAAAAAGAGCTCGGACGAGCGATTGACTAGGTTTGAGGTAGCTGAGGCAGCCAAGCGCGGTGTCAATGGCCACGCATTCATAGGCCACACCCTATTTCTTCTACCGGAGGATAGCGTGCCTTGCCGTCGATGGCGGCCGAGTAGAGGACACTCTGGACGCGTAGGAGAAGGAGTTGCCGGCGGACCACGTGGACGAGAGGATGATGCCGTTGAGAATACCCGGCATGGTCTTGATACCCGCCGTCTCAATGGCAATGACAAACGGATTCTGGTTGGCGCCAGGCGCGTCGCTGCTGATGGCATTGAGCAGACCTTTGTCATCTGACGAGACACAGAGACCGACATGGAAGAGTGCAATCACATCGAAGATGAGGATACGCCAGAAGACTCGACGCACTGCCTTGGGAATGTTGCGTCGGGAGTTCTCCGTCTCACCGGCGGCGACCACCATCTCACTACCACCGTAGACAAACGTGGCCTAGATGAAGACCTTGAAGAAGCCCAGGAAGCGGCCCAGCGCACCTGAATGCAGGTACGCGTTCATCGTCCCGGGGTCCATCCAGTGGGCGAACCCGATGGCGTGCCCACTGGGATCTCCACCGCAGGTGATGATGAGCATGAGCAGGATCAACCCGACAATAATAGTGAGCTTGATCGCCCCAAAGAAAAACTCGGCCTCGCCATGGATCTTGACGGGGAAGCGATTGATGACGACCATGGCCAGAAAAGGTTTTGGTGATCAAGGCACCCTTGGGCACGTCGTTTGGCCAGTAGTCCACAATGACGCAGCAGCAGACGCTGGCCTCGATCGGCACGCCAATGGCGAACTGGTACCAGCAGTTCCAGCCAAGAGTCAAGCAGCGACTCATCGACATAGCGCGTCGCGAAGATGGGGACGCACCCGGGGATGGGCAACAACGCGGCCATCTCCCCCAGCGAGTTGATCACGCAGTAGAGGTTGAAGCCGGTGATGAGGTAGGCGAGGAACATGGACACTGGCCCAGCGAGCGAGAGGACCTGGCCAGCTGACAAAGAGTCTTGTGCCGATGGCGCCGGAGAGGGCGACGAACTGCACGTGGCGATACTTAAGCCCACGCTGCAGATTTCCGGTGTGACGAAGCTCATGCTCCTCCAACTTGGAATCGCCGCCCTCAGGGGCATCATTGGTAGCAGTTGGCTCGGGGCTGCACCGATCCTGTTGCCCTGGACTTCAATATCGTTCTTCTCGGCTACCATTGTGACCGAATTGGCGTCGAGGCGGTGCGTCCGAATGGGAGTATGGAGACAGAATGGCAATACCGCTCAAGGCGAGCTCCGAGTAGATGTACACAGCTAAGTGAGCCGGGCATCGGTCTCGGTCAAGCAGAGCGACTTCCGAGACTTATCTCGCTTGATATATTCCCCGCACTCCATGGGTGGCATCGGAGTGAAAGCAGCCCCTTTAAGCCTTGTAAACTGTCAATCCGCATGACAGACAATGTCGGCTATCGTAGGAGCGGGGGTGGATTAGATACGCTTATTGAAGCGGTTTATTTTTGCCAGTCCGCCTCCTTGGGATACCTTGGCAGGAGAGGCGAGGGGAGACTGTCCAGTTGACGAGCCCCACGAGGCCGGCCGCTGCATGGATCAAGCATTGCTCACTCCACAGCGTCTGTTATCTTGCCCTCCGTCCTGCCCAGACTCAATAGTTCCTCGTCCACAAGCATTGTCCACTTGCGCAGGAACCATCGCTCCGCGATCCAGCTACTTTTGTCCCAGGGCTGACAAGTTCTCTTGCGGTGGTCGTTGCTCCTCGTCGTCTTCAACATCACGAGCCCTCCTTTCACGTAGATATCGAGCTTGAGCTCCCAAAGATTGAAAACCGTGGGCAACGCAGCCGACAGCATGATCGCCCTGTCTCTCAGGTGAGGCAGTGGTATCAGGTCTAGGGAAGGATGATGGGGTACGACAACCTGCGTCAGGGTTGGGCGAAGATGGGGCGGCGTTTGACCAGGAAGATTGATGATGAGTGACGCCAAAAGCGTCTGAGGATTTGTCTCTGGTGTCGTAGGTCGGTAAAATGGTGAGATGCCGTGGGGTGAGCACGTAGCTAGCTGCTCTGCGTCCCAACCGAGAGCGGCGGCATTGTGAAGACACGCGCCAAAGATGATAGTCGGTAGAAACTCCAATGTGTTGCACGAGGGGTCTGCGAGCGCAGGTTGAGCCTGGAATAGGGGTCGAGCTCCGTCCCAGCAGCTGGGCGTTGAGTCGTCCGGCGACTCTTGATCAGGTCGGGAGTTCCAGTCGTCGCTGGCGGAGAACAATGGCTCTTCGCCGAATTCAACCATACCCTGGGCCCATGAAGTTGGTGTTGGGGCCAGAAAACCAGTTGATCCTTCGTCATGCAACGACACCGCCGGTAACGGCTCGACATTCATGAACGTTCCCAACCTAAGAACGTCCTCACCGCTCTGTGCGGCCACGGGTGCTGCGCTGGATGAGGTCGCTGGTGAACCATCGACTCGACCAGGGCTGCCTGTATTGGCGGCCGGGGTACCTTTTGCGCCAATTCGAGGGCGGGTACTGGTAATAGAGGGTTGTGTCATTTGGCCGGCTTTCAATTGCTGTCTCTTCTCCTTCTGACGTTGCCCTAGTCATCCTCGTCAGTTCATCGATACTATTGCTGTGAGATCTGAACTCACTAAACACCTTCTGCGCAATGCGATTCTGCTCTTTCCTCGCTTCTGTAATGATTCGCCTCTTCTTTTGAGGTCTAGACTCACTGCCGCCCACTGAATATGGCCGCGTTTGGGGAAGCGCACAGTGGTCATTGCGCCTGGACGCATCCGACATGGATGCTGAGCAGGCATTTCCCGGGACAAATAAAGGTAACATCGACATGGCGTGGCCGGACACAGACTCTGCATAGGTAAGAGTAAACCAGTAAGCCACTGTGTGAAGTCAAACAATCAGGTCGGCAATCAGTAGTGTTGAAGGTCGACAGGATCCGGAGACATGCCTATGCTCCGGGCGGATTCACCGGACTTATGAGACCCAGTTTCCGAGATCCCACCATTCATGCAACGCCCTCACTCTATTTCATTTGGCGATACTATGTGCACCCGTGCTACATGTGAGGTCTTCCTGCTATGTCTTGAATTGTTCGTCGATGGTCCATTCTATCTAAACCTTGACAGACGACGAAACTGACCAGCTCTCAACTTGTAATGGACGATGACCATCGACACTCGTGTCGCAAACCCTGGTGTTAATGTCGCAATCGGCATGTTGGCTTACTATGGGCCGGGAATGGCTTAGCATTGACCAGCCAATCAACGCCAACGCGAAGGGTAAGCTGTAGTTGTACCAGCCTACAAACACCATTGTCAATGGCAACCCCCAGACTTGACATCTGCGTGCGAATCGAGTGAAGAATGACTCTCTCCGTAAGCCAATGCGCATCTTCATCAGCTTCTTGATGGGCATGCTGTCAAAGGTGCCCATGCGCGGAGGTAAAGCCACTAGTAAAGCGCGACGAAGGATGGTATAAAGTAACGACATGTCCGGCACAAGCAGACAGCCTTGACCACCAGCACAGCATCAGAAGACGTCGTCGAACAAAGTCATTGCAACTGAGAAACCTGAAAGACCCGCCAGTCACCTCATATAATCATGTCCGCCCCCAAGAAAGTCATCGCTGTCGTAGGCGCCACCGGCATCCAGGGTGGCTCCGTGGTCAAGGCCTTCCTGCCCATGGAAAACTGGACTGTCCGCGCTCTCACGCGCGACCCTTCTTCCAAGAAAGCGCGCGAGCTGGCTTCCCAGGGTTGTGAGGTCGTCGAGGCCGAGCTCGCCGACCCTGCCTCCCTCGCCCGGGCCTTTGAGGGTGTCGCCGCCATCTTCTCCAACACGGACTTCTGGGCCCCCTACAGTCAAGCAAACAAGGCCGGGGAGACCCGCGAAAAGGCCACCGCGTTTGGCTTCCAGGTCGAATTCTCTCATGCCAAGAATGTGGCCGACGAGGCAGCCAAGGTCCCTGGACTGGAGCGGTTCGTCTACTCCGCACTCGGACCCATGAAGAAGGCGTCCAGGGGCAAATACCCCAATTCAGGCCACTGGGATTCCAAGGCGGAAGCCGTCGACTACATTGAAGAGTCGTGCCCGGACCTGCAGGGCAAGGTCTCTTTTGTGTATCCCAGCGTCTACCACACCAACCCGTTCCTGCTGCCGCACAAGTACCCGCACATTGGCGACTATGCGATCATGCTGCCAGGTGACGAGACAATGATGATGCCCGTGATCCACACCGATGTCACGTTTGGCAAGTTTGTCCGTAACTTGATCGTCGACGAGGAACCCGGTGTTAAGCTCCTGGCGTGCGACGTCGAGGTAACCATGCGCGAGGTCACTGATACCTGGAACCGCGTCACTGGCCAGAAGGCCACCATCACCACGGAGACGGAGGATAGGATGCACGAGCTCACTGGCCTGCCGTATGAGGTCCTTGACGGACCTGCTTACCTGGCCGAATACGACTTTATGCATGGCGTCACGGGCAAGGTGATCCGGCCAAAGGAGCTGAAGGTCAAGGTCGAGACGATGACTTTGGAGGAGATCATGCAATCTAGGGGTCTGGATGCCCTGCTGAGCATTGAGCATCCCGATTTGTAGATGTTGCCGATCAAGTACCGTGCAGTCAAAAATTGGTGGCCGCGTCGCCTTCAGTGAGAATAATGTCACATTGTTTGGCTCCATATTATACAAGCGCCCCAACGCCATTCCTGTGAACATGAGTGCTATATCCTGCGCCATCTAGTACCCACCAAGCACATCATGCCGCCGTGAAGGCATACCGCGGTAGCTTGGCCATCCTCTCCTCTGGGCTGATCTCCGCATCGTCGTAGAACATCCTGCCCTTCTTGTCCTTCTTGCTCGCCTTTTCGGGCTCCACGGCCGGTTTCACGCCTGTCTCTGCCTTGCGAATGAGTTGATCGATGCTGTCACCGCCAGGTCGCTGAGGAAGACCGGCCACGCCAGGCGGGCCGCTAGGTGGTCGCGCGGGAATGCCTTCGGGTGCCTGGCCGTAGAAATGACCCTGAGGCGGCGCCTGCTGCTGTCCAGGGTACTGCTGCTGCTGCTGGGCTGGCGCGGGTACAGGTGCCGGTGTTGCTTGTTGTTGCGCGCTCTGCATCATGCTCTCCAAGCTGCCGCCGTTGGCGAGAATCTCCTTCCTCCTGGCTCGCCACTCCCTCAGACGCGTCTTGAGCTCCTCCGCCGTTTCAATCTTGATCTTCTTTCTCGGCTCCTTGGCCTGCCCAGGCAGAGGGTTGCCGGTCGCGATTCTTCGGTCCTCCTGCGCCTGGTAGAAGTTCTGGATCAGTCGGTTGCGGTGCGACTCGAGCACTTCGGTGGGGATGCCCTCCATGCCAAAAATTTCGACCTCGAGGCCCTGGCGGTTCGGGAGCGCATTTTCGACGTGATCGAGGTTTTCCTTGTGGACCTGGTTCAGGTGCACGGAGAGACCTGCCATTGTATCAGCTGTGCAATTGATTCAAGACAGACGAGGTGCGGTACCTCCGGCGGTGTTCAGGCGGCGACCGCAGCGGTCACATTTGAAATGTTTCGCCTTTTGATGCGAGATGAGGAGTTTGAGGTCCTCAAAGTCTCGCTCACCTGGGATAGTCAGCTGTCACGTTCATGGGCGCGTGGGTCTGGGTCGCTTACAGTAGTAGCACCATGGTCTGCCCAGGATTTCCTCGATATCGGCATGGCCGCGTCTCTTCTTGCCCATGGTGGCAGTACGGGGATGATTGGCTGGTTGATGATACAGGACAGCTATCGTCTCGCGCGACTGAGCTTCGGTCGGTGGTGTTTTCCGCGGTGGGTCCCTGCCTCCAGCGGTTAAACTGCGGGCTGATGATACAAAAGTGGCAGACTCCCTCTCGCTCGACTCCTCACCCCTGTAAGGTCACGTGATCAGCCAATTTGAGATTGAGTGATACGCCGCTGTCTAATATTGACTCGCATTTCCAAACGCTATGTTACAAAGGCGTGCGCTCGTTCTCCTCATCACTGTCCGGTTGTCGCCTCCATCCTAACCGCCAGTAGCGCTGATGTATGCTTGGCACCCATTCCCCAACTGAACCTCGTGGCACAGCTCCCTTCTGTCTTCGCTCGTGCGCAACTTCATCGAAAAAAACCGATGCGGTCGCCACAGTGAGGATCATGACAAGTTGAGCGTGGGTAGGCTCGCCCACGAACCATAGGAAGCAGCTGCTCGCGGCGGCCGCTATTCCGAAATGGCAGACACCGCGAGCCATCCGGGGATAGATGGGTATGACGATGAGTGGACCAGTCGCGCAGAAGTCTGTGAGCCGATGCAAGTACCTCAAGATCGCTACCGTAAGAATGAAGAGAGCGAGGCCTTGAAAAGACAGGGCTGTCATCGCAGGAAGGCAGTTCCGTCGTTAGCAGGCTGGGTACTTAGATGGCCTAGTCCATTTGGCAAACAGGTAAATGGGTTACGGGCTTGATGACGCGAGAGCGCCCACCTGGAGTATGGGACAACTGCGCGAAGTAGGGTGAACGAGGTCGTGACTGGTGAGAGGATGGGTCATGTGGGTATACTCTGCTGTGAGGACGATATTCTGTTTGTAACTAGGCACAACTTGTTTCGTTCAGCGACGGAAGAATGCCTGTAGTCTGTTTTCAAGGCAGACGCCAGAAGTCGTTGAAAGACACATGTACCTGAGATACGAGGTAGGCTTAATACAAATCGTCGCTGCCTGCGCTCTTGGACCTTCCCGATTCAAAGGCTCGGGTTGTCATTCAGGTAAGTCACAATCCACCTGACAGGCCCTACCTAAAAGTGCGCTTGCGAAGTTGACATGACCAGCTGGTTTTCTTCGTGTGGAACACTGGAAGTGCTTTGTACGTTTCGTATTATGTTTCGACGTCTCAAAAGCCTTTTTTTTTCTTTGGCTGTTTGATGATAATTTGAAGCGTGGTCTAATGTACAGCTTCCAAGAGGCTACAATTATGTGAGCCCCTCGTCATAAGTCTATGAGTGCGACGAAGACCGATACCTTGATAGTGATTTTTCGGTAGCTTTTGCGTGGATAGAAGAGACGACAACAATCTAGTAGGGTAGGTAAAATGCAAGCTTGTTCGCCTTGATATGCGACCGGCCGCGCGCAACGCGTCGCCTCCTCTGACCCCTCCGTGGTAACCCCGCGATGCCAATGGTTGATCATCACCACCACCGAGCCTCAGGAAACCACTTTCATCATGTCCTCCGAGATAGAGGTTGTCCAGTTGGACCATGTACCAAGTCGCTACGCCGTCCACCTCGCGGTGTTCCAGGACGTGGGCAACGCCGAGTTCCTCCACAAGCAGCTTCTGTCGCGCAACGCAGAATTTGAATATGCCTTTATCGACGCTTCGGTGGTATGTAAGCCTTCATGTTGGAGCGCGAGGGAAATCATCTAACAAAGCAAAGATCGTGTCCAGACTCCACCTGTTGTCCGCGGTCTTTAAAGCCATCACTTCAGCATCGAACGAAGTCCTCAAAACACCAAATGTCCATTCGGAGATTGTCGCCAACCTGGCGGCGAGCAACAATGTGCGATATCATGTCCACGAACTGAGCCAAATGGCTAACGCTCCCCAGATAGCAGAGGCCTACCGTCGATATGGCGTGTCAACGGCTACGAAGAACCTTGTTGTGGTCAAGGTTGCGGAAAACGGCAACCCATCCACCGAACAGATCGCAGAACACCTCGCGAAGAATGTCGAGGGCACCCAAGTACCAGCGACGGACGAGAAACTTGCTTCCACGGCAGACATGAGCAAGGTGTTCAAATACTACAAGTTAAATGGACTGAATTGGCTGGATAAGATCAAAGATCATGGTGCGGAGCAGAAAGAGTTGGAGATGCTGGTCGTTGGTGCCATGGCCTTACGTGGGCTGTAACGCGGCGTCCAATATTCACAACTTCGCCATTCCATTCCATGATACAGACCACGTATGATCAAAAGAAGAATAGTAAGTGAAAGCGTTTGTTAAAAAATTGCTTGTGTAATCTCTTGTGTAATCTAATGCGCTCCTAGTGTAACGCCGGCTCAAAAACAAACAATCCGCTGAGGTGTCAATATCTTGGGTATAACTTGGGGAAAAGAAAATCATTTCTCGGAACGCCAGCTAATCGTCAAATCATTGGGTCGTAAATCTTAAGCCGCTATACCGAACGCAGCTTTGCAGCGTCGGATCAGCTCAGCCCACATGGCATCGCGGCTGGTGCGCGTGCGGCCGACGGCTTCCTTGTTCTCTTGTGCGCGGCGGGAGAGGTACTTCATGCACTCGCCAGTTGAGCCCCAGACAAGGTACTTGAATGTAGGTAGTGTGGAAGTGGCAGCACGAGGAGAAGTCTTGACCGGCCCAGAAGTCTTTTGACGTTGCAAGCCAGCCTCCACAAGCTCGCAGCTGACCTCATCAGCCATGCCTTGCAATTGGGCGAATGCGACGGGGGATTTGGCCTTTCCAGCTTCGCAAATGGCACGAGCGCGCCTAACAGACTCCGTATTGTGCGAGGCAATGATCATGCTCACGTCGGGGAAATCGCCCTCGCCCGGGACTGTCGAGTTCCAGGAACGGGTCAACAGACTGGCGGTCATGCCATCGAAGCAAGCGTGGGTATCCTCCACAGTGTCATGGAAGCGCTCGCGGGGGTCGGAGTTGAGGTATGCGCCGCGTACCATCTTCACGCCTAGGGTGTAGCCGTTCTTCTTCGCATCGGCAAGATGGTTCAAAATCAGCTGGGGTGCACACTTCTTGTATGCTTGGTAGGTACCAAACACCGTTGGGTTGGCGGGGTTCCGGTTGTACTTGCGAGCGAATCGAAGGATCCAGTCGTCGATACCGTCTTGCAAAGCATCTTGCTCGGCGTCGATCGCCACGCGAACACCACGTTCCGAGGCGAGCTTGCAGATTGCGTCGATGGAATCACCCAGGTAGGGCGAGCAGGGAAGGCGGTTAGACAGCTGGTGCAAGGCCAGTCTACCGGCACCGGTAAACTTCATTGAGACGAAGTCGCCAGGCTGTGCCAGGCGAACGGTCTCGAGCGTGCCCTCGGCCCACGGTGCGATTTCATTTTGGATCAGCTCGGGGGTCTCGTCGCTGACCTTGCCCCTGGCCTGCTCTCCTGACAAGCCGACCTCCCGCGCATAGCACAGCATGACCCCAGTGAAGCCAAGGCCCTTGATGCCGTCGATGGTTCGGTTCACTTCGACGGCGTTCTCTCCGGCGCAGAACTGATCGTAGAGTGTCTTCTTGAGTGCGAAGTGCAACAGACGATTGCGATCAGGGTTCAGAATGGGGTTGCTCGAGTGCGCTATCGCATTCATAATACGCAACGAGGGAGCGAGCAACGCTGGTGAAGACGAGACCGAAGCAGTAGCGAGTGAGCGAAGGATCATGGTGAGAGGCAGTAGCGACAAAGGCGCACGTGGATGTTCCGTGGGCCCGTCCGTGAAGTCAGCGCAGCCGGCGGAGGCTCGGTGCCGCGACGAGTGGATGCTACGACGAACGTTGCTGGCGGGCGACAATGGGGCCGACTCGGGTTCGGGGGTGAGGCCATTATGAGCGGTGACTGGTGTCGGCTCAGAGGCGAGGCCGTTGTGCGCAGTGACCTGTGTGTTATGACCACGTCGCTGATCCTGCTTCAGTACTGCCGTTTTGGAACGACATGACTGCGGGACAACATTTGTGCGGTAAGCAGTGAACGCTGCCTTCTGTATGGGAAGACCAGCGATTCCTCGCCGCGAAGTGGCTGTTGCCATTGCCTGCTGACGATAGTGTGGGTGGTAGTTGATGGCAATGCGATTCGGGTTCTTCGTGTGACTGTTCAAGTGAGAAACGAAGAAGGTCCGGGAAGTTGGAATCCCCTCGTCTGAAGTTTAAAAAAAAAACAGGCTGGCCTTGTGAACTTTGTGTGTCCCAAAGTCAACCGTGGTCACCAGTGTTTGTTGGTGAGAAGACAAAACTGTTAAATTCTGTTTCTTAATGAAGAGGAGTAAGTGACCTGGAACAATGGCAGGTAGACTAGTGGCGGCTTTCTTATTTCTAGGTAATCTAGGGAGTAGCAAGGCAGGGCTAAGTGATATTCATAGCTTATCAATGCTTTTGCCTATCACCAACGCCTCACCTATCTTTCACCATCGATCGTCACCAGCCATCATACTATCGCGGCATGGAGCTTACCTCCGACCGCCGGTCCACCTTATCTCCAAGATGATATCAGCTGCACCCAACATGCTCCGGCGTCAGAACAGAGAATCTGTCAGGAACTGCGCAGCGCCAATCCTTGGGCTGCGTAAGCTCCCGTGTGTCCACATTTACATCACACTTCCAAACTTCCATGGTGAAATCATGAATTCCAATACCTGATCCACCGCATCGGCATACAGATGTCATCGGCGTAAATCAGGGTCCTTCCACTCCGTACTCCCTCCACGGACCAAGTGCTCCTGTTTCAGATTGGGGCATGCCTCGAAAGGGCAAGAAGCGGGGACCGCTGTCTAATCAGGCTCGCGATCAATGATTGGTATGGAGAACTGCAAAGCGCGCCGCCTGACGGACGACTGGCCGATCTCGATCGTGCCTCATCCTCAATGACCCAAAATGTCCGGGCCTCCCTGGAGTCCCTGCCCGCCACTGGCAGTGGGGCGGGGAGCCGCTGGACTGCCACGCTGAGTCACGTGCTCCCACTATCCACATCGACAAGCCGGCCTGGCCTCCCTCGACTGCCCCTCCCGATGACCGGAGCTAAGTGGAAATTTGTTGTGTGACGCATGGCGAGATATGGCATCCGCGGATCATTGTTTGGAATTGAGCTCGTTCTCTCCATATGCTCTACGGGTCTTACCTGACACCGATCTCCTCGCAACCGACACGATGAGTGGCATACTACCCGATCCCACGGCCGACCTCGATTGGAGTGGCTACGCCGGCGCCATACACGAGATATTTCACAAGAACGCATTGGCCTTCCCCGACAGGCCTTGCGTGACCGAGACCAAGACACCCACGTATGCGGAACATCCCAATTGGAAAAAGTCACGCTTGTCTGTGCTTCTACTGACGCGTGGACAAGATCACCGACAAGAGCATATACGTACCGCCAGATCGACGAGGCATCTAGCACCATTGCGAATTACCTCCATGATTCAGGCATCACCAATGGCGATGTTGTCATGATATTTGCCCACCGCTCGGTGGAGCTAGTCTGCGCCTTCATGGGAACATTGGTTCGACTCCCTTTGCCAATTCGAACCGTGCAGTCTTACTGATCGAGACTCTTAGGCTGCCGGAGCTACAGTCACAGTGCTAGATCCTCTCTACCCCCCGCAGAGGCAACAGAGTCCGCGATCCCCCCCGAGATGATTTGATCCAAGTTGAAAGACTGACCAGACGATGCAGTCTATCTGGAAGTCTCCCAGCCAAAGGCACTCATATCCATTGGCAAAACGACAGACGAGAATGGGTAGGTACCTCTTTACCGTACTCTGACGGCCGCCACTCCCTAGCGAGCGCGCCCGCCAATCGGTGCGAGCTTCGATTCGCTTACTGACACTTCCGATGCAGCCCCCTTGCACCTCTTGTACAGAAGTACATCGACGAGGAGCTATCTATCAAATCCCGGATCCCGGACCTACGTCTCAATGATGATGGCATCCTGTCTGGCGGCAAACAGGATGATAACGACAGCGACATTTTTGATGCCATAAGGGGCAAGGTATCGTCACCTCCCGATGTTCTCGTTGGTCCGGACTCCAACCCTACGTTATCATTCACCTCCGGAAGCGAGGGGCGGCCCAAGGGTGTTTTAGGACGTCACTACAGCTTGGCCAGGTACTTCCCCTGGATGGCCCAGCGCTTCAACCTGTCATCCGACAGTGTGTTTGCCTGTCTCTCCGGTATTGCTCATGATCCTATCCAGCGAGGTCAGCAACGCCTTCCATGATGGTGACATAAGTTTTCGTATTGACAGTAGAGTCTAGACATCATGACGCCTCTGTGGCTTGGCGCACAGCTGCTCATTCCTGCCAAGGAAGACATTCAGCACGAGAAACTGAGCGAATGGATGAATGCATGGTCACCATCCACGGCCCATCTCACCCCTGCGATGGGTCAAATTCTCGTCGGTGGCGCTACCACCAAGTTTCCCGCATTGCGTCAGGTCTTCTTTGTCGGCGACGTTCTCACCACCCGCGACTGCAAGGTGCTGCGTAAACTAGGACCTTCATGCAATATCATCAACATGTATGGCACAACCGAGACCTCTCGCGCTGTATCGTATTTCGAGGTACAATCTGCGGCCCAGGATCCGACAGCTCTCGATCAACTGGGGGACACCATCCCTGCTGGCTGGGGGATGAAGGATGTGCAGGTCCTTGTCGTATCGCAAGCGGACCACACTAAGATGTGCGGCATTGGCGAAGTTGGCGAGATCTACATCAGAGCCGCTGGGCTGGCTGAGGGATACCTAGGCGACCCCGAGAAGAACAAGGAGAAGTTCATCAATAATTGGTTCGTGGACAACATCACGTGGGTTGAAGCCGACAAGGCCAACGACAAGGGTGAACCGTGGCGCCGCTACTACAAGGGGCCCCGCGACAGGTTGTATCGCACCGGTGATCTTGGGCAGTACCTACCGTCCGGCGCTGTTCGCGTGTCTGGCCGCATCGACTCTCAGGTCAAGATTCGCGGATTCCGCATCGAACTTAACGAGATTGACGCCAACTTAAGCGGCAGCCCTCTAATTCGAGACTGCAAGACCCTCGTTCGAAGGGACCGAAACGAGGAGCCGACGCTCGTCAGCTACATTGTACCTGAGATCAGCGAGTGGAAGCGTTGGCTGGAGGCTCATGGTCATGAGGATGTCGAAGACGAGGGTGTGGAGATGGGCCCCAGCGTCGTCTACCTCAAGAGATTCCGCCGCATGCAGGCTGAGGTGCGAGATCATCTCAAGACACGTCTGCCTGTGCACTCGGTGCCCTCGATCTATATCGTCCTGCAGAAGCTCCCCCTGAATCCGAACGGGAAGGTCGACTCCCCCAACCTGCCCTTCCCCGATGCAGCACTTATGATGGAGGATGCCTCGGAAGAGGATCTGAAGAGCTGGGAAAAGTTGTCTGAGACTGAAAAGACCATTGCTACTCAGTGGTCAACTCTAATTCCAGGCCTCAACGCCAAGACCATCAAGTAAGTGCTGTCCCTAAGGCAAACTCCTCAGATCAAAGCTGACCGTAGCTAGGCCCGATTCGAGTTTCTTCGACTGCGGAGGGCACAGTCTCCTGGCCCAGCAGCTCCTGCTCACGATCCGCAAAAGCTTGGATGCCGACATCACCATCGGTGTTCTATACGCGAACCCCACTCTTGGAGCTTTGAGCACACAAGTAGACCGTTTGCGCAACGGCCAGGCCGTCACGGTCGACAAGTCGGCCGACACCGTATACTCCGATTCCTTCAATGAATTGATCAACACTCTCGACGCCAAGTACGAGAGCGCGGATCCGGATGCTCTGAGCCCATCGCATGGGGCGACATTCTTCCTCACAGGTGCCACGGGCTTCCTAGGGGCATATCTGGCGAAGGATATTCTGGACAGGAAGAACACCAAGCTCATTGCGCATATTCGTGGAGCCAAGGATCTCGCTTTCGCCAAGGACCGTCTCACGAGATCTCTCAAAGGTTATGGGTTGTGGCAAGATTCCTGGGCCGATAGAATCTCCTGCGTTCTTGGTGACCTTTCCAAGCCCCGTCTTGGCCTCGACGATGTCAGTTGGAAGCACGTTGCCGACACAGCGGATGTCTTTGTCCATAATGCGGCCTATGTTCACTGGATCGCGCGCTACGAGCAGATGATGCGCAGCAACGTCCTCTCAACCATTGATGCCATGAAGCTCTGCAATGAAGGAAAGCGGAAGCTATTCTCCTTCGTATCGTCGACTTCAACACTCGACACCGATTACTACGTTCAGCTGTCACAGGAGCAGACTGCCACGGGACGTGGGGCGGTACTCGAGGCCGACGATCTGCAGGGCAGCCGCATTGGTCTTGGCACTGGCTATGGCCAGACCAAATGGGTGTCTGAGCAGCTGGTGCGAGAAGCCGGCAGACGAGGCCTTCGCGGCGCCGTCGTCCGTCCTGGGTACATCCTCGGCAGCCGCCATGGCGGCGTATCGAACACGGATGACTTCCTCATCAGGTTTTGCAAGGGATGTGTTCAGCTGGGTTCGCGGCCCCGGATTGTCAACTCGGTGAACGCTGTCCCCGTGGATCACGTGGCGCACGTTGTCATCGCGGCAGCCCTGAATCCTCTTCCTGGTGTCAACGTCGTGCACGTCACGGCCCACCCTCGGCTGCGGATGAATGAGTTCCTTTCTGCGCTGAGCTACTATGGATACAACGTCCCAGAGGTCGACTATGAGGAGTGGAAGACACAGCTTGAAGAGTTTGTGTCAGCTGGCTCCGTCGAAAAGGACCAGGAGCAGAGCGCGCTGATGCCGCTGTTCCACATGGCCACCTCGAATCTGCCGTCGACGACGCGCGCCCCAGAGTTGGACGACAGAAATGCCGTCGCCGTGCTCAAGGCTGACGCAGACCGCTGGACAGGCGTAGATGACAGCGCAGGCGAGGGAATTACCCGCGAAGATATCGGGCGGTATCTGCGCTATCTCGTCGAGATCAAGTTCCTGGTGCCGCCGACAGGTCGAGGCCGGGAGCTACCACCCATCGCCGCCGATGTTGCGGAGGCCCAGGCGCAATGGAGTGTGGGCGGTCGCGGCGGCGCGGCTTAAATTTCTTCTATCTTGGATGTCAAGTAAGGACAGATAAAAAGTGAGACGCTCACGCGAAAGGTACTTTTGATGCGAAAGACATAGACATGGGGTTTGGGTCTGAGACGAGTGCAGACTTGAGATACAGGTAGCTTTGCTTTTCAATCGAGCCATGCGATCATCTCAAAGATGCTGTAGAGACAGTTTGCGGTCCTCATCAACACACCCACTCAGCGTAGCCATTATCCTCAGGTCAAAAATGCGGAGGCGACAAAGCGCTTTCTGATGGCATGAGTGGGATGATGCTGTGAGAGACCTTGTGCCTGGAAGCATGAGAGGTCTATCCCGTTAGGTCCCTAAGAGCAGAGCTGCTGCAATGCTTCGAAAGGATCTATTCTATCCGTCGAGGTCTTTCTTCAGCGCCCTCATCCTCCAGCAATTCAAGTTGCGGCCCGTGCGGCCTCTCGACTACCTTTTCCAGTGTAAAGTTGTCCAGCTATGTCGTGTTAGTCTCGTTTGATTTACAGCTCTCACAATGCAAGCTTACCCATCGGACTAGGAACAGCCATCCCGAAAGCGCTGCCACCACGCATACCATGGCGATGTAACCGTTTCGCCAATACGGCGCGTCATCAGCGGGATAGAGCACGATGCCCCAAAATGTGTACAAGAGCATGTCAAAGGCCACCATGCCGGCCAAAATGGTGCTCCGCGCTGCATCGTCGCCTCCTCTAGAGGCGATGATTGAAGACCACCCGTAGAGCAAGGGGTTGATGCCATTCGACGTAGCCGCAATGTACAAGCCTGCCAGATTGCCGGCGACTGTCATGTTGGGAACAAAAAGAATGATACTGCAGACGAGTTGAACAAGACAGAGGCCCAAGCCCGTGGCAAGCCGCCTGCTTGACCTGTCAATCACCGTCGCGCAGAGGAGCTCGACGACAATGCCGAGGGCCTGGGTTCCGAGGGGCAGGGTGTTGATCTCGGCTTGTGACCATCCATCAATATTTTGGCGAGCTTTCAGGTAGAGCAGCATCAGGCCCTGAGCTTGATACGCTTGCAAAGCCGCACCCAGGACCGAAAAGCCGCAACAAATATAGCTAAGATTGTTTGTTAGCTAATCATTGACCTCCGGTCACATGGAGAACTCACAATGTTGGTTTTCCCAGCACCCGCTTCGTGAGGCTCCAAGGAGAAATGTTGTGACCATCCTCCATCTTGGCAGGGAGTCGGTTGAGAGCGAGATCTTTCTCCAACTTGTTCAAATAAGGCGCCTTTGTCGTCTCCGGTAGATCTGGAAAGAAGGCAAAGCCAAAGAAAGCAATCGGGCACGTAATGATCCCGTCAATGATGAACACCCATTGCCATCCCTCGAGACCTAACCTTCCATCGAGAGACGCGTAGATGGCAGCCATCAGGGCTCCAGCACACATGTTGCCGACCTGGCCAGAGACGGTCAAGATGGCTGTCCGCATCGATATTTCGTCCGATTTGTACCAAGACCCCATGACATACACACACCCAGCGTATGTGCTGGACTCGGCCATGCCCTGGAAGAACCTCACGACGCATAGCTGGGTGAATGTTTTGCAGGCAGCACTCACTGCTGTGAGTAAGGCCCATAAAATCACCATGGAAGGGAGCCAGATACGCGGGGCCACCTTCTGGATGATGAGGCCATTAGGCACCTGACCAACGAGCATGCTTTGTCGTATTAGCACAGAATCCCTGGAACAGCCGTTGAAGTCCTACCCCGCTGTGACCATCGACAAGAGGATGTTGTACTGGTTTCCTTCTAGTTGCAGTGCTTCTTTCAGCCCCGCTACCTGGCGTAGAATTAGCACCATCCACTGAGCACATCTAGCCAACATACATATGCATTTGCAAAGGCAGCTCGATCTGTCAACGTCGTCAGACCCTGTTCAACATCCTGCAGTGCAAACATACCAAGCTTGTTGAAGAAGTAGCTAAGGCAGGAGTACGTCTGTCATGGTGTAAGTGGTGTGTGTGCTAGGACTGGCCACCAAGAACGTACAAGGATGAAGAAATCTGCAAAAAAGTAAGTTACATCTGCCAAGGATATAGGCAAAGTGCTCGCGCCGACATACCAAGCTTCCGAATCAGCTTCCTCTCTTCCCCTACAGCATCACCCCAAAGCCATTTCGTCAACGTCCTTTGGATTTGCCGCAGACCACTGCGACTCGGCCCGTCACTTGTAGACGACCGAACCTCGACCACATGAGCCATGACTCCTGAACAAACACCTAGAAGGCCAAGACAAGCTGGGCATAATGAGGAGGGACGGAACGGGGAGATTGTCTACTAAGACGTACCACCTGGTATGTTGTGTGTATTGCTAATACCTAAGTAATTAATTGCTCAGTCCAACGAGTGGCGCGGGGGCGTGGGGCAGATAAAAAGATCACGTGCAGCTCCGAAAACGCGGATCATCAACAGAAACAACAAGAGCCTTTCGCTCAAGGTGCGCCTGGGAGTATCCAAACAGGAAGGGGCGCCATGGTGACCAACCCAGTCATTCGGTCTGCAATGCCGCAGGAAACCCCTGACATCGTGGATTTCGTGCTCGCGGCCCGAAGCAACATGTTTTTGCGGGTCCCAGCAAGGTTGCACGTTCCCAAAGTCCAAGCAGAGCTGGCCAATTTCCAGGAGGACTACCTCGACGATCGTGACGGAGCCTTTCTTATTGCTAAGAGCAATGGGCAGATCATAGCTACTGTTGGCTATGTCGCGTACGACGATCGATTTCCCCAGCTGGATTTCAGGAGCGAGCGAGTCGTCGAGGTGGTCAAGCTATACGTCGATCCCCAATGGAGGCGAGCAGGACTGGCCACAAAGATCTTCACAGCACTTCAGAGCGAGGCTCGGCAAGCTGGAATTGGACGATTGTATTTGCACACGCATCCGTTTCTGCCAGGCTCAGTCCGTTTCTGGGAACGCCAAGGTTTCAAGCTCGAGTGCGTCGACGAAGATCCGATTTGGCAGACAACACACATGTCTAAAGTGCTTCGAAGAGAGACTGGCTGAGACATGAGGCGCTGATGCGGTTTCTTCAGGAAGGCCGCTTCACGGCGTTCGGCGCGCTAGACTGGCATCATTTCGCAATGTTCCAGCTTTTCTGGGTCGCAGGGTCCCGGTTCATCGGACGGTTGGGTACTGAACGATTCATGCATCAGACTACATGAAAATACATGGTAGAGCGGACTGGCCTGTGTCGGTCTGGGTATCAAACGGGGAACACAAGAAACACCGCTTTCAAGGCGTTGCGGTGGCTTCGCGCTGCTCGGCAGCGTACTCTTTTCGACTCCGACCTCGACCTCGACCTCGACCTCGGATGAAATCAATGTACCCGACTGGTCTGCCTTGAATGAGATTGAGAAAATCTTGCGCACCGCCATAGGCGAAACCAAATAGAAGTCCGGATTTGGCGTTCCGCGCAGCGGTTGTAACGGGGAACCGGTCTGTAGGCAGGCATTAGCTCATGGTTTGCGGGTAGAAGTAACAATGTTTCGACTTACGCCAGAGAGAGAAAGCGCCAGCGACAGATAATGATGCAATGATTGTTGAAAACATGTCGCTCGCTCCACGACACCGGTCCACTGTGGTTTCCAGCGATAAAGCCATGCCGCTCCAGAAGGCCAATTTGGTGCCCATTTTGATTCCCTCCAAGCCGCCTCCAATGGCCGCGTGATAGTTCTTGGACTTGTGGTAAAGATACCAGCCTGTTGTCGAATCGGGCATCTTGTGCGCATGTTCGGCACGAAACCGGAGGTGCGCTGTCTTGCCACCCTGTGTCGCCCCCAGGCCGAGACCGACGAACCCAGCAGTCGTAGAGCCTAAGGCTATGCGGAGAGGCGCTTGAAGAGATAGTCGCGGATGCGGGTCTTGCTGGAAGGTCGCAATCGCCTCTTGAGACAGCATCGTTTTCGGGTCAGGTGGGGCAGCCATCGTGGACGTATGTCCCGTAGGGTATCCGGGAGGCAAAGGAGACGGTGCAAGAGCTTCGGAGAAATCAGTGTCGAGGTTCAGTGCTGGTGGTGACGACGGTTGAGAGATGCCAGGCCACTTGCGATGCGACGTGCAGGCTTAGATCATACTGTGCGTGGGCAACGGTGACTGTACACACCACACAGTACGACAGCTAACGCGGCAACACGTGACGACGGGAGGTCTTCCTTCACAACAGCGATCTTCACCTTCCTTAAATTCATCAACTTGGGAATCATGGCAGTTAGTATGAGCTGCTGACAAGTGTAGTTTCATGGCTAACCATCTCAGGAAACGATTGATGAGACCACATTCTCCGTCCGCTTCAAGCATGGCATCCACACACTCTACCTCTTCGTCGATCCGTCAACATCCATGGCCGCTGTGAGCCAAGAACTTCGAGAGATGCTCCGTGAGCGGTATCCGGGAGGCCTCACTTCATCGCTAGACCCCCCCAAGACCACCATGGTGCCAGACGAAGCCTCGAAACCCAAGATGGCCTATGGCGTACTGAGCTCGCCCTCTAACCCCGACAGCGGCTGGAAGCAGCTGAAAATTGGAGATGAAGGCACAACGACAGCTATGAAGGCCGGATTGAAAACGAACAGCATAGTCGCTTTCACATTCCTTGAGAACGAGGACGAGGACCCTGTGTTTGAGGTCGAGTGGCCACGCGACGACGACGAGATGGAAGATGCGTGAAAGCCGTGGGATCTTGACAAGTTCGCTTTCCTAGACATATCCGGAAAGGGCACATTGGATTCAGCGATCACAAGTTTATGATCTATGAACCTTCACTACCGTGACGCTGCTTGATTTCATCGCAGTGTTATGCCATAAGTAAGCAAGATGCACGACGCGAAGGTAGCGGACACAATTAGAGGTCATCCCGGACTGTTCGCGACACTGGGTATGTATCCGCAAATGCGAACATTCAGCTCAAAGACATTCATTTGTCATCACTATTGCGATCCTTCCGGCACAGTTTATCCACCTTGCCGCCCATCATATATCTGATCTTGTTCTTGCCGTTCAAAGAAGTATGTAAAGCTCGTGGTCTACTCCGCCTAAGCCTTCGCTGTCATCATCGAATTCGCAACCCAGTTTATGTACACCACACCAAATGACACTACTGCTCACGCCAATCACCGACACCACGAACCACGCTTACCTTTTCAACGCGACTGCCGCTCTGAGCACAATTTTCATGGGGTTTGGTCTCAATGCAACGTTCCGCCCAGACCAATGGCACATACCAGCTTTCGGCAACACTGACAGATCTTTCGTTTCAAGTCTACCACCGTGATAGTATACCAGAGCGCGGTGCTGCAGAGGCGACTAATTCCTCTGAGGGGTCCGACAAGCGACTGGCGGGCGGCTCAGTTGGGCTGTCTATAGAAGAACAGACAGTGTCCAGGGCCGAAAGCAATGAGCACGTACAACAAGCAGCATGCTATACGAGGCTTGCCGAAACTCTGGAGATCGACCATTTGCACATGCCAAAGCAGTCTGTCAGCCCAGACGACACTGTACCGTGCACCTTGAATCCGAACAGTCCTTGGTCCGCGGCGACATGGTTGCAGCGATGGATCATGAGGACATACTGCTGCCTCGCCCAACCGTGTGCGAGATGTACAGCCGTCGCATACGAAACTTGTTCGACAAGACACCACCCTCCGGCTCGTCTCCACTTTACCTCAAGCCTCTGCTCGAGTTCTCAATACATTGTCGAGGAATCTGCATGGAGACAGTCCCGCAGATGGGTAGTCGTGAGACTTTGATATCTAGAAGATTGCCTCCTACAAGTAATGAGCCAAATCAATGCCCCCGCCGCCCTCGAGCAATGGGAATAGGTTCAGTGCCGAGCTCGGGTCCTCATTCCCTTGGTTACTCCAGAAGTTGGCGTCCAGCCCACCGAATACGTCCCCTGGTCCAAAGAGCGACGAAGGGTCCAGATCCCCGCCCCTCGGCGACGGCACGGTAGATTGCGGGTTGAATAGCGATCTGTCGAACAGAGAGTGGCGCCTCTGCGACGTAGACACTGCCGGACTCGCTGCTGTGCTGTTGGCTTGCGTCGCTGGCGAGACTGCGGACCCACGCGCTCGGCTCTCCTGTGGGATCAGGCCAAAGAGCTGGCTGGAACTCTCCGTGCGACGTAGGCGCTCCTGCAACTCCCGCTTCTCCAGGTGTTCGAGAGCCGTGTTGAGCAGAGACTGGGCGATCAGCGAGTATTGTGTGGCGTGGGTGTCAGCTTGGGCGAAATGGTCGAGGGCCTGGATGGATATGCGAGTGTACTTTTCCAAGATACGGCCGAAGTTTCCCAAGAGTCCGACGCCCAGGACGAGAGAAGATGCAAATAGCCAGGACCTGAGAACATTTGTCAGTCAAGAACAGCCCGCAGAGTTTGGTCTCCTGTCTCTTACACCAGGAGCGGCATGCGACTATGCAACACCCTCTGCTCAATCAGCTCCGCGATTGGGTCGACCATCATGCTTGCTGCTTCGATACAGGCGTCTGCGAGCTTGGATTTGCCGTTGGACATGGCAGGATAGCGCGCCGCATTGGGCTCGTCGCCTAGTCTGCGAAAGAGCTCGTACATGAGGAACGGCCGCGACACCAGCATGACTGCGTAGTAGTACGACGCCAGGACCTGGCAGGCGCCACTGATCTGGGCCTTTGTGTGTTCGCCGGGTAGGGACAAGACGTCTTTCAGGGGATGAAGCCACCGTTCAGACCACTCCCGCAGTTGCTTCGAGATACCCTCTGTCAGCTGCAACGAGATCTTCTTGCGTGAATAGATCTCCGTCACGATGCCCTCTGTAATCAGCATGATCTGCACGGATGCGTTGAGCAGGTCAAAGACCTCGTTGCCTTCCAGGTCCGTCGCCCGGTAGGGGACCGTGCAGTCCACGTCGGATGTGGCGGGGGGACGACCCATGGAAACACTGAGGAACAAGTCGACAATTCTCATGCTCTTCCATGTCCTGTCACGCTGCCGGTGGATCTCGGGACCGAAACGCGCGTTGACCTCTGTGCGATGCACGCCGACCGAATACGCTGCACGACTGGCAATGCCAAAGACCAGAAACGCGTTGTTGATCTGGCACGAGCACAGCATGTACACTGTGACGAGGATGAAGGCGTGTACCGTACCGACGCCCATACTCCCATTCAGGCTGTTGAAGGCCTGCGCCTTACCGTACTCAAAGTAGGTTCTCGAGGTTGCCTCGTCGGTTTTGAGCAGCCCAATGGCCAGCACGAGGTAGTGGATCGTGGTCGTAAGGTTCTCTGCACGCTGATGACTCGCCCAGAAGGCAACGTCACTCTCCAGTTTCTCATCAAACAAATCAACAAGACTTGTGGTAATGAGAATGTAGTCCTGCACGGCGATTCTGACCCCTTCCCGGCGCAGTGCCGGCGGGGATGGCTCATGGGACGCCACAGGGGCCGCCGGCGCATTCTCGAGCACAGAGTAGCGGCTGGTCTCGGGAGCAAAGGCGTTTTGCCCAACTCTGCTCGTCACGAGCTGCCGCACGGATTGGAAGAATGACAAGGGGGCACAGTCCCCGATGAAGATGAGTTTTCCCTGCGCATCACAGAGCAGACGTGCTTCAAGTGGCACTTCGGTGTCGTCCTCCTCCATCACGGACGATCGCCTTGCCGCACTTCCGCTGTGACGCATCCCACGACAAGCCGCTGCGCCGTGACCATCGTCATCAAGCGAGGTAGCTCTTGTCGAACGCACCGCCGCTGCCGTTGACGGAGGCGACGACCTTGATGCCCGCGGGCTCGCAGTGCTAGCAGGGGTACGCGCTGCGTCGGCTGCGTGCCTCTGCCGCGTCCTCCTAGGATGGCTGTACTTGCAGGTGGACGGCCTCTGCCGACGGATGCAATAAGAGCATGGTGTTTTGCCGTCACACTTGACCTTTCGGGCTTTGCATCCATCGCACGCATTGGCTATGCGACTGCGGATGATACCCTGGGCCGGCGCGTCCATGGTGCGGATGGGATTTGCGGGAGACTGGAAATTGAGCGGCTGGACGGAAGAAACCAGTGCCTACGTACTGTCGGAGGGACCCGGATTCCGGACTCGGGTTACAGTGTCAGAGATCATACGGATACTGTGCCGGATCAGGGCACCCCATGGCCATGACTATGACCCTCCCGCCTTCATGCTGCTGGCTGTCATACAGTATGTCAAGTCCACTTCCAGTCACCTTGAGAATCAGACCATTAGATCTTGTACTCGTATATCATGACATTACTCCATTCATCGAGTGTTCTTGTGTACATTACAACGCGAATCCGTCAACCGTATTTTCATGTCTCTCGTTGGGGTTGTAAGATATCAAATCTCCCATGTTGTCAAGCATTCAGCTTAGCCAGCGCCCCCTTCAGAATCTCCATAAAGCGCCACACATCCTCAAACCTCGAGTAGAGCGGCACGGGCGCCACGCGGATGACATTGGGTTTCCTCTTGTCGCACATGACGCCGTTGGCCTCCAACGCAGCACTGACGGCGTCGTGCAGCTGCTCGCTTGCCAGCATCACACTGAGCTGGGTACCACGTTGCAGAGGGTCGCGGGGGGTCAGGACACGGAACGCCGGCGTGCTGCCTCCAAACTCGGCCGTCATCTGGTCCAGCAGATACTCAGCATAGGCCGTCAGGACAAGAGCCTTGCTGCGCAGGTCCCGCATGCAGGTCTTGTTGAAGACACTCAGGGCGCCTGACAAGGACGCCAGGTCAATGGCAGAGGGGTTCGACACCTGGAAGCCGCCCGCGCCCACAATGGGCACGTAGTTATTGTCCATCTTGAAGCGGACGCTCTTGTCGCCACCGTACCATCCTGTCAGGCGCGGGCGGTACGAGGGTTTGCCAGACTCGCCCTGTGGCCACTCCACCTTGCCATGACGCTCGTGCACAAAGGCGCCTGCGATGCTGCCGGGTCCCGCATTGATGTACTTGTACGTGCACCAGCACGCAAAGTCAACGTCCCAGTCGTGAAGTTTGAGCTCGACGTTCCCCGCAGCGTGGGCCAGATCCCAGCCGACAGTGATGCCCTTGGCTTTGGCGTGGGCTGTGATGCGGGGCATGTCGAAGAACTGGCCAGAGAAGTACTGAATGCCAGGCAACAAGAGAAGGGCGGTCTCCTCGGCGTGCTCGTCGATGACGGACAGGACCCTCTCGGTGGGGATCAGGTAGCTGTCGTCCGGCTCAATCTTGACCATGCTCTTCTCGGGATCCAGGCCGTGCCATGTGATCTGACTCTCGATGGCGTAGTAGTCGCTGGGAAAGGGCCGCCACTCTAGGATGATCTTGTGCCTCTTTTCCGTGGGCTTGTAGAAGCTCGCCATCATCATGTGCAGGTTCGCGGTTAGTGTGTTCATAATGACAATTTCCGCGGGCGACGAGCCGACAATGTCAGCCGACTTTTTCGCACAATCCTCGGCAAGATCCTGCCATTTCGGAAGGGGGGACTGTTCCATGTCCTGAAAGTGGCCCGCGACACCGATGGACGCCCATGTCTCGAGCTGAGCGTCGACGTATTGTCTGACCGCTTTGGGCTGGGCACCTAGTGAGTTGCCGACAAAATAGATGCCCTGCTCGTCTCCCTCATGTGAGGCGCCGTTGGTGATGCCATTCTGGGCTGGTTGGCCTATGCAGATCAGCTTCGTGGTCTTTTCGCTCTGGAAAGAGGGGCTTACCAGGTATCCGGCCATCGAGGGCCTTCTTCTTCAGTGAAGCTTTGGTGGGGATGATGAACTCGTCCCGCAGATGGCTGAGCTTGTCCTGCTCGTCCAGGCTCTGTGCCCAGGCGAGGGTGTTGGCTGTTGAGGGGAATTTGGCAGGCTCGCCATTGCGAAGCCTGTCGACGAATTGATCGAGGGACATGGTGGCTGTGAGTTGAGGAAGACGGATGCAAAAGGAGATGCTGGATGGATTGAAGAGTATTATGTGATGGGGATATGGACTTCGTCACCACTTTATCGTCCGCGACTTGATGAGGGAGGGGGGTTCCGAGTTGGTGGACTCGCTAATTTTGCGGGCCGCGTTGCATCCGTCTATCCGCGTTTCGGTTCCGTCTATCTAGCGGATACGTCGTCTTTGTGCCTTCTGCCGCGTGCCGTGCCGGTTCCGCCCTACTCTGTCTGCCACGAATGCTACTATAACTCTTGCTTAGCGACATGGACTGCGCATCGTTCTGCTCATGTGATATTATTAATCGCATCGGACCAATAGACCCTAATATATGTATTAGATGTCGCGATAGACTACGCACGTACTCTTCTATTCCATTCCCGTGGCTAACCGCTAGTGGAGTGCGTTGAGGTCGTTCCGACGGAGGCGGATCCTCGGAACGGATAGACTGAAGCAACCTGGACAACTCCCAACATGGATCGATCGTGGTCGATAGCTGGAGATTTTAATCACTAGGTGTTGTCCTTCTCTTGCTGTTTTGTAGATTCATCACTTTGAACTTCTAATCGATTCCTATTCAAATTTCATAACTACATTTCATCATGTCACCGCATGCCATCCCAGCCGAGGCCAACCCCCTTATAGACCTCAACAAGTTTGCAGTCACTCGGAACGCTTTCTTGCCTGCCGATAGCCCTTGCGAAGTCCTCTCGGATGCCTGCTATCAGCCGTGGGAAATAATAGCCCAGCACTTGCCGCAGCACATTGAGAGTGGCAGCATACGGAGGGCTGTTCAAGCCTTGCCTGTCCTTCCCACTGATCGCTTACGGTCATTATCAGAATGGCGTCGGGCATACGTTATCCTGGCTTTCATGACGCATGCCTACGTCTGGGGCGGTGATCAGCCCGAGCAAGTGAGTATAGCAGAAGCCGGAACCATCAACTCACACTGACTCTCAACCAGATCCTCCCCCCACAAATCACCATCCCCTTCCTCCAAGTATCAGAGCACCTCGAGCTCCCGCCCGTTCTCTCCTATGCTGCTGCCAACTTGTGGAACTTTGCGAGCACCAGCAACGATTTCACCGACCTTACCAGTCTCCGTACACTCTGCTCGTTCACAGGCACCGAGTCCGAGTCGTGGTTTCTCCTGATCAGCGTCGCCATGGAGGCGAGGGGTGCCGAGATCATCAACACCATGACGGAAGCCATTGGCGCTATCAGGACCCGCGACTATGAGACGATTACAACGGCGCTGGAGCAACTGCGGGATTGTATCCGAGGGGTCGGCATACTGCTGGACAGAATGTACGAGCGCTGCGATCCCATGACTTTCTACCACAAAATCCGGCCATTCCTCGCTGGCAGCAAGAACATGGCTTCTGCCGGATTGCCAAAAGGTGTCTTCTACGACGAGGGAAATGGGAAAGGAGAGTGGCGCCATCTTCGCGGCGGCAGCAACGGGCAATCATCCATGATTCAGTTCTTTGACGTTGTCCTTGGCGTCGATCACAAGGGCAATGGCGACAGCTCAACGGCGCCAGTCGACAAAAGCTTTCACGCCGAGGTTCGAGAGTACATGCCAGGGCCCCATGCTCGATTTCTCGTACACCTCTCTCGTATGGGAAGCATCCGCGAGCTGGCGCTGTTACCCCCTTCGACCCCTGAGCAGCATCGCCTCCGCGCAGCCTATACTGCAGCAACGGAGGCTCTGACAGAGTTCAGAAACAAGCATATCCAGATTGTGACGAGGTACATTGTGCTACCGTCGAGACAGTCTACCAGCAATGGGGCGAGGAAGAACCTTGCAAGCTCGTCGTCGACTCAAAAGACGACGCAAGAATTAACGGGCACAGGTGGGACCGCTTTGATTCCTTTTCTCAAACAGTCCAGAGACGAGACGACCTTTGCTGGGCAATTGGACCAATAGTATACTAGATTCGTTGCATAGATACATACAAGTACATACAGAATTCACATGGCTTGGCAGGCCGCCTCACAGATGATGACAGCATGGACAACTTCAATAGCCTGGAACTATGAGATTCAGCCTCGTGAGCACCATGTTCGCTAGCACTAGTAGGTATACAGTCCTATTGGCGTTCTCATTGTCTATTCTTTTCACAGTATACTCGAATTGTGTAAGTTCTAGATGAGTTATATTGTACTTTGACCTTGCTCTGCAGAGGAACTAGACGGAATGCAAATTACCCTCCGAGTTAACACAAGTTAGGCCTTGACCATGAAGGCTTAACTTAACCATCCTACTAGTTCGTACCTTACCTGGTATACTTGCCGCGTGCACACACCTTGAAGACGGACGCTGGTTCACAAGGTTTAATGAAACTGACTCTGAGGCTAAATAAAGTTTTGGTATCAAAGCAGTCCTCACGCCAACGTTCATTCTTCCCAGAAGAAACTCTTCATCCCACATTTTCGTATCACAGACAACATAATGGTACGATGCAGAAAGACAGAAAAGAAAACCGCCAACTCACAGGCCCACGCGGTCCCTGGCTCTGCTTCTTGGGCCTCCAGGAAGGAGGCTGAGGTGAAAGTTGTCGAGCGCGTCCACAGTGCCAAGAACAGCGGGGACGACTGCCGGGACGCGGAAGCGAAGGCCCGCGAGGCTTACGAAGAGGGTGAAGGCAAGTTGGTACCACTGGTCAGTAGAGTCTATACATTCTTTGAAGTTCGCTTTACTTAACATCGACAGCCCCCATTCTACGACCAGGTCTGCATGCCGAAGCCCATCCGCGCAGAACCCATCCTCGAGAGGTACTTGCGCTTCCCAGTCGAGGAACGCAAAACGTACTACCTGTGCGCCTCAGTGCCGGAGCATTGCAAGATCCTGTGGGACTGGTCTTGGCGGAAGGGGCAACTCGATGTCTGGGTTGAACTACCGGATACTGCCCACCCACACTTTTCCACGGCGCAGCTCGGCTCAAGGAAACTGTACTGGAAGATGTGGGAGTGGATGAGGGAGGAGAGCGAGTGGCAGGCTTGGAAAGTAAGAGTGGATGAGGGAAGGGCGACAGCGGCAGATTGCAAAATGGGTCATCGAGGATGGGGATGGGTGACACCAACCTGGCCCGAATTTTGGCCATTCAATTCCGGCAACCTATACATTTGACTCTTGAAGAGGGAATTCATTGCTCGTGAACATACACCTTATACAAAGCGCTTATTATTTGTACCTAACCTGTCGTGATGTTAGAAATGATGTAGGGTAGTCCGGTCAATCTTGCTGAACCCTCATGTCGCGCTCAACCGCGTTCAATTCTGGACCTGTCCATGTCCCATAGGATTGACATTAGTCAACCGAATACCTCAATCACTCTCCCACAGAGCCAACTCGTCCTTTCCTACGGATTTATCAGACGCCATGCCGCCTCGCAAGCGCGCAGCAGCCGATGACGCCAGCGCTGAGCCTGTCATCAAGCGACGCTCAACGCGCCAGGCAGCAGCATCAGCGCCGCCAGTGGCTACGACTCAGTACGCAGAGTCCGATACAAAGAAATCAAAATCACCCGTGAAATCAACGACACAGAAAGCCAAGGGACACAAAGGGACAGCGGCCCCCGACATTGGCCATGTCAAGCCCCAGTCCAAGGGGCCTTTGCAAACACATAGAGCCGCCAGTAATTCGAGAGATGTGACGCCCAATCCAGACCCTGACACCATCCCCAGGGAGAATCCGGACGTCGAGCGCCACGATGGCCAATGGTACTGGCTGATGAAGGCCGAGCCCGAGACGCGCATGGAAAATGGGCACGACGTGCGGTTCTCTATCGATGACCTGAGGGCCTGTGATAAACCCGAGGGGTGGGATGGCATCAGGAATTATGCAGGTTTGTCGTCCGCTGCGCAAGACAAGACAAGACGACACAGCTGACACTCGGAAGCGCGCAACAATCTGCGAGCCATGAACGCGGGCGACATGGCCTTTTTCTACCACTCCAACTGCAAGGTGCCAGGCATCGTCGGTACAATGGAGATTGTGCGGGAGGCGTCCGAAGACAGTACGCGAATTTGGGACTCTGCTTTCCAAAAACTAGACTAATTTACTGACTCGAGACAACAGCCAGCGCCCGCCGACCAGGCACGCCTTACTACGACCCCAAGTCGACCAAGGAGAACCCGAAATGGAGTCTCGTACACGTCGAGTTCCGCCGCAAGTTTGCGGTCCCCATCGCCCTCCCGGAACTACGAGACCTCGGCAAGGACAACGGGCCATTGGCGAACATGCAGATGCTCAAGCTTGCCAGGATGAGTGTCAGCAAGGTCTCCAAGCAAGAGTGGGAAGCGCTCTGTGCGCTGGCGGATAAGAAGGCCAAGGAAGCAGGATTGAAGCATGAGGACGCGTGAAAGTCATAGTGTATCATTTCGTGACTAAGCCTGTTCTATCGTTCATTTCCGTTTCTGCTGCAGCAGAGCACTGCTCTTGCTGGGTTCATGTTAATGACTGGGTGAGTCTCATCGTCACGCTCTACGCCCAAAAGGCCCTGCGCACGAAACGAGCGACCGGCTCGACAATCTGGCCAGTGTGAGGGACGAGCTGCTCCATCCCGCTCGTGAGACCGTCATCCTTCTGCTTGGCTTCCTCGGCTGCGTCGCCAGCAGCTGGGTGTTCGACGACCTCCTCTTCGGCAGGGTGTTCCACGACTTCTTCCTCTTCCTCAGCCGGGTGTTGGACGACCTCTTCCTCTTCCTCAGCCGGGTGTTGGGCGGTTTCTTCCTCTTCGGCAGGGTGTTCCACGATTTGGTCCTCTTCCTCGGCTGGGTGCTGGACGACTTCTTCCTCTTCCTCAGCCGGGTGTTGGACAACCTCTTCCTCTTCCTCTTCCTCGGCCTCGGCCGGGTGCTGGACGACTTCCTCCTCTTCGGCAGGGTGTTCCACGATTTCGTCCTCTTCCTCGGCTGGGTGCTGGACGACTTCTTCCTCGCCTTCAGCTGGGTGTTGGACGACCTCTTCCTCTTCTTCAGCCGGGTGTTGGACAACCTCTTCCTCTTCCTCGGCTGGGTGTTCGACGACTTCCTCTTCGGCTGGGTGTTGGACGACCTCTTCCTTTTCCTCAGCCGGGTGTTGGACAACCTCTTCCTCTTCCTCTTCCTCGGCTGGGTGTTCGACGACCTCCTCCTCCTCTTCGGCAGGGTGTTCCACGATTTCTTCCTCTTCCTTCTCGCCTTTGGCTGGGTGCTGAATGACTTCCTCTTCCTTCCCGACACCAGCTTCGGGCGGGTGGGCGACCTCTTCTTTGTCATTGCCACCACCAAGGATAGCATCAAGCAGACCCTTACCGTTGCCGACATTCTCCATGTTCTTCATGTCTTTCCCACCAGCAGGGATGTCGACAACCTTCTTCTTACCTCCAGCAGGCTGTGCAGGGGCAGTTCCGTTGCAGCCCGCCGGGGGAGGCTGGATGCCATCGAGGACATTGCCGTCGTCGCCAGGACCAGCGGGGAAGTCAACTTCATCGCCCGTGTTGGGGTCGATGATGATGGGACCTTGGTCCTCGGCGCCATCTCCTGCGCCGTCACCTCCATCTTTGATGTCCTCTCCTGCTCCAGCGTCGTCGCCTTTCTCCCCCTGGTTTCCTTCCGCGTTGCCATTTCCAGCTCCAACGCCCTTGTTGTCGCCTCCAGCAGCCCCGTTGCCTGCTCCAAGAAGCCCTCCCAGACCTGCGCCACCATCATCTCCTGCTGCTTCTCCTCCCCCGAGCAGACCACCCAAGTCAAGACCGCCTCCGCCAAGCAAGTCGCCCAGGCCACCGCCGTTCCCGCCGGCCGCGCCTCCGCCTCCTAAGAGATTTCCAAGACCGGCACCTGCGCCACCGCCCAGGCCGGCACCGGCCCCGCCACCTAGGAGACTGTCGAGGGGATTGGCTTGGCGACGGGACAATGGACGGATGGGCTTGTGAGGCGCGGCGAGGGCTGTTGCGTCGAGCAGCAGGACTGCGACGGAGAGGGCTGTGTAGTGCATGGTGAAGATGCACTGGATGAATATTGTCTGGGTTTGAATTAAAAGTCGAACAAGACGAGAGGCGTCGGCGTCAAGCCAGAGCGCGAGATAGAAGAAGCGAGAAAGAAAGAAACAAATGTATACAAGCACCAGGCTTGACCGAAGAGAATGTGGAATAAAACAGGATGGAGAAAGGATGCCCTGTGGAACGAAAAGGTCTTTGGGACCAAACCTCGTCCTTTTATATCTCTGGACATTGTCAGCAAATTGAGCGTTTTTGCTGTGCCCTCGCGACGAGACAAGCTTTTCTAACGTTTATGAGGCAGCGGAAACACTTCGTCTCCAGATCTAGACCGGCTAGCGAGACCTCCGCCGGGCCAAATTTAGCAGCAACAAGCAAAGAAAGCCACAGCCTCAAGTTTTAGAGTCCAGCGGATCGACAAAGGCCCGGTAACATCCTCATCGTGGGTTTCGGATCGTGGGGTCCCCAACTCCCGCAGCTCTGCCGCTCCGACACTCCAGGTTTCAGTAGTAAGAGCCGTGTCTCAGGGTCTTGGATGTATTACGCACATATTAATCAGAATCACGACATTTCAACGTGATGTGCTTTGTGCAGGTGGTCCAAGAATGGTATAGTATGCGAGTTGTTCTCCCCATGTCGAGTCATACATGTCATCATGTCGAATCCCCAACAACATCGGGCTGGTGCGACAGCTCTGACTGCGCCTGCTTCATGATTAACAAGCTCCCAAATCCGGATGATTCATGTTCAGAAAGACCCGCTGCCCGGTACCAGCAACGACTCCAAAAAGTTGGCAGTCGACTGCAGCTCTTCGAGTTGCCCCCCCTCGGTTAGAAGCACGACCTGGTGTGCGTGCACAACGTCGCGCGAAAAGCTTTGCCCCATATCCGGGTCATTCGTAACGTCGAGCTGCTGTCGGACTTGCTTGAACTGGTCCGCCACGTCAGATAGCATTTCTGGCGACAGCGAGATGAAGGCAGGGTACGACAGAATCTTGCGGGATGTGTTGAGATCCGACTCCATCCACTCCGAGGGGTTGTTGGTGACAATGTTCATAATGGCATCCCGCACGTCAGACAGGGAGCTGATGACCAATGGCGCCAAGGTTGCAATGGCCGAACTGGCCCTGCTCGTGTGAATTTCTGTTATGAGGTCGAGTGACTGCCGCACCTCGTCATGTAACCGATAGAAGGCTGTGCGTAGAGCAGCAACAGTCTGGCTGTCGTCATGGGAGACGACTCGATTCGTCGTGGGTTCAGGCTTGTTGAAACTCATGTACTTTGCTTTGAACGCGTCAAAATCGCTGCACTAGTCAATATCAAGTGTAATGGAGGTGTTGAGACCTCTACTCACGCCTCGATTAGCGGTAAGAAATCATTCATTGTCTGGCGGAGCATGGTCAGTTGTTCATCGGGCTGCTCTAGAGCGCTCAGCGTCTCGACGATCTGGACCCGCCCACTGATCATCGCGTCAGCTTGGCCTTGGAAGGTGAGTAGAACATCATGCAACTGGCCCGTCCAGGAGGGAAGATCGCCATGCAGGGGCAGGTCGTCCGAGTCCATGTCGCCATGATGCATGCGGTAAAAGCAGGCGCAGTCGTGTACCAGGTGACCAAGTACACTCATCTGCTCCTGGATTGCACATAGCGACTGGTAGATGTGGCGAATCAGCGGCGTTTGGAAAGCGATGCGATTCGTCATGTTTGCCTCAGTGTCGCGCGTCACATCGTTGAGCCGACAGCGCAGGTTGGCGAGCTTGGGTGCGAAGTTCAGAACATGTTCAGGGTCAACATTATCGTCATCTTCTTCTCTTTCCTTTTCTTCTTCACCATCCTCCTCGTCAGGCTCGTTGCTGTGGCCGGTACCGTCGTGTTCTTCCGCAGGTCTTAAAGTCTCCAGACGGGGTTTAGACTGGCTTGGTGTGCACGCTGGACGAGGACGTCCGTCGACGTCCGGGGCTTCGATGATATTACTGCGAGGTTGCTTGCTGATGGGTCCCGGTAGCCCTGGGACTTTCTTCTTCAGTGCTTCGGCGAAAGCAGACTGCTCGCCAAGGTCGACAAGGTCGCTGTCGCTGGCCGCGTCGTCGGTGAAGGAGTGCACGGACCCAGCATCGTCAACCTGTTGCCAATCGTCTTCGATGGCAGGCTTATCGCCAGACGGCGCCATGATGCGGTAAGGCGGCTCCAGTCGTCGGCTCGCTCTCGAGGGCGGGACGCGGATTTGCGAGCTGAAAGATCGCACTGCCCGTTTTTTGGGCGGAGTATCGATGGAAGATGATGAAGGAATTAGATTTAGGAGGGGAAGCGACACAAGTGCAAGGCAACGCAGTCGCTGCGGTGGCCGGCAGCCTGTTTGTCCATGGCCACTAACAACTTGGTGGATGACATATAGGCGCAGTGCCCCGGATTGCGATGCGTGGTGTAGGACCTGTAGGTGCAGGTGCAGGCAGCTATCTTGCAGCTGCCTGCAGCCAGTCGACAGCCATGGAAGCACCGATGCTGTCGGGTACGACTACAGTGCGAATACATGTAGTTTCACGAGCTGTGTATATGCTCTAGGTAGCGATAGTGAAAATGAGGAAAGGCTCTATCTCAGCGTCTTTGTTGAAGGTACGACGGCTGACGCAAAAGCGTGTCTTGGACATGGAGAGCTTTTGAAATGTGATTGTAATGTACCTGGCATTTTACAAACACTTGACCGTTGAATCATACGATAACAACAAAACTAACATATCAAGGCCGATTCAGATGATTACTTAACGAGCAAAACGCATTTGTATAGATAATGACATCGTCGGAATTGTGTTTAAAATTTTCCTGTCAGCACAATTTACCTACGCGACGGGAACTACTGGATTGTCTGACTAGGTTACACCCTTAGGGCTGCACAACGAAATAGATACCGGGTTGCCAAATCCAACTGTGGGGTCCCACCACGACCCGACTTACACGCGGCGCTTCGTGTACATGGCCTGCAGCTGCACATGAGTCAAGATTATGAGAATATGGAAGATAAAGTCTATCGATAGCCCATATCTGTGGCTGACCCGAAATTGCCTTTTTCATGGACGTCTCCCGTTCTGAACTGTGTCCACGTCCTGTCCCTAACTTTTTCCCCCGCTATGGGGAATTCATCCAGAGGTCCCGTACCTAGCTTAGCACTTATGCTTGCTAACTACAGCCTCTCCAACGTGAGGTGTGACCTAAGCATTGGTAGACTCTACTCGTCACACATGAATGCTCAATTGAAACGTGATGGAACAAAATCCCCAATTTTAATGGTAGTGGGCCGCAAATAGTGCCAAGGTAGCGCAGGCAAAGCATCTTTGTATTTGGTGAGCTAAAGCGTGAGTAAATACTGAGTTATCATGGTGAATGTCAAAGCTCAGACAGAAATGGCACAGGATTCTTCGCGATTGCTCATCGTTGATGCTCTGCATGCTATATGAAAACGGGGGCTATAAACAGAGAAAGGTCGAGCTGAGGAGCGGGACCGCCAACAGAGCACTCCTTAGTTGTCGTCCATAAATACCATGAGTCTAGTACCCCGCACTCGTAGCTTGCTTCCAAATAGATTTGACTATGCCACTGAGAGCCTTACGAACTGCAGCTTGCTTGTGTCATGCACTCTTGGTGTACTCCGTACCTACACACATATCTACTAGAAACTTACACCTAAGAAGGGCGCGAGTCTAGAGGCCTTGCCAGGTCCTTCAGCCGCTCATCCAACAACGGGCTCAGCGTATATTCAACGGGCAGTCGTGGACCGGGAGAATTATTATACAGGGACTGTCGCCAGCGTGGCACATGCGCTTCGGCGCGTTTCAGGCGGACTACATCGGCGCTTTGCATGGCAGCCGGCCGAAAACACTGGGCCACACCCCGTGCTCCGACCGGGCACGCAAGGCAGCATGTCGGCCGTGGTGGCTAATGCGAGTTCGGGCAGATGCGTACGTGGTGCGTAGTGCTCGATGATACATGTAATCGTAGCAGCAAGGCGCAGTTCGTACTGGGATCAAGCAGCGACTGTGCTTATTCTGTGTTGCCGTCGCTCACCGGCAAAGACGGCCCCTGAAGTAGACCATTGCTACGGAGTACGTACGGATACTATCCCCGTAATTCCTGCCCTGTTTGCTGACGACAGATCGGGAATCCCGCGCTAATACCAAGGCAACTCGACCAGCTTTTGCACCAACAAATCCAGGTTTGCTGTGCACCAACAAAATCAGTCCGCGGAGGAGGAACGGGACAGGCTGATACATGGGTGACATCGGCACAGGTAGAGCTTGACATGGAGCGACACGGGGCGTTAAAAATTCGCCGAGTCGAGGAAGGGTGCGTGCTCGTCATGGATTGGCATAGATGGCTGATCCGATGACCTGCGGCGGGATGGAGGGCGAAGCCTCGCTGACGACGATGGCGGCGAGGCGAAGATGGCCTGATCCTGGAGGGCTGTGCTGTTGATGTTAGTCGATTGCTAATTAAAAGGAGCGCATGCAGCCAGTTGCATCTAACAAGCCAGCCATCGCAGATCCAATTTCCTCAACTCCATTGCGCTGGTTTTTTTTCTGCCATGAGACAGTAGGAAAGCGGAAAACGGACTAGCGAATCAATAAGCGATCGGCACTGCACAGCGGCCTCGATAGACGTCTTCGCGCCCCTGATAAGCTCTGAATTTTCGCTCACCGCCTAAGGCCAGGTCGGCGCACCAGCCACTAAGCCAGTTCGGTCGATCCGCCTTCGGTACCCCCATTATCCAATAATTCCCCTAATTGTGATGCCTGGGCCCTTGCACTCATCCATCCATTCATTGAATTCGCAAGCACAGGCAAGCAAAGGTACCGACTGGACCTGGCTGACGGCCCTCTACTTGTGCCCTGGCCCCTCTCTCCTCCACTCCTTCGCACTCCTCTCTTTACATTGTTCCAACACCTGTTCGAGGACGCGAGGGACTGCCTGGGTTGACTGGAACCGCAGCCGCCTTCATATTGTTGTTTGAGCTTGGGCCCGCCCTCCTTCTGTGCTCTGCTCCCGCCCACTCGTGGCCAGTCGGGACCAAGGATCAAGCTGTAAGTGCTCTCCCAACGGCTTGGACTGCCAGCGTATGGAGCGTCGTGAGTGTGAATCTGGAACATGGCTCTGTCTAGCGGCATGCATTGGCGAGACAGATCACAGGAACCAAACCACCTGAACCCCTCCGAGACAGTTCCAGCACAGGTTTGTCAATATGAACTCACACAATCGTGTACTAGGTTCGGCGACTACCAATAGTGGCATTGCCTCGACCACCGCGACCCGTCTCCCATGCCCTAGACCAACATCCGCTCGCCGAGTTAGATTTTCCGAACCCCTCGACGCCACCATGATAGCGTCGTCGCTCTTGCCGACGCGGTTTCGCGGTGAGCCCACGCTCTCGCAAACCGCCAAACCAACATGGCTGGGCAAGAAGATGACCCCTGGTCTCCAATTCCTCGCCCGTCTCGCCTGCTCGCACCCAATCCACCTGGTGGTGCTTGTGACCATCCTCGCCAGCACCTCCTACGTCGGTCTGATTCAGGACAGCCTCTTTGACGGCGCTACAAGCGTGGGTAAGGCCGACTGGACGTCCCTGATTGAAGGCAGCCGCAGTCTACGTGCTGGACCCGATACGCAGTGGAGGTGGCAGAATGCCGAGGGCAACTACTCCTACGACGCTGACCATCTTGCCCTGCTCACGCTCGTTTTCCCGGACACCCTTTCCACCGAGTCGCCTAGCACTGCGCCGCTCTCGCACACTATCCCGACCAACAAAAACCTGTCCGTTACGCCTCTTCCCTCCACCGAAAACCCCTTCTCGACCTACACCCAGGACAGTATTCTTGCGTATGCGCTGCCCTTCTCGGAAGCTCCCGAGTTCGTGTCTGTTGCTCAGGAGATCCCTAATGCGGATGCTGAGGAAACGGAGACCGGCCATGGCCGCGAGAAGAAGATGTGGATCATGAAGGCGGCCAAGGTGACCACGCGCAACACGGTTGCGCAGTGGGCCAAGAATGCCTGGGGCGAGTTCCTGGACCTGCTGAAGAATGCCGAGACGTTGGACATCTTCATCATGGTCCTGGGCTACCTGTCTATGCACCTGACCTTTGTGTCGCTCTTTGTCTCCATGCGTCGCATGGGTTCCAATTTCTGGCTGGGCATGAACACGCTCTTCTCGTCCGTTTTTGCCTTCCTGTTCGGCTTGGCAGTGACGACACGGCTCGGCGTCCCTGTCAGTGTCGTCCTGCTGTCGGAGGGTCTGCCCTTCCTCGTGGTAACCATTGGCTTCGAAAAGAACATTGTCCTAACCAAGGCCGTACTTTCGCATGCCATTGAGCATCGCAAGGCTCAGTTGCAGGAGTCCAGGAAGGAGAAGACGCGGGGCAAGAAGGTCGCAGAGCCCTCCACCCAGGGTCTTATTCAGTATGCCATCCAGGCCGCCGTGAAGGACAAGGGCTACGAGATCATCCGCGACTACGCCATTGAGATTGTCATCCTCGCCATCGGCGCCGTTTCAGGCGTCCAGGGCGGTCTGCAGCAGTTCTGCTTCCTCGCCGCTTGGATCCTCTTCTTTGACTGCATCCTGCTCTTCACATTCTATACGGCTATTCTGAGCATCAAGCTCGAGATCAACCGCATCAAGCGCCACGTGGAGATGCGCACGGCTCTCGAGGATGATGGCCTCAGCCGCCGCACTGCCGAGAACGTCGCCCGGAGCAACGACGACAAGGAGCCTCAGGAGACTTCGCTGTTTGGTCGCAAGATGAAGAGCAGCAGCGTGCCCAAATTCAAGGTGCTCATGATCACATTCTTCATTGGCATCAATGTGGTCAACTTGTGCACAATCCCCTTCCGCAACCCTGGTTCATTGTCGAGCATTCGTTCGTGGGCCGGTGGTCTCGGCGGCGTGGTCTCGAGCCCACCCGTCGATCCCTTCAAGGTTGCTGCCAACGGGCTCGAAAGCATCCTCGCCTCGGCCAAGTCAAGCAAGATCCCTACACTCGTCACCATTCTCACACCTATCAAGTACGAGCTTGAGTTCCCCTCGGTACACTATGCGCTTTCGACTGGCATTGGTGGCAGTGGCACCGGGCCCGACACTTTCGGTCAGCTCAATGATTATGGCGTCGGCGGTCGCATGGTGGGAAGCCTGCTCAAGAGCCTCGAGGACCCCGTGCTCTCCAAGTGGATCGTGATCGCGCTCGCCTTGAGCGTCGGCCTCAATGGGTACCTCTTCAACGTCGCCAAGACTGGTATCAAGGAGCCCGAGAGGAGCGTCGATCGCGCCGAGCTTGCCAACGCTGAGCGCTTCAATGATACTGGCTCAGCTACTCTACCTCTCGGCGAGTACGTTCCCCCGACACCTCAGCAGACTCGCCCCGCAACGCCCGCCATCACCGAGGACGAGTCGGACGGTACGCTTGTTCGGAGGAAGAAGGCCCCCATCATTGACTCGGGGATCCTGCGAACCAATGATGAGCTCGATGTCATGTTGGCGGAGAAGCGCAGCAGCGAGATGACCGATGAGGAGGTTGTCAGCATGTCCATGCGCGGGAAGATTCCTGGTTACGCTCTGGAGAAGACACTTCAGGATCATGAGCGCGCTGTCAAGATCCGCCGGGCCATCATTTCGCGAACCAAGGCTACGAGGGACGTGACCAGCTCGCTCGAACGCTCCAAGCTGCCGTACGAGAACTACAACTGGGAGCGCGTTTTTGGCGCCTGCTGCGAGAACGTCATCGGCTATATGCCCCTACCTGTTGGTGTTGCCGGTCCCCTGGTTATCGACGGTCAGAGCTACTTCATCCCCATGGCTACGACCGAGGGTGTCCTGGTGGCCAGTACAAGCCGCGGCTGCAAAGCTATCAACTCTGGCGGTGGCGCCGTGACTGTGCTGACTGCTGATGGTATGACTCGCGGTCCCTGCGTCGGCTTCGAGACACTGGAACGCGCTGGCGCAGCCAAGCTATGGCTGGACTCGGATGCGGGCCAGAACATGATGAAGGATGCCTTCAACTCGACCAGTCGCTTCGCTCGTCTGCAGACGATGAAGACAGCGCTGGCCGGCACCAATCTGTACATCCGCTTCAAGACTACGACCGGCGACGCAATGGGTATGAACATGATCTCCAAGGGTGTCGAGCACGCACTGAGTGTCATGGCCACCGAGGGTGGCTTTGAGGACATGGCCATCATCTCCGTCTCTGGCAACTTTTGCACGGACAAGAAACCCGCTGCCATCAATTGGGTTGATGGACGTGGTAAGAGCATCGTCGCCGAGGCCATCATCCCCGGCGAGGTCGTCAAGTCTGTTCTGAAGAGTGACGTCGACGCGCTCGTGGAACTGAACATCTCCAAGAACCTGATCGGTTCGGCCATGGCTGGTTCGGTGGGTGGTTTCAACGCCCACGCCGCCAACATTGTCGCGGCCATCTTCCTCGCCACCGGCCAAGACCCCGCTCAGGTCGTTGAGAGTGCCAACTGTATTACCACCATGAGGAAGTGGGTACTCCCCGTTCTGTCTTGGACGACTCCTTGCTAACAATGTGCAGTCTTCGTGGATCCCTCCAGATTGCGGTATCCATGCCTTCCATCGAGGTGGGCACCCTGGGCGGCGGCACCATTCTCGAACCTCAATCGGCTATGCTCGACATGCTTGGTGTCCGTGGCTCGCATCCCACCAGCCCTGGTGATAACTCGCGCCGCCTCGCCCGCATCATTGGTGCTGCGACACTTGCTGGAGAACTCTCGCTGTGCAGTGCCCTTGCGGCTGGACATTTGGTGAAGGCGCACATGGCACACAACCGCAGCGCGGCGCCGTCCAGGAGCACCACACCCGCACCGACGGCCCAGACCCCAGTGTCGCTGGCCATGACAAGTGCTGCTGCGCAACAGAGGAAACGCTGACGGGGGAACCTCATTTAGAAATTTCCGATCTACAGTATATACACATTGCCTTAGGCAGAAAGCGCATTATCCCAATTTAATTCTTGCATCATTGCATCACGCGCCGGACCTCCTCGTTGTGCATACTCACCATCTTGACGCCCTTGTCGATCAGGCTCTGCCTCATGTCGGCCCATTTCTCGGGCATGACGGGTTTGGTGCCCTCCTCGACCACATACGTCTCAAAGCCAGCCTCCAACGCGTGCTCCGCGGTCGCCTTTACGCAGAAGTCTGCGGCGAGGCCGACTACGTAGACGGCAGTCACGCCCTTGTCCTTGAGGAGGGACTCGAGCGGCGAGACTTCGATGCGGAAGGGGTCATGAAACGCCGAGTACATCTCTATCCTCTCGTCTTTGCCCTTGTCCACCACCGTATCCAAGCTGTCCTTGTCCAGATCATCGACGAGCTCGACGCCCCAGGTCCCCTGTACGCAGTGAACGGGCCACAGCGTTGCCTCGTAGGATTGCGTCTCATCGTTGGGGTTGCTGACCTTGATGGAGGATGAGAATGGCTGGCAGTTCCTGTGATTCGCCGCAAAGGAGATGTGCGTCTTGGGATGAAAGTCTCGTGTGGCTACTTTGAGGGCGAAGGGGTACGTGAGGAGGGTGTTGATGGAGTCGGTGATGTCGGTGCCGTCCGGCACGGCGAGAGCGCCGTGGGGCGGTGTAAAGTCATTCTGAAAGTCGACTACGATGAGCGCTGCCTTGGATGCCATGGTGGAAGACTGATGTGGTTATCTTCTCCCTTGGACCTGAGGATGTTGAGTGTCATAATGGTTGACGACAGGCGGGGCTAGCAGTTTGACACCAAGTGTCCGTCCCGCGAAGCTACTTACCTTACCCTGCATCCACGATCTTAGTACGTAGCCGCATACAATCCAATTCTGTTCCCCGCCTGCCGCACTCAACTATCAGACTGCCGGCCGCAGGCTGTTTCGATGATGCAAGATAAGCCACCTACCAATCCCGTCTCATCGAGTCCTCCCAAAAAAAGTGTATTCAGATATCAGCCAACCAACTTGCAGAGAAGTCCCAATGTCGAACTCCGGTTTCCTGATTTATATGGTGCGACCAATCACTTCCCCACGTTCGGGAAGGGGGTTATTTCTGAGCAAGCATGTAAATAACGCCTAAAAGAGCTCAGGATAAACGTCACCCTACAAATCGTCCTCCACCAGGGCGTCCTCTCTATCGAATAGAGCTCAAAATATATCAGCCATTTGGCGAAGGACGATTGGTGGCGGGACAGACGGAACAAAACAGCCGTGACCTCCTGAAGCGGCACATCGACGTTCTCTGGAATCCAAAGTACCTGCCCTAGATGGTTGGAAAGTGTGCAGGGTGCTTTCCCAAGCAATTGACACAACAGTAAGTTACCTCAGCCTTTCTATCTTCCACCATCCGTGTCTTGGTCGGTTCTAGCGATGGCTCCGGGAAAGAGCTCGGAAGAAGCAACCATGGCTGTCGGAGGGTATGACAGGCTCAGGCCGCAAAACGGGCTTGCTTGGAAGCGAAACTGGGACTCTTTGTGGTCTATACGTCCAGGCAGGAGGGACACGGAAACACAATAGCAGCGACGGCTTCTTTCCGCTGGATGACAAGATCACAGTTTCCTGCGATTAAGCCACTGGGTGTGCTTCTTGTTTGTGAAGCTACTTGTTTGCCCAACGTGCGAATTGAGTATTGCGTGTGTGCCTGGCGAAGCGGCTGTCCTCGCTTTTCCCTCTTCACCGCAATCCTATATCACGACCGAAGATGAACAGCGTTATTTCATTCTTCATCTCAGCGATTGTCCTCGTTTTCGACTCCTTCACCTTGGAACCTCAATGGCTGTATTGTACACGTACTACTATCTGCGTTAGCCAGGCATACACAACTGTCTGCCATTGTACGAGCCGGTAATTGGCGTATGCAAAATGATGAGGCTGCCATCTCATGGATGATTGTTCATGGGTGATTATTCATGAATGATTGTTGATGAGCATTGCTGGGAGCTCTGTTACCTGCCGCAGTGGATCTCAGACTGAAAAGGGGGAACTGAGGCAAGTGCTCCGCCAGCGAAATATCTTGTTCAATATGAGCGTGCGCAGGAACCTTTCCCATGGAGACAAACGAAGCAATTTGTTACTATGACTGAGCAGTCTTTTTCCTGTGACCGGCCGGCACGCCATACCCGCACTGAGCCGGAGATCGTCCTATCTGTATCGCCATCCGGATCGAGCAACTTCTCCGCCCTTCGGTACAGCTCGTTAAACGCGACGGCGACGGCGAAGGCGAGCAAGAACCGTAGAGGGGCACCGAAGGGGAGTAGTTTGCAGAGTGACCCGATCATGAAACCCAAGGGGATCTCGACCGATTCCAGAGCGATGGAACCGAGGATCAGTTCGAAAGATGTAGTAACGCTGTTCATCTCGGTAGTGGTGCAGGTTTGCGGTGAAGCACCCGCGCTTTGGAGCATGCTGTGGTGATTTGCATATTGGCAAATAGGCTTGTATCTTTGGGCGAATCCTGCCATCAAACCACGTAGTCGTCTGAAATAGACGCTCAGGCTTCACTAGTTCAACGTTTTTTGATAATGGCTGCCCTTGGGCCTCGTTTTGCTTTTTCTAGTGACGAAATAGGAGCTTGTTGTACCTTGAGAGACTGCTCGGGCCAAGCAAGGTGACGCATATGGCTTGTACCAGAGGAGAACCACGATGACACTTCGTGCTGCCCCCCTTCCCCTTGCCAACACCTTATAATACCTTAAGCTTCTTACAAGTCACGGAGCCCGAGTTTCATACGGCGCTCTTCCCCCCTTTCAACCTCGACAAACCAATGCCGGCATCACCAAACAATCCCATTTAGACTGCATCGTCTTCAGAAACAACATGGCATCAGAAATCGCAAACTCGACAAGTCCAGATTATGTTTTCTTGGCGCACAATGTCGCCAGCGCCGTCGTCCCCTCCAGCATAGGCCAGTTCTGCATGGCGCTCGCGACGATCTCCCCTCTACTCGCTTACCCTTACCTCCCCCATCATAACCGGGTATCCTGTATTGCGGAGTTCGACCCTGCAAGCATCTTGGTGAGTATTTACAGGTCGCAGCTGTTCATTCACTTTTGCATTACCTTATACTCCGTCGGCGACGTTGTGAACGGATCGACAGCCGACCCAATCCCCATCAACACCTGGCCGCTTTATTTAAGCATTTCATGCTCGCGGCAAGTTATTCCGCTTCTTTCTTTCTCACCGGATAATCCCCTAGGGCCTTCGGATTTTCAATCTCGTAGGCCACTGGGCCTGCTTACTCCCTCCTATACGTCTTATTTCGAGCCTTCGATATCGTCCTCGACCAGAACTCCTCGTATGCCTTCGTCCTAGCCGCTCTCGTCGTATTTCCCATCAGAGAGTGAATCAAGAAGCATGTGACGAAACACACACATGCTTACATGACGCGGAAGATTTCCTCTCCTGGCTGGCTTTGCCAAGCGCGTGGAGAGGGTGATTTCGAATCGGGCTGGAGTATCATACTAGTCCTTGCTCTTTTTCTTGGAGATACGATATTAATGTTAGTGGCGTTCGTGGAGGCGGTGGGAGATCGTTGATCTCCGACTCTCCGAGGCAGGTCGCTTCACTTTAATCTACATCGAAAGATACTACTCAGCCAGTCGAGTCCGGGGGAGTGCACGCGTCCTGTCAGCCTATTGCACAGGTGTCCGCCAGGCCCGCGATCTTGTGTAATAACGGGCAAATTGATAATGCAAGTTGAATGGTGATAGTGGCTTAATGTCCAGGTACTGAGTTAATTGATTAAGGTACATTCAGCGTAATATGCTCGCTTGGCGCTTTTTACTTATCGAGGTTAATCTCTTGAAAGAAACGCCCTGAGCAACGTCACAGTGCACACGCTGGTAAGGTGGAGTCTGCAACCGGCAGATACGGAAACGACGTCATTCCTCTGCCCTGCCCCGGCAGCCAATTCCGCCGCCGAGAACGAGCCTCGCTGCACGAAAACCAGTGACGGATCGCGTCACTGGCACGCTGGATAAATACTCGCCAGGATAATTCGAATGTCTTCACGTTTCTATACCTTCTTCGAGACTTCTGCAACTAATTAGACCGTGGCATTGGATAGAGCAGAGTAGAGCAGAGGATACTTCAGCGGCACCATGTCGAAACAGACAGAGCTCCCTACTTTTACAGCCAGCGACTATGTTAAGTTCTTCTCCGCTGGTGCGCTCGCCGCAACGGCGACGCATGGAGTAGGTACCACGAGCATGTTGCCCTTGCACATCATTGTCGCTAACCATCCAAGGGCGCCACGCCTATTGACGTCGTCAAAACGCGCATCCAGGTCGACGACTCCCTCAAGGGCTACAACATGATCCGTGCCGGCCGCAGCATCGTCGCCAAGGAGGGTGCCTCCGCCTTGCTCACAGGGTTCGGCCCAACGGCCGTCGGATACCTCGTCCAGGGAGGTAGCAAGTTCATGGGCTACGAGTTCTTCAAGAAGAAATACATTGAGGCAGTCGGTGGCCCTGACAAGGCCGTCAGCAAGCGAACCGCCATCTACCTCGGCGCGAGCGCCACAGCCGAGTTCTTTGCAGACATTGCCCTGTCTCCATTGGAGGCCACGAGAATCCGACTGGTGTCGCAAAGAGGATACGCCACTGGGCTCATGTCGGGCTTCACACGCATGGCCAGGGAAGAGGGCTTCAGGGGCTTCTACTCTGGCTTCGTGCCTCTGCTGTTTAAGCAAGTCCCCTACGCAGTCGGCCAATTCTCTGTCCACGAGGCCGTTAACGAGGTCATCTATCGCGCCATGGGCTCTGAGCGCAAGGCCAAGATGACCCAGCTCGAGTCCACCGGCGTGGAGTTGACATCTGGCATCGTGGCCGGCGCGGCTGCCGCTGTCCTCTCCCATCCTGCCGACACCTTGCTGTCGGCCATGAACAAGGGCGCTGGCGACCCCGGCCAAGGCGCGACGAGCCGCATGTTCCAGCTGGCCAAGGAGTTTGGCCCCAAGCGTCTGCTGCTCAGTGGGCTGGGACCCAGGGTGGTCATGACCTGTGCGCTAGTGTCGGGACAGTTCGTGATCTACGCGCAGTGCAAGGCCTTGACGGGGGCGCCACCCAGTATAGAGATTCACAAGGAGTCGAGCTGAGGGACTTGATGTGCACGTGCAGGTAGACGGCGTTTGGGGCCGGCATGGCGTCCTATTGGTAGCAAATTTGATAATGTTTTGTTGGTTCGAGCTTTTCGGGTGCTATTGACGGTGGGCTATTGATGTCCAGCTGAATAGAGTCCAGAAAAGTTGGGAAACACGTAGGCGGCCCCGGCTGTCGAGAAAATGACAGTAGACGCTCGATAATCTCATGGTATCAGCATGCCTCGAAGGAGCATGTTCGACAATGCGACAGACGTCAGCCTGCGTGAAAGATTCTCGGAAGGAAGCAGACCGGACTGGGTCTTTTGGACTTGCGCTCCGTGGCTCAGTGGAGAGTATGTGGCAGTCGATGCCATCCGCTGAACTGCCGCTGAAAACCAGGGGCTGGACCCCGTGCGTCTGTGCGGCAAGGTCTATGTTAGCGGGTACATCATCTGAGTGGGCTATTCCATGGTCAGCCAGGTACCTTCTATCAATGAAACAGCCACGACGACAACATCTTTGAATCGTGTCTCCCTCGTTTGATACGCCAGCTTCTATCGCATCCCCTTTGACTTCATTCATCCCCAATTTGTTTGTCCTGTTGTTTCCGCAGCCTCAACTACGCGACGTTGCATTTCCATTTCCTCATCAGGTGCGTGCCTACAGTCGAGCGTCAGGCAGTGCTGCACCGCGCAGCGGCGCAAGGAGCCAGTACAGGCACTCGCCAAACCGTATCTTGCAGCCACGCTTCCATTCGGCGCTGACGGACCATTTCCACCCCAGTTGTCACTGACGTCCCAGCAGATACACCTCCCATGTATTAGATACCGTTGACCATACATGCGCTGCCTTTCCGCCCTTCCACCCCTACCATGAAGCTCTCCCTATTGGCCGTCGCAGGTCTGGCGGCCCTGTCGCAAGCCACCCGAGTCAAAAGAGACCACGCCAATAACGACTACTATGTCCTTCATCTCGCACGCGACGCTGAGCCCGCGCAGGTCGCGGCACGCCTGGGCCTGGAACACCAGGGCGAGCTCGAGTTGGCAGGTCACCACGTCTTCCGGGCGGCGAAAACCGATACCGACCTTGTCGACACGGAGATCAAGGCGCGGAAAAGGAGAAAACGAGACATCTTAGACGACAGGGCCGATGTCGTTGACGGTGTGCTTCTTTCCCAAAAACAGACACTTCGATCGGGGCATTTGGAGAAACGCATCCCGCCCAGGCAGCTCATCCCGGCGGGCTGGTCCATGGCGGCAGCAAGCCCACAGCAACCGGTCGACTGGGCGGTCCAACGGCAAACCGAGGTCATGCGCGATCTCGACATTTCCGATCCCATCTTCACCGAGCAATGGCATCTCTACAACACAGTGCAACCAGGACACGACGTCAACGTCACCGACGTCTGGAGCCAGGGTATCACTGGCACTAACGTGACGGTGGCCATCATAGATGATGGGCTCGATATGTACAGCAACGATCTCAAGGCGAACTATTTTGCCGCAGGCTCCTGGGACTACAATGACCACGACCCCGAACCGAAGCCTGTGCTCTCTGACGATAGACATGGCACGCGGTGCGCGGGTGAAGTGGCAGCGGCGCGAAACGACGTCTGCGGCGTGGGCGTTGCATACGACGCCAACATTGCCGGCATTCGCATTTTGAGCGGTGAGCTCACCAACGCTGACGAGGCCGAGGCTATGATCTACAAATACCAGGACAATGACATTTACTCGTGCTCCTGGGGTCCTCCCGACGACGGCAGGCACATGGAGGCGCCCGACATCCTCATCAAGAGAGCCATGCTGCAGGGTGTCCAAGAAGGTCGTGGGGGCAAGGGGTCCGTGTATGTCTTTGCCAGCGGGAACGGCGCCGCCCATGGCGACAATTGCAATTTCGATGGGTACACAAACTCTATCTACAGCATTACCGTGGGCGCTGTGGACCGTGCCGGCAACCACCCCTACTACTCGGAGCATTGCTCAGCCAACCTCGTGGTCACTTACAGCAGCGGCGCCGGCGACTCCATCCACACCACCGATGTCGGCGTGGACAAGTGCTACGATGGCCACGGCGGCACGTCTGCTGCGGCGCCTTTGGCTGCCGGCATCTTTGCGCTTGTCCTCTCCATCCGGCCAGATCTGTCGTGGCGTGACCTCCAGTACTTGGCCCTGCACAGCGCCGCTCCCGTAGCCGACACCAACGCTGGGTGGCAGGACACTGCCATCGGCAAGCAGTTCAGCCACATCTTTGGCTATGGCAAGGTGGACTCCTGGGCCATGGTGGAGATGGCCAAGGACTGGGACCTGGTCAAGCCCCAGGCCTGGTGGTTCTCCCCTTGGCAACACGTCAAGAAGCCCATCCCCGAGGGCAAAGAGGGTCTGTCGGTGCACTTTGATGTGACCACCGACATGCTCAAGGAGGCTAATCTGGAGCGTGTGGAGCATGTGACGGTGACGATGAACGTGGAGCACACACGCCGCGGTGATATCAGCGTCGATCTCATCAGCCCCGAAGGCGTCGTGAGCCACATTGCCACAGACCGTATGAGTGATGAGGAGAAGGCTGGCTACGACGATTGGACATTCATGAGCGTTGCTCACTGGTAAGCGCGACTTGTACCGAGTGCGGGCACGCAGTCTGGCTAACAACTTCTTAGGGGCGAGTCTGGTGTCGGAAAGTGGACCATTATTGTCAAAGACAACAAGGTCAACAACCACCAGGGTGTATTTGTTGACTGGCACTTGAAGCTCTGGGGCGAATCCATCGACGCCGATAAAGCCACTTTGCTGCCCATGCCCAACCCAGACGATGACGCTGATCATGACAAGACCATCGTCCCCACGGTGACTGCTGAGCCATCTACAGCCACCGCACCCCCTCGTCCCGACGAGACCTTTGTGCACGACACGCAACCTACAGACCACCCGGTGCGTCCTACCAAGCCCGCCAAGCCGAACCCTACGCAGGAAGACAAGGGCAGCATGACCGGCCAAGCAGAAGAGGCCAGCAGTGAAGCCACCCCATCGTCTGAGACTTGGATTTCCTGGCTGCCCTCTCTGGGGGCTTCCAAGGCTGCACAGCCCTGGATCTACGGTGCGCTGGGCCTCATTGTCGCCTTCTGTATCGCTCTGGGCATCGCGCTCTTCATCGTACGCCGTCGTCGCATCAAGAACGACTCGCGCAGCAACTACGAGTTCGAGATGCTGGATGAGGAGGAGAGCGAAGGTCTCACCGCGGGCGAGAAACCCGCCGGCGTCGCTGGGGGCCGCAAGAAAAGGCGCGGTGGCGAGCTGTATGACGCATTCGCGGGCGGCAGCGAGGATGAAGACGAGGGTAGCGAGTTTGATCGTTACGAAGATCGCGAGCCGTCGCAGAGCGCGCGTAGCCTGCCTGGAGAGCGGGATGGCGACCAGTTTGCCCTTGGTGGCGAGAGTGATGAGGACGACTCAAATGACGAGGCCAGAGAAAAGAGGCGCCCGACTTGAGAGCTTTTTGGATAAGAAAATGAGTGAGAGCGTCGGGAGTAGAGCATGCATGACGTTGTTTTACTGGGCATTGTAATAGATATATCCATTCATAGGGGGAGTCTGGTGTATAAATCCATCGGCCACGAAGGGGCCTTGCCAACAGCCGTTCTCATTCTACTGTCCTAAGTTCATAAAACCAGCAAACGCCTCGACGCCCGTGCCTATCCCGCATTCATTCCGCCGTGCCGCTCTGCTTTCAAGCCTCAACGCCTTGTCGCTCCATTTCCTTGACGTACTGCTCCCATAGACTACCGACCTCGCCATAAAATTGAACGTGAGCATCCGCCAGACCGCCAAGCTGGGCCTTGAACTCAATCCGCTTGATCCGTTCAAAGTCGCCGACTTCGCGGACAACCTCGTCATCAAAGAGGTTGCTCGTCGCCCTGGCACGCTCCACTTCGGCAGTCAGTTCCTCGACGCGCATCTCTAGTTTGCGTGCTCGCTCACGGCGTGCCTGCTCGTGGTCTACACCGCGTACGTCCTCGATCTTGTTCCGCAGGAAGCCCCCGGGTCCCGAGGAACCACCAGAGTATGAGTGGCCGCCGTGCCCTTGCAGGGAATCACGCTCCGTCGTGGACTTGTTGAGGTACTCGATCAGCTGCTCGTGGTCCAGTTGCTTCTGCTCTCTCGCCTTGAGGAGGTTGCGTAGACTCAGGCTGTAGGCCTGCATGTCCCGCAGCGACCCCAGGTAGTCCTGGTCCGTGACATCGTGGAGACGGCGCAGATGTGCCGCCGAGTCCTGGATGCTGGCTGCGAAACCGTGCACGGCGGGCTCGACGCCAGGCTCAAGGGTGATGAGCTTCTGGAACTGCTCTGCCAGGTCGTGATAGTCGGTCTCGAGATCAGCCTCCCGCCGCGCGACACGCGCGACGACCTTTTCGATGTGGTTCAGATCCTCGTCCAACTTGTCGCTCTTCTCCTTGACCTCGAGGAAGCGCCTGTCCGGTTTGTGCACCTTTGTAAACGCATTGATGAAGGTGTCCGCAAAGTTGTCAAACACGCCGGCGGCACCGCTAGCGGCGTCGCCGCTGCTCGACCGTGCGCCGCGACTCTTCATTGTCGCGTTCCAGTCCGGGCTCTCGAGGAACGAGTGCAGCATCGGCGATCTACGCAGCGACGGATGCAGACTCAGCCTGGCGAGGAACCTCTGCAGCGAGTGCGCCCGACGGAGGGTGAAGTCGGTGCCGAAGCGGTCCCCGCGGACATATTCCATGCGCTGCTTGTCCGGGAGAGGCGGGACGGCGCAGGCGGGGAAGTCACGGTTGAGGGTCTTGTAGAGGAAGACAAAGTCGGTGAAACGGCGTCGCACAGAGAAATGCTCGCGCGCAAAGGAGGGAAAGGTGGACTGTTCCAACGATTAGCTGTATGCAGGCGGGAGAGTGGCGCGGCTGAGGGTTGGGGTTGCGCACGCTGGTGGTGATGAGATACGACACAAAAGCGTCCTTTGTCCCATCATTCTCCTTGATCGGCGTGTCGACTGTGCATTCTAGACGTTCGCCGCCCAGCGGGTGTGGTTCATGCTCGACAGTCGCGCCCGGTCCATCGAGGGTATGCCCAGTGTCTTCTGCGTCTGGCGTGGTGGGGTTCTTGTGTGTTTGTTCGTGGACATGCTCGCTCCAGGAGACATTCGAGAAATCGCCTTCTTGTTCGCTGGAGGCCATTGCGTTTCCTTCTCGGGCTGTGTACTGTCGGAAGAAGATGGGCTTTGCGCTGGGGCGTGGACAAGCTGCAGCCGGAGCTCCAGCTCGAGGTGAGGTTGGCCAGGATGCTGGTGACGATGGCGGCGTGGGGCTGATGCTGGATGAGGCTTAGCGGCGTGGCTGACGTCGCCGGATTTGATGACAAAGGTCACCGAGATGCGATCTAAGTAAGGTCAAAGTCAATTATTGTCGCTCGAGGCTTTGGGAATTGGTATGCGATTCTGCTGCCCTCATGGCATTTACGATCTTGGGGCTAAAACGTTGCTTGCATGTACCTGGGAGCAGCCCATCTCGCGATGCGCGACACTATTTGGGGTGCCGAGCAGCCAGGCTATCGATAGTGCGGACACGGAGCACTTGTTGGTTAGGTAACAGGCAGCAGCATATGGATTTACGATCTTCGCACCGCAGGTATACTATTGCATCTGACGCTTCACGCAACTGAACTTTGAAAATTGGTTTCGAAAAAATTGGTATCTGTTAGTCAGCCGTCGCAAGTACCCATATGAATTCTCCCCCATGCCGCGGTCCGCGCCTACAAGGCAGGCGGCTGGTGTAAGCAGTCCGCATCCTCGAGTGCAGTGACTGGCGGTTCCCATTTCCCAATCCTGAACTGAACATTTCATCCCGTCTGCCTCCATCTCTCATTGAGCTCACACATTGGCAGCTTTCTCCGCGGCGTGTTGCTTCGCCTGGCGGCGTCGACGCCTGCTCCTGATGCAGCAGACACCGATCACACTCAGCATGAAAACGCCACCCAGGGTTCCAAGGACGTAGCCGACGATGGCGCCGGGAATACTCGTAGGGTTGAGCTTTTCTTCATCCTCCTCTGCACCGGCGCGAGCAATGAGGTTGCGGGCAAAGATCATGGTGGAGTCCATGGTTGGATATCGTGTACGGTAGCCGGGCTGTTTCCGACTGGCGTGAAGAAGGTAGATTTGTGTGGATGTATAAGTAGTAGCTTATGGTAGGTAAGGTAGCAGAGGTGCTTTCTAGTGATGCCTTGGTTCGCTGAGTGAGAACAGACGGTCGACAGCTGAAGAAACAGACAGCAATCTGTGATCACGAGGGGAAGAGAAGGACAATGGCGATGGGAAATGGGGGTTTCCAGGCACGGTGCTTTAAAGTATTCCGAATCGGACAGTGCTTCGCCATGCAGCCACAGGACGATCCTGACCGCGTGCGGCGACTGGATCCTGCCAGACGGGAGGGTGCCGCCCTCGGGCACAGTGTTCAGGTCCTGAAGCCAGCACGGATGGCCAAAGATCGGTCACAAGCCTGGGAGACGCTTGCATATTGTAGGCACCGCAGCGAATCATAGCAGAGCCTCTAGGAGAAGTATCCTGGCAGGAATGGCCAGGCAGACGTTTAGATTTCTCGGGAGGCTGCAAGAGGACAAGCCCCCCTTGGCAACCAGCCTGGGCATCTCGCACACTAGCCATAGTGGTGTTCCGATGCTGTGGGGATTGGAAATGGGGAGCGAATCGACGATGTCACTCCGCATCCTCCTCTCTCCACACCCCCGAACAAACAACATGGAGGGGCGACTAGGACTGTGATAGTCTGGGGCAGAGCTCCAGGCAACCGTATTTTGTTGCCTCGTAATTGGGCGCCAGAACAACAGACCAACGGAGACACTTGCGATAACCAACATGGACTTTGCAAGCATGCTCCTACGTACCAACAAGTCTCTCCAGATCATCATGGGACGCATTCCCACGAGCACGCACTAGTGAGAGTGTGAGACAGGTCGCCGCCGTAATATGCTCAAAATTGCATGCATCTAGAAGCACTGAATAAAGGCTGCTTTTACTCCTCGTTTCGTACTGGCGTACGGAGTATTGTTGGTTGCGGTCGCTTTCGGGATGAGCCTCAAGTCCCGGGTTCCGGCGCCACTGACGACAGTGTCGTTTAATTTCCCTGCGACAGCCGGCAGCCTTCAATTCTCAGTTAGTATCGCCCTTGCAGCCGTGCGGCGCTGGACAGTATGGCGTACACAGTTGTTAGTGACAGGGGCTGTCCTCTGCACCACGCCTACCCGGAGAAAGACACGGTGCCACGCGAGCGAGCACTGAACAGCTCAGTGATAATTGGGGAGACAAATTTTAGGTCGCCGCTACGGGGAAAGCCTTACTGCGCTTCGAAGCCGCTTGTTTCCCAGGCATATTGGACAAAAACCCTCCTTTGGGGGCGTACTCTGCAAGTCTTGGTGCATTTGCGGGAAGAATGAGCAAAGGTAATTTGTGGCAACCTAAGTGTATTGGGAAGGTAGACCATGCCAATCAGTTTTTTGACCAGAGACAGACAGCAGTGTCATTCATGCCTACGGCCCAGTGTCTTATTCCGACTGAGCATGTTCTCGTGTAGTGCCAGAAGCCTCAACCATAGCCGTGATCCAAGGGACAAGTTGAGCTTAGAGCTGGGTCGCGCACTCAAGCATCGCCTGAGAGGCAACCTCGTTGATGCCCTTGACCTTTTTTGCAGCTGGAACTGCTGCCCAGAAGGAGGTTGGCCCAACTGGCCTTAATCAGTCGGTTGTTGAAGCTGTGGATAGGGTCCAGTCTTTGGTGTCACTTAACCAAGAGGATGATGGCCACTGAACCAACATTCGACAGATTAAAAAGATTAAAGTAGAATTCTATTTGCGGTGCAAAGTCTATGCCGGTGTGCCCATGGCACTCAAAGTGCGGGACCTTTTTCGCCATCTACACCATCCCCGCCCATCCCGTCCTATGCCGTACATTCATACATATGAGATTTATACAAACAGTGAGTGGAGACACAGCGCATCATTTGCGCTCCTCGCTCGACGCCTTCTCGGCCCTGGACTGGTCCTTCTCGGCATCAAGCATCTCATTGGCCACGCCCTTCTCGACGCCTTCGGCATCAGCGGACGCCTGGCGCTCCTCCTTCTCGTCAATGTCCTCGGTGTCCCGGGGTGTAGCCATGCCGCTGTCCTGGTTCTCCTCGTTCTGGTGGTTCTCCTCATCGATGAGCTCCTGCTGCTCCTTGAGGACCTCCAGACGCTGCTTGTTAGTGGCAGCACCCTCGGCGTGGTGGACCTCTAGCTCAATTTCGTGGAAGAGCTCCTCGGGGATCGAGGACAACACACCCACGAGCGCCTCAATCTGCGTGGAGGCCTCGCCGTCTTGCTGCTGGCCATACATGTAGGCGTTGCTCAAGACAAGAAGGGTGGAAGGGACACCTTCCTGGAGGCGGAGGTTGAGCCAGGTCTGGAGGTCGTTGCGCATACGCGCGGGCGAAACGCTGTGCGTGCGAATGCCACGTGCCGCGCAGGCATTCTGCAGCTCACCCACCGTCAAACTGTCGACACCCTCGTAGCTGATGGCCTTGTCGTCCCTCTTGATCTGGCGCATGCGATGGCGAATCTGGTAACGCAGCATCATGTCGGTGCCGAATGTGTTGAGGTTCATGTACCGGCACATGGACACGAGCTGGGGACGCGACAGGTTGTCCAGGGTCAGGTCATCCCTGAAGACCTTGCACACCTTGATGACGTCCTGTGTGGTGGGCGCCTCGCCCGTGGAACGCACCTTGCGGAAGAAGTTGGAGAACTCTTCCTTCTGTGCGGTGGCCTGGCTCAGGGGCAGGCCCGTCTCCTTAAGCGTCTGCCTCAAGAAGGAACTAACATCCTTGCGAGTCGATCGCAGGACCTTGGCCTTGGCATCCTTGGTCTTCTGGCCCTCAAAGGTGCTCGGCAGCATGTTGGGGAACAGCTTGAGCGCGAGGGGCAGCAGAGCCTCGCCGAGAGGAACAATGATGAAGACGGAGAAGGGCACAAGGCGTCCGAGATCCTGCACCGTCCTCTGCAGCTGTCTGTTCTCCCTGCGCGTCAACTCGTAGCCCGCTGCCATCTTCAACGCCAGGCGCCAACTGATCTTGACCTCTGTGGCCAATAGCTTGCTGCCATCCCAGTAATGCCGCGCCTCTTTCTTGACTTTTTGCCAGACTGTGAGCTTCTGCTCTTCCTTCTCCTTCTTGATAATGTCGCCCTTTTCATTCACCTCCGCCCTTTTCGCCTCGAGTTTACTAATGTCGGCCTCCGCCGCGGTCTGGTCGGCAGGTGCTGACGTCGATTGAGCAGCAGTGGCATCTTTGCCCTTTGCATCCGCGTTGCTGGTCTGAGGGAGCGGTCTCTTAGCCTGCTCCGCGTTGAAACCGGGTGGCGGGCCGGAGCTGTTGTCAGAGCGATGTTGCTCGGTGTTGAGGCTTCGGTGCGGGATCAATATGGCCAGGGCGGGCACTTGGGACTGGCGAGCAATGTGGCGGGCGAGCAGTGAGGATGGAACACCGCGAGGAAACACACGGGCTGTTGAGCGCGTTAGTTGAAGCCCTGCCCAGGCAGAGTTTAAAACTGACCGTTGCCCAGCAGGGGCGCGGCCCTGCGGGCGACACTGGCAGGAGCGCTCATCACGAGCGTGGCTTCAAGTGTCAGAGAAGCCGTGATGTGAAAGGAGATTGCAATGTCCAGAAAACAAGAGGAATGATGTATGAGGAGAAGATGATGATGGTGGAACAGGATGGATGTACAAAGTAAAGGGATCGTGTCTGTCCGAGTCGGATCAGGGTCAGCAAACGCATCGGGTCTCGACGGGCTTTGCGCGGCAGCAGCCGCTGCGCCAATGGTGGGTGCTGCAGTGAAGCCGCGGGTTCTGGATTGCCCGGAGACACGGTATCTCCGGTCCGGGCAATGTGTGTTGAGCTCACGTGATTTGTCCATGACAGCCTCGGATCAGGTCGGTATTCATGGGCGAGTCCTGCGGCATATGATGCTGCGGTCATTGATTGGGAATTGTAAGCACTGCTGATTGTGATGTCGCCTACTGGTACGCCTGTCAATGCAGTGCAGTGCTCTGGAGGCTCCCACGGCCAACAAGCCTGGCGCAGGTTCGGCGGCTTTGGCATTGATCAGCCCCAGTGGCCTCTGAATTCCAATACTTGCTTCCAAGTGCTCATCACATATTTATCGTGGCGATGTCACATCCCACAGCTATGTGACATGAATCTCGCCATTTGCTTGTGTATTCACGATTCTGCTATCTAAGTTAAGACTCGAGCCTTAAGGACCGGACGGGGCCAGTTGACCCTCAACACTCAACAATTCCCCAGACGCGAGCCACATGCGAGCGACAGGAACCCCACTGTCGCACATTTGCGTCCCCCGCCAAGGGGCCGAGCTTCCCTGGGCCGTGCTCCCCAAGTCCGGTCCGGTCCCTGGGCACATCAGCGCATTTACGACTGTAGTCTGCCGCCCGCCAACCTGCCTGCGAGATTGAGCTTCCAACATCCTCGAGCCGATCATGAAGACATCTTGAGCGTCACCTCGGCATCTCTTGCGTCGGCTCCTGTTACTGGGCGTCGCATCCGACTCTCTCTTATATTTTTCTGTACTACACATTATCCCTTCACCATACCTTTATAGTACCCACTACTTGCCCGTTCCATTAGTATTTATAATCGCAAAGAAACCCGCCGATCATCCGCCCGACAACCAAGTTCGACACCCCTTCTACATACACGCAACATGCGCCTCAAACGGGCCGCTCGCGTCATCCTCATCGGGGCTCCGGGTGTTGGAAAGGGTACACAGACGGAACGCCTGCTCGCTCGGTTCCCCCAGCTCCAGTCCATCTCCACCGGCGACGTCCTCCGTTCGAATGTCAAGCGACGGACAGCTCTCGGCATCAAGGCGGAGAGCATCATCAAGTCGGGTGGCCTGGTCGACGACTCGACCATGCTCCGCCTCATCAGCAACGAGCTGCGGACGAGGGGATGGCTGGACTCCAGTGCGCCTATGACGCTGAATGCGTCCCCCATCCACTCGGGCGACGATCTGGGACAGGAGCCTGCGCATGCGCCGCCCAGCGAGGATCCCAGCGCCAGCTTCATACTGGACGGCTACCCCCGGACGCCCGGCCAGGCGACCACGCTCGACCAGATCGTGCCCATCAACCTAGCTGTCTCGCTCGTCACGCCCTTCTCTGTCATACTTGACCGCATCGCGGGGCGGTGGGTGCACGAGCCCAGCGGTCGGGTCTACAACACTTCCTTCCATGCGCCCAAGGTGGCCGGCCTCGACGACGTCACCGGAGAACCACTCGTCCAGCGACCAGACGATAAACACGAGGTGTACAGTGAGCGATTGAGGAAGTTCCAAGAGACCAGTGAGCCATTGCTCGAGCATTATGCCAAAAAGGGCGTTCTAGTGGAGGTGGAGGGGTTGAGCAGCGACGAGATCACCCCAAAGCTATTTGAGGAGTTTGAGAAGCATTTTGTGCGGCGGTCATAGGTGTCGAACCGCATTTGTGTGTGTGAGAGAGCGAATGACTTGTTTCCGTGGGTTTAGGTGGGAATTTTCACACGCAGCAGGATGCTGCCGGAGGCTGGCCGGTCGGACGACTGTGAGCCACCTGGCGTTTGATGTTTTTATTGTATACCTTGTATATACCAGTCTTGGACAACTGGCGAAAGCTTGACATTATGGACCAACATTTCATTCAAATATAGACACTCAGCTGTCTACCTTCTATCCTTGCTGTAATCAATCCCTCCATTCGTCGTTCCTGATGCCACCCGCGCCGCTAGCCTCGACGCCAGCCTCGTCGCGGTACGGCTTACTCGACCCAGAGGCACCATTATCTTCCTCGTCATCATCTTCCATGGCCCGAGCCAGTTCATCTGGGTCCTTCATCCTGGCATCCGGATCCACGGGTCCGGATGTGACACCCTCCTCTTGACCATCTCTGTCCGCATCGAAGACGCCGTCGTCAGCGCTCACGGAGATGCCCCTAGAGCCCCAGGCCGGACGGCTTCCGTTGCGGCCGCCACCCAGCGCGGGGCCACTCTCCTCATCTTCATCATCCATATTGCTGTGCCTCGGGGCGAACCGTCCGAAGATGCGGCGCAGGAGCCAGGAGTTGCGCAGGTCATCAGCGTCCACAACACCGCCGCCCCTGAGCTTGACACGCTGGCGCGTGTAGTACACCCAGGCAAAGTCAATGTACAGAGCGGTCTGGATGATTCCGAAGATAACAGAGACTGTGTCCGGGCCAGGGTCAGTCGAGTCGAGCTTGCGAACAAGCCAGTTGAAGCAGTACAGAGCACGGTACGACCCCAGGGTCAAGAGGTAGAATGAGTCAATGACGGTGGGGACAGTAGTCTGGCGCAGCAGCAGAAGCTGGGGCAGCACGCAGACGGACTCGAGGATCTCGGAGAAAACCCAGAGCCAGTGTACAAAGCCCCAGAACTCCTTCTGTTCAATGATGAGCATGGCAAAGGGACTCAGCACCAGCGAGCCTCCCAGCACCACGGCGCCCAGCTTCCATGCCACCTCGCGCTCCCTTGTGCGGGGGAACATCCACTGCATCACGCCCAGGATGTAGAAGCTCGAGATGATGTAAAATGTCTTGAAAATGACATTCCATGCTGGATGGGGCTTGCTGCTGTCAAAGAGGTCGAGGTAGCGCGTGCAGAAGACGAGGCCGTAGAGGAGCTGCGTGATGAGACTGACGCCCTCAGCCGAGCGGTTGCGATGAATTGAGAGGATCAGGATGAGCTTGGAGAGGATGTGGGAGATGTCTCCCAGGTAGCGGAAGATCTGGTTGCCATTAGCCATTGCGCTGTTTCGCGCGCGTCGCACGGGACACGTACGTTCCACATGGTTGCGTCGGAATCGACAAGGATTGGAGCTGGTGCTCTTCAATGCGGCGGATTTGCGCGATTCCAGGGGAGCAGGCGATGATGGGACGACGAGACGGAGTTGATGGGTGGTGATGGAGGAGGACGTGGACTGAAGAGGCTGAGCTCCGTCCGGAGCTGCCTGGCCTTGGGAGGCAACGTGACGTGAGGCGGCCGGCGGTGGCTGGTTGACACTGGAGGGCTGTAGCTACCTACCCTGTAGCTGCAGACTTTCTTTCTTGTGGTGGCACCTCGTACTGGCTAAAAGAATGTAGTGGCGAGCTAAGTGAAAAAATGCCGTAAATAACTCTCATTCGTCTTTTCGTTGCTAGGCCATGATTTTTTCTTGCTCAGGATGGCAAATGCTCTTAGTGTAGTTTTCGGGGCGTCCTAAGTGCACGCTCTCTAATGCGCAGCAATCATCACTAGATACCAACGGGACGACAGCACGGTACGTAGTCAGGCATTAGTTCAATTCGGCATTGAGGGGTATCGACTTGCGTGTGTCTGACTTGACGAAGAACCTATCTATGTGCAAAAAAAAAAGTCACTAACAAACAATATGTACAATCCATGCCAAAGACACAGCGGTTACGCGAACAGCGCGAAGCCAAAGACGGCCACGGCCGCCGGCAACATACCGATGCTCCGTCCCAGGTTGATGCCAGTGTTCGTCAGGTACTCCTCGTACTCGTCTTCGTCACCGGGCACGGTCGTGCCGTTGGGCAGAGTGCCGTTCACCGTGATGGTCGTTGTGCCGTTCACGTCGCGCACATCCACCAGGGTCTTGTTGAGCTTGTCGTAATCGCCGTCGCCAATGAGGTCGTCCCAGAACTCCTCATCATCAATGTCGTCGCACATGCAGACCATGCGCTCCTCACAGTGGCAAATGATCTCCCTTTCCTCATCTTGCTCACTGGTCGAGTTGTAGTAGCGGTGGTGGTAGTTGTATGGCCCGTACATCCAGAGGCCGACGCCCAAGGGGAGCAGGGCGGCAGCCGGCAGGAACGCCAGGGCACTGCCTCTCAAGGGTCCCCGCGACCCGAGACCGCTGGGCGTCCTTGCCCCTGAGCTGTAGGGAACTGTCGAGCCGCCGCCGTAATATCTACCGCCGCCGAATCGTGGCTGCGGGCCTGAGCCGAGTCGCGAGTAGCCTCCGGCGTTGGAGGTCCTCTGGGTGTTTGTACCTTGACCGCGTGTGCCGCTAGAACCTGTGCGAGATGAGCCTCTAGTACTGCCGCTGCGGCCACCGCCACCACTGCCGGGGAACGAACCTCCTCGAGAGCTTCCACTGCCGCTGCCGCGACTGCTACCACTGCCACCACGACTGCCACCGCCTCCTCCACGGCCACCTCCACCGCCGCCGCCACGACGCTTCCAGAGATCAGACGAATCGTCAGACTCTACATCCGGGAGAACGGCGCGGGGTGCAGCCTCGCCATCGACGCGCACAATGTGCCGCGGCTGATGATGCGACTGCTGCAGGTCGGCGACGGCGTTGGCTGCGACGGTGTTAAGGAGGAGCGAGCCGATGAAGGCCACATCGAAACGCATGATGAATCGAAAGCTGCGCGGCGTTGAACGTATGGATGCGTCAGGGAGCAACAAAGGGTCGTGGCACTCCTTGCTTTGAAGTTAAGCGTATGGAGTATTGATGTAGGGAATTAGATGGAAGCGAAGAAATCTGTCCGGGGGTGCGGGAAGTGGTGGTCTCTTATTTCCGAAACAGGTACTTTGGAATCATTGGTGTGTCAATGACGCCGTCGAATGAATGCAGTGCGCTGTGGTGTGGTGTCACTGGTGTAACTGATGATTTGGGGGCACTGCAGGGTCACGGTGGCAAGGATGTGGATGCGCGTGAGATCACCACCTCTAACCTTGTGTTGGCTGGCAACGGGAGCTTGGATGCCGGACGTACTTGGCGCTCTGCAGTGACTGGAGTGTGACGTTGAATATGATGTCGGCCTGGCAGCTTCGTGGTCCTTGTCGTTGACTACGGCTGCTACTGAGTTGGTTTGGCTTGAAGCTGTGACTTTGCCTCCAAGAGTGTCGGAAGACGGATGCTTCTCAGTAGTTTCATTTATACTTGTGGAAAACCCGCGCCTGTGCGGCTGAAGGTTGATTGAGCCCACCGAGATCACCACAAGGCACAAGCGACTGGAGGGTCCGTGTGCACCCCCTGCCATCGTCATACTGGGTCCACGAACAGTGGACCTTTGCGATCTGACTGCGCCAGTGCCCCCCGAGTTCAAGAGAACGTGCCCAGTCTTTGGTTCTTTGCTCCCTACAAGTAATAATTCTGCCCTAGCTGACCTGCTCCGGTCGGATTGGAATATTAGCGCTGCCCTGCTCCTGCGGCTAAACGTGCGGACCTTTGTTCTCGAAGTTTTCCATCTGCGGCCGTTTGCTTGCATGACGTCTGTTAGTCCCCTGAATCTGGAAGACATCTTACCAGGTAACTTGCAACAACAACATGTCAGTTGCTGAAATCTTTCATCAATTCCTCTTCCCCAGCTACTTCTCCATCTCTGTCCCTCTTGCATGGAGTGATCCGCGCGCCAGCCCAGGTTACGCTGCTCGCCTTGCCCCTAGGGCCTATTAACACTCGCTGGCGGCAGTAATGGCCACAGTGGCTGTGCATCACCTGAGGTGTTCCCGACTCGAGGCGCCTGCCTCTAACTGGCAGCCCGCACCTGATGAGTCCCACAAATACAAGGGCGCCTCGCCGGGAGCCTCACCAACCTCCTCCCACTTCGGATGCACCACACAGCGGGAAAATACGAAAACCTTGGTCGGCCCTTTCCTTTTCCGTTATGAAGGCGACATACCCAAGTACACACAGAAATGGCTACGCTGCGTAACGGCCCGTCTTGTCTTGGCTGCAGTCCCAGCTGCTGAAGCCGGCAGTGACGGACCTCAGCGGCTTCACCGCTGCTCTTCCAGGGTTAACAAGGTTCCTAGGCCGGGAAAATTAACTCCATCAAATCAACCTAACCTGACTCTGTGCTTGTTGCGGATCAAAACGTCCGTCTAAGCATACCTCTGCCAAAAGAGAACACCTGTGAGTACAGATTGGACTGTTGTTACCTCCACAGCCAGCTTCCCAACACCAAGATACCGACGCTGCTCTCTGGTGGAAAAAAAGCTTTTCCCGGCTCTTTGTCACGGCAGAGAGCTTCGCGCCCTGTCTGATCACGAGGTTGCGAAGAAAAGATCGCTACTAGAGTCAAAACATGCGGCAAGAGCACTTGACATGACGATCTAGTCCCATGAGCAAAGTACTTCATGAATTTAATTTCAAACGACTAGACTATCTAGTAATCGTGCACGCCCTCAACCACGGGACTTACCGTGCCACATGGAACCACAACTCCCAGACGCCAGTCCTCGCAGTGCCAAATATCAATCCTGGTCGCTCTAGGCTGTGACACTGTAACCAACTGGCGCAGCCGCCTTCGCTAGGCGTGGGCTTTCCAGGCCCTGCGCAAAAGTGCTCCTCTTCCTCAAGGCCGGTCCCTTGACGTAGATGACAAAGACAAAGCCCACCAAGGGCAGTGACAACAAGAACAGTATAACACCGGCCCACATGAAGCTCTTCACCTCGTCATTTCCAATGTCGGTGAAGAATGGTTTGGCAGCAAAGACGAGGATACCAGCTAGGATATCTCTAGCCCATCCGTTTCCGCCGGTGGCAGAGGCAGAGTACGGTCCGTAAGCACAGATCATGTAGTCAATGGTGGCCATGTAGATGGCGTAGTTGGACATGCCTACCAGAACAGCAAAGATCAGGCTGGCGATCCAGTGAATGTCGGACCGGAGGGTGAAGGCGAACCCGATCAGACCGAGACAGAGGAGAGGACCTTGCCAGAGAAGGGGCCACAACCGAGACTCGAATTGCGTACGCTCATCATCCGGCTTCGCCGCGCGCAGACGCTTGTTCCGCTCAAAGCTTGGGATGAAGAGCATCCAGCTGAAGAAGTAGGAGACGAGAATGGAAACAAACGTGAGACCGGTTTGCCAAGTATTGAAGCCCCAAATGTGGCCGTAGACAATGCCAAATGAATGAATGCACATGAAGATCAATGCATCCGCGAATCCTGATAGCGCCGAAAGGCAGGCCACAATGGGGTCTGTGAAAAGCATAATAAAGCCGCGCATCCAGACATCGCGGATCTGCGTCCAGGAAAAGCGGTCTCTCAGTGATTTGCCCTCGCTTGGGCCCCAGACATTGTCCTCTGGGTTGGCCTTGCGGCGCTGCTTGGCAATCTTGTTGACAATGACCGTGGAGCGAGTCTCGGGGGTGAACCAGTGTGCCAACTGAACGGCCAGTCCCAGAATGAGCTGCGCCCAGATGCACCATCTCCAGTCGAAATATGTCTCGAGGTAGCCGCCGACGATAGGTCCCATAATTGACCCTGCGACGGAAGAAAAGACGACGAAGGCCACAGCGTATTGCTGAGACTCAGCATCCCACATGTCAGCAACCATACCGAGAGTAACAGAGCCGCCGGCTGTAGACAGGCCGCCCAGCACACGCCCAGCAATGACCGAGGCCATGTTCGGCGCCAGAGCAACAGGCAGTTGCCAGACGTTGACAAGACCCATGCTGGCCTGCATGACACAATGGCGGCCAAGCTCTTCGGACCATGGAGCCCATAGCTCGCAGCCAAAAGCGTACATGATGAGGAAGAGCGCCGATCCAAGTTTGGGGTAGACTTCCTTGACACCAAATTCAGCCTGCATGCCAGAAGTGGCATTATTATAGACGGAGGCGTTGAAGTTCATTGAGATTTGAACCCAAAAGGCGACAGTGAGGATGAGCCACTTCTTTGTCCTCGAGAAGGCGTAGCCAAATTGCTGCGAGCATTCTGCTTCTGTGAGAATTCGTGTGCCGCTGGACCCAAGACTGGAGACCGTGGCCTGAGGCGATTTCAGCTCTGGGTAAGACGACACCGGGCTCTCCATAGCATTGGAGGGAGAAGATAGGTTTTCAACGTGCGCAATCTTGGTTGCCGCCGATTTTGCTCCTGGACTACCATGCTCCTCAGCTCGAGCATCGTTTCGTTGCGTTGAAAACATGGTGCTGGTACGTTGAATTACTGACGATAACTTGCGCCTTTGATAAAATGGTATCTGATGTGGCTTGCGAGATGCTTGTGTCAACACCGGGCAGAAGGATGAACTGCTCTATAAGTAGTACGATGAAGAATGAAGAACAAAGAGGGTGAACAAGTCCAAGAGAACAGCAGCTCAAGCTTTGAAACTCTCGTCCCCGGAACGGCAGGCGCGGCCAGTGACCGACTGAAGTAAGGTATCCAGCGAGGCCAACGCTCTTCCTGTACCAATTGCTGGGATGTAGTCGAAACCTTCCACAAGGCTAGCATATCTTACCTTGAGGACCCGATTAAAGCATCAAAGGCTCCGAGCCATGATACGATCAAAGGATGACCAAGACTGAGTAGGATTGTTTACTTGCAGGTGTGAGCTGAGCTTTCAGTCTCTCTACTGAAGGGAGATTCTGCCACGCCAGCTTCCGATCTGACAAAGGATCGTACACAGACAGGCAAGCAATATTGGCCCCTGGGTTCCGCCATGTATTTTTCCTAGCCGCGTGGCCTATCCACGGAGAACATTATGGCTTTAGCGGCAGACTTTGACTGAGAGTTGCCTGCCTGCTGCGCCTGCTTTACGGGCAGGAAAGACATGGACTTGAATGCAGCGTGCAAGCCGGGATCAGTTGCTTTATCAAGGTCCCTGGTAGACTGAAGCTTGCACTGACCCCTCTCGACAATGACGACACTCCAGATTGACAAGCTCTCTCGACTGTCTTGGCCTCTCAGGCTTTTAGAGATATGGGGAGGCTGGCTCCATGTCCCTTCTGCGACAGACCGAGGCAGTCCCTTGATCTCTCAGATCCCCTTTTCCCGGACACGCTGCGGCGTTGCTGCGCGGCAAGTCTGCCAGTGTTCTTTCCCAATTCGAGCCTCCGAGGCAGTTGTGAACAATCGCGACCGCGCCATGAACGCCTGTTCCGAACTCAGAGCCGCCAGTTATTGATCATCTGAGCTAGATAACCCGTTACGAGACCATCGATCGTGAGGTGCGTCTTGCAGAAGTTGAAGCCATCCTGATGGGCTGTTCTCAACGCGCTTCGGTGGACGCCTCTTTCAATTTCGATTAGACGCGCTGTGATTTGAAGAGACAAACACATCAAATTTCAGTTAACTCAAGCTCATGAGTGAGAGATGTGGCCATGGTTTGAATTCAGGATGAAAAGGAAGTAGTACTTGGCCTGACGCGTGCGGTGATGAAGACTTGACCCCACTTTGCGCATCTCAGCTAGGCTCAGGCTCTCATCATTGAGATCGTCCCTGCGACTTTCAGGGCCATCTCGTAGAATCAACAACATCAAGCCACGGCCGTACATATTTCAAAATTTTCAACAGACACCGCAGCGCAAGATGCCAAACGATGTTGATAAATCACTGCTAGACCGCCTTCAGGCTCTGCGAGGGACGAGAGCCCCGCCCGAGTCAACCGCCTCTCAACGGTGCGATTTACATGTGAACTAGGCAAACCCCTCTGGAGACTGATCTCTCAGACCAGAAATTGACCTCATCGAACGGAAGACTCAACCGAACAGAGACGATGCGCTTGCTGCACGACTCAAGTCGCTGCGAAAGAAGGCAGATTCCCCAGCTCAGCCAGCGCCATCCATCTCTGAGAAGCAGGCAAGTATCAAGCCGAGCTTGGAGGCGGAAGAAGACGAGATAGACTTTGGAACAGACGACCAGACTCTACAGGACCTGCTGAAAGATGTCGACTCGGAAACGTCCTATATTTCACCAGCAACCGGACCCTCTGACGCCAAGGTCCGTGAGCTGTTGGAAGAGCTCTCGAGGGCTGTACCTCAAGACGACGCAAAGCACCCACACCCTAAAGAAGATGACCGCGCCGAAGACTCTGACAACTCAGATGGCGAAACAATGAAAAAAGAGGCTGATTCTCTCATCGCCAGATTCAGGGACGAGCTCGAGGTAGAAGCCAAACATCCTCCATCTTCACCCTCGTCGCCAACTTCGCCAGTGCAGGAGACGGACGAACCGCCACCATCCATATCGCTGCCTGAAGTGCCGACCTCGGGGGAAGGCGCCGCCGCATCTCCGTCCGGAGCCTCACTGGACGATCTGACCACGCGACTTTCGGCCCTGCGGACAGACAGTATCGGCATGCCTGATGTACCCACGTCCACACCTACCAAGAAGCCCAAACGACTCGTGTCCAAGACAAAGTACACAGATGACGACGTCGATGCCTGGTGTACCGTCTGTCTTGAAGATGCCACTTTGCTCTGCAAGGGCTGTAGTGACGGAGGTGATCCATACTGCCGGAGGTGCTGGCGTGACATGCACATTGGTCCTGCTGCCGCCTTTGATGACCGAGATCACGTCGCCGTGGAATTCAGTCGGAAGAAGAGGGAAAGGAAAGTCGCCTTGGGCGCGTAGCATTTTCAATGTCATCGCTTGGACTATTCGCAAAATGGTACAGTGTCAAAATTCAACAGCATAATTGCAATTTCCCTTCAATCCTGTTACCATCGGTGCTCAATCTCCCCATCCTATAATCCACCGTTTCCGTAATCTCCTACATCATACCGTGTTGGATCCTTCGCCAATTCTCACATTATCCCTCGGCCTCGACTTGCCCGTCAAATCCTGCCATGTAGCACCGAAGCGTCGCCCGGTACTGGCCAGCAGACTCTCCTGCTCATCCTGCTCCGCATCCTCATCAAGCTCGGCCATGTTCACCTTGGGCGTGCTGAAAATTGCCGTCACAAGGACAATTAGGAAGACGGCGAGGAAGGCGAATTGCGCCCAGAAATCAATGGCGCCAAAGAAAGGCCACGTGATGGTAATGCGATTGAGGAAAATTGACATGACAGACGGAGTGCACACATCTTTAGCGTGGGCGTACTTCAAGGACTCGGAGCAAGGGCGGATGTGAGACGAATTGCGCGAGCAGTCTGGCTGTTCGCCAGGATGCCTAGGCTCGTTGGTGCAGAACGTCTGCGTGCCATATATGGAGTACTGGGGCGCGACCAACATGGCAACGGCGTAGTTGATGGCCAGGATCATCAGGGCCAACATGACAGTGGCCATGAGCAACGCCTGAGGGGCTGTCCTACCACGTCGGATCTGGAAGATCTTGACCCACAGGAAGCGAATGCCCACTGTAGCCACGCCAGTGATCGAGCTGCCGAACAGAAGCAAGATCAAAAGCGCCATCAGAATGTAGTCAATGGGGAACACCTTGGCTGACTGGATGAAGATCCAGTTGATGGGCTGGAAGACGTGAATCTTGCCCAGGATGTAGCCACACTTCTGCTTGCAAACCGAGTTCTTCGCCTTGTCGATACCCGTGATGAGCATGGAAACCCAGATCAGTACAGAGAGCACCAGCAAAAGAATGCCACCAAGCATCTTGATCGGCCGGAACAGAGTACACAGCTTGATCCAGAACTGGTAAAGCTTGCTGCGACCCTCGCCTTGCGCCTCGGCAGCTAGCCGCTCCCTGCGCACAAGGGTCTGCTCCTCACGAACGAGGGCGTCAAGCTCGCGGCGGTCCTTTCGGGGCATTTCATCCTGGCGACCAGCATTGCGCATCTCAATCTGGCGCTGTCGCTCACGGTTTTGTTCGAGTTGAGACGCCGTCGTCGCAGAAAGTTGAGGCGCCGAGATGGAGGGCGCTGATTTGATGAACGAGATTGGAAGCAGGGCAAGTCCGGCACCTGTGTACAACACGTACAAGAAGGTGCCGAGCGTGACGAGCAAGCCCAGCGCAAAGGTCAGTGCCTTCTCGCCATGATTCTGCGAGATGAGATTCTTGTAGTAGTCCAAGTCCCAGTGTCCATCCACATCGTCGCCAGCGGCCGGCACAAAAAATCCGAGAAGGAATAGGATGATCACCAAGGCCAAGAAGAAGAGGGTGTACTTGGCGGCAGACCAGAGCCTGCTCGTCCACGTGCGGCCCTCCTCCTCAAACTCAACCTCGTCGTATTCTTCGTACCAGAAGTACGCAAAGGGAATTATGAGAAGGCACAGGAGTGCGTCGAACGTGTAGAGACAGTAGTACACTATTTTCAGCATCAGAAGGATGTTGTCGACGCGCTCGGGCGTCGCCCAGTGCTTCTTTGCGCCATGTGAGACGGACGAGGTGGCCGAGACGAGTGCGATGTCGACAGGGAGGAGCAGGACAGTCGCGAGGAGGGAGGTCAAGCTGATAATGGCCACCACACTGACGATGGCAGAGCGTTCGCGGGGGGTCTGCCAGGTGAAGGTCGTGATCGTCGCAGCAAAGAGGCAGAGGACGACGGCAACTGCATAAGCGACCCAGATAAGACTGGTTTGAAGGAGCCCAGCGTCAGCCATCTTGTGGGATTCGATGCTCTTGATGCCAGTGGTGGCGATGTTCAAGGGAGGGGGAGGCTGCTGTTATTATGGTCGAGCAGCCACGCCTGGGGGGAGCTACAACTACGTTCAAGTTACGGCACGCAAGATCAAGCTCTCGACCTTGATCGGACTTCTGACGCAATGCCCATGTCGCGTCTGGACCAGTCGGGCTTAGCGCGGGGGCCATCCGTGCACCCCTTGCAACAGCTGAAGGCAGGTCCCGTAACGCTTCTGATTGGCTACAGTGCCTGGCTAGACCCACGCTATGGTGAGCCTACAGTCGCGGCGTCGCGTTGTTCCGCCCTGTGTCCGTAGACAGATATCAATCGCATCGCAACATCCACTCAGAGCTCCATGCGAGCTACCGAACTTCCAATCCACGAGCCAATGCAATTTTGTTAGCGACCGTCATTGACGGCACGCAATTACAATGCAGGCCTACACGGAGCTTGCGGCGCCATCGGCTGTCTCGCATTCTTTAGCGATCTCGCTCACGTCGACGTCCGCGGAGAATCTTGTTGTCGCAAAGGGTTCGCTATTGCAGATCTTCACGACAAACGAGATTCCCACCGAAGGCGACATCTCCGAAGAATCTTCCGTAAAGCCCAGATATGAGCCTCGGGTCAATGACGATAATAGCCTCGAAAGCTCGTTCCTCGGCGGGGAAGCGTCCATCGTACGCACCGATCGCTCACAGTGCACCAAGCTCATGCTCGTAGCTGAAATACCACTTGCTGGAACCGTCATCGGACTGGCCAGGATCAAGCTGAGCCAGTCGAGCTCGGGCGGCGAAGGACTTTTGATCGCATACAAGGCCGCGAAACTGGCGCTGACCGAGTGGGATCCCGAGCAGCAAACCCTCGAAACGCTGTCTCTCCACTACTATGAGAAAGACGATCTCTCCACAGCGCCATGGGAGCTGCCCCTTGGCGACTACGTGAACTATCTTGCGTCTGACCCGGGCAGTCGCTGCGCCGCCTTCAAATTTGGGTCACGAAATCTCGCCATCCTGCCCTTTCGACAATCGAGCGAAGACCTCGAGATGGACGACTGGGATGAGGATCTCGATGGGCCCCGACCCGAAAAGAAGGAAGACAAGCAGGCAGTTGCGAATGGAGATAGTGCCAATGATGACCCAGCTTATACACCATCTTTTGTCCTGCGTCTGCCTTTGCTAGATCCCAGCTTGTTGCATCCAGTGCATCTCTCTTTCTTGTACGAATACCGCGAGCCAACTTTTGGTATTCTTTCGGGAAGCAAGCCGCCCTCAGCAGCGCTAGGACTGAAGGACTATCTGACGTACAAGGTGTTCACCCTTGACCTGCAGCAGAAAGCCTCGACTACGATTCTGTCTGTGACAGATCTTCCGAGGGATCTGTGGAAGGTGATCGCATTACCGCCGCCGATAGGAGGTGCGCTGCTGGTCGGAGAGAACGAGCTGATCCACGTGGATCAGAGTGGGAAGCCAAATGGTGTGGCTGTGAACCCGATGACAAAGGACGTCACAAACTTCAACATGTCCGATCAGTCGGACCTGGGACTGCGGCTCGAGGGATGCTCCATTGAGGTGCTGTCAATTGAGCACGGGGAACTTCTGATCATCCTGAACGACGGCCGCTTCGCGCTCTTGACGTTCAAGATTGACGGAAGAACGGTTTCTGGCATCAACATCAAGAAAATTGCGAAAGAGTCTGGCGGCGACATCGTCAAGTACGCTGCATCCACCGTGACGAAGCTCCACAAGAACAGCCTGTTCGTGGGCAGCGAGGGCAACGACAGCATAGTGCTGGGTTGGACACGGAAACATGCGCAGGAGAAGCGCAGGAAGCCACGGTTGGTGGAAGACTTGGAAGTTGACGTGGAGGATCTCGACTTGGAAGACGACGAAGAGGATGACGATCTCTACGGCAACGACTCAAGCGCGACAAAGCCTCAGGCCAACGGCACTGCGAAATCTGGCGAACTGACATTCCGGATACAAGACAGCTTGCTGAGCTTGGGTCCGATATTGGATGTTACGTGCGGAAAGCCTACCTTTGTGCCCGACAGCGAAGAAGCAACGCTCTCCAAAGGCGTCTCGTCGAATCTGGAGCTGGCCTGTGCCGTCGGCAAGGGCCGCGCTGGATCCATTGCCGTCATTCACCGAGAGATTCAACCCAAGGTCATTGGCCGCTTCGACTTTCCCGAGGCCCGCGGTTTCTGGACAATGTGTGTTTCTAAACCAGTCGACAAAAACCCTGTCAATGCAGCCGCTGCCGCCGCGGACACCACGGCACGATATGACAGGTTCATGATTGTTGCCAAGGTTGATCTGGACGGGTATGAGACGTCAGACGTGTACGCTCTGACGGCAGCAGGCTTTGAAAGCATCAAAGACACAGAGTTCGAACCGGCAGCTGGTTTCACCGTGGAGGCGGGTGTGATGGGGAGGAGGAGCAGGATCATCCAGGTGCTCAAGTCGGAGGTGAGAAGCTACGATGGTAATCTGGGGCTCGCGCAGATTCTGCCAATGCTGGATGAGGAAACGGGGTCAGAACCCAGGGTTCTCAGCGCGAGCATCGCTGATCCTTACTTGCTGTTGATTCGCGATGATGGGAGTGCTTGGGTCGCATCCATGGACAACAACAACGAGATGGAGGAGATGGAGAAACCAGAGGGAACGCTAGCGTCGACAAAGTGGGCATCAGGGTGCCTGTACACCGACAGGACAGGTATCTTCCAGGAGTCAGCGGAGAAAGGTTCGGAGAAGGTGATGATGTTTCTACTCGGCGCGGCTGGGGCATTACATGTCTACGCGCTCCCGGATCTAACCAACCCCGTGTACACCACTGCCGGCCTCACTTACATTCCACCGGTCCTCTCGGCGGACTGGACAGTCCGGAGAGGCATGCCGCGCGAATCCTTCTCGGAGATCGTTGTTGCCGATCTTGGTGATCGCATATCCCGAAAACCATATCTGGTAGCTCGCCACTCCTCCGACGACCTGACTATCTACGAACCGTTCCGTCACCAGTCGCCATCAGAGACATCTCTGGCAGCTACATTGCACTTCAAAAAATCGTCGAATCCTGTTTTCGCCCGCGTTCCACCCAAGGTAGCGGCCGACGATGAGGATACCTCTCAAGCGGCTCGTTTCGTGCCTTTACGAACCTGCGCCAACATCCACGGATACAGCACAGTCTTTCTCCCAGGACCTTCGCCAAGTTTCCTGATCAAGTCTAGCAAAAGTATTCCCCACGTCATTGGCCTGCAAGGCCAGGGCGTGCGAGGCATGAGCCCTTTCCACACGGAGGGTTGCGAGCGCGGTTTCATCTATGCCGATTCCTCGGGCGTCGCGCGCGTCACAGAGCTTCCATCCAAGACTGATTTTGCTCAGCTGGGAGTCTCCGTGAAGAAGATACCTCTGGACGTCGAGGTTCGTCACCTCGCCTATCACCGTCCTTCCGAATCGTATGTAGCAGGCTGTCTGATACACGAGCCCTTTGAGCTCCCCCGCGATGACGACTACCACAAGGAGTGGGCCAGAGAGACAGTTACTTTTGCGCCGACAATGGCACGAGGTGTTGTCAAGCTCATCAACCCTACGACATGGACATGCATCAATAATTACGACCTGGAAGAGTGTGAGACAATTGAGGCAATGAAGGCTCTGCACCTCGAGGTGTCAGAGGATACCCGCGAGAGAAAGATGCTCATTGCCGTAGGGTCGTCGTTGTCAAAGGGAGAGGACTTGCCGACCAAAGGACGAGTTCAAGTGTTGGACATTGTGTCTGTCATCCCAGAGCCTGGACGTCCCGAGACGAATCGTCGCCTGAAGCCCATCGCGAAAGAGGATATACCCCGCGGCGGCGTGACTGCCCTTAGCGAGATTGGTACGCAAGGCCTGATGCTGATTGCGCAAGGTCAGAAGTGCATGGTCCGTGGTCTCAAGGAGGATGGCTCTCTGCTGCCGGTGGCGTTCCTGGATATGAATTGCCATGTTGCCAGTGCCAAGAGCCTGCCACGGACAGGACTTTGTCTACTAGCGGATGCGTTCAAGGGCGTCTGGTTTGCTGGTTACACCGAGGAGCCATATACATTCAAAGTCCTTGGCAAAAGCGGAAGTCGTGTGCCGATTCTGATCGCAGATTTCCTGCCGCAAGGGGACGATCTAAGCATCATAGCAGTCGACGCCGATGGGGACCTGCATGTGTTGGAGTTTAACCCGGAGCGTAAGTCTTACACATCCTGAACCCCTGACACGGCAACGTACATACTAACAACCCCAGATCCCAAGAGTTTGCAAGGCAACTTGCTCATGCACAAGGCGACATTTTCAGTGACGCCGAACACGCCCACAAACTCGATGCTCCTTCCATACACTGCGACTCACAGTTCGCCCTCTATACCGTCCGCGGACCTACCGCCGCATATCCTCCTCATGACTTCGCCGTCCGGTCAGATTGCCACAATGGTCCCTCTAACTGAGACACCTCATCGGCGTCTCCTGTCTCTCACAAACCAGCTCCTCAGTACGTTGCCCAGCACTGTGGGCCTCAACAGCAAGGCGTACCGACATGCGCAGGGCAAGACCAACGTGGGCGTGGATTCGCAAGCCGGTCGTAGTGCCGCAGTAGTGGACGCCAGCGTCCTCGCAAGATGGAGCGATCTCGGCAGCGGCAAGAGAAGCGAGGTTGTCACCAAGGGAGGCTACGACGGCGTGAGTGAGATGCGAGACGAGCTGAGGGGCGTCTTGGCATGGGCAGGTTTGGCGTATTTGTAGATTGCATATATATTTCTATACCCATGAGAACGCCTGTGTCCTATCCTATTTGCCTCAATTGAAGGATGACAATAACTCAATGCACCTCCCCGGCAGGCACGTCCTTCTTTACGCCGAAACGCCGCTTCAAACCATCGCTGAGCCGCTTCTTGCCGGTAGTATTGCTCCGCCTAATGTCGCCGCCCTCACGTCCGGTAGAAGCACTGCCATGGGCACCACTGCTGTGAGCCCTCCGATTCTGCGGGCGTAATTCGATCCCTTCGGGCTCTAGCAGTCCCTTGCCCTTGCGAACCTGATCTCGCTCATACGTGTAGCTCGGCTCGCCCTTGCCTTTGAGATCATCCGGGTGGTATTTGACGCCTTCCCAGCGCTTGTACGCACCGCCTTCAGCGTCTTCTTCTCGCATCAGATCGGCGCCCTCTTTGTAGTTCATGACCTGATCGCCGTGCGCCATACCCGCCGGGATGGTCGCCACGCCCTGCAGCGGCACGTGCAGCCGCAAAGAGTCCTCGATGAATTCCCTCGGCGTCGCGCGGAGCGCCTCGTTGTTAGAGTCCCGGACGGCGTTGAGGGGCGCGTACTTTGGGTTCCTGTTTCTCGAGGCCAGCGTCGCCTCGTATGGTCCATCATGGTGGTATCCTCCCCCGATTGTGTCAAGCGCATCGATCGGGTCGCTTAGGCTCGCTCCTCGCCTGTGCGTCCTGTTGGCGCTGCGATTGTGCGACTTCATGTACTCGAGCGGCTTGGCATCGCGGCTGTTCGTGGACCTGTGCCTCGAGTGCGCGTTGCTGGCACTGCGACGGGGTGCAGAATGAGAGGGCGTGGAATGGCCCACAGCGCTTGACGAGCGAGCACGCTGCCGAGGGTCAGAGAAGGGGTTCAGTAGCGCATCGCGACTCGCATGATCGCGAGTCTTTCGTGCTTGGAGCGGCGGAGTGATTGAGGTGTCGAGAAGCGATTCTGTTGTGGTCGTGGTGGCGCCTTTGGCGGGCCCTGCGGTCTGGGACATTGTTAAAGATATTCGACGGATAACTGAGTTGGAACGAGCGCGGTAGGTAATGTAGCTGGACGGAAGTATTTAATATGGATGGCTGGAATGTGTGGCAACGACGAGACTACGTCAGGTGTTGCGTGGTTTACTCCGTAGTAGGGGACATGGTTCGAGGCTGCGACCGCCGGGCCCATGATGGGTGACGCAACAGGCGCGGATCATCGGGAAGGGATGGGGCCATTATTCCAGTCCAGAAGCGGCTCATAACGCAGGGACCGATCAGGGCTTGCCTGCCAAAGCGAGGTGAATCGGTTGATTAATTTATCACTGGTACTCACGGTGGATAGTGCCCGGCTGTTTGCCTGGTTGTTTCGCCCATCACCTTGCTGGTGATGATTTGACATTGTCAGCTTTAGAGCAATGACACAACTCGAGACGCTCGGGAGGAGGAGTCCTGCGCAGGCACTAAGAGGAGGGAGGGAATTCCTGCAAATTGACTGGCAAGCAAGCTGAGAGCATGAAATAACAACAATGTCTTGTCGATCGGCGAATGATTTTTACCTTATATATCTGCAATGCAGTGGAAGTTGGGGCGTTTCCAAGTGACCGTCGGGCACCAACCACATCCTGCGCTCCGCCTCCCCACTGCATGACTATAGACGCATGGCGCAGCCTCCTGCCAGTGAAGAGCCAAGCACCAGCCGAGTCCTTCCCGTGCTTCAGCTTTAGACCGACCAGTTGGCTTTGCCCAAATGCGCGCCAAGTACGGAGGAGCCAACGTCCATCCAGACTGTGGGGTTTGTTGGTAGGCGTTGCCGTCGGTGTACATACGTGAGGCTATGCGGTGCAGGGATTGCAGTCTAGTAAAGGAGGAAGTCCATGGTGTAACGAAGCAGTGTATATGGCAAGACCTCAGAGTCTCAAGCACTCGGATCGAATGCGTTTGGTCTGAGTTGAGGCACGAAGGCTCGATATCACAGGCATTATCGCTTATCGTGAAGCGAGCCACAACGACGTCATCGGTGGTCTACAAAACACCTTCATCTTCCATGATCGCAGCATGTTCATACTTGTAGCCTTTCGCTCATAGAATGCCTTCAATGGGATGCAGATTCAATGAACACTTTAATGACCTATCGAGACTACCCCAATGCGCCCTGGGCGAACGCTGAACGGTGTTCACCATGCCGATTGTGAACGAGCACCTCAGGCGCTAGTCCTACAGGACCGGCTCGAGACAAACAGGTAGCTCTATCACCAACTACTTGACATCGTCTTTCGAGTTCCGCCATCTCAGTTGTGTCATTGAGAGCTTGAATTTTTGTCGACCACATATCCACCACATTGGATCTACTCACTCTAGCGCCCAGTTGCTGGGAACACGAAAGCCATGAAGGCTACCTCTTGAGTACACCACCGTCGTCGTGCATGGATCGTCGATCCCAGCTGACATAAAAAGCACACTTTTCGCATCCAAGTCGGCCAAGTTGGCACGAAACACCACGAAGCTTGCCTTTTCAATCACCATTACCACCTACCATCCCCTCGGCAGTATACGATTAGCCGCCAGGGCGTGGAACGTCGCGAGGAGAAAACTCAGCAATTCGCGACACAACGGCTCCACGGCCATAAGAGACAAAGGATGACTTGTCCCAATTGACTTTGATTCCTCAGTCTGACAGACCTCGGTGAAGGCCTACACGGTGGTCATTCACGTAGATCCGCGTGGATCACAAAATGGCTCTAGTCGACTACTCTTCCTCTGCCTCCGAAGAGAGCGACGAGCCACCGAGGAAGCGGCAGCGGGCTCGAGATGACCAGCACGATGCACCCCCGAGCGCCACAAAGCGGAGAACAGAACCATCTCCAGCTATGCCGGCCTTGCCGGCCACCTTTCATGACTTGTATGCGTCCAACGTGCGGCACAGCGTGAAGGACGACCCAAGTCTACACCAGGGCCGCAAGAGGCTGACACCCCACGTTCCCGGGAACTGGCCCTCACACGTATACATCGAGTGTGAGTCCGTGAATCTTGAATTAAGCATTTATGACTGACAAACAAGGGGTGCCTACACCTTCACAACATGATGTCCTGCATAGCGTGCTGCTGGATGTGGAAAAGGAACTCAATGGCGAGGTGAAATTACACAAACTCATCACCAGCGAGCTGGGCGCACCTTTGCCGCTACATATATCACTGTCGCGGCCTGTCGCTCTGCAGACCAGTGACAAGGACTCCTTTTCAACGAGGATCACGGACTCGCTGTCCGAACGCGGCGTCAAACCCTTCAACATCGTGCCCCGGGGTTTGGCGTGGTACAAGTCCCCGGACTCGGACAGGACGTTTCTCATCATGCGGGTTTCCTCACGCAATGCCTCAACCAACGATATGACGGCTCCCAACCCAGAGCTCATGGCTTTGCTCAAAGTGTGCAACTCTGTCGTTTCCATGTTCAAGCAGCCAGTGCTCTACCAGGCCAGCGAGGACGAGGCCGTCGGTACAGCATTCCACGTCAGCGTGGCCTGGTGCTTTGGTCTGCCCATGGAGGAGACGAGTTTGCGGTCTCTCAAAGTGCTCAAGACGAAGAAGTATGCCGAGGTGAGGTCATGGGACATTGACGTGTCGAGTGTCAAGGTGAAAGTTGGGAACGTGGTCAAGCATGTCGGGCTGTCGGGGGGAAGACGGAAAGCTGCGGAGCCAGGATTCGACCGATGAGGCAAACAAGATGCCGGGGCCTACTCTGGCTGGAGGCTGCACAGGCGGCTTTATCTATCTGCATTGATGAGCCATATACCACGAGAACTCCCTACGACTCTCAAAATGTCAGATTCCAGCGAAGTCACTTCCCAACAGCAACCCAGGCATTTACTTTCACTGGGGGACAAGTCAGATCATGCAAAAGCATGATGGCGCCGAAAGACCGATACATACAAATGATGATTTTGCTTTAATGATTGTCATCGGCCCAACCACCCGCTGATTAGTCCTATGAATCTCTTCCCAGAAGTATGTAGACCACTGTTCTATGCTATGGTCCTCCTTTGTGTATGAAGCGCCAGTGAAAAGGCTTAATTTTTACAAGTAATCACCTTCAAGTTTTCAAATCTGTTGACCTGTTTCTTAACGCCCAGGGCATCCAAATCCTTGGATGGCACGTCACGCTTTGATTTGGCCGCCTTGTCCCACCCAGATCGTCCCAAACCTCGAGTGGCCAGAGCCTTGAAGATCGTGGCGAAAGCGTTGTCAGGGTCATCAACAACGCTATATGACAGAAGACCAGCTTCGGCCACAGAGCCAAGTATTCCGAGGATGGCACGAACGCCAGCCAACCCAACGGACCCGGCGTCCGAGCCGACGGAGGGGATGAAGAAGAGGGAGCTGCTAATGAAGAGCATGATGCTCTCCACGCACTCGGCCTCTTCGATCTCTTCGACCTTCTCGGCAACATCCTCCATACCAGTGATGGCTGACTCAATGCTGAGCGCAGGGAGCATCGCAGTGTCTACCAGGTCACCCGGGTCCTCGACCTCGTTGCAAGGGGTCACCTTGATGAGAACCCTGAGTCGAGACGCCAGATCTTTCGACTCGTCGTGCGAGTCTCCGATGATATCCTGGGGGTTGGAAATCTCTATGTCGCTGCTGGCCTCTGGGTAATTCCAGTAGAAGTAGTTTCGTTCCTTGATGCAGTCCTTGATATTCTTCCCTGCATCTTGGCAACCGTTGGTGATGAGCACTTGGGTGTCTCCGAACTTGAATCCAATATTCTTCTATGCCGTAGTCGTTCAAGATGGCTTTGTAGAATTCATCTTCCTTCTCGAGTGTCAACGTGGTATTGGGAGCCTGATCCGAGTCAGGCGTGAGCCAATCCCCAACTTCGCTGCTCTTGAATTCTGTCGGGCACGTAATCTCGAATGTGCCCCTTCCATTCTTGCAGCCGGTCATAGTCGTCACAGTCCTCAGTGTCCTCGTGATCGCAGTACCATTTGGATGTACCGCAGCAGTTGCGTATGCCTGTCTCCTCGCACTTGGAGAAGTTCCCGGCCTTGCCGTTGCCCATGAAAGCGTTAATCTGGTAGGGGGCTTGCCGCTTGACGTACCGCGCAAACGTCTTAAACTTGTCGTCATACCCGTCCTCAACCATGTCGTCGTACTTCTTGAGAGCATCTTCCATCATCTTTGATAAGATCTTGGCGATGTAGATGTACATGCAGTGAGAAGGTACCTTGCCTTTGCGATCCTCAAGGGCGCTTAGGGAGTTGTAGGTGGCGTTACACTCGCTGTATAAATCAAGGTTAACCGTCTCATCACAGGTCTCGCCATCGCCAAAATCAGGCTAGACCTCCAACAGATCCACCGCCCAGTCAGTGGTTCAGGCAATGTTGTATGATGTGTAGAACGTCTCGCGGTCTGACTTAGTCGACTCATTCAAGTATGCCACTCACTCGGTATCGTTGAAGACCAGGATCTCTGATCCAGCAGATTTCAACTACTTGTTGACGTTCCCAGACTGGATCAATCCTCCAACCTCAGCATTGGAGATATATCCTGCAGTGTTTGTGCAGCGTCCGGCATAGGCATCGGACTCTCCCGTAGTGCCTGTAAACTTGCACATTGGCCCATCAAAACCAGCCTCGGCCATCTTGAAAGATTGGCAGTAGCTAGAAACGCCGATAACGACCTTATTCGACACCACGCCCGCTTTGGTAATGATAGCCAAGGCGTCCATAGTTTCTGTCTCGTTAACGTGAGAGCGAAGACACTTGCCTTCATCACAGCCGGAATACGTCTATTCGGTACCATAGTCCCATTGGCCGTGGAGACCATAGGTCATGTAAATGATGTAGTCAAGTGCGTTACCCGTCCTTTCGATGGGGAAAGCCTTGAGGTACCAAAAGGATGCAGAGCAGCGAAGGAAACAGAGTGTTCATCTTCCACTAATTTCTCGACACTCTTTAACAGCCGGTAATAGTCCTCGCTAGCTTCGGGATCACTGGCAGAAATTCCTGAGATGCCGGGAGCCTGGTGGCCTTGGGTGTTAGTCTTGTCTGTATGCAAACGTGTGTGACGCAGAAAACACTTACACCTGGATACTCCCTGTCGACATCGACGCCGTCTAGTCTGTGCTCGTCAAGGAAAGCAATAATATTCTTTTTGAATGTACCGCGGTTCGCTGGCTTAGCATCCTCGCGAAGAATGTTGAAGGTTTCGGGCTTGGTACTGAAATCCCAGCCACCAAACGAGATAAATCTTTTGATATCAGTCATTTGCTTGAACATAGGCATCGGTTGCGATCAGAATCAATGGGACAAGAACGCAGAGAAGTGCAAAGCCTCTTGGGAGAAGTGGCCGTCAGCAGGCTCTCGAACAGACATGGATGAAATCTTGCTTGAAACATTTCCTCGAGATGCCGTCTGCGACGAACTTGGTCAGGGACAGCAGCAACAACCCGGTCGCCTGCATCAGAATGGGTCGAAAAAAATCGATCTTGAGAAGACGGCTACAAACCTGTTCAACCAAGCGAGCAATGTCCATGGCGGGAAACCGCCCCAGAGGCAACCTTTTGAGCTGTCCAGAAAAGGCACCGAAGACTAGGCCAAGCACAGGGAGGACATTGGCAGGCTGATCCAGAAGGTTGGCAATGACAGCTGGAGCCGGCACAGGACCCTCTTCGAGAAATCTAGGTCTGGAATTGAACTCGGTATTCGAACAAGACGAGGAGATCACGTCAAATTAAAGGTGAAGGACATCAAGAAAGCGCTGGGCTGGGACCCCACGACAAAGGAAATCGACAACCCTAGAAATCCCTCGACCCCGTGGAAAGTGGTCAACTTCAAAAAAAAAAAAAAAAAAACATCGAGGATCGAGCAGCGGCTACGAGCCAGAGTTAAGACGATGTGGCCAAGAAAGTGTCTGAGGCTGCCAAGAATGTGTACTCAAAGCCCAGCACCTCCAAGAAGCATAAGGTGGTCATAGATGTCAATCGACGAGCACTCGAGAGGATGAACCATTGTGTCGCCTGAGCATGCTCTCTGCTTATTTTATCTTACTACCATGTACCTACGCAACCTCGAAATATGCTTTCAACCTATGTCGTACATTTGTGCCATGCTCATTATTCTAGAAGCTGTGGTGGGCACGGGTGATCTCCTCTGAAAGTCTATCGGGGTCAGGCGGGTTGCCTTCGTTATCGAACGACAATAGTAATTTCCAGTCCGCTGCAAGCCTTAGCTGGGGGCCCGTGAGCGCCAGTCCCAAGCGTTCGTCGACAAAAGTAATGTTTTGACAATGTCCGAGGTTGTGGCCCGCCACCGCTTTCCCCCATCTGAGGTCCCCGGGCTCCAAAATGATCTTGATTTCCCTTAGGCTAGTGAATTCTTTCATGACTTTCCGGGCTCCGTACTGGTTCGTCGCCTCGTTTCAGTCATAGTCATCATCAGTGCGAATCTCCAGCCGTTGTATGTCAGAGCGGTGCGAGACGATATCTTCGATAGAGAAGACGCTAGTGACACAGAAGATGTCACTCCGGAATTGACCCAAGTCCAACGCGCCTCAGTACCTGCGGTAAAACATCGCTGGTAACGGGCATGCTGTCGGGCCTCGCGGCAAACTTGCATAACCGCCGGGGGTGGCGTTGATGTGGTCTCGTAGAGGCTATCCATGCCCCGTCGCCGTTGTTTCATTGTGAATTTGCCATTGCTCCTCTCCACGCGCACCCCATTGATGCGGCGTGGCTCTACCGCCAAGCTCCAAATGTGTGAGCGGATCTCGCAGGGGAGACTGGCGAAAGACACCGTGTGCTGTGTTTCGTTTGTTTTGGGGGCTGAGTGAGGATCCTTTGACAAGTCTAAACGCGAGGCTCTGAATCAGGCGTAAAAGCCGCGACCGCACGCAGGTTGGCTAAACCAAGCGCGTGATGAGATGCAAAGGAGACATTGAATTACAGAGCGAACTGGCGAAAAGTGAGCGGTACATGTGGCTGAGGCGAGTTCCCATGGTGTTATTCGTAGTTCGTAAGGGTCATTTACGGTGGGATATTAGATATAACACTGCCAACTGTGTCAACCACCAGCAATTGCACACATGCACCTTCGCAATAGCCTCAATGTTCAAGATACCGCTACGCACAAATATTAATGATTATGTAGATGCACGTTATCAGGACATTTTAGCGACTTAGATACTTGAATTTCTTTAATAATAACACGATCGCTAGTGACGGTAGCAAGGCTATGTTAAAATCCACGCTCGTAAAAACAGCCACCAAGGCCAGCAAATCAAAGGTCACGCCGACGGGAGCAGCTGTAAGTGGTAAGTGGTAAGTGGTAAGTGGTAAGTACAACCTCTCCTGTACAATGCCAAGTCCGACGGGAAGCGAGCCGCATTCGCTGCCTAAGCAGGAGCCGGCCCGCGAAGCAGCCACTGATATGCTGTCGATAGTCGCCACGGCGCGGCACTGCTTATTACTGCCGTAAAAGAATCCTCAGGGGAACAGGCCAATGGCAACTTGCCAAGACACCTCAGTAGCCTAATAAAGCAGGAGTCCCCAAAGATGGGCCTGCTAGCGTGCTTCCGCTAATGAGTACACTGTCCTGAAGTAGCTGCAAGGATGACTTCCAACCACCGTTGGACCAGAGACGCCCGACGTCCCGCGAAAGCGCCGAAATCTTTTCATCAAATGGCACATGATATCTGTTTTTACGTATACATATGTAGTACTCGGCAATTGCGAGTACGAGCTCAACCCAGCGTCAGGAGTAAAATTCCCACGCCCCCGTCGACAGACCTGAGCAGTGGCTTGTTGCATATTTTCCCCAAGCAGTGTCAACCTGAGCTGCTTTCCGCACTTCCCTTCCATCAATACTTTGATTACCTATCTCTCCTCTCACTCTCCACCTCACTTAGGACAAGGAAGAGCAGAGGGAACAGACATTCATCATGAAGCCAAATTCTAACGCCGCCTACCGTTCGGGATTCCTGGCGTCGCTGCTCTGGGGTCCTCGCCTTTGCGCTGCCTCTCCTCAGCCTATCTTCTCTTCGGATCCCGAGACCATCGATACTTGCATCGACTGGTGGAACAATGCAGACGACAGTAGCTCCTGCGAGGAGGTCAGAAAGATGTTCAACATCTCTCCAGAATAGTTCAAAAAATGGAACCCGTATTCCAGTCTCGACAGTGAGCCGTGGCGCTTTCCACTATCCTATTGCGTGTCCACGAGCGACCGCGATCCCCCTCCGGGCGTCACCACCACAACGGTGGCTCCCTCCACCACCACCACTTCCGAGGTCAGCACACACGTGCCTTCTCCTACGTCCTGGGCGGCTAGAGGCTGCTACCCTGATGATGACCCCGAATATCCTGTTCTCGAGCTCATGGTGAGCAAGGACGGGGGCGACTCGTCTCTGGACATCGAAAGCTGCGAGGACTCACGCTGGAAGGCATCCGTGAACGGCACCGTCCTCTTCGCCGGTGTCAAGGACGGCAATCAGTGCTGGTGCAGCCCGTTTGTTGGCGGGGAGTCGTCCAGCGACCAGACGAAATGTGACAAGCCTTGCAGTGGCAATAAGGAGCAGATTTGCGGTGGCGAAGACTACATCAACGTGTTTGAGCCTGTCACTACCTCTCAGTCCGAGACCACTACGGATACCACTACTCAAGGGGCCTCCTCGTCCGCCGTACCGACAACAGAGGACTCCGGGGCCAGACGCCGTGCTGCACTTCTCTGATCGGATCATTTACTGTATGGAGCATTCTGTACATGCAAATATCATGGCCGGTCCGAAAGTCAAATGTATATGCCAAAGATACATGATTGACTGCTATATATTCAATTGCTTATTCGCTCTGTTTTCTCTTCCTACGCACCTCTGATCACGCGTCTAGCATCTCTAAGCGCGGACCCTTGACCCAACCTTAACCCAACTACAGCCAATACGGTCAACGCGGCCAACAACTAAGCACATCGCTTAGTTGAAATAGAAAACTAATTGCAGCACATCTTGATATCTTTACAATCGATTGTTAGGTGCAGCGCCCTATAGGACGTGTAGTTAGCAGTGTTGCTCCGAAGATCAGGCGGCTAGGCTAGGACAATCAGCCAACAAAGTGCCCCATCAGGCAATGAATGACTGGAGCGTGCAGCAGTGGACCCCAACCCTGGGGAGCGCCAACTTCTTTTTGCCGGTCGCCGGCCAGCTTCGCGTCCTTCACCGAATCACCTCCAAAATCATCGTTTCGGCCGTTGCTCCTTGCTCCTCACTTTACCGGTAACGGCTCTCACTTTGCCAACGAACAAGTCAAGGCCCTGCGTTTTTACTAATTCCGCTGCTTGTTTCGAAACGGCCTTACCACCAAGGCGGTCACTCCACCACCTACTCGGTTTTCCCCTCGTGCCCCGCGGTTGACGGAGCCGGTGTAAACAACCTTCACGAAACCTCCGCACGCCTTTTTTGCGCGCTGTCCAGCGCACTTCTCAAGCGCAGACCGACACTGAGCACCGCTCCCACCGATTGAAACAGCCAGGCAGAGGGCAAAGGACACACAGACAGCCATGGATATTGATACTTCCCGTCGCAACAAGTCGCCTCGTCCACTTTCCGACTCGGAACGTGCGCGCCTCGATGAATACATCGACTCCATCCATTACTCGACCCGGTACTCAGACTCGCAGTACGAGTACAGGCACGTGCAGCTGCCCAAGGCCATGCTCAAGGCCATCCCGAAAGATTACCACGACCCCGGCCATGGCACACTCAAGCTGTTGTGGGAGGAAGAATGGCGCGCATTGGGAATTACACAGAGCCTAGGATGGGAGCATTACGAAGTGCATGAGCCGGAGCCTCACATTCTGTTGTTCAAGTAGGCTGCCGCGGCTATGCTATCCGAAGTTGACAAGCTAACGTTCACCCAGGCGTCCTCTCAACTACCAACCGCCACAATGAGGAACAGGCGTCCAGCGGGGGCTCTATGAACTACGCTTTGCGCGAGGTGAAGGAAGCATGGCTGGAACGTCCGCATTCGACGTCGCGAGAAGTGTCCGCCTAGAGGGCCACGTGCCCCCAGTGGGCTGGGCTCTGCTCTGCTATTCGTATGTGGCCGGGACTCAGAATGTATGGATTCTCTACTAGGATGCTCACGCGTCGCGGATTCGTTGATGATAGGCGGCAATCGAGTATTCGATAGTCTCGGGCAACTATCACACAGACTGAAATGTCTCTTCAAAAGAGTTATGCCAAGGCATCAATTGACCCACTCTTTTTCAATCTTGAGGTGTGACTTTGTCGGCACGTAACGGTATGTGGTTCGGACCGCTGTTGTTGGACTAATTACAACTCAATCCATGATTCATCAGAATGTAACACATTGTCCCTCGTCTCTCCTGGTAACTTGCATTCCGGTTGTTCATATGGTTCGACAAGCCAGCAGCGATCGGCAGACTCTCATGAGGCCACTTTGCCTAATTCGGTCTTGAATCGCGGCTTCCACGCTCCACCATCCTCTTCCGACTCCGAACTCCGTTTCGCATCCTGCCAGTACGTCTCGATCATCAATCCACCATCTAACTTACCTACGTGGCCTTTTGCTCTCTGGAATCCTTCTCTACAATACTATCCCTTTCACTTCATGTTTTTCGGATTCGAGGCAAAAATTACGACTTGGACTAACACACGGGAAACTGCCATTATGAAGCCTGCCACCAGGCTCTTCTATCTCTCGGTCTTTGCTTTGTGGACACCTCTGGCGGCATGCGAAGACATCACTTGCCCAGTATGTATGTCGCATCCATGATCCCAAACTTTAAACTCACGCAGCCCAGTCCAGCAAAAGCATCGTTGATGATGCGTGTGCTTCTTACGCAACTCTCGATCGCCTAAACGCCAACCTAAAACCGGCCCTCGACGACCTCGTCCAGTCAACCGATTTCTTTTCGCACTACCGACTGAACCTCTTCAACAAGAAATGCCCATTCTGGGACGATGAAGGCGGCATGTGCGCTAACATTGGGTGCGCAGTCGAGACGCTAGACAATGAGGAGGACATTCCCCTGGCGTGGCGATCCAGCGAGCTGGGTAAATTGGAAGGTCCCCTAGCCAAGCATCCTGGGAAGAAGGCGCAGAAGCAGGCGAGGCCGCTTCAGGGAGAGCTGGGCGACAACGTCGGCGAAAGTTGTGTGATAGAGTATGACGACGAGTGCGATGAGAGGGACTACTGCGTCCCTGAGGACGAAAGTACAGCCTCCAAGGGTGACTATCTGTCACTGCTGGCGAACCCGGAGCGATTCACCGGCTACGGTGGTGAGGGTGCGAAGCAGATTTGGGACGCAATCTATCGCGAGAACTGCTTTCAGAGGAGCTCGTTCCCTCACTCAGCAGATGTGGGCTCCAGCGCAACATACGGTGTCGCTGAGCACGATTTCCGCCGGGTGTTGGATGCGTCGTGGCAGCAGCAGCGTTTGGAGCACCCGAATGAACCGACCGCTGGCGTTGCGGTTGACGATGAATGCCTGGAGAAGAGGGTTTTCTACCGGGTTGTCTCTGGAATGCACGCAAGCATCAGCGCGCACCTTTGCTGGGACTTCCTGAACCAAAGCACTGGCGAGTGGCAGCCGAATCTATCATGCTACAAGAGCCGTCTGCACACGTACCCTGATCGCATCAGCAATCTCTACTTCAACTACGCCTTGGTGAGCCGGGCAGTTGCCAAGTTGGGACCGTTCTTGCAGTCATCGGACTACACGTTCTGCACGGGAGACCCAACAGAAGATGCAGCTACGAGAGCCAAGGTGCTCGAGGTTACGTCGCGAGCGGCCTCAACCTCGTCGCAGGTCTTTGATGAGGGCCTGATGTTCGTTAATGGCGAAGGGCCCTCGTTGAAGGAGGATTTCCGGAACCGGTTTCGCAATGTCAGTAGGCTGATGGACTGCGTGGGGTGCGATAAGTGTCGTCTATGGGGCAAGGTGCAGACTGCTGGGTACGGCACCGCGCTCAAGGTGCTGTTCGAATTCGACAACAACTCGGAAGACATCCCACACCTGAAGAGGACCGAGCTGGTCGCCCTGTTCAACACGCATGCCCGGCTAGGAGAGTCTTTGAACTCAATCGGCAAATTCAGGCAAATGATTGCCGATCAAGATGACGTCACCCCTTTCACTGTTGAGCCGGAGGGCATGCCGGAGGAAGACGAACCTGAGCCAGTGGTCAAGCCCAGGAAAAAGTTGCGAAAGAATGCGTCCGTCAAGGAGCAGGTCATGCATGAAGTCGAACTATTTGTTGCGGCGGTCCAGTTGGTTTTGAAGAGCTGGATCGCCTTCCCCAAGACATTGTGAGTCTCCGCAGTACCTGAACTCTTCCACATTGGCTAACAAAAGAAGCTGGGACATCTTCAGAAGCGAGATGCGCCGATTTTATCAGTTCTGGATAGGATTGCCTGTGCAACCAAGACAATGGAGGTTTGAGCTACCCAAGCTGGAGCTCTGAGTATTATTGTGCATCTGGATGGCAATGGGAATGAATAAGCATGCATGGGATAGCGTTTTGCCTTGAGATAGCGATTCAATACATCTGGTTTTGCTCTGCCTGTTTGCGTTGCGTGACCTGGATGTGTTCACTAGCCCACCCGGCGGTGTCTTGTCGCGTGTTCGCATCGCCAACGCCCGTCGCGGCTCCCCACCTATTTCCGACCTCAACCCTCGCAGGAACAATCCGCCCCTACAAACACCAATGCCGCCCTGACCAAGGCGCGCGAGCCGCATCGAGCGGCGAACCATTGCTCAAAGACATGTACAGTCGCGATTCCAAGATAATGCGCAAACTCCTCGGCCGAACCATACCCGAGTCGGGAACCTCGTCGTCCAACTCGCCCAACGGCCACGAGAACGTCGAACACACGCTCGCTCCGACCTCTATTCCCACGACCTTTCGTCCCGCGAAAGCGCAAGACTCTGTTTACGACGCCGGCGTCCCGGTGTCCTGTCTCGACGTAGCCCAGGATGGGCGAACCGTCGCCCTGGGCGGCGCACACATCCTCAAGACTATCAATATCGATGAGGAGCGGCCCTTGTCATTTAGCGAGGGCGTGGACATTCGTGCTTCTATCTCAAAGACGGCGACGGGCGGACCCAGGGGAAACTCCATTGCCGACCAATTGAATATCAAAGACGTCAAGTGGTCGCAAAGCAACCTCATATTCACAGCCTGCGCCAATGGCCGCATTTTTGCCTACGACGCTCATCGAATAGGCAGCGACGCGCCGCACGACACGGTTCATGTGCAGGAAGACTCGCGTCAGATCGATACGTTGAGCTTTAGTCCCCACGCGCCTGCGTGGCTGCTGTCCGGGGGTAAGGATGGAGTGGCGCGCATCTTTGACACCGAGAAGCCGATCCAGACGAGGCGCGGCTATATCACTTTTCGTCAACGGTGGTCAGGCCTGCGTTGTATCGATCCGATCAGCCAGGTGGCCTGGTCACCCAGGGTTGGGTTCGAAATCGCTGTCGGCATGGAGAGCGGTACCATTCTGAAGTGGGATGTTCGGCAGCCCAGCAGGCCCCTCATGAGAATAAATGCTCACGAGAAGGCGTGCACGGATATATCGTGGCATCCAGATGGGCTACATCTGATCAGCGCTGGCTCAGATCGCAAGCTGCATGTGTGGGACATGGGGACAAGCGCGGATCGCAGACAAAAGCCAAAGTGGACAGTGCAGACGCCTGCACCGGCTGCGGTGGTAGCATGGAGGCCCGGTCTTTGGAGTGCGTCGGCTGGAGGAAGGCGAGTGGCACAAGTAGCAGTCAGCTATGACGACTCGAGCTCGAAACGGTACGGCACGTCAGCAGTCCATATTTTTGATCTCGCACGACCGACGATGCCGTACAAGGAGATTGAACGGTTCGAGTCGTCGCCGAGCGGGCTTCTCTGGCGAGACCAAGATATGCTGTGGACCGTCGGGGCAGATGGAACATTCAATCAGTGCGATGTTGGTTTTGCGCCTCGGGCGGTGGATCGACAAAGCACAAGCGCAATGGACATCAGCTCGAGAGGCGACGTGCTCATGTTCCTGGATGAGAGACCGCAGCAACCCAGGGCTCGAGCCAGCGTCACCCGTGCGAGGGATGCAAACAGAAACTTCGCCTCAAGTCCCCAGACGCCGATGAGTGTCAGTAGGAGTGATTCAGAGGAGGACGTCGTGGGCAGCTTCTTGGCTCCAAGGAGGCGAATGCACCGACGGCGCGGGAGTGGCCGTAGGCCAGGTCTGAGCTCGACGCCGCCGCATGCCGTGGAAGAGCTGGGGACATCACCGAGTCCTCTCGGCCTGGAAGATTCTGTGGCCGTCACTGGCCTTTTTAAAATGCAACAGGCCATGGCATTTGGCCATGTCCCGGCGGCCAAGAGCGTGGGCATTTACCAGTACTTGTCAGGTGTCTACTTGGAAACACTGGGAAAAGAGCTGCCGCTCCAGCAGGGTGGGAAGAACTTGTGCGACCGAGTCATGCGTATCATGGAGATTTACGCGCGGGCTGCCGAGGCCGTGAGTCTTTTCAGACTCGCCCAGACATGGCGCATCATGGCTTTTGGCATATCGCTGTTGTTGCGGAGGAGGGCGCAGTACCACTTTGAGACGAGAATTGCGCTTTCGCAAAGGATGAAATCGTCCAGATTCCACGATGGCGATGCGTCGCGGCGATCTTCGTTGCAGGATCGGTTTCCAGGACGGACACATATCACCGATATGGATAGCACAAGTAACGTGCCCACCCCGCTGGCCCGACCTGCCGACCGAGGTGTCGAATACTCGGACCACGCATACAAAGCCGGGAAAATGCTTACGCCGATTGAGGAGCCATCGTCCTTTAGCATTGGGCCCAATATTCACGGTCCGACAGGATATGAGCCACAGCAGCGCAAGCGGTTAGAGTCAACGCCGATATCTATCACGAGCGAGACGAGCGAAGAGACGCAAAAGTCAAGCACCGAGGGCTATGATTTCTACGACATGGACGCTCTGGTGGAAGCGGTTGATGTGCCGCATTCGAATGACAGCAGTTGGGGCACCGTTTCAACACAACGAAGAGGAAGCACGCTTTCCAGAAACGACTCCACTGACAGCTACGATGTCTTCCCAATTCCACAGGAAGATGATTCACTTGGGCGAAAGGGAGGGCTTGCGCAAGAGGACAGCGTCATGAGTGAATATCAAAGTCGGATACGCGGCGAGGCCATGTCCAATGGCTCAGATTCGTCTCCTGAACGGTTCAGGAGACATATGGCCGACTCCTCTCCTGAGAATGTATTTATGATATCACAAACGACAGACCCTGCAGACGAGCACATGTCCCTGGGGCCCGTTCCCGAGACGCCTCGAATATCACCACCCAAATCGCCCGAACTGCCCAGTCCTGCAAAACCGAGGCAGCCGACGATTGATGCCACGCCTCACATTATTGAGCCGGATTTCTTACCGTGGGACGACGAACCCCCTTACCCCCACCCGTTGATATCGTCCACGTCTGCGTCGAGCGGCCCGCCCCTCGATCCGGAAACCATCATTACCAGGACGCTGGCATTCGAGTCCAAGACGTCGCCCCTGACGCCGGCGGCCATCATACTTCTCTTACGGCCACTAGTGGCGGAGGACACAATTCCCCTAGCGCAGGCAACTGCGATTTTGAGGCAACACCACAACCGGCTGACGTCCATGTCGCTCTTCACCGAAGCTGCGCAGCTTCGCAATCTGGCCCTCAAGGGTTGGATGGGTCTTCCGGATTGGGGCGAGAGCTACCCAACCATCTTTGCCACTGCACAGCGCGACGTCAAGGTCTCCTATCTCTGCTCATCGTGCAAGCGGCCCAGGGAGATTGACCCTGCGGACGCCAAATCTTCCGTTTGGTTCTGCGACCGCTGCAAGAGCGTCATGGCCCCTTGTGCAGTCTGCCAGCACCGCGAGCCGGAGCCCTCGTCGTTCATGCCCAGTGCTGAGGAAGAAGGGAAGGACGATTCCCTGTCCGGCTGGTGGTACTGTCCTATCTGCGCCCACGGCGGCCACGCGTCTTGCTTAACACTATGGCACAAAGACCACTTTTCGTCCGGCTGCTGTCCGCTCGATGGCTGCGGGCATGCTTGTCTTCCTGGGCGATACCGGAGCGAGTCGTCTATCTCGCGGGCGGATGAAGTTTCAAGAGCCGTTGGCAGTGTCAGCGGTACGAGTACGCCCAGGGGTCCAGGTCCATCAGAGGTTCTGCAGAGCAAAGCCGTGGGCATGGCGAGGGAGGTCCTCAGTGCCGGTGCGAGTATCCTGAGCAGCTCCCCTGGAAGGGGTGGCGAACGCGAGCGGAGGAAGAGCGTCAAGTTTGCAAAGACAGATGATTGAATGACGCTACTGTAAACATACGTAGAAGACTACGATGATGACATGTTCTCTCGCAGGCCCTTTGTCCGCAGTGTGAACCGCTCGCCTTCAAACGGCAGGCTCTTGTGCCCGTTTTCTCTAAGCTTTGACTGTTCATCGACGCTCTCAAAGCTGCCCCGGCGTTGCGGTCGTCCACTCTCCTGGTCGTCGGTACCAAGGTGCGAACCCATCCGGGCGGCCCACAATCCACGCACACCGCCCCTTTTCCTCTCCGGCACCTCCTCGCCGCCTCCGCACATAACATAGAGTAGATACTTGAGATTGGGCAGCGAATGCCGAATGTCGACGACCCGCAGCCCCTGGCTCTCGCACAGGGCTTCAATATCCTTATTGAGAAGAAACCAGCCGTACTCGAACCGCCACTGCCCAGTCGCAGATCCTCCGCGCGGCAGATAGAGGGGGAATTCCCGGGAGGAAGGTATCGAGGTGCTGATATTGTCGACGGTGTGTGAGCGCGAGCCATAGGGGAAGAGCGGGTATGGCAGGGGATGGCCGAGGTAGAACTGCAAATGGCGTGTCAGCATCGTGACGAGTCCTAGGCCAGCCGAGAGAGCGTCTTCGTTGATGCTGCGCGCGGTAGCCGCGTTGTATACAGAGTTCGGCACCGATATGCCGCATATGGAGAAGCTCAGGGGTGGTGTGTCCGGGATCGGTTGTATAGGGAGGATAGACGCGAGATCAGCGCATATCCTCCGCCTCTGGCCGTGGATCTTCACCTCGGTCTCGCGAACCAGGTCAAGGTTCAGTTCCAATTTCGAACGCGACGATGACATGTCTGCTTCTGCGTCCTGCTGGATCCTCCTGCCTTCCTGCATAGCATCGCGTCGTCTTCGGAGCGAGTGCTTGAGGTCGTCTCGTCGTTTCCTCGCCGACACATTTGTTCGTGTTTGCGTCGAAATGTATTTACTTGCTAATTTGACGCCCTCATCGGACACTCCGCTTTCATCCTTCGGCGTAGCCTCCAAGATATCGTGAATCTGCCCAGTGATCTTTCGTTGCGTCCGTATGGCATCCTCAATGCTGGCTTCCAGATTGCTCAGCTTCATGAGGACGTTGTAACTTGCCGTGTTGACCTTTGGGGCCTTGTTGACGGGCTCGGAGATTCGATTGGGGAAGTCGAGCGAGTAGATGCCGTCTTGGAGGTGGAAGACGAGGGCATTGGGCGGGAATCGTCTATCGAGCAGGGTGCCGATGAAGTTGAGCTGCCGAAGATCGACCTGCTGCGCCAGGAGGAACAGCCACTCCTGCGACTTGGGCCTCCGCGCGTAGAGGTGTATCGAGATGATGGGTGTACGAGACGACGTCTTGGAGACATGGGAGAGATCAAAGCCATTAAAGTTAAAATTGGCTGACCGCGTACGCGTCTCGCTTATGTAGACTGGCTCGTCGTCGCCCGGGACGTGCAGTGTGAAGAAGACGTCGCCCACAATGGCATTGACAGCTTCCTCCAGCGTCTTTTGCCTTTGCGAGGATCCATATCCGAGATTCAAGCTTGTCCGCCTGGGCCGCGCTGGTCGTTTCGCCTTCTTACTGGCCTTGTCCGCCGAGGCTCGCAAGTTTTCCGAGCTACGCGAGTGTTGCACCGCATGCGCCACCTCGGCGAGCGTGTCGAGTCGCGGCGTCGGTAGGGCATCGTCGTCCGTTGTCGAGGTATGCGCATGCGTAAAGGTGAGATTGCGCAGGGACAGAGAGGTCAGGTGTCGCAGCTTGCGGTTGTGAGGTAGCAAACGCGGCCGGCGGTGCTCGGAGAGAGTAGACATGGCATGTTGAGAGCTCGACCGCGGACTTGTTGACTTGGCTTGGGATCGAGCTGGAAAGTCTAGCACTGAGTGGACTGTCGTCATTTGCGACCAAAGGGGTAGTATGCGGATATCGCAGGTATGAAGTTACACGTGTCACGGTAAAAAAATAAAAGAGGATGAATGAACGTGTCGATTAAAGCACGAATCTAAATCAACTAGGTGTCAAAAATGTAAAGACAGAGAAAAAGAAGAGAAAGAAAAAAGTACGAAAAGGTACATCCGTCCTACATATACCCAAATGCTCATCCCCATGTACAATATCCTACGCCATGCTCACTCCTTCCCGCCTTGACCAAGGGGGGTAGAGAGGATGCAATCGACCGTTGAAGCAAGGAAGACAATTGTCTAGTTGCGCACAAATGTGTAGCAATCATCCTTGTCTTCCATCTCATCCTCCTCGCAGGGCTGGTGCTCAGGCGCGCTGAAGAAGTGGCAGTTGTCCTCGCTGTCGCTCTTGTGGTCGTCGAACTGGATGGCAGCGCAAATCAGAATGATGTCGGCAACGTTGGCCTCAAGAGTCAGCAGAGCGGACCGCGAGTGGCAGATGGCCAAGCAGTGGTTGACGTCGCGGGCGTGGCAGGAGTCGGTGTGGTCACGACCAGGCTTGGGCTTGATCGCCTTGCCGCACATGGGCTGGTAGTGCGAGAGGTGGTGACCGTGGGAGTGGCCGGGCTTCTGACCTCCGTTGTTGTTGCCATTTCCGTTTCCGTTTCCGTTGCTAGGACGAGGCTTGGTCAGGAGGTCGACATCAATGGTGGACTCGTCGTCATCCGCATAGCCACCGACCTGGAGGTCCAGGAGGCCGTCTTTGCCGAGGAGCTGGCGCTTCTCATGGGTCAAGACGTCAACATCAATGTCGGCCTGGTCCGCATCCTTCTTGCCGCCAACATCGACATCAAGGAGACGCTCGTTGCCAGAGTTGCCACGGCGGCGGAGGTTGAGGTTGAGAAGACCATCCTCGCCAAGCAGATCAAGGTTCAGGAGACCATCCTCACCGCCGACGTCGAGGTTGAGGAGGGAGTCGTCTTCACCGACGCCGAGGGAGAGGAGGGGGTCAACCATGACATTGTCCTCGTCCGTGTTGAGAGAGTCGTCCTCCTCCATCTCGCCGCACTTCTTGAGGTAGTCCTCGAGCTCCTTCTCGGTCAGGAGTTCCAGGACAACCAGGAGCTCGAGGTCGAGAGCAACGTGGTTCTTGCGGCAAACCTCGTCCTTGCGGACCTCATAGCAGTGGCCGCTGTCGCAGCGCTTGACCTTGTTGGTGAGAACGTCGGCGTTGATGAGAGAGTTTCCGTCACCCTTCTCACCGCCGACGTTGAGGTCGAGCAGGCCACCAAGGAGACCACCGTTGCCGTCGTTGGTGAGGACGTCAGCGTTGATCAGAGAATCGCCGTCGCCCTTCTCGCCGCCGACGTTGACGTCCAGAAGGCCACCGAGGAGGCCGTCGTTGCCCTCGTCGTCATTATCGCCATTGTTGCCATTGTTGCCTCCCTCACCGTCGTTGGTGAGGATGTCAGCGTCAATGAGAGCTTCGTCGTCATCCTTATCGCCGCCGACATCAAGATCGATGAGACCCTGGTTTCCGCTCTTGTTACCGCCGTCGCTGCCGCCGTTGCCACCGTCGTTGTCCTCATCGCAGCTATGGCAGCGCTTGCTTTGTGTCAAGGCGTCGACGTCAATGAGAGCCTCCTTGTCGTCCTTCTTGCCGCCGACATCAATATCGAGCAGTCCTTGGCTCTCACCGCCCTTGCGGCCGTTGTTGGTCAAGGCATCGATGTCGATCACCGCATTCTTGTCGTCCTTCTCGCCGCCAACATCGACGTCGAGGAGACCATCGTTGCCGTTGCCGTTGCCGTTGCCGTTGTCGTTGTCGTGGCCGTGACCATCATCGCCACCGTGGGAGCAGTGGTCGTCATCGTGATTGTCGCAACGCTTGTCGTGGGTGGCGACGTCAACATCGATGGCAGCCTGGTCCTTGTCCTTCTTGCCGCCGACATCGACGTCAAGGAGACGGTTACCGCCGTGAGGGTGCGTGTAATGGCGCTTGCTGTGAGTCAAGGCGTCGACGTCGATGAGAGCTTGCTTGTCATCCTTTTTGCCGCCGACATCTAGGTCGAGCAGGCCCTGGCTGCCTTTCTTGTTGCCACCCTGGTTGCCGCCGTTGTGGCCGCCCTCGCTGCACTCATCTTGGCAGTCGTCATCGTTGCCGCCATCGTGCTCGGGGTTGGTGGGAGTGACGCAGATGTAGTCGTCCTTTTGCTCGACCATGTGGCCCTTGTCTGTGCGGATGTCGATCTTGGGGCAGACGGTGAGGTCGAGGATGGCCGACAAGTCAATGAGGCAGCCACTCTCACGAGAGAGGACCTCAAGCTGGGCGACAATGTCTGACATGTTGGCTTTGGGTGATGGAGGGGAGGGTTTATTATTAGGGTATTAGTTTATGGGGAATGGCAGTCGGCGAGGACTGGAGGTGTCTAAAGAGTGACTGAGTGAGTGTGAAGATGTTGCTGATGAGGAGGTTGGAATGTAGAAGATGCGGTGCCTTCTATATAGGCATCGTGTCTTGGTTGTCTGTCTGGTAGAGACAAGTCCGACTCGAGGCTATCACAGGCGTACTGCATCCGCGTTGGTCATGCCCCTGAGCTGACGCCTTGCCTGAGACTGCTGAGATGAGTCTGGAGGTGAGGGACCAGCCGCCGAGGCTCTAACCCTCCACAAGGGCGAATTCTACTATGATGCGTGAGGGAGGCAAATTGACAATCCCTGGAGGTGCGATTTGCCAAAAGTAAGGTTGTCTTGGCGCCATAGGGGTACCGAGACAGTGGACAGCCTGATGCCGAGTGTTGGGAGATCAACCGGCAACCCTACATGTACGCAAGACGAGATGATTACTTATGGACTGGCACCACAGTTCGCCGGTCTAGTCGATCTCTTGATTGGGTCACCGCCGCCCATCACAGGTCAATAATGCAAACTTTCTTTCTTCGTGCTGTTGTCACGAGGTTTGCCGCGATGCGTATGCGCATGCAAGGGATCCCAGATAGCCCTTTGTGGAGTGCATGGGCGGCCCCTCTAGGCCCCGACTCGCCGTACCTGACAGGCCATCCTCTAAAAAGCGACTTGCAGATCAGATACGGCCTTTGATCCGATAGTCTATGATTCTGGTGCACGGTACAAAGGCCAATATGAGACTGTTTGATGAGCATGGCTGGGGTTCTCGCACAAGGAGTCTGGTCGTTTGGGGTGGAGGATGCCAACTGCGGCTGGCATTGCCCTGCGTCCTGACAGCTGCGACGGCTACCAACTTTCAATTGCACTGATTGATCTGTACAGGGCTGCACGTCGACTGACAAGGTCTAGTACGCAGTTGTAGTACACGCAGGTTTCCCAACCTCGAAATCTGTCCCTACTCCCTACCGTCGCCGCTCCTGGACTACCTTGGCTGGTGGGCCTTTCGAAGTAGCAAAACCAACTCCGACTCCATAATCTCAGTCCAAGACTTTCAGAGACGATGCTATTTCAAGAGAGACTGGATTTCAGGGTTCAAGCCAACCAGCTGCCACATGGGGCGGAACAGCTTCTCGTCAGGCCCGCTTGTCTCCCTCATCTGGCGCAGCTCGTCCCAGGCGAACCAGCGCCATTCGGCACATTTGTTGGGCTCCTTGACCTACCGGACCGAATTAGCTCCTTGGCCTCCTTGATGACCCACCGCAGCTCGCTCGCAAGATGAGTCAGGTAATGTACTTACCTCTGGCGAGGCCGCTGTGTCGGTCACTGTGCCGCGTAGAAAGTACGTGTCGTAGTACTTGCCCTCCTTCTCAAAGTCGTCCTGCGTGTGCGCCACCTCCTCGTCCGACACGGCGATCTCGAGACCTGTCTCCTCCAGAACTTCGCGCGCAGCGGTTGTGGCGTGTGTCTCGCCCGGGTCGACGTGACCGCCAGGCAAGCCCCAAGAGTTCGCGCCGTGGGAGCCTTTGCGCAGGCCCAGGAGCACCGTGTCGGGCAGTGTAGGATGGGTGATCAGGACGGCGACGCCGGGCTTGCGGGGTTTCTGTGCACTGGGAGGCATCGTTGTGTGGAAGTGTGGAGGTTTTATGTTCACCGTTTGTAGTCGAGTTCTGAGTCGTTGAGTCTCGAGTCTTGACGATGTTGTTTTTGATGAGCCAAGATCGGAATGTGGCTCGCGCTATATACTCCAGAAGCTCCAACTCGACAGCAGAACTTGGCGGATAGTGTCTGTTGGTTCCTGGTGAGATTGAGATTGTTGCTTTTTTCCTTCCTTTTGTTCAATGCTCTCAATCCATCTGGACTCTCCAGTCATGCACAGTTGAATGCTTGGTGAAGCACAAGGCACTCAGCTTAGTCCTTCGGCGTGATTGTGAGGAGGGGCAGAGGCCGCGGGGCAGCCAGCAAGGCGCTTTCGTCACAACGGGATGGTCTGTCTGCCTCTGCTGCACAGACGCGAGATGACAGCTTCTTGGGTCTAATGTAAGTTGTGGAGTTGGAAGGTGCGGCTCAGCGCATAACTCTGGCATGTCTTCATTTGTCGTTGTAATACGGGCCGCCTGCCAGCCCAGTTCTGGAGACAGGGCTAGAGTGTGCTACCCTAAGCCAACAGCTTGACAGAAAATGCCCAAGTAAAACATGTCAGCCTTGTTGAAAAAACAGGTGTCACTGTGATATGATACATGTTCAGCTGTGCGTTATCTTGGTTCCGGATTCCTGGCATGCCTTTTTTATTGATGGTCTTCTAAAAATGGATGTTACGAATGGAGTGTCCATCTGTGTCCCAATCTTGTGCTTGGCCTGGGAGTGTCCAATGTATGTCCAGGAACAGGCTGCCACTGGCATTAGCAAGGTCAATTTTTCACTTCCCGACCATTGCAAGCCCAGAATATTTCATGCCGTCTTATCGGTGCTACTACTACTCTCATGTTCAATGGCCAACTCATGGAGTTAAATCACCACGAGCCTCATATGACTGTGCCTCCTTGTACTGCGCCACACCCCACACTCCACACGTCACGTCACGTCACGTCACGTCACGAGACGAGACGCGCTTGAAACAAACAGACACGATGATCTGGACTCTATTGTGAACAAACTGCTCTAGCAGGCTCTACTGCATCTCGTGGCCACAGTCCTCAGGCTTGTTCATGTCGCACCACTGCTGGGTGATGACGCTCCCCTTGACACCCCTCGTCAACATCCTCTCGCGCTGCTCGCTCAGGCGCGGCCTGACCTCGTAGTGCGTGCGGTTGTTGCCCTGCGCGTCGACGTTGCCGCTCCACCAGACCTCGCCCGCAACACCGGCGCGCGGCCAGACGAGGCCGTCAAGGGTGGCCGGGTCAATGGTCTCGGACCAGACGGGGCACTCGCCGCCAATGACATTGTCCTTGGCCTCGTCCGCCACGCCGTCGCGGGGGTCGTGCGAGTAGATGAGCCGCCACGACTTGGTGGGCTGGCACCAGTCGGTGAAGGGGTAGAATGTCTGCCAGCTCTCGCCGTTGGGGAAGTCGAGCCACTGCCCGCGACCGCAGTCGAGGTAGTAAAAGTTGTAGCTCGAGTCGATAACCTTGTGCCCGTCCTCGGCGAGCTCCTTGACAGCTCCCTGGCCGAGCCAGGACTGGATGACGGTGCCCTCGGGGACGGTCGCGTTCCACTCGAGCACCATCTCCTCCCAGACCATCGGGGCCAGGCCGTGCTCGACGACCTTGTCGTGCACGTGCGTCAAGAAGCGCTGGAGCATGGGCTGGAGCGTCTGCACGTCGTTGGTCTCGAGGGCGGGGTCGAGGAGTGAGTTGTTGGCCTTGTACTCGTCACCACCGGTGTGGAAGTAGGCAGTGTAGGGCGAGATGCGCGCGAGGACGTCGTCGAGGAGGGTGTCGAGGAAGTCCTCAACGTCTGTGCTATTCAACTTGAACGAGCCGCAGGGAGGCTGCGCGCAGTACCACTGGTAGGGCTGCTTGTTGAAAGCGACGGTGAGGCCCGGGTAGGCCTGGTCGATGCCTACGTGGCCGGGCATGTCGATCTCCATGATGACCTGGACGCCACGGTGCACGCCGTATTCGTAGAGGTCCTGAATATCGGCTGGCGTGAAGGTGAGGTGGGGGGCGTAGGCGCCCTTCTCGGTGAGCTTGGGTAACGAGGGCACCTCTAGGGGCCAGGACTGAGTGTCTGTCATGTGCAAGTGCAAAACGTTCATCTTGTTCATCGCAAGGCCATCGATCTGGCGCTTGATGTCCTCGAGGGGGAACCAATGGCGGGAGACGTCCATCAGGATGCCACGATGGGGGTAGAGTGGCTCATCCTCGATATCGTAGGGAGCGTGCTGCGTGTAGAATGTCAGGCCGGACGAGTGCTTGTAAAAGAGCTGCGAGAGGGTCTCCAGACCGCGCAGGACACCGATGGACGACGCCGCGTTGAGTGTCGCCTCGCCATCCAGACCGACCTTGAGAGAGTAGGACTCATCAAGGGTGCCCGCGACGGGCTTGAATGTGTTCTCGTCGTCCTCCTCGGTCTGGGTGATGGTGAGCTTGGCGACGCGCTTGGTGTCGTCCCTCTGCTTGGGTTCAAAGTCGGAGCCGCGCTCCCTCAACATCCATGGCACCAGTCCGTCCTGGAAGATGGCCGAAAAAGCACGCTCCACGCCACCCTGGACAATGTCGGAGCTCTTAAAGTTGGGGCCGGGAGGAGGCGTATAGCCAACGGCGTAGGTCAGCTGCGCGTAGATAGAGTCTTTAGCTGCTTGATACAGGAAGTGGGAGTCAGGGTGAGATTTTCGTACTGGCTTGCCATTGTAGGTCACGGCGACCGTTTGGTCGATGAACAGGGTCGAGTTGCCCGTCGAGATGGTCTTGGGGATGGGCCAGATGGCAGACACTGGGGTGACGGCTAAGGCCAGAGCGGCCGCTTTGAGGACAGAAGAGAGCATCTTGTCCAACTAGAACAGTGCCAGAGACAATGACGAAGAGAGGTGTGGGACTGGCGCGCTGTTACCGGAGGGAGAGGGCGAGGGCGATTTCTTTTAAGGGCTGACCCGCCCAGCTCGGAGACGGCGGGAGATCAGCAGAAACATTCGGGTTCCGAGTTTCGACAGGCCAGTGAATGCGGAGGAAGGGATGACGATCGTGACGATGCAGGGATCCGCGGGGAGGGTAGCACCGGCGCGCGCGCGCGCCATGTAACCGCAGTTTGTTGATGGACGGACGGCTGGTCAATGCAAGAGGAGAGGAGGAGAAGCTACTATGGCGTAACACCGCTTTGGGTTTGCGCGCACCCGCGCGCGACGTCCTCCAGTCGGTACCTAGGGAGGACTCTGGAACGGAAGCAGGACCGTGCTGGTCAGACTCGGTGCTCAGCTGTGTCGGGTCGAGTGAAGATTCACGATGCAGAGCACGAGCGATAAGGCCGGCAGATGGGCTCTTGGCCGGGACGCTACGTTGCACATCCACTCTCCGTGCCTTACCTGAGGACGAAAGTACCTTACCTTATTAATTAGTACCTTTGCATCCGTAACCTCGCAGAATTGGGGACTGGAGCCTTCGCGTTTTGGAGAAGCAAGACAAGGGTCGCGATCTGGCAGGTAGCAACCAAGAGGATTCTCAGGGGGATTGCTGTGCATTGATTTTGTTATCATGCCGACCGAGGATCCCGGGGGAGATGATGATCGACAGGTCAGCGCACTTGCAGTCTCGCACAGCCTCTTCTCATGACCATACGAGTGCCTTTCCATTGCTCGCTTGTGTGCAAAATGATGACTTCTACGGATTCAATTGAGAGCATTGGTGACCAGCCGTCTATTGTTACCTTACCAAGGCCGCACTTGTTGGTCACTTGATGAAGCTCATCAAGCTGCAGATGGCAAGCCTCATTACCCCACACTTGTCTCATCACGCCTTGATCAACTGCTCACTCCCACGTTCCTCGCCGGATGCGCAGTCGCAGAGGCGGCAGAACGAAACAGCAAGAAGGCCCTCAATGTAACATGACCATGGATCCGACCGGGTCGGGCCCTGTAAGTTGTCCCTAACAGCGAGGCGAGCTTGCACTGCTGACAGCGCTGAGCATGCGCCACCAATGCACCTCTAACCACACCACGCCAATGTCCTATTTGCCTACCGATCAACCAGTGCGCATTTGTTGGGTAACTTCAACCTCGGGAGCCTGCCCATAGCACATGCAGCCCAGCATCAGAACTTGGTCGTGCATGTTGCACCAGCATCGACGGTCAATACTGTTCCCGTAACCCACCTCGCCTCACCTCCAGCCAGGTACCGCACTGCACCCGCGGCATCCCAGGCGCTGCCCTCAGTCTGCAAAAGACTCCTCTCGCGCCTCCTCTGCCTCGTCTCCTCGCTCATGCCCCCGTCGCTCACCATGGGCGTGTACACCATGCCAGGACAGACAGTGTTCACTCTGATCCCGTCCTTGCCATGATGCGAGGCCATTGCCCGCGTCAGCTGGACGACAGCGCCTTTGCTGACAGGATACAGAAGCGACGGCGTCCCGCCGAGCAGACCGGCGACCGACGCCATGTTGACAATGGAGCCGCGGATGGAGAGCTCCGACGGAGACGTCGGTGTGTTGAGGAGCATCTTCGGAATGGTGTGCTTCGACATGAGCACCATGCTCGTGACGTTGACATCGAGGCCCCGCGCCCACTCTTCCCGCTCGACATCGACGGCACTGCCCCCGGGACCAAGGATCCCAACGTTGTTGATCAGAATGTCCACGCGACCAAGCCGGGACATGGCCGTTTCCACGATCCGTCTGCAGTCGTCTTCTTTGGTCACATCAGCCTGCACAGCAACTGCGCGCCCTCCCTTTCCTTCGCCGAGACACATCTCGACCGTTGTCTGTGCAGACTCAAGAGACAAGTCGACGCAGACGACAGAGCATTGGTCCTCGGCCAGCAGGATTGAGATGGCGCGTCCGTTGCCGAGGCCCGTGGGCGATGACCCTGCGCCAGTGACAATGGCGACTTTGCCAGCTAGAGAGCGGGATGGGCGAGGCGGTAGGTTCATGTTTTTCTGTACACAGTGGTTGAGCTGTCAGATGCAGGAGCAAATAGCCGGAACAGCACAAGTATCATGTGAGCCTTGTTGTTGTCCTCCGAGGAAGCACGGGATGCCCCGCACGTGCCATAGAGGGGCTCAAGGAGTTCGTGGCGTCAGCCTCTTGTCGGAGTGAACAACAAGCTTGAGGCAATGGCGTGAATCTCGCAGGTCCATACCTTACCGTGGTTGACAGGCACACGTAGCAAGTCATTGCATCGTCGTGTTGTTGTACAAAGCCCTTTTGGGTTCTGCGTGTCGCAAACAGTCCATGTCATTAGCCGGCAAGCTCGTGGGTGCAGCAAGGCACAAAGTCGAGTATATAGACACGAAGTTCACCAAAGGTCTCTTCATTTTCAGCCGTCAAACTATTGCCGCATGGCACGAAGTACGTTTCGGCAACGACCTACTGTGCCAGTATTGACGAGCACTTCCTCCGCCGGCGCCGATGGTCTAGATTCCAATTAGGACCGACGGGTGCGCGGGCCGGTTTCCCCAGGCCGTCATTTGCAGCATCGAGAAGCCTCCAGCATGCAAGATGCAAGTCACCTAACCATATCTCAGAGTCAGGCCCTGGTGTCAGGGGAGAAACACCAAGTCAGGCCGACGAGGCCCCTGGGACGCGTTCCGTCCAGCTATCGGCACAAGAATGCACCGACGTGCACACTGATGCACATCGCCAATCTATTCTGCCATTGTCGCGGAAGCATATCACCCAGTACCGAAGATTGACATGGCGAAAGGTGCAGGTTGGCTTACTAGCTCGGAGCCCCGCCTCGTTCCTCCGGATAGCCCATACGGACCGCTCGACCGACAGAAGTGAAACCGGATACTTGCGTTCGTAGTATATATACTACAGAAGTCCTTCCATGCCTTTCGTTCCATCTGTTTTCCGCGAGATCACAGTTCGTGCCACTGGTGCAGGTAACCAGTCTAGAGCTTGCTGAGAAGAAACCTCTGAATACACGGAACATCGACACCTACTTCGCGAAAAGAAGTCGACCCCATCTCTTGGACGCTATCCGCATCAAATCCCCAATGAGCGTATCTGTATCGAATACTAAATGGGAACAATGGAAACAATGGACACGGAACCAACCAGCGCAAACACGACGCCTAAAACGAGCTGCAGTCCGCCCTGGAGCCCCCAACAAGGGAACCCCAGATTGCAACATGCTCGGGTCAAGGCAAAGGAGAAGCTTGAGCACCTGACCTTGGAGGAAAAGGTGTCCCTCCTAACGGCCGCAGACTTCTGGAGGACCACCGCCATACCCGAAAGAGGCATCCCCGCCATCAAGACATCCGATGGACCCAATGGTGCGAGAGGCGGCATCTTCGTCGGTGGCACCAAGGCTGCACTCTTCCCATGTGGCATTTCCCTCGCGGCAACTTGGAACAAGGATCTTCTCTACAAGATAGGCCAGCATCTTGCTCACGAAACGAGGGCCAGGTCGGCAGACATGCTGCTGGGGCCGACCATTTGCATGCACCGCCATCCCCTGGGGGGCAGGAACTTTGAGTCCTTCTCCGAGGATCCTTTTCTCACCGGCAAGCTGGCAGCGCAGTATGTCAAGGGCTTGCAGGACCAAGGAGTGGGCGCAGCCATCAAGCGTACGTGGTCGTGGTCTGTGGGCCCCGTCGTCCATCACTGACCAACGCAGACTTTGTGGGAAACGAGCAGGAGACAGAGCGCAACACCATCGATTCCCTCATCGCAGAGAGGCCCCTGCGCGAGCTGTACCTGCGTCCCTTCGAGATCGCCATACGAGAAGCCAACCCCTGGGCTGTCATGTCGTCGTACAACAAGATCAATGGCATCCATGCCGATATGCACCCACACACGCTCAAGGACGTCTTGCGCGGTGAGTGGGGTTATGATGGGTACAGTCTCTCCCACCTTTTTCATCACAACACTAATCCGCCAGCACCGTTGTATCCGACTGGGGCGGCACCAACTCTGTTGTCGAGTCGATACAGGCCGGCTGTGACATTGAGTTCCCACACTCCACCAAGTGGCGCTTGGCAAAGCTCGTCGAAGCGGCAAAGGAGGGACGTATCAGCCAAGGGGACATTGACGCAGCGGCGGAGAATGCTCTCACACTGGTGGAACGCCTAAAGGGCGGCGACATGACGCCTGAGCAACCAGAAAAAGAAGACAACAAGGAGGCGACTAGACAGCTTATCCGCTCAGCGGGTCACGAAGGACTAACGCTTTTGAAGAACGAAGGCGGTCTGCTTCCGCTATGTTCCAGTGGTACCAGAGTTGCGGTCATCGGTCCCAATGCGAACCGTGCCATTGCTGGGGGAGGCGGCAGCGCAAGTCTGAATCCTTACTACAACACGATTCCACTTGATAGCATCCGTCGAGTGTCCCAGCAAGAAGTAACATTCGCTCAGGGGTGTCACATCTTCAAGTGGTTACCCGTAGCGTCCGAGTACTGCACATCCCAGTCGGGGAAACCGGGCGTTGATATTGACTGGTACGCCGGCGACGCTTTCGAGGGTTCTCCTGTTGTCACGCAGAGACGCACAAATACAGATCTCTTCCTGTGGGACTCGGCTCCGCTCGAGCAGGTTGGGCCAGAGTGGTCAGCTGTAGCCAAGACGTATCTCACGTCTACTATCTCTGGGAAACACACAATCAGCTTCATGAGCGTGGGTCCCGGAAAGCTGTACGTCGACGGCAGATTGGTTCTTGACCTTTGGAACTGGACCGAAGAAGGCGAGGCCATGTTTGATGGGTCCGCGGACTACCTCGTCGAGCTGGACATGGAGGGCAACCGAGCCGTGGAGCTCAAGGTCGAAATGACGAACGAATTGCGGCCTCTCTGGAAGCAGGACAAATTCAACATGACGCACAAGTACGGTGGCTGCCGCATCGGCTTCAAGCAGGAGGACAAGGTGGATTATATCCAGAACGCTGTCCAGGCAGCCCGCGCGGCTGATGTAGCGGTCGTGGTGGTTGGCGTCGATGCTGAGTGGGAATCGGAAGGCTACGATCGCCAGACCATGGACCTGCCCGTCGACGGCAGCCAAGACAAGCTCATACGAGCCATCGTCGAAGCCAACCCCAGAACCGTGGTGGTGAATCAGTCGGGAAGCCCCGTCCATATGCCTTGGGTCGATAGCGTTCCTGCTATCGTCCAGGGCTGGTATCAGGGCCAGGAAGCCGGCAACGCTCTGGCCGATGTGCTCTTTGGTCTCGTCAGCCCCAGCGGGAAGCTGCCAGCGACATTTCCTCAACGCATTGAGCATACCCCTGCGTGGCACAACTGGCCAGGTGAGAACGGCAAGGTGCTGTATGGCGAAGGGCTGTACATCGGCTATCGTCATTACGACCGGAATAACATCAAGCCACTCTTCCCCTTTGGACACGGCCTTTCATACACGACTTTTGAGTATGGCCGTCCTGAGCTCTCGTCTCGTGTCTTGTCGGCAGACGAGAACATTCGCCTCACTCTGGCCATTTCAAACGTGGGTGCCCGAGCCGGCGCCGAGATCGTGCAGGTGTACGTGCATGACGAGAAGAGTAGATTGCCACGTCCAGAGAAGGAGCTTGTCGCCTTTGAAAAAGTTTTCTTGGAGGTAGACGAGACTAGGCACATCCACATTACCTTGGATAAGCACGCAGTTGGGTACTATGACACGGCGATTCCAGGATGGATTGGCGAGCAAGGGAAGTTCGACATTCTGATCGGCGCCTCGAGCACTGACATTCGGTAAGAGCCCTGTTTGAGCGTATATGGTCTGCGGTGCTGACTTTTCCAGGCGCTCTGCAAGTTTCGAAGTGAAAGAGTCTTTCACGTGGACATTCTAGACTAGGGAGTGTCAGGGTTATAGAAGGAGCTTGCCCTCGTCACGGGTGCTGAGATTGTAGTTCTACTTAAATTGTTAGTGGCAACGCAATATTGGAGTGCTTCAACATACCAGGTGTGAGCTGTTACATATGTCGACGACCTCTCGACTACAGAGAACGTCGACTCCCTGTCAACAGGGCACTTGATATCTGTGAATAGATTTGTAGTTTCACCTCTTCACGCTGCGTCGGGCTCGCGATCTCTAGCATCCGGGCTGCGACTTCTGCTTCGCCCTCGTCGCGCGCCACCAGCACCTCGTCCTCCGCGGGCCCCCTTGCCCTGGTTTGGCGGCGGGCGGACAAACGCAAAATCCACGGCAATCGTCTGGTCCAGCATCTTGGTGTTGTGTGCTCCGTCGATGGCGGCACGAGCTTCTTCCAGCGTCGCGAATTCGATCAGAGCATAACCCTGAAGACGGTTAGCCATCAGCCATTCCACGGCATGCGCGCTCCGCGTACCTTCACGTAACCGCTTCTCCGGTCCAGGTTGAGGTGCAGGTTCTTGATCTCGCCAAACTCGCCAAAAGTATCTTGCAGCGTCTCCTCGTCTGCTTCTTCGTGCACGTTCGTGACGATTACGATCCAGCCTTCGATGGAGCGGACAGCAGTGGCTTTTGCATGGGTTTGCATTTCGGCTTCGTTGTGAGGGGCTGCCAGACCAGAGTCTTGCGAGTCGATTTCCATTTCTTGGTCGGCCATGATCGAAATGTTGTGCTTGATTGTCGTGCGGTAGGAGCGCAAACGTGGGATGCTACGTAGTGGTACTGGTATTTTAAGTGAAGCTGGACAAATACGGGGAATCACGTGACAGCTGTCGAGTGTCACAAGGTCAAGTGAACGACAAGATGCAAATGTACAGCAAATTTTGGGTCAGACAGTCGAGAGCAGTCTCAAAGCGGTTCTCATCACGCAGAAGCCTACGCTCACAGCACCTGGCCTCAATGTGCATGCCCAAGATCGAAATGCGTTGATGCATGTTGTATTCATTTGACAAAGAGACACCTTGACGCCGAGTTAAACCTCCGTCGCATCGTCGGGCATAATCCTTTGATGTAGAACCGCCCTCCGCACAAGCCTGCTTTCATCACAGGCATTGCGGCCGTCGTTGCCAAGATTTGCCAAAGAAATCCCCTTCCCGATTTTAAATTTCGTCCATTCGCTTTATCGTGTATTGCGCTTAGGAGCCGGGGTTGGGGTTCATCTGGATAATGTGAGTATGGTCTGATCCAATGCGCAACGACGCGGGTCGTGTGTACCTTTCTCTTGCCGCCAGTCAGGGTGACATTAACGAAACGGCGGGTGTACTTGAGGCGCTTGAGAGCACGGCCCTTGGGGACCTTGGGCTTCTCCTGAGGCTCAACCTGTTCCAGCGTATCAGTACCGCGTTCCCATCATCTCCCGTCGATGTCGTCGTCATCATCGTCGTCGCGCTGTCTGTCGTACCTTGGGAGTCTGAGACTTGACCTTGCCTGCATTTCATCAGTAAATTTTTCGGCGACGCAGTCGAGAGTCGAGACGTACCGGCACGGGCAAGAGAACCGTGAACTTTACCCATGTTGATGGATTTGTGTTGTCGTGATGATCGGTGTGGTTGAGAGCTGCAAAGTCGAGAGGGGCGGGCTAGGCACGATGGGTTTTTCTGAATTCGGGTGGGAATTGTGTGGGAGGCGAAATGCAGAGTCACGTGAAGCTTTCAAGGGTGTGTTCGGGGCAATGTGGTTCCGTGAGTCATGTCGAGATTATGTCAGCTGTTTTCTGCATGACTCGCAAGTGGCACGTCACGCTAGTGCCTCAAACAGGACCCGAAATCTCCAACCACCTACATGTACACTTACGATAGATACATTGACGTTACTGACGTCTAGCAGCTGCAACGCTATTGATTTGATGTCAGTCAATCAGTCGATGTGATTTGTCTGACCACTGCCTTCATTGATATCTACCACGGTACCACCTGTGTTTCATGCGCCTGCGTTCTGGCTGGCAACAATGTCTCGGATGATGCTCCAAGCCCGTAAGGCAAGTCATCAGCCCACGCGTTTGTATGCTGCAATGAAGACCCGTGCATGATAGATACTTTTTTCGGTAATCTCATCTGCTTCGCTGTTGCATGGTTGCCAAGGACAACAATTCCCAATTCTATCCGTGACGTCACCCCATGAGAATGAATTGTTCGATCACTGACTTCGGGGCAAAAACTCCCCAATGACAACATGTACTGAACGCCCACTTCGGATAAAGACCATAATCAATCTTATTGCTGAAGCTCCCGATCCCTCCTTATCCATGTAAAGCAAGGTTCAAGAACATGGCGCCGTCGGCCCAGCCTCCAAAGGCTGATACAAGGCTTCCTCGCAAATCAGGCGTCTTCCCACCGAAGACGCTGCGCGATCGGCTCCTGCATCGTCTCCCACGATACACCGGCCCATACAATGTGGGATACATGGATATCGAGGTTCCGGCGCGTGACCCACGCCCGATCTCTGGCTTGAAGCGCGGGGGCAAGCCTGTCTTGCGACTGGACACAGTGCTCATGGCCATTTACCATCCGGCCGAAATTCGCGAAGACTTCAAGACGTCAGATGGTAAAGAAAAGTTGCACCGCGTCAACTGGACGCCGCGTCCCCGGATTGCGACGTCAAAGGGATATGCCAAGATGATGAACCTACCGTGGCCGCCGGTGACGGGCTACTTGGCTTTAACGACACTGTTCACAAAGCTGCCCGCGTTCCGAAATGCGAAGCTGGCGCAACACTGGCCGGAAGATATGAAGAATGACTCGGGGCCTGGCGGGCAAGCTGCGCGTGAAGAGGAGAGTCGAACAAGAACGAGACCCAAGTTCCCTGTGATCATCTTCAGTCATGGCCTGGGTGGCTCACGGCTGTGCTATAGTGCCATCTGCGGCGAACTTGCTAGCTTTGGCTTTGTTGTGGTGGCGCTGGAGCACCGAGATGGCAGTGCAGCCAGGACATACGTCAGCCTGCCGGGCAACATTGAAGCGAATGAGATTGAGTCCTCGACCGCGCGGATCGTCGCGAACAATGACGACGACAAGGAGCATGGGAAGAAACGCGTGCACAGGAGAAAGAAACAGGAGCTCAACCCATACTACGTCGTGGACTACATCTACCCCAAGGACAACACGCAAGACACATCGCCACGTAATCCCAAGGGTGTTGACCATAAGCTCCGAACGGCTCAAGTTGCCTTGCGGTTAGAGGAAATCAAAGAAGCGTTCCACGTTCTTGAGCTGCTCAACCGAGGCTGCGGCGAAGAGATTGCCAAGATCAACCTCCGCAAAAAGGGCAACATCGGGTCAAATTTGCTCGGCTTGAAAGGCGTCGACTGGGACGACTGGAAGGACAGAATGTTCCTCGACGGTGTCTCCATTATGGGCCACTCCTTTGGCGGAGCGACAACGTTCCAGGCATGTCGTGAGGACCAGCTGAGCTGGATCGGCCAGGGCGTGGCACTTGATGCGTGGGGCAATGGTACCCCTATAGTTGGTGATGCACCCGAGGAAAAAGTGACCAAGCCTATCATTTCCATATCCTCAGAGGCCTTCGTCCACTGGAAGAGTAACTTTGACCGCATTGTGGGCATCTGCGGAGAAGCGCGTGACGCAGGACAGCTGTGCTGGATGCTGACCATTGTCGGGTCGACGCACTTGTCGATGAGTGACTTCTCAGTCCTCTACCCCCACTGGATGTCGCGTTTTACGAAGTCCATGGTTAATCCGGAGCGCGCATTTTACTTGACCATAGCGGCTTCGCTCGAATTCCTGGACACGACGCTCCCTCCCCAGCAGACCAAGTACAACACGTGGCTGAATGAGCAGCTCCTTGAGGCAGGTGACCAGACTGAGCCCGACGAGACTCTGTTTCCGGACCATGCACCAGATGATAAGTGGGTTGCCGTGCGACTCAAGATCCCAAATGAATTCTGGACACGCATCCGGGCCTGGTCCAGGCGGTTTCGGGCACGGGCTATGTGCAGGGCAACTGACGGATTAGAAATGGTGAATGGACTGCGAGACTCCAGTAAGCAACAAGAGATTTGGACGCACTTGCGACCGACTAGAAGTCAGGTGGAGAGGCATATGCGAACAGCCAGTAGTGCTGGGCAGGTGCAAAGAAGCTCGCGGGCCTTGGAATAAACAGCTAGACAAGAGATGATACCCCATGGATGATGTTCATGATAATTAAATGGCTTGCGATGAGTGTCTCTAGGGTAGTTGGATGGGTAACGCGCGATCCGGCAGTTCGATGTGGCTGACGTCGATTGGAGCGTAAGTAAGCAACCAAAGGTTGGACCTCGTCGTTTCGGCCAGCCAGTTAAAGCATCGATATTAGGGCCTAATTACTTACTTTGTACTCACTACAGTAGCTAGCCCCCAGCTTTTGAATGCACGGAGACCAATCGGCACATCTACACCTACTGACCGGACTTACATTTGACATTTGACTCACTCTCTGCCTCGGATCGCAACGAGTCCCCACGCATGACGGTTCCAGTTCCATTCATTCCCAATGGCCATGCGGTACCCCACTCGAAGAGCCTGGCCCGATGTAGCGACCCAATGCGTGTCACAGAAATCCGCCGCTATCGGGGTGACTTGTTTCGCTGCTGCCCCTCCACTACACCAACTTTAACCCCCCGCAGTCCGACTCACTCCCAATTGACCAAGAACACTCAGAAAATTTGGAAATTTGACCTCTCGCCATTAAAACCCATCTGGCCTCACCTTCCGTCTTCGTCACAAAGCCAATTTTCTATCCCAACAAAGAGTGCGCATCACAACCTGGACCCTCGATCGACCACCACCATCACCACAACACGCGAGATCAACGACGCAATGTGCGAGAACGGAGAATCCAACGGCGTGGCTGCCCACGGGCCCACGACCTCGAATGGCTCTCACCCTGTCCAGGGACAGCCCAAGTCCTCGCCTTACCAATCCGTGCAGGACTACCTATCGAACGTCGGCAGGTACAAGATCATCGAGAGTACCCTCCGTGAGGGAGAGCAATTCGCCAACAGCTTCTTCGATACCGAGACCAAGATCAAGATGTATGTGCGCACGGGACTGCTCTCTGAGTGCACCCAAGAGCTGCAGAATTTCGTGGTGGTGCTGACGATTGTAATAGCGCCAAGGCTCTTGATTCATTCGGCGTCGACATGATCGAGCTCACGAACCCTTGCAGCTCTGAACAATCGTTCCAAGACTGCAAGACCATTGCCAGCTTGGGTCTCAAGGCAAGCAGGACTAAGGCCGATTCGTAGGATATTTTGCTAACAATGTCACAGGCCAAGATTCTTACACGTTCGCACCGCCCAATGCATGAACTTGGCTCACAACTAACACCCAGCAGACGTTCGATGCCACATGGATGACGCTAAGAAGGCCGTAAGTTCATTCCGCGCTCCCGAGATTCGTTCAGGTGAAGACTCACACGATTGAAATTAGGTCGAGGCCGGTGTCGACGGTGTGGATCTGGTTATCGGAACCTCCAGCTTCCTGCGCGAGTATAGTCATGGCAAGAGCATGGCTATGATCCAGAAGACCGCGCTCGAGGTCATTGAGTACCTGAAGGGGTTCGTATTCACTTTGCAGATTCAGACTGGGTACCAAGACTGACTCATCTGACACGACAGGCAAAATGTTGAGGTCCGCTTCTCCTCGGAGGATTCCTTCCGTTCCGATCTCGTCGACATCCTTGCGCTCTACAAAGCCGTTGATGGCGCTGGTGTGCACCGCGTTGGTATTGCCGACACAGTGTGAGTCTGACCCTCAATTGGCGTGGTGACAAGTCGCTAACAACCAGCAGTGGCGGCGGTATGTCTTGCGTCCACGCATTCTAGCTTGTCGTGCTACCACGGCGACAGCTCAACTCTTGGAGCTGTACTGACGCTGTTCTTAGCTACCCCTCGTATGGTTTACGATCTCGTAAGGACACTTCGCGGTAAGTAAACAGTAGCAAGCTATCCACAAGTGTTCAGTACACTGATTCATCATACAGGTGTCGTCGGCTGCGACATTGAGTGCCATGTGCGTCCCAGGATCCTAATTGGCCTCTGGCGGGATACTGATTATTGAGTAGTTCCACGACGATACTGGGTGCTCGGTCGCAAATGCCCACAGCGCTCTCGAAGGTAAGCTTAGATTCTCTCGAAAGTAACAAGGGATACTAAAGGCTTTAGCTGGCGCCACTCATGTGGACACCTCCGTCCTCGGCATTGGTATGCTCCTCAAGGTTTTATGAAGCTGGGCAAAACTGACACTGTTCCCCTAGGCGAGCGCAACGGCATCACTCCTTTGGGTATTTTGCCATGGAAATCAAGTCCCCAATGAAACTGTCACTGACCCCACCAGGTGCTTTCATGGCCAGAATGGTTGTCACCGCCCCCGAGTACACCAAGTCCAAGTACAATCTGAAGGAGCTCAAGGCCCTCGAGACTCTTGTCGCCGACGCGGTCCAAATCAACATCCCGTTCAACAACCCCATCACGTAAAAAGCCCTGTGTTGAATCCCGATGATGAATGCTGACGCTGACAAACTTCCAGGGGCTTCTGTGCTTTCACCCACAAGGCTGGTATTCACGCGAAGGCTATCCTGGCCAACCCTTCGGTAAGAACATGAACAAAGACAACCAAGCAAGTACAATCGGCAGACTGACCGTAAACTAGACCTACGAGATTCTCGACCCCGAAATCTTCGGTCTTTCCCGCTACGTGTCCATTAACAGCCGCATGTAGGTCAAACCAACAAACTGTCTTGCGTTCGATTTCGACTAACGTTCTTTTAGCACCGGCTGGAATGCTGTTCGCTCGAGAGCTGATCAGCTTGGCCTTGCCATGACTGACGACCAGGTCAAGGAAGTGTATGTTATCCGTTCCTTGGCGTTTCATGGATGTATGTGGCTAACATGAGTGCAACAGGACTGTCAAGATCAAGCAGATGGCTGATATCCGACCACTTGCCATTGATGACACGGACAGCATCCTTCGCTCGTTCCATCTTGAATTGCAGAACGCATAGGGGAAAAAAATGGTGACGGAGTTGGAGTGATCTATTCAAACATATGGCGTCGGAGTACCAGAAAATGTCGCTTACGAGTATCTGCTCATTGGATTTCGAAGAAGAACATTCGAATATTTGTTTTTCCCTGTGGCCACTTTTGCGATTCTGGAACGCTAGTGTGACCTAGTCGCGGTCTGATCCACACGTGCTCTTCGTGGGAACACTAGGCTCTGTATATGCGGGCTGATGCGTCGAACGCCAAAGATGTCCGTCTCGCCCCGTGAGCTCCCATGGTCAATTGCTCTTTTCAAGAGCGATGACAGGTACGTGATGCACAGTCCGGGCTGTTGTCAATGACTATTGAAACAAGTACAGCTCTGACGTCCGTACCACTCGATCACTTCTTTGAGAAGTGAGTAATCAGCCTTTGAACCCCCGTCATGGTCTATTTATGGTGGTGTGGTGTCGAGCTCGCCAATCGGATACCCGCGATGACACCCAACCCCATGATCCCGGATGCGGCTAGATGATCGGGATCGCCTAGGGCCCAGGCTCTAGGGCAAGAAGTTATTGGAACTTAGAACACGATGATGTACTTCCAAGAGGCTAGATGATCGGGATCGCCTAGGGCCTAGGCTCCAGGGCAAGAAGTTATTGGAACTTAGTACTCGACGATGTACTTGCAAGACAAGAATGCCTTATGCGTTATGCAGGTGGTAGTTAGAGAGAGGGAAACCCACTCTGGACCCAGCAGAAGAGCTGAGGCTGGAGCCCGGGGGGCAAAGTGTTGCATGGAGCTGATATGCAGGCTGCGTGCGACGTGCGTGCGACGTGCGTGCGTATTGATGAGAAATACAGGATGCTGTCGCGCCAAGACGGTGAATACGAAACAACCCCCCCCGCAAGCGGCAGTGCTGAATCTGATGCGCTTTCATTCAGCTTCAAACATAGGACTGGTCCTCGTGTTGTCTCAACTTATCAATAATCTAGAGTTCTGCTAAGCTCTTCTCTTGCTCTTCCCTCTCGCGCGTCTCTTTCGAAATGTTTGGTACCTGACCTTATAATTCACTGTGTGGCCGCATCCACCAAGACCCCGCCCACTACCTACTAGGCCATCATCTTCCCTTCACTTTGCTTCTGCTCGTCCCCGCCAAATTTTCCTCGCCGCATTCCACTCATTCAGCTGGCAGTGGGTCGGGTCATTCTTTTTGGGTCGAATCGCTTCTGAAAAGCCTATCCCACACTCTCGTTCATGAATACGCCGCCACGCACGAGCAGGGAAAGTGTACACTTCACCATGGCCGCAACCGCGACTCAAAGCCCCGCAAGGCCAGCCGCAAGGCCAGCCGCAAGGCCAGACCGGTCCAACAGTCTGCAGCGCATGCTCGAGCTAGAACAGGAGTGCATGGTAAGAGTCATTGTTCGCTGGTCATGGCATTCATTGACCGTTTTCTTTCTAGCGTGATCGCCGCACGCATATTAAGCGCGGCCAAGTGTCCCCCGAATCTCAGGGGACTCCAGTCTCCCTGCAGCTCCCACCCATCGATACTGGAACTTCATCCTTGAATCCCGCACAAATGTTTGCAACTATCCACTCGCGTCAGAGGTCCGATGGGGACCAGCAAAATACGCTTGCGTCGGCTCATGGAAGTCCCAAGCGCGTGTCTTTCAGTACAGTAGAGAAGGTCGTGGTGGATGATCGCAACGAACTGTGCCAATCGCCAAGCTGGCAAGCGTACGACCGAAGAAAAAAGGAGAAAAAAGAAAGGGAGCTCGCCGACAGAGAGACGAGCAGAGCCCAAAGGCGCAAGCTCTGCAAGGCACCGCCTTCTCCCTCGACGGCACTTGTAGAGAAGGCTGGCCAGACCCAGACAGGCGCATGCATGTCTCACACATCTCCCGTCCCTCAGCCCCCACCACGGCAACAAGAAGCCACAAGCGAGCGACCTAACAGTGTCGCGGGTTTATCTACCCCAAATATGCCCGCGCTGGACAGCGCGAAACCTCGCGGTCGGTCTAGCTCCATCTCCTCGCTTTTCAGGGCACCCTTTGAGGTACGACGAGCTTCCCCGGATACAGACAACCGCGACGGGTTCATTGGCGGGATCAAACTCGAGCAACACCGCCTGGCTGCGAACCAAAAGATCTTGGAGGATCAAGCAGCCGAAGCCAGGAAGGCGGCGCAAAAGAACAGGAAGCGCTCAGAGAGCCCACTGAGGTACTTGGTGCCCAGAAGCGAGCCAAAGGAGACGCGAGCGTACCCGCCCATTGCAATTCACACAACCGGAAACCAAGCCCTCATTTCCCAAGACGACGGTATGATGCGAAAGTGGAAGGCCCGTGTGGGCTTGAGGTCGAGGTCAAGGGAGCCTTTGCCAAACGGCGGCCAGAAGCTTGCCAAGCTGCCAGCGGCAAAAGGATCACCAATATCAGCTCCCGTGGTGATGAGTTCATCGACGCCAGACGTCTCCTCGAACACCGTGCAACTTCCCAGCAGCAAATCGACACCGAATATCAACAGTCCGACCGTCGTGCAGAGGATTCACGGCCCGGTTGATGTTGAGAAGATGAATATGCTCACGGTCGATCCGGCTCGCCACCCCATATTTGACGAGGGCGGCACCGGCTCAGCCTCTGAGCGCTCTTTTACGACAGTTCCAGAATCGCCCCCTGCGCCTCCAAGACGCAGCTCCAGAAGAAAGTCAACAGTGAACGCAGAAGACTTGGAGAACCCGGTGCCCCTGTTGTCGTCCCAGACGCTGCCCGTAGCGAAACCATCGACGGAGATAGAAGAGCGGCTAGAGCGGTGGACCATGTCTCATCCGCCCAGCATCCCGTACGGATCGGTGAACCCGAGCACGGAGAGCCTGCCAGCAAATCACCAGCAGAGAAGAACGTTTAGGGAAGCGGCTCGTGCTGCGTTTAGTGCCCATACAGCGCTCTCACCACCGGTCATGCCAGCTGCCACCGCCTACCGTCCCGGCAGCCGATCTCGCTCGCCTACCACGCGAACCTTGCGGAACACTGACGAGCGTGTCCTCCCCGCCGACAAGTACAACCGACTGAGAGGGGGCACGTTTGGAAAGAACGGCCACATGCCGGCCATTCAAGACTGGAGCACAAATTGTGCAACAGCACCGCCGACGCCTCCCTACCATTCTTCCGAGGACTCCGCCTGGGATAGTTTCCGCTCCCCGGGCGAACACGGTACACCAGATACATCTAGACCGCAGTCTGCGCGAAGCATGTTCTCTAGCTTTGGAGACGAGCGAAAGAAGGGGCGCCAATTCCGGGTACTGCCATCCCCAGCGTTTTCCCTCGATGAGACTCGCCAATCGAACCAGCCGTCGCCGCTGGAGCTCGATCCTATCCAAGCCGCCGCTCTCAAGGTGATGGCCGCTTTCCCCGACTCGAACGCGTGCAGGAGCCCGAGCTTGAAGCCACGCCACGCTGGGGATGAGCAGCAGGAACTGGCACGCATCAACACGACCGTTGCAAGGGAACAAGATCCCGCATCGAAATCACCTCCTCTCAGAGAGTTACTCATGGCCCGCGACGAGACGTCTGTGGTGGTGCCGTGGCCCGCGACATACCTTGAAGCGGCCAGAAAAGCCGCTCCTTCTGCGCAAGCGCCTCTCAAGTCCTCGCCCACGGTAGGCCCCCAGACTCTGCCGATACTGCGAGAGCCGATTGCCAAGACGTTTGTTGAGTGCTGCGCATGCAAGTATTTTCACGATTTGCCGAGCAAGTTGTACAAGGCCATGGCCAACCCGGACGGCGTGGTCGCTTTGGGTGACGAGGTGAGGGTTGGGGGCAACGTGTCCATGACGGTCAAGTGCCCGTGGTGCACGCATGAGATGACCACTAAGTGCTGCGCTGGGCTAGCGGCCATGGTTCACGTCAAGGAGAAATTGCATTGAGCGTTTGGCATTTATTCACAGGCTTGTCACATTGGTGGAACGAGCGCTCTTCGATACGTTCCTTTGTCTATAATTATTTGACACACCTTTTGTAGAGAAATAGGCACCTAATGCATAATTGATGAAATGAAGCGCGTTTTGGTCTGAAGGCATGTCCGATACAGACAGGGGACGTGTACGACGTGCAGTGACTGCAGTCTGCAGATGTTGTCAGACGTTGGCGCGGGGAAGCTTCAGCTGCCTCGAACATGACGCATCTCCCAGTAGCCGACACAAGGATCAACTGTCAATACCGCTTGACATGGCTGTCAGTGAGGTCCAGGTCTTCAGGTTGGACATCGCGTCCCAGTTTGATCGCCTTACAGATCGCGAAAAACGATATGCGCATCATATGGCTCGGTAAGCACGCGGTGACCTGCAATACACGCAAGTAATGTGCTCAACATCAATTCTAGTGCTGCCTGGTTTGGTACAAGAATCATCCTCCGACAGGTTTCTCCCGAGTCGCCCGCCATCTTCGACTTTATTCTCGAGCTACATCGCACCTGTTCTGGAGACTGGCGCTCACTCATCGGACCAGACGTCAGCAGCGATGACATCCAACGCTTCCTGACGTACGCTGCTACCTTTCTCTCCAACGTAGGGAACTACTACGTACGTCTGGGTGCCCAAATCTGCAAGCGTACATGCAGCGTTGACTCTCGCAGGGTTCCGGTGACCAAAAGTTTGTCCCCAGAGTAGATCGCACTGTCCTCAAGGCGCTGGCGACCAGATCTCCCACGTTGAAAAGCTTATACAAGGACATATCCGAGCCAATAAAAGCCAGACCGCCTTTCAGCCTGGGATACCCAAGTGAGACAGCGCAGAGCAGTTACTATCCCGGAAGCCTCATCGGCGAGCCAGACATTACTGCAGTGTCAAAGATTCTTGAGCAGAATTCTGTTTTTCCGGAGAACACTAGGCTTCAAAGAAGCGCCGATGGCACTGGGTTTGAAGTCCTCCTCGCGTCCGTTCAAGAAGGAGAGATTGCCCGGTTTCCCGTTCCCGATGGGAAAGGGTCCGTGAGACTCATCGGTGGAGATCACTCAACTGAACTAAACCGAGTGTGTAATGAGCTAAAAGAAGCGGCCAGATACACGGCCAATGGCCTGCAAAGACAGTTCCTTGACGCATATGTCGAAAGCTTCCAAAGCGGCAGCCTGGCCGCGTACCGCGACTCCCAACGGCTTTGGGTAAAGGACAAGGCAACTAGGGTGGAGAACATCTTTGGGTTCGTAGAGCCATATCGCGATCCACATGGCATCCGAGCGGAATTCGAGGGTCTTGTGGCTATTGCAGATGACGAAGAAACCAGACTCCTGTCCAAGCTCGTGGAGAGCTCATCGACCTTCATCCGCCGGCTGCCCTGGGCCACACCAGAGAATGATGGAAAAGGCCCGTTTGAGAAGAACCTCTTCGAGCCGCCAGATTTCTCCAGCATTCACTGTGAGTTGTTTAAAACGAAATGTATGCGGCACATGGCTGAAATTCCACAGCGCTTGCGTACTGCTCGAGTATCATATTTCCAGGGATCAACTTACCAAACGTTAGTGTACACGCAAAGATTGTTGGCAGGCTACGTGAATAACACCTCATTACAGTACAATGACATTCGACAGGAGGATGGATTCAAGAATGTGATCATCGCTAATCGGATGGTCGCAGAAAGCCAAGCCCAGCAGTATCCGTTCATTGACGCTTCCGAAGCAAAGCAATTCAAGAAGCACAAATACCTAGCATACTACTGGTGGGTCGTACTTCATGAGCTACTCGGACATGGCACAGGGAAGATGATGGTTGAAGGTGTGGACGGAAGTTTCAATTTCGATGTCGAACATCCGCCCATGAACCCAATCACTGGAAAGCACATTACTTCCTGGTACAAGCTAGGTCAGACTTGGACCGGCGAATTTGGTGACTTGGCAACCACCGTCGATGAATGCAGGGCCGAACTCGTGGGAGCCTATTTGATGGACGACGTGGAGCTTCTTGAGATGTTTGGCTTCAGTGATGTCTCTGAGATCCGCGCTCAAGACTGTGAGTGTTTTTTGAGTGCGGACAATATGAATGACTGACATGAGATCTGTAGTGACCTACAACGTGTACCAGCAATTGGGTGTTGATGGCCTGCGAGGACTCTCCAACTTCAATGTGGATAGCGGCGTAAGTATTCGACCTTCCCTGGTCAAGGTTTCTACCTTGCTAATATCTGCCGAAGAAATGGGGCCAAGCCCACAGTCGTGTAGGTATTAACCAACTTAGACGAAGATAGACATGCTAACTTGTAGACAGGCCCACTTTGCTATTTTGAAGTGCTTGCTACAAGACGGCGGCGGCGTCATCGTTGTCACCCACGACAAGCCAAAGAAAAGCCTGACAGTTCATGTAGACCGTTCAAAGATTCGCACGCATGGGAAGCAAGCCTTAGGGAAGATGCTCCTGCACCTGCACATGTTCAGATGCACAGCTGACTCTCAAGGCTGTCGGGCCTACTATGAGAACCTGTCGAAGGTGGACGGGGAATATGTCGACTGGCGGGAGACAGTGCTCGCAAACAAGCCTCCGCCTCTTGTCTTCGTCCATGCAAACACGTTCTTGGAGGAGGATACCATCGTTTTAAAGGAGTACGAGCCAACTATTGAAGGCATCATTGAAAGCTGGGCGCAGCGCAAGGTCTGAATCAGATTACACGAGTTCTACATTTCATGTCTCAGTTGAGCCGGGATCCAAATACGATTAGGACCTCCCCTGCTGAAGAGCAAGAGCATACTGCATAATCTGAAACACAGTCTGAATCAATCCCAATACAATGCTCAACGAACCAAATATCAGGACACTCCAGAACGCGAGCCAAGTGGTTGAGTCGCGCTTATCTTGCCATAGCTGTCGGATCGAGCGGGGCTTCTTGCTTGAAGCGTAGCTGATCAGTCGTACAATTCTGCTGCGAAGGTGCGGGAAGTCACCAGCCACGTCGTACTCCTCTCGCTCAACTAGAGTAATGGGACAGTTGAAGTCCTTCCTGCCGCATATCAGGGGCAGAAAAGGGTCGTGCCCTTCGTGGGGTATACGTGCAAACGGCTGCAGCTTTCGGAACAGACTTCTCGATCGCCCACTCTGACCAAAGAGCAAGCGATAGGAGAGCAGGACTTCCCGAAGGAGCTCCGTAACATCATTCTCAGTCGCCCAGGGCAGTGATCCTGGTAAAGGCAACCCGCATCGGTGAATAGCGCTGCGACTTTGCGCCTTTGGGCTCTGCGATTGAAGGTTCGAAACGCAAAAAGAGGGATATCGATAGAGAAAGAGAGTACCGGACTGTCTGTCCAGTTCCAGATGGCAGGAGACCGAGTCGACCCACTGAATTTTGACGCCGCAGATCTTGGTCAATATATGTGCGTTGAGCTCTTTGGCGACAATTTGCTTCGTAACGTTAAACAGTTGCCTGTCATCCGTGTCGTCGAAGGCACAGTATTGTGGCGGCGGGAGCATCATGCCAAACCCAAGAAGGAAGCTAGGAAGGTCATATTTGCCCGAGACAGATGACTGGCTGAGCCGCAGCCGCGCTTCGCCCTGATGCTTGTCCGTCTCATCGAGAATGTTGAACTCCCCAGTGGTACAAGACGTAGTTTGGGGCTTGTAGAGCATCGTCTGCCAGCCCAGAATTGAGAAGACGAGTTCTTTGGCCGACTGATGGGCCTCATAATTGTCCTTAACAGAAAGGATGTCGTGTTGGACAAGTGTGTCCGTAATACCATCGATGGTCTTCGGTTCCGGTACCAGAACAAGGTCTTTGACCTTGTTCCACACGGGTAGGAATTGTGCGTCCCAGTCCGCCTCCTTGTCGCACTGCATGTTTGGAAGGGCAAGAAACAAACGCTGTGGCTGGCTTCGGATCTGCTGGAATAGCCACCAGCGATACCAAGGAAGTTCGGCGAAAGTAGGATCATTAGTAACTTCAGCGCGGATAGTTGAGCTTCTCGACTCCAGTAAGGACATTTCTGGACATTGAAAATTAGTTATTTGGTGAAAACCCTTTTAATTTGAGAATACTATACCGAAAGACGCATCGCTTGAGCTGGCCATTATCTATGGTAGCGTGGGTAGGGTCGCAAACACGGATCATGGCATGTGAATTGGGGAAGCAACGGTCCTTGTACTACCGACATGATTGAACCGCTCAGAAATATCTCTGTTCCATGTATTTGTGTCACCGATTTGCCTAAGGCGAGGCGTCTCCGAGGCCGACATTGACTGGACTGGAGCCTGTGACCTGGCTAGGGGCCAGGGCCCAGCACTCCATATCCTGTTCTATGTACCTTTAGGCCCCCCGTGCGCCATCCCGGCTTAGCGCGACAGGACTGGAGCTACATGCACATGTAGGCGCCCGTGGCTTGCTGACAGCTGCAAGCTTGTCTCACATAACAGGGCGACTTCATTCGCCGGGTTTAGCAGGTGTGGGTTCCACTCGCACTTTCCGCCGACTTGCTCGGGTCGCCAACATCAACTTGCAGTCTCACCTTTCAGTGAGGGAAGAGTCGCGGAGTGATGTAGAATGTGCAGATTTCCCCGCTCGGCCACCCTCCAGAGTTTCACAGCATTTTCTCCTCCTATCAACCTCTTCTATTCAAAGACGAAGCCGCGCGGCTGCGTGAGACAGCCGAAATGGTCGAAAAGTGAGTCCCGGCTGGAGTCTTGGAGCCACAAAGGAGCGTATTGCTGATATCAGTAGACTGAGCCGATCACCAAGCCCTCTGTGGCTTCAGGCCTTGGAAAAGTATCGAGAAGAGTTACAGGCAGCCGACGATTATCAAGCAATCCAGAAAGTCCACACACTCGAGGAACTGATCGACTCCTTCTCCTCCTTCCACGGCGCCGTACCCAACACTCACGCTGGAGTAATTTCTCTTCACAAAATTGCGCCGAGGCTGAAATTTGTCGATGATTTTTCAGCGGTGCTGGCCTTGTGTTTCGGCGCAAACACGGCGTTGACAGCGGCTGTCTGGGGCAGCATACGCATGATCCTTTCACATGCTTCCGCCGCCGCGGAGACACTCAAAGACGTCCTAGACATGCTGGAGGAGCTAAGTCTGACTCTTCCGAGGCTTCAGGTTTACGAACAGACGGTGCCGCTGAACCGCTCTCTCCAGCAGGCCTTGTTGGACGTCTATTCCGAGATCATCTGCTTCTATGCTCGCGCTATTCACTTTCTCCGCAGCAATCCCAACTTGGTCCTAAGAAAGAACGCATGGCAAACATTCCGGGACGACTTTTCGCGGACAAACATGCGCATCAAGCGCATGTCCACAAGTGTGGAGAGCGAGGCCGACCTGGCGCGAATGCGAAAGGATGAAACCCAGTACAAGGAAGTACTGGAGCTCTTACATACAATGAAGGCGAAAACTTTAGATGAGCCTGAACGAATCTGGTACAACAACATACCTTTCGCCGCGAATACCAAGTTTAGCGGCCGCCAAGATATCTTGAACGCGGTTGGCAAGGCGTTGGTGCCGGAAACCACTACGTCTACACTCAAATCAATAGCACTATTTGGTCTGGGCGGTGTCGGCAAAACGCAGATTGCGACCCAATACGCGTATCAAAACATGAACAATTTCGACATTATCCTATGGGTTGCAGCTGATAACGCCATCTCCATCGCGCAGAGTTTTCGGACGATAGCCGAAGGACTCGATCTGGTGGGTAGTGGCGAGGAACTTAAAGACGCAGCCGTGTCCATATACAAGGTGAAAAGCTGGCTGGCGACAACAGGTTTGTGACTCCAGGCTCGAAAGCAGTGAGTATTGCACTCGTCGCCTGACCGCTGCAGATTCAACCTACCTTATCATATTCGACAACGCGGACGACCTCACTGCTCTGAAGACAGCATGGCCGGCCACCAGTCGCGGATCGGTACTTTTGACAACTCGAGACTTTACCGTTGCTACCTCTCTACTGACGCAATATGTTCAAGTCGATGCGCTGGATGATCGGGATGGTAGCGAATTGCTTTTGAAGGCACTTGACCTGGAGACCATCTCGCCCGACGACAAAGAGAATGCGTTAGCTATCAACAAGGCCTTTGGCGGACTGCCTTTGGCTCTGGCACAGGTAAGCGGATTTATCAGACAAAGAAGAATGTCCCCGAGAGAGTTCTTACCGCTTTACGACCGTCATTCTGGGAAGATCGATGCGCGAAAAGCGCCTGGCAGTGATTACGAGCATACCTTAAGTACGGTGTGGGATGTCTCCTTCACAAAGTTGACCGGAGTATCTATCCATCTCCTGAACCTTCTGGCATTCTTTGAACCAGATGGCATCTCAGAGGACATCTTGCTGCAAGGGTCCAAGGACATTGATGGTGAATTCTCTTTCCTGTCTGACGAAATGGAGTAAGGAAAACAACTATTCCTTTCAGGGTTTCGAAGCCTTTATAAAGCTGATGTATTATTCTCAGTCTCGGCGATGCGTCCGAGGATCTCCTCCGGGCCGCCCTCGTCAATCGGGCAGGCGAATCAGGAGTACTTTCGATTCACCGTCTGGTGCAGTCGGCGGCCCAGAAGCGCCTGGACGAGTCGGAGAGCATGCGTTACTTTGATGCTGTAGTCTACATGCTCTGCTGGGGATTCCCAGACCACTCGAGCACGGACATTGGTCACCAAATAGCAGCTTGGACGCAATGTGAGAAATGTCTTCTACATGTGAACCATCTCGTCCATCTCGTCAACTCTCAGGGCAAAGCCCCAGGGAATCGACAGAAGTACGCTGATCTTCTTCTGCGATGCAGTTGGTGAGTATGCTTCAATCACTGTCATATCCTGTCACTGATGCGTACCTACGCAGGTACCTATACGAGAGTGAAATGTACAACGTCGCTAGAACAATGGTTGAGCAAGCAATTTCGATATTCCGGGACAAGACGGGCCTCGATTATGCTAGCGCTATCGACCTTGGTGGCCTCATCGTCTTGGATCTGGCACAGCCTGCCCAGGCCTTGAAGTCGTTCATGCGTGCTCTGGAAATACGCAAGGCAGTCCTTGGGCCGGAAGACCCTTTTGTTGCCTATAGTCTGAACAATGTCGCTCTCGCATATACTGAAATAGGAGAGCTCGAGCTCGCCTATGCGGCACACCAGGAAGCAATTCGTCTCAGGCTCGCGGCCAAAAGCGACAGGATCGGTAACTCTTACAGCAACATGTCGAGTCTCCTTCTTCGCATGGGTCGCCCCGACGAAGCGGAGGGGATGCTATCCAGATGTCCTTCTCTAAAAGACTTTACAGATGAAACCTTTCTCAGTACTGGGAATCCGCGCTTCTCGGGGGACATGGTCTTGCTATCACGCATTCGCCTTGCACAGAGCCGGTCAACGGATGCCTTAAGACTGGCATCAAAAGCTCTAACGTTTCGTCGGAAAGTGCTCGGAAACAAACTCAAGACTTGCGACTCGCAGTACGATGTCGCATGCATGCTACTGAAGGAGGGTCACGAAAACTCGGCGATGTGAGTGTTTGGTTCATTGCGAGAAGCACACATAGAAGCTAACTCACCATGCAGACAACTTCTTGAAGAAGTAGTCAATATGACCGAGACTTTTGCAGAGGGGGACGGCCAACGGGCTCGAGCTCTGTACAAGCTTGCTGAAATCTACAGCGACAGAGATATACAGGCTGAATCAATTGCGTGCAGAGGAAAGGCATCGACTTTGCGAGAGGCGTTGAGACCAGACCTCAAGGATGCCCCGTTTGAGGAGGCTGAATTCTCCAAATTGTGTCTATGGATGTTATGGTAGCTGGGCGCAATCTCGATACTCAAGCCCCCCCCCTCCCCCGTGGTTTGATTTGGAATGGAAGTATCGTTTGTTGGAGAGCATGAGGCTACTAGATGTAACCAGGGGCTGGAGACTGTATGCACAGTAGAGGCTTCGGCTACATCCATCGATGGTCCATGTCAAAATATTCCGTCAGGGTACATTCATTGTTTGGTAACACCAAGACAGGACTGCCCTTTTCGGAGCAGATAGAGCAGTCGACGCAGATCAGATCCCATGCTTAGGGCGGTTGAACCTTATAGCATTCTGATTACTTCGTAGGGTTAAGATAATCAAAGAGGACAGAAAAGAAAGACAGACGAAGTAAAAAAGCTGTTCCGACCCTCGCTCACGCAGAAAGCACGGTCAATGTGCTTGAAGAGATAAGAAAAGAAAGTTGCAGGCCATTCAGTTCTACGTTGCCTTGGTCCCAAAGATGCCACGAAACGCGACACGCGAGACTCTCAAAGCCCAAACGGCCAGGTCTCATCGTATTCCGGTGGATTCTCCGGTTGATGAGTTTCCATGGCCTTGACCGCCGTCGTCTCGTCGAACCATACGAACCCGTCAAACTGCTGCGGCAGCACTGCAGACGAGTAGTGCGACTGCCTTTCAGTGTCTGGACGGTATACAACGCCAATGAACCTCTCCAGTCTCTTTTCAGCCAGCGCATCTCTCAATTCTTTGTTACAGTGCCCCTCGCGCAGGTCGATCGCAAAGTTCTTCAGCCCGGTGGCATGCATGATCTGCTCGTAGCTGTTGCTGATACCAGGATTGACACGCATGACGCACATGTCAGAGTCCCAGTTTTTCGCGGCCGCGACGGTGCCAGTGTTGCCGCTGCAACCGATATTCAGAGCCTTCTCTTCACCAAAGGCTTCCTTGCACAATTGGCCGATGTTGTGCTCCTCCCGTTCCCAACCCATGCTGGTTGCCCGAGCGTCACCGACATGGCTGTTGTGCGCCCACACAATGGCCTTGGAGGCAGGTCCTCGATGCTTGAGGATCCGGACCAAGGTCTCAAACATGTGCGAGTCGCGCAGATTCCACGACTCGTCTCGAGCGTAGTACAAGGTCTTGTAGTAGTACTCGGCATCTAGAGGATGGTTTGCCTTGTTAGCGCTTCTATGTCAACAAAGGCGACGCGCGCAGAGCTCACCCCTGACAAGCCTCGCATTCTGCTCCCCACTGTGAAATTCGACGCCGTCCCAATGGGCGGCGGAATATTCAAGGCGCTTGCGCAGTAAACGCCTAAGAACATCGACGACGTCCTTCTCGTACCCCTGAAACCCGGAAACAAGCGTCTCTAGACCGTACTCATGAGGGTGGTCGGCCCAGCTCATGAGACTAGCGTATCGTTCACGAGCAATATTCGCCATGTCTTTATCGACGCTGTCGAGATACTGAATCACGGCCTGCATGGAGGTACCGAGCGAGTATAGGTCCAGGCCGTAGAAGCCGACGGTTTCGCGCGAGTCCAACCCCTTATTGAATTTTCGAAGCCACTCGACAAAGTCGTGCACCTCGAGATTACGCCACATCCAGGTAGGAAAGCGCAAGAACGCGGGCTGCTCTGGATCGTCCAGGTCCGAGCGGCCGGATGGCTGCATATTACCGTCCGCCTGTTCCGTCGATGCCACATCAGGCCGGGGTCGATGACGAACGCAGCGGTCAACGGCTTCGGCATCTGGCCAGTCTGATTCTGTTGCGACAATGTTGAAGCCGTGCTTCTCAATCATGTGCTTTGTGAGCTCTGCCCGAGCCACATAGAACTCTGAAGTGCCATGTGAGGCATCACCGATAAGTAGGATCTTGGAGCTGCCAAAGCTGTCGAAGCATCGCGCAAGTGTGTCCCCGGCCGCCTCAATGGAAGGAAAATCCCGAACGTTAGCTTGGAGAAGCTCAACCACTCCCCGGTCGTTGCGGTCTGGCAGTGCAGTATCTGGGCGATATCTTCTCGTTGCACGATAGGGGGCACGTATTCGTCCTGCGTTTCTGCATATGGTTGGTGTGCGTAGTGGAAAATAAGACCAGAGCTTGGACAGCAGGATGGGGGACATTAATCACATATTCAAGTTGGGCAACAAAGTATCGAAACTATGCTCGTGACCAAATCGCACTTCTGTGGCCATGTCTTTTATCATGTTGACGAAGGCGCCTGCGATGGGCTCATCACCTCATTTTGACGTAATCCGCCCAGTGATCTCAACACATGGTCCGCTGTCAGTTGAAATTTCCTTCACAGTGCACGTGTACAAGAATCTTTCCAGAACTGGGATCAAGAACGTGTGTTATTGATGATACATTGATCAATGGTTGGTGAGGCGAGATCCGGGGACCGGACTGCTCACCAGCTTCGCGATGAGGGCCTGGGTAGGATATTAAGGGAAACTTCGGGTGTAAACGACTTCAACGTCATCTTTTCCCTTTTCAACGGAAAATGATTCCATCACTAGGTATTTTATGCAAGGGAGCCGATTCATTGGCCCCCACTATATGAGGTGAAAGGCAAATCTTTTGCGATGGTTCATCTGGCAACGAGTAGTTCTAGTGCAGACTGCTGCTCAGAAGGAGTGAGGAAGTCCAATACAAACGCCAAAGTGCTCTTAGGTCAGCCAAGATAGCGCCAGATCGATGGAGGCCACGGTGAACTCCATCTTGGGCGGTAGGGACACGGAAGCCTTCTAAATTGCTGAGGCCACCCAGGGCATTCAGGTGTTCGTGGCTAGTCTCTCGCTGACCTCGACGACGGGTTTTGGCATCAAGATCTAGATGCCTCGACCATATATGTGAGACACCTGAGGGCTGTATTTACGTGCGCCTGCGCCTGCGTCGAATGAGGGAGCTTTTGAAGTTCGGATGGTGTTGTCGTCACGTTGAGATGAGTCGGTAGTCAGGGCCTGTCGAACTCGCGGGGCATCCCAAACGAAAAACATCCCCCCATCACGCTCGCTCTACGAGTCGCGTCACCCTCCATCTCAGCATAGCGCGACTGGCTTTTCAGCGACCAGTGACGCCAACCTTGCTTGCAGGTTTCGTCCCGAATGGGTCCATGTAGCAACGACAATCACCTACGGGTCACAGCGCTCTGGGCGACGTCTGCCGTGGGCGATGTCACAGCCATCGACACGACGGACGACGATGAAAGGATGAATATCAACACGGAATTCTGACGGGAGGCCGTCGCCAACGCTAATGCCACCATCTCGTCGACTGATACGTTTGGCCCCAATGTGCGTTCCGAGCAGTGCCTCCTAGGTGGGCGTCCGTCATGGTACGCGTAGGGCTCTGGTGGGCACGACGGGCTTCTGGAATCTGGATGCAATGCTGGTCACTTGGCGTGTTCACAGGCAACACTTCTGGTAGCCTATTTCCGCCGTTTCCCTGAGACTAGTCGACGACCGCCGGCCCGGTGTCTAAGGTCGCCAAATTTCGAATACTCCGATTGTCGTGAAGGAGGAAGCACATCATGAGGTGAGCATGACAGATGGGTATCAAGAGTTGGGAGAAGAATCGATGTACTTGGAAGAGCGCGGTAGCATGTGAGTCGACGGGCTGCCTCTTCATTCCATCACGAACCTCTTCATCCCCCCTGCAAACCTCCTGCTAAATCGTGCTGCTCCAATGAATCCGTTCTCGTCGAAGCGGCCTGCTCGAAGCATTGCCATCGCGCAAGATTTAGCGCCCATGGCAAACTTTGGACGTTTTTGCTGTGTCTATCACTGACACGGTATGATGAAGGTTATTCCACCGGCTTTTATGATACACGAGTCCCCTACGGGATCCGCCAATGCCTTTCAGAACGGCCTGACGAGCAGCGGTCAGCGCAAGGGAATTATAAGGAACAAAGTTAGATATGAATGTTTAATTACAGTTTAGTCATCGAGTACAAATCATCATGTATCCAAGGCTCGAGGGGTATTCTAAAACGTCCCAGGTAATGCTCGGACACAGGTTTTGCCGTACTCCGCGCGGCCAGCACTCACTACCTGGTACACAAGGTAGACCACGTGCAGCCGTGCTCCAAGGCTGCTTCCATTCGCCTGTGAGATTAAAGCGCGAGTGTCCCTCATAATCTGCGGTGGTGGAACAGCAAACCTGTCAAAACTTCGTTTCTTAAGGCACGTATCTCCAATTCGCGACTAAGAAGTGATGCTGTCGACTACATACGATGAACTCGAATTTCTACAATATGTCTACTCCGTATGCGATATCGTGAGTCTCCCAGCTTTCCGCCAAACCAAGCCGAGTTCTAACCCCACCTGAAGTGATGCGAAACAAGCCTGTGCGTTGGCCAATATGGACAAAAGACCAGTAGGGCGCGACGATTTCAATATAGCCATCATCTGTGCATTGCCACTTGAGGCAGACGCCGTCCATTATCTCTTTGACGAGTTTTTCCCCAACGGGTATCACAAGGCCGCCGGAGATCCCAACCATTATACGAACGGCCGTATCGGCAAGTGTAACGTTGTCCTTGTTCTCCTTCCCGGCATGGGCAAGGTACACGCAGCCGGAGCTGCCGCCTCTCTCAACGCCAGCTATACTAATCTGCGCCTTGCTCTCCTTGTTGGCATCTGCGGTGGAGTCCCTGGCCGGAATAATGATGAAGACGAGATTTTGCTGGGGGACGTTGTTATCAGCAACGCTCTCGTCCAGTTTGACTTTGGTCGGAGGTATCCAGGGGGTCTGTTCTTGCGCAAGGCACCGGTTCAAGATAGCCTAGGAAGGCTGAATAAAGATGTCCGTTCCTTGCTGCGGAGCCTTGAGACGGACCGATGCCGGTTGGATCTGGAAAAGAGGACTGCGGAGTTGCTGCGTGCGTTGCAAGCCGCACACGCCAAGCGCCCGCGAAATCGACGACGTCGTGACAAGTATAAATATCCTGGAACCGCCCACGATGGACTCTTTAAAGCGCACTATCGACATCAGCATCGCGGCACTGCTGTCGCCTGCTGCAACGAGACCGACACTTGCGAAGCTGCACTCAAGATGTCCTGTGAAGAGTGTGGTTGTGACAAAAGGTACTTGATGCCAAGAGAGCAGCTCGACTTTAAGCGAGAGCTGGAAGAGAAAGACCCTGTTAGAGTCCAGGATCCGGTGATCCACGTCGGCCCAGTGGCTTCTGGAGATACAGTTATGAAATCAGGGGAGGATCGAGATAGGGTTGCAAAGGAAGAGAAAGTCATAGCGTTTGAAATGGAGGGAGCCGGCGTTTGGGATGAGGTACCATGCATCGTCATCAAAGGTGTTTGCGACTATGCCGATAGTCACAAACACAAGAGATGGCAAGACTTCGCGGCTGCCACAGCAGCGGCTTCAATGAAGGCTTTGCTAGAAGCACTTGTTGATACGGAAAAGCCACGCCCCGGTTCGTCATCGAAGATTTATAATGAGAGGTGATACTGACTCATAGACGCCAGAGTCACAAGCTTTCGCCCTCGCTTCCGCACTGCAAGTCATGGAGCCACAAGACCGATCAAGGATCATGCATCAACTGGCATTCGTGTTCCAGGGACACGAGCGGCTTTGTATGCAAATGCCGCTCAGTTTAATAGTAGTCGTGGATGCCCGGGGTTGCAACTTACCATTTCACCTGGAGACAATCAATTCAAAAGAGGTATGCAGGGCCCTGGTTTACCAGTTTTGACATGACTAGTGACTGTTTCAGCTCTTTATTCAAGTGCTCAAGTCCAGGTTTATGGATCTAGGAACGAAGAAAATAGATCGCGGCGAATGGTTCCTCGAAGACCAAAGCAACGGGCAGCGGTTGGATCTGTCTAAACCCTGGTTGTCCATCATTCAGGTTCGTGTTTGGTCAATAGTGTCGTGATGATAAACCGTTGACCGCCCGAGGCAGCCAAACCAAGTTCTTAAAATGAGCATGGTGTTCCGAAGGCGGAACGAGAGTTCCACAGAGTGTCCATCTTGCCATTTCACGAACCCTGGGCTTTCATCGGATGAAATACAATGGTATGTTGATCTCAGCAGTCGAGTCCATGTCCGAAGCCACGGTTGCTGCTGGCCAGCACCCCCCACAATCTCGCATATTCCGGTTGGTTTGGGGAGAAAAGTTCTGACCGGTAAAACAGTCGCATCTGTGGACTGGCTTACAGGCGAATCAGAGAACTACAGAACATTCAATTCGGCGAGAATCGAACCAAAGAAGAAGCAAAGGCCCAGCCGAGATCTGCGGCCAAGCAGACGAACAAGGCTTCAGATCAACCCCCACGACCCAGACCACTGAGAAAACAACACCCCGAGGACGAAATCGGCCGGTATAAGCACGTGCAGCTGGTAGATGTGGATTTCAATTTTGTTCAATTCGGGAAAGGCCAACAGCTCGTTAACCAGACACTTCTCCTCGGCCCACATGAATTGCGAGACTCGGAGCACCTAGCAGAGGAACTCGCGAATGTGTACGGTCTCTCCGAGCAGGACAGCCTCACCCTGTCAAGGATGACTATTAGTTCGTTTTTATCTACACCAGACACCGGCCAGCAACAAGAAGGATCCGTCAAAGTGGGTGAGAACTTGAAGCTCTCGGATCGCTTGAGTCACCTAAACGACAAGGGCAAGGCGACTGTGTCGGATATTCCACAATTCATAAACAAGAAGGGAGATTCGAAGGCTTCAGCTCTGGCGAGGCACTTTGAGTTGCTTAGTCGCGAGTTTGAAAAGGAGCGCATCCGAGACCGCAAGAAACGTAGCGCGGGCATGCGCCAACCTCGAGCCATGCCCCCTACGACCGCCGCCGCCAACGCTATTGTGGAAGTTTACAATGATATCGATGAGGCATCTGCGGGGCCAAACACGAGCCTGTTAGCATCAAATGAAGAGGGCGCGGCCAGCGACGTCGAGGCATCTTTGCCAGAGTAGTTGCTGCCCCATATCAAAGAGATTGCGGATGCAGCAAGGCGTCCCAGTGTCACAAAGCTAATTGTATAACTGAAGTTGACAAGGATTCGAGGCACGCCCATAGCTTAGTTTGAGCTTGAATCGGAATGGGAATTTCCGTATCATGCCAGAAGGGGTCGGATATTGGCACAAGAAACTACCCTGGTTATGGCGATTTGATGGTAAAAACCTTCATGACGTTGGACAATAGGCTGACCTTCTTCGGCTGAGTGCTCTTAGTACAGGTAGTCTAGCGAAACAATCGTTTTCGGGTGCCAATGGAACACGTTCGCTTTCAGAACGCTCCTTGTCAGATCTCAAGGCAAAGCGAACATGTTGACAGACTGCAAGAAGGCGTACCAAAGCATCGTGAAAGCCAGCGTCTTGGTGGAGTTACTGGCCACGGCGTCCATCCTCTGCTGATAGATGTAGAGCATCTTCTTCTCCTGCGGAAGCGATGCCACCCGTGGATGGCCAAGACGGCCTCCGTCGCGATCGCGGCGCTGCTAGTAACGCGTTCAGACGTGTCTTCCTCTGGCTTGAACTCGAGGCGTATGCGAAGGTAGCCACTCAGAATCACCGGAGGAAGGGCACCGAAAACTCAGACGAGGCCTAGCTTCCAGCCATAGACGATCCCCACGACGGACGTCACTACTGTCGTGACGACACTGATCAGTATTAGACCCGAGTTGATACCGAGGAGGTCGTTGAGATTGATTGCGTGAGGAGACTGGCTTGGGACCAGACGGACATGAGCTCGTTCTCGCTCTTAACCTCGATCGTCATGCAGACGCCGGTGACGATGACAATGGTCGAGACGACGCCAAATGTGATAAGTCTGAGCTTCCACTAGACGGCGAATGCGACGGCGAATGCCGCCACAAAAGTCGAGCAGCTCTGGATGAGGATGTGGAGCCGCTCCGAGATGCCGTTGGTGACGAGATTGCCGTTGGTGGTGACCTTGGCCGACGGGGCGCCGCCATGATCGGAGTCGAGTAGGTCATGTCCTGGCGCAGGAGGCTCTGGAGAAATTCTATGCGGAGCGCCGAGGTGACACAAATGGCGACGAGGGACACGAGAATGGTATGGATGTAGACGAGGAAGAACCTGGCGATGAACGGGTAGATGAAGTAGAGGCTGTCGGGTGAAGACAGTCAAATGGGAAGACACTTCAATGTGACATCTAGAAAGGTAGGCGACTCACGCATATCTCGACACCTCTTTCATGGAATTGTCAGGAGTGATGGCGCCAATGGCAGAGTCATTGAATGTGGTGACAAATCGGCCAAAAACGAGGTTCATCAGGGGGAGCGCAGCGCCGGCCCCAATGGCCGCAATGAGGGTCGTAGAGTATAGGATCCAGCTGTAGCGGTCGATATGGCTTAATATTCGAACATAACTCTGAAATCCATATGCTTTGAATGGCTCCCGTGGCCATGGTCGACACGAGCGTCGTCCCTGGACATGGTGAGTAGCGCTGGATGCGCGATGTGGGAGCCAAGAGGTCAAGAGAAGGTTAATCTCGTGAAAAACTACGCCAGAAGGCTCCTGGCCAGGCCACAGGTGACAATAGGCTTGGCAATGATCAGCCTCTGTTGGTCAGTCAGAGTCCAACAAGACCTTGCGAAAAAGAGCCAACATCTAGTGGAAGTGGGTGCGGCCTACCCCTGGGCCGTCTATCCACGAGTGCGCGTGTACAGCCTCACTCACAGCCACTCTCATGCGCACCGCAAGTATCAGATATGCACTCTGCCCACTCCCAATGGGGGATTGACAAACGCCGCAAGCACGAACACATACCTGTGAGGCTGTGACGGCGCCCGATATGTAGGTGCCAGGGTACATGCAGATCCCCGCAGATGGAATATTGAGGCCATAGAGCCTTGTGGCTGCTTTTGCTTGTCGGCAATCAGCAGGAATGTATTCAGTCACTGGCGGTGTCAATGTGCATAATACACGTCACCGAAATGAGGGCCCAAGAAAATGTGATAAAGAGCGCGAATTCGTTCTGACCGAACCGGCCTCCTCTAGTCCTCTTACCAACCCATTGCCAGTAACTTTGAAATTGGCAACACATACCTCGTGGTAATGACGGTCGAAAGTACGCCGTCCACTTGTCGGCCGGTCGCTGTAGTGAGTGCTGAGAGCGACCGAGACAATCGACCTTCTCACCCAGCTATCTCCCGTGTCTCCCCTTTAGCGCATTTGAGGCAGCGTCCTACGTTTGTTGACGAAGAGGCCCATGTCAGCGGAGACCATACTGAAGGGCATCTCGGAAACCAAGCCGTGCCATCTGGAACAGCAAAAGCTAAGGCACAGTTAGCTGCCCAGTCGGACATGTCCGTGGCGCCGCTATCCCCCGACAGCAAATTCAAAGCAGTCTTGAACAAGCAAGCGCAAGACTTTTTCGCAAGTATTGCTTGTAATGTGCCTTGTGTCTTTCTTATCAGCGGATCTCGTGAAGCCTGCAGAATCAACCAGATACTACTCAAAGAAGACGACGACCATGTCACCGCCTTGGAGAAGATGAAGAGCTTCTGGAAGGGTTCAAGGGTTTGGCTGCCTTTCCGCCAAGTCACTCGTGTTGAAGAGGTCAAGGTATGTGCCATTCAAGAGTGTCGTGCTTCTGCCTCGCTGACGTTGTGCCTAGTTCTACTTCCTCGGGACTGAAACCCAGAACGGTACGAGCGAGCTCGTCGGGGTATACCAGCAATTGGACTCTGAAACCTTCCGGTACAGCGAATACCTTCGATCAGGAAGGCTCTGTCTTATACCTATGCTTACATTGGCGTTCCGGAATCCGTCACTTGCATCAGGCCAATGCTTGCTCAATAACCTTGCTGGCTATTCAATGGTCTATTCGTCTCGGTTTGTGATCATGGTTTTGGGTAGGCTTTGTACCCCTTGCTTGCTAACACTACTTAGGGATATGCTGAAAGTCCTCGGCTGTCCAATTCCAAATATCGGGTCTATTGCCTTTTTCGGCTATAAAGTTACTGAAGAGTGGGAAGATGTGAAACACAGTGCGCTCATACCGCTGGCCGTCACCATTGTTACAGGATCCTGTTTCGTTTTCCGAGTAATCTTCGGTAACTGGCAGACAGCTTTCGGGGCCAGCTCGTTGATTGCTACCCTCATGGCTCTTGTTGTACAGTGGGCCATCTATGTCGTGGGTAAAGGCTAAGGCAGTCAAAGATCAAGTATATTCCATAGCTTCAAGCACCCTCACGCCCCAACTTCAGCCTCATCATCCTCACATCCACCGCCCTCGCTCTCCCATCCTCCCCCATTTCTACCACCCAGTCATCCAGCGTCCGCTCTCCATACGCGGGCGCACCTAGCGAAGTCCACTGCATCAGCCCCGGATCCTGGACGTCGCTTGCGCCCCCTGTCACATTGAAAAAGCTCGCTCGGAACCCCAGTCTGGAGGTGTACGTTCCAGTTCCATCCTCCGTCGTCCGTACAGTCCGCAAAGTGGAGGGGAAGAGACGGGCGGACTGACCCGCGCCATAGATTGGGATAAAGGGACTCTGGGGACCGATGATTTCGACACCGCGGCTGGTAAAGCCGGACACTTGCAGCCCGGTCGTGATCTCGTCCACATGAATCGTTAGGGAACTATTAGTCGCTTCGTCGGTGTACACCCCAGCAAAGTTTTCGCGCGCCTCGATACGGGCTTGCTCTTCAGCCATGGGAAGGAACACTTTGCCAACAGCGTTCATCAGCGTCTCCCGCACGGCCGCCGAGTTCGACGCGAGCGGACCGGCGGAGAATATGACCGCACCAAGGTCGTGCTCGGGTGAAAGCACAAAGGCAGCACGGTAGCCGCCCGTGTCGCCTTGCTTCGTGTAGAGCTGCGAGAGACGGCCTCCGACGTTCAGATGCCGAATCTCCCAGGGCGCCCCGACGGCAGACCCCAGCACACCTGTCTGGCTCATTGGCTTCAGCCAGCGGCGCGTCTGGGCCGGTGTCGTTGTCTTGGATCCCAGGATGGCCTGTCCAGCCTTGACCATGTCGCCTGTCGAGCAGTACATGGAGCCGGCCGGGTTGATTGTCCCCAAGTCCCAGTCCCAGCCCACGGCCGACGCGTCGCCCGGGATCACACCGCCCGATGCTGGTGCAGTCTCGAAGCTACTCGATGTCATGTTGAGGGCGGCGAGGATGTTGGTTGTGATGGCGTTGCTGACGGGTGTACCGGTGATGGCTTCCTGCGCGAAGCCAAGGAGGGCGTAGGCGACGTTGCTGTACGCGGGGGCGTGGCCGGTCGAGAAGATGGGATGCTGCTTGAGAAGCAGTGAGATCATTTCTGTCAGAGTCAGCTGTTGCTCGCAATATTTTCTTGTTCATTGGGCGTCGTACCTTTGCGGGTGCAGGCCCTCAGGAGTCCGGTCACGCCGCAGGTCGGAATATCGCTGTCGGGAAGCGTCGGGAAGCCGAGCGCCATTGCCTGCTCCGGGGCGAGCTCGGCCGACATGTCCCCCTGAGCCGCTGCCAGAGAGTCAGTTCAAGGTCCCATGATGGGGTCGAGTCAGATTACGTACGGTCACGGGGAATGCCCGCCAAGTGACTCGCCAGCTGACCAAGGGTCACCTCATGCCAACGAACATGATCGATGTCGTCATATACTGTCTTGGACGACGCGCAGTTGTTTTGAGCGGAGACCAGCTCGGGCACATACTTGGTTATAGGATCGTTGAAACGCTCATCGCCAACTTCCGCCAGGAACGTCCAGACACTAAACACCTTGGACACACTAGCAATGCGGAAGACGGAACTGCGATCGACCTCGGGAACGCCGACATCGTACTCTGGAGTAAAGTAGCGCTCGTACAGAGGCTCGTCGTCGTGTGTCGAGAAGACGGCTACAGCCCACGCTGTCTCGTTGGCCTGCACGATGGGCGAGTCGGCGACCAAGCCGTCAAAGTCGGTGATGGCCGATGTGAGAGCCTTGCTGCCACGGAGAACGGATGGCGCCGGGAACGAGGGGCCGGCCAGACCGGCTTCGGGGGCAACGATGGTCTGGCCTGAGAGAGTAGCGAGGGCGCCAAGCACCGAGAAGAATTCGGGCTTCATGGTTGAACAAGAGTCTGTATGTGGAGGAGCGAGTCGAGTGCTAGGAGCCAGTTCAGCAAAGCAAGCGGCGTACAAGAAGGGGAGTGATAAAAGAAGATGAAGGAATGTGTGATTGAATATCGAGGACAAGAAAAGCAGCAACCGGGCTCTTTATATCCAGGAAGCCCGTTGTCTGTAAGATGAGTTTCGCCATACATCGTGGCCATGCCCTCGCACTTGACCCACCATTGTGCCCCCCTGCTGACTTCGCCAGACTGGCCTCGCCGGCTTCAGGAATCTCGCCTAGTCGTTCATAGTGGGGCATGAGAGATAGGCCTCGCAATTGACCCGCAGATACTTCATGATTGCGCGTTCCACTTGCTCACAAGACTTGTCGTGGGCTTGCCTCCAAGGTTGACTATTGAGACGGGATCGATATCCAACTAGACGTCCTGGAAATAGCCTCTCCATCGCGAACAAAGAGGACCATCTTCCGCCAGAGAAGGAAATTGCCCTGGTCATCTCGTTCCTCCAACACTTCATCTTCCAGGTACGAGTCCCGTATTCTACTCTCGTCGTCTGGGAGCCTCTCTCCTTCGGCCGCTGCCATCCCCTGCGTGACCACAATGCCATGCTCCCGCTCGATGATGCACTTCCCAATCGCATACATTGCCTCCGAATCCCACAAGGACTCTCTCCTACGGCCCATCGCGCGGAGCAGCTCCAGGGCGGCGAGCCGTATCGACAGGTGACGACATTTGATAATCACAAAGTGCAGCAATGGTGACACCCCCATGCCGAATGTAAACTTGGCCTCTTGCCTCTCGTCTTGCGAAACGTGGCGCGCCAACTCGACAATTTGAGCAAATTCGCCTTGAAACGTGTCGCTGGCGATCTCCTCCCTGTATGGGGCGATACTCGTCCAGACCCAGCAGACGAGGAACCTCATGAGCAATAAGGCACAGCCAGGTGATTCCTTCTTCTTCGAGTAGTCCATGAGCGCCTCAGACGCCTTTCTCCAACTGGCGAGGTCCCTCAGTAACGCCCGCTGCGCAACCCACACCTCAATGGGAATCGTCGCTCCCTTCAGTCCCAACCGGTATCCGTCCATCGACCGCACAAGTCGAATGGCCCGCCCCAGCAGCTCGTCCATAGCAAAGGCCGCGGTCGACACGTCCGTGACGGCGGGCGCACCTGCCGCGGGGACTGGAAATTCACCGCTGGCGAAAAAATAAGGGAAGACGCTCAGGTGACCGAGCACCGCAGACACGCCCGCGTCTCGGCTCCCGTGGGCGTTGGAGAGGATGGTCCCGTGTCGACAGTGGGTGATAGCAGCCTCTGTGTCCCCCCGGAGAAACTCAATACAGGTGAAGAGGATTGACAGGATGAGGACGACGCTTTTATCTTTTTCCGTGGCGATGAGCCGCAACGCATGGCTGTAATGCATCAGTGCGGCTTGGTCGTCCTTGCTGGCCCCCTTCCAACTCGGCTCAAACCCCTCGTACAGCATGCTGATGGCCAACATGCCATGCATCGCCGCCGCCTCGCTCATCGCAAGCTGCATCACGGGCCTCGTCCAGAACGTGCTGTCCAGCCTGCCTCCGAGCGAGGGTGCCACGACGTGGCGAAAGTAGTCGAGGCTGCGCGCCTGCCGGGGCGGCAGCGTGACGACGGCTGGTGGTGGCGGCGGCGGCGCGACTGACGGCTGGGCTTGCAGGAGGTGAAGCCACGAGTAGGAGCCGACGGGGGGCTCGAGATAGCTGCACTGGCGTTGACCGCAAAGACATCGCGTGCAGACGGGGCGAGCCTCGTCGCATTTGACCCGCCGCTTTCTGTACGAGTATAGGTTAACACGGCGATCCTGGAGATGGGGAAGAGAGAGGGTTTGACTCAACTTGCAGGTGGTGCAGCCAGTTCGTCTCTTTTCGGACCCCTTTCGAGCCATCTGTTCGTCTATGCTTCCTTTATCTCACTCTCGCCTGTCCTGCGGCACGACGGGGGAGTGAGTGGAGAGCGTGTACATTGTAGAAAGGGGATCGGTGTTTGGTCTGGTGATTGAGGCTGACCAATTTAACGGGAGTCGAGTCCGAGCGTCATCGCAGGGGTCCCGACAGCTGTGGGGCTAATGCGAGCTTTCTACTATTTATAGACACGATCGACTTTGCTCATTATATAGCACTCGTCGAGAATCTCTTGCCATAGCTATTTGTAGAGGCGTCATCTCATTGTCCCTTGGTATCGGTCAGTGTTTCTGTCCTAGACGGCATTGAAGCGTCGCGACGAGCTCGGGTGTCGGTGCTTTCGCGCTAGAGGCGAAGTCGGGCGTGCTTGACTCTGCTGCGGGAGGATACATGTACCAAAGGAAACCGTGGCGGTCAGTCACTAATACCGCGGCCAAGGCATCAGCTTCACCGGAGCAGAGACGGAGGAGACTAGGCTTTTCAGTGTTGCATGTCATTGTTCCGATACGGAGGGAAACTTCTTTGGTCCTAGAGTCCAAGGTCCTGTGTTCACCCGCACCTGCACGTGTACGCACCTAGTCGAGCCATCTGAACGCAACCAAACGCTGCTGTTGCGGACGAACCAACAACTAGACGCATGAGAGATCAATCGAACACATTGAGAAGACTCACATGGTATTTTCCGTCGTTTATTCGTGACTGTTGACGGGCTCTCGTCTCGCCCATATCGTAAAAATTCCCCATCGACAGGGTGTGTACCAAACCTACTGCCGCACGCACCAGCGCGAGTGCGAGGTTCACCCCAAGGTGCTCATCTCCGTCAACAATGATGTCTGCCCTGCTTGTTTGTTCCCGCCCCTCCTTTTGTTTCGGGCGATGCTAACGTGCGACAGGTAAGGTCAAGGCCGAAATGGACGCCAAGAGGGTGCGCGAGGCGGAGGCCGCCGCCAATGCCAGCAGCTCTTGCGCGAGCTCGGACAGAAAAAGGGACAATGAGAAGGGAAAAGGTATGTCTCAAAGTCGACGCTAACGTGCATGTGCGTGTCTAGCTTTTGATCGGGTGGCAGGCGGGACCATCCTGCCTACCCTAAATGGATTAGAAGAAGACCAATGTCTTTTGAAAAAGTAGGCGAGAAAGTACGAATAAATTTTGATCTTGGTGTGGCCTTCTATCATCGATAATGCGTTTCCATTGCCAAGCGCATTACAATGGTTCTGGGACTTGAGAGTTGGCTGATGCTTGAATTCAATGCAAGCATCTGTTCAGATCTACCTGCAAAATATTCATGGTGACTCTCAGCCCTATCATATTAACCTAATGAACCGGAATCTCTTCTGGCGTACCGCGCTGAAGGAACGCTAAAACATTCCCTTATCTCTCATTGGCTCAAGTCTGTCGCACACGGCTGAATGTGGCAGTCGGAGGCAGCTAGCGTCCCACCGGCCCCACTCCTTGCGAAATGACCTGTGGCAGCTTTCCTGTCTGCAGGTTTGCGTTTCAGAGAGGAGTCAAAGAATCCGATTCCTGATTTCATTCAAGTCTCACCATGCGACGCCACGTACTCGTCAGGATAGAAACACCAGGAATGAAAAGAGATCAAATGGGCGCCCCCATGGTTGAAAGGTCCACCAGGAACAGTCGTACTATACCGTGCAGAAGCTCTGCGTGTGCCTTACGAATAGGGGAGCCTATCGCTAATCTCGTCAAGAGCATCGCGCGCGACGTTTACCATGCGCTTCCATTGCCCCGAATACAGGGCCAGAATTCAATCCGAACCTACGGACCACCAGTTCCCGGGCCTGCTGCTTCACAACTCGTGGGCCTGGCAGGCCGGGAGAAATGCTGAGCTCGAGCTCATGGCCAGGTTTCTGTCCCATGGCAGTCTGACCCGACCGCCCCTGAAGGCAGGCACATCATCCTCGTTGGCGGAAGACAATACGTGTGGTAGCAGACAAGGCCAAATTGACGAATCTCGCTTCCCAAGCTAGATGCCTCGTCTTGGAAACTCAGTCGGGGAACGGAGAGCTACAGGGAGGGCTGAACGCGCTGCTTGTCTTCTGGGCTGCCAAGGTCCCGTCGAGTCTTGTGGTATTGGCCAAGCGAATCCACATTCCGGAGTTTCCAGATACTCAAGCGCAATCAAACCGCAGCCGTGCGGGAGAGCAAAGTTACATACATTCTGGCGTCGAAAAGCATTCCACGCGTTCGACGTGAATTGCATTCTATATGCTGCCAAGGTCGTCTGCGTCGCGTACCTTGATGGGCGCCACGATGGTGAGACGTGGCGCGCACTGCGATGTAGCTTGAGGGCGCAATCACAGGGCATTCCTCATTTTGCAGCGAGGACAACCCGTAGGAGATGGGAGGGCATGGCACGTACAGCACGGCACATTGAAAGACACAGGGTGACTGAAGATCCAAGTTCATCGAACAAAACCAAGTTGGGGGTATATATACAAGTTTGTCTCAGGACTGCTCGATCATTCATTAAAGCTTTGTGTATTCTAGAACTGAAGCGTCATCCATCCATTCGGGACCAGGGCAGCCAAGTCCCCTTTACAGGACGAAGGCAGCGGCCATGGCGGCGACAGCGACACCGGCGAAGCCACCGGCGACCTTGTCAGCGGCACCGGGGACGCCACCGCCGGGGACGGCCGTGGGGCTGGGCATCATGCCGCCGGTGCCCGAGGCCATGCCGCCGTGGCCGGCGCCTGAGGACATGGGCTTGGCGCTGGAGATGATGGACAGGGCGGGCGCGGTGCAGTCGACGGTGGGGATGGGCTCGCGGGTGACGATGTCGTTGGTGGGCGTCGTGGGGGGGCAGGCGCCGTCGCAGGTGATGGTGGTGCTGGCGGCCGAGGCGCTGGCGATGGCTGGGCGGTGTGTCAGCATGGGCGTCTTTGGTCCCTTGGAGTTTCAACATTCTCCCGAGGCGGAAGCGGTCTGAGGCAATCTGCTGCTCGAGTTTCAAGGCCTGGAGGGAGGATGCATGGGTTTTTAGACGTACCAGTCAGGACTGCGATAGCGAACGAGGTCTTCATGATGATGAATGAGTGGTGCTTAAAGGCTGAAGCGTGTATGATAGTGGGAGACTGAAAGTCTTGTGATGGGAAGGAAGACGACGTTGAAGGTGGACAAGAGTAGAGCAATGCAGCAGCGAACCGGCAAAGAGTGATTTGGGTTGATAAAGAAAACGGAAAGGGGCCAGGAATCTAATGTATCTCCTCTCTTCGTTGTTGCGATCAATAGCGCCTCCACGAGGACTGGACTGGGCGGTGCCTGGGCGCACGCCACGCCAAGTGTGAGACTTTCCAAGTTCTGTCTAGGATCAGCGCCCTCATCAGCCGGCCGGCCCCCGTGCATACCGGAAGGGATCGGTCGCGCATGGAAGAGGGACATTCTGGGCTTAGTGTGAGGGAAAAGGAACCCCAAAGGGACGGAAGCGATCGACTCCGGGGCTAATGGGCGATATCTTGGAGTCGGCACCCGCACTAGCGCACGAGGGCGACGGAGTCGTGACTTGCCGATGGGCGCCCGTGGCCCATCGAGCAATCAGACAGTCAATTAGACAAGTCGAACATGCCCAAGAGCGCGATAGTAATCGGCTGCTGACATCTCCGGGCGCAGTCGCCATGGACCAGTGGGAGATGCGCATGGCGGCTCTGGATGATCCGGGTCTGTATGATCCATCATCCGAGGTCAATTCTGCCTGGACTTTGGAGTCGCCACTGTCTGGGCATCGTGCACAATTTCGCAATGGCATTCAACAGCGCACGCAGACGCGTTGAACGATGGTGTCTCGCACAGCAAGAGGTCGATCGTGATGCACGCAGAGCAAAAGCCACTACTTGCAGCTCTCCCTGTTGAGCTCGTCGCGCTCCAGATGAAGATGAGGAATCAACATCACGGGAAATTACAGCAAGCCATCGATGACGCTCGTGTCCACCCGGAAGAAATGATACCCCACGATCAACCACGCAGGGACCGTACCGCCCCCTTGGCGTCTGTCTCTCTGGACGCGCTTGGCTCATGCCAGTCTCCCGGATGTCGTGGGTTCCGGGCGACGCTCTTGAGACAGGAACTTACAGTCACTAATACAGGAGTCAATTGGCATGGCCTTAGTAGTCTCAAGGCCTTGGTCATAGTATGCAACGCCCAAAATGTGTTTACGTACGTTGCCGGCCCTTTCGTCCATATAATCTCTCGAAGCCGCTCACTCACAGCACTCTCTCAATCCAACTCAAACCACTTCTCCCATCTGCCTCTCCTTCCAAACCACCCCATCCACAAACAAACCCAAATCAACATCATCATGTTCGTTTCCCAGGTTGCCCTCGGCCTCGCTGCCACCACCCTCGTTGCCGCCGTGCCCGTCACCAAGCGCATGGCCGCCATTGACGATGCCACCATCCTCAACTACGCCCTGACCCTCGAGCACCTCGAGAACACCTTTTACCGCGAGGGTCTCGCCCAGTTCAGCGAGCAGGACTTTGCTGACGCCGGCTTCGACGCCGACTTTGTCGCCAACGTCAAGACCGTCGCCGCGGACGAGGCCGACCACGTCAACTTCCTCACCACAGCCCTCACTGCCGCCGGCGCCACCCCCGTCAAGGAGTGCACTTACGACTTTGGCTACAACGACGTCAAGTCCTTCCTCGCCACGGCCTCCATCCTCGAGGGTGTTGGTGTCTCCGCCTACCTCGGCGCCGCCGCCGACATCATGGCCAAGTCCACCCTGACAGCCGCCGGCTCCATCCTCACCGTCGAGGCCCGTCACTCGGCCTACATCCGCGACGCCATCGACCAGGCGCCGTTTGCCCAGCCCTTTGACACGCCCCTGACCTACAATCAGGTCTTCTCTCTGGCCTCGCCCTTTATCACGGAGTGCCCCAGCGACAACCCCGCCCTGCCCGTCAAGGCCTTCCCCGCCCTCGCTGTCCAGGCCGACGGTGAGATCAAGACCGGCAGCACCATCACCCTCCTGACCCCCGACTACACCGTCGTCGCCCCCGAGGGTGGTAAAATCTTCGCTGCCTTCATCGCCGTCACCGGCCCTACCTTTGTCGAGGCCACTGCCGTCGAGGGCGGCTTCACCGTCGAGATCCCCGAGGGTTTCGCTGGCCAGACCTACGCTGTCCTGACCGGCTGCAACGAGGGTGTGAGCGACGACACCACTGCCGCCGGCCCTGCTCTCATTGAGATCTCAAGCTAAATAAATACCAATGGGTTTCGATGACTGGCTGTAGACCTTGATACCAGGAGAGGTCGACTCTTTTCCTTTCTACATAATATTAATGAAAAATGTATATGCTTATGTTAAACTTGTCCCACTCGTGTCAACCTTGTTTTCTTCATGGAGAATCCCATGAACTCACCTTACAGCCTTTCACCAGGTGCACTTTCAATTCTGTAACACAGTCCAGACACGGAGCTATATCAGACAACCCCCATGTCGACAGGACCCCGCCACGCCCGGCGTCCCGTCTCAGATCCCCTTGTTGACAGCCCAAACCCCCGTCAGTGGGTCAAACTCGAGTACATGGTTAATCGTCTCCTCCTCTTCGCGATGCACATGGTCGACCCTGAGCTTCGGCTCGTTGTAATGCCCCATGAACTCCAATTCCAGCTGGAGCACGTCGCCACCCCGAAGCCGATCCCTCCACAGCAGCACAAACGGCTCGCTCCTCGCTCCACGCCGGCTGCCCTCGAGGCGGACAGACTGCAGAAACGACATGGGTGTGCCGTCCGTGTCGATGCCGCCCACCGTCATCCGGTACCGCTCTTCCTCCTGCCTCTCGACCTTAACGCTCAACCGTCTCCTCAGGATGAACCCTGGAATGGTCAGCCCGAGCTGCTCCATGACGCTCTTCATGAACACATCGCCCTCCGAAAAGACTCGCACCTCGCACAAACTGTCAATCGGTGTCTGCTGCAGGTTGCATATCACCAGCTTGCCGCTCCTCCGCCCGCCCACCATCTCTGGTATCTCGTTGGCCGGCGTCACCGTCAGGGAGCTCCCAATCACCAGACAGACGTCGGCTTCGCGGGCGTGTTCCTTGGCCAGCGAGAGCGCTGGCTCGGGAAGGTCTTCCCCAAAGTTGATGATGCTGTCGTGGAGGTCACCATTGCACAGGGCGCACTTCCTGCCTGTGCGATGATCGTGATCAGAGTGCTCGTAGGACGCGACGGCCCGAAAGTCGCGGAGGTGTTCCTCGCCGCACCCTTTGCATGTTTCGCGGTTGCTGTTCCCGTGGAGCTCCGAGATTCGTTCCTGCGTACTGGTGTGAGCGGGTGCTTCGTCACCGCACAGGGGACACGCACAGGCAGAATCCCGCTGCGCCGGTGTAGCCCGTCGCAGTTCTGGCTGATGAGATACTTGAGGACCCCGTGGTTCTGCAGCTCGACGAACGCCATGTGCGACGCCGTGGGGATGGCCTTGAGGGTGTCGGCGGCCTTGGTGCGTGGCTTGCCCTGGGCGCGCAGTGTCCAACTGCCATCTGGTCCCCGAAAGTCAGGGATGCCTATTGAGCAGTCATGCTGTCAGTCCGATCATGCCAACACGTCCAGATAGGTGCCCAGGCACGTACCAGCAGAGGTAGACACCCCGGCGCCGGTAAAGGCAATCAGGTGCTTGCTAGTCTGGATGAGCTTCGCGACCTGCGCGGCCTTCTTGGCCACGGTCACGGCGGGTTCGCGACGCTCCTTGGAAGCGACTCGTGGTGCGCTGTCCGCCATTATGGTTGCTTGTTTTGCTTTGTTTCTTGGTGGTTGTCGCGTTCTGACACGGAGGAAGTCTACGTGGTAGGCATGGTGCGACAGCACCTGACGGGCAATGTTTTTATTCCAAGTGCGACGCGCACGTACGCCGCGCGCAGGAAATCGGCGTGAGGAGCCTCACGCCTGCGGCGGTGAGAAACTGACCTTGCGTGAATCCAGTCACGTTTGCGCGACGAAGCAGCGTGGGGGAAGGGGGCCCTGAGTCCCGACTCCCAAGTCCTCCCCGACTCCCTCTCCCCCCCGACTCCCTCTCCCCAAACTGGCCAACCAGCACAGGAAAATTCCGTCAACGCTATCGACATGACCTTGAGATCCCAAGGGCGACTTACGACTTCGAGAGACAGTCGTGGCCAGAATCAACGAGGCCCGCGCGTGCCAGCCATCACCCGCGCGCAGCCATTGCAACGGCCCGTCTGGTGCCTTGATCCATCCCCGCTGGGCCTGCCGACGACTCTCTCTATGGCTTGCGACCAACGACAACATTCCTGCCCATCTTAGCTCTGCAAAGACCTATTCCCAGACACGAAACAACTTACACTGCTATGTACGGACAGAGGGATTTGGTTCGGATGGCCTGCCGCATCTTGGCCACCATCACGTGGACCTCCTCCTTGGACCAGCCTAATATCTGCGTGCAGACAAACATAGAGAAGCCCTCCATGTCCCGCTCGAGAGCATAGTGGAAGTACGTGCCAGCCTTTTTCAGCTTTGGGTCCTTAGCCCAGCTGTTGACAGGCAGCTTCAACTTCGTCTCCTGAATGTCGACAAACCCGGCGGCCCGCATGTGCTTGGCCATTTCGCCATCTAGGCAAATGGTGAACGGTCGCCCCGTCTTCTTGCCCGCTTCGTAGAATGAATGTGCCCAGGTGTCGAAGATGTGGTCCGGCCCGAGCTCGACGTGATCCGACTGACCTTGGCAGCCAATCTCGACGTGCTCAAAGTAGCCCCCGGGCTTGAGGTGCCTCAGGATCTTGGTGTCCATCTCCGTCCAGTCAGGTATCGATCCATACATGCACCGCGCGTGGATAAAGTCAAAGTGGTTCTCCGGCCACGTCCACTCCAACAGACAATCGTCGACCTCGAAGCGCAAGTTGGGCGGCACCCAGCTGGGCTGCATAGGACTCAAGTCTGTGCCAATCACCTCCGCCGAGGGATACTCGTCAGCGAAATCAAGTGCCCAGATACCCGTTCCCGTGCCAATGTCCAGCACCCGCCCGGGGTCGTCCTGCCGCAACGGTGCCAGGAACAACTTGTCGTGCAAGAGCAACGTCAGGGCATTGTGGATCAGGTCGAGACCCTCACTCTGACGCTCATCGTTAGGGCCCCAGTAGTCACCGGTCTTGGCGTTGGGGTAGGTTCGGCCATGCAGCTGACGGTACTCAAGAATGCTGGGCGTCAGCGTGTCGGTCGACAGGACACTCCCAGCGCCCATGGCTGAATCGCTGTCGTCGTCGTCGCCGTGCTGCACGTCCGCTTCCAAGGGGACTTCGGCCTCCAAAGCGGCTGCGGTGTCCGGGGCAGGTGCTGATGCTTGTGCCGCTGATGTCGTTGGTTCGGCGGGCGAGGGCGCCGCAGGAGATTCAGGCCTTGCTGATGCCGACGGTTCGGGCGAGCTGTGAGTGACCGCCATCGGGCGGGTGAGGTTCTGTCGGCGGAGAGGCGAGCGGGTCGTGGTGATGTCGCTCGGCAGCGTGTTCGAGGTGCTCGATTCCACGCCAGGCTACTTTAGGTGGATGGTCAAGCAACTGGAACTGCGTAGAGTTTCCATCGGCCTCAAACAATATGAGAGGCATGAGCTGAGAGTGATCTGAGGATGAGCCAACCAGTCTGTTATAACTGGGCCCTGTTGAAACATGAGTTGACGCCATCCTGACTGACACCGGTCGGCTTTCTCGCAGCCTTGCATGCCGCCATTTGGGATTTGGAATTGTCGGGAAGACATGGTGAGCGGCACTTGCGATGGCAGGTTGGCAAATGCCCATTGGCCGCGGCAGGATGTCGATAGCTACTGATAGACTTTCGGAACGCAGGATCTGAGCCTCTGACGTAGCACCTTGGGGCCTGGCGGTGAGAGGACAGGTGCCCAGCGCACAATGGCGTCTGACAGGGCCGCGGAAGGATGGTCGGGCTTCGGCTTCTGGCCAATGATGAGGGCATACATGGCTGCAGGAGCCTTTGACGGGCGGGAACTCCCTTGTGATGTGCATGTTGCCAAACACACATCAACATGATGGAGCCTTTTTGATTCACGGAACAAAGTGGAGTACACCCACGCAGCATGCGCAGCTTATCAAATGTGTGCCACTTGGAAAAAGGCAACCAATGCAAGGTAACCAACTTGTTCGTTCGATCGAGGCGGAATGTCGACACCCGTCAACCTTCAAGAGAAGTATTGGCGGCGCCGGCAGAGAGTTAGGTATCACTTGGCCCTGGCCGCCTGGCCTCGGGCGGGTGCTTCGTGGCGCCATCTATCTTTCACTTGATTCTTGAGGAGATATGGTGACCAGGATAAGGTGTCTCGGCAGAATCTTGGCCTCGTGCCAGACCTGATGGCGACGACGATATCAATCCTGCAAACTTTGGTCCATAACTCCTCGCTCTCTGGGCGAACTTGCAAAAGGCCACCGCGGAGACTAACGAGCCTGGCCAACCCCGCCAGATGATGGGCGATGGTCTCGCCGAGCTCAATGTCCTCCGACACCAAGGCCAGGAGCACGATAGTCAACCTCGTCGAATTTGTGCTGAACCCTGGGCTATCGGGGCTGTCGAGTCTTTTTCGCAGGAGTTGCAGGGTCCGGGCCAGATGAAGCAGCGGCTTGGCCGTTATGTGACCATGCACCATCGCCTCAAAGTAACCTTGGGTCGAAAAGGCCACGGCGTTAAAGTAGACAGGGTCGGAAATCATGTGGGCAAGCCATGTTGCGTCAGGTGTGAGCAATATATTGCATACCTCTTTTGGGTAGATTCTTTCCTGGACCATCCAAAAGACTATCGCACGATTAGACAAGTAGTGACCAGCGCAGGCCAGCACACGTACATGGTAAAGCATCATGTATGACTCGAGGCTCCACGTGCGACGGCAGCTGTAGCAGGCCATACTCGAAAGGCAGCTGAGCGGATTTTGCACTTGAGCAGCGGCGGAAGTACTTCATGGCCTTCGGTCGTGCCGCTCGCGGGCTCATTGCATTGCTGATGGAGAGCCATGATGACAAAGGCCGCTGATGGACTTGAGGTCGACCCGCCCTACTGCGCGCCGCGTGACTCCGGACTTGGCGTTTCTAACGTGGGCGTAGACTGGGCGAAGTGTTTTCTGCGGTTGTGGTAATGAACTGGAGGGGACTCTGCTCAGATGCGGGCATGGTCGTAGTGGCAAGTCCACGCTCTACACTTTCTAAGTGATGGAGGACAAGATCCCGGCTAGACATCGAGCTTCCGTCGAGTCTCACCCTGGGATAGGGACTTGTTGGAGTTGGGGCTTGCAAAGAAGGGCGGGTGCCGTCGTCAGCTTCGGGAATCGAGACCCCTTGCCAAGACTAGTCTAGTGCATTTTCCACGCCTGGCCTAGCGCAAATTGCTAGATCGCGTCCCGAGCTGCCTTTCGCCTACCCCATAGTCCAGTCGAGCGATCGTGACACTTCTCTGCATCATTAACGACTCGCATTCATAATGCTGTGCACTTAGCGGGGCATCCCATCCAAGCTCGTGGCCGAAACTTCCAGCAAGGCCTTTTTCCGCCATACCGAATGGATATAAAGAAAATGCCTTGACAACCTTGGGCGGCGGTCTCAACGAGCAAGAATCCAGCATTGGAAAAAAGAGAAAAGAAGACTGACCTGAAGCGTATTTAAGACAGACATACCACCCGACTGGAACTTCTCAGTACGTGCTTTCAATCTCATTCAAAACATTCAGATATACTGACCCTCCAACACTATGCACTCTCAACCACGAACACCGTCCACCACCGTACCGTCCAGGGCATGCCACCAGATACGTGTGGCTTCGCAACTTCTTTCTACAAGAACAAATCCGCGCCTCCATACCGCCCCTGCCATTAACATTGAATCTCCAACGTCAATGTGCTGTTGTCGTTGGCGCCAACAGCGGGTTGGGCCTCGAGTGCTGCAAACATCTCCTTTCTTTGTCTCTCACATCTGGTCATGGGAGTTCGCTCCATGGAGCGTGGTCAACATGCGGCACAGAATCTCCAAAGTGCCAATAAGCTAGCCATGATTGACATGTGGCCTTTGGAGATGGATTCATATCAGTCTGTCCAAGATTTCGCTCACAAGTGCCACGGCTTGGCCCGCATCGACGTGGCAATTCTGAACGCAGGGCTTGCTGACGTGACATTCAACATTGCGCCCGCTACGGGGCATGAGAGAGTGATGCAGGTGAATTACTAGAGCACTGCGCTCTTGGAAGTGCTCTTGGTCCCCATCATGAAAGCCAGCAAGAGGGAATCCTGGACGCCCAGGATCACAGTTGTCAACTCCGCATGGCAAACTTGAGCACACTGCCCAACGGAGACAGGAAACCCCATTTGCGCTCTTTTGACAATACAACCATCACACCTTGGGACTTTTAGACACGCTACAATGACTCGAAACTTATTGGGCAGTTTTTTCTCAGCCGTCTTGCCGAAGGAACCTCGCCTCACGACGTTGACATCAACATGGTAGAGCCGGGGGGCTGACAAAGGGAACTCAGCTATTCCGCAACGCGGGAGGGATTTTAGCCGCTGTATTTGGCATTCTCAAGTCGGCCGCTGCTCGTCCAGTCCATGTGGCTTCACGCACGTATGTTGATGCCGCGGCTGTGAAAGGCCCCGAATCGCATTGGTGTTATATCTCTCTGTGCACAATTACACCGTAAGTGAGCCCTTTGTGTGCGGATGGTCGGCCAGATTCCTAACTCGTTAGACTTGCGCCTCTGACATATGGCGAAAATGGTCGTAGACTGAGCGATTGTATATGGGAGGAGTCCTTAGAAGAATTCGAAAGGGTTTGCGGTGATACAGCTCTTGAGCACTTGCGATAACATGGTACATAAGTGAAGGCCAAGAAATCTGATGTCAAGTTCTGAAAGACGCCGCCCTAACCGAGCCACCTAAACGAGCCATCGGCCGTAAGCTTTTCGCCAGCGCCTGCAAAGTGGCCGTCAAGTTCAAGACGCGCATCTGGAACACCTCGAGAAGAGTGTATTTGGCGACTGAACGCGCATTGGTTAGTCCAGAGGGGAACGGTGCGCGGGAAGATTCTAGTGTCAGCGATGATCCTGGTTCACACGAAGTTCGAGTACTCGTCTTCCACGATACTGTCAGTAATACCTATACGAGATAAGAAGTCACACGAGCACACTTTTATTCTGTGATGTATAGCCGTCACTCACCTGGCTAGAGCTTCGGCAGAATGTGCTGGTTTGGTTCCTTCGCATTCGTCTGATCGATGCTCTCACTTCACCTTTTTCTCACCCACAGCAAACATAAATATGGACATGGACTGTTTAGATCCTTCTTTTCTCTTTCACAACCAACACTTCTGTTCAAGCAACCTCCCTCTTCTCATTGGAAACCTGTTCTGCTGTTTGAGCGCACCTTATTTGCTCAGGAAAACCTTCCACTCTCAAACCTTGACCATGAGCTCGCTTTGGGCATCATCTGCTGATCCATCTCCCGTTGAACAGAGAACTCGGAGTATGTTGGCGCCAAACATGGTATCGATCATAGGTACCCCGGTGCCGGATATTTCTCTTGTCAACTATGGGAAGTGGCGCGGCCTTTTCGACAAGCTCATCGCCACATATCTGCGCGATGGCGCTGGGGTCGAGCTCGCTCGACGCGCCGATCGGGCGCTCAAGCCCTTTGTTGAGGGCCCAGAGAGCAGTATTCCCTCATTCACGGTCATCGAGGCTGTCATACGCCAGCTTACTAGAGGTCTGCCATCATCTCCGTCACGAGTACGAGTACCTGGAACAGCACAGTTCTTGCTAACATCCCCAAGAGGAATTCAGCTTCCCAAGGCCCGTTTCGTTTGGCAGATACGTCCTCGACAGGGCCTCTCTCAAGCGTATCACCACCAAGAGCGCGGGCATTGCCCACGCACGGGAGCTCTACAACATCTTCCCAAGTGGGAATGGCACGGGCAATCATACCCAGTTCCTCCAGCTGCTCAAAAGAATTGGCATCCGTGACAGCGATAATGGAAATACACCAACTTCGACAGTGGCGTATCGACCACCCGAGCACATCGCCGGGAACTTCCCCAAGGGCTTGAAGAGGCAACTGAATGCTGAAGACGAGGGTCACGACTCGAAGCGGCTTGTGAGCCCTGCCTGTAAGCCGATTCCGAGTCCACCGGCGCACATGCCATCTCCATCGGTGTTGTCAGCAAAGACCACCGCGCAAGACGGCATGCTTGGGCCGATGGTCTCGCACTTCGCAAAGGTCACGGAGGAGCATCAGCAGCAAAAGGTAAAGCTCTGTGTGCGGGTCACTGAGCTTGAAGGTATTATCAAAGCCAGGGATATTGAGATTCGGGGCTTGAGGGCTGCCAATGAGCTCTTGAGAGACGACACGGCAACCAATATCGGCTCCGATGATCGCGTCGCCTTTCAGATTTGGAGAGCCAAGATGTTTGCGCACCGCGATCAGTTCAAGGAGCAGATTGGCGAAGCGATCGAGCGCTTCACAGACCTGAAGAATCGGGTTGATGGATCAACCCCATCATTCATGGAGAACGATCTGGAAGATGGAGAGGTCAGGGAGTGTTGAGTCTTTGGTCAGGCTGAATGGGAGCGTGCGGGACGTTCGAGTGCATGGGTTAGGGATATACGGCACTTTATGAGCCCGTATCCGTACAGGGCTCTCCAAAGACTGGCTAATGGGGCATCGGGTTACAGTCTACGAGAGCCGTCGGGATATGCAAGTGGCTAATTGTTAGGCTAGCCAGGGGTGATGGATCGAAACATCGAGAAACTGCCGTGAAGACCCCTGGTGTTGTACTTTAGCAGTATGTATTCTTAATATCCCGCCAACCGGGAGCATTCAATACCGCACATCTGGGGAAATCCAATTCCTCCTTCCCCTCTTCCCCACGCCTTGATCAAGAACGCTTGGCGTGCATGCTGGACACTTTTCCTCTTCGCGAACCCTGATGCGAGGACGAACTTGTTTGTCTCGCAGTGCGGATACGGCGGCGTCATCCGGGCATTCAGGCACAATGGATCCTCTCAATCATTTTGCCGGGCGAGTAGGATCACCAACATGAATGTACCTCGCGCGTGGGCGAACAGAGGCCGAGCCGCTACGCGAGGGGAAGGAAATCGTTGTATTGGTATTGCCAGTATTACCATATAAAGAGAGTGGCCGAAGCTGCCTGCAAACAACCACACCTGCGGTCAAAGGTCACAGAGCTCAGTATCGACTCCCGCGATGCTCTTCTCCAAGCTTCAAGTCCTGGCCTTGGGGCTCACCCTAGCCTCCGAGGTCACGGCTCGCGCCGTCGATGTGGACACAGAGTCGATGTACAGCCGCCAGCAAGACCTCGTCACGTGGGATGATCACAGTCTCTTCGTTCGTGGCGAGCGAGTGATGGTCTTCAGCGGCGAATTCCACCCTTTTCGTCTGCCCGTGCCTGGCCTTTGGCTTGATGTGCTTCAGAAAATCAAGGCTTCAGGCTACAACTGCATCTCCATCTACATTGACTGGTTCCTCCTCGAAGGTGAGCCTGGCGAGTTCCGAGCCGAGGGCATCTTCGATCTCCAGCCCTTCTTCGACGCAGCGAAACAGGCAGGGCTCTACGTCCTCGCACGCCCGGGTCCTTACATCAACGCTGAGGTCTCGGGAGGTGGCTTTCCGGGATGGCTGAGTCGTGTTCCCGGTGCACTGCGCACCAACACGGACGAGTTTATCGGGGCTACGGACAATTATATCAAGGAGATTAGCAAGGTCATCGCCAAGAACCAGATCTCCAACGAGGGGCCCGTGATCCTGCTGCAGATTGAGAATGAGTACCAGCACGCGCTAGATGGATACGACATGCCCTCTTACGATTACTGGAACAGCGTGAAAGGGCAATTCCGCGACACGGACATTGCTGTGCCCATCATTAACAACGAGGCCCACCAGTATGGATACATCACAGCGCACACGCCAGCCAGCGTCGACATCTACGGGCACGACGGGTACCCCCTGGGATTCGACTGCGAGAACCCACAGAGCTGGCCGGAGGATGGGTTGCCGACGGATTGGTTGGCAATCAACAATGAAATTGCGCCTGACACTCCATATACAATTCCAGAGGTAAGTGAGCTGTTGTCCGCGATGATGCTCAAAGGGACTGACGCGTCGTCTATGATAGTTCCAAGGAGGTGGCTTCCAGCACTGGGGCCAAGCCGGCTTTGCGAACTGTGCCCTACTACTCAACATGGAGTTTGAGCGCGTCTTGTACAAGAACAACTACGCTGTTGGCGCGACAATCTTCAACATCTACATGGTGAGCCGCTTTCTCAATGTGAGTTCTGGCGTAGCATTGACCAAGGCAGATTTACGGCGGCACCAACTGGGGTAACCTGGGCGGCCACATGGGTTTCACATCCTACGACTACGGCGCGCAGATCACAGAGGAACGTCAGTTGTGGCGCGAGAAGTACAGCGAGGTGAAGCTACAAGCCAACTTCTTTCACGTGTCACCCGCCTTCCTTGAGGCAGACCGGTTCAATTCGTCACTGCAGTTCACGGACAACGACGCTATCACGGTGACCCCTGCCACGACCAACTCGACCAACTTTTACATTGCGAGGCACACGGACTACAGGAACACCGAGTCGGTACCCTATCGTCTCACAGTCAAGACGGTCGACCATGGCGAAATTGATATCCCCCAGCTGGGTGACAGTCTTGTCATGAACCGGCGCGATTCCAAGATTCACGTCTCCGACTATCCTGTGGGTGACAAACATGTCATTTATTCCTCTGCCGAGGTTTTTACCTGGTGAGTTCCACAAATCAAGCAATAGTGAAAACTGGGCTAAACGGTTTTGTAGGAAGAAGTACGATGACAAGACAATACTCGTTGTATATGGTGGCCCCGATGAGCACCACGAGCTCGCCGTTGCAAACGACGACAGTGACTTCAGCATCCTCGCAGGAAGCGAGGGCGAGAACATCTCTGTACAGAGCACCAAGGATGACTACACTATCATTTCCTGGGATATCTCGGACGATCCCGAGGACCGTAAGGTCGTGCGTGTCCATTCGGACTTTTACATCTACATGCTTAGTGCGTTTTTTCTCGTGGTTGACCAATACATGCGACGCGCATGCTGACAATAGTAGACCGCAACGAAGCCTATAACTTCTGGGTACCTCCCACTGGCGCTGGCTCTGACTATGGCACTTCGGACGTCATCCTCAAAGCCGGCTACCTGATGCGCACCGCCCAAGTCGACGGCACGACCTTGCACCTCGTGGGTGACGTGAACGCAACCACCCCCATAGAGATCATCGGTGGTGCCCCAGCCGAATTGGAAGCTCTCACCTTCAACGGACGAAGCCTCCAGTTCACCCAGAGCAACTTCGGTGTTGTCAAGGCCACCGTTGATTTTGAGGCACCCGATATCAAGCTCCCCTGCCTCAGCCACTTGCAGTGGAAGAAGATTGATTCTCTGCCAGAGCTCTCCGGTGACTACGATGACAGTGCGTGGGTCGATGCCAACCTCGAGGAGTCGCCCAATGACCGATACCCCATCAAGACACATGTCTCCCTGCGGGCCGGTGACTACGGGTTCCACACCGGGTCTGTTTTGTTCAGGGGCCACTTTACCGCGAACGGCAAGGAGTCTTCCTTTGAGATTGAGCCTCAGGGCGGCTCCGCCTCCGGATCCTCGCTGTGGCTGGACGATACGTTCCTCGGATCGTATCTGGGAGAAGCTGGAGTGGTCAACGGAACTATCACAGCGGATATCCCTGCGCTCGAGGACGGGTCCGAGCACGTCTTCACGTTGGTCATGGACCACATGGGCTTGCACGACAACTATGTCGTTGGCGAGGATATGCTTAAGGATCCCCGTGGTATCCAGACGTACGACTTCCCCGGTCACAAGAGTAGCGACATTGCATGGAAGATCACCGGCAACCTCGGCGGGGAGCAGTACGCCGACAAAGTTCGAGGACCTCTCAACGAAGGCGGCCTGTTCGTAGAGCGTCAGGGCTTCCACCAGCCATCTGCGCCCACGGGCGCGTGGGACGAGGGCAAGCCGACGGACGGCATGAGTGAGCCTGGCATCACGTACTACACGGCGACCTTTGATCTTGACATTTCAGAGGGATACGACGTGCCCCTGGCCTTCAAGTTTGACGATGATGTGTCGGATGGCGTCTATCGCGCCCAGCTCTACGTCAACGGATACCAATACGGCAAGTTTGTTCCTCTGATGGGGCCCCAGTACCGTTTCCCCATCCATGAGGGCATCTTGAACCACCATGGGGAGAACACGATTGGCATCACCATCTGGGCGCAGGAGCGTGGGGGCGCGAAACCCAAGGGACTCGGCTGGGATGTGTCCATGGTTACGGAGACGGGGTTTGGTCAAATCGAGCTCAGCCCTGCGCCGAGGTGGGAGGAACGCGAAGGGGCATATTAACCACCGCGTGTGAAACAATATGACGCATGGTCTATTTCTTGCCCCTACATCTCTACCATGGTGAACATCACGGCCCAACGCTTCTCACATGTTGAATCGTCATTACTCATAAATTAACTTTGATCGCTATCGTACCATCTTCTACTTCATGAGATGCTGCTCCTGATGGCTGACCGAATGCCTCTTGTGGGTAGAGTCTTCGGGATACTCATGCTCCACTGTAGGTTCGCCAACATGCTCCTTCAACACGCTAGGAGGCACATGGGCAGCATTCGTAGGGTCTGACGGCCGGTGGTCGCTCGCGAAGCTAGTGTTGTTGGTATCAGTGTGATGTTGCTCGCGGACGCGAGGGTCAAGCTTGTTGAGTTTCTCATTGTGATGGACCGGACCAGTCCTAGTGTTCTCTGTGGGCATAGACTCGTGGCCGAGGGCGTTGTTGTTGCGGGGCGTTTCAGTGTCGACAGTGACGTGCGAGTGTGCATTGTCACCGCGAGGATCGTGGGTTGGCTCGGTGTAGGTTCCCATGGGATTGAGGGAGCCGCCGACGAGATTGTGGGCGTCGCCAGTGGGGGCAGCGGCTGTGTCGGTGGTGGAGTGTAGGTTGCCTGTGGTGTTGTGGGTGGTGTTTGCGGGCACGTTCTCGTGGTGATGAGTGGCAGAATTGGTGGTGGTGGTGGTGTTGTTGTTATTGTTGTTGTTGTTGTTGTTGTTATGCTCCTTGTGGCCGCTGAGGGCTTCCTTGGCCTTGTTGATGAGGGAAGACATGGTCTATTTTGTTGGAGAGTTTACTTGAAGATGGGGTTGTTCCTGGAGTTCTGGTCTGCAAAAACAAAGATGGTGTGAAGAGTAAATTGTCAAGACTCTCGGCAAGTGGGAAGACTATATAACAACCAAGAGATCAGGGTCCTCGACTACGTAGCTACCTCATATTTCGTCATAGTGGGTACCTTGTGTCCCCAGGTCCGCCACTTGTAGGGAGGCCGTGTGCCGTTTTCGATCATCAAAGCTTCTCAATCACGGCTGGATTGCCCGAGAGGCGTGAAGATGGTGGTGATTGCGTCGTGGGTTTGTGGACGCCGCCGCTGCGTCATTGGCATTTTGGCGGGGAAGAAGCAGGCAATGAAGTGCCGCCCCACGTGGGGCAATGACGTGTTGGTTCACAGTACAGACTGCTAAGCTTCGAGGCTAATTATGACAGCCCATTGATATTACAGTACAGCTGCAAATTGGCTGGGCGATCGCTTTCTCTACGTGGAGCTTATCCAGGGCTCTTTTCGAAACTTGCCCGGCGTGTTTCTTCCAATGTTCCAAGAATAGACGGTCTGTCATAGCAGGCTGGAGCTCGACAGGCGGGACATAACCATCAAATTTAGCATACCCAAGTTCTCCAGTGTGGGAGTCCACTACCTCAGTACTGTCGAGTGCCGGCGCTTCTGCGCGATATTGCAACTTTCCCTGCCCAGGACGGGCCAGAATTGAGCGATGAACAGCTTTCGGCATCTTACATCATAGGCCTCCTTGTGTGATCTGAACTGGGTGTTCCCAATCCCAACAGCGTTGACGGAGCCTGCGTAGGCCATCCGATTGGGATACAGTATGCGCACGTAACCTTCGTGTTGCGAACATATGTTCCACGCCTCACCTCAGCCAGTACCACGTTCCAGCAGCAACAGCGCCCGCAGCGACCATCCACGGCAGTAGAATCATCAAAGCCTTGGTCGCGTTCGAAATGGTAATGTCCATTGCGATCTTCCCCAGCATGGCCGCCTCGTTCAACCACGGAAAGTCTTGATCAGGCACGTCTTTCCCGAGGAACTCGCACAGCGGCCCCCAGCTCTGCCCCATCCTGTACTCCAGCATCATTTCTTTGGGCACCGCCTCGCGTATCCTCCTCGCGTGCCGATCATACGCCTCGCGTGACCTCTGCTCTGCCTCCTCCGGCGTGCTGCTGTCGAACAGACCCAGTAAGAGTTTGCGCGTCGCAGTGCCGCCGTGGAACCCGACGAGCGGCTCAATGTATTTGAGGGAAAAGTTGGACATGGGTCCCCACACGGTTGGCACCAGACTCCCAAAGACGCTCTTGTGCCACTTGTCAAAGTCTCTGTGCACCAAGATGACCTTGGCGTCCGGATAGGCCGCTATCAGCTCCGGGCCAAACATGCTCGCGGCGTCGGTGCAGGCCTCGTGGCTCCCGTAGAGCTGGTCCCAGTCCTCGCGCGTCCACGGCTGGCCAGTGTAGGTGGGCAGGCAGGGGAACGTGGCGTCGGCCGCGGCTGAGAGCAGGACCCAATCGTTGAGGCGGTTGATGTACTTTGAGGTGTGATGGACGTCCTTGTAGCCCAAGATTGTGAGCGCCTCGGCCATAGACGTCGAGCCCGTCCGTGGCAGCCCCAGGGACAGGACCTTCATGTCGCGTTGGGGCGGTGATGAAGCCATCCCGAGTGCATTCGAGATGCAAATGACTTGCAGTGAAGGGGACAGGTTGACACGCTTGGCTTGTCGACGGCGGAAGCAGACGCTGGTGCACGAGGCCTCGTCAGATTGAGACCATCAAATTCATCCTAGCCATGAACAGCCAGCTAGCCAGCTAGCCAGCGGTCGGCCATTTGCCCGTCGCCTCGCCCCACTTTTCCATGGCGGCGGCCGACGTTGGTGTGTAAAATCCAAGTCGGGCATCTCCAACTCCAAGCGGGACGGGTTGGATGGATGGAGGCCGGACGTGATCACGAGGTTGTCGCACCAGTGCGTGCTTGGTCTGCGACGCGTCTGAGAGTTGACTGCATGCGAAGAAGCGACCCCGCGTGTTGCCGTTCCTATTAAAGCAGCAGGGACTTCCGCATCTCAAGATACCGGTGTCGGGTATCTTTTAGGTATTGGTGTTTCGTGGAGGCTGTTGCGCTTTGGAGTCTTGGACTGGATGCTGTTCGTCCTGGATGGGTGCGGAGAGCTCGGCCGCGACTACCGGGTAGCTGATTGCTCCTGGACGACGACGGCCGCGTTGCTTGACCATGTGCAAGGAGGGAGCAGAAGCTTCACTACTTAGCCTAGAGAGAACTTTTTTGAAACCATTATCTCTCCGACCCTGAGAGAGCAAGTGATGGTGTTTTTGAAGATTTCAGATCTCCTAATTGCCCATCGTGGCTCGTCAGCTCCAGATCCCAGGAGCGTCTTGCGCCCACTGAACGCGCCCCAATTGCAGCGTCGCCTGCCCACGCGGCGGGTCCAGCCGACCGCCAGTTCCAGCTGCGTGATTGGACCGGTTAAAGAGTTGGCTAAAGCGCACGCGCTATTCCAGCAAAGGACTGGAGCTGGCTGATGGACCCCGAGCGCATCTTAGGGGACGACAATTGAATGCCCAAGCCCAAGTATCGCAGGTACGTGAACATGGCTCTGAGCCTGGGACGCGGACAGGTATCTCTTGCTAGGGCCCGTCCCCACTTCACTCATCGTGACGTTTCTCACCACGACCAGTCGAGAGAACATCGCGGGGCAGGCAGGTCGCATGTAAGAGGCGGGGGAGAAGTTTGTCGGGTCGATAATTCAGTCTTGCGCGCTCAAAACCCTCTCTTTTTCTTGTGATCCATTTCTCGCGATTCTCTCTTCTCTTCTGCTCCCTCATTGCCATCTTGCTTGCCCTCCTCTGCGCCATACACTGCTCACTGAGACAGACGACGAACCAGCCAAATCCCCGCAGCCCCTCCCTCCTCTACCTTAGCACTCTCCCGTCTCACCAGCCTCACCTCAAGCCATTCACAATGGCGGCTCCCAAGAAGGATGATCTCAGCGTAAGCGCTCTCATTCACTCACAGAGAAAAGCCTGCTGACGTCGGCAGAACCTCTCCTTCATTCTCAACAAGCCCAACGAGGTGACCTTTTCCGACCGCCCCAAGCCCACCCTCTCCTCACCACACGATGTGCTCGTCGCCGTCAACTACACCGGCATCTGCGGCTCCGACATCCACTACTACCTCCATGGCGCCATCGGGCATTTTGTCGTCAAGGACCCCATGGTCCTGGGGCACGAGTCGTCCGGTACCGTGATTGAAGCGGGCGAGGGCGTGTCCAGCCTCAAGGTCGGTGACAGGGTCGCCATTGAGCCCGGCTACCCATGCAGGCGGTGCCACGACTGCCGCGCGGGACAGTACAACCTGTGCCCGGAGATGGCCTTTGCTGCCACGCCACCCTACGACGGCACCCTGACCGGCATCTGGTCCGCCCCCGCCGACTTCTGCTACAAGCTGCCCGACAACGTCAGCCTGCAAGAGGGTGCCCTCATCGAGCCCCTCGCCGTCGCCGTCCACATTGTGAAGCAGGCGATTATCACACCTGGCCAGTCCGTCGTCGTCATGGGCGCCGGGCCCGTCGGCCTGCTATGCGCTGCCGTGGCCAAGGCCTACGGCGCCTCCAAGGTTGTCAGCGTCGACATTGTCCAGTCCAAGCTCGACTTTGCCAAGGACTTTGCCGCCACGCACACCTACTCGTCGCAGCGCGTCTCGCCCGAGGAGAACGCCAAGAACATCCTTGAGCTCGTCGGCCTCCCGCGCGGCGTCGACGCCGTCATTGACGCCTCGGGCGCGGAGCCCTCCATTCAGACCTCGCTGCACACCGTCCGCATGGGCGGCACCTACGTCCAGGGCGGCATGGGTAAGCCGGACATCAACTTTCCCATCATGGCCCTGTGCCTCAAGGAGGTCACTGCCAAGGGCTCCTTCCGCTACGGAGCTGGGGACTACCAGTTGGCCGTCGAGCTGGTCGCCACGGGCAAGGTGGACGTGAAGAAGCTTGTCACGGCAACAGTGGCTTTTGAAAAGGCGGAGGAGGCGTTTAAGAAGGTCAAGGAGGGCGAGGCCATCAAGGTGCTCATCGCTGGGCCCAACGAGAAGATCTAACTAGGCATAATTAGTCCATAATAATGTGGGAAACAGGCATTCGGCCGAATGCGGATTGAACCAAGTACAGCTGGTATGAATAAGTCCAAGCGGTAAATACGGGGTGATTCGTACCTTATCATGCATCCATTGCATAGAATAAGCTTGCTTGTCGACGGAGCTAAGTCTCGATTGGTAGGATTTGGAGAAATTCGCTTCATGTTTCCGCCCTACAGGGGTGGCCGATTCCGCTGTTCTGTCCAGGTCCAGTCCTCCTGGCCCTGGGCGGCACGCTGCGTCGTGGGCTGGCTATGGCTTGGTGATTGCTGCTCCGTTTTCGAGCTGAACAGTGATACGGGCATCTTCTGCCGAATACAGAAGTACCTCTTACCAAAGCTGAGCGAGCAAGTGACAGGGGACAGGGCTGATGGTTTCGAAATTACCTCTCTTGCCTTTTGCGTAGAGCAACATCTATGGGCCACCATCACTATGCGGAACTTAAAAGCTTAATAATTGTCTCCCACGGCCCTCCCAGACTGTGACGGGTCCGTCTGCGCCAGCCCTGTAGCTCTTGGCAGGCCTTTTCCCGCGCGCTGATTGTGCCTCGTGAGCTCCCATCGAGCGACAGTCCCGGCATCGCAGGACACTAGGTGCGCCAATACGGTGCGGCTGAAGAGGATCAGCCATTCACTATCGAATTTGGCGCAAAGGACGGGGGTCAGTCTGCCTTGTGACCCCCTCCCCAGCGGCATGCGCGCCCTGCCGCTCGGTCTTCTTTTTAATAAGAGCTGTTGATGCCCAGCTTTGTGAGCGCAGCAACCGCCTGCCCTTGACACTGTACACACGTACGTATAACGTAGCGAACAAGATGTCGACTGAGCATGTGCCCACCGAGGACAGCCGCCATGAGCATGTCCTCAAGACGCCTCTCTGGATGCTTGTCATTCGTGGCTTTCAACTCCTCATCTCTCTGATCATCGTCGTCCTGGCAGGTCGTCTCATGCACGATGCCTACTTGGACGAAGAGGGCCTCGCGCTGGCGATTGTAGGTGCACTCTTCGGGCAAGCTCGGCTCTGGAAGCTTACCTTAACTAGTCCCTCATCACCTGGGTCATCGTTGCTTATGTCGTCCTCGCCGAGAAGCTTTCTGCGCTGCACAACGCATACCACATCATCGCCGTTCTGGTCCTAGAAGGCTTCATGGTGATTATGTGGCTCGCAACATTTGCCGCCGTCGCTGCAGAGCGTGCTCGGTACGTCGTAAGAATCCAGACGTTTGGATGCTTCGACGACGGCAGCTTCCTCGACAGCAAGACCTGCTTCACCAAGAGGGACGACAATGTCATTCTCTTCAAGACTGGCGCGGCCATGCTGGCTGCCATTGCTGGCCTCGGTGCCCTCATGTGGCTGCTGTTCATTGCCACCTTTGCATGGACCATGGTCATGTTCTTCCGTGGTCGCAAAGAGGGACGATTCCTGTTCAGCACTGGTACCACCAACGAGCATCAGATAGAGAGCCAGGCGCACATGCACCCGGCCGGCCAGCCAGAGAAGATCGTACAGCCGCAGTACCAGCCGCAGGCACAGTACCCTCAGCAGCAGCCTGTAGGATACTACCAGCCCCAGCCTGGGATGCAGCCGCAGCAGGAACAGTACATCCAGCAGGCATATCAGCCGTCTTTGAGTTCGCAGGCCGTCAGCCCGCCACCGCAGCAATCACAAGGACCGTACCAGCCGCCGACACATGAGCTGCATGGCCATCAACAACAGCCAAATGGACAGTACCAACAATATCCGCCGCCTCCAGGCCAGCAGCAACCCGGGTATCCGCAGCAGTCTCCTCCTCAAATTTACACTCCTGCCAACGAATTGGAAGGTGGACAGCACGGGCAGCATTACGAGATGCCGTCGCCTCCTCCGGCCTCGCCCCCGCCGGCCCAGCAGCATTAGGCATGGTTTTAAGAAGTGATGTTAGGGTTGGGCAAGTTCAGCGATGATGGAGTTGTGTCACCACGGGTGGCGTCTGTGTCTATATCAACGTAATCAGAATAAATTTTGAATATCTCATCGAGATTTTCCAACGTGAGTCAAGTACAACCAGGATGCAAAGTGCCAGGCACGTGTGATGGCGATGAGTGATGATGGGTGATGGGCTGTGTCTCCACAAGTACTTGGACCGCTGCGTTTTCTGCCCTGGTGCTTTCCATGAATGGCAGGCGGTCAGTTCTACACTCGTTCCGTCCGAGCTGGAAGCTACGATACTGCTCGTCACGACTTGTACCGCCACGGCTTCATCACGACGCTTTGTCCGAACCAGGCATCAATGCGGTAGTCGGGAACCGTTTTCCGGCTTTCAAATCACATACAAGCACTTCGCCCATGGCCGCCATGGCCGCAGACGAACCATCCGCTCCCTCAGAGCACCTCGGTGTTCCCTCGCGCAACCCGCTACCACTGTCTGCCTCGCAAGAAGCGCAGGTACGGGATATTTTCTATGCGCGCGTACGGAAGAACTGCAACGATGAGATCAAGGGTGAGGGACCCCGTAGAGGCGTTGCTACGATGGCAATGGCCTCAGTCCATCTCTGCTCTACAGTAACATCTGCTAACAGCACAAGCCTTCGCTGCCTGCGCCCTTGGTCGCACGTTCACTGTGTCGTTTGCTTGCCGAGCCGAGCATCGCGCCATGAATGGCTGCATGACCCGTCACGCGACCCAAGAAGAGCACGACCTTGCCCGAGAAGAATGGTTCAACATGCGCCTCGAGCGACAACGCGCACGGGAGCGCAAGCAGAAAATGGCAGCGGCGCAGGAAGACTTTATGAGAGAGTGGTGGGGCCTGCCTGAGGACGTACGACTATCGAGGCAAAAGGAGATGGAGCGACAGGTGGAGCGAGTCGGTGGCATGGCCGCCAGGGACAGAGAGAAGAAATGATGTACAAGCGAGGAGAGGAAGACCCGTGATGCATTGGCCGGCGTTTGGAGTCGTTTTATATACATCTGTACCATATGGGACTGTTGTACAAGTAGGAAGATATCTTATCTCAAGGCAAGACAACATGGCGTTCCTCCAGGCCGCGGCGGGCACTTCGACGTGACGATGCGACCAACAGCCATCCGATCATTAGTCGCTGGCAGAAGTTCGCGACCAACGACACCAGCTCTTGTGCACTTGAGCGTCCAAAAGATCGCCCGACTAAGCGCCCCGACTGCACACTCGAAGAGAGGGTCGCTCCCCCATTCGACAAGGCGGCGCCTCTGCGTCGGGCGCTTAACGACACCTGCAGTGTGATGCGTCCATTGATTGGGCCGCCCTCCCAAGACCCCTGGGAAGACGGGTCTATTTTTGGGCCATCGTGGGCATCCTCCCCGCCAAATCGCAGCGGGAAGCGCCTTTGGATGGCTTTCAACGAGATGGGTGCTATATCTCCCCAGTGTCTGCCCTTGATGGACCGATACACTCATTCGGGTTCCGTTTCTGCTGCATTCGAGGCTGGTATCACGACGAACGCGGTAGGGACGACTACGACCAACACGAAGAAGACGACGACGATCATGCAGCGATAGCCTCAACATTGATACCCCATTTAAGTACAAGCACCATGTCTTCACCAGCGCCAGGCAGTTTGTCGCTGTTTCCCAGCCCAAATAGCTCGCGACCACCACCAGTTCATCGCAACGTGACACCCTCAGGCCGCCGATCGGAATCTCGAGAGCGCAGGGCGCCGACCCCTCAGAGCATGCGTGCTCAGACACCGCAACAACATATCCCAGAGCTAGGCCAGACGCCGCCACGACAACACCGACGGCAGGAGACGCCTTTGCAATTCGACGGGCTTCTGACCCAAAGGGCTGAGTCTAATCTGCTACCGCAACCAGTTCAGCACCAGCAGCGCAGTTCGATCTCGAAGCTGCCCCTGGACGACGGAGGTGATGCGCCAAACGCCCAGCCACTGCGTTCCATCTTCCCAACATACAATCCCAATGTGCCACTAGGTCAACAGGACTATGCGCCCACGGCGAAAAGTCCAAACCAGATCCCCCGAGCGGTCATCAGCCGTCAGTCCTGGCGCGACCCGCATCCAGACGAAGATGGTAGCGGCCACAACCTCGCCCATTCGCCGCGGGGTGGCGAGCCGGCTCCCCATCGTTGGGCACAACCCCGGCCAAGCGAGCCACCCGTCGTTCCAAAGACCAGCTCCACCGAGCAGCTCAGGAGTTTCTGGAAAGTCGCCAACGGGTGGCAGGCTTCGTCGTCCGAGGGGCGAGTGTACTGCATGAAGTTGACCCAGGAGAAGGATGCACCCGTCTACACGCTGTCTTCGTCGTCGCAACCTTTCTACAATATCCGACTAGATCCTACATCAGCCTCCGCGCGCGTTACGGTGATGCGACATGATCCGACCAAGCCGTACAAGGACTCAGCCGCCGAGGCAGCGTCTTCGTCACCGTCGATCCTGGGCGCGCTCGCTGCCACCGGGGGCAGTGATCCAAGCAGTCTTTCCTCCTCTAAAATGACTGATGGGAAACACTGGCAAGAAACTCTCACCACAACCTTGGAGGAAGAGTCTCGTCGCCATAGGCCAGAAGATGGCCTTGTGGCCGTCTTGATGCCCACGCCAGCGACGAAGATGGCGCTGGAAAAGGCCAATGATCCTCAGGCACAGATGATGGCGGAGAGGGAATGTGGGCGCCTGGTGTGGGACGACGATTCGGACAGCTACTTCCTCGTTCACCCAGCCCTTGCAACGCCTTTCTGCGTCACGATTGAGAGGTCGCCTGCGTGGTCGAGGGTCGAGTACACGCTCGAGCATCATGAGTCGCCGAAGCACCTGGCCAAGCTGACCAGGGATGGCACCGGCGGTGGCTGGATCGAGGTTGACACGGGCTTGGCCAGCAAGATTGAGGCCTTTTACGTTGTCGACGTCGCCATCACAGCGTTGATGCTCGTCGCCAACGCGGATGAGAGGAACCAGCCCGCGCCCATTGAGCCCTTTGAGCCCCCGCCATCGCTGTCGCCGCCGGCGGCTCTGATCGGCGCGCCACCGCCCGCGCATAAGAAGAACAAGAAGTCCCTGTTTGGAAGCAAGAAGCCACAGATGGAGGCGTTTGAGATTGATCTCGAGAGTCAGGACGACAGTGTTCGCAAGGAGAGCAAGAACAAGGTCAAAGTGAGAGAAGGCATCGATAAGCTGCCTTTTGTGATCAGGGCGCCGCTCAAGGTCGTCAAGGGGCTCTTTAAGGCGTTTATTTGGGTCTTGACGATTCTTTTCAAGTGTTTGAAGTTTATGTTTACACCGTGTTATCGGTTGGTCGGGAGTAAATACTAGCTGGATCTAGGGATAAGAGGTGTGGAAATGAATGTGATCATGACTTTGGGACTGGACAGAGTCTCTCTCTTGGTGACTACGTGATGCGATCAGTGATCAGATCACGCTTTCGCATCCCTTGTGCTGCACTTCCCTTCGTCCTGTTCGATAGCACCCGAAGTGTTGGCTGAAATAGCAATGAAGAACACGGGCATGTGAGCGCCTATATCGGACACAGCAATGTAGCCAAAATGATCAAATAAGCCGCCACAATCGTCTTTCCCCAAAATTGATCATCTACCTCTTCCTGGCGCGCACCTTGAGTTTCTGGCCCCGCCTGGTAGTCCCGCCCGACGTAGCGGTCTTCGCCATCTTGGCCCGCGTCTCGTCAAGTTCCTGCTCCGCCTGCTCCAGAATCTCCAGCTTCTTCTTCGTGCTCGCCAATCTCCGTTTCAGTCGCCACAGCGCATCTGCTCTTTGCGCCTCCTCTTCCGCCTTCTTTCCCTCTCTAGACTTGTCGTCGTCGTCTTCCAATTCCAGATCTTCATCTTCAGCCGCCTGGTCGACTGCTTCCTCCATCTCCTCCTCGTTGTCGAAAAAAACGATTTTGCGCGCCTTCTTCTCGGGTGGACCAAAGTCAAACTCGCTGTCGTCGTCGTCATCCGCGCCCTCCTTTTCGTCGTCTTCGTCATATCGACCGTACCCTCGCGAGAGAACAAGCTGCTCCTCTAAACGTTTCACCTCCTTGGCGGCCACGTTTCTCATTGTGCGCACGTACGCCAGGTCTTGGGTCTTGAGGCTTCGCACAGTCTCCTGATCCAACGTTTTGTTTCCGCGGTCGCCCTTGACGTTTCCCGTCCATTTCTTGCCCTCTTTCAGCCGTAGTCCAGGTCCCTGGCGCGACAGCATGCCAAAGTAGAATTCATCTTCGTTGCGCTCGGAAGCTTTTTGGCGGAGGTTTTTGAGTTGCTTCTTCTTCTCGTTGTAGTCTTTCGCACGCTTGGAGTAGTCCTGAATGAAATGTCAGTAGGCCGTTCGGACACGACGAGCGTTGGTGCTACCTTGTGCTTCTCGAGGAGACCGAGGCGACGGCGCTCGAGGGGCTGCGCACGCTCGCGATGGGGGCGCCGTTGAACGGCGTTGCGCATGGAAGACATTTTGACTGATTTTATGGTCTCGACTGCTGGCAAATGTCGAGAGGACGGTACAGATCGACCAGTGGAATTGCGGTGGTGGATTAGTTGGTTGGCGGAAGGGACGAGGTTTGGAACAGTCCGGTCATGATAAACTTTAAAGTGGGGTATTGTTCTTTTTGATCGTGACGACCATTTAGACTACCCGATACATCGCTCGCACAGATGCACCAGGCTTCATCCCGTCATTCCGTCCCCAGATTACTACATCTCCATCTCCGTCGCATCGCCCGTCGCAACTACAAACTTATCCCTTAATGGGAGATCCCTGCTGCTCGCTCCTACAAACACCTCATACTCGGCCTCCTGTATGACCCATTGCTGCCTGTCGACATCCCACACTGCAAAGTCGCGCTTATCCAACTCTATCTGAACAGTAGCCTGCTCGCTAGGTTTTAAGTGGATTTTCTCAAAGCCACGAAGCTGTTTAGGCGGCGAATTCGGTATGCCGAGGTAGAGCTGCACGACTTCTTGTCCTTCACGGTCGCCCGTATTAGCCACGTTGACTGTGACAATGGCAGCAGTATCCCACATGTGGTCCCCATTGCAAGCCGTCGACGATGAAATATCCACGGCCGAAATTTTCAGATCCGAGTAGCTGAACGTTGTGTAGCTCAATCCAAAGCCAAACTCGAAACGAGGCTCGATGCCCTGCTTGTCAAAGGCGCGATAATCAAGGTATGAGCCTTCCTTGAACTCACACTGCGGGTCTGTGTCGCCCTTGAACTCCAGTCCGCAGGGGTGTAGCACCTCGCCATAGTCGCTCTCGTTCTTCGCGATTGTGTAAGGCAGCTTGCCGGAAAACCCAGCCTCGCCGTAGAGCAGCTTCACCAAAGCAGGCCCGCTGTCCTGGCCAGGCAAATGGGCAACGACTGTCGCTGTGACGTTGGGATGCTCGATCCATTGATCGACGAGCCTCGTGCCTGCTGTGTGAATGACGACTATGGTGTTGGCGCATTGCGAGGCGACCGAAAGCACAATGCCATCTGAAAAATCGTCGTGCAGGCCAGCGCGGTCCCATCCCTCGGTGGCGATGGCGTTGATGAAGACCAGGCAGACATCGGAGGCACCGTTCACCTGGGGATAAGGTGACGAGAGATCCCAGTTTACCCAGGCATCCGTCGCATGAGCCTTGTCCTGGATGGCGCTCAGGGGCTGGGAAGAGTCAGCAACGTGTGGGAGTAGAGAGTTTTTGACCTACATCAAGCATGTATGGGGGCGCATTGGCGCCAGCCCGCCCTCCGGTAGTGATTGTACCTCCTCTCGCAGATTGATCAAAGACCTGCTGCGTACCTAGCTCGGCAAAGCCCATCTCCTGTGAAGATGTATACCCAAGCTCAAATAGCTTATCCACATTCTTCGTCGGTGGGACAGTGGCGTCATACCCGAATACTGAGATCATCTTGGGGGGCTCCTGGAATGGCAGCGCGCGGTTCTCGTTCTTCACAAGGACGTGGCCTGCGATGGCCGTCTCCAATGTGCTGGGTTTGCTGGCAGGGTCCCGAGCTTCGACCTGCTCATGCGGTAGCGTCAAGTTCGACATACCGATGCCAGGCGCGGGAAAGTTATTGCCCTCCTGCCCTACCAGGTACCAAGCGGCAACAATTCTGGTGGCCATATCAGTGATTCTTTCTTCGCCGACAATTCCGTTGTTCACAGCATCCGTGAGATTTTGCCCAAAGTGGCCGCCCAATGGCATGACCATGTCCAGTCCAGCATTTGCACTGTTGAGATTGTGGATTGCGTTCCAATCCAAGATGACGAAACCCTGAAAGTCCATCTCCTCCTTCAGCAGCCCGTTGAGCACCTTGCTGTTCTCGCAGCTGTATGTGCTGTTGACGCGCTGGTACGAGCACATGACCGAAGCCACGCCTGCGCGGACAGAGTCGACAAAGGGCCAGAGATAGAATTCGTGCATCGTCTTGTCATCAATGTTGGAGGACACGGCTTCGACGCCAAAGTATGGCCTGCGGTAGGTCTCCTGCTCGTTGCCAACCAAGTGCTTGATGTTGGCCATGACACCCGCTTCCTGATGAGCGACAATGGTCTCGTAATTGAGCTTGCCTGACAGGTAAGGGTCGACGCTGAACCCTTCCCAATTCCTCCCTCCTAGGGGACTGCGGCCTAGGGGGCCGGCGTTTGGACCCAGGATGATATTGACCCCTTTGGCTTTGAACTCCTTGCCCATGTACCAGCCTCGCTGCCATGTTAAGTTACGGTCCCAGGTGGCTCCTACGTGCAGAGCGGAAGGGAAAGCCGTAACGAGGTCGGTCGCGCGAACACCGTTCCCTGCGTCGTGCAGACACAGCCCCGGATATTGCAAACGAGGGATAGAACCAGTCATGCCTGCGCAAGTGTTGGGTGATTCAACACCCATGGTGATGTTCACCTTTTCCTCCAGCGTCATCTGCGAGACCATGGCTTCGGCGGATGCGTATGCCGATGTCCACGCCCCGGTGCCTCGACCCTGAGGTGACGGGTAGACATCTGGCGACTCGAAAGTCGCTGCGCCTGAGAGACTGGCCAGGCCTGCGAAAGCCAGAATAGACTTCATCATGCCCGAGTTGGTTTGCTTGCGCGATGTGAAGGAGAAGGAACCGCGTGCGGCGCAGAAGTGCGCTGGTGGTTTGGCCGCCAAATTATACCCCCAGCTCAACGACGTGTCAAGCTTGTGCACTGGGTATATACCTCGTCTCCTCAATCATCCTTTGACGGACTTGGCAACCGTCACACCGGTACTTTATCTATCCGAAAGCAGCATCCCTAGGACGAACAGGGAGCTCCACCGGCTCCTCACCGCTCATGTTTGTATGAAGTCGTACCGACAATCGCGTTGGCGTTGCGAAGAGCCGGGGAACTGCATGGATTTCCCCGTGCGGGGAGGCTGTTGTGACTGTGACGCCTCGTGTGGCTTTTCCGGTGGGGCGCATCGTGCGAGAATTGGGATGGGTTGACAGGCTAAAGATTTGATGAGTATTGCATGCTGTGTAAACATAAGCTGCACACCGGTCCAGATCCTTCGAGCCGAATGGCGGACAGCAATGCTCAACGACGGGACGCAAGTCGCAAATTACCCGACGGCTACTGCTCAACACAGTTACCCTGAAGCTGTGAACGCGCAACGCCTCGTGCAGTATGCGTGTTTAATCAAGCTTTGGGAAGAGGGAGCAACGTCATAGAATCTTTGGCAAGTACTTCAAGAATATCCTGTCCTGGCTTGGACGCAATATCGGGATCCCGATCCTCTTTGACGCGGTCGCTTTGTGTTTGCGGCCAATAGCTCTCTGGATATGTGTCTCATCATGCTGTCGGGGGCATCCTGGCAGGGAAGGACACAAGACCGGCAAAGTCTTCTAATTGCTCCAGATAATACACGGACTGTACATATATATATACAAGAGTATAGTTTGACACATTAGTCACGCCATCTCAGGCCATACTCCTTTAGCTGCTGTTCGGTCACCTGCCCAGGTGCTTTGACAAAGGGGTCTTCACCCTTTCCACCCTTGGGAAAGGCAATCACATCTTTGACCGTACTCGTGTCTGTCAACAGGGCACACAGCCGGTCAAAGCCTAACGCGAACCCAGCGTGCGGCGGGCAGCCACTCTCCAGGGCGTCGAACAGATGCTTGAAGTCAGCCACTCTTTCGTCCGACATTCTGAGAATGTCGCGCATGATAAAGGACTGGATTGCCGCAATGTGGATACGCTCGCTACCTCCGCCTACTTCTGTTCCATTGAGAACGAGATCATAGGCAGCGCTCTTGGACTGCAACGGGTCCGTGAAGAGGGACTCGAGATCGGCCTTGGCGAGGGGCGCAGTGAAGGGGTGATGGCAAGCTGCGATGCCGGCGTGGGCGTCGATGGCCTTCCAGGGCTCATCGGACTCGATGGGTTGAAACATTGGGAACTCTGTGATCCACGCAAACTTGAGCGAATCTGGTTCGCCCAACTGGGGTGGCCGACTCATGGCTTCGTTTTCGACGAGGTATGTCCAAAGGAGTCGCCTGAGGTCACCGATCTTGGTAGAAGACGATGTATACTGGCCATTCTGGACAGGTCGGGCCTGGAAAACGACAATATCGCCGTCATTGAGCTCCTGCCCGCTAGACGCGGCACTTACGATGCTTTCGTAGTCGTGGCCGATAGACGAAAAGCCACCCAGAGGCTTGCTAGAATCATGTATCAAAATCTGCGGCATTCCGTGTGGGTTCTTCGTGAACTCTTTCGGAAGCCCGTCCATGAAGTCCACTATTAGCCGTTGAACCTGAGATGGCGGGAGGTCCTCGCTCAGAGAAAAGCTGAAGGCTTCTACAAGGGGGTCTTCAAGGTGGGTGATCATGCTGACAAAGTGCTTTGCAGAGTCAGGGATGGGGATCGCGTTGATCTGTCTAGTTAGTTCAGCTCGCTAGCCTCCGATTGATGGACTCACCCGCCCAGGTATACGTAGATCTGGCTTGTCAGAACCGTACATCTTAATGGCCTCGGCAAATGTTAACCTCTCAAAGGAGTGCGCTGGCGGTCCACCATTCTCTTGCATTTCTAAACTCGATAACACCGGTATCCGTGCCCCATCACGGAAAGTTTGGTAGCTTCTGTCTGGCTGGAGAAGTTTGATCGATTTCAGGACAATGTCCTCAACATCCTTCTGCACGTGCTCTGCTTTTGCGAAAGCCCATTCCATGTCCAGCTGCGAGAATTCGGGCTGGCGGTCGGCTCTCGAGTCCTCGTCGCGGTAGCAACGCGCCCATTGCATATATCGTCCAATTCCGCTTGCGACGAGGATCTGCTTGTACTGCTGCGGGCTCTGGGTGAGCGCATATGCCAGGCCTTTTTGCCGCGTTGGCACCAGAAACTCCCTAGCGCCTTCGGGTGTTGATTTGAACAGCGTCGGCGTTTCGACCTCGGTGAATCCCTTGTTCATAAGCTCATTGTTCAACACCCCTTTGAGCCAAGACCTAAATCGTAGTCGAGCCTGGATCTCCGGGTGAAACTTCATCTGCAAGTGCCTCTTTGCTGGCGGGAAAACTGTCTCTGGCGTCACAACGAGGTTGCTTGGCGCATCGTTCAAGGTCTGGATGTCTCGCAGGTGGATGGTCGGTTTCGCGCCCCGTTCGCTCGCGGTTTCAAGGTCGCCTGTAACTAGCACGGGCGCATGCGCCAGGACATTCTTGAACTTGTTGTGTGCCTCTGCGTCGTGCTCATGTTTTGCGCAAAGCTGGTAAACCTGACCGGAGGGGAGCGTCAGATCGGCAAAGGAAAGATGCTTGCTGATTTTGCGACGCTTGCCTATTGAGCCCACGTATCGACCGTTGGCGCCGTTCTCGAGTGGCAGTTGAACTCGCTCTCGGTCTGTCCATCAGTCTGGTGAGCTCATCAATGTGCCAGACAACGCTTACATTGTGACCACGCGTCCATCAACTGAGCCTTCTTCTCCGGCGGAACGCCTGCACTACGCCTCGCGGTGAAATTGCTGAAGCCTCTCGCCGGCCATTGCAACGAAGCGACATGCCGGGTTGAACTCAAACAGGTATAGCGACGAAGCACCAGGCCGCATCGACAACTTGGAAGTCCCATGACGCTCTTTTCTGTGAACCCTTTAGGTTCCGCTTCAGTTGCACTCAAGCGGCAAGCGTGAAGCTTCGCATGAGCAGCCTCAGCCGAGGATATACCGACCCACCATAAAGTTCCCAGCTTCGCAGCCCCACCAGGGAATTTCTTCTCTTTTTCCTCTATCCCTTCCATTCAAGAAAATGTGAGTTTTCCTGCGCGCGCCTTTGGCAAGCCTTCCTATATTCGAGAATATCCCTGCTGACAATGCTTTTAGATGATGAGAACCGCGTGAACCAGATGATGCCCTGCCGCCCATCGGACCTTGCAAACTCTCCCCCTCGGGGCTCCAGTGGTTTGCTTGGAATGGTGTGAGCGGTTGGATGAAATGGGCGTCCGACACACCGACCTTGTTACTGCATCGGACGCGTTGGAAAAAAGCTCTGATTCTTATAAGAATGGAAGGTCTTACTGAGGGATGATTAGGGCGCCGTAGGAGTACATGAAATTTGTGTGTAGTATAGCCTTGGTCATGCGGGAAGCAGGGTGCCTATCGCGACAAGTGTCGCGCATGCCCTTGGCGACGTAATACCATCTTGTACACTTCGTCAAATGAAGCCACGAAATGTCCCCCATAGCTTGCATTCTTTCCGACGCACTGAAAGAAAGTGACGCTCATTCACGTTGCTGAGGTACTTTTCCCCACACCCAATCTCCCACCTAATGTCAAGTTCCCCTTAACTGCGGACTGCCGCGCTGCCCGGGTCCCATTCATCGTGCCAGTTCGCCCAACCACCAGCCAAGATCCCTGTCGCTCATCATCATTGCTGTCTGGCTCGGGCCTGACAAGTCCAGACTTGCTTCTGCATTCGTATTTCCTCTCAAAGCCAATCCTCCTTTCCCACGCCGCGTCCGCGCTTGCTCTGGTCCACTCGCGCTGCCGCAGGCCAGCTTCCCCTCCGTCATCATGTCCAACTCATTCGAGAAGTCCGTCAAAGGCGCGACCAAGATCAAAGTAGGCGCCCTCCCAGAAACTGTCCTCTAGCTATGGAACAGCTACTAACCAGACAAGAACGCCCCGCCGAAGACGAAATACATTGAACATATTCTCGTAGCCACACATTCGGGAGAGGCGGGCGTCGGGGAAGTCTTTCGGGCACTTCAGAATCGCCTGCGAGATTCGACATGGACGGTTGTCTTCAAGGGCCTGATCACGGCGCATCTGATGATTCGTGAGGGCGCCCCCGATGTGACGTTGTCGTATCTCAGCAAGCACCGCAATGCGCTCGCAATTAGCAATTTCGCAGACGGTTCGTAATGCTTGGTGAAAACGACCAAGAATCATTTCATTGACAAGAGCAGCGGTCACACAAGGACGCAACATCCGACACTACGCACAATACCTATCCGAGCGAGCCAAAGCCTACCGCGACACGCAAATAGACTGGGTCCGAGTCAACGAATCCAAGCTGGAGGGTCTTTCGGTGGAGAAGGGTCTACTCAGACAGACCGAGACAGTCCAGCGCCAACTTGCTGCGCTTCTGAAATGCGAGGTCTTCAGCGACGAGTCTGAAAACGAAATAACCATCACCGTCTTTCGCCTTTTGGTACTCGATCTTCTGGCCCTGTTTCAAGTCGCCAACCAGGGCCTCATTAGCGTGCTAGGCCACTTCTTCGAGATGAGCAAGTCAGACGCAGAGCGGGCAATGGATATTTACCGCACGTTCACCCGGCAGACGGAGCTTGTGGTCGCATACTTGAGCGTCGCCCGGCAGCATGAGCACCACACACGTGTCCAGGTGCCGAAACTGAAGCATGCACCGACACACTTGGCGAGACAGCTTGAGGAATATCTGAACGACCCGGATTTTGAGATCAACAGGCGGCAATTCATCGCAGAACAGGATGCCAAGGGCAGAGGCGGAGGCGGAGGGAGTACCGACAGTTCAACGAAGAAGGGGGATGATATGAAGTTCCCGGAGCCGGCTGCGAACAACCCCTTTCCCAAGGCGAATGCATCATCATCAGCAAGCAGAACGCAGAGTGCGGCACAGCCTGCTGTGAGCAAACCACCAGAGGGCGACCTCATCGACTTTTTCGATTCAATAGAGCAACCAGTCCCTGCGCAAGTTCAGCAACAACAAGTACAGGCCCAGCCAAGCGCATTCGACGGTATGCCACAGCGGATGCCGCAGCAGACTGGCTTCCAGTCCAACAATCCTTTTCCACAGCAGCAGTTGCCTCAGATGCCCATCCAGCAACAACCCACGGGCTTTTATCAACAGCCCCAGCAGCATGGTCTCCAGTCTAACTTTACAGGAGCCGGATTTGGCGGGTTCGCGCCTCAGCCTCAGCAAGGTTTCCAACCGGGTGCTCTAGGCAGTATCCCTCAGGATGGTGTGGCCAGCTTCCAGCCGCAGCCTCAACAGCAACCCACTCAGACAGGCGGTCTCCAACCCATGTCCACCGGAACGAACCCCTTTCGCCAGTCTATGCTTATGACGCAGCCCACTGGGGTCCAGAGTACTCCTGCGTCCATGCTGGCTTCGCCTACAGGATCCAACAGCCCCGGAAACCGCCAGTCCACTAACCCGTTTGCCCGCCCACCTCAAGGGCAGTCACCTCACACTTCAGGCAACGATTCTCCACTTCAGACACAACAAACAGCCCCTTTCCAAGCCACGCCAACCGGTACCAACCCTTTTGCCCGCCAGCAGCCGGCAACGAACGCCAATGCACCTCAACCCTCGACCGCCACCCTCGCGCCTCAGCCGACAGGCAGCACGAATCCTTTCCGCCAAAGTGCTTTCGTGAATCACAACGCAGGGCAGGGCTGGCAACACAACCAGCAGCCTATGGGAGGCGGGCTGGATCAACTACCCACCCAGCAAGTCTTCCCTCGTCCACTTCAACAGACGCCCTGGCAGCAGTGATCCGTGAGCAATCACTGCTCTCATATTCTTTACACATTCTTTACTTTGCCACATCATTCCAGCGAGGCGTTCACTTTGGTTTCTGGGGTTGCTCGTTGGTAGAAATCTGGGAAGTAGAAGTATCCTTCATGAATAGATATCATGTCTCTTCATTGTGTCAGTCCCCCAACGCCATGCTATGCACCAAATGTAGTCTGTTTCAATCAATGTCCATCCTCCCTCCCGTAGCGCCCGTAGCGGCGGCCTGGGCAGCTCCTTGCGTCGACACGCCGCGCTCACCCATCTCTTCGTCGACGAACACACCCAACCCCGCGAATGCCTCAAATAGTGCTCTAGAGAGGTATTCCTCAGCACTGTAGCCTCCGGCCTTCCAAGCGTCGTCCATTTTGACCTTTTTCAGGGTATCATTGTCGTACTGGGCTAGGCGCTCCCTGGAAACGTCCACCCGCGTGGGCAAGAGATCCAGGCCCATGAATGGATCATACGGGCCATCGTCGAGGACCGTGGCTGTTCTCTTCTTATCGACCAGACCGCGTATCGACAATGCGGGCGCGCCAGCAGCATCCAAGGCAACATCCTTCTTGTGCTGTCCTCGTTTCTTGAGCAGGATCTTGCTGACCGTCTCGTTCGCCTTGCCCTGCTCGCCTTGCTGTAAGGAGTCCAGCATCTCCTCTCTAAACTTGCGCTCTTGGAGCTTCTCCTCGGCTTCCTCTTGTATTTCCAGCTCGCGGCGCTGCTGTGCGAGGGCCTCCTCGGCGGCCATGCGTTTTCTTCTTGTGGCTTCGGACTCGTTCGCCAAGCGTCTGTTCCTCTCGATCTCGGCGCGGTGCTCGGCCTCCCACTGCTGCAGCTTGAGTTCGGCAAGCTTCTTCTTATCGTCATCTCCATTGACCAGGTCGTCCGTCAAGCACTCGACATCCTCCAGATACGCGTTGTAGCTATCGAGATCTTGGAAGTCATCCTCGACCTTGTTGAAGACCGTGGCGACGCGTCGCCGAATGTCGACTTCGCGCTGGACGCCCAAGTCCTGAAACCACGCTTTCTTGAAATCTTTGGTTCGGAGGGTCTTCCCACAGGACATGATCGGACATTTGCTGGGGCCTTGGTGGAAATTGTTGCGGATGCACACCGTGCAGATAGCATGGTAGCATATTGTCGAGACTCGAAATTCCATGTCATGGTTCAGATAGCGCATCCGCCCACAGGCGGGACACCTGTCAAGGGTGAAGTTCTCCTCGGCTTGCGTCTCGCGCGGCATGTTTCGTCGTGCCTTCTGTGATTGTCGGATCGGAAGTCGAGGGACGCGGGAAGGCTGGCTCGACTTGTTTGGAGAAAGCTCGGGCCATCTGGAGACAGCACGTCAGAGAGCTGCCCCTCCAAAGCAGCATCGAACATCATTATCCCTCTACCATCACCAACAAAGCTTCAATATGGCAGACAAAGGTTCGTCATGTATGATTAAGCTAAGCTCCTTTTACTAAAAATTATAGATCCTTCACCAGCGGAAGAGGCAGCTGCCCGCGCCAAGGAGAACGAAGAGCAGACAGCCCTCCCCTACAAATGGTCCCAGCAGATTCACATGCTCGAAGTCACCTTTACTGTTCCCGGCAACATGAAGGCACGCGACTTGGCGATCGAGTTTAAGCGCAACTTTATTTCTGCTGGTCTCAAGGGCCACGAACCTGTCATCAAGGGCGAGACACCCCACGACATCAACGTGTCGGAATCAACCTGGTTCCTGACCGCGAACCCGGACAACACCAAGACGGTTGAGATCCACCTTGACAAGGTGAACAAGATGGAGTGGTGGGCACATGTCGTCAAGGATGCGCCGACCATCGACGTCTCCAAAATTCAACCGGAAAACTCCAAACTGGGCGATCTGGATGGCGAGACGAGGGGCATGGTCGAGAAGATGATGTTTGACCAGCGACAAAAGGAGCAGGGTTTGCCTACAAGCGACGAGCAGAAGAAGGCGGACATTCTGAAAAAGTTCCAAGCGCAGCATCCAGAGATGGATTTCAGCAACGCCAAGATCCAATAATACAATCCATGGCAAAGGAAGGTAACAAATAAACTTTGATGGTTGCTCATTGTCAAACTCCCGCGTTACTTCGTGGTCTACAAGTGGACAAGTTCATCTCGACTCGAGAACCCCGGCTGCTCTATCGAGCAAGGCGTTGAACTCCTTGATCTGGGAAAGCATGCCTCCTCCTGCACTCGACGTACAGGCCTTGTCTACGACCTGCGCAATGACCAGCTCCAAGTTTGCCAGCTCGGCCTCCCTCTTTGCTTTGATCGGTAGCTCCGGTGCCATTTCGCCTGCAGCGACTGCAGCTTCGATATCTCGCATCGTGCTGGAGGTATGAAGTACATACTATCTCGGTCAGTAGAGCCCGGCTGCCGTCCAAGCAAATATACTACTCACCGTAGCCTCCTTCGAGTCGTCCTCGTGCTTGATCCTCACCATGTCCATCCGTAGAGCTACTTGCTCCCTTTCTTTCCTGAGTCTTATGATCTCTTCTCGTAACGCGAGTCTCTCCTTCTGTGCATCTCGTACCCTCTTCTGTAGCGAATACTGGTGATTCACCTGGGTGATTTGGTTCATGAAGTCCACCTTGAGACTTCTCGAGTACGCTTCCAATGCACGGATCTTGATCCGAAACTCCTTCTTCTGCTTGGGGTCAGATGTGCGTTGGATACCGCGATGAAACTTTTCTATAGTTTTCGCAATTGTATCGTTGCAGACATTGGCAAACACTTCGATGCGGCTTATACCAGAGCGATTGGCATGGGGAATATCCAGATGGAGAGGATCTGGCTGCCCGTCGTCGCCGTCGCGTGGCTTGTGGTTGACCAGGCGCTGTATTGTAAGTTCAATGCCAACTTGGTCGCCGTCGTCTGCTTGGCTGTCTTGTCGCCTCCGAGCTTTGGGCTTCGTCTTTGGCTTGGCCTTTCTAGCTGCGCGCGAATCAGGTTTGGACTTGGCTTTGACACCTTGTGATTGCACGGCTGGGCTTGTTTTGGTACGACCTCTTTTTCGTGCTGGTGCAATGAATTCCAGTTCGTCTTCAGCGTCCTGTTGCTCGTCCACTGCTGGGCTTTTTGATCTTCGAGGTGGCGGACTTTGGCGGGACCTTTTGCGACCAGTAGCTCTGGCGGCCTGTGCGGTAACTTCTTCTATGACCTCCTCTTCTGCTTCAGGCTGAGTTTCGGGGCTTGCTTCTGCCGCGGCCTCGGACGCAATGCTAGGTTCCGAAGGCGCGACACTGGGATCTGATGGCGCTGGTTCCAAGTCCAGAAGATTCGTTGCACCGGGGTTTGTCACTTCTTCTGCCTGTCCATCCGGATTTTCTGCCACAGCAGACGACTCACGTTCCTCTTGGACAATGTTCGTCTCTGCATGGGCTTCTCTCACAGACTCGCCAAAACTGGGGGGCGATTTACTGCGGCTTTGCCTCAGTGTCTTTCTCACGATGCTTCTCTTCTCCCTAGCCACCAGAGGAGACGATGGCTCCGGCAGGCCATCATCGCTCCTCAGGGCTTCTCGCAGTCTCTCGTTTGTCGCGAGGGCACTGCTCGCCAACGCCAATAGGTCGCTCTCGTTTGTGGGACTTGCAACGTTATGGACATAGGAGACGCTGCGTGCTCGTAACTCGTACTCATGTAGTTCGACATTTTGTTGCTCCGTTACCCGCAAGGGCGCATCGACTACATTTGAGTCGCCATTCGCCTGCGATATTGATTCCCCCGACGTGTCGGGCACGCTATAAGGGTCTCTCGACCTCGCCGGTCTTGCTCTGTCATCTTGCGCTACGAGATGCGATGGCGGGCTTTCGGTTCTTCTGCGCTTACTCGGCGACTCTTCCCGCGTTGGCTGTGCTGGCGCGGGAGCTGGCGGTGTTGGTTCGGGATGTGGTGGTGTGAGTGCAGCTTCCGTCGGTGGCAGCGGGATGGCAAAATCGCCCAGGTCAAGATTGAATGATTCGTCCTCGATATTGACGCGTCTGTGACCAGGTAAGAAGTCTGCTTGGCGAGTTTGGGGGGAGCGAAACCGACCCTGCACCTCGGAGGCGATCGTTTAAGCGCTCTGCTCGAGCTTCGCGGCCTGTTTACATGCGTTACCGCTGTCGCGCGACAGGAATACCGAGTGATTACGACTCACCAGTAGCCATTGTATTAATGAGACTTGTTCATGGTTCCATAGCAGGTATTAAGGATTGTGTTTGTGGTGGTGTCAATGTGAGCAAAGCCATCGGCAGACGCGCCTTGTGACGCGTTTAGAGGTTCGCGGGGCATCACCCATGACACCGCCTCGCATCAAACAGAACGGCCTCCGAGAAAGGCCAGGTATTGCGCCACTATCAAATTCTGCGTGAGCATCTAGGTGGCGTGTTGCAATAAAAGATTTCTGCTGGCCTTGCCCTTAAATTGGTTATCTATACCAACACTATATACGACGCTATATTCTCATATAGCCCCAAGACTCCTCTCTAACCTAAGTCCTGAACATAGTACAAACCATTTCACAAACATATATGTTGCTCTGCGACGCGCTTACATATCCGGCTTAATCCATTTCATTTCTTCTTCATCGAAGACGTGACCGTGGTATTCCTTGTCCGTCAAGCCCTCTGCGGTATACTCGGACACCAGCATGTCTTTGTATTTGTAAGGTATCTTTGCTGGGACACCTTCGAATGTGGTTTCTAGTAGCGGGAAAATGTAGGTATCCTGTTCAATTAGTGGCAACTCAGATGCTCAAAAACTGAGACAACGTACTCGATACTCATGGTTATGCTTATCGTACAGTATGCCCTCGCCTTGCTCGTGGTCCGGGTCATATCTAGCGGCAGTAATGTCAATGTACAGTCCATTCGTGGTGTCGATCCAGCGCGCGTCAATAACGTTGAGCTCATCGTCACGTCCCCTGTATACGTGATGGGGGTTGACATCGAGGAGATACGTTCGCCCTTGACCTGTTCCACGCTGAACATAGTAGTACTCTGTACGGTTGTAATACGCCGCGAGGTAGTACATATCTGATTCTGTGACTTGGACATCAACGTCCAAATCCCAAGGCATGATCTACACAGTCAGTCATTCAACATGTCTAGGGGGTTTCAATGGCCGAACCTTCTTTCCCCACCACCATCCTAACAACGACCCGTGCATGAGCCATGACTGGATTTTGAGCTCGTTGCAAACATGGAGATATGTTTGAACTAGTAGTCTCAGTCCTTCTTGATGCTCGGGCTCGTCGATATCGGCTTTGTAGAAACGAAAATCACAGTGGTCGTTTAAGCGCGCCTCACCTACATAATCAGCATGGCCAATTTTCGCGGGGCAATAGAAAGCCAATGACCTACGAAAGTACTTTGGCTCAGGGGCATTTTCAGCCGTCGAACTCGGTGGCTTCGGGTTGAGGAACTCGGTAGCTTTGAGGAAAGGCGTTGCGGTAGCTGCTGTCGCACTCACCGCCAGGGTCAGAAACGTGCTGAAGCGCATGACGGTGGCATCCAGGAGTACGTAATTATGCGGCGTCGAGTCAATTGGTCTTGTCAAATGCTGTCGACTTAGGCAGGCCTCACATGCATCCCGGGTGACGCGTGGACCCTTTGACGTTGGTCGTAAGCCAATTCAACTGGTGGCTCGAGTGAGGCCTCACCGGGAAATAGTAATGATACTCCCGCTTCTAGATGTTCTCGCTCGGACTGGACGACCTGGGATATTATAAAGACAATGCCACTGACTTGATGATTAAGTGTGTAGAAGAAAATTGTTCAAACTGGTCTGACGTCTGGCCAAGGGTCCGTTCAAGATGACCGATTCCGTGCCTACCCTGTAGCTATCAAGATGTACTGATCTTACAACTGTGAACCAACTCGTCGATTCAACCAAGACGACATGCTGTGGGATTGACGTTAGCTAATGTATTTTTTTCCCTCTTTCTCTGAATATTTGAAAGATCTTTGCGATTCGCCAAGTAGCAATTTCCGCAATACCCCTCAGGGGTGGCCACAGCCATTGTAGTTTTAGTCCAACATGAACGTTTAAAGTCTACCTGCGTCAAGTTCTATGTACAGAACGTGACATCAGTATGCGAGCGTATCACAGTAAAAGAATATGCAGGACTATAGGCAATCGCATAATGAATAGGTACTGGAAAGAAGGCGAGTGCTATCCAGCGTGGCAACGGCTACTACCTGGTAGCATCCCCTGGAATTGCCACCTCCTTGCGCATAGGGAATTGCTTCGAGACAAGCAACTGCAAATGATCAATGTTTTCCCTTTATAAGACTCTATTCGAGGACTCGAATCCAGTGCTCATGCGTATGACTACCTACCAACCTCTCCATCTCGGCCATACATCGATAATCTCATCTTCCCTCCCTTCCAGCCGACTATCCACAATAAAGTACTTATCATAGCATGCACCGGCCACACATGAATGATTTGGCCAAATCCTCACTCTTTGTCCGTACCTTAGCTCAATTTCTTCCTCCGGAGGGCCTTTCCATCGCAAGATCCCATGCTCTTGGCTAACCTTACCCACCTGCCATCCGCCATGCACAGCTGGGAACGATTTCCCGGGCTCAGGGTTCCCCGTACGCCAAGGCGTCACGATTCCAAAGCCGTTGTAATGTTTTCCCTTTTCTGGGCCCATATCCGCGCAAGGTTCGCGTCCCAGCGCCAGGCAGCCACCGTTGATCATTGCCTCGGTAGTCTCGTTGGGCCCGCGGCGAGGATACAGTGATGAGACCTCAAACAGAACCGAGATCGCAATGTTGGAAACTGATAGCAGTGTTGTGTCGCGAGCGTGGGTGGCGAGTTGCTGCAAATCCAGCGTCGGATACACGCCTGCGTGGACTTCGAGCCGTAAGCCTTGCGCCGTGAGACGCTGCATATACTCGGAAACAAGCCCAGCCCGAGGGTCGGACGGGCTGTTCGAGTTTATGTCAGGATGCTGGAAGCTGGTCGACTGAGGTGTCGCGCCAACAGAAAGCGTCAGAGGCTGAGACGGCCGTCTCTTCCTGACAACGGCGGCCACAGCTTCCAGGGCTTTGAACTCCGCAGTGAGAAAGTCTAAAGCTTGCCAATCTTCGCGACATTCATAAGATTGCCCAGCGTGGGCATATATGCCATGGAAGACGCAGTGGCCCCGATCAGCGCTTGAGACGATAGCATCGACGAGGGATTCGCACTCTGGCGTACTGGGAATCACACCAGCGCGGTGATACCCTGCGTCGACTTTCATGAAGCATAGGGGCTTATGGCCCGACGTTTTGCGAATGACCTCTACCAGTGAGAGCTGCTCTGAGTGATCAATCATGAGCGCGAGGCCTTCCGGTCCAAGCTGGCTCGCGATGCTGGAAAGACGGTCGACAGCCGATGGGAATAAAGGGACTCCAAGAAGTACCTAGAAAGTCAGCGCACTCCTTTTCGGACAGCATTTTACTACCACATACGTTTACCTTGCGGCCCTTGCCCTGGTACTCTTTCAGAAGAGGTATGCTATTTTCGGCTTCAAGTACTGTAGAAACGACCAAGTTGACAGGCGTACTTGCATCGTCGCCAACTTGCAGCCTTGTTAGCTGAGTAGTCTATGGAAATTAGCCGCCTTCTGTTCAAGTACATCGGTGTGCCTCCATACCTTATGTGTTTTGATATGGGGACGCCATGACAGGGAGAGCCGATCAACAGCGTCCAGCATGCGTTGACAATTGACCTCTAGCTTCGACAGGTCGAGAATCACCGATGGAGTTGGTACATCGTGTAGCGTCTTGCCTAGATATTGCTCCTTGAGCTGTTCTTGAAGCATAGACGTGGCCATTTGTGAGAAAGAGGAGGGTCGATTGGGAAAGGGCGCAAATGTTGATGTCTGGTGGTACCTAGAGCTGTGCAAGACTTCACCTCGCTTTAATAAAAGCGAAAATCCCTGATCGAGAGGTCCACACGCTCGGGTGGATTCGTAGAAGATCGCGAATGACTGATGCGATGTGTTGGGAACTTGGTAGGACATGACTTCTCCCGCTTCGGGAGGAAATCCCGAGCTGAGTGCTTCTGGCCACCCTACACTTTCTATCTCATCGACACAGTCGCTGCTTCATCCCAAATGATGGTGGAACTACACGGCTGAGGGTAAGAGCGTGGTACGAAATGTTGAATTGGATAATATTATTTTTAGTCAAGGAAATGCCTGATGTCGCTTGAGCTGTTGATGAATCCCAGACGGAGATCCATTAGCATGAGTAGCGCCGTACCGATACGGTGGACAAGTACCTTACGCAAATGAGTACTTGATGCTTAAATCAAGCTTGGTACCTAGAGCTCTTCATGATTGAATAAACTACAGACATTTGAGCTGCAACTGCCATATAAGCATATCAGCGACCGTTACATCGGTCTATACTGCCGTTGTTGCAATTACGCCGAGCTAGCGGACAAAAACAAGTCCGGCTGACGGTGGCGCGAGCTTGGGGCGGCAACAGAAAGAAGATTCTGTTTTACGTAGTAATTAACTCAAAGCATGCAAACTTTTCTAAAATTCGCACGCAAATTCTAGTCTAGAAGGCAATTCATCTTGCTCATGAACGCCTGGAGTCTCGTGGAGTGCGTACCGCCGGTCCCCAGGAAGGCGCCCCACTTTCATGAAGTCAGCTTTTGCTGACTCAGCCAAAGTTATCCCATTCTCGGACCTTCATCCCTCAACGTGATGCAGTACCCATCCAACATCATCACCACAGATCACCCATCGCCTACCACGCGCGCGCGAGCACGTCGAAGAAGCGGCGCGACCCCACATCTTGATTGAAAAGCATGATATAAGTGCTCTACGACTATACGCGACCCGTTGCAGCCAGCGCGCGTTGCGCGTCTCGCACATTCGCATCGCCGCGATCATGGCTGGCTCACCCTCCTTCGAAGAGACCGACTGGGATGCTCAGGCTGTTGCGGACGATCAGGAGATCAAGCGCATTCTCGCAAACGCTGAGCAGGAGCCTGGTCAGGGCCTTGCCATCAACGACGACCCTTTCGACCAGACCAACAAGGCCGATGATGCGGAGGACTTTGAAGACATCAGTGATGACGACTTGCCGGACGAGGAGGAGGCTCCTGTCGGAGCTTCGTTTGAGCTGCCCGCACTGACAGACGATGGGGGGACGAGCAACGATGCCGACGATCTCTTTGGCGAAGGCCCTTCCTCGCCGATTGACCCTGTGTTGGGTGCCACCTCGCCGGGCGCTCAGGTTCACGACGCGGATGCTGGGGAGGACACGCAAGCAACAGATCACAATCTGAATTTCCAGAACCTCAATTTCGACCCGGAGCCGACCTTTGGAGCCGGCGGCAATCAAGACTTGACGATCCCCGAGGCAGTGGAGAGTGTGGAGGACTTGCTCAAAGCCGCCTGGCCCGCATACAAGAAAGGTCACATCTTGACCTGGAGCGAGCTTCTGCCACCGAAAGCTGCCGTCTGGAAGGGCAAGAAGCCAACCAAGAAGCCAAAACGCCTTGTCACCAGCAAGCTCACGCTTGAGCTGGCTCCCGATGACTCGGTCGCCTTTCGTGTCCCGGGAGGTCAGGCTACCGTGCCTAAAGCGAGGGAGGAGGATAATATCCCATACCTCGTTAAGTGCAACGAGGAGCTTGATGGACAGGCAGTGGACACTGTGCAATTCGATCTGGATCAAGAGTCCGACTCGGAGCCGATCATGGGGTTCACACTTCGCGACATTGAAATGGCATGTGAGGACTGGGGTGCGCAGATTGGTGAGGTGGAGCAGAAGTTCACCGAGTATCGAACGGCCGAAGAAGTAGCCGCCGCGCAGGCCTCGAAACGCGTCTCAGGGGAGCAGGAGGACGACGAATGGGATGCGGAGTTTCTAATGGATACGGACGCACCAGCGCAGCCCGTTCCGAAGAAGCGCAAGATCGCAACAGGACTGCCAGCGATTCCAAGGCACTCAGCCCCCTCCTTTGACAATTTCCAGGATGCGACGCGACGCGGAGCCAAGCGCGTCCATCTTGAAATATCCGATCCTCACCTCTTGCTCGAGACTACGGAGAGCCAGCGAAACGCTAAGCGACAACGACTTGACAAGTCAGACACTAAGAAACGTATGGCTAACGGCAAGATGGGTCGCGACATCACTTCCAGGTTCAACTTGTCGAATGACGAGGCGTACGACATGCTGAAGGAAAACCATCAGAACAAGGTGCGCGCCACGCTCGGTAACATTGCCGTGGAACACGGAATGCCGGCCCACAAGCTCAGCTGGCCATATTACAAGGTCAAGCTTCCTGGCACAGCCGACGAATACCACCGTCCTCGCTTGCGCTACAAGAAGTTCGCAGGGCACACCATCAAGTTCGACAAGCCTCTTGTTCACAAGCGCAAGAACATGCGTGGCAAGGCTCACGACGTGTTTCAGTCAACCAAGGATCTCAGTCTGAACGACAACTCAACAGCCGTCTTGTTCGAGTATTGTGAACCACGGCCAAGGGTGCTCAACAATTTCGCGATGGGTAGCAAGATTATCAACTATCATCGCCGCAAGGACACCAAAGATGACGAGTCTCTACCTAAACAAGAACTAGGAGAGTACAGATTCTTGCTACCAGAGGATCGCTCGCCGTTCTCCACATTTGGTACGGTTGACGCGGGAGAGACGGTGCCGACCTTGCACAACGAGATGTACCGAGCGCCTGTCTTCAAACACACGCCCAGGAGCACCGATTTCCTGATAATTCGCAGCTCGACCGGTGCCGAGGGGTCCAAGTGGTACATGCACAAGATTGACCACCTGCATGTTGTTGGCCAGCAGTTCCCGTCTGTGGAGGTGCCTGGCCCACACAGCCGCAGAGTCACAAACGCCTCCAAGAATCGGATGAAAATGTTGGCGTTTAGGATGATAAGGCACAGCAAAGTCGGGTATTTCCATCTGAGCGCGATGACGAAGCATATCGCGGATTCGACGGACGCGCAGAATCGACAGAAGCTCAAGGAATTCCTTCAGTACTACAAGTTGGAAGACAAGTCGCACCCCAAGGGTCATTGGACGCTTCGCAAAGGTGATGTCCTTCCCGACGAAAGCACAACGCGAGCCATGGTGAAGCCGGAAGATGTCTCCCTACTAGATAGTATGCAGTTGGGCATCAAAGAGCTTGTCGATGCCGGTTACGACCCTCGGAACGCCAATCTCGAAGAAGACGGTCAGGGAGCAGATGCCGACGGAGACGAGGACGACGACGAGGAGGGGAGCAAGGCACCTAAAGCAGGCGGTGCTAAAAAGGCAGCAGAAAAGCAGGAGGAGACGCTGGCCGACAAAATGGCCCCCTGGAAAACGACCAAGGCATTCCTCGATGCATGCGCCCAGAAGGCCATGCTCGCCCTGCATGGCCCTGGCGACCCAACCGGCCACGGCCTGGGCTTCAGTTTCATCCGGACCAGTATGAAGGGTGGCTACATTGAGGCCGTCCAGGGACCCATGGCTACGTCGGCCGACGCTATGGAGCGCGAAAAGCGTGCCAACGGTGGCCATGCTTACAATGTGAAGAAGCAGCAGGCCTTGTACGAAGAAGGCATTCGTAAAATCTGGGGAGAACAGAAGCGCACACTGTCCGATGGCCAGGAACATGACGACAGCGACATTCAGCAGACGACAGACGAGGATGACCGATTCAATGCGAACGCGGCTGCTACTCCGGCGCAATTCGACGAAGGCGTGAGCCAGCTGAGCGGATACGACCCGAACCAAACCAAGAAGGCGTTGCGAATCACCCGAGTCATCGAGTTGCCTGATGGCACCGAAGAAACCCGCACCGAGATTGTCTATGACCCAGTTGTCGCATCTCAGTACACGAGACGAAGAGATGAGCGAGACATGGAACTTCAAGAGTACGTTGCCAAACTCGTTCGTTATGAAACCGTCACAGCGCAACCCCCACGGATATGGCGCAAGTTGCGCGTACCCGATCGCAGCTGGCACAAAGCCAAGTATCTCTACAAGCAGTTCATCCGCAGGAGGCGTCCCCATGGGCCTGGCTCCGTCGGAGTGAACGTAGACCCAGTTGGACTCGAGTATAGAGCACCGGCTTACGCGTATCTATGTGCAGCATCTACAGTTCCAAGCCTACGGGTAATGCCGACGCAGACCGTACTAGCAAACTTAGGTAAGTCCAGAGCCCTCTGCAGGTGCGCGCCACACTCTAATCGTGATCTTGCAGAATTCGACAGGAACTCGACCGCCTCGAGAAGAATCAAGCCCGTCGCAAAGCCCGAGAGCAACAGAAAGAGCTGCTCCACAACAAGAATGCAAATGGGCCTGCCGGCTCTCCAGGCGCTACCGGAGGAGGAGCATCGGTCGATAAGGTCCCGACCGGCACCACCCGCAAGTGTGCCAATTGTGGGCAAGTTGGCCACATCAAGACAAACAAGAAGTATGCCTTCACCCTCCCCCATTGTTACCCCTTCCCCCAGAGAGCCCTTTGACTGGTGGTCCATCCCGCCCGAGCAAGCATTCACTGGGAAGAAAAAAAGGACCACAGTGCTGTGTGCCTCGATCCTCACTGCGGCAAAGCAGCAGAAAAAGCGGGCCGTCGATCTGAAGAAAGCTGAGGAGCGCGAAGCTGTCGAGGAGCGGAATAGACTTCTTGAGGCAAAAAGGCAGCGCCCCGAGGCGGAAAAACGCGCCGAGAGGTTGCAGAAGAGGCGAGAGCGTTGGCGGGCCAAGAGAGCAGTCCAGGGACCGAGCAAGGCTCTGACTCCTCGGCAACCAAAGCATCCCCAATCACCAAAACCACCAAAAGCCCCCAAGCCAAAAACCAAGAGCCAAGTTGCGGAGCGAGAGCGCGCAGACCTTGAATCGTACAAGGCGCAACTGGCACTCCAGCACGGGGACGACAGGCCCACCAAGAGTCGCTTTTTCCAGTGAAATCGGACACGTCACCTCTCGTCACTCCGTCACATCATAACCATCCAAATCTGTCACAAGATCATTTTGCTAACTGCTCATTTTGAAGGTTATGTCCTCTGCTCAACGGCACGATGAGCACCGACAATGGTGCGGCCGAGCATGGCGGCTTTGGCACATATGCCGCGCCAACTGGCCCATCCGGATCCCCTTGAAAGCCGCGACAGGCACTGTATATAATCACGGACGAGGTGGCTGCAGAAAACACGGAAATGGAATGGTTTTGGGAAGGGATTTTGACAGGCATTGCTAGGCGTTAGGGGGTTTCTGCAGACCAAATTCGGTTCGGCCATAGTTCACCGCCAGAGAGGGGTTGACCATAGCGTTATGAAGGTGGTCCACATCAATGCAAGCACCACATATTATCTATGCGTGGCCTAGTTTGTACTCACCTTGGTCTGACCCATTGTCCATGGCTGGTTCATCGGTCTTCCGTCATCGACATTCAATGTTGGGCTAAATATAGTTACACGGGCCGGGGTTGGGGTTGGGGTTGGGGGGGAGGGGGCCACGTGCCAAAGTGGGGCTGTGAAACCCGGGCGTGCTTGGGTGGGCCCTGGCCGAGCAGGCAGCGTGGGGGACCGGACGGGAAGGGCTTCTGTCGATGACTCGATGCCGTTGGTAGTTGTCTAGGAGGTGATCATGATTGCATTACATGTCAGGCATGCAGCGGAAGTGTGTATTCGTTTGTTGGATACGATAATGGAGGTGAGAGGTATCAAAAACACCCTCTCGCGCAAAAAAAAAAAAAAACAGGATGTTCGAGCAGCCAGTTTGTCGGGTATTTAGAAACTATAAACTACTACGGGCCGTGATGGTGTAGGAGGAGCGGATGGCCAAGAATATCCGTAATGATGGCGAGACCACGAGAAAGACCAGCCAGCATGACGAATCTGCAGCCCTGCGCTGACTTGGTGCTACTACACCCATTCCATGAATTTGCGACATGAGCGCGTCGGCGCTTGGGTCTGCCAATGACGGCACACAATCCAGAAAGTATGTGGCTGAGTGCATGTACCTCCACACGGAAAGTGGTGTGTGAGATGTTGCCAAAATCCAGAATCTCACAGGTCTTGAGGCACGACCTCTCGTTGCTGTGATCGGCGTTGGTTATGTCGGCACACAGCTCGTCAGCAACTTCTCAAGGAACTGGGACGTCCTCGGCTTCGACCTTTCAAAATTCACGTACAAGCTCTGGAGTCTGATGCAGAATTTGCTGCGAATCCTCGCGTGGAATTTACCAGTTCACATGAGCACCTAGCCAACGCGACACACTACCTCATATCGATTCCACCTCTTCTGCTGGCCGACAAGACTATTGATGTTTCGTACCTCAAAGATGCTCTTGAGACGACTTTCAAATGTGCTGGACCTGGTGCTACCGTTATTATTGAGAGCTCTGTTGCCGTTGATTTGGAGGGAGAGCTCATCGAACCACCTGCGACGGCTCGTGGCTGCTTCGCTAGAACGTTCCTTGAGGTGAGTTGTCTTAGACGGTCTCGGCGATAACACGTGGAACCCTCGCACTGACACCCTTCACAGAGAGTGAATCCTGGCCGGACAGAACCACTCCCCCACCCCCCCGGCGCGCGACTTATTCCCATGGTCATCTCTGGACTGGACGATGTCTGCCCTGGATCGCTCGCGGCAATTGCCCGATCCTACTTCGAAGAGCTGGTGCCTCTATCAAGCCCCGAAGTAGCCGAGTCTACTAAACTCTACGAGAATTGTCAGCGCATGATTAACATTGCGTATGCCAATGAGATGGAGGATGCATGCCGCAGCCTTGGGGTCGATCCATATGAAGTCTACAGCGCCGCTGCCTCCAAGCCGTTTGGCTACATGGTCTACAAGGCAGGAATTGGCGTGGGCGGTCATTGAATTCATTTCAGTCCACGGTACCCTTTTTTCAGGATGCGAGATGCCCCTCTTGCGGCGCGCTGCCGAAACGATGGACAACAGTCCTTCCTCCGTTGCGAGAAAATACGCAGCTTACCTAAAGCAGGAACCCAGAAGCAGTGAGAGACGAGCAAGGGTTCTTGTGGTAGGCATGGGTGTCAAGAAAGGGCAGAGCACTCTGAGCTACTCACCAGGGCTTCAGTTGGCTAGGGAACTCGAGAAGAGCGGACATGCCGAAGTTTGGTTTGCGGATCCACTAGTCGAGCAAAAGTCCATTCCCCTTATTCAGAAGCTAAGCGAGTGGGATGGTTGGTGATTGAAGGAGTTTGGTCTCATTGTGGTTGCCATGCGCCAGGTCGGAATCGATTGTGAGTTACTGGAAGGGCTGGAGAGTGGCCACGTCGAATGACGGTGTCCTTCACAGTAGAGTATGTTTCAGTGATATAGGAAGCGTTCCAGTTCAATAAATATCCATACTCCCTTTGCCATTGACTTTCCATGCCTCGGAAATGCTAAAGGCGTCAACGTTGGATGAAGCCCTCACTCGGTGCTGCTGGACTAGGCCTTGCTGTAAGCCTTGGACGACGTTGATAGTCGGCCTTTCCACTCTCTACCAGCATTTGCTGGTCGAAATTTTTTCACCTTATGTTCAGTAGATGAAAATCCTCAGAGCCCCTCTACATCGGTCAAGCCATCACTTGCGGAGGGCGAGCAGACAAGATTGCCTCGGTCGTATCAGTTGATCACCCCCGCTCCAACGTCGTTCTCCTCTCCGGATGTTCCAACCTAGAACGTATTCCTAATCCACAGTATGAAACAGTCGCCTTGGCTTCACTTTTCGGAATTGAGAGAGAGCAGTTGATGTCAACCTCGTCGAAGCCTCGGTTCAGAAAATCATGTAATGCGATTGGCTGGCCTTAGCATGGGTTCGGGAAAGGGGTTGCACACTAATACGCAGTAGACCAATCCACCGTAGCGAACATGAACGTCTGGAACAACGACGCAACGATGCTGCCAACGAGAGCCGACGAGCCTGCATCAGCTTATAGACGTATGTCTGGCCTGGAGAGAAACTGCCGTTCTTGTGACCCCGCTCGGCATATTTCGTGGGGATGCATTCACTCGCGAAAATGTCCAGACTGAGCAGCGGAGGAGCATTGTTCTACTGGCTGTATTTGGAGCTCACTGACGAAATACCATGGCATAAAACCACACATTGAGTGGTACAATGTAACGAGGATGTGGGAAACATATAAAGCCCCCCGGAAGCCCTCAATATCACGTAGGGACAGAACCTTCCCAACACAACATCTTGAGGCCATCTATACATAACCAAGCGAAAAGTCAAAGACTGCCACCATGCACGCCGCAAACATTCTGAAAGTCGCTCTTGCCCTGGGCCAACTGGTGTCGGCTCAAGACGCAGAGTGCCCAGAGGTTCCTGAAACTGGCATAGAGATTGGCGAGCCAGTGCCCATGAACCCAGGCGACATCCCCCCCGGCTGTTCTGACTTTGAAGTTCTCGTTGGTGGGTGGCATGGCAACGGAGGCGAACACTCTGCTGACCGCGTGCAGCTCGTGGCACGAGCGAGCCGAACTTTGCCGATGGTGGGAAATTCGGCGTCATTGTCGGAGACCCCGTCGTCAGCAACTTGACAGAAGTCCTACCTGGTTCCCGCGGCTACCCAGTCCAGGTGAGTGGCCCCGTTCTGATCTCTCTTAGTGCATCATCGGATTAGGATCCTGAACGAACACAGTACCCGGCAAGCTCTAGCGTCATCATTGGCGGCATTCGAGGCCGCAGAGATGTCGTGAATCGCATCGTCAGCCAGGCCGAAGCCTGCCCCGGTCAGACATTCGCCCTCGTCGGATACTCCCAAGGTGCGACGATCATGCATAGAGCTGCGGATGACATCCCAGAGGCACTCTACGATCGTATTGTTGCGCTTGCCATGTTCGGAGACCCGTACTTGAGATACTCGTCTGGGAACGATTTCCCTGCGCCACTGCAGGAGAAGCTGTTGCAAAATTGTGCCGAGGGCGATGCTGTAGGCTTCTTGTTACCCTGGCATGTCTTGGCCGCCGCTGACAATTCCACAACAGACCTGTGACCAGGGGAGCTGTGTCTTCTGGCACTTGACGTACGTTAGGCCGGCTTGGATTGACCGCACTGTCGACTTCCTCGCGGCGGCATTCCAGGGAAATCCCCTTCCACCGTCGACCACGATCGGCCTCCCGGGCGCTCCTCAGGCCACTGCTCTGCCCTGATGAAATCGGGAGACTGGCCCCGTCGGAGTGCAATGCAGATAGTCGCGAGCGGTGTCCGGCACATGCAAGCTAGAATGCCAAAGCACAGGTTTTTGGGCCTTTTCACTCTGCAAGTTGCTAGTGCAAGCAAGTAGTATGGCGTGCGATACCGGAAGCAATTTCGCTGTGGACCTTTTCGCAATCGATTGAGTTGTTGTTTGAGACGCTTCCAATCCTCCGTGTACATTGGACCTTTTGTCTACGAGAAAAGTTCGCAGCTCAACCAATAACTAAGCTGGGAGCTATTCGTCTCATTTCATGGCGACAGTCAAACAAAGCTCAACTCGCAAGTTGCCTCGGCTCCTGTCCGCTCCTGGCAACGGCGCCAAGCCTGAACCCGGCCGCATACCAGACCTGCACGCACATTCCCTTCCTTCATGTACTGTACTCCGTATGTATCCGTAAGGCCAGCCAATTTGCGCATGGCTCCCGAATTTCCGAGCCAATGAATGGACGGCACCCCTTGCATTGCCCTGCCCAACCGGGCGATTCTTGCGGATTCCCCATAACAATTGAACCTGGCCTTTCTGGTCTTATCCAGAGTCGCCTGGACCGACGCATGGCTAATTGCAAGGATTCATGGACCGTCGACGGGTACTATGGGCAGCTCAACGGAACGCCGAGGCCCAGGCTTGGGACATGTCGTTTCTTATAAGTACAAAGGTGCGGAATCCCTAGCCAAAAGCACAGCGCTCTGTGTATGAACCAGACCCACAGCACGTCAATCATTATGAGACTCTGGACTCTAATCGCCCTTGTTGGGCATCTCCTGATAGCCTGCAACGCGTTGCCTGCAGGCGCAGACTCGTTCGATCTCGGCTTTGAGCACACTCGAAACTACGAAAAGATCGGGTGTAACACATACCACTACCTCCTTTCGAAGCCGTCCGGTACGCCGAAGGGTACGGTTGTGCTACTGCATGGCTTTCCTGACTTGTCATTTGGTTGGCGATACCAGATCCCCTACTTGACCTCCATTGGGTATCAGGTCGTTGCTCCCGACATGCTTGGGTATGGCCGAACCAACGCGCCTCTGAGCCTGCGCAAGTACTCGCTACGGAGCATGTCTGATGATCTCGTGGAGTTGATTCAGCGTGTTGCCCCCAACGAGCAGGTCATCCTAGGCGGTCACGATTGGGGTGGTGCCATGGTCTACCGCGTCGCTCTCTGGCATCCAGACGTTTTCAAGGGGATCTTCAGCGTCTGCACACCATACTTCCCGCCCGTCACGGAATATGTCGACCTGGAGGATCAGATCGAGGCCGGGATCACGCCCACCTTTGGGTACCAACTGCAACTGCGCAAGCCGTCGACCGACCTCCGACTGCGAGGCGCGACCAAGATCCGGCAGATGCTCACGGCGCTCTATGGCGGTCGAACACCCGACGGTGAAATGGGATTTGACTCCTATACCGGGCTCATCTGGGACAACCTGCCGGATCTTGGGCCTTCGCCATTGGTGCCAGGACAACTCATGGACTACTACGTGAGCGAATACCTCAAGAACACGGTCCGTGGTCCCCTCAACTGGTATCGGACAGCAAAGATCAACTTCTACGAAGAACTTCCCTTGACGCAGCCTGGGAAATCCAACTTCACCATGCCGGGTTTGTACATTGGGGCGACCCAGGATACGGCACTGCCACCGGAGATGTCGGTCGGTATGGAGGAGTACTTTGAACAAGGCCTCACTCGGGGCGAAGTGGTGTCGTCGCATTGGGCTCTGTGGCAAGCTGCGCAGAACGTGAGCCAGATCATCGGTGACTGGGCATCGACTCTCCCATAGAAGAAAGTTGGCGCTCCCTTGCCTGAGGAGATGCTATCACATTCGCGCTGTGCTGTACCGAGACCCGAACGGCGAAAATTCACATCTCGTACGCGACCCGTCATTTCATTCCGACCCCCCAGGCGCGTCAGGCGTGGCGCAAGACGAAACAGGTCCGAGTACGCATTAGCCTAATCATGTAATTGCGCCTGCAGAATAATTAGTACATCTGTCATTATCATTCTGGCTTCTTCAAAGTTTACACCATCAGCCTGTCGAGTCGTTGTCTCTGCTTGGCCAGGTCTCGCCGACGAAGCTCGCGCTGGGGAAATGGCCTTGATCGCAGAGGATTCCATTTCAACACCTGTGACTCTGTTCCTTGCTCTAAACGTTCACCGTGTGCATTACTGGTGCAGGTTCCCGTCCGCTGGATCATGCACCGACCTGCATGCCGAGGGACTTGGGGTTTTGTGGCTGCATGGTGCGTTCTTCCTTGCTCGAATCAGGGGCCGCAACCGAACAGCAGGCTAACGAATCCTCCGCAACACTTGCCCCATCCATCCCGCCTTGCGAAAGTACATTAAGGATGCGGAGGTCGCCACGCGACAGACCGAGGCGCACCGGTCCAGTCGTCCATTCTGAATTCATATGAACCCATGTATCAGTGAATGTATGCGTTGCCAGCTTTGCAGTTCCTTCGCACATCCCACGTTCCACGTATACGAGTCGACAGTATGAAGGACTCTGCAGGTGCAGACACGCCAAGTCGCGGCCATGAGCTACTGCTCGTGCAACTCGTTTTTGTCTCACTTGCGGGAGCGGCGACGCTTGTACGGGCCTATGTCAAGGTCTTCCTGGTTGGCCGTGTAACGTCCGACGACTATCTAATCTTTGCGGCCATGGTGAGACCATCCAATCTCTTCAGTGCCATGCGCAGGAGTAAGCGGCTAATCTTCAAGGCTAGGGGGCCTATGCTGCCTATGCCGCAGTCGCCATAGACGGAGTCGTCAACGGAGCGACCGGCCAGGACGTCTCCCAGGACTACACGCCCAACCAAGCAGCCAAGTCTCTATTAGGTTGGTATCTGTGCGAGGCACTGTATGCCCCAATCACCCTCGCCATACGGGCATCTGTTTGCATCGTCCTCTTGCGGATAACGACAAAGAAGCCCTACCGGGTCATCATATGGGTCAACGTTGGGGTCATAGCAGTAGTATCCATTGCCTTCGCCTTCGTCATGGCATTCCAGTGCAGCCCTCCGTCCTATTTCTGGAAACAGGTGTTCGGGGCGGAAGGATCCTGCATCGACAAGAGGATCGTCATGATATCGGTATACGTGCACAGCGTCTTCTCCGCTGTGTCGGACTGGTGCCTGGGCCTGTTGCCCATTGCCATCCTTTGGGGTGTTCAGATCAACATGAGAACAAAGGTCATCGTCGCCGTCCTATTGAGTCTAGGCATGATGTGAGTATGGGGGTGTTTCAAGTTATACTACGTACACTAACGGACTCTGTAGAGCTGGGGTTGTGTTGATCGTCCGCATGCCTTATGTAACCACACTTCAGCCCTCGCGTGAGTTTCTCTACGCTTCCATGTAAGTACTGCCGGGCATTCTTCCCGAACACGTCGGGACTTGCTGACGCCTTGAAACAGTGATGTAGCAATCTGGTCTGTCATGGAGCCCGCCCTAGGAATCATTGCCGCCTGCATAGCGACTTACCGCCCCCTGTTCAAGCAATGGGGCTTCGGATGGGGATCTACCAGAAGATCAGCAGCGACGGCAAGCCACGGTTACGGTCGCAGTCAACGCCGTACCGGCCATTGGGAGCTGCACAGTCAGACCGACTTGAACCGCCCGCCCGTGCCAGAATACCGCACAGCATACACTGAGAGTGTCATCTCAGGCGAAGCAGCCAGCCCTGGAGCAAAGACTGGAAAAACGACAGAGGTTACGGTCACATCAGAGCCGGTCGTTGCGCAACATGATAGTGGGAAAGTCTTTCACGAGCAAGATGTTCCCCGTTTATAATTATATCACTTGCATGCTATTGCCTATTCATAGACCCGCCCTGCCATTTTGAACGGATGATGATCTTGACTACTAACGCAGGATTCCAAAAGAAAAGAAAAAGCAGAGGCGAGGCTTAAAAAACATACAACAGCCGGTATTCGCTGGTCGTCACCGGCCCCAATACTAATCGGCCCCTCAGCGGCTTGACTCTGGGAGAGCGGACGGGGGGGGGGGGTCCCGTATTTTCCACTGGGTATGGCCGTATGTAACAGGGATGCGTCCAGTCTAGTACAACCATGGCGCGTCACGGCCGAGCTCAAGAAGGAGGTGAATGAGAGGAAGCAGAATACTACTTGATGCGTGTAGATTCAAAGTCATCAAAGCACGGACACGAGGCCACCCTGTGCCGCCTGCTCGCTTCCACCGTGTCCACCCAGGGGAGCATCTGTTGAAGCGTGAGGCGGCGGAGACCCGACCTGGTGCTTCTCCATCACCCTGACCGCACAGAGCAGCGTCGCGTCGACTTGATCTTTTTCAAATGCGGCCGTCAGGACATCGAGGTGCATCTGAGAGTTGCCAAACGTGCGTACAGATATGGCGTGGCCGTCAAGGCAGTAGAGAGACACATCCGACATGTTCCCTCCCACGAAAGGAAAGGTGGCAGACCCTGCCGTCTCTGCTGCCATTCCGGGCATCTCCTGTCAATATCCAGCGACGGCGATGGCCCAGCCGAATCAGCTTGCAAGGTCCTTCACGACCCTCTGGCTCTGCAATTAGCTGAGCCGCAGCAGCGTCTAACGGGACGAGCCAGGCAGAAGCTAGAGGGTCACGCTGGTTGTTGTTGCATAGGCAGGCTTTCATCAACCTCAGCAGCTTGGCCGCTTCATGGATCTGGCTGGTCGACAAGCCCCAAGAGGCCATCAGAGCACCCAGCACCACCAACAGGAACGGGGAAAAGGTCATCCTGCTGGATGTGGCGTCCATTCTGGCCTGAAGCGAGGACGGGAGCGCCGTAGTATCGCAAGTGGGCCAAGGAAAGTGACCAGTGAACACCCTTGAACGCATCTGAATCAGAGCTCTGCAGTCCGATGGTCAGAGCGCCGCCGGGTGCGATAAGGTCGTCCCCGAGACGGAGCTCCTGAGTTGAGGAGCCAAGGACGATGAGGTCTGGATAAAGGTGCCACGAGGATAGCGCGAGCAAGACAGCGCCGTCCTGTGCGCTATAGGGATGGCCCTGGACGAGTTTGTCGACGGTCATCAGGGCCGTGACCCAGGTCTTGCAGACGTTCTCGTACACCATGGACTGACTGCCGACCGGTAGGCTCAGCTGGTTCAGCAGCTTGACGAGGTTCTTCTGATGGCTCGCAACGGCGCGGGATCCGTCCGCGGCGCGGAGCCACGCGCGAGCGTTGGCGTCCCACTCCGCAAGCTGCTCTTTGGTGACGGTGAGCTAGGCGGCGACAACGTCCTTGATGGGCACGGAATGCTCCCCTCCCTCTACCTCTTCAACGTGGACCAGGGTCTTCTTGCGCTCCGCGACCAGCTCCTCCCAGATGGAGACCGCCTCGGCAGGAGTCCACACTCTGGCCAGCATGCAGGCGAGGAGGTGAATGGCCACGGCGCTGGGGCCAGACGTGGCCGCCGCCCAGATGCTGGTGCCGTCGAGGCCTACGAAGCGCTGGAAGGGCCCGTGGTCCTTGCTGCCGGGCGGGCTGGTCCCCGGCGACGTGGAGATCTCCGAAGCCCGCGTGCCGTACGCGTGGACGAGGCTGGGGGTGCTCGGGCAGAGCTTTATCCAGCCACATACAGCCGGCCCAGCTGAACAGCCTGAGAGACCGTACCCTTACGTCTTGGTTGCACGGCCCGCGCCGCTAGGAATTCGGAAGTAGTCTAGGCCTCCATGGTTCATGTTGGTTGGCGGACAATCTCCAGCTTCAGCTAGGCTGACTAGCTGGCTCTTTCCCGTCCTTTCTCGTCTGTCTTTCGTCATTGGCTGTTGCTTTAGCCTTCTTGGTGCAGTCAGAATACCATTCTCTCAAGTCGCAGCTGAAGGAGATATGGGCGCCATACATCAACTCGCCGTGATTGAGCAGCGGCTGCAGCTAATTGCTCGCACCGCAACGCGAGAGTTCGAACGGAGCTTAACCCCCGATAAGAGCTTTGACGGGGCTGTCCTTCTCAAATCGTCAGGAACCCGTGATCAAGTAGAGGCTTGACTGATGGCTGCAGCAAGACCGAAATTGAGCTTCTGAAGAATCCGGAGGGTGAGGATGAAGAAAGCAACTCCTTTCTCACCACAACAACCGGCGTCGAAATCGTCTGCAACACGTGCTACAGAAAGGGCACCCAAGAGATATCGATCCGGGACAATGTCGCAGACCTCCGCGTTCTCCCTCGCTCTGTTAAACGCACCAATTTCGGGGAGACGGCCAATTTGTGTTTCTCCTTGGCATTTTGATTGTCCGTGCTCGAATGTCAAAAGTTAAATATGGATCCTGACCCTAACCTCCGCTACTCCAAGGTATAGCGACTAGTCGGAGCGCCGGCTCTGCTCACATGGCTAAGGCGAGGGTGGAGGAAAGACGCTCCATCCAAGCAACCCACGCGGTCAGAGTCGCAGCTACACAATAGGCTGACGAATCTTTGGCGGAATGTGTAACGGCACTCTTCGTATCACTCCAGCTACCGATGGTATTGACCTTTGTTTCGATGATTCATCCTCATCCCTTGGATTCTCATCTCACAGCGTATGTTGAAGCATGCCATTAACGGTTCTTCATCCTCGCGTACCCCGTGCTCCTACGATTCGGAGATCACCTATCCAGCCCACAAGGTATAAGACTCTAATTACAAGTTAAGTCATCTGGTCACTCCCACCACCTCCTCAGCACCCGCGGCATTGTCTGGCCACGACCGTCAAATTCTTTCCAGAGGTTTGGTGAGTTCCTGGCGTCAATGTCAACGTGGGGGATTGCGCTGGAACTTGCACCGCGGTGTGCGCGTGTCCCACGACCGCGCCTTCCTCCTTTCCGTGTTTGTCTACCACCATGTCCTGCGGGTGGTCCATGACCATGGTGTGAGCCGGCGGAGCGTGTGCGGCTTCACACCCTGCTGGAGTCACCGTGACATGTACCGTCTCGGTGACTGGATGGGGGTTCTCCGCTGTCACCGTAACGTGCTTGACAACGGGCTCATGAACTGTCTCCACGACAGTGACAGGCTTCTCAACCACAGAGGTCTCCACAACGGTGACAGGCTTTTCGACGGTTGTGGTGACAAGCTTCTCCTGGACTTTCGTTTCGACCACATTCTTGACCTTGGTCTTAGTCTCTGTCGCTGTCACATGTTCAACTTGCGGGGGCGCAGTGACGTGAATGGTCTCGGTGGCGTGGATAGTCTCGGTGACGTGGACCGTTTGTGGTTCTTCCGTGACATGAACAGTCTCGACCTCGTGGACAGTCTCCGGTGGCAGGGTAACATGCACCGTCTCGACCTCGTGGACGGTCTCCGGTGGCTGGGTAACGTGCACCGTCTCGACCTCGTGTACCGTCTCCGGTGGCTGGGTAACGTGTACCGTCTCCGTCTTGTGAACAGTCTCTGCTGGCTGGGTAACATGCACCGTCTCGACCTCGTGTACCGTCTCCGGTGGCTGGGTAACGTGTACCGTCTCCGTCTTGTGAACAATCTCTGGTGGCAGGGTGACGTGCACCGTTTCTGTCTTGTGAACAGTCACTTGTTGAGGTTCCGCCGGATGCGCTGTTGTGACCGAGACAGGGGAAGCATTCACGACGTTGCCGAGGGCGACGAAAAAGGCCAATCTTTGGAGCCGCATTTTCAGCCTCCTTCTAGGTTTCGTTCTCGAGGCGTTCTGTATTTTTCAAAAAGAAAAAAAGATTGTACCGAATTTCCGTGGATATTGCAGGCGTTTGGAAAGTGAAATGTCGTATGGCTAATGTGAGACGATGCCAGCTCGCCTTGTGAGAATTGAATGAAGAACAAAAGAATGACTAATGATGCTCAGAAATGAATGGTGATGATTCGGTATAAGGGAAGAAGAACTCGAGAAGCCGCCCTAGATGATATGGCCATTTCAAGGTTTTTGCTTGACGTGCGATTCTAGGCTGTTGCAAGGGGGCGTTGTGAACGTTGTCATCCTTGCACGCGGTGAGACACTTCTCTTACGGGAATCCACGGCTTGGCCCCTTGCCGACCTCGTCTTTCGCTGCTAGAAACCGGCTATGGCAAGGCCCCTTGTCTGTGTCGAGGCAATCAGCTCAGACAAAGTCACGGGAATTGCGGTGTAGAACGCTAGATACGAGGACTCGCCGAGGGGCTTGATTGAAGCTGTCAGATCAGAATAATGCATCACGCCTATCCAACATTCCATGGCCGAATGCCAATGAGGGTCCGACAGTCGACTCAGGACTGCGTAGCCCCACTATATCAGTCAATCCTCGGTGGCTATTTCCCCATCCGAGGTGCTATAAGGTTAGTTCGAAGCTTAAAGTACAGAGGTTGACAGTGGGTTTGCACACCGTGCCAGGTGACTCTTGGATTAGGCCAGGCTATGTTGGGAACGTGTCGTGACGCTGCCTCAAGGGTGAGTGTTGTGCGTATCCGCCCTCGATAGCCGAAATAGCGGTAAGGGGATTTCGGACGATCTTGGAAATAGTCTTTTAGCTAAAGCTAGCGGCATACATGCTTTCGTCCATTCCCGCGAGGTGGCAAGAGGCTAGAAAGATGTGATGAAAGCAGATCAATAGCCGGATAAGGCTAGGCTGAAGCGGGTGGCCGGACAGTGTTTTCAAACTGATTGCCGACAACTGTCCGTATTTCCCACATCTGCGACACGTGTTGCACGGAGCCTCGCCCCCGTCACTCTGTCTTTGACCATGGCAGGGTCCGGCTGCGGCCGCGCCCGGTGTCCAGTCCCTTACAATAGCCTGCAGGGGATCTGTTACGAGTCACAGCCCAGTGCGACCTGAGACGCGCCTCTGCTGCAGGTTGACGGTGAGCAAACGCATTAAGCTAGTCTAGATCTACTATTCCATTCGAATCCTCTCTCTCCATATAATTTAGCTCCCGCACCCAAACAATTCTCTCCCAGGTCGCATGACGGCTACTACAGAACTCCCACTCGCTCCTCGCTCCGAAGAGACGCTCACGATTAAAGTGCTCACGATTATATCCCTTGATACTCATTTTATCCAAGCTCCCCTCGCAGAGATATAGGAAATGATTCAAAAAAAGTTATAAAGCCTTATCCGCCTCCTTCCCAAGGGATATTTTATTATCTAGTCTATGTCGTCGCTATCCTCCGTTACCTCGTATCCGGTCGTAGCGACCTTGATCTAGTACTCCTACGTAGTCTTACTTTTGTTCCCGGGGGCTATATTTAATAACACCCCTTAGCTCAGTGCTTGCGCGAGGCGATAGATCGATTCCCTACTGAGGTAAATAAAGATCCTACCGCGGGCGTTCTGTTCCTATTGTGTGGGAGTTTGGAGTGGCCCTCGGAATTTTTCGCTTTTCAGTATGCGCACATGGCTATCAGTCGTTTACACTCATCGTGCCATAGTCTTTCATAAGAAGCCTTACGCTCCATTACCTTAGTCAATCAACGTTTCCCCTCTTTACTTGAATTCTATTACTTTCGTACTTTGACCTACAACCACAACCCAGGCTGCGGGCCTGGCGCCCCTGCAGACCCGTCGAATCATTTGCTCAGTGCCACATCCTTCAATCGATCTCGAGAGCGTAGATGCGCTTCCTTTTTGTTGTTCATGAAGCCGTGGCGGCAGCCCTTGTGATGACCTCCACGCCCGACGATGCGGTTGTCGTTGGCAATCGACCGTTACACATGGCAGCCACACCCGTCGGCATCACCCATCTTCCTATCGGGTAGGCAGAGCCTAGCGGCCCTGCTCCGTTTCCTGCTGCGTTGCCGTTCCCCCCAACACAATAATCTTCAGACTACCACCAGGTAGTAAAGGGGTGGGGAACAGGAGACAAATCGAAATGAGGGCCGAAGAATGTCGAGTCCGGAAGAATTGCTTCCCATAAATGGAAGTCACGGGGTCCAAAATATGATCCCAAGGCGCAGAGAACAAGAACCAGATGGAACCCCGTATTTTCCACTGGGTAGTGTAAGAATTTCCCCATCTTACATAGCACTCCAGGCTAGAGGCAGTCACCGTTAAGGTTTGGTACTTGACATCTTGCGCGTGGAGCAAACGCTCCGCTATAGGGTATAGGGTAACCGCATCGCACAGGGCGGGCCGCGGGAGCGCGTTCCACGAGGATCTTGTACTTGAAAAGCGTGCCGACTCGGACTGTCGGGCCTCCTGATGTGGTGCCTTTTGTCCTAGATCCCTTTTCCCATGCTCCTCCCATGCCGCACCCGGACGTAGGGCGCCATGTAGGGAAATGCAGCAGCGACCTCGGCGCCGACGGTCCAGTTGTCGAGGTTGCGCACGTGCGCCTCAAAAATGGGGTTGAGGGCGGCGCGCTGGCCTTCATGGTCGCCCGACTCGGACTCGACGACGGCTCCCGAGTCCGCATAGGGCCAGTTGACCGAGAGGCTTCGGGCCGTGGCGGCGCGGTAGGCCTCGAAGCGGTCGGGGGACCAGTCGCGGAGGCGGATAATGTCGTCGCGCGCCGTCGGGAAGAGGACGAGGTCGACCCAGGCCGGGTGCGGGACGGCGCGCTGGAGCGACGTCGGCCGCATAAAGGCGGGCATGCGGTCGTACGTGTCCCTCGAGAGACAGACGAGCCAGCGGACGAGGTGGGAAAGGCAGTACACCATGCCGAGGCGCTCGACGAGCGGCTGAAGCGGGCTGCCGTGGAGATGGGCGGAGGCGGCGCTGGACAGGGGCTGGCCCGAGTCGGGCACCGAGGGCCCGTCCGCCTCCGCGTCCTCGGGGTGCTCGAGCAGGGCCGAGACGTTGGGGAACTGGGACGCCGCGGAGAGCTCGGCCGAATGGTGGATCGACAGCCTGCCGCGCCAGGTCTCGATGGTGCCCGTGATGAAGCGGTCCAAACGGTTCGTGGGCGGCATGTGCCTGATGGGCACGGCCCAGTCGGCGTCGGGGGGCAGGTTCACGTCCAGGCCTGTGTCCAGGTCTGTGTCCAGGCCCAGGTTCATGTCCAGACCCATGTCCATGTTCATGTCCAGCAAGTGGAACATGTCGCCTTGGTGCGTCATGTCGAGCGTGATGCCGGGGCCGAGCTCAAGGGGCATGTTCATGCTGGCGAGTCCGACCATGTCCGGGCCTGGCAGTCGCTGTCGTGGCGTGTCCCGTTCCAGGTCCGCGATCCGCTCCTCGGCTTCGGCCAGCTTCCGCTGGAGACTGGCGATCTGCTTCTCGAGGTGCCTCGTGTGCGCCTTGCGCTTGGCTCGGAGGTGCCGCTGGTTGTCCCGGTCGATGGCGCGTTTCCGCGCGACCTGCTCGGGCGTCATGTTGGATACCCGTCGGCACTGGGCGGCCGCGTCCTCGGCGTCCTCGGCTTGCATCATGTGGCGGGCGCTGGGCGTGCAGGTCCGTTTGTGTGTCATGTTAGGGCCACGGACAGAGGCTTCGATGGGGACAACCGGATGTATATACTCGACCCGACCGACTGACTGCTGGGACGGCGGGGACCCCGGATTTCGTGACTCGTGCCGTGCGGGGGTTATGGGCTAACGATTAGAGTACGCGCTAGAGTCTAGACTAGCGCGCCTGCAGAGTCATGTTAGTCCGTCTCGTGGCGAGCATCGTTCTTCTCGGAATCCGTCCCCCCGTGGTCCGTGTCCGCGTAAAGGGAGCTCTGCCCGGCCTCTTCCTCGTCTCGCAAGAAAGCCATCGACTCAGTTCTGTTCCCTGCGCCTCTAGCACGCACACGTCTGTTCTCACTCATACTGTCCCAGCATAGCCATCATGTGGTATCGCCTCGCCGCACTGGCGGCCCTTTTCCTGGCGACGTCCCAAGCCTCGTCGTCCACATCCAAGAAGCAGCCCAACATCCTCTTTATCTTGACGGATGACCAGGACTGGTGAGCCGGTCCCAACCAGCGCCGTGCGGGTGGGCGAGGAGCTTACATCATTTACTGACGCGCCGTGGCGGCATCGCAGGCACATGGAGTCGCTCCAGCACATGCCCCTGCTGCAGAAACACCTTCTCAACGAGGGCACTCTATACGCGAACCACTACTGCACCGTGGCACTGTGCTGCCCGTCGCGCGTCAACCTCTGGACGGGCAAGGCCGCGCACAACACCAACGTCACGGACGTCTGGGCCCCCTACGGCGGCTATCCCAAGGTCGTCCGCGAGGGCATCAACGACGACTACCTCCCCCATTGGCTCCAGGCGGCGGGCTACAACACCTACTACTCGGGCAAGCTCTGGAACCACCACTCAGTCGAGAACTACAACCAGCCGTACGCCGGCGGCTTCAACGGCTCCGACTTTGTCCTGGACCCCTACACGTACCAGTACCGCAATGCCACAATGTCACGCAACGGCGGTGGCCCCGTCAGCTACGCCGGCCAGTACTCGCCCGACGTCACGGCCGCCAAGGCCCACGGCTTCCTGCGTGAGGCCATGGCGCACGACGACCCCTGGTTCCTCGTCCACGCGCCCATCGCCCCCCACAGCAGCGTCCAGCTGATTCCCGACGTCGTCATGGACAAGCCCGAGTACGCCGACCGCCACGCCCACCTCTTCCACGACTACATCATCCCGAGGGACGAGAACTTCAACCCGGAGACGCAGGGCGGCGTCAGCTGGGTCAAGGACCTCCCGCGCCTCAACGACACCGTGATCCGCTACAACGACGAGTTCCAGCGGTCCCGCCTGAGGGCCCTGCAGTCGGTGGACGAGTCCGTCGAGCACATGGTTCGCATCCTCGAGGAGGCCGGAGAGCTCGAGAACACGTACATCTTCTACACCACCGACAATGGCTACCACATCAGCCAGCACCGGATGCACCCCGGCAAGGAGTGCGGCTTCGAGACGGACGTGCACATTCCGCTCATCGTGGTGAGTCCAGTCTATTCCTATCCTGTCCTGTCCTGTCCTGTCCTGTCCTGTCCTTGTCCTTTGGCAGAAGAGATTGACTGACAATGAATCCCACCGGCACAGCGTGGACCGGGCGTCTCTGCGGGTCACGTCAGCAAGGCTGTGACAGCGCACACCGACATTGCCTCGACCATCATGACGCTGGCGGGTCACTCCCTCCCCGAGGACGCCAGCGACGGCTACCCCCTCCCCCTGACCACCGAGGAGATGCAGGCGTCCAAGCAGGAGCACGTCACCATCGAGTACTGGGGCCTCGCCATCCCCGAGGGCCTCTGGGGCTCCTACGGCGACGCGGGCATGATCGACCCCGGCTACGGCTCCCAGCCCAGCATCGCCGTGGGCAACAACACGTACAAGGCCGTCCGCGTCATCGGTGAGGGCTACAGTCTCTACTACGCCGTGTGGTGCACCAACGAGACAGAGCTGTACGATCTAAAGGTACGTTTCTCTTCTTCACACGCTCTTGACGAGAGCTTCTGCGGCCGATCAGAGAAGTGTGCCGGCGTACGCAAAATGTACTGACGCGTGAGCCTTCGACAGACCGACCCCGGAGAGCTCCGAAACCTCTTGGCCCCCGAGCACCACGACAAGGACCTCCGCGTGGCCGGCCGCCCGGTGGACCAGCTGGCGCGCCGCTTGGATGCACTGACCATGGTGCTCAAGAGCTGCCGGGGCCGGAGCTGCGTCGAGCCCTGGCGGGATCTGCACCCGTCCGGCGACGTCCACGGTCTCCTCGACAGCCTGGACGAGCGGTTCGACGACTTTTACCAGACCCAGCCCAGGGTCTCCTTCACCGACTGCAAGATGGGCTATCTTCCCGAGTATGAGGGGCCGATGGACGTGAGACCCTTCGACGGGAAGGACCATGCTGCCAGTGGCGCCGGCTGGGGAGGTTGGGAGCAGGTCACCCTGGGGCGCAACCGTGGTCACTGGAGTCTCTGGACGTGAGCATCGGGCCGTCCCCATTAGGAAGCGATAGCCATGGCATGTTTTGTCAGAAGGTTAATAACAAGGGGTGTCATGTACATGTACTTGTGACCTTGTGCGTTTCGTATTTTCTGGGACTATTCCAGGGGCTAGCATTCCAGTCTCATCAACATCCGGCTAGTACTCTTTGTGCTCGGCTCAGTGTGTGCAAGGTCGCATGGAGACAGACAATGAGTGCTGTGTGTCAGGCTGCACATTCGGCCCATAGCTGCCCTCAAAAGGGAGCACGTTCGCGCGCTATAGCGTTCTTCTTCTTTTCTTAGCATCAGCATCTGCTTCAGATAGTGAATGTTCATTCTTGCTCTTCTGATCTGTTGTTGCTCAACATCATGATGAGAACCTGCACAGTGCCTAGCACATCATTTCCTTCCTCCTTCCTTCTTGTTATGAGTACATGCAGGCTGCAAGAGACTGGATGCTGTAGTCACGATAGTACCGAGTCGATAGCACGTCAAAATACTCCGAGGACCGAAATCAAATTCACATTATTCAACTTTGAACGAGCAGAGAAAGACCAAGGTCCCCCTGTACTGCCCAAATGCCTTCCCAGTTCCAGTGCACAGCCTCCACCACAACCCGAAGCAGGATCGCTTGCCGTTCCACGTTTGACCATCTGCATCGCCATGACCGCCTCCCTTAGGTCTTGTAGATGAACGTCTCGACGCCGTTCTTCCGGTTCCGGCGGTTGAGAACCCAGTACTGCAGGTTGGTGAGGCAGCACGCGACCAGCCCGACGGTCGAGAGCGACAGAACCACCGTCCAGGCCGTGCGGTACTGGGGACTGTCCTCGGCCTGGAAGATCTGGCTGGCGACGATGCCGGCGCAGTTGGCGCTCATGACAAAGAGAGCCATGCTGACGGACCGCTCGCCGGCGGAGCGGGCATTGAGCGACATCCAGGAGCCGTTGACGGGATCTTTCATGATACGTTAGCGCTCAGACTATGCTGTGAGATGGCATGGAATGCACGTACGCCAGTTGAAACTAGTCCCGATGATCAGCACGAGTACAGCGTATTTGGAGCTGTTGCTGCCCGTGTCGATAATGGAGCGATTGGCGACCTGAGAGCCGGGCTTAGCATAGATTCAATACATCCACGTCGACCAACGGGGATGGATAACTCACCACGAGGATCCAGCCAATCGTCACACCCAGTAGAACCATGGGCCCGCGGCGGCCCCATTTGTCGCTAGATGGAATTGTCAGACCCTGGGCTATGCTGGCCTCACGCCGCATCACTCGGCCGCCAAGATGAGGTAGGTACTCACGCAATGTAGCCCCAGGAGAGGGTGGTCAGAATCAGGATCCAGTAGCCGACGGAGACCAGTGCATTGGACTGCAGCCTGCCGTAGTTGTACGAGGCGACGATGGAGGGGGCGTAGGTGAAGAGCGAGGTCTGCGAAGAGAGGCAACAGATGGCGACCAAGATATGGCCCAAGGATCGCCAGTTGGTCATCTGGTCGCGCGCGTGTGCGGTCAGCAATGGTCCCGCTAGGCCGGTGGCTCAGGGCTCAGGGCTAGGGGGGGATACTACTACTCACGGCTGATTTGAACTCGTCCCGCGACACGTGCTGTTTGGCCTGGAGTTTTGTATGATCGTCCCGCAGCACACGCGCCGTGAGGATGCGTGCGTCTCGCTCGTTGAACAAGGAAATGCCGAGCAGCGAGGTGGGCCTCTGACTCGAGCGAGGGAATAGCATCAGGAAGAGCGCCGCCACGATGACGGTAAGAAGGCCCTCGATCTGTCACCCGCCATCATGTCAGCTGAGACGTCTCGAGGGTACGGTTCGCCCAAGGATAGGCACACTCGCTGACGTACAATAAACATCCACTGCCATCCGGAGAGGCCAGCGATCCCTCGCATGTGGAGGCTGATCATGTGCAAGGCTCACGTTAGCCACGCGTGTTTCTCGTCGGGGGGGAGGGGGCGGTTGTCACAGAGGATCCGCCCCGATGTGTCCACGTACATTCCGTAGGCGATGAGGCCACCGCACGCGTTTGCGAGCATGTTTCCAAAGAAGAACCAGCCAAACCGCTTGCTAGTCTCCGAGGTCGTGTAGAAGCGGGAAATGGTGAAGAGGCCAGCAGGGATGTACCCAGACTCGCACGCCCTGCGCTCGTCACATCCACACGTTAGCCTGGGGACAGCGCATTGTGCTCTCAAGACGTTGACATACCCTAGGAGGAAGCGGGTAGCCATGTAGGCGCCCGGCCCCTGGCCCTTGATGAAAGCTTGAAAGGTGGCCACCATACCCCAGGCAAAGATCTGGCAGCCGATCCAGGCCGCGGGGCCGACTCGGTAGAGGACCAGGTTGCTTGGGATCTACCGGCACTTCACGTCAGCTACACGCCCGCTAGTGATGGCCGTGGGGCTATGGGGGCCCTTGTTACCTCGAAGAGGGTGACGCCGAGATACATGAGCTGGTTGCCCACGTTGAACTCGAATTGCGTGACGCCGACATCTTCAAAGAAGAAGTCGGTCACAGCGTTGCCGCTGAACATATCGAGTGAGCGCTTTGTTCTGTAAGGGGCCGGGGCAGCAGGGAGAAGGAAGAAAGACAGAGAGGCTCACATGTTTCCGCGATCAAGTTGAAGGACGAAGAAGCCCGCGGCGAGGAGCGGCATCACCACGCAATCGAGCCTGTGCCGAAAAGTCAACATTGAACACAGGAGACGCACCTCCTCTGCGTGATACGTTGGCAGGGACAGGGCAGACACGTACTTGCGGACCAGCTTGCTCTCCTCGCTGGCCGTCCATTCAACCTCCTGATAATCAACGTGCAAGACGGACGCGGGTTCACCGTGGACGTCGCACATGACTGTATTGTTGTGCTTGTCGCCGACCTCCTGAGGTCCGTTGGGCGGGGCTCCTGTCATCTTGGTGATTTATCTTGTATCCGAGTAGTTCTTTCTGATGGATACGTGGAATGGGACGAGAAGCTGAGTCTCGCAATCTTTTTCGGCTGTACCTTGGCCTCTTATCACGAAATGAAAGCCACATACGCGGCCGCTAGGCTGATGCGTCGCCCTCCATTGTCTTGTCAGAGTGTACTTGGATCTGTCGCTGCTCTCCGGATGGGACCATCCGAATCCAGGGTTCCGTTTCCCTTTCTGCAGCTCTCCAAAGGGCGGGGGAGGTGAAGGTGTCGAGAGTCGAGACTGGAGTCACTGGAGTCTGGACCCGGTTCTTCGGTTCCGGGGATCCGCTGGAAACTAACATGACTCTCTTTCTGGGGTATGCGGAGAAGACGCCACCATGACTCTGCTAGCTCGCGGGGGCCCCAAGACTATCATGACTCTGCGGAGGATCTTTCGCGTCAAAGTATGCAGGATCATGGTCAATTACTGGATCGTGGCTGCATCACGTGAGAGTCGTGAGAGCAAAGGGGTCGCATCATTCATGTCTTGAAAACGGCGGGCGTTGTGCAACGAGGTTAGAGCCGGAACAAGGAGAGGCTTGCTGGATACTGCAAAAGACTTGATCGAGTCCGGAGAATCAGACAGCATGGCATCAGAGACAACACCGCTCCTGAGGGAGACTCAAGATCCCGAGGTGACGAGCGACGATACCGATACCGCCTCGACCGACAGCGGCAGCTCGAGTCCATCAATCTGGTCGGTGCTACCCGTTCTCTTCATTGGCAAGTCAAGTCCCTCTGAGCAACAGCTCAAACGACCAGGTCCTAACCTCTGGGCCACCAGGCGTCTTCGTCTCCCAGGCCGACACCTCGCTAGTCTTGGCCACGTATGCCCCCATCGCCTCCGAGTTCAACGACTTTGACAAGGCCAGCTGGCTGCTCTCGAGCTACATGCTGGCCATGTGCGTCGCCCAACCCCTTGTTAGTTGAGTCCAGCCCACAGCCGAGAGACAGATGGGAAAGGCAAGATCGCTGGAAAGCAGTGGGCGGCTGACCACGGCACAACACAGTACGGCAAGCTGAGTGACATCTTTGGGCGCAAAGCTCTCTTGCAGGTATCCTATGCGCTATTCGCGGTGGGCAGCGGCTTATGGTATGTCTCTCCCGGCAGAAGAGGTCCATCTCTGACGTGAAGCGCATCACAGCGGGATATCCCGGTCCATGGGCGAGCTCATTGCCTCACGAGCCCTACAAGGCGTCGGTGGAGCCGGCATGGTGTGTCTCGTGTCCATTCTGATCACTGGTGAGGAACGTCCCATGCCTGCGTCTGCACCCCTTGTCACTGACTGCGGGAAATAGACATCTGTCCCATGAGGGACGTGGCCTCTTACAGAAGCTATATAAACGTGGTGCAGACAGTCGGGAGGTCGTCCGGGGGTGCCATCGGCGGCCTGCTAGCGGACACCATCGGCTGGCGAAGGTAGGCTGCCCTGACTCTTTGCACATCGGCCGGCTAACAAAACGTCGCGTCTAGCACGCTCGCGGGCCAAGCACCCATCACACTGATTGGCATGGCGCTTGTTGCATGGAAGCTCCATCTGCCTGCGGAGAGTCGTACAGAATCACCCGATGACAGCCTGCACAACGTCAAGGGCACGCTCGTCTCCAAGCTGAGGCGGGTGGACGTTGGGGGAGCATTGCTTCTCAGCACCACGATACTGCCCATCCTCTTTGTGCTGGATGCGGGCGGCACCGAGTTTGCGTGGCTGTCCCCGACGACGCTCGTGCTTCTCCTTGTCGCTCTGCTGAGCGGCCTTTTTTTCAGCCTCGTGGAAACGAGGTACGCTGCGGAACCAATCTTCCCTCTGCGCCTGCTCTCCAACCGGGCCGTGCTGGTGTCATACCTTGGTCTGGCGCTGCAGAACGCCTCGCAGACTGCTGTACGTCCCTCTTTGCTTCCTTAGTTGCTCTGCGTGCGAGGCCCGAGCTCACCGTCCACCAAGGTCATGTTCCTCACACCGCTCTACTTTCAAGTGGCCAAAGGCGCCAGCACCGCCGAGGCGGGAACCTACATGGTCCCGTCGGTCCTCGGGAACACGGCGGGCGGCCTGGCCACGGGCCTGCTCATCCGCCGGTACGGCCGCACCAAGTACTTGCTTTTCCTGTCCGCGCTGAGCTCTATGCTGTGCTTTTCTCTCCTCCTGCTGGTCTGGACGGGCCGGAACCCTGGCGGCTGGCAGTCCATCCTCGTGTTCCCCGGCGGCGTGGCAACGGCCATGGCGCACTCGGTCGTCTTTGTTGTCGTGGCCGCCGGCGTGTCGGAGGCGGACATGGCCATTGCCGGGTCCGGTCTGTACCTGAGCGGCAGCTTCGGCGGCGTGGCCGGCATCTGCGGCGTGAGCGCTCTGTTCCAGGCGCACGTCTCCCGCGGGCTTGTGCACCGCCTGATACGGCCGGGCATTCCCCGCGGCGGCGAGGTAAGTTTGTCACCTCCAGCCGTCACTCGCTCTCCATGTGGTCTCGTTGCTGACTAAGCATTCCTGGAAAGATCATGCGACGGGTGCTCGGGGATGTCACGTCCATCTGGCGGCAGCCGGAGGAGATTCGTAACCTTGTCATTGATGCCTACGTCGACGGCTTCAGGGCATCTTTTGTCCTGTGCCTCGCGTTCGGAGGGCTCTGCTTGGTGCTGTCTGTTCTTTCACCGGAAAAAAGACTTGTGTAGGCCAAGGATGTACTTGCAGGTCCTCGGGAGAGTTGAGCCAACAACTGGCGGGGGGGTCATTTCTTCACTGCCCAGACTGGCCACATATCTTTTCCATTGTCAGTGTCTGGTTCATCGGTCTCCGACATTTGAACCGTGGACTAAATATAGATAGAAGGACGGGACGGGAGGGGCCATAGCTTAATTACAGTGGGGCTCCCTGATCGGCTGGCAGGGCTTCTTGGCAGACGAATCATCACAGGCCAAGGCTATGATATTATCCTACGTAGTGTAGGGCTGAAATCGTGAGTGGTCTGACAGCCGACCAATAGGTGTGATAGTGATGCATGATTTCCGCGTGTTGACCGCAACCCTTGTCGCCTATACGATGAGCTCCATCTGCTGTGCGGGAACCCGGAGCTAGTAGTATCTAGGAGCGGATTTTGGGACAGAGACAGATGCACACAAGTCAACGTCAGAGTAAGGAATGACTTCGTCAGCCTGCTGTGTGATGGTGATCACGGGCTGTGCGCGCAAGTGCAATGATGACATGAACCTGTGCGCTACCTACCTACTACATCCTGCCCTGTACGACGATGACGGGCCCGTCAGTCTTCGAAGCGACATGTAGAAATTGTGGTTATCTCGCGGAATAGTCGCTGCCATGGCCGGCATTTCGTGGGTCGCGCGCCTGAGTCGATGTCAGTTGTCGTCTCAGATTGCACTGCCACATTTCGCGGGGATAGTGCGCTTGCTCAGACCTGTTCGTGCAGGACGGCATCGCATCGAGTCTGGGCGCAGGGGAACCAAGCTTGGGCTCAGGCGTAGAGTGTGCAATGACTGGGCTTGAGGTTCTCAGGGACATTGAAGCTTGAGGTCTCGTCATTGAGCGCGCAACGTCGAGGGAGAACATCATTCCACCTCTAGTTCAAGGGGTGTAGTGTACATGTAGATCAAATGGCAGGTGCGACGCTCAGCTAGGCGGGCTTACATGTGATTGGCGTAGCAGTGCACATTGACCCGCTTATTCCCGCAAGGCAGTCAGCCTGAGCATTTCTCTGCGAGCAGCTCGAGTTCCCGCCCGTCGCCCGTTCTTTGGGCCTCCCTCTTCCTCCAGTCTTCGACAGACACGATATCGTCTATTATTAGCATCACACAACGCCAGATTCAGCCCCGTCGACCTGCTGCACCACCACCACCACCACCACGCAGCACGCATCTATACTACACTACGCATCCGTACACGATCCGCACGTCTCTACGACGCCATAGCTACTTGGGTAGCTGCCGAACGGCTACGCGACGACCAAGACATAAGGGGTCCTCGTCCCTCCTCGAGCTAAAATCTTTCGGCCCCTCCATTATCACCGTCAGCATCAACCGCGAAAGCTCTTCCTTTTCGTCTTTGCTTTTCCTTGTCTGTCCTAGGTCTCCTTTGTCTTGTGCTTGGGATACCCTCACTTGATATACCGGCGACGACCCGGTATCAGCTATTGGCCGTCTGCCACACTATAGCCTGTCTCTCCGTCTGTCCCTCTCTCATTTGCGACACTTGCGACAATCGGGCGCAACACGCCACCTTCGTCACCACGCCTGGACCCATCGCCTACACGATCCGGACGCCAGTGAACGCGTAATTTGAGCATACGCGAGAAGCGCAATCATGGGTCGTCGGAAGATCGAAATCAAGGCGATCAAGGATGACCGCAACCGCTCAGTGTATGTCTTGCGCCCGTGGCGCTACCACCACCAGACGAATGCTAATTCAGACCAGCACGTTTCTAAAGCGAAAAGGCGGTCTCTTCAAAAAGGCCCATGAGCTCTCTGTCCTTTGCTCGGTCGATGTCGCCGTCTTCGTATTTGGCAACAACAAGAAGCTGTACGAGTACTCGTCGAACGATATGCGCGACCTGATTGCGCGGTACCAATTCGTAAGTGCGCCCCGGCACGATGCGATACTGGCTCCCGATACTGACAATAATGGCAGCATGGTGGACCCAACGAACACAAAGGCCCTGCCGACTTCAACGGCGGAAACGACGACGACGATGAAGAAGAGGCCGACGGCAGTCCCCCTCAAGCTTCCGAGAATCTCGATCAAAACCATATGGTCAACGCAAGCTACCATGCCCAAGGCCCTCAAGTTCCCTTTCCGCAAATGCGAAACCATACTGCATCTGCATCGCCGCCCATTCCCAACGGCGCCGTCTTCCCAGGTCATCCACACCACCAGCGTGGCCACACGCCTCAGGGCAGCATTTCGAGACCATTGTCACGCAATGATGGACGGCGCGCCACGCCTAGCATAATGGCCCAGGGCCCTCCTGGTGGGATGACGTACATGCCGACACCGCCCATCTACAACCAGCAACAGAATCAGCAGCACCAGCACCAGCACCAGCACCAGCAGCATCTCATGCCCCAGCATGCACCTGCTGCTCCTCACCACTACACGTACCCACCGCAGCAACAGCCTCAACAACAGGCGCCCCAGGCCTACATGGAGGAGCGTCGTCCCTCCGCCCCTCCCATGTACACGCAGCCTCCTTCCCAGACAGTTGCTGCTCGTGCCGACCCTTCGCCCCGTCAACCCCAACACCAGGCGGTCCCTCAGGTTCCCACCAAGTCTCCCCAGCCCAGCGTTCGGCCCCATGACCCTCAGCCGCCACCTCCGGTCCGTCCCAAGACTGAGTCGCAGGAACGTCCTCAGCCGCCCCTGCTCAACACCGATTCTGCCATCAGAAAACTTCCTCACCGCAAAGGACACTCGATCTTCACCCCTGTTGAGGAAAACCGGTCCATGCTGTCTCAACATCTTGCGGCGTTCGCTCCCGAATCCATCAAAACCGAGAATGGCTTGGCCACGGTGCCGACAAGCCGACCTCACTCTACAGATATGACTGCAAGCGCGCGCACAGTCTCGCCTCCTCAAAGTAAGGTGCGTGCTTCCGTCGGTCCTGTGCCTGAGACCACCTTCACGCCGCCATCGCGATCCACCAGTTTCCAGACTAACGGCTCGGCCGGTGGACAGCGACCTCGCGGCCCCCGTCTCACTGTGCAAATCCCAGACGAAGGGTCCGAACCGGGTAGCGCAACCGAATCGACTTCGCCCAAGGCGGAGACGCGCCCTGGTCAGCAACGGCAGAACTCGAATTCCTCCATTGTCTTGCCCGCCCCGTCGCCTTCAGCCGGGCCAGGTCTACTGTCTGCCGGCGCAACTGGCCCACCAAACCCCTTTGCGAAGCCTCTTCCTCAGCAGAACATCAATGCCGAGACACCAGCTTCTGCACTCCCCTCCCATTTTATCAGTAACAACTTCTTGCCCAGCCCTAGTAGCTTCTACAACGACTGGAATTTTCGAGCATCCGACAGCAACACGCTGCCGAGCCCACTGAACTTTGCGACGCCTGTAGGACCCCCTGGTCCCAGCTTTCTCCGAGACGACAATGCTACGACGGCCGCTGGCGCCAACAAGCGCAAGAGCCCGGAGCTTGCCGAGAATGAAGGCAGTGAAGGCACAGATGCAGCCGGTGAGGTCAAGCGCGTCAAGGTAGAATAACTTCAGCTTCCCGTCCTTTCGTCTTTTTTGCTCCTTCTGCAGAGATACCACTTTTCTTGCGACTTTGTCATCTATTCTTGTATGTGAGCAGTGCGCCCTGCCGCTGGCGTTTGGTTGGACGAGCGATGTTCACGCTCAGTCGGGGTTCAGTTCGTGCGCATTTACTTGCTCTGGAACGGGTCCAATTTGTCAACACATACTTATTACAATTGGATAGGTTTTTTTTTTTGCCCCTTTAGCATGATGGAATTATCGAAACGCTTTTGGAGTTTGGTTGGCACTACCAACGGCCGACATCGACAGGCATAGCATAATGGCGGCGTTCTGGCGTTACGGGTTCATGGTCGCGGGGTTTCCTTATGGGATCGGCACTAGCGAATTGAATGGTCAAATTGCAATGAATGAATGCAGTCTCCTTTCTCTTCAAGTACTTACCTTGCCGATAAGTTTCTATAAGTGACCATTCTTAAAACTTCCCCTGCACTTGCCACGAGAAGTCCAGGCTTGCGCACACACTCTTGAGTTGGTACGTGGACAGCCGCAGGTGGACCGGACTTGATTGAAGAACAGAGCCATCACGACATCAAAGTCTGCGTCCGCGCACTTGTAGTACATCCAAGCTCAAATGAAATCATGGTTCGTAATATCGGGGTGCACCATTAAAACTCCTCCCCCCCAGGGTATTTATGCTCACGACATGTCTTGTCAACAATGGCATTCCCAAGTCAGTAAATCCGGAGGCCAATCCCTCAAAACTCCGTCCCGCGAAAACTCCAACGCTATTAAATCCCAATGGGCGAAGACATCCGTCATTAAAGCAGTAACATAGTACAGACAGCTCCGGGCGGGCTAGTAGCTAAAATCGACTTGCGCCATGACCGGTTGATTTTTGTTTTCGGGGGGTCTGTTATCGTTGCTTGATGAGCCCTCGCTATGGTTGGCGGTTGCTGATGATGCAGCATCACCCAGCGTCGTTTCGCCGCTGGCTTGCGATTCTGTTGACTGCAGTTCGTGCTGCGACGAGGGGCGAGCGCTCGGCGACCACCCTTCGTCCACCATTTGCTGGAAGCTCCAGCTCGGCTCGAAATCTTTGCTGCGCCATGCGTGCGGCACGCGCTCGTACATCTCGTCAATCTGCTCCAGACTGATCTTGCTTGTCTCGTATACCATGAACCAGACGAAGAATACCGCCACTAGGCAAAAAGCGCCCCAAATAAAGAAAATTTTGGATCCAAAATCGGCGTGACCGGGCCCATTGCCTACCATGTAGGGGCTTGAATAGGCGATGGCAAAGTTGAACAGCCAGTTGGATGCTGTCGACACAGAAATCGCCTTGGCGCGGACCTTGAGAGGATAAATTTCAGACGTGACCACCCACGCCACCGGACCCCACGATGCCGCGAAGAAGAAGACGTTGATGGCACAGAAAACAATCAATATCATCTGCGCAGCCTCCTGTAAATCCCTGCCGGCAGCCGCAGCGAAAGTGGCCATGAGCAACTGGCAGGTCGCCATGCCGGCTGCCCCTACCATGAGCAGTTTTCGACGGCCCCACGACTCGATAACGAGGAGTCCGGGGAACGTGGAAGCCACGTTGATGGCGTTCATGATAAGCGCTTTGGCATAGGGGCTTTGCACCCCTGCACCGTCGAAGAAGGTCGTACTGTAGTACATGATGAAATTGATGCCAGTAAGTTGTTGCAGTATTTGAAGGGCACAGCCAGTCAGTGTCCGTCGCCGCAGGTGAGCAGAATTGCGAAAGATATCGCGATAGCCATCAGCTCCGAGTGACATCTCATACTGATGATTGGCTGTGATCTCCTGCAACTCATCCACCAAGGCAGGGTGTGTCATATCCAAGCGTCGCAGTCTGCTGAGTGATTGACCCGCAAGCTCGTGACGACCCTTCATGATGAGAAACCGTGGAGTTTCGGGTAGGAAGATGAATACGCCGGTCAAGGCCAGTGCTGGCACGAACTGCAAACCCAGCGGAATGCGATAGGCAGCCGAGGTCTCCATGCTCTCAGTGAGGATATTGACAATCGATGCGCCAAAGAGACCAATGGTGATGGATAGCTGGTAGGCGCACACCAAAGTTCCACGGACCCATTTCGGTGCCATTTCCGATAAGTATAAGGGAACGATGACTGAAATCGAGCCCACACCTACACCTGCCAACATTCTAGGATGTCGTCAGTCATCATTTGCACGTGCCTTGTCCTGCCCAATACATACCGTCCGCCCAGCATCATCGGCAAGGCCGAGGCACAGACTTGGCATATCGCACCAACGCAGAAGATGCCCACAGAAATCAAGAGTGTATTTCGTCGTCCAAGTGAATCGGCCGAGGGTGCAGCAAGTAGGGCTCCAATGACAGTCCCTGCGCTGAGAATGGCGACCAGAATCGCTGAGTCGTCTGTGCATATATCCAGCTGATTCGTCCTATCCAGACATTCTACGGTTCCAAACTGATCCTTGAATGCGCGCATGGCCATGATACCGTTTATCGCCCTGGAAAATTCGCGTTAGCCACGTGGTTGCCGGCAAAGTTTAACTGCTCGGGGCGTCGCGCGTGCCCTGGCACTATAATACCCCGTACGCCGCATCGCAGGCTGGCTGCTTTGCCCAAGGCCGGACATTGTTCGATCCGGGACACGCACGAGGGGATCGAATCGACGCTCGACTGGCAAGGATCGGGTCGTGAGCTTACCCAGTATCATAACCGAACAACACACCGCCGCAAGCGACAAACATGCCGAGAACGATGGCGGGTGCTGAGGAGCCCGCGTAATCGTCGGGCTTTTGCCATCCCATGGCAATCGCCATGGTGTCGCTTGGGTCCGTCAATCCAGGTCGGTTGGTAGGTTTACGTCGAGCACGTCGGTGGCGAAGTAGACAAAGTCTTCGTTTCGAGTCTGGTCGAGGTCCGGAGGATGCGTCGGACGACAAAAGTGGTCGGTGGGCGACGAGTGGGAATTGTCAGGGTTGAAAGAGGAGAGGGGACTGGAGATGGTGATGGAGTGGGCGGATTGGCGATTGAAGGCTGGACAGGACTGGACTTGTCAGTGTGATTCGGGATGGGACGGCAGGAACGACTGGACCGAATGGTCAGTCAGTCGGTTAGTTGCCTGGGGCATTTGCTCCAGGGGACATGGACCCCGGGTGGGCCGCTGGCGCCCCCAGCTGAAGTCAAGCCATTTGCGTGGCTTGACTTGGCTTTGGACCTTTGGTGCCTGCTCGGATTTCCGGAGTCTTTGACTATCCTAGACCGTGCGTGCAGTCCTCGACAAATCTAAGCAGACTCAACAAAGACATCGCACAACATTATCGCTCTAGCAGTCACTGTCTAATATGAGTCGAGTCTGACCAGACCAGCGCACACTGACTGTCACGCGATGGAGCCTGTGGGCGGTGACTCGATCCAGCCGTTCCAACCTGGCATTCCGGTATGTGCATGTGATTGGCTCATTCTGACTGAGAATTCTCCCACCTTGCCCGTTTCGGCACTGGCCTGTCTTCCCCAGATCCCTTGGTGAGCGCGAGCGAGCGTCGGAGCAAGCAACCAATAATTATTATCTTGGATCACTCCGCACATCGTCGCCGACATTATGGAGATCGCTGTGGCCCTGGCATCAATTGGTGGGAACAGCACCTTTCTTTTACAGAGCTCTATCTCAGTCACAAGGGGTGCGATTCCAAATGCCACGCTGGGCGACATCCTGGGACAGCGGCGGCCATCCGCCACTACCATCAGCCATTAATCATGAGACCTACGCTAACCTGGACAGTATCGAGTATCTCTTGATAGAAGCTGACTTGTCTCAGGTTTTGGCCTAATTCGATTGCAATCATCCCTAGATAGCGCTTTGGCTGTCTTACGCTGGGAGCGTGAGTTCTGGCGCGCCATCTGACACGCCAAGTGGTCGTGGCGCACAACCTCATTACTATGATGCCTGCATGTACGCGTCAATAGGTAGGGAATTCGGTGGCACTGACTCAACTGCTCTCTGTCTTATCAGCGAGTTCATTGGGATGAGCCTTGGACGGACTGATTGGCCTCTTCCTCCTTCCTTTAGACTGCAGCCCTCCCAGCACGCAGGCCATACCGTGCTGGTCAACGGTAGTAGCACTGTCAGGAATGCGCCCGTCAGCGTGAAAAAGCACAGTCGTTGTCGCGAGGTTCTGGACCACGCCTCTGAATGCAACCCAACCATGTTGCCGACAACCGTGATCGACTCTGCTGCGCGGTTCCTCCCATGTGGTGGTCACTTGTCAGATGTCTATTTTATGATACGACACTGCATTTTCAGCACAGTACGCGACATATCTCACGCGGGAGTAACGGGACAAAAAATGGAGAGTACAAAGCAGCAGCCAGAGGACACAATTCAGTTCGACTTACGCGGCCATCGAGCGCCAATTCTTGCGTGATTAATATAGGCACAGATCTACTTGACTCGGCACTGTGTAAGTCCTCCCATATCGGCAGTTGAAATACAGTGCGGGCAATTCCCCCAGACCAAGGCTGCAATGAATGGCGGGGAAACTCCACTGCTCCACAACGCACCAAACTCGGGTCCCCATCGAAACGCACATGCATCATGGCGATCTGATGCTTCATGTCCAGACCCTGATAAAATAGTATATGTGGCTGTTACCGGTGCTACCCTGCTTCCTAGGTATGCATCTTTGGTGACATTCGATTGCGCCAGGTGAAGCGCACGTTACGTGCTTGTAAGGCGATCGGTGAGTGCTTCACGGCTTGGCCAAGAGCTTCTTGTTACTTGGCGTGTTGTGAGGAAGATACTGGCGCCGCTCTTGCCGGTCCCTGCTAGTGTCCAGGTACGATCACATGTATAAGCTTCGCTGGCGCTAATTTCCCAGTTGTTAAACTTAGAAAAACATATGTACATGCCGGTGGGTTGTGGTAGTTCATGGATGGTATCACATAACCTGACTGTTTGATTTGCGCCCCCTTGGTTCCAGACTAACAACTCAGTGTGCAAAACGGTTCAAAACATCAGAACTGAATCTTTTTGGTAAGGCAGTGCCAGAAATCGGACTGACGAATGCGGTTGTTGAGGCACACTGTCAGACATAGGGTAGGCTGCTTTCCTCGTCTTGCTCCCGTTCCATGTCGCTCCACTGGTCTAAGTTGACCTACGACTTTTGAGCGCATGTATCTTGCAGTAACCATGAATGATAAACTGCGAAAACTACCATCGTCGTGGATTAATAACGTGCGAAACAACTTGCAGCCTCTGGTGTTGCTAGTCAAGACCGGAGCTCCCGGACGAGTCCTCGAGCCATCATGTTTGGAAAGATGGAAGGGCAAAGCTTTCTGTCTAAATTAGCAGTCAGAGACACCCTTGAGGCCTCAACTGACTGGCAATCATCATATTGAAAGGTCTGAACCTTTCTAATAAACTGGTCCGCCGAATTCAAGTGCCAAGTTGCCTTATCCGAATTCAGAAACTCCTGGTGCTATTGGACTGGAGAGAACGTCCTTCACGGAGTCACAAGCGCCCCTTTCCGTGAGGCCCGATGACTCTCGCCGATAAAAAGGCAGCATTAAGCTCAGCAGCTTGTGTAGACCTTGCTAAAGGGCGTTGCGCTTGTTCTGGAGGTTGCCGCGCCTCGCAGTGGACTCTTCACTCTCCCAGCCAACTTTGTGACCGCAGTCTCCGATAAGTCAAAGATGGCGTTCGGCGACAGGATGGTTGGGGGTTGCTTCATGACGCAATTTTCAATGGCGGGGACGCTGTCGTCGTCGATAAACTTTTCGAGGGCGACTTTGTAGTATGCCTCCATGGTGCCAATGGCACTGACAGCCGCATGCTTGGCCATATCGGCGTCGTCGTCGACCGCGCTTAGTGCGGACAAGAGAGTCTTTTTGGTGAGCGACCCGCTAGACCAGTTCGAGTGGTTCGGGAAATGGGCGTCGAGGATATGCTCGGTTCTCTTTCTCTTGCGGTTGTTTTGAGCCCTCTGAATGTTCCTTGCCATGTGCTGGTTGTGCGTGATAGGATGGCCTTCGATGTGAGGCATTAGTAGCTCGGTCAACTTCTCGTCAGCCCCTTTCTCGAGCTTGACAAGAGTTGGATAGAGCAAGAAGCGACTAACACGTGATGCCGTTTCACGATCCATCGATTCATGCAGGGCGTTGCTAGTCACGGACCTTACTGCCTCCTAGACAGTTCCCATGACTCCGCGTGCCATAATGTTCCAGGGCTTACACTGGTTACCAAACAAGTCTCCAATAACCTGCGGATTGTAGGTACATGGGAGCCCTCTCCCCTTGCCACTTACTCAAGACCGTCTGGACATGGAGGATGTAATCCCCGCGTGAGATAGCTTCCGGGGCATCAAAAGTAGGCGACACGCCGTCCTTATGTTTCTGCATCTGCGAACTAGCCATTGGGTCATCTTCATCAAAGATTTCGTGAGAGCGGCCACGCTGCTGCATACTCTCCGCGATTGCTGTAAGATGGCTGGCGACGCGTGCGCGGAGGCGGTTCTCATCTTTCCCTTCATTAGGGAAGAAGGCTCGATTGGTGTAGTCGCCATCAACAGCCGCTTTGACAAGATGGGTGAAAGCCTCACTGACATGGCATGAGTATCGGCGCTGGTCGTTAACAGTGGCTCGTGCATCTCCTAAGCCTGCGAGCTGGCCTTTGACCGCATCCATGCGTTTGCCGATCTCGTCGAGGAGCTGAGGGAGCTGGGACACGATATGCTGGCGGAGGACCTTGCTCAGCCTCACGACCAAGTTGGCGACGCCAAGTTGTTCAGGATCCAAGCGGTTCCAGTTCCTCTCCTCGAAGAACTGTCTCTCTGAGCCGTCTCGTTGCTCCGCTGTCATGTTCCTGTCCTTCCAGTCCCTGCTTTTGACAACGTGCCAGCCGAGACGCAAGTTGACATCCTTATTCTCGGCCAGCGTGATGTACGTCTGCTCATCTTCGAATGCGTGATCGAGCTTGTCCGGTTTCGTGATGAGGCCCAAGGTACGCGCCCCTTCGGGATCTACCTTACGCGCACGCTCCGTGATAGACTGCAAAGTAAATCGCACATTGGCAGACACTACCGCGAGGATGATGCTCCGAGGCTTCTCCATGTACGACATGACAAGCTCACGGACGATTTGAGCATCCTCCACACTCTGGCGCTTGTCGCCCGCCACGAACAAGCCAGGCAGGTCGACAAGGGTGAGACGACTCAAGTTTGGCGCAGAGATCTCCACCTTGAGAGTGTCGTTGCTGAAACCCTTGTTCGTATCACCCAGGCCCACGGCCTTTTCCGCGTCACGGATGACTGTACCCAAATCGAAATCCTCGGGGCTCTTGCTAGCCCGTTTGCTGAAGGGACTTGAGCGCCTTTCTTTCAGCGGCAGAACGATTGTGACCTGCGACGATTGTGACTTGGACGCGGCTGCGTGGGCTTGGGCGGAGGCTGAGTTCGGTCGCGAAGCGTGTACAGACGCCTTGTTTGGATGGGAATGACAGGCCCGAGATGGCCTCAAGCACAGAACATTTGCCGGAGGATTGATCACCGCAGACAATGATTTGAGGCAGGTCGACGTATTGCTCCAGGCCAATACAGCGGAGTGAGTCGATGATGTCTAGCACATCTTGGTGCACCCTAGTAATGAGGCCATTCGAGCCACCCGGCTGGCTGGCTGGCTGGCGGAGTGAGAAAGCCTTCGAATGGAGCTAGAGAAGAGGTCAGCGAATGGTACATGACGGAGTACACTGGTGCCTACATGTCTCCTCCATCTTGACAAAGATTGGTGAGCGAACCCATACGCAGGATTAGAAGTGTTCATGCGACAATGCTTGTCGAGATCAACAAGTCATGGATGTTCGTGCTAGCACGTATGCCTCGATGTTGGTAGGAAGCTTGAAGGATGTAGATGCGAGGTATGAAGAGATCCGAGGATATTATATCGGGTTGCTGAGGATCCAATAGGCCCTGGAGAATGATCAGTGAGATGCAGAAGAGAGAAAGAGAAAGAAAGAGAGGAAGGGGAGAACGGGATGGTATAAATAGCCGAACGAGGCATGGGTTGAACGATGCGACGAGGCGGGACAGAGGAAGATGGAAATATCGAGGAGTTGGCACGTCCTTCATCTGAAGTCCGACAAAGTTGTCAAAGCCCGTTTCCAAGAGAAAAGGGCGTGGAGTCAGGTTGCTGGTGAGGTTAAAGAACCGGCCGCTTGTGTACGAAGGAAGGCATATCGAAGACAATGTCTGCCGTCCGGGGACACTCTGCTGCAATGTCAGACAGCTCGGTGTTACTCCTCCATATGCGCGACTGGAACATGAGCAGTAATTGGGGCAAAGCAATGCTGCATGCATTCATCAATTTATCAATACATCAAACGCCCTTATCCAAGAACCCGGGGCATGATAGCCCTCCTACATGTATCGATCTCGATCCGGCCTTTTCTTAGAACTCCAAACTTGGCTCGACACCCTTGACCCGCCCAATGACTTGTTGCGGCGCGTACTTGGGGATCACCTCGTCATCATGGAGCATCTCAAACTCCTCTGTCGCGTCGCGTCCCATGAAGTTCATGATGGCCTGGGGACCACCGGGGTGCTCGTCCAGCCAGTTAGTGAGATCCATGACGACGCCCTTGACGACGACCCAAAGATCTTCCTTGGTGTTGTGCTTGGCCACCTCCTCGAGAGTAAACTCCTTCTCGGGGATCTTGAACTCGCTGGGCTTTTTGGGCTTGGCAGCAGCACCGCCATCGGCACTGGCCGGCGTGGGGCCTGCAGCGGAAGTGGCGGCCTTCTGGGCGAGAGACTCAGAGCCGGAACCGGAGGCACCGCCGTTGGCCCACTCGACGGTCAGCTTACCAGGCGCCGAAGGGTCGAGGTGGAGGGAGATCTGGCCAAGACGCTGGGCAGCGCCAGTCTGGCCCTGTAGAGCCTTGCGGAAGAGGTAGTTGCTGGCAGTGTCACCAGCAACACGGCCGTACACGACGCAGCCGAGCAGCGAGGAGCCACCAAGACGGTTGGCGCCGTGGACACCACCGGCCAGCTCACCGCAGGCGTATAGACCCTCGAAGGGCTGCTGTTCCGAGTTGAGAACCTCGGCCTTGTCGTTGATCTCGATGCCGCCCATGGTGAAGTGGAGCACAGGCTCCATCACGGCGACGTGGTAGTCATCGTTGATGTCAAAGGGCAGGTTGTGGAAGAACTTCTTGCCCCAGGGATCCTTCTGCTTGCCGTCGGCAATGGCGTTATAGGTGGTGAAGGTCTTTTGAAGGTGATCGGGCTTGCAGCCAATCTCCTTGGCGAGCTCCTCGCCGGTCATCTTCTTCATCAGGCCGCGGCCAGAGTAATGGCGGGTGTGAAAGTCGAGGACGTTGGAGGCCTTAGAGTTGAGGATGAGGCGGATGGGGAACTTGTCCTTCTTCTTCTCGTCCCACATCATGCCCGAGACGTAGTCGCGGTGGCCGAGCTCGTCGCAGAAACGGTCACCGTCAGCGTTGAGGAGCAGACCGCCCTCGCCACGGAGGGCCTCAGCCGCCAGGAACTTCCACTTGGAGCCGGGGTCCTTGGGGTCGACCAGACCAGTGGGGTGAACCTGGACCTTGTCCATGTCAATACCGTTGCCGCCAATGGCCATGACCATCTTTTGGCCATCCCCAGTGGCGTGGGTGCCGTTTGTGGTGGCGAGGCCGAAGGTGTCGGGGCGGTGCTGCTTGAGGAGCGAGGAATCGCCAAAGTCAGCGGCGTACCCACCGGTGGCCAGGATGACGGGGCCCTCCAGCGACGCGGACTCGCCGTTGTGCTCATATGTAACGCCGGTGACCTTGTTGCCCTCCTTGTTCAGGCTGGCAACTCGGGCCTTCTTAATGATGGTGACGCGCTCGGGCTCGTTCTCGGCAAGGTCCTCCAGGCGCTGCATGAGCGCATATGTGATGGCCATACCGGGGAACTTGGCATCGTGGCCACGGTGCGTACGAGGCTGCGAGTGACCACCAAGACGCGAGACGAGCGTGAGATCGAGGTTGAAGACGTCCTGGAGCCACTCGACGGCGGCAGCGGACTTGTATGTGAGGACCTTGATCAGGTCGGGGCGAGCCTTGTCGCGAGCGGACTTGAGGGTATCATCGTAGAATTGCTTGACGCTGTCGGCAATCTTGTGGTCGACTTGGGTTCGGGTGAGGGCACCGTTGATGCCGGAGGTGGCCTTGGTCGAGTTACCGCCAAAGAAACCTGGTGTGGTCAGCCGCTAGCTCATTCTCCCATCGTCCGCCGAGCCGAACGTACCTTGCTTGTCGAGGACCGTGACGTTGCCACCGGCAAGGTAGATTGTGTGTGCAGCACTGAGGCCAGAAACTGGTTGTCTGTCAGCTGGGCAGTCCGACGTGGGGAGGGTCCTGTGGACTTACGGCCGCCGCCCACGACGATGACGCTGTTGGACATTGTGGTTGTGTGTCTGCGCAAAGGAAAAGAAGGGAAGGGTATCACAGAGAGAGGCGGTGGTTGGGGGGAGGAGTTGAGTTGGGGAGGAAGATGAAGAGAGATGAAGGAGAGAAAGATGGGGAGACAATGAGCAGCCGATTCACGGACGAGAGTTTAAAGGGCCCAGTGGAGGATTGATTGGATGGATGGATGGCTTCGCCTCGGCGTCCAGCTGGAGAACGTGAGATGGAGAAGCGGCGGCGCGACTGTGGGGACCCCAGTCCCACGTCGCTCCCTGTCCAGTCGCCGCCAGTCTCTAGGTCAGCCGAGGCCCAGCATCCCACCCTCACCTGCCTGTCTCTGTGCTTTGCTCGAAGCTCCTTCCGCATACCTGCTCGCTCGGCAATCGGCTATTCATGCAGTCAGACAGACAGATATTGCTTCTACGTATTTGTACAGCATCACGAAAGCATTCAATTTGGACAAGTTGTCGTCGCCCAATGCGGTCCTTGTATCCGTAGTTGTAACATGGCCATTGAATTGCGCTTTCGGGTCATTGCAGTGCGAGGCAGCCTGCGGCGACAGTTGCCGTTTCTGTACAGTTGAACGCAGCCGCTTCAGAATTCCTCCGCAACCGGGGGCCAAAGGCATAGCAGACATCAGCAAACACAAAATCAATAACTCGTTGGAGATGTCCATTGTTCCAGGTTAGATCTCGAAGCCGTTTCTCCAACTTCTCCTCATGCGATAGCAGTGGCCTCAGTTCCCCGTACCTTACGTCTCGGTGACAGTTCCGACAGCCCCTCGCGCAGAGCTGCGCCGAAACTGCTTGCAGGTCCGTCGGGGTCAAAGCCGCCCGTGTCCGCCAGTATCCGCTGGTGTTCGCCCACGTTGAGCGCTATGATTATTGTCCCACTATCGGACAACTGCGATGATATTTCAGGCACAGGCACGTATTCAATTGTCGCAAAGGTTGTATTGGCGACCATCATCACATGTGAAAGTGCTCGATGATCATCTGACACTTGCTCGCCTGACTTGCCTGAGTGAGCATAATCCCATGGCTTCTGATTGGCCGGTTCCCCAGAATCCGCTTCTGCATGAGTCCGAAGTCTGATTGCCGTTGCATGTGAAAAGCCGCCCACCGAGTGGGTGTCTTCACGTGCTGGGCTCGGGTCTTGCGCGTTGAATGCTCCCGCCTACCCTGTATTTATTTCTGAAGAGGCTCATTACTCATGAGCACGACCAGCCACCGGTCATTGCACTGCCAAACACAGCGCCTGTAACACATTTTCCAACAGTCTGCATATTATGTACTCATGCATGCCCTTATAGATCGACCTCAACCTTGACTTGAACTTGCAGAACTTGGCAAATGTTTCAAATCACGTGCGCGTGGGCTTGCGGCATCCCACCTTGAATCTTATGACGTGATGCTTTTTTCCGTGACGTTTGTACTCAGCAACAAACAGGACAGCGCCATCACGAAGCCAAATCATTTCACCATGAAGGCTGTGTTTCCATTATTGCTGACGCTCACCTCTGCCCTTTCACTGCCTCAACTCCGTCTCCAAGGCATCCTCCCGTCCATCATGTCCCCTGCTGACGACGCCCCCACTCCTCAAACGCAGCCTGCAGTGCCCCTAGGAGACATTCTAGGTACCCAGCGATCCCTCACCACGTTCTCCTCGTTCTCGAGACTCTACGAGTCGACGTCCTCGCTTCTCCTCGACCTCAATACAAACACGACCATTCTCGCGCCGTCTAATGCGGCCATTGAGGCGCTGCCGCGCAAACCGTGGGAGGAGCCAGAGGCGGACGTCAAGTCGTATGAGGGCGAGGGGGGACGGAAGAGGGCGCAGAACAATCTGAGGAGGCTCGTCGAGGCACATCTTGTGCAGATGAGTCCGTGGGAGGGCAAGGCGACGACAGTTAGCGGCGGCCACAACGGAAAGGGTAGAGAGGTGTGGTGGGAGGAGAAGGACGGCAAGCGTGTGGTGATGCCGGATGGCGTTGAGGTGGAGAAAGTTGCCAGTCGCGTTGCCAACGGCGAGCTTGTGAGTGTTAATGATCGTTTTACTGAAAAAGAATGCTAACCCATGCAGTGGATATTGAAGGGCGTCTTGAACTACGTCTGATAGAACACAACCTGTACGAGCTATGTTGTGAACATGGTCAGGGTATATACGACTGCATGGAAAATTAGCGTATAAAGATGAAGGCTGCCACCAGGTGAAAATGTCGGGGTGTGGCTTGCTCCCGTGATGGTACCGAGCTGGGTCCTACGAGTGATTGTTCCAAGAGACGTCACGGCTGGGAAGATCAAACAACAGCACGAGGCAGTGGACGCGGGCGTCATTCGACTGACCCCGGTCCGCTGCAATGGTATCATTATCGAGCATGCTTCGGATGTCCTCACGCATAAGGCCGGCAAACAAATCACGATGCAATGTCCCCCCTCCCCGCTTCCCGTCCTCAAATGCCGTTACTTGCACAAGAAAACACGCCAGGCACAGTCCCGGCATCAAACGCGTCTATGATACCCTGGACACTGACGTACGTTCCCAGCGTAAGGTACATGGCGCCCGTGAGCATGATGATTAGGTTGAGCGCCATGGAGAGGTAGTCGCCGACTACTGGGCGCGTCCGGCCAACGTTGACGTCGACTCTGCGCATGCGAAAGTAGGCTAGGGCCCAGAACATGAAACCAAACCAGCAATTGAAGAGCGATGACATGACGGAGAGAACTGCGTAGTGTCAGTCCCATGAAGCTGCCGTGGCGGTGGGGGAGAGGGGGGGACGACTGGCGACTTACGCGAGGAGAAGAAGGGGATGACCTCGGCAATGATGAAGGACAAGATCCAAGATCCCATCAAGATGCCACCCCAGGAGGCCCAACCGAGTACAGTGTGGTCCGTGACGTGTCTCGTGTTCTGAAACCAGCGGAAGAAGAGGAAACGACCGGTGACGGAGGCGTACAGACAGCCAACGAAGATGATGGTCGGGATCATGAACGAGTAGGACACCTTCTTGTACACGTCGGTCAGAGTACCGAATGCCGGGGTAACCATGTACTGGTTTCCGGTGTAGGCGTAAATGACCGACCCGACGATGCTAAACATGACGATTTGAGCAACGGCGCAAGCCCAGACCGACTTTGGAAACTCCCTGTTGTTGGTTAGCAAGTGTGCGCATGGCAGTGGCCGTCCTCGCTTACCGTGGGTCGCGCATTTCAGCAATGAAGCTAGGCAGTGTCATCTGCCCGATGAAAGAGTACGACATGTTCATAAACGCGGCCATGCCGGTGACCAAGGTCGTGCTCTTGGGCGTCCACACCGACACGATGGGCTCCCCCAAGGTGTCCGGGTCGTAGCCGGCGGGATTGTCCTGGATCCCCGCAAAGGCCGTTGCGAGGATGACGCTGACAAAGGTAAAGGCAGCTGATCCGGCGCCGAGCTTGGACAGCATGTCGAATGTCCGCGGCAAGGAGCCGAACCAGCTAACGAGGGCCACAACACCGGCAAACATGACCGTCCTGCAGGCTATGCTGTCGGCCGCGGTCATGGTGTTCAGGTACTGCGCACCGACAAAGACATGCAGGGCCTGGATGAAGGTATTGTTGAGCAGGAACATGACGGCAGTCCAGTACCAGGCCCAGCGCTTGTTCCAGAAGAGCATCTGGCCAATGTCGCAAATGTCCCTGACCTCGGGGTGGCGCAGGCAGAACTCCCACAGGGTTAGACTCGTGTAAAGCACCAGGGCCGCCACGACGACTGTGAGTATGAGACCCGGCACCAGGCCCAGGTAGCTGTACGACCAGGGGAAACTCATCATGGAGAGGACAATGTACTCGCTGAAGAGCAGGCCGGCTGTCTTCTGCCATGAACATGTCCGATATTGAATCGCGTTGCCCTCTTCGGAAGCAATCTGCTTGCTGAGGATGGCGGCGGCCGAGTCGTCATCGGATACGGTGGCACTAGACGATGTGTCGCGAAGATGGTCCGGCAAGGGCGCAATTCGCGGTCCCACGGCGACGTTGGTCCCGCCGAACATGGATGCCCATAATGAGGAGCGTTTCTGGTTTGCGCGGACGGGGGATTCGTCCGCAACCTCCTCTTTGGAAGCCATCGTAAGCATCAATGTCTGAGACACGCGTGGGAGATGAGTCGTGCGTGACGGAAGCTACAGGCCAGCAACAACAACAGTGCCTTGAGGTACTATACGAAGCGGAAAATTGATTAAGGTTTGTTCTGGAAATGGGTAAAGAAGAGGACGTGCGGCCGGCACAGAGACGCCAGTCCAGTTTTGCTCCACGACTTGCACCCCCCCCCTGAAAAGCCGGCAAAGAACCAAGAAAGCGCTCCGTAGATCCAGTACTATCACGGTCTCGCAGGTCACATCATCAGGTACGTAAGAAAAGTGTGCATCCTTCCACATGCCGCTCTTCCGTACGAGCAAGTCCTCGACTACGGCCGATGCTAACATGAATGCCGTCGGTGGTACTTGGCGCGGCCTTGGCGGAACGGCAAACGGCAAGTCGCCGGTACCTGAGCGCCGCGAGTGCTGGTCGTCAGCCCCGGCTGGACTTGGAATGTGAGTTCCCACTATTAGTGGGAATAGCTCGACGATCGGCTGCCTCTCACCAGTGCCACACCTGGGCAATCTGACGCCTTGGAGGGGAATGACGTCTGACGCCCCAGCCCTGATTGCCGTTCTCCTCCGTTGACGAACCTGACGAGGCTTCAGTGCTGGCGAGCTTGTCGCGCACGCTCATAGGATGATGCAGCATGCCCTGTCAAGTGTCACCAAGGCCTCCAAGTTGGGAATGCGTCACCTTGCCTGCGATCGCGCAACTGAGAAAATGACTTTGCTTGGGCTGCCGGCGGCCCGAACTCTACCAAAGATTGGCTGATGTGATCCAGGTATCGCGTCACACAAAACTTGGCATCTAGCCACGAGTAGCCTATTTGACGCCATCGGTGATCGAACGGTCGGTTTCCAGTGTGACTCCATGAGCGTCCAGCCCCTGAAAAGCCACTGGTCTGATTAATCCCCGATCCAAGATGCGGGGGAACGTGATAAGATCCCGGTTCCCGAACCCACCGAGCGAATGTCACCAACTGCCTGTTTGGGGAATTACTACGCCTCACCAAGGGCGGCGATCAGTCGAGCGTCAAGACGACCAAAGCTGCTTGATCATACGCCCTTTATGACGCCGCTCGAGTTGCGCTCAGTGCACATGCATTCAGGCATTCAGGCACGAGACGCTCGCCAAACGCTGTGGCCATTGTAAATTGAAGTTGAGGCAGTCCTCAGTCATACGGGGAATAGCTTCAGCACATTCGTGAAAGCGAGAGCAAACAGCGAATCGCGTTCCGTGCCGTCTGACGCGGCGACTCGCAGCAAAAAGACATGGTTCACTAAACTGCAAAACTACGGTCCGCTGGCGTTGCGAGTCATGTACATGTCAGAGAAAGGGGTCCGGCGTCCCGTCACATGGCTCAATGGAAGGTGCGGGTGCTTGCCAATAGATGTATGGGAATCTTGCCTGCCTCTGGATGAGAGCTCGCCTGCTCAGCCTCTACGTGGAACCATCGACTCACCTTTGACCTCAAGGAAACAGCGATTGCTTTGCATTGAGATACCTGTCTTAATGACGGAACCACCAATAACCACCAACCGCCCAGATGAGTGGATGAATGAGCAAGGCATGTCCGATGCTTTGGTGCCCGCCCTGGACATGACGTCTGGCGCGACAGTCAAGCTTCCCATTCAGACATTTGGTGAGCTCACCGAGGACAAATATGCTGCATCTGTTCCAGTTCCCCTGCAATGCTAAGCCCGCCAAGCGCCCGATCACCGAGGATTCCATAAGGCCCAACTCGCTGCACTTTGTCTGGAATCACGGCGGCATCCCCATCATCGATAAGGAGTACTACAGTTTTCAGCTTGATGGTCTGGTGGCTTCCCCGCAGTCCTGCACCCTGGTCGACCTCAAGGACGAGTTCAGGTTTCCACGCATAGAGAAGACTGTCGCCATGCAGTGTTCCGGCACGCGCCACATTGAACAGATCCTCAAGCACCCCGGACAAGGCGAAGAGGTGCCCAAGGCTCCATGGGGAGAAGCTGCCATCGGATGCGCCCAATACGTTGGCATCAGTCTGAAAAAGCCTATGAAGGCCTGCGATGCGTTCGTCGACGGCGCCAAACACCTCAAGTTCTACGGAGCGGACATCTACCTCAAGGACAACAAGCCCATGAACTACGTTGGCAGCGTGCCTTGGCCCAAAATGAAAGCCAACGTGGTCATGCTCGCGTGGAAAACAAATTATCAAGACTTGCCGCGCACCCACGGCTAACCCCCTCCGCATCATGGTGTTTGGCTACATTAGTGCCCGCTGCCTCAAGTGGCTGTACAAGATCAAGGCCATCAAGACGCCGTCGCGTGCCACCGCGCAGAGCCAGGGGTATCTGTAATAGCAGACGGGCAAGCACACCCCTAAGTTCGCCGACGGCATCCAGATCGAGGAGATGCCAGTCAACTCGGCCATAATGCCCCCGTGGACCAAGCAGGTTGTCATCCGCAACTGCACTATTCGCTCCCAGTGATGGGGGCACGCGAGCGATGGTCGCTGGCCCGAGCGCGTCGAGAAGTCTAACGATGGGGGGTTCAACTGGTATGCGGTGCCTGAGGCCAACCTATCTATGAAGCACAAGTGGGCGTGGCGCACCTGGAGATTCGACCTTCGCTGACGTGCGATGTGGAGGCCTGGTTCGAGATTGTTGTCCGGTGCTGCGACAATGCCGTCATCACGCGGCCTCTCGAGGTGCGCACGGCGTGGAACTGGGGACTGAATATTACCAACTCGTGCCGTCGAATCATGGTGTACAGCGTGAATGTCTCCAGGCCGTCGACGCAGAAGAGGCTTAGCGAGTTTGAGACTAGGGGTATCCCCTTTACGCCTGATACAGTGCCCCGAGCGTTTCCGCCGCAGACGGGGTCTGGGTATGAGGAGTACTGGAAGTAGCACGATCCGCGTGATGCGGAGGACGTTCAGTTCTGGGTCTGGGTCCGATCTTGTCGGTCAAGTTGAGATATCTTCCAACACGAGATGCTGAACTTTCAGATGGCCCCAACACAACTAGACAGTGCTAGTTCGCCTAACCATCGGTCTGGGTCCTCGCGGTGGCTCCAACTGCATGGCGCGAAAGTAGGGGAAAGAGTCAGGGAGCCGCAGAGATCGACCAATGAACAAACACGCGGAGAACTCTGAGCACTTGGGAAAGGCGTTTGACTTCAAACTGCAATTTACATGGGCCCTCCATGTATGAGACTGCAGAAGGCTGCAAGTGTGTGCCTGCATGACGATAGAATTATATGCAGCAGGCACTAAACGAGCGTCACGGGCATAACTCTCGAATACGATGGTGTACGTACGTCTTGCAGCTGTGGGGGTCTGCATTGGCTACCCTTTGTCAAAGATGTCTGCATCAAGCTGACAACAGGACCAGGAGGAAGCAAGGCCTTGTGGCCTCGTAAGCACAGCTCTACGTATCGGGTGGAGGCTCTTCCGTAATGTTACTAACTGGCACAATCATGGTTTCGATAAACAACACGAGGTGGCATGAACTTGGAGTTGTTCCTAAGCGTTGTCTGCACCCTCGAGGCCTGGATCACATCGGATGGTGGATGTATGTTGCCGCCCGCACACTATTTGTGAAGCCACAAACTCCCTGACTCTAGCACGAAACAGCGTGCCCAGGAATCTGGATAATCCCAGTTTCACATATCGCGGTACGGGTGATCGTGTCCGCCACGTTTTTCGAGGACAGCCGAGTGAATAATCGCCGATTCCTCCCTCCAGGGCCCAGGCTGTCCAACTACATGTACTAGATCTACTACTAGTCAGTTGACTAGTCTGCAAGGAACCTGAGGTTGGCCACTAGCTGCGCTCGCTCGCCCGGGACCATTGTCTTCCGTCATTATCCACTGTACCAGCTGCGCGGTTTGGTGCCTCATGAATAGCGTTCCCCGTTTTCTGGGCCGTGCCCATGGCCGCCAGCACCATAGCTTGGCGGCCGTCCGGCGCCCTAGAGTCTCTCCTGCACTCAGGTGGCATTGAACGAAGACGACAGTAAGTTGTATAACGAAACAGGCAAAGAAGCCTGCGAGGCGAGTGACGGACGTCTCGTCTTGTGCTAAGTGTCTGGGACCAAGGGCTCATCTGCAGCGCAACGGATGACGCCCTGAAATCGATTGCGCCGAACTACCCAGATTGTGGGTTTGACTTTCGATAGGACGTGATTGCCGAGTTCTTTGTCCCCACAGAACCGGGACCAGGCTACCGGTCCAGACGGCATGGAGGCACAAGCGGGCGGCGACTGGAATGCTACGCGATGAGACAACGGACATGCCTAGGGCGCCAGACTGCTAGGAGCGGAAGTCTGGAGCGCACGACACGTGTGAGAGCGACCCACATCACAGATACAGTTAGGAACTGGAGAAAAAGATGGAGATCTAACCTGCAGGGTCCAGGGACTTCAGTCGTGTTAGCCAGCCCGCAGCCGGGGTCATGCAGTATCAAACCCGGTAATGTTCTGATTAAACCGCTCCCATTCTTCTCTGAAATAGCTTGCATGTTCGCAAATGAAATCAAATCGAAAGTATGCAGAATAAGAAAAGGTATAGAGGTATGCTGCCATGCGTATTGGAGCACTCTCATATTCGACAAGGTCAGGCTTTATTGCTCAAAGCATTTGTCAAGTTAACACACATCACCGCGGCCCAGTCTCCAAAAAAACCAAGGCTTAAGATAGAATGAAGTGGAGTACTTGGAAGTGCGATTTTGCCTAATTCGCAAGCGGCGTACTACTACTTACCGACACGATTCCAGATGGGTTGACCCTCCTCCTCACGATCTGGGCCTACACAGGCGGCCTGGCTGGAACTCGTTATCTATAGTACCAAACCTTGAGCTGTTACTTATACTGACATGGGTAAAGCGTGAGTGAACCGAATATCCGACGTTGACCAAAGGGGTTGGTAGAGCCTCGTATCCCAGTCCACAGCTCTCGAAAACTCGGCTCAGTCTATCACCGAGGTGCCTAGGGTGAGGGCGTATAAGAATCCATGATGGCGTCTGCATGGAAAAAAACTCTTTTCAGAACCTCCCCAAACATTCACAGGTGCCTCAGGGAGCACTTCCTACTAAAGACGAAACTATGATCATGTTCTTGCATATCCACATCGCTCTTCTGGGCGTCTTGGCGAGGACCGTCTCGGCCTATCCACACTACAACAGCAATAGCAACACCAAGCTTGTAACGCAGCACGTCTCTTATACGACGGAGACTGTGAGTAAGCTGACCACGTACTGCCCCTCGCCCACCACAATCGTTCAGAATCACAAGACCTATGTTGTCACGAAACCTACCACCCTGACTATCACCGACTGCCCTTGCACGGTGACAAAGCCTTTGAAGCACCCGGAGACAACTGGTGTCCGTGATCCTCCCAAATCCAGACCACCCAAAGGCCCAGAGGATGGGATCATCACCAAGTATGTCACAGTCACTGTCAAAGAGGCCGCCCAGACAGTCACTTTTAATGTCTGTCCAAATGGCCAGGCGCAGAGTCCGACGCAAGGGCCTACTCCACCTCAGGGACAACCTCAGGGACAACCTCAGGGACAACCTCAGGGACAACCTCAGGGACAACCTCAGGGACAACCTCAGGGACAACCTC